GGAGCTGGATACTGACGTCCTTTTGCAGCGAGACGAGGAGCGAGTGAGCGACGTCGCACAACTGGCAGTGCGTGCCCGTGTAGAGCGTCAAGCGAGGCACTCTGCTCGGTGTGCCTGCCACCGACGAGATCGAGAAGCGCCGACGGTTGGGTGCGGGCACAGCCCTGCTTCTCCTCCAAGTGCACCCGGGCAGCCCTGCACGTACCACCAGCCTTGGAGCCGGAGCAATGGCTGACATCGACGCAATCGGTGCAACTTCGTTACTACTGCACTACTGCTAGCGCCCAGCGAGCCCAGCGTTTCTTATTTCGTTTTCCTTCGGAAGTCGGACTACGGTCGGTAGAACAAGACGGACGGCGAACGGACCACTGGCGAAGAGTGCAGAGGAGCCACAAGAATTTCAGGGTATTGCTTTCCATTTCAGGTTTTCTTCGAGGAGGACAACACATCAGGCTCTCGTTGAACGATAGGAGAGGAGGCTCACCAAGTGAAAGCAAAAGAAGAGGAGAGCGCCTACTTCAATAGAAGATGAGAAACGGCAAGAGAGGGTAAGAGAGAAGGGGTGAAAGAGACGCATGATCATGCAAGATCGGCGAAAAGGGAGAATGAGGGGAGGGGGGGAAACGAAAGCACTCTATAGACTTAGAAAACACAGGCATAGTCACGGATACTCCGTTTCTTTTCGAGACCAAGGGCGTAGACGAGGCACTCTCTCTGCCTCTCTGGTCGGCCTCCATCGCGCGCGACACGGCCGAGGAGATACCATGCTTCGGGGCATGCCCACCCCTTCGTCGCAGTCACTGTCGCCAGCAGACCTTCGGCCAGCGCAAGCGAGGCGAGTTGGACGCGCTTGGAGCTCGCGCGTGCCTCGGCAGACGACGCAAACGCCGACGCAGTCGAGGCACCGGGCGTGCGCGAGTTCTTTACAGCGTCGCCCTCGGACAGTGTCTGCGTCTTGTCAGCCTCTGTCGACGTTGAAGAGAAAAAGGTGCGCGAGTGGCTGTTGTGGAAGACCTGGGCGGCCAGCTTCGAGACGCCGTAGCGGACATCATCGATGCCGTGGGCCGGCTCCTGCTGTGCGGCGGCGTGGTCGACGAGACGCTTGACGGCTGACGCACTCTCGCCATGGTCAAGGAACAACCTGGCGAGGTGGACGGCAGCGCTGACGTGGTCCTCCTGGCATGCCAAGGCCTTGTAGAGTGAGTTGATGGCAAGGTTGTATCCTTCGTGGTCGTCTCCCTTCGCCTTTGCACCCGCACAGCTCTCGAACCAGAGAGCAAGCTGGAGCCACACGTCGGCCTTGGCAGGATCGACACGTTCGGCCTCCTGAATGGCCACTCGGCACTCGTCGGCTTTGCCTGCCCGGCGGAAGCTGGCAGCCGCCATGAGCCAGAGACTGGAGAGAAGCGTAATTTCGTTGCTGAGGTGCAGAGCCTTGCGAATGCTTGACAACGTAGCGGTATCTTCCGAGTCGGCAAGGCCGCCTTCGCCCTGCTGTTGCCTGGCACCAGAGAGAGCGGGCGCCGAAGAACCAAGCGACGACGAATTGGCATTCTGGTGGAGCTTAAAGTGATTGAGTCTCTGAACCTTGCTCAGCTTCGCCGCTCCGCTCTGCCCGAGGCCTGTCGGAGAGTCGAATTGAACGGGCACTGTGTTGGCCTTGGAAAGCACTGTCGAACCATTGGGCTGAGCATTGTTCAACCTGGAAGTCTGGCTCGTCGATGTGGGAATCCCGCTCCTCTGCGAGACGGTCTGGGCCGAGGCGGTGGCGACGCGCTTGTGAAAGAATTCAAAGATCTCTCGCTGGCCTTCGATGGCCGCGTCACTACCCTCGACAACCTCTTCGAGAGCGTTGTGGGTCATCATCAGCCGCAGCGTGGCCTCGGCCCGTTCACTGTACCGAGGCGGGAAGTCGACACTGAGCAAGGCGGTACGAGCGACCGACGTCGACGGCTTGGAAGCAGGAATGACACCATTGACAATGGGCGCCGCAGCACCTCCGCTGCTCGGCGAGTCCGCACTTCCCAGCCCCTTGAGTGCGGCCAGCTGGTCAGCCTCATCGTCGTCTTCGGCTTCGGCAAGCCCCTCTTCCGCCACGCGAAGGGCACCCTTGAGGTCCTTTTGCGCCGAGACGAGCAACGAGAGGAGGTGCCAAGCCTGGATGTCTGCCGGCTCGAGTTCAACGGCGCGTCTGGCTGAGCGAGTGGCTTCCGTCACGTCACGCATCTCGGCCTGCAGACGAGCGAGGTGAAGGTGCGTCTCGGACGCTTCAGCATCCAGCGTGGCCGACTGCTTGAGGAGCGCCAAGGCCTCGCCTTGAAACTTTGGCCGCTTGAGGGGGTCCGACTCGCTGTCGCAAAAGGCCGCTCTGGCGATGCCCGCCATCCGCTTGACTCGGGCCACGACAAAGTTGTCCGACGCAATGCTGTGCTTGCGCTGCCCGTGCTCGAGAAACTCAACGGCCTTGCGAGCCATGACGTCGGCGGCTCGAGCATCCTTGACGTACTTGACGAGGACGTGGACGCCGTAGAGAAGGGTGTTGACGTACGTGACATCATCGTCCGAGTCGATGTGCACCTTTTGCGCTTGCTCCTTGGCCTCTTTGGACAGCGCTTCCCTTTCCGGCTTCCCGTTGGCCTGCTTTTCCTCGGCGTCGTGCCCGTTGCCGTTGACCTCATTTCCCTCGTCCTTTTCGCGAAGCCTGCTTTCCTCAACGAGGCCGGCGGCGTCGGCGGCATCGGCCTCGCGTGCCTTTTCGACGAGCTTGACATAGAGGTCCAGCGCCCTTCTGGCCTCATCGTAGTTTTCCGCAGCTGAAAGAAGGACAAAGAGGTGTCGGGAGATGCGCTGCGAGTGGAAAGTGACGCGGCTGAGGGCGTAGAGGATCTCGATGACCTCGTCTGCATAGTCGCCTCCCTGCTCGCCGTTGAGACGCCAACCGCGGACGAGCTCGTCGGCGAGATCGAGGGCCTGGGTATTGACCCGGCCCGCGCGGGGAAACGAGGTGGAACGGTTGATAGAGTCGGCGGCCGCCTTCTGGACTGCCAGCAGCTCGTTGGACCACGAGGCCGAAGAGGGACGCAGGACCCTGTACGGAGCAGGACGCCGCTTGGAGGTGGTGCGCGAGGTGATGCCCCTTGCGTCGACGCCGACCATGCGTCTGGCCTGGCCGTGACGAGGGGCGCGCTCCGTCTCAAAGTCTCTGATCTCCACGCGCGAGGCAGCAGCAGCCACGACGGCTCGCTGGTAGGCGGCTGTCCGGCAGTCCTGGTTCGTCAGAGCGGCCTGGGGCTGAGACGGGGCCACGTAGCCACCCGTCTCGACGGCGCGGTTGAGCACGGCCAGGTAGGTTCGGTAGATGACGTTGCGCTGCGGTTGGCGGAAAGAAGTGGGCCAACGTCCGGCGTGGGCCTGGTACGCCCGGAGCGCGTTGAGGGCGAGGGGCAGATCACCGTGGCGGACGCTGAAGAGGGCGTTGCGATAGAGGGCCGTCTCGGCCCATCGCTCAATCTCGTCGGCGGGCAGACCTCGGAGAGCGTTTGCCTTTTTGCCGCCTCTCAGGGCTTCATGCAGGTCGATGGCCCGCGCATAGCCGGCATAGGCAAAGGGAATGTAGCCTTCGTCGTTGCGAGCCAGGAGCAGCCGCTCGTTTGCCATGCCGTAGATGACGTAGCCCATGATGAAGAGCGCAGGCGTGTACTGCTTCGTCTCATCGGAATCGCCGGCCCGGAGCTTGGTGAGGTCCACTTCGTCGAGGAACTTGACCTCGTGGAGCAGCTCGACGGCCTCCTCGTCCTTTCCAAGCACAAACAAGCCGTGGGCTTGGATGGCTGCCATGGACTGCTTCTCCTCCTGTGCTCCCTCGGAAGTGGACGAGGACGAGGAAGAGGAGCGGAGCTCGGCCAGCTTGGCAATGGCCTGGCTGACATTGTCGCCGGACCAGCCCTGGCCGTACTGGTTGCTGGGCAGCACGGGCGCAAAGACTGTCTGGCCCTGTGCCGAGTCCTCGTCGTGGGAAGCGTCCGAGTAGTCTTCCTGCTTGAAGAAGCTGGTCAGGTTGGAGCGGATCTGCTGCTCGACGTGAGCCACGCTGGGCGTCGTCGTCTGGTTGGGGTTGTGCTTCATGTACTTGCGGATCAGCTCGGACCAAGGCAGGGTAGCACCGGCCTTTGGCCCGTTGCGCGTGGCCACATCCGCGTCCCAGTCACCGCGGAGACGGGCGCCATCGAGCTCGCGCGCATACAAGTCGCCCTTTGGCTGTCGTCGACGATCAGACCCGTCGTTTGCATTGCCATTTGAGAGTCCGGCCAGATGCGATCAATGTCGATGACGACGCGATCATCGTCGATGGTGGCGGCAGGCGTTGCACGAGAGAGGGAAGAGCAGCGGATGGGTAGAAAGGAAGGGATAGGAGGCAGATGAGAATCGGAGTGTGTCAGTAGTGGCCGAAGCTTTACTTGATGTTGTTGGCACGGGCCCTGCCTAAATCGCGGCAACTCACAACTTTAGAAGTCATCTCGTCTCTTCCTTCACGCTACAGAGAGGAGGAAGAGAGGGAGAGGGGGACGTTCTTGAACCCTGCCCACGTCGTCTTCGATGGATCGAAAAAAAGGGGGCGAGAGGAGTAGGGCGGAGTGTTGGCCACGAGAAGAAGAAAGTCGCGGCCCGAGATCGAACGTGTTTCTAGTGTGGTAGTGTCTCCACTCCTATCCCAATCCGTCTCCACTGCCGATCAATATGGCCTCGTTTCACGGGGCACGAGGCAGGGCGGGCAGTGTGCGTGCTCAGCGACCAAAGTCTGCGAGGGCAAGTGGCAGAGACGTCGATCTGACGGGAGCAAAGCGGAGCAGGTAGAGAGTAGTAGTATCCACGGCTACGGCTGCTACGAACCACGGACCCGGACGGTTGAGAAAACGTGTGGGGAACCTGACCAAAGACATCATTGATCGCTTTTCTTCTCGCCTGGCGCGTCGTCTTGCCCTTAGCCTCTTGCCTATTTCATTATGTTTTTCTTCTTCTTCTTCTATCCCGGCTAGATTTCCCCCTATTAAATAAAAATGGGAGAAATACAGGGCCCGAACCAACTTGTGAAAAGCTGCACCGACATGATGGCCGAGGTTTACATAGTAGTGTCTGTCCCCTCTCCACCCAAAGAAGAGGAACAAAAAAAAAAAAATCAAAAGAGGGCTGCCTTTCTCTCCGGACGCCGACCGTTTGGCACAACGGGTGATCCAGACCCGGCTTCTCTTCTCTCCATGCTTGTCTGTATTGGATAGCCATTGAGTGGTGGTAAAAATGTGCGTACAGGCAACGAACAGTGGTGTTAAGAGTAGAAATAGTGACTATGGGTGAGAGCTTCGGGCCTCTTTTGCTTTCTTTTCCTATATTTCTTTACATGCCCATCATGCCGCCCATGCCACCCATGCCTCCCATGCCGCCACCTGGCGGTCCGCCAGCGCCCTTGGGCTCAGGCGCATCGACGACGGAGCACTCGCTGGTAAAGAGGAGCGAGGCAATGCCCACACTGCCTTCGAGAGCCGACTTGACGACGAGGTAGGGGTCAATGACACCGGCCTTGAACAGGTCCTTGTACTGGGCGTCGGATCCGTCCCAGCCAAACTCAAACGGCTCGTTCTGCTTGCTGCCTCCCTCGAGGAGTCTGCCAACGATTAGGGCGCCCTCTGCACCTGCGTTCTCGGCAATCTGCTTTGTGGGCCTCGTCAGGGCCGCTCGGATGATCGAGACACCGAGCTCCTGGTCAAAGTTGTCGCACTTGACAGCCTCGAGAGCTGCCGTGGCCTTGAGCAGGCCCGTACCACCGCCCGGGAGCACACCGCCCGAGACGGCGGCGCGGGTGCTGTTGAGCGCATCGTCGTACCTGTCCTTCTTCTCGCCCACCTCGACCTCGGAAGAACCGCCGACCTTGATGACGGCGACGCCGCCGCTGAGCTTGGCAAGGCGCTCCTGCAGCTTCGTCTTGTCGTAGTCTGAGACGGTGGCATCGTTGATGGCCGAGCGGAGCTGCTCGCAGCGGGCCTCGAGAGCCTGCTTGTCGCCCTCGCCGTTGAGGAAAATGGTGTCCTCCTTGGTCACCGTAACGCTGCCCGCCGTGCCGAGGAGGTCAGGTGTGGCCCGGTCGAGCTTGACCTCGAGCTCGTCGGAGAAGACGCTGCCGCCGGTGAGGATGGCCAGGTCGCCGAGGATCGACTTGCGGTTGTCGCCAAAGCCAGGCGCTTTGACGGCGCAGACCTGCAGCTGACCCCGGAGCTTGTTGAGGATGCAGGCGGCCAGGGCCTCGCCGTCAATGTCCTCGGCAATGATCAGGAGCGGCTTCCTCGCCTGGGCGGCAGCCTCGAGCGAGGGGAGGATGTCCTGCAGCAGGCTGATCTTCTTCTCGCTCAGCAGGATCAACGGCTTCTCAAACTCGGCCTTTTGTGTCTTGACGTCGGTGATGAAGTACGGCGAGATGTAGCCTCGGTCAAAGCGCATGCCCTCGGTGATCTCGATCTCATCCTCGAGCGTGCGGCCCTCCTTGACAGTGATGACGCCCTCCTTGCCGACCTTCTCCATGGCCGTGGCAATGAGCTGACCAACGTGCCTGTCGCCGTTGGCAGAAATTGTCGCCACCTGAGCGATTTCCTCACTCGTCGTAATCACCCGCTTGTTGGCCTCGAGGAACTTGATGACGGCCTCGGCTGCGGCCTGGGCACCTCGACGCAGGTCCATGGGGTTGCACCCGGCTGCCACATTCTTGACACCCTCGCTGTAGATGGCCCTCGCAAGCACCGTGGCCGTCGTGGTACCGTCACCGGCGATCTCGTTGGTCTTGTTCGCCACATCCTGGACCAGACGAGCGCCCAGGTTCTCAAACTTGTCCTCGAGCTGAATAGACTTGGCAACCGTCACACCGTCTGCAGAGCTCGCGAAAGTCAGAACAAAGTTGCAACTGGCTCACAGACCCGTAAAGGAAGACTCACCCTTGGTGATCTTTGGCCCGCCAAATGGCTGCTCGATGATGACATTACGGCCTAAGATGGAGTAGGACGCGCTGTTAGCCCTTTCGTCCCTCTCGTGCAGCTGGAAAGAAAAGCTCACCTTTAGGACCAAGAGTCACACTGACGGCATTGGCGAGCAGATTGACACCCTTAAGGATGGCTGCCCGCCCGTCGTTGGAGAATTTGACTTCCTTGTGTGCAGAGGCTGGCGCTGTCGAGGTAAATAACCGCTGCCCGTTTGCCACGAGCGAAGAAGCCTTGACGGCATTGTTGAAGAGCGACGTCGTCGACCGCCCTGACTTGGCGCTCCTCGTAAGAAACGACATGACTTGCAAATGAAGGGCAACGAGGAGGTGTGGTGCTGACAGGAATAGTAATGAAAACGTCCGAGTCGGCTCAGCGAAGACTCTGGAAAAAAAAGAAGATTGCGACCCCAGTGCAGCTGCACCGGGTCTCGGCCCAGAGGCTACTCAGAAAGAAAAGGAAAAAAAAAAAAAAAAAAAACACCTTCGGCCGAAAGCTGGTGATTCTTCTAGGCCGTCATAAAAGCTTCTGCTGCCCATCCTGCTCTCCTCTCACGCCTGTCTACCCCTCCTCCGCAACAAGAACGATGGCCACTGTAAGTTGGGAAAGAGGCGAGTTTTGAAGGGGAGAAAGCGCTGATTACCTGTTGCCCCTCCCCATAGCAATCGACGATCCGCAGCATCAAGTCTGTCGTGCCGCTCCTCGACCGCATCCTGGTCCAGCGCTTCAAGCCCGAGCAGAAGACAGCGTCGGGCATCTTCCTTCCCTCTGCTGCTACGCAGTCTCCCCTTCCCGAGGCTAGTGTCATCGCCGCGGGACCTGGTGTTGCTGACAAGGAGGGCAAGCTGGTCCCCACGAGCGTCAAGCCCGGCGACAAGGTCCTCCTCCCAGGCTGGGGCGGCAACAGCATCAAGGTCGGCGAGGATGTGAGTTCTCTTTGCCCATCATCTTTCTGGTTGCTCCGCCAATACTGACGAGCCATATTCTTATCGCAGGAATACCTCCTCATCAGAGATTCCGAGATTCTGGCTAAGATCAACGAGTAAAAGGCCGAGGTGTTCGGGGGTCCTCGCATAATTTGTACTTTCAGCAATCACCACTCTTCAGAGACCACCCTCGCTGCCATTCGCTTCTCGCATTGTCTGTGTCTCTGATTTGACGAGGCTGTAAGCCTTTCTCGTGTCATTTGCTCCCGCCGTTGTTCGCGGTACCAGCCACCTAGCGTCTTAGGCTTGTCTGCTTGCTTGCTTGCTCGACGAAGAGGATTTGTCCAGCTTGAAGGTTTCATATGATGAGATGGTCACTGAGAAATTATCGATGATGGAGCAATGCAACGCTCGCCTTCTTGATTCACTTGACGAAGAACTTCGGTTAGCACACTCTTTATCTATCTACAAGGGTACCCTGGGCCGCGTCAAAGCGTATAAGCGAACGTCACCGCACTCCAGGACCTCGCAAGCGTCGAGAGACATATGTGTCAGATCATAGCGCTACGCACTTGGCAAAACATTCTTCTATCTGAAACATCTGGCTTCTCACAGTCCGCCTTGACCCGGGATTATAATTCGTAAAAGTCTTACGGTATCAACGCCTGGACCGTACGAGAGCAAACACGAGGCGCAGCACGGCAAGCCATGCTTGCGGCTTCCACTTGTCCAAGCCCACGAAAATCCTAGAGACCCGGACAAGTTCTTCGGCGGGGTAATTCTCGGGAAGCTTGCCGAGTAACTTGAACGCTCTATCTCGGCCCTCTGGCGCCTTTTTCCTGTCGGCGCGTCGAAGCAGCATAGGCAGCTCTTCGCTCGTCGGATCAGTGCAGTAGGCTGGCTGCCCCGGCTGCTGACGCCACGAATCTGACAGAGGACCTGCATCGTACCCATTGAATCCCAATTGTTCGACAATCGCCAAAATGCCTGCTCGTGCTTTTGAATCGTCGCCGGACACAGGCAATGCGATGCGGTTGCGATCTTTCTGAGGTCGGCCGCTCGTCGTCAGCCGGGACGCAATGATGTTGTTGAAAGCCTTGACGACTGCGACGCCGAGTTGCTGTGACACCCACTGCGACTCAACCATGCCCTCGTCGATTGCGGCAATAGCTCCGTCCCGTAGCGGATAGTAGTTGCCAGCATCGACCACAACCGCGCTAGGAGGAAGCGATTGGAAGATTGTCTTTGGCAAGTCCTTGATACGAGACATCGGGACCGCAATGAAGAGGACGTCCAGATTGGAAGAGATCTCGCTAATATCGACGGCCTCTGCGCCGGTGTTTTGCGCGAACGCCTTGAGACTATCTCGGCCGCGAGAGTTCGCAACCTTGACATGGTGACCCGTTCGGACAAGCTGACTTGCGAGCGCTTCGCCGACAAAGCCCGCGCCAACGATGCCGATTTGCGCCATGATGTTGCTTGATGTGAAGTAAGCAGTCTTTGCAGCTATGTTTCAGGTAAGCAAGGGAATGGGGATCCCTGTATGTTGTAGAAGAGGCCTCTTATATATATATCTGACATCGGTTGAGTCTGGGACAGGCGACTGGCTGGTAACGCCCACCGAGCGAGCATATGTGAACAATCGCGTCATTGAATTCCTTGTGATGGAGGTGCGGATCTGTCATGAGCTAGTTTCAGGACTTGTATATTTCAGCTGACGCTCCGGACAGTCAGCTGACATCGGCATTATCGCACTAACGGAATAGAGCGTGGGAGGAACAACCGACGCGCCTTTGGGATTTTCCCGAACAAATCCGTGCAGAGCGACATCCGGCAACCGATTAAGAAGCCATTCACCTGTCACCGCTCAAGGGATCGTTGCAAGGTGTTGTGATTCGCATCAACTCGCAAAAGTCGGGCTTGCAGGGACCGTCGGACGACAACAGGCGCTGATCTGATAGTCATATTCTATTCACGGTAGTTTTTCGGCAGCACTTCTCCTTCCCCCCGCCCCCGCTTGACCACCAGCGCTGTGAATGAGCTTCACGGTGCCCTCTCTTTCTTTGGACATACCACAGAAAATAAGCTGACAACCGCCGAAATGACACTTCTTCTTATTGGTCCTCCGCGGACAACCTGTACTCTGTCCAATTGATTCATGAGCAAATGTAGGGCGCAAAGGGTGCAAGAATGACCTAAGGTCAAGACTGGGTCCTACTTCTACGGAATGTAATTTTCGTTCGGTCCTTTGAGCTTCATCTCTTCCTGAATTCCTTGGAGTGGGGGTACAGTTGCACCAAAGCCTTCGCGACGTTCACGGCGACGATATCTGCGACTGTTTCTGCCTCCCACTTCAAGATCTGCTGCAGCGTCTGCCTCTAGACGACCGATGCAGAGGCCCATCACAAAGAAGATAACGACGACGATAACCTCAGCAATGTAGTCGAAGACGACTTTTGCCCAGAGTGATCCTTGGAGGGCATCGTCAGAAAAGGCCTTCACGGCGGCGTAGACTGCTCGGCAGAGCATGAACGGCAGGGCTCCCAAGATGAAAGAGAGGATCGTTCGTGGCTCATCCCCCTTCGACCCCCTGAAAAAGAGTCGGTAAGAGCATAGCACCGCGATGAAAACCGTGAGCCCAACATAGATAAGGTCTCCCGCTTTGGCTTTGCCATCGAGGGACGTTGACGAAGGTGAGGACGGCATCGACGACGAGGACGAATTGCTAAAGACATCCGAATCATTGTAGCCGGTGATGAGTAGAATCAGAGCACCAAGCGTAACGAGGTGGAGGATCCTGTCCATGTCCAAGGGTTTTCCCCTGAGCTGCGCTGCCTTTGTGGGATTCCCAATGATTGCCGCACGCTTGTAGAGAGCTAGAGTAGCGTTGACGAGGAAGCTGTAGCCTAGCGCTTGGAGAATAAAGCCCCATGTCGCTGCATTTTGGTGCCTGTAATGATCATTGTAGACGTAAACGAGCAGGCTGTTGCCGACCAGACGGACAGCCGAAAAGATGCAGATGGAAATGAAGCCAAAGACCTTTCCAGTTCCATGTTTGACGACATTGAAAATGGAAAAGGCCAAGAGGAGGAGGTAGATCGGAATGAAGACGACGTCGACGATAACAGTGGCTGGCCAGGTCATTATGTTGTAGATGTGAGTGTTGGGAATGCTCTCCGTGAAGAAGTACGTTCAAACAGCTTCTTTATACCTTCTTCTCAGTTCCTCTACAGCATATGAACGACAGGCTCTGTGCGCCATTGGATGAAATGGCGAAACGCTCCGAGCAAGATACACCGAGAAGAACATCGATCATGCTCGACATCATCACACTGCAAACTGCACCAGTGTGAACCACGAGAATTTGTTCATGATCCTGGCTCACACAGGCTTCACGGCTAGTTTGTTTAATAAGCGGCGCTTTCTTGCGCTTGCTCCGAACTGCATCTTCCGAAAAATCAGAGTTGATCGGAGACCGCTCTTTCGGAACTCGATTCGGATTGTTCCATTCGCTTTTTGGAGTAGAGCATGTCCTCAAATTAAGACTCCACAATCGGAACTGAGGGGCAGTCAAATGAATACAATCCACGTACAGGGCTTCCAGTCTATTCAGATGCTCACAGCCACTACATCGCTTGTCTTCATCTTTTTCGAAAGAAATGCCGAAGGCATGACAGTGGCCGCGAGGAAGAGAATGTGAGCATCCTAGCCCGTAGCGACTGGCGTTCTCTCTACCTCTGAATCCGCAATACCGGCTTCCAAATACTTCTGACGACTAGTGACTTCGATTGGGATTTGTGGATCTCTGCAATTTGCCAGGGTCTCACCTTCTTTCAGTATCACACATGTGCTTCAAATTTGCGTTTCACTGTGTGTTACTAGCAGAGTGTTTTCGATCATCGAGACGGAAATGAAACAAATCTCCACAGTGAAATGAGAAAGTGAGGGAGAGGTGGCTTCGTCTCGCGCCTCACTCATCACAACCAAAGCAAGAAAAGCGGATGGGAAGGAAGAGAAGAGAAATGTTGTAAGATCATTGCTTCGCACTCAGGGCATCGGAACGATGAAAAGTCTATAAGCCGAATCATTGCCGTCGGCACTACGATTCTTCTCGGCCTTCTTCTGCTCCTTTTCGAGTTCTTTCCTCTGCTTCCTGTCCATTGTAGACGAAGCCTGCGTGGTGGAGGAACAGGCGCCTTTTTCACAACGCATGTCGATCTTGGGTACCTGGCATTGACCAGAATCGAGTCGGTCGAGCCCGCACGTGAAGATGGCTTCCATTTTTCGGGGGTGAAAGAATTGCTGATTCCATTCGTCAACAATAGGCGAGACGCCATTGATCTTGTAGGCCCGGATCGCCTTTTTTGCGACGATCCCCACGACCATGCCACCAGACATGACGGCGTTGGCTGCGTGATTCACTGCTTTGGCCCCTAGCTTGTCACCAAAGCTAAGGGCGCCTTGGCTTTGAATCTCTCTCAGGAAGCGCTGCCAGTCCTGCTGACTGACGTTGTGCGTCTCGAAGGGATGGCGACCGTGGCTATCAAGGCAGGGCGGCAAGGACGTGGGAAACCCGCCATCCAAGCCTTTGTCGCCTTTGCAGACCACGTACGTAGGCGTGAAATGTGGAAAGTCGGAGGCGAACCGGACAGGACGTGGTGAAACTTCGGGAGCCCCGAGACCAAGAGCATTATTCACCGCTTTGCGCTCTATGTCATTTGCGTAAAAAGTGCGAGCACGGTCACCACTGTCCTCAGGCTCGTACCAGGGGACCGAATAGTCTTCACTGTCATGAACTTGACGCGAGACCTCGCGAGACCTTAACAGCGTCCCGTTTGTCAACTCCCTGATACGAATGTTTCTTTCTGTGCAGAGACTTACCTCGAGCGCCTATCTATGTGGTGCTCTTCGGGGTCTCCCGAGAAATGATGCGATCTAACTTCGTACGATGGTGGAAGCGCTCCAGGTTCCGTCGACGAGAACTCAGAGTACCGAGAAAGGGCAGGGTCATGGGCATACGAAAAGCGCGCTTGTTCATGAGGCCCGAAGGAGTGATTCTGCCCGCCTTTTCGATTCTGCTCTGCACCGTGGTGCAGCATACCTGTCACTATTCCGCCGACAAGGCCGTCACCCCGACCGCGTCGTGAGTATCCATTGTCGCCTCGACCTTGCTCGCTTATCATCGACAACGAGTCCTTCAAGATGCCCATGTCGATCGCTTCAGCTCATACGTTTTTGGCTTGGAGAAGACGCTTACGCAGTATGATCATTATTGGCATCCTCCCGGGTATATATACCCTTGAGCTGTTTCGTCAGGAGAACTGAAGTCGTTTGATTTCTCCGAAAAAGAATCTCCGAGAGGACGGATAGTAGTACCGACACAGGAATAGAACGCATCAAGATCTCTCTTCGTGGACCTCAATCTGGCTTGACGAAACGAAGTGAGAGAATTCGTAATGCTGCATTTCTCGGCGACTCCTATTCGGACCACAAATTCGGAGCATCAACTCGAAGAGACTTTTTCTCCACTATTTGGTGGACCTGATCACAGAAGATTTCAATTTGCTCCAAATGCCTCGAAAGGCAAATGGCAATGCTAAAAGACTCACGATCTCGGACTACTAGAACGACCCAAAGGTGGAATTCCGGTCTGCTACCTTACACTAGAGCGAGCACTCCGCCTACACTGCCACACCGTATTTTGTCGTACCGTAGGATCTCTCTTTCTCCCCGAATTGCATTCCGACCCCGTTGACGGCGGCGTAAGGGTGATCCTTTTCTCCACTCGACATCAATTCTCCTTCCTGGAAGGACAGTTCCTATTGAGAGCAAAGATTTAATGCATCGGCGGCAAAGCGTAAATACACACGAAGACAAGCCTCAGGGCATTGCCGTTAATTGTCAGACGGCTTACGACAGTAATATATCAAACGTTGGTAACAGCGCCGAAGGGTTGTTTGGAATGTCCAATCCTAGAGCAGCGCAAAAGTGTTGTATCTCTTGCTCCAAATCGCCCAAAAAGTCTGCCGTATCCAAGTTACCACCCTTGCTAGCAACCAATGTGTCATGTTCCTGCCGCTCAGACTGAGCGTTCAAAGAAAGTGAGGCTGGGAGCGGAAGGGGTTGCGTCGACGGAGGAAGGCTCGATGATGGTGGGCGTGGAAAGAGCGTGCCAGCATCGACGCTTGAAAAAGTGGACGAAGCGGTGGAAACAAATTCATGGCCTCGGAACGAGCGATCCAGAATACTTTGGAGCGCGGAAGATAGGTATTCGCTATCTTTCCTCGACTTTGCGCTCCTCACGCTGGCGACAAGTTCGAGCGCGTTGCCATGCATATCTGACAGCTGAAGCCAGGACAGCTCCGACCACCGATTGGCTACCGTCCAGGCTATCCACAGGACATAAGCCGCAGGCACATTGCGGAGGATGTTTGGGGCCGCATCGACGATGTTGAGCGAGATGCAACGTTTGGCTACTCTGGCGAGCTGCGATGAAGCGTTCAATGTTGCCTGGAGAAGTAGTCCTTGCACCCGACCGTCTGCGTCGTCCCGGATTCCGAAGTCGTGGACTGCACTGAAATGGGTCAAGTGCAGAGCAAAGAAGCTCGCCAAACAGTAGCACCGCCTCGTCTCAAACCGATCGTCCCTGCATTCAGATCCCTCAGCGAGGTAGTCGACCTGCCCATCGAGAGCTGGATCGGTATTCCAAGCAGCAAATTCGTAAAGAACCATCTCGACTGTCGATGCGGCCACACCGTCGCCCATGCTCCGCGCCTTGGGGGAAAGAACTTCCGCGCACATCTTACGTGCGATGAGAGCAAGTTTGTAGATTGCTCTCGCGTACGCACCGCCATCGACTTCTCGCTTGACTGGTGGGGGCCAGCCCACCTGCTCGAAATGTATGCGGTACATCTCCCTCACTGAGACGCTTCTCAGTGCGTCTTGCTGATTGTGCGGTCAACAAAAAATTGGCAATCCTACAAGACGAATAATACAGTCAAACTTACAATGAATGTACTGTAGAAGAGCCACCTCCGCCGCTCATTTGCCTCTTCGCTCAAATGCTGCTCGGGCCCGGTGTGAAGGCCTAAGTTCATGGCCAACACTACGGTGAATCCACGCCCGAGAACGTCGTTTTGGAGCGATGATGGATGGCAAGTGCCGGGCAGAGTGGGATGAAGACCTCGAACACGGAGCTCCGCCATAAGCTTGGCAGCTTCCAAGCCGTCGAGACCGGCGTTGTAGAGAGAATCATTGCTCATGGCCTCCGCGATAAAGCGCTCTTCGAGGTTGTCTTGTAGCTCAAAGCGATAGCTCACAGAAGTGTTTCGTGTTCCTCGGCACGCCACAGCTATGATGAGCAGGTCCGAGGCCGGTTCCACATTTTGGTCGTCGCCAAAAGCGGCACCACCGGTGAGAAGGAACAAACGTGCCTTGGCTCTCCTGAGAAACACTTCGCGCGGCTGCGACAGCGGGATACAGCTCTCAGTCCAATGGAAGTAGGCTTTGAAACACTGGAGTAGCACATCAAGCGTGAGCCCACGCACGCCCAATAGCTGGGGTTGCTGCTGAAGGGTATGGTGCTGCCCGAGAGAAGGGGCAACTTCTTCCTCGTGATCGGGTATGCGGAACATGTTGCCTTCACGCTTCTCGATGAATGGGAATGCGGGGGTTGCGTCGCCGACAGCGGCTCCCTCTTTGACTCCTCCGCCGTCGGAAGGCGACATAGATGATGGTGACGCCGAGGAAGCTTCGACATCGTCGCTCTCGAGTAACTTTCGTATTCGCTTGCCCATTCTTGTCCTCTGTGGACCTGAAGCGGATCGGTCAGGGCGTTTTCTTGCGGCAGGGGAAGTGATTTTGCAGGGCAGTCCGGTCTTCTCGCAGAACGAGCACGTACTCGCAGTGCCTTGAGGCAAGCGAAGAGCGCGGTCACATGAAGTCTTCCTGAAACGGCAAGCGTCGCAAGACGTCCGGGTCGAGGTCTGCTTCTTTCTTGACGGAATCGTTGCCATGATACGTCTAGGTTCTAAGGAAACGAGTGAGGATCCCAACAAGTTTTGTGTGATTCTCAATGCTCCACGCCGGCGCAAGAGATGGTCGTACCATCGGAGGGTCTTATTCGGAGCGCGTCCGTGGGTTTTCAAAGCGGCGTCATGCAGATCTGCAGCAATGCATGCTTAGCGCCGCGACCTCCACTTGATGACCATGCTACTGTTGCAAGTCCTACAGGACGAGCTACAACACTTCAATGGTCTGCTCCGCCGGACCCTAACGCAGCGACCGCTCCCTTCACAACACTCTGCACCTGCCTCGCTACGATCAATATGCGTATGGCGGCGCGGCGGCCGCCCACGTCCTTCCCTCATCGCTCACGCTCAATCTCATTGCACCGTTGATACCGTCCAGTAGCTATCGCTACACTTGATCTTCTCTCCCGTCTGAGTAACGAATGAATTGCACCACTCAGCATCTCGCCAAAATTTAGGCGTGAGTTACGACTCTGTCACACTCGGAATTCTTCTCTCATGCTGTAGCAAGAGTGCCGTCCTTTCTCCTACCAAAGAAAGGGAAGAAGCAGAACAAAGGGAGGACAAAGGCGTCGAACAACCGTCGTCTGATCCAACAGACCGTCGGACAAAGGGCCTTCTTCCCACTTTGCAACAAAGGGAAAGAGAACATGGTAGACTCTATATGCCCCTTTCCGTGCCAATAAGTTCTCCCTTCCTCCATCTTCATCGTTATGGAAGCCAACAATTCGCCAACCTGCCAAGGCCTTCCTGCTCAGGTCATCTCGGGCGTACTACTTCAAAGCATGCCCGAGTGCCAACTTCTTTCTTTCGATGACATCTACGAGAGCCTGTCGGATTGCCACGATGTCGCACCTCTCACTGTGCGCTACCGGATCCTGGGCAACTTCATCAAGGATGACAACACTCAGGTCACCCAAGCGCGCAGCATCCTGATCGAGCAGGTGCTACGCCTGATCTCTCAGTCTTCGCCAACAAAGACGCCTTTGGTATCATTTCCAGTGATTGCAGGGCAGGCAAACTTTGTCGACATCCAATTCTCCAACAGGGCTGAAGTGGAACAGGCGAGCAAACTGGTCCTTCAGCTCCATGGCAACAACGTCGTCTTCTTTGGCAGGGGCAGCACTCTGCCACCTACGGACGTCATCGTCATCATCAGACAATTCATAGAGACCCCGCTGAAATCAACTCGCTCAGCACTGCAGCTCATGGTCAAGCAGTATAACGATCTCTATTGCCAGGAGCGCCCATTCTCATCAATCTCGACAGGGCCAACCAAGCTGGAGATTGTCTCTCTTTGGGCTCAGCGGATCGGTTATCCGGAAACCAAAGCCCCTCCTCACCTTACTGGTGTGGTTTTTGCGCAGTTACGTTTCCCTGCCGATGATCTTTTGATCGGTGACGTGCACAGCATCAGCTTTCCACATGAGGCCGTAGGCATGTTCCCAGCTTACATCAAGGTCCTGGACCGCCGGTACGAGATGCACTACACTGGACGCCAGGCTACGTGCTCTTTCTGCAAAGAGTACCGCCCCAACAAAGAGTTTCGCCACAGCCTCAGAGACTGCTCTCGGCGCAAGTGCTACCACTGTGGTGAAGCTGGCCACTTTAAAACTTCGTGTCCACGTAATCAGCGAGACGGCCTCGATGAGCAGGGGCCCTACTTTGACGATGATGTCAGTCCTGTCATCCGCACCTCTCGCAGCCAGGTTAGCTAGACAAACTTTCTCGGAAGACCCAGTGAATTTGGCCGAGACGCTTCAAGGCTTTAGTATGAATGCCGCCAAAGCGATGCCTCGTATAACTTCGTTAACGATCAGTATCCTTCATTCTTGAATCAACTTCTGCTTTCCTGATTGTTGTTGCTCTCTCAAAGGTGCCAACGGCTCTTTTTCCAAACAAGAACGAGGCGAAAAGAGCTGAATCATGAGCCAGGATAGGTCTTGTGACCCATCTCGTTCCGAGAGGAGGTCTTTGCGTACGCTCGACCACTCTGTTGCAAATCGTCCACTCGGCCATACTGCTTCCTCCAGCCCCACGACGACCACTGTTCTGCCGGCAAAACTGCTCTCAGCTGAGGAAGAGTTCAGAAGCAACCCTTAGAGCTAGAGTGTACACGGGAAAGAAGCCGGATGAGGAGGTCATAGCGTGATCTGAGGACGAAGAAGAGCTCCGGAACAGGGAAACCAGCCTTTGCAGCGAGAAAGAGTACACACAAAAGGTTTCTAAAGCTCACGAAGAAGCACTTTTTGTATCGTCGGTGTTCTCCGCCGCCTATGATGTCCTTGCTTGTTTATTGAGAACCATTTACCGAGAGTCCAAGTACTCTGCTACCGTCGCCACAAGGGCAGCTAGTAGGCGTACCGGTGAGAAAGACGCGTTTCTGCCATTGTTTGGCGGCTCGAAGGGATAGAAGCTCGCCGACAACAGCGTTCTGCGCCCCTACGCCCATTCTCTACATATGTTACACTGACATGGTCGATATCGGAGGAATGATACCTCGAAGGGGCCAAAAAAAATCTCAAAAAGTTCCGGGAGGGAATCGAACCCCCATTCTTACGGGCTCTCCACAAACGAAGATTTCTGTTGCAAACGGAACCTATGAAAAGGCCGGAAAAAACTGCAACCGCACGCGATGCCATTTCGCCACCGAAACATTATTGTAGTAAGAAGGGTTGTGTTGAAATATGAACCTTCAACGCAAGAAATTGTTCCGGACGCTAATCCCAACTTGCGTTACGAGGTCACTCAAGGTCTGTAGGCGGGTTGGGAGGACAATACAAATCTATCATTGATGATGCACAAGTACAAATGTCTACGCCACGGCCGCTCGATTCCGCCGTTTTTCCCTTCCCTGGATCATACTCGATGCGAAGAAGACTGAGGCAATCGTGGCGCCAGCGCCAGCAAGACCAATGGCGAGGTACAGGGCCGCCCGAAAGCCCTTGAGATCGTCAGTGCCCCCGCGATTCTGGTGAACCTCGATCGTGCCGGCAAGCCCAAGACCGATGGAGATGCTGTAGTTGATGACTGTGCTGACCATGCTCGCGACAGCGCCCTGGTGGTGTCGAGGCACGCTGTAGCTCAGCACGATCGACGCGCTGGGGAAACTCAAGTCCATGCCCCAGGGTGCTACGATGAAAGAGACGAATGCTTGAGCCCAGTAGGTCTGATCAACGGGCATCGTAGCGACGAGGATGTTGCCCGTCATGAATGCGAGCATGGCAATCAGCATGACAGGCGACGGCCCGATTCGGCCCATGAGAAGGCCAGAGCAGATTGCTGCGAGGAAGCCAGAGACGGACGCTGGCGCCACCTGAGCCGCGACAAGGAGGATTGGCTGTCTTCGAAGTCGCTCGAGAATTTGCCAGAGATAGTAGATCCAGATGCCGAAGCTTGACCAGCCCAGCGCGAGGCAACCGAGGACGTAGATGGAGTTTCTCGTCAGACTTGCCAGGGGCGCCAGAGGGTGTTTGGCCCAATGCATTTCGTAAAGGACAAAGGCAACGAGGAACAAGACGCCAACGCCCAGAAGTGTTCCGACCCACGGGTCAGACCATCCAGAGATCGGTGCTTGGTTGATGGGCACGTTGACGAGGACGAGTCCCAAGACGGCTAGCAGCGCTCCTGTGCCGTCGATACGCTGCCAGATCGGATCGCTGCTTTCGTTGATGCTGACACGACCACCATCCTCTCCGTCCTCTCTCCCTGACTCTCTATCCTCATCCTGAATCCGTTTCTCGCCCTCGAGATGCCCATCACCGCCGGGATCCTGGGCTTGTGCTGGTTCGTCATCGTCGGGCACAAAAGCCCAGGTCGCGACGACGAGCAAGGCGCAAGTGATGGCCATGAGGTAGTATGCCCAGCTCCACGAGACGCGGTCGGTCAAGATGCTCGCGAAGACGGCGGCGACGAGGAACCCGGACGGCGCTGTGGCGCCAAAGAGGCTGAAGACGATCTCCCGTCTTCTGCCCCGCTTGTAAATGCGCCCAAGGACAGCAACAGCGTTTGGCAAGAGGAGCGCGGGTCCGATGCCTTGGAATACCCTCGCGATGATGAAGAAGGAATTCGTGGTATATATCGCAAGGCCGGCGAGGAGCGACCAGAGACTATACCAAGCCCATCCGATGAGGAGGAGACGCTTCGGACCAAAGACATCTCCCAGTCGGCCAGCAGGGAGGATAAAGGTGCCGACGGTCAAGCTGAAGCCGGCAGGGTACCAGCTCAAGAGGCCAGGCGTTGTGACGCCGAAGCTGTCGCCGATGTAGTGGAGGGGTGCGACACTCTGTCCAAGCCCAGCCTGGGTAAGAAGCTGTGCGAAACAGAGCGTCAACACGAGCGCCACCTCCCTTGGCGAAGTCGAGAACATGGCGGTTATAGAGCAGGCGGACCCTAGAGAGGTTTCTGATGCGCTTCATATGCGTCCCTACTTATACCGCGTTTGGCAATCGCCGTCATTGTTCCTATTCGATATCTGCGAGTCCGATCGGTCGTGGAAGAAATTAAAACTCGCGCGGAACAAGCCGCGGAAAAGCCGCTCGCATGCTTAAATCCACGACTCGGGTGCGGCCGTAATTTCCTAGCATGGATTCCTGCTAGGATCCAAATGCGCCTCGGGAGAGTCCGCCATTGAACCATATATGGGATGGCAGAATCCTGACAGAGTGTGAGAGGGTATAAAGCGGCGAGTGTTCTTTGTTGTCGTTGAGACAGACTGGGACGTACGACCATGCTGGCCATTGTAACGGAGAGCGCAGACGCCAAGCCCGTGATCAAGCAAGTGCCAAAGCCGACTGTCAAGGATGGTTTTGTCGTCGTCAAGATCATGGCGGCCGGTCTGAATCCTTCGGATCTTCTCAATGCCAAGGGAAGCTTTCCATATACCACATATCCTCGCATCCTCGGTCGCGATTGGGCCGGTGTCGTCGAAGAAGGCCCGAGCCACCTCGTCGGAAACGCAGTCTTTGGCACAAGCGGCAAGAGTCTGAGCTTCGACCAGGACGGCACCTTTGCCCAGTATTGCCTTATAGCTGAGAACAGCCTGACAAGCAAGCCAGCCAGTCTCGGATTCATCGAGGCTGCTTCCCTTGGGATACCATTGACAACGGCTCAGACAATGCTCCACCGGGCGATGGTCAAAGAAGGAGACGTCGTACTCGTCACCGGTGCCAAGGGGGCTGTGGGGAGCGCGGCCTGCCTGCTCGCCAGACAAAGAGGGTGTCGCGTGCTACGGGCTTATCGAAGTGCCGAGGCGGACGTCAACCTGACCTCATCTGCTTCAACTTTGAAGAGCTTGACGCCGCGACCCGATGTCATCCTCGAAACGACTGGCAACTTGGAGGTCTTGAGCGCCTGTGTGGCTGCACTTGCCAATTTCGGAAGGCTGGCCTTTATCAGCGCGCCGCGGACCGGCTCCAAGCAGCTTTCGATCGACGTGTTGGACGTGTATAGGAGGCAAATTTCGCTTCTGGGTTGCAACACGTTGCTGGCCACTCCGGAGCATGCTGCCCAGCAGCTCGAATCGATCCGTCCAGATATCGAAGCTGCATCTATCTCCGAGAACGGGAAGCAGACTGTCACCGTCACCCTCGAGGAAGCCGTCTCTTTCCTCGACGGCACGCGTCCTCTTTCAGGTCGCTGCATCGTCTCCTTCTGTTAATAGGTTGCCTAGACCAATAAAGAACTGTCCCTGCCCACTTGCTGCGCAGTCGTCATTGGGCCGGAGGGAGCCAGAGATCAAAGAATTTGTCCCAGTCAGTAGCATCGTCGGCGCGTAGGAAGATGTTGCTGTCCCAGTCGTGATCGACTTGGCCCGATGACCCGTGAACAGTGGAGCGCAGGGCGGCAGCCAGTGCGTCTTGATCACGCTTCTTTGCTTCTTGACATAGTCGAACGAGGTGGTGGGCGGTCGAATGAGCTTCCCACGCAGAGTCATTTGCAAGCTGTTGGGCGATGGCCCCCAAAATGTCGAGACTCTCTCGCACATACGACAGGCTGGCGGGTGTGTCGAGGGCAAGAAGGATGCAAAGAAGCTGGAAGGGTACCGACAGTACCTGCCACCATCGTCGATGTTCTTCCACCAGGCGCTGAGCGGCGCGTGAGGCCCGCAGCCCCAGATGGATGAGCTGCTGCGTCGTCTCGGGAGTCTGCGCCGCACGTCGTGCGCGGATGGATCGATAGCATATAAAGGCTACGTCGGCCTCTGACAAGATGTGGAAAGCATCGTCGATGATCGAGCTCTGATTCTCAGGCAGCTGTCCCAGGGTCAAGATGCGCTCCTCGAGCTCGCGCGTTGTGTCGGTCGGGGAGACGGAAGCGGCGTACGAGAGACGGATCAGCTGGTCGAGCTTGTCGACGCCCGTGTCGGCCTGCAGATACTCGTCGAGGGCGGCCTGGCGGACTGTAAATGTCGTCTTGCCTGTTTCCGAGCCCATCATTCGGTTGTGAAACCAAATAATCTTGCTCACGGCTTGCGTCCTTTTCTCCTCTTCTGATCTCCCTAGGTGATGCCATGGTCCATGGCGCTCTTGCTGGTCGTGCATGAACACAGTCTCGACGACACTCATTGCCATGGTATTAGCTGAGGAAGCGGCGTGCGGGGACGCCGTCGCTCGCTTGTAGATGCACATCAGTGCCCAAGCTACGATGCTGTCAGTCGTAGGACCAAAGTTCATCGACTCATGAAAGAGCAGGGCACCGGCCAGTTCGCAGAGCGCCATCTCGTTTGCACAAGCCCTTGCCGAAAAGACGGATCCCAAGGCGCACACGAGGGCTGCTGCCGCCTTCTTGGAGGCCGGCACTGTGGAAAACGAGCTACCTCGAGCGTCTCTGACGAGTCCATAGACTGTTTGTGCGCTCGCAAAGATTGGGAAAACGGAAGGAACGGCATTGATGTATACCTCGGCGAGCCGGAAAGCCTCCCTTTCATCGACGAGATCGTGAAGCGAGGCTCCCTGCGTCAGAAGCAGCGGTCTGTCGGAGTGAGGGCGCACTGCACAGCACCATCCCAATGCACGAGTCAGCGAGGGGGCAGCCAATGGTTGATGTTCTAGGTTGCGAGCAAGCGAGCTGACAAAGCCTGGAGCCGTGTTCGTGCCTAGCCGGTCTGAAGAACCTTCGTCTTGTACGCTGTTCCTGGGCGTTTTTTCCAGTGATCGGTCTGACTTGAGCGCGTTGAGGGCCACTGGAGTGACGGCAGACACAGGCATGGAGTCAGAGGCTGCCCGAGGAGGAGGACGAGGTGGGGGAGGAGGAGGAGGGCGAAAGTAGGGCGAATCCTCAAAGACGCACGCCAAGTCTCGGATGGTGCACTCGCTGCATGGCATGCTGCCGTTGCAACCCCTCTTGCGACGCCTGCAGTTTTCACAAGCACGCACGACCCGACGTCGCTTGCTTCTGACGTCCTCGTCATCGCCATGACGCTGCTCCATTGCTACCAGCCCCGGCCGCTGCTGTCCGGGCGTCCTCCTCGAGAACGGCTGTGCAGTGGAGGTAACGCGTCGCGCGCGTGTCCGAGAAAAGTGTTGGTGAGGCGGGAAATAAGCTCGAAGCTCGCTCCTCTCTCTCTACCCCCAAAATACAGCACTTCAGCACCACCGGCCATGCCAACGGCAGAGGCACCTTCCAGCATTCACCTGGTCACGGCGTCATCGTCAGACAGCAACGAATACCACCTTCTTCAGCTTCCAGACGAAGTGCTGGCCGAGGTCGAGGAGAAGCAACGACGCCAAACGACGGCAAAGAGAAAGGGACGAGACGATGAAGGTGATGCAGAAGAGGAGGAAGAGGGCCACTTGTAAGTGCTCCGTCAGACCATAGAGAGCATAGGATCAACATCCATCTGACCGAGAAGCAGACTGACAATCAATGGGAGGCACGGCGACGAAGCTGTCATCTGCACGCGAAGCAGGACGTATGCGCTCCGCCAAATCACACAGTCCAACACGCTGCTCCTCTGCTCGCTCCCGTCCCTTGACCCCATAGATGAAAGCGGAGGCGTCGTAGTACGGAGCAATGTCAGCGACATGCTGGAAATGGTGCCGGTCATGCCGCGCCTTCAGCGTATCGGCACGCTGCTCCATGAGAGTCGTTTCGAGGGCGAGGAGGAGGAGGAGACACAAGTCAAGGCTCGTCTTTACACGCCCACAGAGGTGCGCTCCATCGTGCAGACCAGCACACACGAGTTGCAGACGGGTCTGGACAGCCACCACGTCGTCCTGCTCGATGGTAAGTGTCACACTTTCCCAGAGAGACATTTAGGAGATGAGATGACTCACTCGTCCGCTCCGGCCAGGCTTCTACCGCATGGTGTCTCGAGACTATCTGTTTCTCGCTCTCGAGAGCCTCTTGAACCACGTCGACCTTCATGCATACCAGCCAACCTCGATTCCCCTCACCGCTACCTTGGAGGCTCTCGCGGCGGAGCACGAAATCAGAAATGAAGTTGCCTATGCCCTGCTAACGAGATGGTTCGGCAAGCCACTCAGCGAGCCCCCGGCTCATGTCGCACTCGATAGCGATGCGATTGTGCGCTTCCTAGGCAAGAGGCTGCTAGCCGTCGATGCACGACAGCCTGTGCTACTCGAAGAATGGCAAGACAAGTGGAAGAAGAGCGTCGGCCAAACATTTGCAGAGCATGTGGACCTCAGCAAGATAAAGGTGCGTAAACCATGTCTCCATTCGAGCAGCTTTTTCTATTTATTTGGCTGATCTGTCGGTGGTCCAAACGCATCCAGGGAGAGTTCCTTCTCTTTCCTACCCCTCCTAGCCAGCCCACGTCGGCACAGCCGCTTCGCATCCAGTACTATCCAAAGGACACGCTGCCCCTCGACCCTGCCCAACGGTTCCAGGATCTCTTCCTTACGCGATCCCAGTGGCTCCTCGACGACCTTCTCCCGTATCTCGACGATGTCGCCGTGGACAAGAAGAAGCGAGACGCTCTTCTGCTCAAGTTTGCGCGGACAAATCGGATCAAGGTCCCTGCCGCACCGCCGGTAGAATCGACAAAGCCACCGGCAAAGAAGAGCAAGGTGACCAGCCAGGCCATCGAGATGAAGGAGCTGACGCTGTACTCTGCTCGCGTTCGTTGTTGATCCAGACCCCTCACTTGTTGTGGTGTATTTGTACAGTACCTGACCTCTGGCTTAAGTCATCGCCAAGAAATGCAACAGAAGAGCAGCATTGATTCCTTTGGGCTTGCTACCAAGGCCTTCAATCAAATTACAAGCAAGCCGGGGAGAAGGGCAGCTGAGGAGAAAGATCAGGAAAGAATGCCCTCGCTGTAGTACTGGTATTGGTCGTAGAGTCTGGTAAATGTCGAGTTGACCGAGCCCAGAATTAGACGATCGACGAAGTCGTCACACTGCGACTGACTCAGGGCGAGCTGGAAGCGGTCGCGGAGGTATGTTGCCGTGAGCTCACCCAGCGCAAAGCACGGCAGCTTCGAGTCTGTTGGGAGAAGATTTGGGCGGTGTGAGATGACGGGTTAAATTAAGTCAGTAAAGAATAGATGCTCACCCTTCTGCATCAGCTCGACGATGGTAATGATGCGTTCGGCGTGCTTTCGAACGTCTCGGAAGCCCTGCTTGACCAAATTCTTGAATTGGGCAAAGCGTTCAGACTCGAGCCCACCGAGAATGTCGATGTACTCCTGGGTGAGCTTGAACGGCGCCGCTTCAAAACCGACGCCGCCAGGACTAATGCCGAGCATGAAGCCAAAGTCAATGTGAATCAGCCTGCCATCGCCATCGACGAGAATGTTGCCATTGTGCCGGTCCTTGATCTGAAGCAGATACGAGATGATCGAGTAGCCCGCGAGGCTCTCCATGAAGCGATCACGCGCCCGATTCAGCTTGGCCGAAGATGCATCACCAAAGCTGTGCAGGTAGTGGTCCCACAGGCTGTATGTGGCGATCTTGCCCCCATTTGGCTGGCCCGGCTGATCACCGTTGTTGGCCAGGAGCGAATTCCGCGAATACGCCTCCTTTTTGATGGAATGGACAGACACCGAATCTGTCACAGTCTCCATGATGCCTGAATTCTCACTCGTGACAAGGATCCGGAAGTATCGCACCCAGCATCGACAGCCAGTCTCTGCCCAAATTCTCGAGAATTCTTGGATAAGCTGGACTGCCAGTTGCTCCTGGCGCAGGTCGGCACCTGTCTTGACGATGACGGAGAACACGTCCCACGATTCGTAATGACCGTACGGACTCGCAGCTCGGATTCGAGCCTTTTTGGCCGCCCACGATTCTCGAAACATGGCTGCCGATGGATCGTCTTTGTTGACGGCCCGCTGCACGGTTGCTTCGTCCTCGACATTGACACCGTTGCGACGTCGACTCCCTGGATTGGCCTTCATGCGCTCCATTCTTTCCTCCTCCAACGCCATCATCTCCTGCATGATGCGCTTGCGGATCATCTCGGTATCTGTGTGCATCAGCTTCTTGCCGCCCTTTGCTGGCACGGCCGCAGCAAGGGCTCCCTGCCGTGCTCCGCCGCTGCCACTGCCGCTACCGCCACCACCACTGCCATCATTGGTACCTCCTGCTCCTGCCCCACCGGAGGAAGCCGCGCCACTGCCGAGGTTGGTGGAGCTCCCGCTAGTACCTAGCCCATTGGGCAAAGGCGCTTTGACCCCCGCACTGCCTTGGCCCACCTCGCTCAAGCCTCCCGGTTGCGCTCCTGAAGCCCAGCTGGTACCTATGATCCAGCTACTCCAGCCCCCCTGTGCGGTGGAGCTCACATGCGGGTTGGAATTGGCAATCGGATGCGCCGAGGCATTTGTGCTCTGGTTGAGCTGGGCAAGCATCACCGCTGCTGTCCGCATCCTTTCCGAATACTCGTCGAGGGAGAAATCACGCTTCGCTTGCGCCGCCTTTTGTCCTGTTAGGGCAGCCGGAGCCGGCGCCACTGAGCCTCCTCCGCGTGCATGCGACCAGGCGGCCGTGTCGTGGCTCAGATTCATGCGCGAGAGATCGTCGTCTTCGCTTTCGCTTTCTACTCGCTCCTCCCCGAATGCCGCTAGATCCTCGCCATACGCCTGCTCGGTGAGGTCGATCTCTTCATCCTCTTCGGCTCCTTTTGGTGTCAGAGGCTGTGATTGCGCGGGAAGGGATCTGGCGAGTGGACTGGGTGGCCTCAGTGCCCCATTTGAGGAGCTCTGCTCGACAGCAAGGGTCTCAGGCTTATGAGTGGGCGACGATGAAGAGCCCTTGTCTATCCCGACTTTGCTCTTCTCCCTCTCCGCGACCGTTGCCGAGTCCGACGAGCCCTGCACAGCGTCATCGTGTTTGGACACATCCATGCCCGAACCAGAAAAGTTTCTCGACATGAGCATCTTTCGCCTCCGAACGTCTTCCTGCATCACGAGAGTCTTGAGGCCCTCGCGGTTCTGCCTTCGATTGGGGTCAAAGTCGAGGTCGTTGTCGAGGACTTCGACGTGGAGCAAAAAGGGGACGCGGTCTGCCGAATTGAGGACGACAGCTTCGCTTGGATTGATTCGTACGACGCGGTGATGCCGTCCCCGCTTCCGCTGCGTGGCACCCTTGTCAGCGCGTTGCTGCTGCTGCTCTGGCATGTTGGATCGTGTCTCTTGGCCATCGTTTGCCTCCTCAGCCTTGCACCACAGCGGAAAGCAGACCTCCGACGGCAACTGATGATTGAGAGCAGTGAGTTCAGCGCGCAGCGCTGACAGCCTGGCAGGCTTGGGGATGAGCAGTAGACGTGCTGAGATGTCCTGGAGCGCCTGCAAGAAGTCCGTCTGTTTGCGACAGTAATTGGATCGAAGCAGCCGCCTCCGTGCTTCCTCATCGTACTGCGCCAACACCATGTCAGGTGTTGCCACTGCGCCGTCATCGCCCAGGGTGGCCGATGAGGCAAAAGGCGATGTCGAGAGCGAATGGCGAGAGTTGCCTGCAAGGCTCATCATCGATTTTGACGTCTGCTCTCGGACCGAGGTGGATTTCCTTCCAGTCCGCTTCCTGTTGCGTTGTGGATGCCACGCAGGCGGGGGAAGAGGGCTACTCCTGGATGAGGAAGCAGCGCCTTGAGCGAAATCAACGCCGAATGTCTGCCCAAAGACGTCGTTGACGGCTGCTGTCGCCTTGCCACGAAGCTCATTGAACTGTGATGTGAAGTTCATGAGCGGATTGGCATTGCCTTTGCCGCTCTTGTCCAGAATGCCACCATTGTATCCACCTGATCCAGTCGAGGATGCGAAGGCAGACTTCGTGGATTGCGGTGACATTGCATTGGTTGAAGATCTCAAGGGCGACGTGAATGAATGCTGTCCTGAACCTGATGCGACGCCCTCGAGCTCGCCAGGTTCGGCTCCTTGCTCCTCGATCGCTACAGGAGCAGGTGTGGTAGAACGAGGGCTCATGGTATGGCCACGAGCTTTCTGCGCGGCGGCATCGCGACTCTCACGACTCTGCTCCTCGCCCTTGCCGTCTTCCTCCCTGCTATCGTCGTGAACTTCTTGCTCGTCGTCGTCGTCGTCATCTTCGTCATCTTCGTCGTCATCGTCGTCGTCATCGTTGATGTTGTGCTCCTCATCCGATTCATTCGCGTCGTCTCCGACGGCAATCCTCTGCATGCCTGACCCCTCGAGCGGCGCCTTGTCCTTGCCTTGAGGTCTTCTTCTCCCTTGCTCGATTGCGAATTGACCCACGAAGGGCGCCAATGCAGGCATGCCAGGCACGCTTGCAACGACAGCACCGATACCCACGACGCATGGAAGTACGTTGGACGGCAGGATCTTGTCGCCTAGCCTAGCCCGTGCTTTAATTTTCAGGCGGCGTCGAAACCCGATCTTGGTAGAGCTGCCTACGACGGAGTTGGAAGCCGACACAACATCGGTGGCCGCCAGTGGGTCGTCGTAGAGGATGCGTTGACATTGATTGAAAACTCTCTGGCAGATTTGGAAAGAGTCTGTGTGTGGGTTGCTGCTGAGGTCATAGAGGGAGGCTTGAAAGAACCAGAGCGTCTGTGGGCCTCGTCAGCGAAGAGCGCAAGACCTTCTCAATTTTTCGAACCTACCAGAAGCGCAACATGGACAGACTCCTCGCATCGCTGCAGGACAAAGTACTCGAGCGCGCGAGACGGAGACGGTTTGGTAATGAGAAGGTGACTATTGCAAGCGAGATGACTCGTGAGCAAGGGTCGCCCGGGCAATAGGAGCCGAGGGGACAGCGCAGCTCACCAGAATTGGGCCCAGTAGAATTCAACCTCTGCAGGCTCAAAGGCGGTTTGGAGCTGATCGACGAGGTAGTAGGTGATTCCGATGCTGTCGGAATACGTCCTGAGACTGAACCAAGGTCGACAGAACGTTAGCATAAGTGTCTGAATGTGAGGATCTTGAGAGGGAGACCCACTATGAAAGGGCCAGGTGTGGGCTGAAGAACTCTGATTGGAACAAGCGCAACAGGAGCGCATGAGACGCATCGTTCGGGTCTCCAACGGCCATCGCTTTTTCTTCTTGCCAAGCCGGAGCCGTCTTTCTTCACCTTCCTCGTCGTCGCTCCTTCTGTGGTCGACCCGGACGACGGAAGACGTTCGCTGCGTGCGCTTTAATATGGAACGTCAACTTTGTGCGCACGGCGGGTTGCATCACGTGATGTCGTCGTCTCTCGACTTTCCTCTTCGCGTCTCTTTCCCATATCCATCCACCTCGAAGGGCTCGTCTGAACAGGCACACCTTGCTTTCGCTCCCCCTTTTGCTTGCAAGGGTCTGACGGGGAACGAGCCAGCTCATCATGGCCACGGGCGACGAGGCTGGACCGTCTTCGGCGCCGGCCCCGGCCGGTGGGAGCAGTGGCGCCGGGACAGGTTCTGCACAACCTCCGAAGCAGTCGCTCCCAGACCTCGAGGCCGTCGCTGTTAGGTTGGTGGATGACAAGCTTGGTGAGCATACTGGTGGAACGGCTTTTTAAAGCCATGAGTTAACGACGTCCTGTTCAAACAGATATGTCGGCAAGGATGGGCGCCGCCATCGAATTCAAGGACCTCTTGGAGGTATACCATAACGGCAACTATCCACACTACGTCAAGCACATATTACCCGCCTCTCTGCAGGCACTCTCCACGATTCCGTGCTCAGTACAAACCGATGCGCCGGCGCAGGTGGGTAAATGGACGTCTAAGACGCGCTCACAAGTTAGCTGCTCACCTCTATTTATCGTGCAGAGGACTCGGATTGCAATTCTCGAAAATATGCACCGCTTGCCCCAGCTAGAGGTTGCCAGAGCTCAAGCCAAGGATATGATGAGGGCAATGATGACAGTGATACGCGAGGACAACGAGGAAAATGCTGTCATCGCGATCAAGATTGTCATCGACCTCAATCGGCATCTCAAGGCGGAGCTCGAGTCGGAGGTATCAGCCTTTCTCTCCTTGGTCGGAGACTTGTACAAGAACTTTAAGAATACCGTCGCAAAGGCATTCGAGAGCGAGGCATCGCAGTTGGCAGCTACTGGAAAACCGAACGCGACAGGCGATGGTGTGCTCGAGGCGCCATCACCAGCTGCAGAGTCCCAGGCAGCGAGCATGGCCGGCAGCGAAGCTGGTTTGGGAGGCGGAAACGCTCCTCCAAAGACGCTACCAAAGAGTTTCTCGAGCTTCAAAGTCTTGACCGAGTGTCCCATCGCCACAGTCTTCATACTGCAAACCTACAAGTCAAATGCGCAGCAGGCCATCGCCCAATTTCTGCCGCTCACGATCCAGGATTGTTTGCAACAGCAGGCCCAACCGCAGAAGGAGGCACACGAGGCGGCAAAGGCGAAAGGAGAAATCTTTGTCGGCGTTGCTCCGGGTATCAAAAACCGAGCTTTGTACACGGAGATGGTCGTGGCTCAGGTCAAGACGATGTCTTTCCTCGCATACGTTCTCAAGGGCACGCAAACGACGATGCGCCCCTTCTCCCACCTCGTCCCCGGCCTCGCCATTCGTCTTTTGCAGGACTGCCCGCCAGAGGCATCTACATCGCGCAAAGAGCTCCTTGTAGCAATCCGTCACATCTTCACCACAGAGCTGAGAGTCAATTTTGTGGGCCAGATCGATACGCTCCTCGACCAGCGCGTTTTGCTTGGGACTGGAATCACCACGAGGGAGACGCTGCGTCCTCTGGCTATAAGCATGCTGGCCGACTTGGTGCACCACATTCGCAATGATCTAACATGGCCCCAGATCGTTCTTACCGTGCACCGACACTGCCAAATGCTGCACGATCCGACGTTGGCACCGAGCATCATGACGATGTGCTGCAAATTGCTACTCAATCTCGTCGACACCATTGCCACTCGTCATGCTGAGGGAGCGCCTGATCTTCTTCGAGCCATCTTTGACACGCTTGTTGAGAAGCTCGGCGGGCTACCGCGGCTGCGCGAGGACCTCGAGAGCTCGCGAAGGCAGAAGCTGCAACAGCAGCAAGATGACAACAAGGAGCCGCCTATTGTGGACGCTGTCACAATCGAGAAGGCCAAGCCTGTCCAAGCAAATATCATGCTGCCAGACTACGCTGACGCCCTGAAAGGTTAGGATCTGGTCACGACATGTCTTGTTGTATTCCCTGCTGACCATGTGTCCTCGCAGATTCGCGCTTTCTCTTTCGGAATATTCTCGTCGGCCTCAAATCGCTCATCATCAAGCTCAAAAACGTCTCTGCGCCCGAGCCAGACAGTGCCATCATGGGTCGACTTTTTGTCGACGGCATCAAGTGCTGGACGCTCTACGACCAAGCCGACGTCATGCCCGACAAGGAAGGTATGGAGATCTTTACAAACACCTTCATCGAGCTCGAGCCACAGACATTCCACGAGGTCTTCACCACCCACATGCCATTTCTCTTTGAGCGCATGTTGGCAAGTCCAATGCTGCTGGGCATTCCACAGAGCTTGCTGTCCAACGAGAACGTCTCCAAGCGGTTCGTCGCCATCCTCTTCCGCTTCCTCGTCGATCGGCTGGCAGAATTGGGCGATGCCGACAAGAAGCACGCGTCGGTCAGTCTGCGGCTGTTCAAGATGGCGTTCATGGCCGTTACGATTTTCCCGGAGGTCAACGAGGTGGTGCTGCAGCCACATCTGAGCCATCTCATCATGACGTCGATGAAGCTTGCCAGCAAAGCGTCGGAGCCCGCCAATTACTTTTTGCTTCTTCGCGCTCTCTTTCGCAGCATTGGAGGCGGTCGCTTCGAGCTTCTCTACAAGGACGTCTTGCCTCTCCTTCCGGTCTTGCTCGAGAACCTCAACGATCTGCTCAATGCCGCCGAGCCTTCGCGAAGGGAGCTCTTCGTGGACTTGTGTCTGACTGTGCCGGTGCGGCTGAGCGTATTGCTGCCCTACCTTGGCTTCCTGATGCGTCCCCTCGTTTTGGCACTCCAGTCTTCCACAGACCTGGTCAGCCAAGGTCTGAGGACTCTGGAACTGTGCATCGACAATCTCACTCAAGAGTTCCTGGACCCCATCATGGCGCCATATGCGTACGACATTATGTCGGCTCTCTGGAAGCATCTACAGCCACTGCCGCACAATCATCAGCATTCGCACACGACCATGCGCATCCTCGGTAAGATGGGTGGACGCAACAGACGGCTACTGCAAAAGGCGCCGCGCCTCGAATATCATCAGCCCGACCCCAATGCACGATACCCTCATGGTGTTAACGGCCAGCCTCTGGGCGCCAACCCGGTTGACCAACGTCAGCCGACGTTTGCTGTGCACTTCGACGGGAGTAGCAAGCCACAGTCGATGTCGCTGCTACCTGTTACCGAGCTAGCCCTGGCTAACGTTCGACGAGGACCAGATGCGTACCATCGGATGCATGCTTTCGAGCTTCTGCGCCATGCCGCCGTCCTCTTCCTTGATGGCACCTTGTCGGATTCTGGTCGAGAACGGGATGGCAACTTTGAACGGGTTGTAAAAGGCCTTTTCGATGCCACCCGGGTAGAGGACAAGGAGCTGGCGGAGGAGGCAACGACCTTTCTCAAGGGTTTCTCACGCCACGTCGTGGCTCTCGAGGCCAAACGTGAAAACACGTATCTTCAATTCAGCCAGCTGACACTCGCCTTCTTCGACGGAGTGGTGAGCGCGCTGGGCGCACAAGAGAATGAGCCAGGAGACGTGGAAGCCATCGTTGAGCTGGTTCGAGAACTTGTTACGCACGAATTTCACCAGGTCTGCAGCGCCGCCAAGCCGGAGCTTTTTGCCGCACTGATCCATTCGCTTGCGAGCAAGCATTGCAATCTGTGCTACGATCAGCTGTGGCAACGCAAGACCGGGGGCTGGATGGGTATCGACATGCTCGCTCGGCGGTGTGATTTGGGACGGACATGGATTCGGGACCATCAACTGGAGATTGTGCGGGCGCTACTGTACATGCTCAAGGATATGCCCACCGACCCACCTCGCAACGTCGATGCCGTGGCGGAGACGCTCATCTTTGTCCTGCGTACTGTCAATGGGCCCGAAAAGACTGCAGCACCTCAGCCCTCGGCGGATGAAGATGCGTCGACCAGCAAAGAAGGCAAAGACGATGAGGCTTCTACGAAGGACGGTGGCAAAGGGAAGGAGGGCGAGGAGCCGCCTTCGACCACCAAGGCAAGCGACGACAAGGTGGTGTTGGAACGACAATTCTCTTTCCTCGTCGGTGTGCTTCTGTCGGAGCTGTCAAGCTCCAACTCGCACGTTCGCACAACAGCCAGAAGATCCTTTGAGCTGCTCGCTGAGCTCAAGGGCGTGGGCGTTACAGACATTCTGCTTCCAGTCAAGGACCGCCTCTTGACGCCCATCTTCACTAAGCCTCTCCGTGCGCTTCCTTTTGGCATGCAGATTGGCCATATCGACGCCATCACCTTTTGCCTCGAGCTGCGCCCGCCGCTGCCCGACTTCAATGAGGAGCTGTTCCGCGTCCTCACAGAGGCTTTGGCTCTTGCTGACGCCGATGACCAAGCGCTGATTGGACGATCGACGACGTCGCAGTACAAGAACATGATTGCCGTCACACAGCTCCGCGTGGTGGCCATCAAGCTTCTGGCATCGGCCATGGCTTGCTCCGAATTTGATTCGCTCGGAGCAAGGCTTGGTCAGATGAGGATGCGAATCATCTCCGTGTACTTCAAAAGCCTCTACTCGAGGTCCGAAGTCGTCATCGACACGGCCTACGCGTGCCTTAAAGAGACACTCCAAGGACAAGCAAAGCTACCCAAAGATGTGCTGCAGAGCGGGCTTCGACCCATTCTTATGACGCTCGCCGACGCTGGCCGCCTGACTGTCCCTGGACTCGATGGTCTGGCAAGGCTGCTCGAGCTTTTGACGTCCTACTTCAAAGTAGAGATTGGCACCAAGCTTCTCGCACACATGCAGCAGATCGCCCAGCCCCTCGTTGTCGAGCGAGCAAGTCGGGGAGGACTCGATGGACCCATATATGCCGAAGCGCATCATCTCTTGCAGCCCAGACAGCCACGAGAGAGCGAGCCCGTCGAGACGCTGGCGGCCATCGTGCGAGTCTTCCATCTGCTTCCGCCTGCCGCGAGCAATTTCATGGATCAGCTCGTGGTGCAAGTCTGCGAGATTGAGACGATGCTCAAGCGCACCGGACCGACTCCTTTCACCAAGCCCATCGCCCAGTACCTTGACAAGAACCCCAAGCAGGCTGCCGATCTTTTCTTTGAGCACCATCTTGATGATCATCGATACGTGCGCATGCTCCGGCTCGTCATTGGCTCCGATTACTCTTCGAACCTGCGAGGCCACATCACCGAGCAGCGTGCTCAGCTGCTTGTGCCCCTCTTCTCAGGCGAGATGCCTGCGGGCGACGCTGACGCTGGCGAAAACAAGACAGACGAGGCGGGCCAGATCCAGAGCCGCTCCCGTAAAGCGCTGTCGGGGCTCTTGATTGTCAGGGAGCTGGAAAGGAAGGAGCCTGGTTGGCTAAAGGAGAACAGCGACGTCGTTGAGGCCCTATTGCACTTTTGGAAGTCGCCTCTGCTCAAAGAGCGCCGTGTGGCCGAGGCTGGCCCACGCGAGAATCGGGCATCTGTGCAGGTCGTCGATCTTCTCTGTGACTACCTCACCAAGGAGCCTGGGCGAGCCGACATTTACTATGCCATTGTGGAGACGTTCACCCACCCCTCTTCCGTCGACCTTACTCCGGTGGTGCGCTTCATTTACGACCACCTGGCGATCAAGGGTACAGTCGAGCTCAAGCGCGATGTTTTGCGTCGATTCGTAGACGTCTTTGAGAACAGTGATGCGTCGCAGCAGTACAAGGCAGAGTGCCTGCGCGTCCTCGTCAACCCCATTCTCGTCGCTACGCCAAGACCGTCGGATGACAAGAGTGACAAGGAAGCGAAGCGAAGGGATGAGAAGGAAGCAGATCGTGAGGGGACAGTCGAGGAGGAAGAGAAGAAGCAGGAACCCCTCCTTGATGCAGATTTGCTTGGTGTCATCATCAAGCGCATTTGGAAGGTGTTTTCGCTGCCGAAGCCACCACTACACCTTTGCTCCGACGATCTTGTCCGCGTGGAATTGTTGCACATGTCGACGATGATACTCGAACACGGCGCGCAGCTCTTGAGGGACCCTTCGAAGAGCAACGACAGCGACAGTCCTCGGAAGGATGCAATCAAATTTGGCTGGGCCAACCTCAAGGCGGAGGACGTTACCGTCAAAAATTCGGCCTACATCTTCATTGCTCGCTTCCTCGACCTCTTCGAGAGTCCGTCAAAGATCGTCGCCCAAGTCTACCTCGGTCTGCTGCGATCGCACCAACCGGAAGGTCGTGTCATGGTTCGCAAAGCTCTTGACATTCTCGTACCAGCCCTGCCGAAACGTATGCCGAGCGAGCCTGGCAAGGCCCCCGACTGGGCAAAGGCGACGAAACGCCAGCTGATGCAAGAAGGACATAATCTTCCACAGCTCTTTGGTATCATGCAGCTCCTTGTTCGGCATGGAGACTTATTCTACCCAACCAGAGAGTTGTTCTTGCCTCACATTGGGAGCAGCGTCGGCAAACTCGGATTGTCAGGAACCTCCAATTCTGAGACGAGGCTGCTGGCTGTCGACCTCGTCGAGCTTGTCCTTGGGTGGGAGAAGAAGCGGATGGCGGCCCAGCAGACGGAAGAAGAGAAGAAAAAGAAGGCAAAAGATGCACATGTCGACGGCGATGGCGATACCGAGATGAATGATGGCGCGGGTGAACAGTCGACGGGTATGACGACCAGGAAGAGGGCTGGTGAATCGGAGTCGACGTCGAGGACAAAGAAGGCTCGTCTCGATCGGGGAGGCTCTACTGCCTCGACCGGCCCCTCTCAAGCGGCGGCAGAGAGGGCAGAGAAAGCAGCAGCGGCAGAGAATGCCTATGTTGTGCCTTCGACGGTGCGCGAGCCGATCCTTGTCTTTTTGCTCCGCTTTGTCTCTCTGTCGACAGAGCCGGTCAGTCGAGGTGTGGTCAACAAAGCCTACAACCTTCTCAAGGACCTTCTGGTGACGCCGGGTTGGTCCGAGATGCCCATCAAACTCGCCATCTTCCAACGACCCTTAACTACAACCGAGGTCAAGGAAAGCAACCTCGTCGTCATCACAAATTCGCTTCAGACGCTCAAGCTCGTCATCAAGGACAAGTCTTCTTCCTGGTTTTTGGCTCATCTGCCCCAGCTTCACAAGCTTCTCGAGAAGAATGCGAGCTGCGACGAGCCAATTGTCCTCGAGCATTGCCGAGCGATCCTCGATCGCATTTTCGAAGTCCTGCCCGAACCTGTGCCAAGCGAAGAGGATGCCGAAGGCGAAGAGGATGCCGATGCTGATGCCGATGGCGAATTGGAGACAGGCGACGCGACAGCGGCGGCAGCGGCGGCCGCAAACAAACCTGCCAAGACCGCATCGGCCAATGGTAAGGGCCCCAATGGTACCGTTTCTGGACCCGATGAGGAAGCGGCTTCGTTCCGTAACTTTGTCGAGAACATCATCACGGAGGGACTGCGCAACTCTAGCAACCTCTACGGAGCCTTCATTGTTCTGGGTTCATGGGCAAAAGCGAAACCTGATGTCGTGAGTTATTCTTCTGACCGCCCGTCCCCTAGCTATCCACGTCATTTACTAACGCACGTTCATCTTCTAGATCGACACTCATCTCCAGGCCTTGACGAAGGCGTTAACCAAGCTGACGAAGGAACATCTTGGTCCATCCAACCAAGATGGTGGTCTCAAGCTCCTTCTCATGGTGTTGGATCTGCTCAAAGCGCGAATCTCAAATTTGGGCGAACAGCGCCGATGGTTCCTGTCGGCTGTGGTACAGCTCATCGAGCGGTCGACGAGCTTGGATCTCTGTCGCTACCTGCTTTCGACGATGTCCAAGTGGATCTTGGACCAGGACGAGCAATTCCCGACGGTCAAGGAGAAAGCGGGCATCCTTATCAAGATGATGACGTACGAGGCCAAGGACGAGCAGCTGCTCCGCGATTTTCTCGATCTCATCCATTCCATCTATACGACCCCTGCATTTGCGAGGACAGAGCTGACTGTACGGCTGGAAAATGCGTTCCTGCTCGGGTGCCGGAATCGCGACCCGGTTGTGCGGCAGCGCTTTATAGACATCTTCGACCGCACACTTGTTCGCAATCTGTCGGGGAGGATGCAATACCTCTTGGGGACCCAAACGTGGGACTTCTTGGCCGACTCGTACTGGATCCAACAGGTCCTCGATCTCCTCATGGGCAGCATCGAAGGCGATCGCCCGCTCCTCGGCGCAGGTTCACGGCCGGCATCTTCGACGAAGCAAGGCGACCCCGACTTTGCGCGCATCGTCAAAGGCCTAACGACGGGCAATCTCGTCTCGTCGGTCCGAAAGCTGCTCTACACTTCACCAGAGGCCACCCGCCGAATCTGGAGCACCTTCTTTGGCGCAGCTTGGCGTTCGATGGTTCGCAAGCAACAAGAAGACACGTCTAAAGCTCTGATCGGCGTCTTGACGCGTGACTTCCATCTTCGGCAGGTGGCCAAGCGACCCAATGTGGTTCAGACGCTCTTGGAGGGTGCGCTCAAAGCCAAACCCCATGTCGAGTTGCCTCCGCATGTCGTCAAGTACCTCGGCAAGACATTCGACGCCTGGTATACGGCTCTAGAGCTCTTGCAGGATATGCTTGGCTCGCTGCCTCGCGAAGACGATGCCACGCGCGAGGCGGTTCAGGATGCCCTTGGCGAGCTCCTCGCCGAATTGTCCGAGGATGACGTCTTCTATGGCCTGTGGCGGAGGCGGTGCGTTTATGCAGAGAGCAACGCCGCCATCTCGTATGAGCAAAGTGGCATGTGGGGACAGGCTCAGATCATGTACGAGCTGGCTCAGGTCAAGGCCAGGTCGGGCCAGTCACTCACATTCACAGAGGCAGAATACGGTCTCTGGGAAGATCACTGGGTTCTCTGCGCACAGAAGCTGCAGCAGTGGGACATCCTCACCGATTTGGCGAAGCTCGAGGGCAACAACGACCTCCTACTCGAGTGTGCCTGGCGGCTTTCCGACTGGGTCGCTGAGCGTGACATTCTCGAGCAGGCGCTCGAGAGTCTGTCAACGACTTCGACGCCCAGGCGGCGCGTCTTTGCTGCCTACATGGCTCTCCTCAAATCCCAGTCGGCATATCCGTCGGGCGGCGGTGCTGGCGGCGGTGGACTCCAGCAGCAACAGCAGTATCAGAATGAATTCGCTCGTATCTGTGATGAGGCGATCCAGCTCACATTGAGCAAGTGGCACTCGCTTCCCGAGCTCGTCACGCAGGCTCATGTCCCCCTGCTTCAGATTTTCCAGCAATTCGTCGAGCTCCAAGAGGCCAGCCAGATCTTCGCTTCGCTGGCAGTGACGAATGCGACAAACTTGGACCAAAGATCCACAGAGCTCAAGACGCTGATGCAGACGTGGCGGGAGCGACTTCCTAACCTGTGGGACGACATCAATGCCTGGAGCGATCTCGTGGCTTGGCGTCAGCACGTCTTTGGGGCTGTCAACAAGGCTTACCTGCCCTTGGTCGCACAGATGCAGCAACAGCAACAGCAGCAAAACGGTCAGGGGGCCAACTCAAGCACAAATTCGTACGCCTACAGAGGCTACCACGAGACAGCCTGGATCATCAACCGATTCGCTCATGTTGCCCGCAAACACTACCTCAGCGAGGTCTGCATTGGCTCCCTCACCAAGATCTACACGCTGCCTAATATCGAGATCCAAGAAGCCTTTCTCAAATTGCGCGAGCAAGCCAAGTGCCACTACCAGAATCCCAACGAGCTGGCCCAGGGGTTGGACGTCATCAACAACACCAACCTCATGTTCTTTGCTGCGCCCCAAAAGGCCGAGTTTTTCACGCTCAAGGGCATGTTCATGGCCAAATTGGGACTCAGCGAAGAGGCGAACCGCGCCTTTGCGACGGCCATCCAGATGGATCTCAATCTGGCAAAGGCCTGGACCGAGTGGGGTCGCTTCAACGACCGCATCTTCCGCGACAAGCCCACGGAAATCGTTTCTGCCAGTAGCGCCGTCAGCTGCTACCTCCAGGCCGCTGGCTTGTACAAGAGCGCAAAGGTCCGCAAGGTCCTCGTTCGAGTGCTCTGGCTGTTGAGCTGCGACGATTCAAAGGGGACTGTTGCGGGCTCGTTTGAGGGCTTTCGAGGCGAGGCTCCGATCTGGTATTGGATCACATACATCCCGCAGCTGCTTCAGTCATTGGCGCAAAAGGAGGCAAAGTACGCTCGGAGATTGCTCATGCAGATTGCCAAGATGTACCCGCAGTCGCTTTACTTTTCGCTCAGGACCAGCCGGGAGGATTATCTCGTCATGAAGAGAAATGCGCTTATGGCTTCGCAGAGGCTACAGCAGCGACAGCAGCAGCAGCAACAGGCTGCCCAGGCGCAGGCGCAGGCACAAGCACAAGCAGGACAGTCCGACAAGGCTGGAGAAGAGGGCAACGCAAAGGAGGAGGATGGCAAGAAGGACGACGTCGGTGGCGAAGGTAAGGACGCGAAGGCGACCTCGACCGAAGAAAAGAAGGACGAGCCAGAGAAGAAGGAAGGTGATGTCGAGATGAAGGATGCGCAAGCAGAGACAAAGGCCGACGAGAAGAAGGATGAGGCTGTATCTGAAAAGGCCAAGGGAGACGAGCAACCGGCTGGAGAAAAGCCAGAGTCCACGCCTGCTGCTGACCCCACTCCAGCGCCAACAACGACAGCACCTGCTACCTCTTCCACCCCAGCTTCAGCATCGATTCCCACACCAATAACTGCACCAGCATCGGCATCAACTGCGACGGCTGTCGCCAACTCTGCCCCAACAGCGTCTCCTGCATCGTCCGCGCAGCAACAAGGACAGCAGCAGGGGCAGCCACAAGGACAGCAACAGGGTCAGCAACAGAATCAGCAACAGCAGCAGCAGAGAGGCACACCTTCGCAGCAGCCAATGTCGGGAGGACAGATTCCATTCATGAATCTGCCGCCTGGAGCTCGACCAGCATGGGAGTATGTCGAAGAAATTCTCAACATCCTCAAGACGGCCTTCCCACTGCTTGCCCTGACGATGGAAAACATGGCCGATCAGATCCAGCAGCGCTTCAAGCCCACCAATGATGAGGACATCTATCGACTTACGAATGCGCTTCTCAATGATGCGCTGCAGCAGTACATTCAGCGCGCTGTCATTGCCAACGATAACGGCCAGCTTCCACAGCTCTCCATGGCCAATGTCGCTCGGTTTGCTGAGAACCTGCCTCCTGGTCCGCTCAAGTCATCGTTTGAAGAGGACTTCGTCAGCAGCAAGCCGACCTTGCGCGAATACGTCAGCAAGCTCCAGCGCTGGAGGGACCAGTATGAGCTGGTGCTGGAGCGCAAGCCCACGAGGCTCCATCTTGAGCACTGCTCGCACTACCTCGTCGAATTCCAGCATCAGCGCTTCGACGACGTGGAGGTGCCTGGACAGTATCTCAAGCTCGAGGACAATAATGCCGACTTTGTCAAGATTGCCCGATTCCTTCCCACCTACGACGTGGTCCGATCTGCCGGCGTGTGCACAAGACGCCTCTCAATTCTGTCAAGCAAGGGTTCTGTGCACATGTTCTCGGTTCAGCTGCCCTCGGGTCGTTACTGTCGTCGCGAAGAAAGGCTCTCGATGCTCTTCCGCACTCTCAATCGCGTCTTGGAGCGTCGCAAGGAGACGCGACGGCGCGGTCTCGTCTTTACAACTCCGGCCATGGTGCCCCTCGGCCCGCAGCTGCGCCTCATCGAGACGAACCCGAGCATCGTGAGCATGCAGGACATCTACGAACAGCATTGCCAGGACATTGGCATCGGCAAGGACGATCCAATCATTGCTTGGGTCGAAAAGCTGCGATCGACGCTGGCGGCCTCAGAGGGGAACACGGGCATGGTCGAAATGTCAAACCTCAGGATGGAGTTACTCGACGAGATCAGCACAAAGATGGTGCCAGATACGGTTCTCTCCGATTACTTTACACGTTCAATGACGTCGGCCTCGGACCTCTGGCTGTTGCGAAAGCACTTTGCTCTGCAGATGGCTTCGACGATGTTCATCACCTACATCTTCTTCGTCTCTGCGCGCCTACCAAGTCGCATCCTCATCTCTCGAGACAGCGGACAGGTCAGCATGACGGACGTCATTCCAACATTCCATCCCACATCCCCTACCTTCAAGTCACCCGATGCGACGCCATTTCGGCTCACACCTAACATACAGCACTTCATTGGGCCTATTGGTGTTGAAGGTATCCTCACATCGTCGCTTGTCGCTATTGGTCGGGTGCTCTCGGAACCAGACCACGATCTCGAAGAGCAGCTCAGCATCTATGTCCGTGACGAAGTCCTCTTCTGGATTCAGACTGCGCAGCGCCAGCAGCAGCAACAACAACAGGCTCAGGGTGGAGCGGCGGCGGCGGCGGCTACCGCAGCGATGCTGAATCCTCTGACCGAGGCACCTCGCGAAATTGTCATGTCAAACATCTCCGAGGTTGTCAAGAGGGCCAGGCTCATGAGCTGCAAACACGAGCTCGACAAGTCACAACCCAACACAACGATGCCAGTCAGTCAGGTGGTGATTGACTTGATCAATTCCAGCAGCTCGCCTTCCAAGCTGGCTCTGCAGGACGTCAGCTGGATGCCCTTCTTGTAAATGTTCTTTTTGCGTATTTTTCTATCTTGGACGTCTTTCTTTGTTGTCCTTTTCTCTTCTGGACGAGAACAAAAATGTATTCTATGATATAGGAGAGTCCGCTTTCAATGCTTCATAGCATGTTCAATGAGCTCGAGAGACTTGAGGAGGGTCTCCTCTTTGAAGCGATGACCTATAAGCTGAAGCCCAACGGGCGCACCGTCAAAGACCTCACGGTTACGCTCGTCTGATCAGAGCACCGCCAACGTCAGAATCAGTTGAGGACCTCTACAATCTCTGTGCACTCACACTCTTCTTTGTTCTGCTTGTCCAGCGCCTCGTTGCTTTGGGTCCTGCCCTTCTCACGACCCTCGTATTGAAGATCGGCCTTTGAGTCGGCGACAAAATTCTTGGCAGGAAAGACGACGCCTGGCAGATCGGTGAGGTTGAAGAGAGAAGTGTAACCCCAATACCAGATCTTCCCCGGTCTGGGCGCAACCTGGGCACCTGCTGGGCATAACAAGACGTCGATCTTTGCGTCTGGCCCGAAGGGGGAGGAAGAAGATGAAGAGGAGCCGAACCTCTTCCAGAATTGCCGCTTGAACGTCTCGCGAGCATACTGCAGCTCCCAGCTCTCCGCGGCTGAATGGTTCTTGACCGGACTCGTCTCGCAAATGTAGCGAGTCAAGGGAACGAGGGGCTCGTTCGTCAAATTTGCCAAGGATTTGATTAGCTGCCCGGACTCCATGAAGCTTTCTCGGTGCCGTCAGTGCCCGCAGGCAGATGCGAGCAATCAAGGGCAGACTCACTAAAGCTCCCGCGCGAGTTTCCAAGCTACCACGCCGGCGTCTTCTGCGTCAAATGGAATAATCTCGACGCGGCCGTCAGCTTTAAGCTGCTCGACGACGTGTGCCAGCGTCCTTCGAATTGGTGTGATTGGCTCGACATGGCCATCATGGTACATGACGCCTACCCTGAGCTTCCTCTTGGGGAGCTCGACGTCCTCGGTGTTCTGCCACGGGATTGGCGGGCATAAAAACGGGTCGACGTTGTGCGAGCCCGATGCGAGGATGGCCATCATAAGCTCGAGGTCCCTTCGCGACTTGGCAAAGGGGCCAGCCGTTCCGATGATGCCTTCATTGCCTGGCATTGTCGAGTTGATACCCGCAACGGCAATGCGGCCCACGGAAGGTCTGATGCCATACAGCCCGCAGCAGCTTGCAGGTTGGCGCACACTTCCGCCAATATCGGTGCCAAGACCAAGGAAAGTAGCACCAGCTGAGACCGAGGCGGCCTCGCCGCCTGAAGACCCGCCTGGACTTAGGTTCATGTTGAGGGGATTGAGCGTCTGGCCGTGCAAGTTGCTCCTGGTGCTGCCATGGTCCGTTATATCAGCACAGCACAGGTCTCTCTTGAATGTAAACCCGAGACACAAGCACTTACTCAAGCTGCACCACGCTCTGTGGCATTCTAGTCTTGGCAATGATGATAGCGCCCTCGCTCAGCAGCTTGTCCACCATGGGCGCATTTGACGACCCGAGATGCTCAGCCTGCTTCCTCAACAAGCTGATGATGCTCTCCTCCACCTGACCCTGCTTCTCCAGCTCATCTACGAGCCGTCGTTTGGCCTCTGGGCGCAAGACATCAAAGACGAAGCCGCGATCGGAGCCTGTGCCCTCCATGCTGATGTGCGCTTTGATGCTGATGGGCACGCCAAAGAGCCTTCCTGCCTTCTCGCTGCGCCGATCGAGCTCCTCGGCCCGCTTGAGTGCCGCATCGAAAAAGATCTCCGAATAGGGCCCGCAGGCTTGCTGGAGAAGCGCAGCGAGCTTGAGATGGACCTTTGTCACTTGCACGCACGTCCGTCGGCCTCGAGCGATATGGTCTGCCAGCTGCGTCGCATCGTCACTTTCCTCGACGATAGAGAGTTCCTCGGCAGTGAGAAGCCTGTCGCCCTCGATGAGCGATCGGAACGTAGTCTGAGCGTCGGCACGGATCGGCTCGCCTTCGCCCTCGTTCCTCGACAGCGCCGCGTTCATGCCGTCCCTCGTCTTGGACAAGCCTGGCACCACGTACGCTTGGGACACCGCAACCGTCGCCCCATAGGCCTCTATTGTCTTTTTGTAGTCGCCATCAACAAAGTCTACGTGCATCTTGGACCTCTTCGCGCCTGCGCCACACCGCCGGAAGCTGGTAGTGTTGGTGTTGGGGTTGTTGTAATGCGAGAACGATTAGTCTGAGAAATCCTTCGCACGGGCTTTTCGATGCGCCTGGCCAACGCATTCTCGCAGTCTTCTCGGTGTTCTGACTAGCCATCCCATTCATCGCAAATGACACTCATTAAGAAGAGAACGCGAGAGAGTACATGATCCATCTGCTGTACCAAAGAAGATGAAGCAAGGCGCAGTCTCGTGAGGGACTCCCGTCCGTGGATGCGTTGAAAGATTGCTGAAAGGAAGAAAATCGTGAAGAGAAATAGGGTAAGGGGAGGGGAGGAGGAACATGATGATGATGATGATGATGATGGTAGTACACGTTGATGAGTAGATCGTCGGTTGCCTGGTTTTGTATAATGTCCTTAATGAAGATGATGTCGAGAATCGTTACGCTCAATAGTGATGAGGAGTGCCGTGACGATGAAGAAAGACCGAGAGAGAGATTGGGTGGGTGCGGTTGGGTGGAAATGTTCATGTTGCGTCAAAGTAGAAGAGCTTCTTGCGATTGGGTCGAGGAGCATCTGACGGATGCACCTGCCGGTCCGATGTGGACATTGAGCGTCGCTCATGACTGGTGGTGGCAGCGCCACTGGCAGACGAAGAAGAGGGCTCCGAGGTGAGCTTGTCACGAGGAAGATAGTCCGTCAGTCCGGCACCTTCGAGATTCCATCCGGCGTCGTAGCGGTCGTGCGTCTGCTGACCAGAGACCTCGAGGACGGGGTAAAATTTGACGCCAGAAGACGCACTTTCGTAGCTGCGAGTGCGATCATGCTGAGAGAGTCGTCTTGTTGCCTCGGGCGAAGCTAAACCGGCCTCCAATGCCGACACACCATGGGGCCGCATGGCCATGGTGCTCTTCGGACGGGGCGGTGCACCGGAGTGATGCCTTCGGCTGCCAATGGCACTTTTTGGGCGTGAGATGTCAAAGTCCTGCGCAGTAGGGCTATCGATGACCTCGCCCTTGAGCGCTGCTCCACTCATTTCACCACCTTCTTCAGGGACGCGGGGCGTCGAGGAGCGCACAGGTGTCGTCGCATGTCGACCATACATGGAAGCATGACCGTGGGGATGATGGCCGAGGAGGCCGACATTGCCAAGCTGAATGCTTGCACCTGAGCGGTGCTGCTGGTGAGGCCGTGCTTGAGGAGGTCCATGGTGATGCTGATGATGGCGATGATGGGCCTGGTGGTGGTTGGTGTGATGAGGGCGATGAAGATGATGATGATGGTGTTGCTGCTGCTGCGCATAGAGTCCGCGGGCTGCGGGGGCCTCTGTGCCGGTGATCGAGGTCATTGCGCCCCAGCCAAGACCAGCACGACGAGGACTGGTGCCGGCATTGGCAATAAAGCTCATATTGCGGCCTGGGCTGAAGCCGGCCGCGCCAACCTCGTATGCCGGAGGCGTAGAGGCACCGCTGGGGCTTCGCCTCATGCCAGGTGTGGTGGGTCGCGACAGGCCGTTAGCTGGTAGACCGACGTGGGATCCAGCACTGCCAACGTAGAGCACGGGACCGTTGCTTCCTGCTCGCGACCGAGCTGGCTGACCTCCATTGCCACCGGTCTGGCTCGCCGTGGAGCTCGTCGTCGAGTGAGTCCTTCCAGGACGGGCCCTCATGGCATACAGGTTGGTGCTGCTGCCCGGCCGGCTGGCTCCGAGAAGAGGTGGGAGGGCAGTGACGTCCTTGCTGCGCTGGTGCTTGTGCTGGGCGCGCCTTCGTCTCTTTTCCTCTTCGACGACATCGTTGGTGGTAGCTGAGCGCGAGAGCTGTCCTTTGCTTTCAGAGGTCGAGGTGGCTGCAGCCTCGGCTTCGCCCGGGATCTGTCCGCGTCCGATCTCGTGAGCAAAAGCGGGCACGTTGCCTCGCTGTGTCGTTGGCTTGCGAACAAGGCCGCCGTGGGACGCGCCAGCAGCAGCGACATCCTCTTCGAATTTCCTTCTGCCGCTTCCACTGCTGCTGCCTTTGCTACCGCGTCTGGCCATAGCAGCCGACTGCAGCTGTGCCTCTGCAGTCAATTTGGGTGGCGCAGGGCTGTTAGGTGCGTCAGTGTTTTCCGGCGAGGGTGATGCGCTAGCATCGTCGCTTGCGCCTGTGGTGGAAAAGGTTGGCAGACCGCGGATTGTAGCCCAAGCTGAAGACAAAGAGGTACGCAGCCAGCTCCCGTTTGCGGCCGTCATGGATGACCGTCTTCCGGCCTCGTCTCCGCCAGCACCGTCGCTGACGTTTTGACGGGGCCACCAAGTCGGCGACGCCGTCTCGCTGATGCCGCGGTGGTGCTTTGGTGCGGCATTTGCCGGCGTCGAGCTCATCGAAGCGCGAGCCTGGGCAGACTTGAGAGTCTCGATGGCAGAGGTATCCTGGTAGCTCCTGCTGAGCGCGACCTCGTCGGAGGGCTTGAGAGGTGACGGATGCGGATCGAGACTGGAGAAGCGCTCCTGACGTCTGCTAAGGAGCGAACTTGGCCCCGTGTTGGCTGCGCCGAGTGTAATGGAACTCGATCCCATCTCGGTACGCTCGCTGGCCATGCTACGAGAAAGCACATTGGACGTCGACGGGCTGCGCGCAAAGTCTGCGGTCACGTCGACTGATGGCTCAGCATGGTGATCGCCTCTGCGAAGGAGACGCAGGGGTGCAGCTGCATATGGGCTGCTTCCATAGCTTTGCGAAACTGTTAAGGCAAGACCAGTAAACGGGAACGGTCATGTCAGTAAAACACGACCATATTTAGAGACAGCGAAAGGAGGAACGAACCTGAGCTGGGGCGAATGCTTGCCATGGACATAGGCCGCGAATTAGGACTCATTGCTGTTGCGGCGGCCGGCGTGACGGTGCCAGTCGTAACGGTGCCGCTCTTTCTTTCGTCTGAATTGACACTCGAGACGGTGCCGTCGCCGCCGCAGTCGTCGTCTCTCTCGTCAATGGCCTCGCTAGCCTCGAAACTCTTGGGCGAGGTGTTGCGATTGGTACTCCTGCGCGATGTTGAGTTCCGGTCAAACATGTCGCTCTTGTTGCTGCTGTCCGAGCTTCTCGTGCTGCTCTCTGTGCCTGCGTTGCTGACACTGTCCTGCGCGGCTTGTGTCTGGCCGCGGCCAACGAGGCGCTGGGGCTGTAGCTGAGGGCTTTCTCGCGTCTTGCCCTTGCGACCCATGTGTGTGACGGCGCCAAAGTAGCCGTCAATGGCCCCGCTGCCCGGGGGTACGAGATTCTGGGGCGTGACGATGCGACCGCTCTGGGAGCGCTGCTGCTTGCGACCAGTCGGACCGTACACGTTGCTGCCCGAGCTCTCGGTCGTGTCACTGGCTCCACTGGGCACTGCACTGCTCTTCTCCAGGCAATCTGGGCATGTGCACTCGCTCTCTGGTGTCCAGAGGCCATACGATGCTCCGTTTGGCGACATGGACGAGAGGCTCGGCACACGAGCAGGCCATTGCGAGGCCGAAGCGACCGACGTGGTGGAGGGTGCAGCATTTGCCAAGCTGCCAGGCACCCAAGTGGGCGATGAGAGGGGATCCGAGAGGTAGTGAATCAGCTCGCCGAGGCCCGAAGACCGTTGCTCGTCGATCATGCGGCATCGCTCAGAGCAGTAGAGCGCCGGTGGGGCCGAGAGCCTGGCGGCTTCAGCCTCCTGCTCTTGCTTGAGCGCAGCGGGCGTCAGTGGGCCGAGGAGACCGCCCTTTTTGGTGCGAGGCAGCGTCGAATTGGGGCTGACGGGCGACGAATCGGCGCTTCCCTGGGCCGACTTTGACGAGTTGCGTCGCGCCAGTCCAGGTGCACGCACCTTGGCTTCTGCCGATTTCCTTGGCTTTGTCTCACCGTCTGGATGCAGTTTCGTCGTGGGCTTGAGCTCGCTGAGGGCATTGAGCCGGCTCGCGGCGCTACCGGTGCGCTTGTGAGGTCCCAGGGGCGCGCCACCGCCACCGACAGTGTGGATGCGTCCAGCCGAGGACGTTCGTTTGAGGTTCGAAGACGACGATTCTGGATGGCCGTCGGAAGAAGTGGGTCTGGCCTTGATGGTGCCCGACTTGCTCTTCACGCCCAAGGCCGACGTAACGGTACCCGATGAAGCCCTCGACAGGCTAGCCGTGGGAGACGTCGGATTTGACGAGCTCTTTTGCTGCTGCTGCTGCTGCTGCTGCTGCTCCTTCTTTGGACCGACGCCTTGGCCTGGCTCGATGAGGCAGTCACAAGTGGCGCAGTAGTTTTGCGCCCACAGCTCCTGCCCATCCATCTCAAAGGCGACGGCGGCGTCGTCATCGTCATCGTCGATGTCGTCGTCGTTCATGCCTCGTTGGCCAGACTCGCCCTGCTCTTCCTCATCGTCGTCTGAAAACGCGTCTTCGAACTCTGAGGCGTCGACCTGGAACGTGGGCTTGCTCGTCGTCGCAGTGTTGCTCTTGTTGCCCGCCAAACGCGAACTTGTCGCCTTGCCGTCGCCCTTTCGCGCTGTCGAGGCTGCAGACGGCGCTGCTGCTGCTGCTGGTGCTGCTGGTGCTGCCGTCGCCGCTGCCGCTGCTGCCGCCATGCGCTGTCGCTGCGCAGCAGTCGGCATTATGATTAGAGAAGCTGGCAGTGGATATGGTCACTGTTGGCGCCACCGTGTCGGGCTGGCCGCAAACCGAGCCTGGTGAGCGGAACTGGCCACGGCCGTCGGGCCCAACTCTTGCGGGGAATGGGCGATAGGGGGAAAGGAAAGGAAAGGAAAGGGCGAGCAACACAAACGCGTTCCGGGACCGGGTTTGCTTCGCCCTCTTTGCTTGCTTGCTCTATCGCGCGCGCGCCGCAAAGCCGATCTCGATCGCCCTGGCTTATTCCACCCCTAGTAATTTGTTTCTTTTTCTTTTTTCTCCCTATCCCTGTTTTTTGGGCGTGCGCGCCCGGATTCAGTTACGGGCCGGCTCGTTGGGACTGAGATGCGTTTCTGTTTCGAGCACCTTTTAAAAATCGTAGGGTATGCGCCGATGATGATGATGCGAAAACATCGGTAGAGTGGTCGAGTAGTGGTAGTGTGGGTGTGTGAGGGAGAAGAGGTGCAAGCAAGCAGGAGATTTGATTACTCTTGGGGGCCGGACGAGGAGAGAAGGAAAAAACGTGTCCAGAGTCAGAGTCGAGCCGTCAACGGCCCGAACGGCGCAATTTGAAAAAATAAGGACCAGAAGCCAGCGACCGCAAGCGAAAGGGAAATCATGGAGAAAAAGGAGAAAAAAGAGGCCGGCGTCCTACAAGAATCACGACACAAAAGAGTAGATTAGAAAATCTCCTACTACCACTACTTACTACCGGTGGTGACAAGAGAAAGCCGCGTAAGGTAATAATGCAGCTGTACAAATTAGAGCTGTAGTACACTTTACTACTTTTTTTTTGGGTCCTAGCCAAGGGCAACGCCGGAGCGGTGTTTGAGTGTGCAACCTTTTTCGGGCTTTGCGCACCGCCCGCGCGCGCGCGCGTCTGAAAGGAGAAAAGGCATTAACCGAAGCAAGAGTAGTAGTAGATTGCCGACCAAGCGAAGACGTTGCTGTATCAGACCACCCCCGCCCCGTCTCCCCTGATCGGTTGATGAAAGCTGCATCAATGGGAAAGCGGGGCAGGAGGAAGGAGAGAGACACCCCCGCGTCGATCTTGGCGACAGCTCTCTGTCCAGGCTGCCCTTTCTTTGGCTCCTCGAGTGGCTGAATTCCAATGTGGCTCGACTTTGATCCCCCTTCGGTCCGCCGTCGGTCAGAGAGAGAGAGAGCTCTTAGCATTTTCTAACATCTGTAACAACTTGTACAATATGTTGCACTGCCACCTCGTAGTACAACTGTAGTGTAGCAGTGCGCCTGACCTTTTGCTGAGCTCATCCATTGTCACCCACCCTTATGCATTCCTTGTGCAACACGAAGGGGCAAAGTGGGGAGGCTGGGGAGGGTGGGGGGAACAGGGCAGCATGGGTGAAACCGGCGCGAGCTTTGCGTGCTCCCCTCAATTATTTTCGAGCCCGACTCCGAAGTGGGCAATTAGGCTCCACAAAAAGGGACGCGTGAGAGAGAGCGAGCGCTTCTCCCGTGCCGGTGGGCTCCCTCCGGTCCGAATATCCGGTGTCGGACGTGGGCAACAGCGAGCTGTGCGAAGGTCAGAAACGCGCAATAGAGAGGGGGACGAGATTGTGATCACAGCACTGGGATGCTCCGTCAACGGGGGCAAGCAGCCAAGATGAGTGGGGAGCTTCAGAGGCTGGGCTAAACAAGCTAGTAGTGTCCCTATGAAAAGGTAAATGCAAGCCACCAAGCAATTTGGGCTTGGTACCTGCCTTTTCCATCGCGATCGCAAGAAATCTTAAGTACGGCTCGAATCTTTATTTGTTTGTTGCCCCAATGGGATCAAGGCGGCAGGCAAATCGGCAGGCAAATCCTGCACGTTTGCTCTGCCAGATCGATGCGCATGCAAATAGCACAGTGACGGCAGGATTGCATGCCGTGCTCTTGCGGGCTGCTAGCTATTGAGTAGATCGAGGCATGAATGTGTCGTTACAGTACAGTACAAATCGTCGTCATGTTACATGGGAAGACAATAAAGTCAAAGAAAGGGCACGCTAGCTGATGTAGATCTTCTGAAGACTGTCAAAGGGATATTTGTCGCCTGTTCGGGGGCACTGTACAAGTGCGTCTGGGTTCGAAGCGGCAAGTGATTCAAGCGCCTGTATTGGGAAGAGACGGGTGAGCCAGACACAAGACCCTCGTGGAGCTGCACACACACACACACACGCACCGTACGACTATAGACCCTGCCGTTGGGCAGCACCATCGGTGGATCGTTTTCATTCATGATCTTGCCCGTGATGCGACAGACGAGCGTCGAGTTGATGTGGTGGCTCCAGGGCACCTCTCGCGCCAGCTGACCCAGGCCCGCGCCATCGCAGACCGGGCAGTCATTATTCTTTGATTCGTGCTTGCTGCCCTTTGGATGACCCTTGCTGTTGCCGTTGTTGTCTCTGCTACTGTTGCCCTGATTGTTGCTGTTGCTGTTGCTGTTGCTGTTGCTGTTGCTATTGCTGTCGCCGCCGTTGTGAGGACTATTGAGTGACAGGGAAGAGTCGTGGCTCATCTGATGGATGCTCCACGGGTTCTGTGGAGTAAGCATCGTCGATGGAATCGGTCCGCCCGTCGGCTGACTGAAGAGCGACGAGACAGCTCCTCGTCCAGAGGCAGAGGGCGGCGACGAGGCAGTCAAACCAGCAGCAGGCGGGAATGTGGGGGCCGCTGTCACGCTGGTCGTGGCGCCCGACACATCCAGCAGGTTGTTTCTATCGTCGCCAAACGCACGGCCGCCAAGGTGGGCTGGCGGGCCGACACCTCCCTGTCGAGCACTGCCGTCTTCTCCTGCACCATTGGCGAAACAGGCGGGAAGCTTGAGCGAAGACAGACCTGCGCTCAGGGCGATGTGGAGCATGGGCTGCGCGGGCATGCTGTGGATCTGCAAGGCGCACGATCGAAACGTCATGCGCAGCTTCTCCCATCGACTCTCGTCGTAAAGGTCCTTCGGACCACAGCTTCCGTCAGATCTGGACCTTTGCAAAAAGATGGAGTAGGGGAATGCTGGTAAACTCACCCCATACGCCCATCCCTTGGGGCCGCAGGCAAGGAGGCCCATTGCGCGGCTCACTTGCTTCTGAGAGCGCTCGTGCTGTTCGCGTTCCTCTGCCTCTTCCCTTTCCTGCTCCTTGGTCTTTGTTGTCGCCGTCGAGGTGCCGTTGTCCTTGTCCAGATTAGTCGCTGACGCTGGCGGTGCTGCCAGCAGGATTGGCAAGAGGTGTTTGCGGCTGTATGCAATGGCTTCCCTCAGCGATTCTGGATTTCTAGTCCGGCTCAGCTCGATGAACTCCTGGAGGCGAAGATCAAATTCGAGCGTTGACTGTTATTCGGGGGAAAGGATCCTGTGAGTGGGCCGGCTTTGCAAGAGTACAAATAGCTTCTGGCCAGCGCGCGCAGCAGCAGAGATCTCACCCTGATCTTTCGCAGCGCAGCTTTGTTCTCCGAGCACCATGCCAGGGCAAGGGCGCAGGTCCTCTGCGGCAATCTGCCCCCCGGCCCCGTCTCCTCGTCCATCGAGTTGCCGCCGAGACTGGCCTCGACCTTTACGATCTCCGAGAAGAGGTCAAGGTCGGTAAAGTCCTACACGCGCGACCATCATCAGCTGGCTGTGCTTCCACGGATGGAGCCAAGCTCTGCCCCACTCACCTCGATGCTCCGGCTCTTTGCGAGCGTGGCTGCGCTGCGCGAGTAGCCCTTCCTGAGCATCCAGTCGATGAGCATGCGATCGAGGCGCGTCCGGCACCATTCATCAAAGTCGGACGAGGCCGTCGTTGTGATTTGGTGCAGCTTGTCTAGATGCGCAGTGCGCGAGTCGAGCTGCTTAAGTGTCGAAGCGGTGCTTTCGTGCACAGTCGATGAGAGCTGTCGTCGCAAGTCAGGTCCTTGCTGCTCGTGTGAGTAAGAAAACAGAGACAAGACGGCCTCACCTTGCGCTTGAGGCCCTTGAGCCGTCCAATGACGCCATCGAGGCTCCTTTCAATGTCGCTCGACGTCGACGTCGACGTCGACATCGGCATCGACATCTCCATCGACATGCTCGTGTCTCCATTCGCCTCGACGTTGCCCGCGCCGGCATCGCCATCGCCATTCACGTCGCCCGCGAGGGCCTTGGCAGCCGTGTCAAAGGCTGTCGACGCAAGCGTGAGTTCTCGCTCGACGAGGCGCTGCTGCGTCCGGAGCTGGCGGCGAAGCTCATCGTGGGGAACCCGCGCAAAGGGCGCCTCGAGCAGCAGGATACCGTCCAGGTTCGGCGCCGTCGACGTCGACGCCATCTTTCTCTTGTCAGCCGGGTGCCGCCTGCCTGACGCTTGTCAGACAAAGGGCTGGTGTGTATATATGCTTGTGGTGCGCCTGCCTGCGTGGCGGAAAGAGAGAGAGAGAAGATGAAAGTGCTGGAATGGATTGGAATGGGCTGGTGGTGCGTCGTCGTGATAAGGTCGCCTGGCCGGTCGGGTCCCTCCCAAGGCGTGCAGGCGCGTAGTAACGTAGCCTTTATTTATTTTGCTTTGCTTTCGGCCGTGGCACGCACTGCTCCTCCACCAGAGGCAGCGGTAGTCATCATCTCTCTCACTCCCTCTCTGTGCCATCACGTTTTGAGTCGGTTGGGGACTCTCCTCGAGACGACAAGAAGTGGTCAATTTCTCGTGATTCTTTCTTTTGGATTGCAGTCACTTGACAAGGTGCAAGAAAGGAGGATAAAGGAGCAATGCTCTCTAGGATGGAGGGAGGTGTGGTAAAGAGTACAGAGAAAGAGGGGACCCCAAAGAAACGTGCAAATCGGGAGAAGAAAAGAAGAGTCTACGAAAGGGAAAGGAGGTGAAGTAGAGCATTGCTGACGAAGGAGAATGGATATCAACAGAGATGGGAGCAAAGGAAAAAGGAGATCGGAGGCCCATTTAGACCGCCGACACCTCTGCCTTGCTGTGACCGTGGTGGCTGTGGGACGGCGAGGAACCCTCCTTGGACTGCTCGACCATTGCAGGGCTTCCACCGTTGTCGGAGTTGTCGAGGAAGTGGTCGGGGTAAACGACGCACTGCTCTCCCACCTGCGCAAGGTCAATGCCCAGAACCTCGTCCTCGTCCGAGGCACGGAAGTGGCAGCCTGGGATGCGGTCGATGAGGAAGAGCAGGATCATTGTCACGACGAAAGAGTAGGCGAAGCCCGAGACAGAGTCTGCGAGCTGGTAGCCGAGCTGGATGTAGTTGTGGTTGATCCAGCCACCGGCGATGGGAGTGGAGCCGTCGAACGAGGCCACTCGGTTGTCGGCAAAGAAGGCCGTGAGGATGTTGCCGGCAATGCCTCCGAGACCGTGGGCAGCGAAGACATCGAGCGAGTCATCGACGCCGATGATGTTCTTGAGTCCAGTGCCCCAGTTGCACACGGTGCCGGCAACGACACCAAAGACAATCGATGCCGGCCAGGCGACGTAACCACTTCCGGGCGTAATGGCTGCAGAGGGGAAAAAAAAAAGATGAGGCCATCTCGTCAGTCGATGATGATCTGGTCTGGCGCGAGAGACAGGGACAGCAACTCACCAACAAGACCAGCAATGGCACCGGAGCAGAATCCGACAGCGGACCACTTGCGCTCAAGACGCCAGTCCCAGAACATCCACGTCAGGCCTCCGACGGCAGCAGCGTTGTTGGTCACCGTCATGGCCATGACAGCACGGAGGTTGGCGCCGAGAGCAGAACCACCGTTGAAGCCGAACCATCCGAACCAGAGCAGCATCGTTCCAATGACAATGTAGGAGACATTGTGAGGCCGGTAGGCAAGCACCTCGGTGCCGTAACCCTTCCTGCGGCCGAGGAAGATGGAGATGGCGAGGGCGGCCGTTCCCGACGAGATGTGCACGGGCGTGCCACCAGCTGTGGTAGTGGTTGTGCCATTATGTTCAGCACGGGTCACATCACACACATAAGATGGTTCCAGGCTCACCAAAGTCGAGACCGCCCATAGTGGCAGCCCAGCCTCCCTTGATGTCGCCGCCGTCGCCCAGGTTCCACGTCCAGCAGGCGATGGGCGCATACACGATCGTCGACCAGCAGAACGTCCAGATCATGACGGGGGCCAGGCGCGCGCGGTCGATGAAGGCACCGCTGGCAATGACGGGCGTGATGGCTGCGAACATCATCTGGTAGATGTAGTAGAGGAGCTGGGGAATGTATGGGGAGCCCGTCGAGGGCTGCATGTCGACACCCATCAGGCCAAAGTTGTCCAGGTTGCGAATGTAGGGCGAGCCTCGCTTGGAAAAGGCGAGGGAGAAGCCCCAGAACGACCAGGTGAACATGGCAATGGACATGACGACGCAGCCCATCCAGAGCATCGACGTCGCGCTCTTTGCCCGGCCCAGACCGGCGTAGAAGAAGGCGAGACCGGGAATCATGATGAAGACGAGGCCCGTGGCCACGATGATCCATGCCATGTCACCGAGGTTGTATTGGTAGGTTTCATCCTTCCACAGCGTCGAAATGTTGCCCTCGGGCGCTGGTTCGAGCCAAAATCGAGCACTGGTCAGCAAATTTGCCCACGTCGTGGTAAGGTAGGATCGCAAGGGAGGGTTGAGCACTCACTGAGCGTGACGTTCACCATGATGGGCAGAAAAAAAAGGGGGTCACCTCGAGAGAGCCAGACAGGAGGGGACGACAGGGGCTGGTTGGGGAAGCGGGAGAGGTAGGGGGAGGGAAAAGGACAAGGAGGAGCCCAAGAAGGAAAAGGGGCGGGGGAGGGAGGGTGAGGTTGGTGGTCAACGGAGAAGGGCAGAAGGGGGAAAGAGGGGACGTGCTGGGCTGCAACGGATCATTTTATATTATGGGCGGCGACGTCCGAGCCTTGGCTGCCCGCTATCTTCCTGCCTTCGGGCGTCTGCTCCCAGGCCCACTCCGAGTCTAGTCAGACTGAATTTTTTTCTTGGCTGAAGCTGCAACACTATAGCTGCGAGCCTTGAATTTGGCCCACGTCCTACTGACTCATTGGTCGGGCCCGCAGGGACAGGGCAAGAGAGTCTGGCACTATACAGCCCGGGCTAAATGTTTGTCTACCTCGTCCCACGGGTTGGGCAGCAGCGCTGTCGCAAGACGAGGACTACAGAAAATCCGGAACAAGCCACCATGACCAGGCACGCTGGAGTACAAGTTCCGAGGCGAGGCCAAAGACGGAAGGAAAGGGAAGAGCAAGGCGACAGCTCGTTCCTGCCCGGTTTCTTCTCACTCTAATTCAATTGACGGACGTTTGTTCTAGCCCGGGACCACCCTTCCCAAGCCTCTTGGGGGAGGAAGGGGGAAAAAGAGGGCAGAACGCAACAGACGGCCACAGTGCCCCCGTTGGCTGTAGGATGATGGTGCAAACGAGGTGCCATAGATAAGCATGAAATTCCAGAGGTCCTTATCTCTGGCCTCCCCTAGCGCGGCATTTCTTCACAGAACTTGGTGCCTCAAACCTGTCTGCATATTGCGATAGGGTGAATGCGGGGGGGAAATTTGAAACCAAATGCCACGTGCCCCGTCTCCTGATAAGGAAAGGTTAATGGTGGTGGTCTAGGCCGAAGGAAGCAGAGATCCTATCATTTCATTAGCAACGCCGATCAATTAATGAATCTGACTTGTAATGGATGGTACGTGGGGTGGTGGTAACGTCTTGTTCGCTTGTTCAGGAACCGGACAAGATAAGGGAAAGCATTTCCCTTTCCTCCTCCCCCCCTCTTTTTCTTCCCTTCCTGGACGAGAAGAAAGGATGGCACACAACACATAACCGAAGCATGCAGGTGGGAAACTGTTGCCGCAGGTTTCCAGCGACCGAGGCTTGACCGGTGTATGCATCACCTGTAAGAATCACACATAAGTCTATCCTGGCCTCTTCTTCTTTTCCGTGCTGCTGTAATAAGCGCAGCGCTGTAGGGGGGGCTGCACTGACCAAGATTGTGCACTACTGGTCCTGTATGAGTTCTGTCGTCAGGTTTCCAAGTGAAGCTTTCGGTACAGCAGTCAAGGACTGATGTGCCAGGATGTTTTGCCGTTCTTGAGCCTCAATAGACCACACTAGTGTGCAAGCCGCCGATCAACTTTGGAGAGAACTCACCAACGACCGAAAAGCTTTATTTGCGAGCCTCCTGACGGCGACTTACCACTACTAGATGTCAAACACTGAAACAAAGGGTCTGAAAAGGAGGGGCACGCAAGTCGAAGATGCTGGAATGACGAGCTCTATATTATGTGAATGATGGGAGGTGAATCTAGTCTAGAGGATGACATGGCCCAATTATATGCGTGGGAAGCGAGAGGGGATGAGAGAGGAAGAGAGAGGTGTGACAAGGCAGGATGACGAGAAAGCCCTAAAAAGATGAGTGGTGACAGTCTAGAATTAGAATTGGTGTTGCAAGCGTCTAGCCCATGTCGACGTCCCTCGATGCCGTCGTGGGTGCATCGTTGGTGGGGTTCGTAATGGCGCGCACACTCATGGGCGGTGGCAGTACCATCGAGCTCGGGCTAGTCTCTCGACTGATGGCCTGGCCCAAAGGAGGAAGTTGCGTGCCCCTCGCAGGGCTGGTGGCATGGATGGGCGTCATGCTGAAGCCAGCCGTCTTGTTTGAGCGACCGGCACCAGAAGCAGGCGCGGGCAACTGTGCTGGCGCAGGCAGCTCCTGTCCGACGTGCGAGTGGATGCTGGCCGGGCTCGACTCGTTGGAGCCTGAGATGCCATTGAAGCCATAGGAGCTCTGTCTCGAGTGCGACGCCGTCGTGTGGCCACTCCTGCTTGCAGAGGAGGATTGCGGCAACGCGTGAATCTCGGCCCGGGGGCTCGTCGTGGGGCTGTTGACGGCGCTGACGGGGGCCGACTTGCTGCTGCTGCGGTGCTTGCTCGACCGATGGAGGTAATCGAGGCCTTCCCCTCCGTGATGGCCGTGAGCGGCAGCAGCGGCGGTGTGAGCCGAAGAAGAGGAAGAAGTCGACGAGATGGCAAAGGGCGAGGGCAAGGTACGGTCGGCCACGAGTGAGGGCAGCGAGACTCGCGAGTTGCCGGCCGAGATGGAGCCTGGGACGCCGCTGTCGAGGATATCCTCGATGCGGTTCCTGCCTCGGACTGTTGCCTGATGGTCACCGCCCGACGAAGAGAGATGGTAGGCACTGAGACTGAGCCCGTTGGAGCGTCCAAAGCTACTGCTACGCGTCAGCTTCGACATGTGCGAAGGGGCCGAAGGCGATGTAGAGGCCGAGCCAGGGGCAGAACCACTGTGACGTGACTCGGCATCGACTGCAGTGCTCCTCTCGCTCAGCGTCGAGCCCGTGGGGCGCGCAGGCCCGGCCAAGGAGGAGAGATGGTGGTGGGAGCGCGAGTGGATGGGCACCTCCCCATACGGATGGCTGCGATGCCTGTGCGAGCCGTGGTGGCCCGCTCCTGCGTGGTGCGAGGGCCCAGCGTGGTTCATCTGCGGCGGCGAGTGGAGTGCATGGTGACCACTGCGATGTCCGACGGGCGAGCCCGGTCGAGAGGGCGCAGGGCTCGTCGGCACCGTCTGGTGACCACCGTGGTGATGATAGTGATGGTGGTGGTAGTGATGGTGACCAAAGAGGCTCATGTTCCTCAGCGGTCCCAGGACGGGGCTGCCCGAGGGGGTCCAGTCAGGCACGTTGCTGGCACGCACGGTGCCATTGGCATAAGGTCGCGCCTTGTGACCGTCGTCGTGCTCGCCGTCGGAGATGTACTCTTCGCTCATGATACTGTCGTTTGGCGAGAAGCGTGGCGAGTGCTCGCGGCTGCTCGGGATGCTGCTCGGGTTGGAAGCATAGGCGTTGCGCGACGTGGCAAACTGATGGCCTGAGTACATGGGAGGCGGCAGAGGCGCACCGTACGAAGGATAGTGGTGCGCATAGGCCGGGTTGCTGGCGTGGTGGTGCAGTGGCTGAAGGGTGGCAGCGACACGCTGGTTGTAGTTGCGGTGGCAGTCTTCGTGTTCACATCCCGGTGGCTGTTCGACGGAGGTGGGCGCAGCAGCGGCCGCCGGGGAATAGCCAGAGGGTGCGTAGGCAGATCGGCTGTAGTACGCACCAGCACCTGCTGGAGCAGGAGCACCGGCAGCAGGAGGAGCCGGCGGCATGCCATAGGGGTGCAGAGCAGTGACCGTTGGTCTTCTACCCTCGCGCTCTGCTCTTTGAATTTCATTGAGCTCGTCGCTGGCCAGCATTGCCAGGGCCGACATCTCCTCAGATCGGTTGGGTGGAGCTACCTTGGTCGACGAGCTTCTGTTCATGGCACTGGCGTCGGGTGACTCGTCGTCCGACTCGCTTAATTCGTCCTCCTCGCCTCCGAGCTGCCACTTTGTCGACATGGATTGGGTACTTCTCTTGTCTTGTTGCTGCTGTTTCTTCTTTGAGGCCGCTCCAGAGGAGCCATCGTGTGCGCCAGCATTCTTCTTGTTTGGATTCGAGTGGATTCGGACGTGCCGGGTGAGCTCGTCCGAGCGGCTGAAGCGCTTCTCGCAGCCTGGATGGGTGCATGCATGGGGCTTTTCACCAGTGTGCGTTCGAATGTGGCGCGTCTGATGCTCCAGGCGGTAGAATGCGCGCGAGCAGAGCGGACATTTGTATGGTCTTGGGATCTGCGACTTGTCGACAGAACCTGCCAGGCTGGCCGAAGAAGACTGCTGTCCAGCGGCATCTGCCGAAGGGACGGCCTCCGTCTTGACCGTGGCCATCTTGGCAAAATCTACGACGCAAGCGTGCTCCCTCTTCGATGCTGCTTCTGAGGAGGGAAATAGCAGATGGCGTTAGCACCTGCGATGTGAACCGTAGTGGCGAGAAAGAAACATTGCAAAGAGAAACGACAGCTGAGCACGCAAAGAACAGGGCGTCAGCCACCCCACCCACACCCTCCCTTCTCTTCTCTTCTCTCTCCCCCCCCCCCCTTCTATTTTTTTATTTTTTTGGGCTCAGATTTCTACCCCCCGGAAATCTTGCCCGTTCGCCCGCCACCGCCCCGTCGCTGGCTCCTCTCCATTGCCCCACTCGTTCCTTTGGCCCCCCGCATATCAAAGGAAGACGAGAGGCAGCCTAGGTAAAAGGCCCAGCCCAGCAACTCTCTTTATCGTAGCGCTATCTCGCGTCTCAATGCCTTTGGCCGGTCGCTCTACTCTTCTTACTGGAGGGGACCAACGCGGGCACGTGAAGAAGTACGGGCTACCGCTACTCACCAGGTTCTTCCTGTTCTCGAGAGAAAGCGAGCGTGCTAGTCGAATGTGTTGCCGGTGGCAATAGTCGGTGCAGCGGTAGGCAGATCTCCTTGGTGGTTGTACTGAATGAAGGTAAGAGGGGGGCGAGGGGGAAACGCAAAAGTGAAAGAAACCCGGAATGGGGCAGGACGTGAGCGAGGGTTGAAGCGGGGAAAAAAAGGGACAAATCGGTTTGTGGATGAAAGATAGCGGAGAAGGGATGAAAAAAACTTGTGTCAGCGCAACTTCGTTTTCTGTCTCGCGCGCCCGCCGCGGCTGAAAAGTCAAGAGTAGAAAAAAATAGAGAAATCGAATACAGAATCGCAGCGGTACGAAACTTAAAGAGAGGGGGTGGGGACAGAACAGCGCCGGTGAATGACATGGATACACAAGGCAACACCAGCAGCCGAGACTTCCCGGAGCGGAGGGCACCATCGCTAGAGGTGCACCATTGCCGGGTGAGAGGCATGCCTGCCCTAGCGAACGATATCGTGAATGACCATAACCGCGATCTGATCATGGCATGATCATCACCGGGAAGAGGCACATCCGGCCTGGCGTGGAGAGACCGAGAGCCCGATGAATGATTCAAACGATTGAAATCTCTGCAGCTGGAAGCACGAACGGAAAATTTGTCAAGAAAGGTTTTCCATCCTGCCAACGATTTGTAGTGCGGCATTTCCGTATCGGCCCCCGCTCCACGTACCCGGTCTAAGCCGCCGTGAAGCCAGCGCAAAATTCAGAATCCCCTTGATTGCACCAGACTTATCGCTCGTCGCGACAAAGCCTCGGCCACAACCTCGGGCTGGTGGTCGCCGACCGTGAAAAATGAAACACGAGCCCCTCTTGTCCCCGCACAAGCTGCCTCCCTATCAGAGCCTCCACGTCTCCTTGTTTGGGCTAAGGTGGTCCAGCAGGAGTGAGGATCTTAAAGTGACCTCTGATGCATGAACTTGACTACTCCTTTTTCCCACCCGCCGCCCCCGTTCCTCCAACAAAGTTGGCCAATACGATTCTGTGCTCCGCTAAATAGAGTATGTTGCCCCTCCCCTCATTCGAAGACAAGTCCACCTCGACTGCAAAGGAGTGTGGGGGCAAGGGCCCCGATAAGACTGTTTAACACGCGCCGATGGCCTTGGCTTGTGAAAAACAAAGGCAAAATCACCGGCCGTGCCCTCCACGCTTACCAGAGCCATGGTTTCGATTGGTACGTTGCCACTGTGCGACGGAAAACTCCAAGGGCTCGTGAAAGACCGAACGGGTCAACATAGAGCAGCTTGCCGTCTTAAACAAATTGCCAATTTTGCGATCATATCTTCCTTCGTGCCTTGGCGAGCACCCCGCGTGAGTGGTGGATGAACTGATGGTTGACCATCAGCCCATCCACCCCCTTGCCCTGCATCGAGTATCACCCCCTTGTACCAAGAAAACCCCCGGCAGCGCCCGAATGATGCATGCGTGCGAGCCTCAAGGACCGAATCTCTAGTCGCATTAGAAGCAACACATCTTCCTCCTCCCTTCGTACCCTCTCTCCCGTCATCTGTCAAAGACATCGCGTGCACCTTTATGCCCGTGATTTACACGATATGCTTGCCTTTGCTAGATCAACCGAGAGTGCAGGAAATGGGCGGTCGACAAGGACGGTGAGGCCCCACGGTCTCCCTCTGACGAGCCCCAGACCAAAACCCTAGTCTGACTCACCTCCAGTGCTGTCCCGTAGGCTAGTCGTACCGTAACCACGCAACAGATTTTGTCAATGGTCGCCTGGCTTGAGCCCGAGGATAGAGAGGTATAAGGATGATAGTGATGGTAATGATCAGAAGAAGTTACACACATCGTCACTTCCTTCAGATGCAGCGAAAAAAAAAATAAAAATTGGAGGCCGGCTTCCCTCCGGTCTACCCGCTCTCCGTTTCAATCCCCCCCGAAGAGCAGCGCATCATCCGGGTGAAAAGGAGCCCCGTGGAGGCAAGAAAAGAATTGATGATGCTCCCCCAAAACTTCATGAGGTATAGAAAACCCAAGAGGGCAAGCTGCGCAGCAGTAGGGAAATTGGTTCTTCCATCAGCGAAAGAGGCCTCGCATCAGAATCACCCCGGTGTTTCCCTTTCTTTCATTCTCGGTTCAGGAAATAAGGCAGTAGTGTTCCTATGTTGATTAGAGAAAGGTCTGCCCTGAACGAAAAAAGAGCAAACCCTGTGGTGCATGAAACACGTTCCTATTGCATTGCACCGTCGCAAAACAGACTGAGGGAGATGCAACAGCGGCGACTCAAGGTCACAACACGCTCCAGAATTTCCTGCTGGTTTGTCTCTCGTGTCGGAAAGTTTTCTTTTTCGTCATCTGAGTTGATCCGCGGGGAAGTATTAGACTAATTCTTGTATGAGATTGGTATACCCTAATTGTATAATGTGAGGGCCAGGCAAATCAAAGCAGTCCGGAAAAGAAAGCGACGAGCCAGCCACAAAGCAGGTCAACGAGTTTCGCCGGGCCCGTCGCAGCATCGCTGTGCTTGTCCATGGTATGTCAGCGTTTGTTGTAGTACTGACGTCGTGCCGGCAAGGGGTCGTCGTGGCTTGTTCACGATTCCAACCGAAAGAGGACCGAGGAAAGGCCCGTGGAGCCTGCTTGTCAACGCCGGCGACAATCTCACACGTCAATCAAACTAAAGGGAAGATTGGCAGGGAATGCTTTGGTTGAATTGCTTTTTATCTCTGGCATCTGCGCGGCACGGCAAGGAGAAGGGAGTGAAGTGGTAGCAGCGGGAAGCATCGGCCAAAGAGGCAAACTAAAGAAACGACAAAGGAGTGTGTGCGGGGTTGGGAGGTTTAACACGAAAAGGGTACTTGAACAACAGAGAGAGAGTGAAGAACCGCTTCTGAGAAGGGATCGACGGAAATGAAGGATGGAGGAGGGTATAGCAAAGGGAAGAAGCGGTGGACGAGAGAGCGAAGCAAACAGAAAAGCGGGGATATCAGAGGTCGCGGCCCAAGTCGTACTTGCGCTTCTGCTCTTCGTGGAAGCTTCGAAGATCCTTTTCGGAATTCTCGGCCTCGAGGCGTTCTTCGATCCTCCGCAAGATACTCGGAAGGCTGCCCAGAATGCCTGTTGATGTTGGAGTTGTTGCTGTAGGTGTCGCTGCGGCTGGCGTGCTTGCCGCCACCGCTGGTGTGGTCGAGCCGGCTCCAAGAATAGAAGTGATGCCATTCGCAATGACATTTGTCACGCCACCAATGACCGTCGTTACCGCCGCTGGCGCCACATTTGGCACCACATTCGGTGTAGCAACAACACTGGCCGACGTCGACGTCGGGCATCCCAGGCCGCTCAGAACACCTCCGACGATGGGCAGGCCGGTGGCTGCGCCGCAGAGTTGCGAGCCGACACCACCGGGAATCTGGCTGAGGATGCCACCAACGACGTTGCCCGGCAAATTGCTCAAGTCACCAATGACTGTCTGAAGAGTCGCCAACGAAGCGTTACCGAGAAGGACCTCGAGAATCTGATTGAGAGCACCGAGAGAGTTGATCTCGATTCCCGAATCGCCACCAAAACCGATAAGGTACTTTGTCTCGATGTTGTGCTGCTCGTACTTGAGGCCAGGGACGAAGTACTGACCATCAATGGTGGCCTGAATCACATTGGCGATGTTGAGATGGTCTCCAATAAGAGGAAGCGAGCCGACAAGACCCTTGGTGAGGAGAATGTTCGTGACCTTGGGTGATGTCACAGAGTTTTTCGACGGATTGCCCGTCGAAATGGCCGCTGGGAGGGTGAATGCGCTGGCACCTGTGAAGTCAAAGTCGAACATCGCGTAGGGACCATCCTGCGGTTTTTCATAGCTCGTAACCGTGGTGGCTTTATTTGGGAACAACACCCAGGGTAAGCGCCTTCGATCTGGATAGTAGGCGACACGGCACACTCACAGATGTGATTTAGGGTGATGTCGACTGGCAAGTCATTCTTGGCATCGAGATAAGCGTAAATGTGCGTCGGTTGCAGTCTGTTTTATTTTGTTGCCGGTCAGCAAAATTTGTGCAAATATACGAAAGCTTTCGGGCGACTTACGCAAGACCTTCCAGCAGGGTTTCCAGCGAAATGTAAGCACGGATCTCAACCGCGATCCTAGTACCGATACCTTGAAGCGTGGCTGCCGCTGTAACGCCTTCGAGCGCTGGCTCCAGCGATTCGTACGGACTCAGGGGCGGGTTGGCGTTTGGCAGACCGGTAATCAGGAGCGGAATCGAATTGCCCATGCCTTGGGTCATGAGATCGGTCGACTGGAGATAGTCGGTAAGCACAGCCTGCTGATCCGAATTGTTGTTTTGCTGCATGAATTCGAACAATGAGTGTACGTTGTTCGTGCCGGGGATTAGGCCGATGTCGGGGATCGTCGCTCGGCCAATGATGACAGGCGTCTTCGTCGTGCTGCTCGTGTAGCGGACGGGCAGCGAGAGCTGATTGGTGAACAATGTGAGGTTGCTAGGGTTCTCAAGCGTGGCGGTAAGGTCGATGCCGATATAGTCGGGAGTGCCACTGTCGACGCTGACGTTGGACACGCCAGCCACATGGTTGAAACTGTTGATACCCCGGAGCGATGACGTGACATTGAAAGGAATGCCTGTGATCGTCGGGTTACCAATGACCAGACCCGCGACGACGCTTGTAGTTCCCTTCAGTCCAAACGTTGCACTATCTGTGTCGGCCAGCTTAGCCAGGAACGATGAGAAGGCGCCGTGGTCGGCCGCGACGATGTTCTGGTTCATGAAACTGAGCTCCAGAGGCTGCATATCCGTCGGTCCGCGCGACGTGCCGGCCTTGACGGGTGCCAAGGGCAAATTGATGTTGGCAGCATCAACGCCGCCGTACGTGAGCGTGATCATCGGGCCGGCCTCGAGGGGCGTGAGACCAAAGCCGAATGGGTTTGCGAACATGGCCAATGTCTGATTGTTACTGCCAACAATAGTGTACGAGTCAGCAGGGTTGAGAACCTTCGCCGTCAGGTCCGACAACGTGATCGAATAGATGATCTGGTAGATGTGACCGGGCAGGATGACGTTGGTTTCGAAGCGCTTGAAGGCATCAGTAAGCCACCTGACAGGCTGTCCACCGCTGGCAGGCGTTATAACACTGAAACCCCTGACGGTCAAGGTCGAATTTTGACCCGCGAGGAACTGCGAGAAGAGAATACCGAGATTCGCCAAGGCGGCGTCGTTCCCGTGCTGGTCGCTCAAGAAGCCCTGGAGATTGGACAGCGTCGTGGCCTTGGATGCGAGGAAGAGATCGATCGACGAAATTTGACCGAGATAGCTTCCCTGGAACAAGACGTCGAACGTCGCAGTGCCCAATTCGACTCCCAGAGACGCAGGCGAATAGATGGGAGCTTGTGCCACAAGATTAATGCGGTTGCCCGGACCGTCGCTGGGTGCATTGAACATGGAGATGACGATGCCCTTTAGGCCGTCGAAAGCGTCGAGTGTGATCGTCTTTTCCAGGATGACATCGTCAAAGACGATGTTGAGGGCGCGGACACGAACCTTGTTGCTGTGCAGGAACCACTGGAAATTAGGTTCCGTCAGAATGTAATAGGCAAAGTTGGTGAAGGCGTCATTGTTCAAGATGGTCAGCTGGCCGTTGGTATTCAGGTTGGGGATACCATCCGGAACCTGCGAGCAAAGGGGTGGCAAAGAGATCTCGGCAATCGTCGTGCCCATGAAGTCGATTTGGACAGGCTCAGTGAACTCGATATAAGCGTCGGCGGGCGCATTTGTCAGGAGAGAGCCTGCGAGGGCGGCAGCGAAGCCTTGACTTGTGATGGCCGTCGCGTTCGCCTGCGTGACGAGGAGAGTAGCTTCGTTGACGACGAGCTGGATCAGTGGAGCACCAGCCGGGCCGATGAGGTAGAGAGCTGTGTCATCCGTGGCGACGGGCACGGGAGACTGAACGAAGTTAAGATCCGTCTGATAATCATCAATCTTGACCGTCGATTGGATCGGAATAGTGGCAGTCAGAGGTTTGAGCAGCTCGAGAACGGCACCGAGGGTGTCGAATGCGCGACCAGAGTAGCAAACAGATCCCCTCGCCGTCGCCGGTTGAGGGTCCGGTGTAGGCACGATCGTCGTCGTTGTGTCGGGCAGATCGAGAACTTGCTGGAAGAAAGGTGGCAGAGGTCCTAGGCTGACGCCAGCGGTGGCTGCCGCAGCCTCAATAAAGCGAATCAGCGTCTTCGGGTTCGTGTCGATGGTGATAGGGATCTGCTGCGACTGCGTCGTCACTTTGCCCGGCGCGCTGATGATGTTGTTCTCTGCCCCGAGGTTCTGGTTGATGCGGCCGATAGTGATTCCCTGGTACACAGCCTGTGCCTGGAGGTTGATGATGTTGATCGACGCGGTGAAGGGGTTGGCAATCATCACCGAGGCCATGGCAATGCTCGTCTGTGCAATGTTGGTCGGCACCTCGAGGGCAGCTTGAATAACGACGAGTTTCAACAGCGGCGGAATAGCCGCCGTCAGCTGGATGCCGCTAAGACCTTGGATCAATGAGGGAATGGGAGTCGTTTGGGTGGTGCCCTGGACGACCGCATCCGATGTAATGTTCTGAACGTAGTTCTCCAAGAGTGTCTGGCCCGACCGCACGTTATCAGCGCCCACGGGCATGTAGTTGATCTGCGTAGGAATGTTGTTGACGCCTGGGACGAGGAGGACGTTCTTGATAAGGGCCGCGCCGATGACATGATCCTGGAACAGAGCCGCAAATTGAATGTCGCCCGCGCCAATAGTAATGTCTGATGGGTTGACGAGCTGTGTCATGACGGTGATCATGAGATAGGTGGGGTATCCATGTACGACGTCCAGATCTGACACCTGAGCGGGAACACTGTTGAGGTTCTGCAGACCGAGAATGTTGGTGTTGAGGTCGAATGGGATATCACTGATCGTCACCTTGCCGGCGGCCGTGTCAGCGAGACCCGTAGCGGAACCGTGGAGGTTGAAGGTGACCTGCTCGCCCTTTGTTACATCGGCGACGAACTGTGAGAACGTCTGCTGCTGGCCATTGTAGACGGAGAAAGGAACGTTGTTGAACATCAGCGTCAGCACACGAGCCTCTACGTCCGTCATCGTTGGCGAAGTTGGAATGTTGAGGACAGCCATATCATTGTCGTTGTAGCGTGCAATGAAAGGACCAGCGACGGTGTCGATCGCAACGGGCAGCGAGAATGGCAGGAAGAAGTTCGCTGTCGTGTTGGACGTGTCGGACATGGGTGCGTACGCAGTCGGAATCGTGAAGAAGAGCGACAATTGGTTGATCGACACCAAACGGATGACTTGGAAATCCTGCGCAGGCAGCATCACCTCGACGTCCAGGGCTTTGATGCCTTCGTTCAACCAAACTACGTCCGATGGTCCCGCGTACATGCCCATGACGCGCAGTGGCGTGTTCTGGTTGTGGACGAAGTTTGTCAACACATTGCCCAAAGTAGAGAGGTCCTGATCCGTCGTCTGCGGTTGAATGCGACCGACAAGAGGAACCTGCGTCACAGCAAGGGCCTGAAGCGTAAAGGCACCATCCGAGCCTGCCGGACCGATCGTCGACTGGTTGGCCATGATCATGGTTCCAAATGCCGTGAGCGCCACGCCCACTTGCGCGGGGTTGTTAATCGTGCTGATTGCCGTGAGATGCAAGCCTCCCGCGGGATCATTCGATGGCACATCGAAAGAGTTGATAATAACCTGGCCCTGAAGACCGTTAAGACCAGTGAGCTGAACATTTTTGTTGATCGTGACGTTGGGTACGACAATGCCCAGCGCGCTGACGCGAATGTTTTCGCCTCGAATGTTCCAGATGAACGAAGGATTGCGGATCGCATCCTGGAGGAAGCTGGTGAAGAAGTTCACATCGGGGATCTGACCTTCGACAATGACGTTGAGCGATGATCCGAGGTCACCGACGAGCGACACGTTCGGGAATGCAGCCGTTGTGAGGGCTTGACCATTGTAGTAAATCGTGAGACCATCGGGGAATTCGACGACTCCGTCAAAGGGTCCTGCATTGGTCAAGGCACCCTGCAGGGCCGCCGTAAAGCTCGTTGGTCTGGCATCCGTGATTGTGACACGGTCAACGTTGAGAACGGCGCTGTCAACAACGCGCTGGACGATTGGCAAAGCGAGAATGGGAAGGAGCTTGAAGAGAGTGTCATCGGTGCCGAGGGGCACGTCATTCTGCGAGAACGTCAAGGTGGTGCCGTACTCGCCAATGATCGCATCACCGACAATTTCGAGGTTGGCCGTCGCAACCGTGAAAGCCCTGCCCACATAGTCAACAATGTCGAAACCAGTGTACAGGTTGTCACGCTTTTCGAGTCCTCCGTAGCTCATCCTGCGACCAGCCTTCGCCACACCATCGCTCACTGCCTCATCCTCGTCCTCTTGTTCGCCTTCAACGAGATCGTCGTACTCTAGAAGCGCTCCAGGATTGGACCCGGTGCCCATGAGCATCTGAGCCATCTCATTGTCGTCTTCCAAAATGAAGGAATCGTCGGTTTCCTCCCGCTTCCTCATGTGCGAAGTACCGCTGTTGGCATCGGTACTTGGGTTCAGCGTGAAACCTGCGAGCTGGACAAGACCGTCGAGGTATGCCGGATTTTGGCCCGATTGAATGACCAACGCTCTGAGGAGACTGAAAAGGTCCGGAGGGTAGAGGTTAAGCGACAAGGGCACAACAGGAGACGTCGTCACCTGCTTCCCGGGTGCAGGGAAATTGAGCGGCGTATCGATGTGAGCAATGTAGATACCGTGCGATGAGGCGTTTGCGCGAATATGCGTGATCGTAAGCTCGGAGCTGAATGGATTTAGCAGGGAGACGTGAGAGTCGGCAAAGTCATTGACCAGTCCCGTTGTGTCGAGCACTGTCAAGTTGGCCGATCGAGCTAGGTTCTGCTTAAGACCGGGGAGCGTAGCGTTCAAGCGGATGCCGGCAAGTGTAGGAGCGAGCGACTCGACTTTGCTCGACTGTAGGCTACCAGTGATGTTGACATTGGTGTCGAGGCCCGAGATGAAACGATTAAGTGTCTCCAAGCCCCGTGGGTCGCGATTGGGATCGAAGAAGGCCGTCGAATTGATGTCGTTCCGACCAATTTTCAAGTTCAAGGCGGGAAGGGTGGCGTTGCCGAGGATCACACCATTGACAAGGTTGAAGGTGGCGTCACCTGCCGAAATATTGATGTTGGAAGGGTTGATGGCAGTAAGCCCGACGGTGAGGGCGACGGCATCGGGTGCCCCACCAGTGACATCGACGCTATTGATGATCGTCGGGTATGTGGTCAGGCCGTTCAGGCCGGCAAGGCCTGTACCGACGTCGAACTTGATGCCATTGAGAAGAATTCTTCCCACGGGCGTGTCGCTCACCGCCTTTGCGAGACCATCGGAAGTGAACCCAGCAGTGGCGGCATAGGTGAAAGCATTTTGGAACTCGATGAGTTGCTTCCTGGCTTCGACGGTGGTGTTGGGCAGCACGAGCTGCGAGGGCGCCAGCGTTAAATCGATAGTGCCCGACGTCTCACCCGACGAAAGAACAGCAATATTGGTCGACGAATTCGAGTATGGACCGTAAACTGTACCGACGGGTGCACCTTGGTAATAGATGTTGAGCTGCGCGGCGAGGCTGGTGATGTTGAGAGAAAAGCCAAAAGGCAAGCCAAAAGAGCCTACGAGGGCGTTTGAAAAAACGTCAGGGTTGTACGGTAGCTCTTCCTTATACACGAGCGAAATATAGTCGATGGTGATGCCTTTGATTGGGTTGATGGGGCTCGGCGGCACGAAGGGAATTTGCGCCACCAGCGACGTAATACCCTTCTGGAGCCACGACACAGTCTCGCCGTTGGCAAGCTGCGTCGACACTCCAATGGCCTGGACGGGCGACGATACGCTGTTGATGTAATTGGTAAAGAGCTCTCCCAGAATATTGAGCGCCGTTGCATTGTCTGCATAAGGGACGACTCGACCTCGGAGTGTGGCCGTGTTGATACCGCTGTGTACAAGTCAGCATGACTCATATCTCGGTTTTAGATGGGCAGGATTAGATTATGAGCAACTCACGCAGTCAAATTTAGCCCATGAACCGAGACAGGACCAAGATAGAGACCCTTGTAGTACAGTGCAAGGTTGAGCGTACCGACGGCAACTCCGAAAGGAGAGGGATTGACAAGTGTTGCCGTAGCAACCGCTGTGATGCCGCCAGCAGGGTCATCACCAGGCAATTGAAGGTCCTGGAAGAAAATTTTAGTAGTTTCAGCAAGCAAGCCACAATTCATAGGCCGAGGATGGTAAAGCCCACAATGATGTGAATGTCTTCGAAGTTGTTGATACCCTTGATGATGACGTCCTTTACGAATTCCAGTTGCTTGTAGACAGGGAAGAAGCTGAAGCCCTCTGCGTGCACCTCCGGACATCGAACCTGCCAGGTGAACTCCTCCTCCGAAACGAGCCACTGCGCAAAAGTTCCAAAGCCTTCTTCGTCGGCAATGTGAAAGGTGGTTGCCTGCGGAAGATGGTAAGTAAGACAAGTGAGGCAAGGATGGACATTATGAGAAATGTTCAGCGCACCTGCTTGACGCGTCCATGACCGGCGGCAGCACCGATATGCGCAAGCTTGAAGTTGCCTAGGTGGAGCTCCGTGCCGAGAGGCTCATCCTCTGTTGGGCGAGACCTCCAGTACACATCGACGGGCTTTCGAAAGTAAAGGTGTGCCGGGAAAATACCCGTCTTTCTGACCTGTTTTGAACTTGCGATGAGCTCTGGGAAGAAGTGGGAGGGTATGAGTCAGGAGACGCGTACCTGGCCTTCGATGGTGAGGGGAAATGAGGTATTTCCGGGAGCGGTGATGTTGGATTCGTAGACGTGGAGCTGGGCAGTATGCAGCGCATGCCTCGCGATGGCCCACAGAACAGGGACCAAGGCAATGACACCGACGACTGCAAGGATTGGTGGTGCAAGGAAAAGGCAGCAGAAGCCGAGCTTCTTTGTGAAATACTTTTTCTCGTACGGCGTTCCGCGAGCGGCAAGGTATCCGATCGGCGTACCTGGCTGGTACATGTTTTGTCCAGATCGAGACGTGTCTTGGCTCCCTCGGGAGCTTGCTGCGCCGCCACCTGCACCCCGTCGTCTGACCAGGTCACGTCGGGACCCATACGATTCGTTGTCGCCCATCTTGATATGTTATTCTCCTCGGCACTTTCCAGCCTCCCCTCACGGTCCTTTTCCTGTCTTCGCCCCCGAAGAGTCCAAAAGATTGACTTGTGGTAAGATTGCCGTCGAAGCGAGGGTCGGTGTGAGAAAATGGAGGTCAAAGATCAGCTTTCTTGTTGCGTAGTGTCGCTCGAAGTCGAAAGGGTGGGGATAGGGGGAGAGCGCGGTGCCTGCGAACCGAGGTCTGTCGAGACGTCGCCGCGGCCGTTGCAAGGGTGGGGGACTAGGGGACAAGCAGAGAGGGGTTGAAGGGATGGAAGGGGGTAAGGAGGGGAAAGAAGAGTGATGGTGAGGGGTCAAAGGTGAAGTGAAAGTGACGATGGGCAATGGCAGGGCAGAGGACGGTCGCAATACCGGAAAGAAGCCAGACCGAATTCGGGCCCGTCTGGCCAAGAAGTATTGAAGGAGCTGGGTGCTTCTAATCCGGGGTAAAGCAGCTCTGGGCCACTACATACATTGACCTATGTTTTACCTCGCTACTCGATTGACTCAGAGTACTACTACCGTACTGAAATTTGCAGTCAACTACCAAAGAGCGATCAGAGCCATCCAAAAACCCCGCAGAATCGGCCAGGACTTTAGAGGTCCGACCCGCGATGCCTACCCTACCTACTTGCCGCCTGTCCTGAGACTTCAACAAACGCCTACTTGCTTTGTACCACATTCAGTTAGCTCGAAACCATTTTTTTAAATCAGGACTCCGATGCCCATCCTTTCTGGTGTGGGGCATCCAGCTCCTGGCTGGCATCGTCTGAGCCTGTACATCTGCGGGCGTGGGACGAAATAGAGGAGCAGACAAATGCGTAAAGAATAAATGATTGTTGTTGTCAATATGACCACTACTACATTAAAAATAATCTGAATGATGTTGCCGCACAGAAGCGTACAGATGCGTCTTTGCCCCTTGAACAGCTGCTTCTGCAGCCTGGCCCACATCGAAAGTCAGACAATCACCGGTAAGCTGCATATTACTCTATGCATGGAGAATCAGAATTGAGATGCATTAATTAAATTGGTAAGATTAAGAAAGCTTTGCGATTTTCGCCCTCACGACGAGACTCCATCCCGGGTTTTTGGGGCACGGTATACCGCTCGGCCGTCCTGAACCATCAACGTTTTCTCTCGTGAGTGGAATCGTCAAAACCTTCGGACAGCACAAAGAGCGACTCATTGGATCGCGCCAGCAGCTAAGCCAAGAAGACTCTGCTCGCACCGGAGAGGTTGAACGACGTCCCATTCTTACACTGTTGAACATGAGGCCAGGGAGCAAGCAAATAACGTTAGCGCGTTCTCAGTCCCCCACATTTTCTTCGTTCTCTCCAGGCTATTTGCTTACTTTTTTTCTCGATCGTCGACTTGACCGACATTACTATTGTCATTGACACTTTATGACACCACCTAATTTTAATACCGCTGCTCCGGCATCCTTTACACCCGGTGTGACGGGAGAGTCGGAGAGAACCCGGGTTCTGGCTTGACGTGGCGTGAACTTCATCCGGAAGGCTAGGTCGTCGAACAAGTCGCCGCCCTGTCGATCCGGCTTGGGCCGTTCAAAGGACAACACTGCTCACTGCACCGTGGCGGCTATTCACTTCATTTCACAACGCGCCGTTGACGACTTCTGACTCAACACACAACTTCACCTTCTATTATATTACCGTCACGGATATCGCAAGGGCCACGTCTTTTCTCACGAGGGTGCATAGGAAGAAGACATGTTGAGATTGGTAAGAAACAGAAAAGGTCAGAGAATTGACATGAATGCAAGTTAATGGTGTTGATCGGCCAAATGAACGGCACAAAGATGAGAAAAAGAGCGCACAGACTAATACAAAATCAGAGCCAAAGAAAGACACATTTTCAGTTGACAACCTTGCTTCCGTTGCCCATGGTGACTTCACTCTTGGCCGCCTTGGTCTTGCGCTCGCCGAGGAGAACTTCGCTCGTCGGCGAGTCAAGTTTACCCTCGTCTTTCTTCTCGTCGCCGATCTCCTTCTCGACGACGGCCGGAGCAGCAAATTCGGCGGGTTTGCTCGCAGGGTGCGTGTCCACCTCAGCCTCCTCATTTGAAGAAAGCCCGCCGGCGGGGGTGGACTTTGGGGTTCCATTGACCTTCTCGCCAGATGTTGTCGGTGTCAAGGGCGTGGCGGGTGTCACGGGCTCGACACCAGCCTGAGAGGCGTCGGTGCTGGTCTCGTTACTCACGTCATTGGACCTTGTGCTAGTGACAGATGAGGGCGACACCAATGCCTGCTGAGATGAAGAAGACGCCGTGGCGAGGGACTTCACGGGCTCCTTCCACGGGTTCGATACATTTCTAGGTCGGGCTGTGCTCTTTGCGGTGAGCGGTGGGGCTGCGGCAGCAGCAGCGCTGCTCAAGCTGCCGCTGGATCCCTGACGTTTGAGAAAGCTAGCAGAGGAAGATGCAGAGACGGACGCAAGGTTGGACTGCGAGGTGGATTTTCGGAGTCCGTAGCCGTTGCCGTTGCCACTAGTGTTGTTGTTCTGGTTGTTGTTGTTGCCATTGCCATTGCCATTCACATTCAAAGTAGCGCTTCCGCTGCTCAGCTGCCTGCGCTGCTGAGGTCGAGATGAAGGGCGGGAGTCTTTGACACTCTCGACAGGCGTGTAGTCCATCTCGCTCCTACGATCATCGTCGTAGCCCGCACCGGCAGTGCTGTTGTGATCCAGACTCGAATCTGCGCCGCCATGACCGACGCTCGAAGCGCCGTACTCGTGACGGAGGCTGCTGGCCGAGGCATTTGAAATTCTGCGCCTGCGCCGCTCGTCTCGTGCTTCCTTGAGATCGCGGTCGTATGTACCCGAGCGCCTTCCCTCAAGCTGAGTCAAAGTGCTCTCAAGCTGCTGCTGGATGCGTGAAATTTGGTTCGTCACAACGCTCGTCCGGTGCTGGATCTCGTAATTCATCTGGTCGTCTGGGAAGTGATGCTGGACGCTGCTGGCCGTCTCGCTGGTCCCATTGGCACCTCCTTGGCCTTCATATCGCTGACCATGGCCTTGGGATGACTCGGCGGCTGCACGGCTGGTGGCCCTAGAGCGCGAAGGACGTCCCTCGGAAATCCTAGCCTCGGCCAAGGCGCGGGATCGCAAGATGTGTTCGGCCGCCTGCGAGGGCGTGTGACTGGCCTGCGATCCAGACGGGCTGCTAGAACGAGAAAGTGGGTTGAACTGGTGATTAGTGGCGGGGAAGAATTGAGCCAAGTCTAGCCGAGACATTGTCGCATTGACGTCTTCAACTCCGCCCGTGCCAGTGAGGACAGCGCGGATTTCATCCATCATAGACTCTCGCTCTTGCTCGAGCGAATCCATGGCCTGCTGCATCTTGAGCAATTCGTTCATGGCCTCTTCCCTCGCCGTTTCAGTTTCCTTTAGCTGAATTTGCATTTCGACGTGCTGGATGTCCCTCTGGGCAAGTGTCGAGCTAAGCCTTCTTGACTCTCTTCGCTCCTTGTCGAGCTTACTCCTCAGGTCATTTGCCTCGCGCGTGAGCCGATCGACGAGCTGCTGAATCTTTGCGAATTGCGCGCGCCACATCTCGCTCTCGCTCATCAGGAAGGCCAAGCGCTTGTTGAGACGGCCGATCTTGTTTTCCAACCCGTCGCGCGCATCGACAAAGGTGCTCGCGCGCCTGCGCAGCGCCAAAATTGCACTCATCTCGGCGGGTGTCGCAGCTCCTGCGGCGCCGTCGGTGCCCGACGATCCACGAGCGAGGGTAGCTGCTCGCGTCTTGAGGAACTTCTTCAGCATCGAAGGTTTAGACCCCTCGTGAAGAACCTTGTCGAAAGCCGAGATGACACCGACCTGGTCCCACCACACTGGCCGGGCCAGCTGCTCGTACGCTGAGTCACGATCACGGGTGGTGATCTGACTCAATGGCCTCAGGCGGCCTCCAGGGTAAGCCTCAACAAATTCCCTCGGTGGGCTGTAGTCCACGTTGGAAATAGCCAAGGCGGTGAACAGCTTGCGCCTTCTTCGCTCTCGGACGGCCTTTGTACTGGGTGCACCGACCGGTGGGCGCGGACAATTGACAAAATTGATGTCGAGATCCACGACGCAGACTTCCTTTGCGGGTTTGATGATGCTTCGCAGCTCGGTGTTGATTGCGATGATCCACGAACCAGGATCTTCGAGGTAGATGCGCACATCACGGGCATGGCAATTTTGGTTGGCCACGCCCCGCCACCCTCGCATCTCGACCAGGTACTTGATCGTCTCGACTGCGACGCCGAGCATGGCCGGGTGCCTCGAGAGGAACAGGATACGTCCCTGGGGGGCAAGGGCGATCTCGCACAATGTCAAGACGTTGTCAAGGGAGAGCGACTTGAACAAGGGCCACATAGTCGTGTCGGTGCCGATCAGGCCGGTGCCCCACTCCAGTGCACCGGGGAAGGTGCATTGAAAAGTGACATCCTTGTCGGGCGAGGCCACACGGAATTTCTCGCCGAGTCTGGGGGCGGGATGGCGGAGGATGGTAGACATGAGTTGGTTATGCATCTCGATGTTGCGGCTGTACTTGTGCCAAGCCATCTTGTTCCAGTCGCCCAAGAGGTCGTAAAGTGGGTAGCGGGAGACGATGCAAATGGCATAGGGCATGAAGAAAGTGTTGTTGGCGGGCAAGAAGCTATACGACGACGCCGAAGGATCGGCCTCTGCCTCGTTCTCATCGCCCCCTGCTCCACCCTCGCTATCGATCCAACCGCCGGCAGCTGATCGCTTATTGGCGGACTTGCCAGCGGAGCCGGCACTGACACGCTGCTTTGCCGCTCGAGAAAGCTCCTTCTTGATTGTTTTCGATCGCCGCTCGTCGGCCGCACTCCAGACGGTTAGGACGACGCCATAGAAGGTAGCCGGGGTGTCATCTGCATCGCCCAGCCTGGACTGCTCAAGGCCAAATCCTTCACCGACCCCGCTGGCCGCACTGGCCTTGCCCACAGACACGCCCACGGCGCCCGTCGCTTTATCGAGCAACTCACCCGAGGCGGTGATGGTGGGAACGCTAAATGAAAAGGTATGCGATGTTGCCACAGGCGGATAATTGCCCTGGCCAGAGATGATTTCGATTTCGCGCGTAAAGGAGAGCTTCAGGGCCTTGGACAGGACCCGAGCCGTTTCTGCCTTTTCGATGCCGCCACGGCCATCGCTCATCTCGATGAACTTTGGGTTTTGCGACTTCTTGCCATCGGCGGCACGGCCGTCCCACTTGCTATCGCCAGACTTGTTCATCGTCTGGCTTTCGGCAGACGAAACGCCGTTGTCATCGGTAGACCGCGCAAGGACCTCGCTGGGAGAAGGGCAGATGGAGCAGCCAAGCACCTCTGGCCGCCAGAAGCGACCAACGGCTCCTTCGACGTGGTGGACACCGGCGACACAGTCCTCCTCAGCCAGCGTCCACACCGAAGGGTCCTTGGGTAGGCCGAAGACGGCATACAGTTGTGCAATCGTGTTACCATCTCCGCCTCCACCGGTGCTTCCGCCGACTCTGGTGGTAGACGCTGGAAATTGGTCTGGCTCCATTGACGCGGTGCCATTGCCGCGACTGCTCTCCCGGGCCTGTCCTGCCATCGTCGCTCCCCCCAGTCCAAAGTGACTAGCGCTGCTGCCGCTTCCGCCGCCGCCGCCGCCCTCGTCGCCCGCAGCGCTGCTACTGCTTCTCGGGCCTGGGCTTGGTGTGTGAAGGCGATTTGAGAAATTAGATTTTCCTAGCTTCTTGCTCAGCCCGACTGCTGCTCGCTTGGAGGGCCCAAAGCCAATCGAGCCAGCCGACGAAGAGGCATTCATGGGTGCGATAGTATCGCGAGCCTCGTCCTGCGAGAGAGCAGGCGACAGTGCGCGGCCGCTTTCCGTTCTGCGTCCGGTGGGCGTAGAGTCACGAGAACCAGAGCCCGTACCAGCGGTTCCACTCTGCGATGTCGTTCTTGGCCTTACGCGGGCGACGTTGGAAGAATTCTTTGAATCGGCGGCGGGGCTTCCTTCCCGTGCCTCGGCCAGATCCGGGAGCTGTCTCGGCGTTGTAGATCCATTGCTATGCGTGTGGGCAGCGATGAGCATCACATCTCCAAGCTGCGCATCCTCGTCGATGGGAGAATTTGGGAGAGACTTGTTGATCGTCACAAAGGGCGGCATGGGAGGCGGTGTCTCGATTGTGCCTGTGCGGCTGCTTGGCCGCGAGCCGTCACCCTGGTTGCATTATATGTGTCAGACGCAAACCTCCCTCTCCTTGACTATGGTCATTGTCACGCACCTTTTTACTACCGATGCTCCGCCGACTGGTGCTCGTCTTGATGCTCCTCAGCGACTCCGATGACTTTCTCCGCGCGGCTCGCCAGGCGCTCGCGAGGTTGGTCCCCGCCGTCTCCATCCCCGTCATGCCAACATCTCTCCACCCTCTGGCTTTCCCGTTGAGGCTCATCTCCTCTTCTCCTTCTTCTTCTTCTTCTTCTTCTAGTTCTTCTTCTTCGTCGACGGAGACTGAGCAATGCTACCGCAGCGCTCCTCGTTGGAGACGAGGCGAGGACACGCGGCTGCACTGATGGAAGGACCGTGCCTTTTCGAATTGGCAGCCCCTCCTCTCTTGCGCGCGCAGCGGCAGCAGGCGTTCCGGCAGGTGTGCAATATCCGACACTAGCCTTTCTGGGCAAATGCACCTCTGGCCAAAGCCGGTAAAGTGCTTCGAGGCTGGCGCTAGCTGGGCTAGGCTAGCTATGAGATGGCGGCGCGAGGTTAGGATAAGATCTCGCTCACCCCGTCTCTCTCTCCCTCTTGCAGAACGGCTTCCACGAGAAGGGAAGTTAATGTTGGTGAAGGGGAAGTGAAAGGGCGTGAGCAGGTGGTCGGGGAAGCAAGACGAGTGCGCTCTTGCCTACAGAATGTCAAAAAAGAGGGTGCCTGCCGTGCTGTGATGCCTCGTGCGTCCAATCATAGGCAGAAAAACGATGCATCAGTGGACTGTCTCGCTGCTGCTGCTGCCATTATTATTGTAGCCAGTGTACTACTACGTTACACCACTGTTACTAATCTACCGCTCCTACTAGTACTATAATTGCTCCTACTAGCGCCTCTGCCGACCGGTGGGGGAAACTTTTTATCTCTTTTCATATCAATTTGTTTGTGCTCGTCGGTTTGAAAAGAGACATCAGGATAAAACTTCGCTCGTACCTAAGTTGACCCTTAACTTCTTCTCTTTTACCCTAGTAGTCTGATTTTGTGTATGTGTGGTATCTTGTCTGAGACAACGTTGCTGTTTGACCGAGTGTTTCTCGAGGCAGAATCACCGTTGCCAGTCGCTTGAAGCTCTTTGATTGTCACACACTACTGGTCGAAATCTGCTCGGTCTGACACAGATTTCCAGAGGACGTGCCCTTTTGCATGGCTCGGACCACTCGCTTGGGTCCGAAGATAGACTCCGAGCTTGTTGGCTTCCCGTAGAGTGTTCTTTCGAGAGAGAAAGAATCGGAGTCATGAGAACGACGGGCCATGTGAATGAAGAGCATGTCCATCGGCCTACAATCGCCACGCGTTCTCAGATGGTCACGTAATCGGTAATTGTGACCGACTTATGTCCAAGTCTCGGATTTAGGCTCGCACAGACATCATCGACCAACACATCGGCGCTGATCGTCACGATGGGCTATCCCACGGCAGAGATGGAACCGCTTCTCGAGAGCGTCTCTTCGCTCCTCGTCGACACGGCATCGACTCTGTCGATTGCAGAGTCGACTTCGGGCGGCTTGATCTCGGCGGCGCTCCTCTCGCTCAATGGGGCTTCAAAATGGTATCGAGGCGGAGCGGTCCTCTACACCCTCGAGGCAAGGTCGGAGTTTGCCGGCTGGACCGAGGAAGACACGAGGAATTACAGGTAGGACGTGCGGCTTGCCGCCGACACACTGTGAAGATGCGGCTGCTGATATGAATCTGCAGAGGACCGACGGAGGATGTAGCATCGACGCTGGCTGTCAACGTGCGAGAGAAACTCAATTCCACCTACACGATTGGTGAAGCAGGTGTTGCAGGTCCGCATAGCCTGGTCCGCAGCCTCCCGCCGTGAGTGCAGTCTCGTCTGACCTCGATAGCAGCCAGCACAGACGCGCTGAAATTGCATCCTACATGTGTGGGCGTTCAGCGGTCTGACATGCATCTCAATCGCGCGAGAGGACGGTCCACCAGTAACAAAGACCATCATGACGGGCAGCCGGGATCGGGCGCTGAACATGCAGGCATTTGCCGAGGAATCATTGAAGCTCCTCCGAGATGTCCTCTTGGCCAAAAAGGAAGGCCACAAGCTGTAGTCTTCAGCCTCTGCTCCAATGTAGTGTAGCCGGATGCAACACAGCCAGAGGACTGTATGACGAAAGGGGAACGAGAAGCATGCTCTGCAATGTAGTGGAAAGAATACCCTTGACACACGATTTCTCTCTCCTGGGCTCCTTGTGAGGCGTTGGCATCATCGCCCTGAGAGACCCACTTTTGCGACCTGTGCGCGGAGAAGCTGCAACCTCCACCTGACGCAACGATCCCACAAATTTCCCTCCCTCTCTGGGAGCCGCCGCTGTCCAGAATTTCCGTCTTCTCTATCAAACAGCAACCACAATTCTCTTTGCTCCTTTCCTCGAAAGAGAGAAGAGAAATCCAGAGCAAACATGGCCTCGCTCATATCGAAGCTGCCCATCGATGTGCAGACGCTTCTCCCGCGCTCGGGGGGCTACCCAGAGGTGAAGAAGCTTCCCCAGCCGGGCGACATGGCGCCTGCGCTCCTCGACGAGAACTGGACCTCGGCACCGCACCTCGTCGCCTTTGTCCGACACTGCGGCTGCCCCTTTGCCCAGGCCGAAGTCGAGTCGCTGGGCCGCGCGCTCAAGGCGCACCCAAACGTTCGGATCGTCATTGTCTCGCACAGCTCCGACGAAGTTGTCAAGGACTGGTTTGAGCGCGTGGGCAAGGCCAACTTCCCCGACGAGGCAAAGGACGTGAGGCTCGTGGCCGACCCCAAATTCGAGCTGTATGCCAGCTGGGGCATCGGACAAATGGGCTACTCGGGCATGCTCAACAGCGATATGATCAAGAGCCTCAAGGAGCTCGCAGCGCAGGGCATCAAAAACACCGAGACGGGAGAGGGAAGCTACCGATGGCAAAACAGCGGCGGCTTTGCAGTCGACCACGGCGGCAAGGTCCAGTTCTCCAAGCTGGCCTCTCACGCCGGCGACACCGTCAACTACGAAGAGGCGGTCAAGACGGTTCTTCAGAATTGATATCTTGGGTCTTCTGTGTCTCTTTCCCCCGCCCATGTCCCTGCTTGCATTGCACCATAACCTCACACAAGTACACAACTACTCAATGCAAGGAGGAGGGAGCCAATCTTGCGATTATACAATTGTTGCAGCGAAGGTAAACGGAAGACGAAGTAGCCCTTACGTCGTCAAATAAGGTAGGCAGACAAGACGAAGAGGCGTCATTGCGATGCGGGACTAGCCGAGGTCCACGAGTACACCTGGCGATCCAGCCGCCAGTGGCATTTGCGCGTGAGAAGCGCGTCATCGGTGCCATTGATGCTCACCACGCCATTAAGAGTGTAGGAGCGGAACTCATTGACCTCGCACAGAATCTTGCCCTGTATCCTCTGACCCTTGTTGACGGCCAGCGGTTCCCGAAAGAGGAAACGCACCTGCTGCCAGTGCGTAGGCGTCGAGTAGGGACTCGTCGACATGTACGTCGTCGATTGCGATCCGGCTGCAGCCGACGTGAGCGTCTCGAGGGCGCTCGCAGCCGTCAGTTGGTCCACGTTGGTCGATGTCGAGGGTTCGAATGCGCTCGCATGACCCGACAAGCCTCCGTAGGCTTCTTCTGCCGAGGGCCCAGGCTTCTTGAGGCCTGCGATATCGTCGCCGTCCAGCTCTGTAGCCATGGTCTCGTCACCATTTGCGTCGCTGCTGCTTAGCTTTCTGGAAGCCGACGACGACGAAGCCGGCGGCACAAAGTGCAGGTCGAACCAGCCAGCAAGACCATGAACGACAGCTGTCTGGTTGATCTCGAAATCAAGTGGCATCTCGAATCGCATCAGGTTTTCCCTCGAGATCGTAGCAAAATCGATGTCGTAGTCGTTGGACGGCGACAGGAGGATCAAGGGTCCGAAGCAGCCGACAACGGGCGAGGAAAAGGCTTCGTCCCATGCGGCCTCGGAGAAGGGCGTCATGTCGATGCCATAGAAGTTGCGATTGTCCCAGAAGCGTGCCTTGGTCGCCACCTCGTCCCACACCAATTTGTCCTCCATGGGAGCTAGGCAGATTGTCCCTGCAGAGGGAAAGATGGCACCCCCCGGCTTAAGAAACCGATCTCTTGCATCGAGAAAAGACTCGCACATGCGTTCGTGAACGAGCAGCTGCGCAGAAGGAAGCACTTGAGCGCCTCGAAGAATAGGCTTCTAGCATGCAGAGACTCACCACACCCAGACACTCTGATATGAGGGTGTCGCAGTGCTGATTCCCATCAAGATGGTCCTTTGAGGTCACGTCTTCCATCTTGGCTGTTGCTGCAATCAGAGCCTAGAAGATAACACTGCGCAACTTGATCCATTCACGCACCATGAACCGGCTTGATTTTCCCACTGAGCCACTCATTCGGAGCATCGCAGCTGACCTCTTTGTTTGCGGCATCGACTAGGTGCTGCAGACGCTGGACCATGTTGCTTGCTTCGACGGCGTAGACCTTCTTCGCACCGGCCTGGACCGAGAAGATGGAGAGGATGCCGTTGCCAGCGCCCACATCGATGACGACCTTTTCTCTGAACCATTCTGGGGCGTTGGACATGATCGCTCGCTGGTATGCAGAGGTTCTTACCGCATCCTGAAGCATCTGAGCTTGATGGCTGCAAAGTCTCGCTTGTCAGTACCACCTCTCCGTCTAGAGGTAAGTTGAAAGCGAGCGACGGACTCACCTCAGCAGAGAATAGTACTGGAAGTACGAGACATCCTTGCGCTCATACGGTCCCTCTCCTTCTTCCCCTTCTTCCCCAAGCTGCCTCTTGGCATCCCGCACATCGTCTTTCGCCATTAGTCCGTCCTTCAGATGGTTGCCGCGAAGACTCAGTTTTAAGCAGTGGAGCAAACACATGACGCGCTATTGAAGCTCGGCCGAGGTGTCGGCACATTTCCCATTGCTCTCTTTCTTTCGTTGAGGCTAGATCGGGCAAAAAGCATTGCACTAAAATGCAGCGAAATCGGCCTGGACATGGTCATGAAAGAGACTCCTGAGATGAGGCAAGGATGCGCCAAGCGGTCACGACAAGAGCAGAAAGAACGGGTGAATATGTCTGATAGAGACCCAAAAAAAAAAAAAAAAAAAAAAAAGAGAAGAAGGAACTGCAGCACCCAGGATTCCCGCGTGGTCCCCCACCGCAGTACTGACTAGGCGATACCGTGCTTAACTTCGCAGATCGGACGGGATGCGGTGCTTTCACGGTTCTATGGCCGCAGATGTATATTGCATTCTGGCACCATGACATGATCAGATCGCAAGCAGCATTGGTGACGCATATTGGTCGATTGCCCTGATTGGGTAGAACGCCTTGACGCCAAGACGTAACGGAGACGTCATGCGGATGACCCTGGGGAAGGCTCCGCTGATTGCTTATCATTCTACTGTCCCGAATGAAAGTAGGCCGATAATTCTTTTGCTGATATTGTCTGTTGTTTGTAGCGGAATCAACAATCTTCCAGCTTTGGACTGGGTCCCTGAGGAAATCGCACTACTGCTCTACGTGCTGCAATAGAAACCTGCCTCTTCAGGCAATTTCAGTCCAGAGTAGAGTAGCGTGTATCAATAATAGTGGCGCGCATCTCTTTACTTTCTCTTGGACAGAGGAAAAAAAAACGAAAAGCGCAGGAAATCACCTCAGAATAGATTTCGACCACACGGTAGGTAGGGTGTGCCGTCACCGCCCGCAATCTTCGACCACCTGCCCGTCACCGCCGCGATCGGGTCTAAGCCAAAAACCACGAGCACGACGACGTTTGTCATCTCGAAGCCCTCCTCGCGAGTCCCTCGTTCCTGCTTCTTGGTCTTTCGATCATAAGGCGCCGACGCAATGGTCCAGCGGCTGATTCTGTCAGCCTTGACAGCCCTTTGGCTCGCAGCGTTCCCAGCCTTGGCGAGCTTGCCATTTGACGTCTCGTACCCACGGCAATGCACGCCGCTCAACGTGACGTGGACTCCGTCGTCGGCCGGCTACCCATACACAGTCTACATCATGGCTGTGGGCGGTGCAAGTAAGTCAGACCCTGCCCATCAATCCCGCTCACTCACCCATTCACCCACTCACTCACTCACTCACTCATCCCGGCAGTCCAATCATACACAATCAATAAGGACTATCAGCCCAATTCAGACAAGATCACCTTCCAGTACCTCGTCCCACAGCCGGGTAGTACATTCAGCAGCTTCGTCGTCGCCGTGGCCGACAACCAGGGCAACGGCAACAGCACAAACGTGCTGCCCATCAACGTCGGTGGGAATTCTTCGAGCTCTTGTGGTGCTTTCTCGGGTACGACGCAGTGGACTTATGCCGCCGACTCGCAGACGGGCACCATCGGTGATCGGCCGCAGTGTGGCACGGTCAAGTACTACCCCGTATCACCGCCTTTTCGTGGCACGAGTCCCTTCTCCATCACCCTCGTCCCCCTCGGTTCGACCCCTGTCACAGTGTCGATCCCGCAGTCGTCGACGCAGAACGAGTCGTACTTTGTCTACAACTCGACGGTCCCCTTCAAGTCTGGCACGCAGTACTACCAATTCCTGAGCGATGCGCAGGGAGGTGGATCGGGAGGTGGAAGCCCCATCTACACAGTCAGCGACGGGAGCGACTCGTCGTGCCTGCGAAGCAGCTACCAGCTTCCCGACATGCTCAACAGCCGTGCTATGCCGTCTGGAATCACCACGGCCTCATTCAGCAATATGGCGGGCGCCATTAGCAACGAAGACGGTGCGAGTAGTGGCTCGATCCCAAGCTCGGGCGACAGCTCATCTTCTGGTGGGAGCGGTACCAACGGTGAGTGTCACCTCTGTGTCTCGCACACACATGGCAGTTGACTGACTTCTTCACTCTCGGCAACAGTCGGAGGGCTCGTGGGTGGCATCATTGGTGCCGTTGTGGGCGTGGGTGCGATTCTTCTCCTCGTCGCCTTCTTCCTCCTCTATCGGCGGCGACAAAAGAGAAAGCGCGATGCAGCGCGCAAGGAGGAGCCGCAGTTCGTCGACCTGGACGGCGACGACGATGAGGCAGGTACTCTTGGTATCCTCCCGGCTTCGCGTCGCAGGCGACAGAACCAGGGCGTCTCGCAGTCGTACAACGTCTCGCCCTTCACCTACGAACAGGCCGCTCAGCACTCTCCCGAGCCCCACGAGGGCGGCCCATCGAGCTACTACGACATGCCAGCAACGGGCTTTGCACCCTACTCTCTCTCGCGGCCGGGGAGCATTGCCGCGAGTGCTAGCGAAGGGCGGCAGCCAGGCGCAGTCAGCCCTGGGTCAACGTACCCGCCCGGGCCAGCCTCCTTCCACCCGCATGCCGGCGTGCCAAGCATGGGTCCCGGCTCGACAAGCTACCTTGGCAGCAATGGCATCGGCTCTGACCCATCAGATGCAGGCATGGAGATCATGCCGGCCAACAGCGCCAGCACACACCCGAGTGGCCCAGGCAGCGTGTCGAACCAGGGCGCATACAGACTGCGGACGCGCAACGAGGCTGGAGCAGCCTCGACGTCGGCCGAGGCCGGTCCCTTGCCCCAGAAGGGCCAGCTGGCGGAGGATCTGGCGCACGACGATGCCCATCGAAGATACATGATGCACGCCGACGCCGGACCGGTGCCCCAGCCGGGCGCACACGGCCACGGCGACGTAGAGGAGCTGCCGCCAAATTACGGCGAGTGGTCAGGGCAGACCCCTTCGGCTGCCGCCCCTCAGGGCGAGCCAAGACAGCAGTAGACGTTGTCTGGCGATGGACGATGCGCTGCTCAAGCCTCCTTCATCTCTCTTTCGTGGATCCTCCTCCTCTCATCATCCTCTCTTGGCTTCCTTTCAGTCTGCATTCACTTCTTCTTTTTAAATACCACTCGCACATCTCATTCGTCGCTTGACCCGCCTGCCTGCTTTGTCCTTAATCACTCTAGCTGAGATGAGCCACGGAACAGACCGACCAGACCTGGGCCCAGCTAGTGTCTTGGTCTGTCATTGGATTCTTGACGAAAGAGAGAGGACACCGAAGCTCTGACGCCGTCAACACGCCTAGCAATCTGGCACGCTGACGGGGATCTGCACCGTCGAGACGCTCTTTGCCAGCCCGCTCAAGCTCGTTTCCTTGAACTCGTTGCGCATGCCCTTTGCAGTGAGTCGCATCGCATGGATGGCTTCGTCGAGGCTCACGCGCTGGGAGCCCTTTGGGCTGGCCAGGGCCAGGTTGGCCGCGACGACTGCCTTGACGGCCCCGAGGGCATTGCGTTCGACACAGGGCGCTTGCCTGTGGAGGGACGTCTCTCTGTCTGTTCAGTCTGCTGCTCGATGTAAGCTCGTGGAGTATACTCACACCAGACCTCCAATGGGCTGTGTTCGGTAGTCACAACAAGTCAAGTTTTTTTTTTCCTGCATCAGCATCCTTGTAGCACGATCTAGGACGGCAGGCAGAGGACTCACATCGCAAGTGAGGCCAAGATTGTGCTCGATGCCGACCTCTGCTGCGGCCAGGATCGTCTCTGGGCTGGCGCCCATGCACGCAGCAAACGCACCGGCGGCCATGCTGCACGCGACACCGACCTCTGCCATGCAGCCACCCTCAGCGGCGCTGATGGTTGCGCCGCGCTTGTACAGCATCCCGATGGCGCTGGCAGTGAGCAAGAAGGTAAAGACGTCGCGCTCGTTCATCTCTGCCCCGTCCTCCAGTGACGAGGGTGAGAAGGAGGGGTCGCCGTCGGAGATGAACTCGAGCACGTATTTGGCCACCGAGGGAAGGATGCCCGCGGCACCGTTGGTCGGCGCCGTGACGACGCGACCGCCTGCGGCATTGACCTCGTTGACTGCAATTGCATAGACGGAGAGATAGTCAATGGCCGGGAACGTCGTGCGGCGTGGGGGTGTGGGAAAGAGGTAGTGGTCGAAGCGGCCGTGGACGCGTGGCGGGCCTCCTGTAGCCGCCTTTGCAATCGTCGTCGTGCCCTCTTGCTTCGACGTCTTGGAGCTCAGTGCAAGGTCTGTCGAGGACGGCGAAGAGGAAGCTGGCGAAGTAGATTCGATGCCCATGGGCGGCGGCTGCGCTCTACCACCTTCCACCCTCTCCCTTCCCCGGTCTTCCTGAGGAGGCGGGAATTGCTGGTGGCTCGACGGGTACAATCCCCTAGTGAGCCTCCTGTACAGGCCGGGCGCCCGCCTCTGCAGGCCGAGCGAGCCGGGCAAGACCTTTTCGGTAGACTGGACGCCTTCTCTGATGCAGTTGTCCATCGTCTTCCAGATCCGCAGCAGCTTTGACCGAATCTCATCGGCCGAGTACCAGTGTGCCTCGTTCTCGTACACCAGTTGCGCTGTTGTCCGGTCGATGTTTGAGCGGTGTCAGGGTGGGGAAAACAGGAACAACAGGAGAAAGTTACTCACCAATGGTCAGGTTGTGCTCTCTACACAGCGACAGGAGACTCGCGGCGTTGCGAAAGGGGTACGGAGGTTGCGCAGACGCTTTCCTCTTTGTCTCGCTCTCACCCTCCGATTGCGCTCCGCCCTCGTCTTTCCCACCTGGCCGAGCTGATGCCGACCCTGAGAACAGCTCGACATCCTGCCCCGCGATCCTCGGCACACCTTCCGTGGGTAGGCCGGCCTGCGTCGCCCTCGTGTCTGCGCCTGCTCGTCGATCGGGCGCCGCATCTGTGCGCCTGATCTCCTTGTAGAAGAGATTCTCGCCCAAATCTGCCGGGTGGTTCTCTGGTGACTCCTCTGCCGCTCCAGTCCCCGTCGTCGCAAGCAGCGTGTCCTCCGTGTGTGGCAGCTCCGTCGTCATCGAATGCTTGTTCGGCGACGACGACGATGACGCTGACGACGAGCTGGCAGTCGAGAGCGCACCATTGACGACGAAACCACCTCCGACGGAAAAGAGATCGTTCGTCGCCAGCATGGTGCCGTCGTCTGAAAAGACCGTTAGCCTGAGTCCGTTGCTGTGCAGCGGCAGCGACACGCCCCACTCCCACTGCCATCGTGGACACACTCTCTCTCAGCTAACTCTGGTCCAACTTGTGCTAAGGAAGGGGCAAAACCCACCAAGAGATCCTTGTCGTAGTCGAAGCTGACTCTCTTCCCGCCATGGGCGCGCTCCATGTCCCTACCAATGACGAGGGCCTTGTCGCGCTTGATAGCCTCGAAGCGCACGGGCACCGTGTCCGTCTCGATTGTCTCGCAGTCGGCGCCCTCGAGGCCGAGGAGCAGCGCGCTGGGCGTCATGTGGCCTTCACCCGTGGCGGCCAGGCTGCCGTAGAGGGAGATCTTGATGCGGGCGACGCGGTCCAGCAGGCCGGCATCGATGAGGTCGTTTGCAAAGATGGCGCCCGCGCGCAGGGGCCCGACGGTGTGCGACGACGATGGCCCGATGCCGATGCTGAAGAGGTCAAACGTCGAGATGACGGCGTGCTCGTGCTCGTGCAGCCCCTTGTCGTCGTCTTGCTCCTCGTCGTCGTCGTCGCGTTCTTTTGCAGCCCGCGCCCGCTCCTCGGCCTCTTGCTGCTGCTGAATCTCCTCTTGGGCCAGCTCGCGCTTCGACTTGCGGCGTGGCGCGCCTCGCCGCTGCTCCTGGCCCAGTCCAAAGTGCGGGTCCGAAAATGACTGCAAGTTCTCGTGGTCCTCTTCTTCCGGAGATGTGGCGGGTGGCTGCTGCTGCTGCTGCTGCACGGGTGCAGACGTCGACATGGTCTGCGTGGGGGTGGGGCAGCCGCGGCGGCAGACGGCGCCGCCGGTGCCCCTGTTCACGGGCACCGCCAGCCGTGCACGCGCTGCGCCCGCCAGGGCCGGAGCAGCAGCCCGTGCCAGTCGAATCGCACTAGCTTGCATGGCGGTCTCTCGTCGTCGCTGTGGACAAGACGACGGAGGCGGGCCTTGCAAACCAATGAGACCTCCGCCATTGATAACGGGAAATTTAGAGCTGGCCCCTGCGCTGCACACACTCTTGACGCGCACACCGCGGCGCTAGGCCCGAACGCGTCCACACACAAAGACAAAGCCTTCGGACCTCGGTCCGTCCCCGAGAGCAGGTCCCAGTCGCTCACGCTCTCACACCCCTCCTCTTTCTTCTACTACTTCCCTTGACAGTGGAACGGGGGAATGATACATTAATGCAGTGCAGCTGCACTGAAGAAGAGATCAGAAATTACACTTGGTGCCTTAGGCTCCACAGCTCGACGCCGACATTGACGAGCATAATGACCACATAGGTCGCAATGAGCGTGGCGCCCAGCGTCCTGTTGAGATAAAAGTCATTCAACGGCACAGCAATGAGGGTGCCCGTCAGGATGACGAGGAGGCCGATGCCGCTGACAAAGAGCGTGGGGCTAAAGTCGATGTGGTAGATGCCACCATCCACGCCAGGCGTCGGATGGGCGAATGGCAAGGTCAACCACGACGACGACGACGAGCCCGAACCACCTTGGGCGGAGCGGCCGCTGAGGAGGTACGAGCCAGAGAGGCCAATGCCGAGCAGGAGATTGAGCAAGGGCCCGGCAAAGCAGGCAGAGATGGCCATGATGGGGTGGCCCATCCTGGCGATGGTGACGTTTGCCACGAGGTCGCCCAGGCTGTTGCCCATGGCAAAGACGGTCAAGCCAAGGATGGCATCGGACAGCCCCAGGATCACACCCAGGGTCTGGAGGATGCTCACGACCTCGTCGACGATGGTCATGATGTAGAGGATGCTGACGAGGAAGCCCATGGCCACACGGGTCCACCCCACGGTGGCCACGGCTTGCGGGCTCAGCACGGTCCCCGCAGCACGAGCGCGTCGGACAGCGACAAAGGCGACGAGGGCGCAGCAGAGCCCAACGACAAAGGCAACGGCGACCTTCCATGCGACGCCAGACGACCGTGCGCTCGTGGTGATGGACCAGACGCAGAACGGCGGCGCGAGTGCGCATTGTGCCAGGACGACAAAGAGGTGAGACGACTGGGAGTTGTCGAGGTGCGAGTCGTCACTGGCCCACGACTCGATGCTGGCAGCCTCGGAGGGCGTGGCCTCATCTCCATTGTCGTCGTCATCATCATCATCACGAATGACAACCGAGGATGCTTCCTCGGCGCTTGGGCTCGCGCCATGCCGCTTCTGCTGCCGCTGCGACGAAGGGCTCAGGCCGTCGAGCAGGTTGGGTGACTCCCTTGGAAGGCTCTGCAACGCATCGGCGACGCGTAGATGGTCGACTTGCTCATCATCGTCGGCCTCGTTTGCTGCATTCTTCCAAGGATTGCCCGTGCCCGCCGAGCCCATGCTCGATCGCTGCTGCTGCTGCTGAGCACTTCGGCCATCCAGATCAATGATGCTTGCGTCCTCCTCGTCGTCCTCTGTGGCCACGCCGAGATAGGGCTGCCTGGCATACAAATCGTGTTCCTGGCCCTCGAGCCTGATTCTTCCGTCGGGCGACCCACCAAGGCTGTGACCTTCAATGGCTGCGCGCTCGGCATCGTCATCGACGACGGGAAGGGTGAGGTTGAGAATGAGAATCGCCGGCGCCGTCACGACACCGACGGCAATGCCCAGCCAGCTCTTTTCCTTGAAGTGGCGCAGCGAGGGAAAGAGGACCTTGAGCAGGTGCCTGAAGTCCGTCGTCGGCGGGACGCTGTTGTTGTTGCTGCTGCTGATATCGACATCGACGCCCTTGCTGCTCCCTGCTCTCTTGGACACCGAAAGCAGAGACTTGGATGTTGACTTGCGGGCGCCTCTGGGCCGTGCCTTTGCCTGCCTTCGCACATCCTCGCCAACGACCAGACGTGGCAGAACAGGCTTGCGATTCGCTGCTTCTTCCTCCTCCTCGAGAGGCATGGCAGGCGGAGGCAGCACGTCTGCGTCCTCTGCGCAACCATCGCCCTGCTCGTGCTCGCGCCAAGGGTCACCCACAGCGGCTGCGACGGCGCGTGCGTCAAAGGCACTCGGCTGCGCATTCTCCTGGACCCGCATCCTCGTGGCCGCCGCCATCACACCCGTTCCACCGCCCATCGTCGTCGAAGCGGCTCGCCTCAGCTCTGGCTTGCCCTCTGCTGCGTGGGGCCCCATGCTGATTGACCGGTCGCGCATGAGATTGGAGCCGCTGCCGGCGCCGGCCTCGACTGCGCTCGACGGCCGCGCATCGACGAGGCTCTTGATGCGACCGTGGCCCCGTCGCGCTCCACCCACAACATTGGCCGGAGGCGAAGGGTGGAGGGCCAGCTGAGAGCCACTGTGGTGATGGCGATGGTGGAGGAACCTCTCTGGGTCCCGGCTCTGAAATACCTCCATGCTCCGGTCGGCAAGGGCCTCCTGCTGCAGGCTCCTGACCACGTCGCGAAACTCCACGGCGCCCAGCAGCGAATGCCTAGCAATGGCGCCGGGACGGAATCGACCAGCGGTGAGGAACCGGTTGTTGGCCGCGGCCGCAGCCGAGCTCGTGCTCGACGACGTGGGCAGGTCGACGTGACCACGTATGTGGGGAGATGCCATGGGGCTCGTCCGTCTCGAGCTGACGTCGCTGTGGCTGCCGTTGCGGTGCTGCTGCTGCTGCTGCGCCTCGGCTGCCCACAGGTCCAGCGGGTCCACGTCTGGGTCGTACTCCGAGGGGCTCACTGGTCTCCTCGCGGGTGACGTCGCTGACGGCAGGCTCAGGAACGGGCTGCGTGCCTCTACATCGGCCATTGCTCGCTGGCTGCCACGGGCGCCGCCACTACTGCCGCCACCACCACCGCTGAATCCATCGTCGTCTTCCGACGAGTGTCGCTCGTGGCCGTAAGACGAGGAGCTGTCGTACTCTGACCGTGCTGCAGCGAGGAGGAGGCGCTGCCTTCGCCTTCTCTGCTGCCACCAGCTGCCCACAATGACCGTCGTGGCGTAGGCACAGTAGAGGCCGACGAGGCCAAGGCATTCGGCAAAGCGGAGCTTGCCGTCGATGAGGAAGCTCAGCGTTAGGCCCACGGCCACGGTGAAGAAGCCGACGTCGCGGAGAAACGGGTAGGGCTTGACGCGGAAGGGCGCAATGAGCATCATGCTGCCCGAGATGACGCTGACGATGAACGATGCTGCGCCGATGAGCTCGCCAATGGCCAGCGATCCGCTCCCCGTCCTCATGGCGCCAAAGGTGCTGAACACATCCGGGCTCCCGTTTCCAAAGGCGAGAAAGGTGACGCCCGCCTAAAGATAGTTGCTCGCCGTCAGTCCTCGAGCAAGCTTCTTTTCAGCAAGGGTGGACAGTACTCACGGTGCTCTCGCTCATGCCCAGGCGTGCAGCAATGGTGCCCAAGTTGGGACAGAAAAAGTCGCTGGCGACGACGCCGACCCAGGAAAATAGGAAGAGCATCCAGAGGATGATGGTCGTCAGCGCCGCGGCCCGCAGCAGCACCAGTCGGCCTGGCAGCGGCTCCGGCGACGGTGACGGCGGCGTCGGTGTCTTTTCCTTCTCGGCATACACTCGGCCCTGTCCCTCGTCTTTCTCCAGGACCTTCTTTGAGCTTGCCGAGATTGAAGACAAAGGAGCAGGTGTCGCTCTGGGGCTGCTGACCTCGCGCAGCGCGGCATTGGCCGGGGCGTCAAGCCCAATGCAGTAGTAGAACTCGAGATAGTCGAGGTGGCCAGACGAAGGGCAGTGCTGCCGTACATGCTCGCACACCTCGTTGGGCGGCTTGGAAAAGGGTAATGGCTGGCAACGGATCAGTGTCGGCGATGGTGACGAGGACAGCGTCGATGTTGTTGTCGCCTTCTTGCTGCTGCTGCTGCTCGAAGATGATGATGATGATGATGATGATGACGATGACGACGATGACGATGAGGAGGAAGAGGAAGAGGAATGTTTCGAGGTACGACTGTGCTTGTGCTTGTGGCTCTCATCCTCTATTGGCACGCCATCTTCGACCAGATCCAGCGCCCTCCTCTCCCAGGGAGCAGACAATGAGTCGAGAGGGAACGAGGACGAGGACGACTCGAGGCCCGACGACGACGCCGCTGCTCGCAGACGCTGAGTGCCCCGCCAACACGCCAGCTGGACAACGACGACGACGGCAAAGAGGAGCAGCGCGCCCCTCCTGCGGCTGGGAGCCGCGCCCGCTGGGTTGACCATGGGCGTGCTTGTGGCTCTGTTGCGCAAGGTCTGACTCCCGCTTCGCTGATGGTCGCACTTGCTTGTTGGGGGAGATCGACAGCGACTGGGTGCATTCCAACATTCTCGACGCGTATCAAGCAAGCCACACTACTTCCAGTCTATTTCAAATCCACTCCACCGTAGGTAGTAGTGGTAGTAGTAGTAATAGTGGTGCAGTAGTCATAAGTAGTGTTCAACTGCAGAAGTTAGCTTATCCCTCGCACTCTCTCTCCGTGGAGACGGCTTGGGGCTGTGTATAGATTAAAAGGGTCCTATGAATATCGGATCGGATATGGAGCATGACACAATGTGTGAGGGAGAAGACACTGGAGAATGTAGGGGTAGATCACCACAGCCAAGAGACCAGTGGCCAGCCGCGCTTGACCAGCACGGGCCGATCGGTCACGGTAAAGGCGAGCGCCTCGATGAGGGCGACGTCCACGTCGTTTGCGCCGCTCAGGCCGAGCACCGACACGTCGCTGGCAGAGAGGTGGATGGGCGTCGCATCGTCGTGGGCCACGAGCAGCGAGGCCTGCTGGTCGTCGCCGCCCACGTCTGTCTCGTTGCGGCCGAGGCTCTCCTGGAGCATGCCACCGCGAAGCTCGTCGCCCACGTCGGCCTTGTCCTCGACGAGGTCCTGCACGCCAAGGACCAGGTCGGCGGTCCACTCGCTCCAGACGTTGTGCAGGGCCTTGGAGAGCCGGGCAGACTGCCTCACCAGGTGCTTCTCCTCCTCTTCCTCGTCCCACTCGGTCTCTTCGCCCCAGGCACCGCTGCCTGTGCGAATCGAGAACCTCGAGGAGAGGGGCGATGAGGCTCGCCTCGATCCGTCGACCTGGTGCGCAACCACGTCACCCACCGCGCCTGCTGCCGAGGGTGGCTGCGAACGCCTTCGACGCTGAGCCTGGCTCATCGCACCCACAGCAGCCATGATCGGGTCCGGGTCCTCGTCGATGAGGTCAATCCCCGATCCGTCCTCGTCCTCGTCGGCCTCCATTCGTAAGCTTCTTGACGACTTCTTCCTAAGGCGAGGCGAAGAAGAGCCTGGTCCTTGCGCTTGTCTTCGTCCCACAGCCGCTCCCGCTTCTCTTTCTTCTCCTCCTTCTCCCCTCTCTCCTCCTCCTTCTCCTCCTCCTTCCGCTCCTACTCCTCCCCCCTCTACCTCCTCTTCCTCATCCTCATCCTCTTCTTCTTCTTCCTCCTCATCACTGTCAGGGAGAAGCATGATGCTGGCTCGCACCCCGCCGTCGCCGCGAATGCTGAGCGGCACATAGCCATAGCTCTCTCGCAGGTTGAGGCGCCATTGCGCAGGCAGGATCCACCATCCAGAAAGCCAGAATCGGAGAAAGGCCGCCATCGTCGACAGGATGTTCGTCCTCGACCTCGACCGGCTAAGCGGTCCAATCGACGACGACGACGGTGATGATGATGAAAAGGGCTTTGCGGCTGCCTCGGGCGCTGGTGGCTTCTGCTGCAGGCTGACACGGCTTCCCTTTCTTCGCAGACGGCGAAAGCGCGTCGTCGTCATCAGGCTCGCCTGCTCGTCTAGGCCCCGAAAGACGGAGAACTCGCGCGTAGTCCATGTATGCCGCTTGAGCATCGGCCGTGGCTTGGCCTCGCTGCCGTCGGGCCGGTGGACACGCATGAGACGGGGAAGCGTAGTGGGCGCATGGTCCCCATAGGCCGTCGACTTGATCAGGGCGGCCGCCTGCGCAATCGGGGTGAGGTCCAAGAGTGCATCAAAGAGGTGGGGCTTGTCGAGGAGAATCTTGTCTGCGCTCCATGCAATCCATGACGGTCTCGACGCCTGCGACTTTGCCTCGTCTTCCAGCGTCGCAATGTCGTGCAGACCAATAAGACCTCTCACGACTAGGTTCTTTTCTTCTTGGTCTGCGTCCACCTGTGTGTTGACCAGAGGTCTGTCTGCCTGATCTGCGCCGTGAACTAGCTCGCCTAGGGCGTATGCGATAGCGCCTGCGCGAAACGAGGGAGAGCCAGCAGGGCAAAAGATAAGGAGGCGATACGACGGCAGGAGGAGTTGCTTGAGAATTGTAGGCAGCAGCGGCCCCAACGACGTTGAAATCGCTGGCAACTGGAGCATGGGATCGTGTGAGTACTGTAGAGATAGGAACAGGTGTCAGTGCAGAGGCAGGAGAAAAGAAGAGAATCAAAGGGCACGGGCTCGCTCACCAGCGGCAGGCTCGTCGTCAGGTCTCGCTTCTTGCTCGCACCCGTCGCCGTCGACACTTGGGACAGCTTGTGCATGTCAAGCCACTCTTCAAGGATTCCGCGGCACAGAGGGTCGGCCGCCACCGAGTCGGCCAGCTTCTCGAGACGAGGCAGATGGGCGAGCGTGGCTGCGAGGTGTGCATACGGCGTCGACTCGCCGCACTCGACGATCGTGCCAACAGCGATCATCCTTGCACCCCTCTGGTCGTCTTCGTCGGGCGCGCCTGTGTGGCCTTCCCCCTCGGACAGCCTTCGGTTCCTGAAGCAAGCCACGCCTATCCTGCTGCTGCCCTGGCCGGCGTTGCTGCTCCCCGGTGGCTCAAAGTAGATCACGTCCCTTTCGACCAGGTGGGATCCACTGGGCAGCACCTTCCACTCCACCCCGCTGAGATCAAACGATCTCTTCGTCTCCGGTGAGGAAGACGAAGCAGACTCATCGGCGCTGCTGTCGACGGAAGGAGCCGCGCGCGACCAGACGATCTCGTTGCCGCGTCGGACGTGAAAGTGGGCAACAAAGATGCCCAGCGCATTTCGCAGAGGCCGCTCGAAGCTTGCCGTCCGGCTCATCGCTGTCGCTGCTGTTGTGGACGCCGCCGCCGCCGCCGCCGCCGCAGAGGGCAAGTCGAGGTGCGCGGAAGACGATGTCATCTCGCGCGCTCTGTGAGGCCCCTCGTCGTCGTCGCGACCTTCGTTGTTCGGTGTTCTTGGAAATTTCGGAATGTCAGATTTTCATAGCTTGTTCAGCGCAGGCTAGCGAGAGCTCGCCCGCTTTCGGACAGCCGCCCTCTCACGTGGCCATCAACTGCTTGTATTTCAATCTATCAACCCTTCACTCGTCCCAATCCCTGCGAGTTCTCTTTCTCTTCGGGCGCGGTGACCTTCACCCTGTCGTGCTCACGACGACGATGAGGAAGAGGGAGAGAAAGAGCGCACCTCGCTCTTTGGCCAGCTTCCAGAAACGGGGCCCAAATTGGGTAGCTGCTCGATGTCGCCATGAAATCGACTTTAAGTCTCCGATTCTATTCAAATTCGAATTTTTGAATTTGGAGGCGCGCTGAGCAAGAAAAGTCAAACTCCACTTGCGCGGCCTTGGGCTGATGCCCCTGATAACCTCCTCTTCCCACTTAATCAGGACGCTCGCTTCCTTTTCACCCTTTCTCCTCCCCCATCCGCCCCTCACACCCCACCATGAGACTCACAATCGCTTTCGTCGCCGCTCTCGCCGCCGCTGCTGGCGTCGATGCTGGCGTCCACAAGTGAGTCGAGGCCGCCAACAGCTCCTGGCAGATTAGATTCCGTGTCCGGTGGCGATCGGTGTGGGTAGGCTGACATGAGATTGATAATTAGGGCCAAGCTTCAGAAGCTCGACAACAACAAGGGCCACACGGTCGAGTCGATCATGGCTCAGACGCAGATGATGAAGCAAAAGTACGGCGCCAACAAGCACCAGAACCCCTTCACGATTCCCTTCAAGAACGGCAACGAGGAGGCGGACTTCGGCATCCTCCCCGTTGAAGACGCCCAGAGCGAGTGGAAGACAGAGGCTAAGAACGGCCACGGGGTCCCTCTGACTGGTGAGCTTGATGCGTCCAGGCGGAGAAGAATGGGAGAACTGGTGACTAAATGCAGACTTTTCAGACTTCCTCAACGCCCAGTACTTTGCCGACATCACCCTCGGAACGCCTCCTCAGAGCTTCAAGGTCATCCTTGACACGGGGTCGTCGAACCTCTGGGTTCCCTCGCAGAGCTGCAGCTCGATCGCCTGCTTCCTCCACACAAAGTACGACAGCTCCTCGTCGTCGACTTTCAAGAAGAACGGTTCGGAGTTCAAGATCCAGTACGGATCTGGCGCCATGGAGGGCTTCGTCTCCAAGGACGACCTCACCATTGGTGACCTCAAGATCAAGGGACAAGACTTTGCTGAGGCTACGTCGGAGCCTGGCTTGACCTTTGCATTTGCCAAGGTTAGTATTCCATGATGGATCAGACACCGAGACCGACACTGACCTCCACGGAACCCCACTCACCCCACCCAGTTCGACGGCATCCTCGGTCTCGGCTACGACACAATCAGTGTCAACGGAATTGTGCCTCCCTTCTACCAGATGCTGGACCAGAAGCTGCTCGACGAGCCCAAGTTTGCCTTCTACCTTGGCAGCAGCGACAAGGACGGTGGCGAAGCCGTCTTCGGTGGCATTGACGAGTCCCACTACGAGGGCAAGATCACCTACGCACCCGTGCGCAGAAAGGCATACTGGGAGGTTGCTCTCGACGCCGTCAAGCTTGGCGAGGACGAGATGCCCCTCGAAGACACAGGAGCTGCCATCGACACTGGAACGTCGCTTATCGCCCTCCCCACAGACATCTCTGAGATCATCAACAAGGAGATCGGTGCCACCAAGGGCTGGCAGGGAGCTTACACTGTCGAGTGCGACAAGATCCCCTCGATGCCCGACCTCACGCTCACACTCGACAGCAAGCCTTACACGCTGACAGCAAAGGACTACATCCTCCAGACGTCCGAGTCGAGCTGCATCTCTGCCTTTACGGGCCTCGACATCCCTCCTCCTCTCGGCCCCATCTGGATCGTTGGTGACGTCTTCCTGCGCAAATACTACACGGTGTACGACCTCGGAAAGAACGCTGTTGGCTTTGCCAAGGCCAAGTAGGACTTTGCAATTGCTCTATGCTGTCCTTAGTCTAGTCCTTTGTCCAATCTCGCACACGCTCCCCATCTCTCATCGTCCCTTCACCCGAGCTCTCTTTAACGACTGCATTAGCGGTGCCATGCCCCACTCCAATCTGGAATCGAATGAAATAACAAATCCTGTATCGCACCGCTTGGGCGCTGAGCGATTGAGCGATGACAGGTCCATCTCCAACCTGTCCGACACGTGTTTCCACTTGGCCTGAGCGCGAAAGTCATGGCTGAGCCACGACCAGGCACTCTCGCGTCTGTGCTCTCTCGTCTACAGACAAGATATCGCACACCAAACAGACTCCCACATTCCCAAAGAGCGACAGACATGAACATCATCGAGTCCCTCTTTGGGCGGGCCAAGACGCCCGCCGAGCGGCTCCGGCAGCACCAGCGATCGCTGCAAAAGGCGCAACGAGAGCTGGACCGCGAGCGGACGAAGCTGGAGCAGCAGGAAAAGAAGCTCGTCATGGACATCAAGAAGAGCGCAAAGGAGGGACAAATGGTCAGTGTCTATCAGTCTGGGGAGACCAATTGGATGGGATGGGCTTTTCTCGGTTTTGTGTGAGAGAGAGCTGATGAGAACGGGGTAACCTCGCACGTCCTTACTAGGCGGCATGCAAGATCCAGGCGAGGGACCTCGTTAGGACCAGACGGCATATTCAGAAATTCTACCAGATGAGGACCCAGCTTCAGGCCGTTTCGCTGCGCATACAGACACTTCGGAGCAACCAGCAGATGGCAGAGGCCATGAAGGGCGCCACGAGGGTATGTCTATCTACCTGTACAACAACTTAGTATGCGTTGCTGACTTGGTCCACTGACCAGGCGATGGGCACAATGAACCGGAGCATGAATCTGCCAGCCGTACAGAGGATCATGCGCGAGTTTGAAAGGGAGAGCGCGACGATGGACATGAAGGACGAGATGATGGGCGACGCTGTGGACGAGGCCATGGATGACGACGCAGAGGGTATTGGCGAGGAGGAAGAGGGCGACCAGATCTTGAAGGAGGTCTTGGATGAGATCGGCGTTGGCCTGGGCCAGCAGGTGAGTTGCTTTGGGACTACTTCGACCTCACTAGGAAAGAGGAAGAGAGGGGATGGGATTGACACAAGTCCGGATCTTTCCAGCTCGGCGAGGCGCCAGTCGGCCAACTCGGTGCTCCAGCAGCAGCACCCGCCGAGAGAGTCGCCATCGGAGAAGGGTTGGGCGCGGGCCCATCAGCGGCCTCATCTGGGGGAGCAGGAGCAGGCGGATCGGGATCAGGCGCAGCTGGAGGGGCCTCTGGTGGCATGAGTGACGAGGACGCACTACAAGCCCGGCTTGATAGCCTTCGACGAGACTGATCAGGGTTGCGCAAGAGCCCTTAATAATTCCCACTTCACTGCATGTCTTGAGCCTCTTTCTGGACGCAATACTTATACAGTCGTTATCATTGTATGCAAATGGCCCATTAGACATTGTGAGAGTCAACGTTCTTTGACGCCGTCGCCATCACCATCTTGGAGAGAGTTCCCACGTGGTAATCGCGCGCGTTCATCTTTCTTGACATTTTCAGTGAAATCGCACTTCTTCCTAGACGACACCTGAGAGAGAGAGGAGAGAGAGAAAGAAGACCAAAAGCACCATGTCAACACAGCAGACGCTGACGTTGCACCCACTCTCTGCCTACACGTTCACGACAAAGGCTGCGCAACCGGAGGAAGACCCGTCCGTAGCGGCGCGGCTGCAGCGTCTGCAAAACAACTATGAAGACTACGGCATCCGGCGGACGGTCGAAGGCGTGCTCGTCGTGCATGACCACGGCCACCCGCACGTCCTCATGATCCAAATTGCAAACGCCTTTTTCAAGCTGCCTGGCGACTACCTGCGGCCGGACGAGGACGAAGTGGCGGGGCTGTGCAGCAAGCTCGACGACCGGCTCGCGCCCGACGAGGGAGATCCGGGCAGCTATGGACCAGGAGGGGCGAGCGCGGGCGCAGGCGGCGATTGGGAGGTGGGCGACTGCTTGGCGCAGTGGTGGAGACCAGCTTTCGAGACTTTCATGGTGCGTGCTCATTCAAACAAACGGGTCGGCTTGTTTTTCAATCTGTCCGCTGATGACCCCGTTCCTCTCCCTCTGCAGTACCCATACGTGCCCGCACACATCACCAAGCCGAAAGAGTGCAAGAAGCTCTTCCTGGTCCAGATGCCACAGACGAGTGAGTATTGAGGTCTGGTCATGATGGACGGAAGCGATGAGAAAGCTGATGAGCAAGCGCAGAGGTCCTCGCCGTACCGAAAAACATGAAGTTGCTAGCTGTCCCTCTCTTTGAGCTCTACGACAACTCTCAAAGGTGAGATTGCCAGTCTTTGTTTGCAGCACAGGATGAAACGCTCACCCCTGCCTTCGCAATAAGATACGGACCCCAGCTCTCGGCCATCCCCCACCTTCTCTCGCGGTACAACTTCATCTACTCAGATTGAAGATTTCAATCTTCCATCGAACGAACACCACATCATGTATTCATAGCTCTCGCAAAGAAGAAATTGGAGGACGATCTGCATTTCTCTCTCTAATATGTAAAGAAAAATAGACGGAAGAAGTGGTGGCCGTGTAGTGGTGATGGTGTTACAAGCGATACTGAGGAAAGGAATCTACGCCGGCGCCTGCTACTTCTTTTGTGACAGCTGCTTCTTGTACTCTGCCTCCATATCCCTTTGCACGTTTGGCATGACGGGCGCATAGGTCTTGAGCTCCATCGAGTATTCTCCCTTGCCCTGCGTGAGGCCTCTCAGCTGGCTCGAGTAGCCAAACATGTCGTTGAGGCTGACCTCTGCCGTCAGCGTGAATTCGTCCTCCCGCACCTCGGTATCTTCGATTGTGCCCTTGCGCTGGTTGAGCGCACCAATGACAGCACCTTGGAATTCCGTGGGCGCAATGACCTCGACGGTCATCTTGGGCTCCAGAATCAAGGGCTGGGCCTTGGCAAACGCCTCTCGGAAGGCGCCGATCGTTGCCAGCCTGAAAGCCAACTCGGACGAGTCGACGCTGTGCGCTGCACCGTCTTCCAACACGAAGCGGACACCCGTGACTGAGTGGCCAGAGAGGTTGCCCTTCTCGAGCGCCTCAAAGAAGCCCTTCTCGCAAGCGGGAATGTACCCGCTGGGAATGGAGCCACCCATAACCCTGTTCTCAAACGCTTCGGCCTTGCCTGTCTCCTCGTCAACACCCATCGGCTCAATGTAGCTGTTTGCAATGTCAGGTGTCAGTCCGAGAAGAGGATACCAAACAGAGTCAAAGATGACACCCACCCCATCACACGACCAAATTGACCAGCACCGCCCGTCTGCTTCTTGTGCGTGTACGTGAACGTCGACTTTTGGCCAATCGTCTCGCGGAATGCGACACGGGGCTTGCCCGTCGTGCACGGCACGTTGTACTCTCTTCGCATCCGTTCCACGTAGATCTCCAAGTGCAGCTCGCCCATGCCGCTGATGATAGTCTCGCTGCTCTCTGCATCGACGTGCACCTTGAAGGTTGGATCCTCCTTTTGGAACCGGTTCAGAGCTCGTGAGAAGTTGACCGAGCTGCCATCCTTGGAGTCGGGCTTGATGGCAAGCGAGATGACAGGTTCGGGAACGTACATGCTGCTCATGCTCAGAGACGAAGAGCCGTCGGTGAACGTGTCGCCGCTTGAGCAATCGACACCGAACATGGCGCAAATCTCGCCAGGGCCGACCGATTCGACGTCCTCCATGTCGTTGGAGTGCATGCGTACCAATCGGGGCACCTTAACCTTCTTGCCTGTGCGTGCATTGAAGATGACGTTGCCCCTCTTGAGCGAGCCCTGGTAAACGCGCATGTACGTCAGCTGGCCGTACCGTCCCTCTTCGAGCTTGAAGGCGAGGCCAACAAGGGGTGCCTCAGCAGCGGGCGCCAGCGAGACCTGAGAGGCTTCGCGAGACACATCGAGCGCCACCGCGGGCACTTCGGCCGGGTTAGGGAGGTAGGCGCACACGCCATCCAGCATGGCCTGGACACCCTTGTTCTTCATGGCCGAGCCCAGGTAGACGGGCGAGAACTTGCACGAGACCGTTGCCCTCCGAATCGAAGCGGCGAGCTCCTCGATCGTCGGCTCTCGCTCCTCCAGGAAGATTTCCGTCATTTCGTCGTCGACTTCAGCGAGCTGCTCGATGAGCTCGGCTCGCTTCTCCTTGGCCAGGTCGACAAGGTGCGAGGGGATCTCGTCGCTCTCCCGCACCGTAGTCCTGTGCGTCTCACGGTTAGAAGCTGCCAGTCTCAGACAGCAGGACACAAATACTCACCCTTTGTTACCCTCGTTGTAGACAGCCTTCCATCGGACAATGTCAATGATACCCTCGAAGGCGTCCTCGGCCCCAATGGGGATCTGGACGGCAGCCGCTCGCAACTTGAGCTTGTTGCGGACCTGATCAATGACTCGCCACGGGTTGGCACCAGCCCTGTCCATCTTGTTGATAAACGAGACCCTCGGCACATTGTAGCGACGCATCTGCCGGTCGACGGTGATCGTCTGTGACTGCACGCCCGACGTGGCACAGAGGACCAGCACGGCTCCATCGAGGACTCGGAGTGCGCGCTCGACCTCGATGGTGAAGTCGACGTGCCCCGGCGTGTCGATGATGTTAATCTTAAAATCCTCCTTGTCGCCCTCTGACGTCTCGACCGAAGCCACATCGCCGCTCACGGCGTGCTTCTCCGTCGGAGGCGTGGCTCGCCAGGTGCAGTGCGTGGCAGCGCTCTGAATGGTGATGCCCTTCTCCCTCTCGAGCTCCATGTGGTCCATCTTGGCCCCCACCTCGTCCCGTCCCCTGACCTCGTGAATATCCTTGATGCGGCCCGTGTAGAAGAGGACACGCTCCGTCACTGTCGTCTTGCCGCTGTCGATGTGCGCTGCGATGCCAATATTGCGCTGACGCAGCAGCCGAGTAACGTCGGCATCGGTCAGCGAATGCTCCGATGGTCGTGGCTCTGCCTGCGCTGGAGGCGGCGGCGGCGTCGAAGGGCTGACGGCCTGTGCGGCCGAAGTAGAAGCCATCCTAGGTGTCCCTGTCCATCGTGCAGCCCGAATGCCGGCCTGCAGTGGCGCGAAAGAGGGTGACACTGCACTGGCAGCGATCCGCGCTGCCGACGACGGACCACTGCGTCTCAGCGCCGGCAACAACGACCTTGTCGCAGAACTCCTGGCGAGCTGGGACAGCATCTCTTTTCTCTTTCGCCCCCGGCCCTTTCTTTGGTGTTAAAGGCTGATCCAACCCGCCCCTGCTTGCACACGCTGCCTTCTCAACCTCACAAACTTTTTCTTCCTCGAGGGAACTTCCGGTTTCCGCCCTGACCAGCTCTTCTTTTTTTTCCCACGTGGAGCATCTGACCTCATGAACGCGTTCTAAGAGCGGCGTGTGGCAGACGCGACAGACCAACACCGCCGCTTCCGCGCAGCAGCGAGACCATGGCGGGCCAGACGAAGCTTGGGTGAGTGATGAGTGCGCATTGTCTTGTGCTGAGCTCGATCTGACGACCAAGCAGCTTTTCCTCCAAGGGAACGGCTGAGAAGAAGGAAGGAAAAGGAGTGCGAGAGGAGGACAAGTCGAATGGGGCATCTGGGAAGAGGAGCAGGCCGCTAGCAGAGAGTGACGAAAGCGATGACGAGGAGCCGCCGAAGAAGGACGTGAAAAGGGGAGCAAAAGCTGATAGCGAGGACGACGAGTACAACGACAAAGACGAAGAGGAAAAGGAGGAGGAGGATGCGGAGAAAGAAGAAGAAGAAGAAAGGGAGGAAGGAAAGGCCGTCAAACAGCTCGCGTCCATCTTTCTCAAGAAACAGCTGCCCACCGAGTCCGATGCCTCATGGAAGCAGGGGCAACCCACGCCATACTCGGCCATGGCACAAGCATTTGCAGAGATTGAGGCTACAACAAAAAGGTTGGCCATCCTCGAGATCCTCACTAAGCTCCTCGTCAAGGTGGTCAAGCTTTCTCCAGAAGATCTGCTGCCGTGCGTCTACCTGTGCATCAACCGGCTATGTCCAGACTACGAAGGACTGGAGCTAGGGATCGGGGAGAGCATCCTTGTCAAGAGTATCGCGCAGAGCACGGGAAGAGATGTGGCAAGGATCAAAAAGGACCTCGAGGCAAAGGGAGACTTGGGCCTCGTAGCCATTGGATCGCGGCAGAAGCAGCCCACGATGTTCAAATCGGCCGCTCTGACAGTGCGCAGTGTCTTCAAGCAGCTCAAGGAGATTGCTGCTATGACGGGCAACAAGTCGCAGGAGCGCAAGATTGGCGGCATCAAAAAGCTGCTGGCCGCATCGCAAGGCGAGGAGCCAAAGTACATTATGCGCAGTCTCGAAGGAAAGCTCCGTATCGGCCTGGCAGAAAAGACTGTCGTTGTCGCTTTGGCCCAGAGCATTGTATTGGCCAAGTCTAAGCATCCGACGACAGAGACACTGGAAAAGGCAGTCGAGACAGTCAAGAGCGTCTACAGCGAGCTACCAAGCTATGACATTGTGGTGCCGACGCTTTTGCGAGTTGGCGTTGAAGGTCTGCGCACAGAGTGCAAGCTCACACCGGGCGTGCCCCTCAAGCCGATGCTTGCCAAGCCGACAAAGGCAATCGGCGAGGTCCTCGACCGCTTCGAGGGGAAACCGTTTGTGTGCGAGTACAAATACGACGGCGAGCGGGCTCAGGTCCACTGGTTCCTCGACGAAGACGGCAAGAGGAAGGTGACGGTCTTCAGTCGAAATTCGGAAAACATGAGCGTCAAGTACCCGGACCTTGTGGAACAGATTCCACGGGCAGTGGTAGACGGCGTCGACTCGTTTGTCTTGGATGCCGAATGCACGGCGTGGCAAAAGGCAGATGAGGCGAATGGCCAAAAGGCGCGACTGCTCCCCTTCCAGGAGCTGAGTAAACGAAAGCGCAAGGACATCAAGGTGGAAGACATCAAAGTCAAGGTCAAGCTGTTTGCGTTCGACCTCCTCTACCTCAACGGCGAGCCTCTTTTACACCTTGACCTGGCACAGCGAAGGGAGAAGCTATTCAAGAGCTTCAATCCGGTCGCAGACGAGTTCGACTACACAATCAGCAAGGAATGCATCTCCAGCGAAGAGATCCAGACATTTCTCGACGAGAGTGTGAAGGAAGGCTGCGAAGGACTGATGGTCAAAACGCTGCAGGGCGAAGAGGCGACGTACGAGCCAAGTCGAAGGAGTATCAAGTGGTTGAAAGTCAAAAAGGACTACCTCGCGGGTACTGGCGATTCGTTGGACCTCGTCGTGATCGGTGCATACTACGGCAAGGGCAAGAGGACTAACGTCTACGGCGCCTTCCTGCTTGCTTGCTACGACTCCGACAACGAGAGCTACCAGGCCGTGTGTAAGCTCGGCACGGGCTTCAGCGAAGAAGACCTTGAACTGCACCATTCCACGCTCAAGCAGCTCGAAGTGGCTGGGAAGAGAGGCTACTACGATGTGGGCGAGGCGAAACCTGACATCTACTTTGAGCCAAAGGTCGTCTGGGAGGTTCTCGCCGCAGATTTGTCCCTAAGTCCAGTCTACACGGCAGCCAAGGGACTCGTGGAGCAGCGAGGCATCTCGTTGAGGTTTCCTCGGTATATTCGGATCCGTGACGACAAGGAAGCAGACGATGCGACGGGACCCGAGCAGATTGCGGAAATGTACAGGAAGCAGGCTACTGCGTCCAAGTCGGGCAAGGGAGGCGCAGACGAAGACGACGGCTATTGGTAATCAAACAACCTGTACATCTAAGAAACTTCATTGAGCCCAATAACAGATTTAGTCATTACGATTGATTGTTCTAGGGTAGGATTGCAGTGGGAACCAAAGAAAATGTAGTGTACAGCGAATCAATCCATGGTCGTCAAGATGCGCAGATTGCCAACACGAGAGGGCCTCGTGAGTCGGGCGCGCGCTCTTCTCCGGATGTTGACCTCGTCGAAGAAGTGATTCTGCGATGGTGGCGAGGGCGTCTTCGCGACGAGCGGTGGCTCCTTCTGGCGGATCGCCTCGGCTTTAGCAGCGGGGGAGGAAGAAGAGATAGAGGTTGACAGCTTCTTCTTCTTGATGTCCTGCTCCTCGCTTTCGTCCTCGTGAAGGGCATCGAGATAGGCCTGCTTTCCTCCCCTCGAGTACATCTTGACCTCTGCCGCTCCCTCTGCCGCCGCCTGGTCCACAAGGGCGTACCGCACCGCACCGCCGGGCGCGTCGTACATGGCGTCCATCAGCCGCTTCTCCAAGAGGCTCCTCAACGCCCGTGCCCCGAAGCCGCCCGACGATGAACTCGCAGTCGATTTCGTAGGCCCCCCGCCACTGATCGCTTGCCTGGCAAGGCTCTGCAGGGCCTTCTTGCCGAAGCTCAGGTTAACGCCGTAAGAGCTGAAAATCTCTTGATACTGCTTGACAAGCGCGTTCCGTGGTCGCGTGAGTATCTGGACAAGGTCTCGCTCGCTCAGCGCCTCGAGCTCGACTAGGACGGGAAGCCGACCGACAAATTCGGGGATCAAACCGAAATTGGTCAGGTCCGTAGCTGTGGCTTGGTGCACGAGCGATGGGGTCGCTCGGTCTCCCTCCTTTTCAATTCCTTCTTTGGCATCGAGCGAGACGCCCAGGCGAGCAGCGACGATCTCGTCCAGACCCACGAATGCGCCAGATAAGACAAACAGAATATTGGACGTGTCGATGCGAATGGTCCCATCGCTCGTCTCTCGCTTCGTGGCGGCCTGCTGCTGCTCTCCTCCCGGACTCCACCACGGCTTTGTCACGGCGGCTGAAGACCCGCGTGGCCTCGACGCTAATGTCGACTGATGATTATGATGATAGTAATGCTGCTGCTGGTGGGGATGTTGTTGGTTGTGATGCTGCTGCTGCTGTTGCGATGGCCCGCGCTTGTCTGGGACGGTTACAACTGTTCCCTCCAGAATGCGAAGCAATGCTTGTTGCACGCCCGTACCTCCAACATCGCGACCCCCAGTCGCCGGTCTAGCAGACCCCGAGGCGGACGCCCTCGGAGCGGCGATCTTGTCGATCTCATCGATGTTGATGATACCTCGTTCAGCCAAGGCAATGTCGCCACCGGCAGCTTCGATCAGCCTCACGAGGATCTGCTCGACATCTTCGCCAACGTACCCGGCCGAGGTGAGCGGATTCGCGTCGACCGTGATAAAGGGCACCTGGAGCGACAGGGAAAGCGTTCGGACGAGATGAGTCTTGCCGCTGCCTGATGGTCCTACAAGGAGCACGTTCGACTTCTCGAGATTGGTCACGCCGGACGCACTTTCGGCGAGTCCTTTGGAGAGTGAACGTGGGACCAGAGGCCATCTTAAAGACTCCGTCCTCCCCTTGATATTGCTGGAGGTTGTAGTACCCTTGCTGCTGCCTTCCTTGTCTTTGCTTCTGCTTTGCTTCCTTCTGTCGTCGCTCCGGTTGGGCGAGCTCAGCGGTTCTGGTCTCGATGATGTGAAGTAGGCGCCATCGTCGTTCGTGCTCCAGCGCTTGCTCCCCTTGGTCTGGCCTACAAAGTCTGTCAAGACCTCTGTCTCGTCCTTCTTCTCCCATTTGCTCTCCCTTTGCTCTGCTTCCAACTCTTCCAGACGTTGCTTTTCTTCCTGTCGCTCGAGCTCCTCTAGCGCCTTCCTGGCTGCTTCAGCTGCGCGCTGCTCGTTAGAAGCGATCCGTATATAGTGGTTGAAGACGGCCACGGCCAACGCTCGCTTGGCCCGACTCTGTCCGACGACGTACTCGTCCAGGTGTGCGACGAGGGCCCTTGGCGTGGGCACGTTGGCGGCTGCCGTCGCTATTGCCCGTCGGAAGCGTGCGAGCGTGGCGAGACCGTTGGTTCTGCCCCAGTGCGTGCAGCCTCTCGACCCTGCGGCTGCAGCTCGCGCGACACTGGCACGCATCGGCGTCGAAATGGGCATCGTCGTTGCCGGGACGGAGTCATCGGGCGAAACTGGGGTGGCCAAGGCGTAGCTACATATGCATCACGTGTATCGGACGGAGATGGACGCGTGGCGTTCTAACTCCTCCGACCCCCCATCCCGACCCATGTATCTCAGCCTTCCTGCCGACAGTGACAGATTGAGCAGGGCTTCGGCTGACAGATTGCGCAGCAGAGTCCGCTGAATAATTGCAAGAGGTTAAGTGATTGATAAGAGAGGGAGTGTATCAATAAGTAGGACCTCATTGGACCATGGACCAAAGAGGTACGCGCATCGTGACCAGAGCGGTACTCATTTGGATGAGCGCATACGCCCGCCAGACTCTCCTTACTCGGCAAGCAGCTGTTCAGCAGCGCGCAAGTGCATCTGTGCGGCTGCTGAAGGGGTGGCAAGGAATCTGACTGCGGTGGGCGATTGCTTTGTGGGCATCACAATTTTTCACTTCACCGTAAAGCTGAAAAGCTTCTGTGATTCAACACCCTTCACCGTCAAAAGACTGTCCCTTCCCACTACCTCCCCAGACGTCTAGCACCGAGTCAAGCGAGAAGTTTGAGGTAGTCACAATGGCACCTGTAGCAACCGAGCCAACGATCGATGCAGTCGTCCCTTCCAAGGCTGGACCGACGACCCGACTTCCAGTGACACTTCTCAGTGGCTTTCTCGGCGCGGGCAAAACGACACTGCTGGAACGAATTTTGACCAGTCCCGATCACGGTCTCCGTATCGGTGTCATTGTCAACGATGTCGGTGCGCTCAACATTGACGCAGCGCTGCTGGCTAACCACGAAGTAACAAAGAAGGAAGAGCAAGTCGGTGAGTCCCACGGCTCACGAGCATCACATTTGCCACACCGTTGACACAGGATTTCTGGCTACAAATAGTGGCAATGCAGAATGGCTGCATTTGCTGCACATTGCGAGGCGACTTGCTCGAAGAGGTCGCCCGTTTGGCACAGCAAGGCTCCGTAGACTACCTCGTCATTGAAAGCTCCGGCGTCAGTGAGCCCATGCAGGTTGCAGAGACCTTTTCCGAAGAGTGAGTAGTAGCACTTTTATGGATTCGACCGCCAGTCTCTGGTGCCAAATACCCATACTGAGTGAGATGTACAGGTTTGCCGAGATGCACATCGCTGCGGCGGAAGACGTGAAAGCCAGCACAGAAGGTGACCTGGAACAAAACGCCCGACTGGCCGACATTCTCGCCGCCGGTGGGCTTTCCCAGGTGGCTCGGCTCGACACCTGCGTGACCCTTGTCGACGCCGTCAACTTCATGTCTGACTTTGCCACTGCTGACTTTCTCGTGGATCGCCACGATAAAAAAGACGTGCCTGAGGAGGATGACCGCAACATCTCTGACCTCCAGACGGATCAGGTGGAGTTCGCGGATGTCGTCGTCATTAACAAGTGCGACCTTGTCAGGCCAGACGAGGTCGCCAAGGTGACGACAATGGTCAAGACTCTCAACCCCGGTGCAAAGATCATCACGTCGATCAAATCCAACGTCGATGTCAAGCAGATCCTCGATACCAAGATGTTCTCGTACGAGAAAGCCGCCCTCGGGGCGGGCTGGCTCAAGAGCTTGCAGGAAGAGATAAATCCAGAAACAGAAGAATATGGAATCGGCACATTTGTCTACCGCGCCAGGCGGCCGTTCCACCCTGCTCGCCTGTGGGAGACGATCAAGTCTGTTTTTGTCGTCATTCAGGAAGAGTACATCGATGATGGCGTCAACGAGGAAGAAGGAGACGATGACGATGAAACGATGGAAGAGGAAGAGGAGCAAGAGGACAACGAGATGGACATCGACGAGAGGCAGCCTCAGCTCAACCCTCGAGCTCGTCTGGCATCGAAGCAGGCCGACGCTACATTTGGACCGCTGCTGCGCTCCAAAGGTTTCATGTGGCTCGCCACCAGGCCAAAGATGGTGGGTCCATGTCCAGTTCCTTACCTGCCAAGAAGCTAATTTGAACGGTTTCTAAAGTTCGGAGAATGGTCCCAGGCCGGCGTAATGCTGACCATCTCGGGCGGCGACCGCTGGCGCTGTGAGGTACCCAAGGACGAGTGGCCCGAAGACCCACAGATTCGCGCCTCGATTCTGCGCGACTTTGACGGAAAGTGGAAGGACAGACGCCAGGAAATTGTCTTCATCGGTCAGCAGATGAAGACCGGCGGCGGCGAGATGAGGATCCGTGATGCGATGGACAGATGCCTCCTCACGAACCACGAGATGGAGCTTTGGGAAAAGGCAATGAATCTCAGGGGTGGTGAGGAGCGGATCCAAGCCAAGCTCGACGAACTGTTCGAGGACGGCTTTGAGGACTGGCCAGACATGAGCCACGAGGGGCACGACCACGACCATGCTCACTGAGCAGCCAAGATTCTAGCAACTGTAACGATTCTACGTGGGAGGCGCAAGCACAATGAAAGAACGTGCGCGCATCATTCAATCTAAGATTACTGTTCTTCGAGCACACATCTCACTAAGCGGATGAGAAGCCCACGGGCCGGCTTAGCCTAGCGCGAGTGTGGTGTGCCCCGAGTGCGCGCTTGGCCTCGTCGGCAAGGAGCCTGTGCGTGTGCGTCGTGGGATGGTAGATGTCCCAGAAAAAGTACTTGTCCGGATCGCTGCAGAGCGTCCTGGGCACGTTCTCGCCCCCGTATACACCTCTGAGGCAGCCGTCGGCAGTGTTCTCGAAGCCATATTTCTTTGGGTGATTCTTGACGTCATTCAGCGCCCGGCAGGACCTGAAGATGGTCAGGGTAATGTCCTTTGGCAGCTGGCGCTTTGCGTGGCGATGGAGGTAGTCGTTGAAGGCCTGCTTGAAGGTCGTCAGATAGGCCTTTGCCGAGGGGGCAACCTGAGTTGCGTACGGGATCTCCTCCAGACAGTAGGCTGTCGTGAGGAGGATCGTGTCAGCCAGCATTGTTCGTTTAGAAATGGAAGCAGAGGAAGGTTAAGAAAGAGAAGGCCACCCACCTTCGGGAAGGACAAAGTGCCGTGCGCCGTGGCTGTAGGCTGTCTTTGCGACCTTGATGAGGTCGGCCGCCGCCGTCTGGGCGGCCTCCTTTGGGTCCATGTCCGTGGGCAGGAAGAAGGCGTCGTTATTGCCACCGCTGATGAGGACGAGGTCTTTTGCATTCTTGCGCTTGTCCGTCGCCGACTTGTAGTACGCTTGCACCTGGTCCGCCGTGGCCGGGACTGGAATGGTCGAGTTGAAGCCCGTACCGCCGGCGATGAAGCTGTTGTTGATCGTTGAGCCCCCGTATGCGTGATCTCGGAGCACAGGGATGCCGAGGTCGTTTGCGAGGTACTCGACATAGGTCGGACCGTTGCTGAAGCGCCCGTTGAAGTAGGCCTTGTCGGCGGGCCACGTCATGTTCGTCAGCTTGTAGCTTCCGTTTCCGTTGTCGGACAGCGAGTCACCGAACACGACGAAGGAAGCGTAGCCGACAGCGGCGAGGGCACTCGACGAGACCATGGGAGAGACAGCAGCAGATTCGGGTGGTGGTGAGGTGCGGAAAATGGTCGAGGACAGAAGTGCTTTGACTATGAACGACGGTATGGGCACCATGTCTCTTTCTCCTCTGTTCCTTTCATGCACACATAAATCGGATCAGACCCAGTAGGCAACTTTGTTTGGTGGAGCAGTTTAAATTGCGGAAAGAAGGGAAGGCGCGCCTGCGACTCGCGCGACACGCGCGACTGAGTGGATAGGAAACAGAGCAATAGTGTACGGAAGAGAGGACGAGTATGAGGCCCGAAGATGGCCCCAATCTCGTCAGATCGCGACAGGAAGGAGTTGAAGGGAGGAGGTCCAGAGACCGATAAGTACAAGAAGAAGCCTTCTGACGGGAGCCGGTCCAGTCGTGCTAGGCGTGATAAGAGAGATATAGAACATCGTGGCAATGCGGAGGGCATTCGTTCTGAATCTCAATTATCCCCTTCTTTTGAGTGGGTGTGCAATAAATGCTTAAATGGTGCGGACGCAGATAATGAGGGCGAGGCTTGCCCCTGCGGTACCAGCAATTAATGGGAGGCGAGGGGCCGGGACGATCGCAGTTGACAATCACGAAGCCGTTGTCATCATTCTCTCGGTAGCTCGGCATGAGCTGATTTTGATTTTGATTTTGATTTTGACAATGCGAGGAAGGAAATAGCCAGGTCGCGCCGCTGGACAGGGCTGTTAGCGACGGTCTTGCGGGTGTGTATCGTTGAACTCACTCGTCTGACAACGTGTACCCCTTTTTGTACGGTTTTCCCCATTTGCGTGGCGCTCCAACAGTGCTTGTGGCCGCGAGCAGAAGGATGAAGAGGAGGAATCTCATGCTCATGTCGATGATGCTGGCTTGGATGGAGCTCGCTTGCGGTATTGCTCGCTTGCACCGGCGGGGCATGCCTCTCTTATATACCTTTGCCTCGCTTGCTCAGGCTCAGTCGGGTCCGCGAGCTCCGCCTGGGAAAGAAAAAAAGAAGACCTACAGCCGCACCGCGGATGGCAGTATTCCTGTCCGCTCCTTTATCTCTCTCTCTCTCCTTCTCTTCGTACCTCAGTCTCCGCTTTGGACAGCGCTTCCACTGCACCGAGTTCAACTGTGGCTGCCTTGTCGGATCGGACAAATTTGGCGGCTTCACACGAGCCTCTGATCTAAGTCCGAAACTCCTCCCGGCACAGCCCCTCCAGGCTCAAGCGGCCTTTGAACACCCATGCCTGGGCCCGCCATCTTGATGTCCTGTGAAGCAGGAAAGAAGTAAAAGCGCGGTGCGTAATCAGTGGAGTACGAATTCGTCGCTGTGGTGTACAGTACAGTGTTCGTAGAAACAAAGAAAACGGGGAGAGATTTGGTGACGTTCGTGAGGACGGGGCCTAGAAGAGTGTGTAGAGAGACCGGTGATCGCGCCGAGGTCGAGCTTGAGATGCTGAAAGAGGCAGCCTTCGTTTCTGACGAGGAGCTGGAGCCATCTAAGTTGACAGATGGTCGTAGCAAGGTTTGAGGCAATTTCGCACGACCGCATCAAGGCCGCAATTCGAATTTGCCGTGCGTGTGCAGTGCGCTTTGACTGCAGCCGACAACCTCCGTGTTGGTCGATGGCCAGGCTTGCCCGCATTGTACCAGCATTGTTCCCAAACCCCTTTACGGTTTTTGCAGTGCAGTGACCACATATCTCGATACTGAGTGCTCTGATCCGGCATGTCTGCGCCGCAGCGCGAATTCTTCGACATCATCGTCAAGTCACTGGACAAGGCCTTCAGTGGAATTTTTCGCCAGTAGACAGATTCACACTCACTCGCCGGCGGTCCAGGTCTTATAAATATGCACACAGGGAGCGCTTGCCGCCGCGAGCAGAATGGTGAGGAGGAAGATTCTCATGTCGACGAGGCTTGCTTGCGACGATCCTTCTTGTTGACAGTCTTGCTTGGTGACGGCGCCTGCTTGTGACGATGCTTGCCTGTGACAACGCTTGCCCGCGAGGACGCTTGCTTGTGATGACGCTTGCTCGGGGCGGCGCATGTCTCTCTTTATATACCTTTGCATCGCTTGCTCACCTCTGTTTTGGCCGCGAGAGAGGCATGGGAAAAAGAGGAAGGCCGCCTTTTGCATCCTGAATAGCGTCCCCCCACCCCACCCATCTCTCTCCCTGTTTCTCATGCCAGACTCTGCTATGACGGCGCTTCGGGGCATGTTTGAATTCGATTGCAGCTGCCTCTCTTCGGAGAATTATGCTACTTCACACGGCCCATCATTCTAGTGTCAAAACATCCCCCCATCCAATCGCTGCGATCCCAAAATCCATACTCGATGCCGCCATCTCGACCGCTTCAGTTACCCCACGCGGCTCTTGATGAAGTCGAGGATCTTCTTTTGCTCTAGACCACCGACCCCCTCCATTTCCAGCGGTCTCTGGCCGTCCTGGTTGACCCTGTCCTGATCCACGCCAGCCTCCTCTATGAGGAGCACTGCCGTAGACCCGTGCCCAGAGTCCAGTGCTAGATGCAACGGGGTGTTTCCCAGTCGGTCGGCAGGGCTGGTTTGATTGTAGTCATCAGCATCGCCGCTGGCTTCTGCAGAAAGCCAACTGCCGTCCGCTCACTTGACTCTCGTCTTCTCCCGCTGGGCCCCATTTTTGGGCGGGGGAGGCTTGAGAAGCATTCTGAGGAATCCGTCCTTGCCCGCTGATGCCGCTCGATGTCTGGTTGATTTGCCCGCCAACAGCTCAGCGCTCCCATCGCACGGAATCCATCTGCTCAAAGAAGTGGTGACTGAGACTCACATCGCACACTGCTTTGCACGATCGCGCGCATTGATGTCCCCGCCGCCCGGACCCCACTCCATCAGCGCGCGACCGACATCGATGTGGCCCTTGCTCGCGGCATAGTGCAATGCCGTCTGTCCCTTTTCGTTTTGATGCACCGCATTGGCGCCGTTCTGCAGGAGCAGCTGGACAATGTCGACGTGCCCCGCCGACGAGGCCATCATGAGTGGGGTCCATCCAGACGGATCCGCCCGGTCTGCCTCGGCTCCGCGCGAGAGGAAAGCCTGCACAACGGGTGTCAAGCCCTGGGACGCGGCCCAGTGCAGCGGCGTCCGCCCGTCGCCGTCTGGCTGATTAATGGCACGCGCGGCCTCCTCGTCGCCTGGTGGGAGCGAATCGAGGTGCCGAAGGATCAAGTTTGTGTGGCCTGGGAAGGAGGGACCGCTCTCCGTGTCAGCTTTTCCCAGCGGCTCCTACTGCCATGGGAAAACACACACCTTCCAAGCAGGCATTTCGCAGGTCAAAGTCGCCGCTCATGGTTGCGGCCGTGGGAAGGGAAGAGCGTCGTCGTTGGTCTTATTCTTATCCCTCCCGCGGAGAGAGGGACGCGCAGCCTCCACGAAGCCTAAAAAAAGTACAGCTCGCCTGTTTTTTCTCCGAGTCCCGACAGCTCGCCTGAACGCCAAAGGGCAGGTAACAAACAGCATCGCTCACTCGAGAGTCTGAGAACGGACAGGAAAATTGTGCTCGTGCTTCAGCCTTGAGCTCTCTCTTCGTAGCTCTGGTGCTGAAACAAAGAAGCAGCCGATCTGAAAAGTTCTGCTCCGTGGAAAAAGACGACAGGTGCAAAGAAGACGATGCTAAGCAATGAGTCCTGCCGACGGCCTGATCAGAGGCGGGAGAAGGAACGGCGAGTGGCTCTGTCGACAACTACGTCAAAAAGAGAAGCATCCTGACGAAGTGGGGGCTTTTCTTCCCTTCTCGGCACAGTCACGCCCAGACAGAGTCCAGAAGCATGCCGAGTGAAATATCCCTCCATTCTTTGCTCGCTCCTCCATCTCGTCCCCTCCCGAATGCGACTAGAGCAAATGCCGCCGAGGGCTGGTCTCAGAAGAAGAAGCCATCGTCTAGCTTCGTGGTCTGGATCGTCTATCTCCCTTTCCCCCCAAAGTCTTCTCTCTCCAGCTAACCCACATCCTTGGAAGGAAAATAGTTCGCACTTGTGGCGTGCGACACCCGTGATGTATCGCGCGGGGGTGGCACGCACGGACCTCTCTGGGCTTGCATTTGCGCGAATTAGAGCTGTGGGTGGCATGACCCTCTTTGCCCATTTCAGAAAGTCCCTCGAGGAAAAATTCAAGGGTGTCCCGTGCAGAGCAGACCAGCTCTGGTGCTCGTCTTTGTGGCGGGGGGTGTCGTGTGCCTTTTGGAGCACTTCTGCACGTTGTGTGCTCGGCTTGTGCGGGGAAGCCAGGTGACCTAGGACCTTCTTTGGCTGCTCATTTGGCACGGTGCACAGCTCTTTTGCGTCGCGCGTGGACACCAGAGTCAGATGAGCGCCTGTTGGTGCACACGACAGGTCAGCGCTACTCTCGCCGTACGCTTTCCGCCGCGTCCTTGGAGATGCAACGGCGTTCGGATGTGGGGAGCCGAGACTCTATAAGAAGAGGTCCGCCATCTCCTCTCCTCTCAGTTTCTGCCCACTCTCTGCAACTCAACCTCACATCACAGTCACAACCACAACCACAACCACAAAGCTAAGCAACAATGGCGACCAAGGGAAAGATCGACCCCCGCGAGAGGGACATGAACGTCCCAAAGGAGCAGACTGTCGCCATCTTTAGGCAGAAGGGCGGTCCTCTCTCCGTCGAGAAGGCGCCCGTGCAGAAGCCCCAGAAGGGCGAGGCACTCGTCCACGTCATCTACAGCGGCGTCTGCCACACCGGTGCGTCGTACTGCGCTCTATGTCGCTGATTGACAGCCGACTGATGTTGAATGTGTCCACACGCAGATCTGCATGCCATGTTGGGCGACTGGCCCCTCGACAACAAGGTGAGAAGGAGGTCTTGAAAGGCATGTCGATAGCCCGAAGCTGATCAGCGATGCGACAGCTCCCCTTGATCGGAGGACACGAGGGTGCTGGCGTCGTTGTCCAGCTCGGTCCCGGTGCCGACGAGTATGTCAAGGTCGGTGACAGGGTGGGCATCAAGTGGCTTGCCGACTCGTGCCTCAAGTGCGACCAGTGCCGCCGCGGACACGAGCCCAACTGCTCCCAGGCCCAGTGCTCGGGCTTCACCATGGACGGCTCCTTCCAGCAGTACGCCATCGCATCGGCACGCCATCTCACGCCTATTCCTGACTCGCTTGACCTGGAGACGGCCTCGCCACTGCTTTGTGCAGGTGAGTTAGCTTGCAGAGGGTGTCGTTACGGAAGAGAAAGGTTGAAGGCTGACGTCTTTTCTCACATCCAGGTGTCACCGTCTACCGTGCCGTCAAGGAGGCCCGCCTCACGCCCGGCGAGACCGTCGCCATCGTCGGTGCCGGTGGTGGTCTTGGTCACCTGGCCGTCCAGTACGCCGTCAATGCTGGCTACCGCGTCATTGCCATCGACTCGGGCGCTGAGAAGGAGAAGCTCGCCCGCTCTCTGGGCGCCGAGGCCTTCGTCGACTTTGCAAAGGAGAAGGACCTCGTCCAAGCCGTCAAGGACACGACTGCCGACAAGCAGGGTCCCTCGGCGGCCATTGTCGCCGCTAGCGGCGGAAAGGCCTACGAGCAGGCCCTCGACTACCTCCGGCCCCGCGGCACCCTCGTGGCCGTCGGACTTCCTCCTGACACCAACATCCAGGCCAACGTCTTCTTCACCGTCTTCAAGGCCCTCCACATCGTCGGCAGCTACGTGGGCAACCGCCAGGATGCCATCGAGAGTCTCGACATTGCCGGCCGCGGCAAGGTCAAGGTGATCCACAAGACCGTCGGCCTGAGCAGCCTGCCTGATATTTACGACCAGATGCATGCTGGAAAGATTGCCGGCAGGATCGTCCTTGACCTTGACAAGTGATCCACCGTGCCACTGGCTGCAGATGTGACTCTTCTTACTTAAGGCTTCCTCCATGATCAAATTGAATATGAAGCCAAGGGCTTTCTTGAAAACGATTGGAGACCACTTGGAGGTGAGGGCTCTCCTCTGATGGTCCGCGCAAACGTGCACATGGATGGTCTCTGTGTCACCACTCACGGTGAAGGTGTTGGCATCTAATGGTATCATCACGTGATATCACAGGGTCGAAGCGCCGAAAAATTGGACTCTGGAGCTCTCGGTAGCGGACACCTGCAAGTGGGCTACCGCGAGGAGGAAGGGCCCAGACGAGGCCGCCGTACCCCGGAATAGGAAGCTGTAACTTGTGTGGTGTGCCCGGAAAAAAAGTAATTGAATGCGAGCAAGGCGAAGAAGAAGAAGAAGGAATCGGGCGCCCAAAAGAAAGAAAGCCAGCTAGATTAATTGAGCCTTGCTAAATTGGTTCACTGCCGACTGACCAGAAATTTTGTCGCTTGCGCAAGTTCATGCAGCAAGGCAGGCACCGAGAGCCAGTATTGGAGGGCCCCCGGCTGGAACCAGCGTGATGCTAAGTTTTGCTTGGTTTTGTACGCAAGCAGGAGAGGGTGACAGTCGTGGCAGCAATAAGGTTACGTACGCACCTGCGTGGCCCGACCGCCGCCTCGCACCAAACAAATGGACCTTCTTGTACCACGGGGCCGCCTCAGCCTAAGCCAGCCACGAAGGTGCAGGCAATTTCAAAAGGGACACCAGCAAGCAAACAGTCAGCCTCGAGCCCGGCAAATCGTAAAATTGCTAAAGGGAAAGAATCCCAAAAAACCAAAAACCATCAGAAATAAGGAAAAGGAAAAGAAAAAACGAAAAGTAAGGCTGGAAAATACGCGCCAGCTGGGTAGCATCGCGGCGAGAGCAAAGGGTACAGTGGCAGCGCTACGCGACACTGCACTAGCTAACACTAGGGTGCACAGCAGGTACAAGCTCAGCCTACCTGCTCCGAGCCTTACAAACGGCCGCCTTCGCTGTCGGCTTCGACTCCCGTGATACAACCCTCAACGCCCTCTCGACGCTGCCATTTCCCAAGGAGTGTATCCGCAGCGAGCTTCGTGTTCTCGCGGCGTCCAACGGTCCTGCAAGTGCAAAGAAAAGTGAAAAGATCCAAGCGAGAAGGCCGCAAGCAGAGACGAGGGGAAGAGGGGGAATGAGAAGGGGGGAGAAAACAAAAAATTAAATAAAAAAGGGCTTGCTTGACACGCACGCGCTCGCTCCGAGCTTCTTCTACATCGACCGCCGCTGGGGCCAGGGAACTGCGACGTATTCAATCGCACCCTCTCAAACCCCCCCTCGACTGCGAGAACAGACGCAGCGTGGAGAGCGAGGTACGCTTCCGCCCAGTAAACAGGCAAACGACAGGCCGAACATTGCCACTCTTCCTTGCGCGCGCGCGCGTGCAGTGCACAGTCGACGCGGCAGCGGGCGTCCGAGCGGCAAAAAGGAGAGAGGAGGTCGAGGTCGACGTCACCTCCTTTCTCAACTTGAGGGAGTGGCACGACGTTTGTTTTCTTCATCGGTGTCGGCATACGGCCAAAGCGACTTGGATTCGACAACAGCATTCCTAAGCGGCGACAGCGTCGGCTTCATCGACGTCGAACCTGTCCCCCCCCTCTCTCTCTCGACGACGAATCCCGCGGCTTGGCCTTGCTGCAGATGGTCTGATACGGAGCGAAGGACACATCAATTGAATCAAAGCCCGCCTATCGCCTCATCTTTCGTCCATTGGTCTTCCAGTGCCGCCCGCACGGATCCGGTAAAGGAGCATGAGTCGACACGCCATCCGGGAATCGAGCGGCCCTGGTTCCCAGGAGGCCATGGAGCTCCTCGACAGCATCTACGCGGGCGAGGTCGCACAGGGCGGCGCGGCGACGGCGGCGTCGGGCGATCGAGGCCTGGTGAGCGTGCCCGAGGATCAACCAATGGGCGGCTCCCAGTTCAGATCACCAGACGACAAGGACATGGCCAGCGCGCCCCTCGCACCTTCCAACGACACTGCTGCCCTCGACGAGGCTAAACCATCCAGACGATCAGCCTCGGGGAGTAGCAGCAGCAGCATTGGCAGCAGCAGCGCTCCGATAGGGGCAGGCGCTCCATCGCGACAGGCACCACCGCAGCCATCCAAGGAACAGGACGTCTTTGGTGGGCCGTCCATTGCAGCCGACAGCAGCGGCGTCGTCAGACGGACACCGTCGTCTTCGAACAGCAGCTCTGCTCGCCGGACACCGAGCGACCAAGAGACTCGCTCACCAGGCACGCTCAAGCCGCTGCCTGGCCTTCCGGGCTCGTCGATGCCAAACAACGCCGAGCAGAGCAGCCTGCCCCTCAACGGCGTGGGAAGCAGCAGTAGCCCCCCGGCCGAGGCCAGCGGCGACGACGCCGGCCTGGACCTGCCTTCGCAGCACATTCCACGGCCTGTGGCTGGGTCCAAAGACTCGGCCTATTCATCCTCGTCGTCGTCGTCGGCGGCAAGGAGAAGTGGCCAGCAGCGACCTGCGTCGATGATCGTCGCGTCGCCCACCAGCAACACAGGCACAGGCACAGGCACAGGCACAGCCAAGCCCCAGCCGGCGCCGCTCTCCATCTCCGACTCGCATCGAAGCAACCTCGACAGCGCCGTCTCTCCTCCCGACCCCAACCCTGCCCGCTCCCTGGCCGACAGCAATCGATCGAGCATCGATGACATTCGGAGACTACATGCGCAGCGGGCCGCACGCAACCTCGAAAAGGCCACCTCGGCCACGCCAGCGGCAACGATGGGCGCGCAGGATCTGGCGCCCATCCCGAGACGCACGCCCGGGTCTGAGCCGCACGCGAGGCCGACGAGCCTCTTTGAGACGCGGGCGATGCGAGATGCCGTCGCTGCTGCCGCCGGCGTTGGCCCTGGCTCGCACGAGTCGGCCACCTCACGGCCCCGGAGCAGCGAAGGCACAAAGGCGCCCTCCAGCGGCCGCACCTCGCGCGCCGAGACGCCCACGAATGCAGCGATGGGTGCTGCCCAGTCGCCGTTGCCGCCCCCACCACCAACTCATGCTGAGGGTGAGTCTCGAGACCGTGAGCGCGACCGTGATCGTGACCGTGACCGCGACCGGGATCGGGAACGGCGGACGAGGAGGACGCTGGGCGACTATGCACTCGGAAAGACGCTTGGCGCTGGCAGCATGGGCAAAGTCAAGCTGGGCGTCAAGATGGGCAATGGCGAAAAGGTGGCCATCAAGATCATCCCCCGGCATACCTCTGTCGCCGCGGCCCACCACCCCAAGCAGAATGGGGCCGAGGGCGACAAGCGGCCGCCGCCTCCGACGGCGAGCTTCTTGGCAAAGGCGGCTGCCAAGGACCACTCCAAGGAGGTGCGCACCATCCGCGAGGGAAGCCTCCAGCTGCTCCTCCACCACCCCTACGTCTGCGGCATGCGCGAGATGATCATCCACCCCAACCACTACTACATGGTCTTTGAGTACGTCAACGGAGGCCAGATGCTCGACTACATCATTTCCCACGGTCGTCTCAAGGAGAGGCCTGCACGCAAGTTTGCCAGGCAGATCGGCAGCGCGCTCGAGTATTGTCATAGAAACAGCATCGTCCACCGAGGTGAGATTGAACGCGTGGGCTATCCATCGCATACACAACTGACATGACTCTTCATCCCACAGACTTGAAGATCGAAAACATCCTCATCTCCAAGACAGGCAACATCAAGATCATCGACTTTGGCCTCTCGAACCTCTTTTCGCCCCACTCGCACCTCTCGACCTTCTGCGGCTCCCTCTACTTTGCCGCGCCCGAGCTCCTCAACGCCAAGGTGTACACGGGGCCCGAGGTCGACGTCTGGAGCTTCGGCATCGTCCTCTATGTCCTCGTCTGCGGCAAGGTCCCCTTTGACGACCAGAGCATGCCGGCTCTTCACGCAAAGATCAAAAAGGGCCAGGTCGAATACCCGGCCTGGCTCAGTGGTGGTGAGTGGGCAGCGGACGCCCTATGGCTGGCATGCATTAGCATTAGCTGACGATCGGCCTCCTCCCTCTGCAGAATGCAAGCACATACTCTCGCGCATGCTCGTCACCAATCCCTCGCAGAGGGCCACCCTGCCCGAGATTCTGTCTCATCCCTGGATGGTCAAGGGCTACGATGGCCCGCCAAATGCACACCTGACACCACGGCAGCCCCTGCGGGCGGGCAACCTCGATCCGGAGGTCATCAAGGGCATGACGGGCTTTGAGTTTGGAGCCCCAGAGGACATCGAGGCCCGTCTCGTCGAGGTGCTCACCAGCGAGGGCTATCAGAACGTGCTCGGCGCCTGGGAGAGCAAGAATGGAGGCACGCCGGGCAGCAGCACCAATGGCGCCACGACGCCCTCGTCGGCGTCGCCAGCCGACATGGGTGCTCTCGGCAGGGCGGGCACGAGAGGCAGCGTCGAGTCCAAGACCAAGTCGTCGAGCAGCAAGCGCTTCTCGGGCATTGACTTCTACCGCAAAAAGATCAGTGCGACCTCTCTATTTGGAGGCCAAGGCTCGAGCAACGGGAGCAAGGACGACCCCGCCAATGGCCTCTCGCATGGCGTCTTGAACGGCGCCACGAACCCCAATGCGACCTGGCCTGGTGCAGGCAAAGAGCCGCTGGATCCCACCAGGGGATACCACCCGCTCCTCTCCATCTACTACCTCGTCCAGGAGAAGATGCAACGAGAGCAGCTGTACGGGCACTCGTTCTTTGCCAGCTCCAACATCTCCCTCACCGGACCCACGCCTCCGCCGACGAGTGCTCGCGTGGGAGGAGCGAGCTCGCGGCCCGACGGCGCTGGTGGGTCGTCGTCGATGCCCACGGCTGCAGACATTCCGCAGGAGAACATTCCGCAAGAGGCCCTCCGCGTCCCTGAGATCTCCCACGTTGCCTCGGCGGCCCGCCGTGAGAACCCGGTGCCAGCGCTGCCGGCCAACCCGCCCACGAGCGCGCGATCCACGACATCGTCCATCCCTGCCTCGCCCACGCCCGTCTTTGAGTCGCGGGAAAAGAGCCAGCCCATGGCCATCATGACGGGCCCGCCCAGGGCTCGTGCGCAGGGCAACGAGGTCGAGGCCGCCCTCCGCGAGTCGACCACGCCTGCGAGTGCCACGCGCACATGGCGACCCAGCTCAACGATGCGGTCAAGCCAGGCGCAGCAGGCACAGCAGGCACAACAGGCGCAGCAGCAGCAGCAGCAGCAAGGAGGACAGGTGCCTCTCACCAATGTCAACAACCACAAGCGCAGCATGAGTCTCACCAACAGGAGGACGTCGACGGCGACGGGCCAGGATCGAGGCGAGCCACTGTCAGCGCCGGCTGGCGAGTCTGTGAGCGGAACGGGAACGATCACGGCCAGGACGGCGCGTCGGGAACCAACGTCTTCGCCAGACAAGCGCAGGAGCTTCCACGGCATGCTCTCCTCTTCGCAGCCAAACAACAACGACGGTGGCGGCGGCGGCGAAGATGGGACGGGGGCCGGATCGATGCTTGCCCGTCGCTTTGGCTCCTTCATTGGCCGCTCGCCTTCGACGCCCCTAGAGTTGGACAGCCGCGAGAAGCGAAGACAAGCTCGGATGAGCACCGGCGGCATCAGCCCGGCAGCAGCCGTGTCACGGCGAGGGAGCATGCAGGTCGGCGCTGGCCTCGCTGGCGTCGAAGAGAGGCAGATCGACGAGGAGGGTGCGGCCTCGTCTTCGAGCCCGCCTGTGCCCACCAAGACGTGGTCGCCCGACGTTCGTCGCGCAGGCTCCGTACTCGAGCCTGGGTCCAGGAGTGCACGAACGCCGCCCGCTGCGTCGATGAGTCGCGCGACTGGCAAAGACCATTCTCTGAGCCTCTCGACGGCTGACGGGGCTACCTCGCCCACTTCGAGGTCGTCCCGGCGACCCAGCACGGGTCTCGGTCTCGAGTCGCCACCGACCAGCCAAGCTCACACGCCCGTCGACGAAGGCAATGTCGAGAGCAGGGGGCTGGGAGCGGGATGGCATGGCCCCATGTCACCATCGCAGGTCGGAGCGTTGCCCCCCGACTTTTCACGAAGGACGACCGCTCAGCGTTCGGCGACCTTGGGTGCTGGCGGCCGAGTCGTCCACGACGGTCCCAATGCAAATGCCACGGATGCCGCAGCGGGTGCGGCCCACGAGTCGGGCCAGGATGCCGTCTCATCCAAGCCAGTCTTTCTCAAAGGTCTGTTCAGTGTCCAGACGACAACCACAAAGCCCCGCACGGTGCTCCACCAGGACCTCGTCAGGGTACTGGACCGCATCGGTCTCCAGTATCGCGAGATCCGGGGTGGCTACGAGTGCGTGCACCTGCCCAGCCTCGACTTTAGCGGCGGCGGCGAGGCCTTGGGCAACGCTTCTCTCTCGGGAGGGCAGGGCAACGCTCGCATCGCGCCGCAGGAAGTGTCGTCGAGCCCTTCCAATGACAACTATGGCCCAGGAGCCGGAATCAGCTCGGCAGACTACGATGGTGCCTCACAGCAGCAGCAGCAGCAGAAAGCACGCCGCAAACCCAGCCGAATGTCATTTGTCTCGGGCAAGCGGAGAAGCCGCCAGGGGCTGGCTGACGGAGGTTCCCAGGGCGGAGACAGCGCCAGCATCACCTCTTCCCTCAACAACGCAGAGGGAGGCGCCGCACCTACGCGGAGCCGGGCCAGCTCCATCACTGCTCGCACAGACGAAGAGGTTGTTACCAATGGCACATCGAGCCCAGTGGCCGAAAGGAGCCGATCGCGCTTCTCAGCCAGACAGAGGACAGACTCTCTGGGTGCACCCTCGTTCATGCAGAGTCCTTCGAACAACAACAACAATCAAAATGCCGCCGCCGCCGCCACTTTATCACCGGCCCCTGCAATTGCCACACCACCGCCTGTGCCTGCGAAGCCCGTGTCGGCGACGCAGGCCGTCGAGCTGGCTGTTCGCTTTGAGATCTACGTCGTAAAGGTTCCTCTCTTGCTAGGCGTCAACGGGCTGCAGTTCCGGCGCATTGGCGGCAATCCCTGGCAGTACCAGCAGCTGGCCAGGAGGGTCTTGCAAGAGCTCAAGGTGAGTGTCCCTGGTCGTCTCTCTCTCTTTATGAAGTGACCGCATATAATCTGACCACATGCTCCACCAGCTTTGAATCCAGCTCGGAATCCAGCCTTGACGATGCGTCCGAGACTTAAGACAATGTCACGACGATGACGACTCATCCCTCTATCTCTTTCTACTTTGTTTCTTTCAGCCATGGTTCCCCCTATCCTCCTTCCACCCCTCTCCTCTTGGTCTTTGGAAAGTACTCCTGCTCATCTCTTCTCTTGCTTTTCCTGTAAGATCGTTGGGGGAGGCCTGGACTTCCCTACTGCAGTAAGCCTTGTTCTTTGTCACTCTCGATTTCTTGTGAAATGTCACGTGCGCAAAACGCGCGCGACCCGTTTTTTAGACTTTCGAGAGTGAGTTAGGGCCACTGGTCGAGCAACACCAACACGAGAGCGCGAGGCCGAGGGAAGCAATCTCGGAAGATGCGGATCGAGGAGCTGATCATCGATGGCTTCAAGAGCTACCCCGTGCGGACGCACGTCTCAGGGTTTGATGCGAGCTTCAACGCCATCACGGGTCTCAACGGCAGCGGCAAGTCCAACATCCTCGACTCGATCTGCTTTGTGCTCGGCATCACGAATCTGTCGGCGGTGCGCGCGACGAATCTCCAGGACCTCATCTACAAGCGTGGCCAGGCTGGCGTCACAAAGGCCTCGGTCACCATTGTGTTTGACAACACCGACCGGGCGCGGTCGCCTGTGTCGTTTGAAAATTATGGCCAGATTACCGTGACGCGGCAGATTGCCATGGGTGGGCTCTCCAAGTACCTCATCAATGGCCACAAGGCCACGCAACAGGCCGTCCAGAACATGTTTCAGTCCGTCCAGCTCAACATCAACAACCCCAATTTCTTGATTATGCAGGGTAAGATTACAAAGGTGCTCAACATGAAGCCCCAGGAGATCTTGAGCATGATCGAGGAGGCGGCGGGCACGCGCATGTTTGAGGACCGCAAGGAAAAGGCCATCAAGACGATGGGCAAGAAGGACCAGAAGGTCAAGGAGATCTCTTCGGTGAGTTTTCTGTCTTATCGCGGGGCAAATTGAAAAAGCAGTGTATCTGACTCAAGGACACGACAGCTGCTAGAAGAAGAGATCACACCCAAGCTCGACAGGCTGCGCGAGGAAAAGAGGTCCTTTCTCGAATACCAGCGTGCCACGACAGAGCTGGAACGCTTGACCCGCCTGGCAAAGGCATATGAATGGCAGCAGCACCACGCCCGACATGCTGAAAAGTCCAACGCCGTCGAGACGCGCTCGAGGCAGATTCAGGAGGCAAAGGAGACGCAAGAGGCTCTCAAGAGGCAAATGTCGGAAATCGAAAAGGAGCTCGAGGCAATTGAGAAGCGACGAGAGAAGGAAATGACCAAGGGGGGAAAGCTGCAGGAGCTGACGGAGAAGAGCAAGGCGCTGCAGCACGACCTCGTCAAAGCCAAGACACTCCTCGATCTCAAGGCCGGCTCGCTCGACGAGGAGACCAAGAAGCTTCAGGCTGATGAGGTCGCCCTCAATGCACTCGTCACTAGCCGACAAGAGAAGGGCGAGTCGTTGCGAGAGCTGTCCGAGTCCTTTGGCACGCTCAAAGCCGCCTTTGACGGGTCCAATGATGCGCTTTCCAAGCAGGATGAGCTGCTGCAATCACTCCTGACGGGCATGGCCTCCAAGGCCAGCGATGGCGCCCAAGGTGGCTACATGGGCCAGCTCGCCGATGCTCGTGCTAGGGAGGCGGCTGCGGGGACCGAGGTGGAACAGGCTAAGCTCCGAATCGGACATCTGCAAAAGGAGCTCAAGACGAAAGAGCCGCTGGCCAGGAAAGCTGAAAAGGAAGGCGCTGGCCTGGTCCAAGAGCTCGCAAATGCTCGAGACGCCGTCGACCAGCTGCAAGGACAGGTCGAGTCGACGGGCTGGGACGAAGGCAAAGAGAGAGCCCTTTCGCAGACGCGCGCCGAGGTGAGCCAGAAGGTATCTGAGCTCCTGACACGACGCGACGCCATCAAGAGTCGTCTGGCCGCTCTCGACTTTAGCTACTCGGACCCGGAGCCAAACTTTGATCGATCAAAGGTCAAGGGCCTGGTGGCGAGCCTGACAAACCTCGACCAGGACAAGCACAGGTTCTCGACGGCGCTCGAGGTGTGCGCGGGAGGACGACTGTACAATGTCGTCGTCGAGGATGAAAGGACGGGTTCGCAGCTGCTGGCCAATGGCAAGCTCAAGAAGCGAGTGACGCTCATCCCACTCAACAAGATCACTGCCACCGTTGCGGCTGCCGAGCGAATCGGCGCCGCCAAGAAGCTTGCGCCGGGTAAGGTCGACCTGGCGCTCTCGCTCGTTGGCTACGACGACGAGGTGTGCAAGGCCATGGAATTCGTCTTTGGCAGCACCCTCATCTGTGCAGATGCAGAGACGGCAAAGCGCGTCACTTTTGACGGACAGGTGCAGCTCAAGAGCGTCACGCTGGACGGCGACGTGTACGACCCTGCGGGCACTCTCTCTGGCGGCAGCAAGCCAAACACGGCGGGAGTCTTGGTGCAAATGCAGGAACTCAACTGGCTCGACAAACAAGTGGCAGAAGCCAAGAGGACGCTGGCGCGGTGTGATGCCGAAGCCAAAGCGGCCAAGGATGCCATTGCCAAGTTCAACAATGTCAAGAGGCAGCTCGATCTCAAGAAGCACGAAGTCACGCTCCTTGAGGGACAAGTGAGCGGAAGCAATGCCACGAGGATCATCTCCGAGGTCGCGGCATGCAAGAAGCAGATTGAAGAGCTCACTGCTTCCATCTCCGAGGCCAAAGAGAGGCAGAAGCAGGCAAAGGAGGAGGTCAAGTCGCTCGAGAGGGAAATGGAGGAGTTCAACTCGAACAAGGACTCGAAGCTCGAGGAGCTCAAGGCCGACATCAAGAAGCGCAAGGCCGACGTCCAGAAGCAGGGCGCAACCATCAAGGCTCGGCAGGGCGAGGTGAGGACGCTTGAATTGGAGCTCGAGGAGAGCGCAAGGGAGATTGAGGGGGCGTCGAACGACCTTGAAGAGGCCAAGGCTGCCCTGCAGGGGACAAAGTCAGAGCTTGACGAGATGGAGACAAGCATTACCGATCTGCAGCAGCAGGCCGAGGAGACGGAGGCCCATCTCGCCAAGGAGCGCGAGACATTGTCGGCGTACGACGACGAGCTCGAGAGCCTGCGGGGTGCCATCAAGGCCAAGCGTCAGGAAGTAACCGACTGGGACGTCAAGATCAAGGAGTATTCGCATGAGGTAGAACGAGCGCAGCAGGACGTGGCCACTGCTGAAAAGGCGGTCAAGCACCTTGAAGCGCAGTTCGAGTGGATCGTGACGGAGCAAGACTTCTTTGGAAAGGCAGGCACTGCGTACGACTTTGAGCGGCACAATATGCGCGAGGTCGGCAGGACGTGCAAGAAGCTCGAGGAGCAGCAGAGCGGCATGAAGAAGAAGGTCAATCCAAAGGTCTTGAATATGATCGACAGCGTCGAGAAGAAGGAGAGCGAACTCAAGACGATGATGTCGACGGTGCTCAAGGACAAGGGAAAGATTGAGGATACAATCGAAGAGCTCGACCGGTACAAGAAGGATGCGCTTCAGACGACGTGGGAAAAGGTCAATGGCGACTTTGGAGACATCTTTGGCGAGCTGCTGCCTGGGAACTACGCCAAACTGCAGCCGCCAGAGGGCATGGACGTGACCCAGGGTCTCGAAGTCAAAGTTCGACTGGGGAGTGTGTGGAAGCAGAGTCTGACAGAGCTCAGCGGTGGCCAAAGATCGCTCATTGCCCTGAGTCTTATCATGTCGCTCCTCCAATTCAAGCCCGCGCCGATGTACATCCTCGACGAGATCGACGCTGCTCTCGACCTGTCTCATACGCAGCACATTGGCCAGCTCTTCAAGTCCCGCTTCTCGGGATCCCAGTTCATTGTCGTATCGCTGAAGGAGGGCCTTTTCACGAATGCCAATGTCCTCTTTCGGGCCCGCTTCCGAGACGGGACGAGTATCGTGGAACGGACGGCCCAGAAGAGCATGTCTAGCTCTTCTTCTGCCGACAAGGAGAACCATCGCACAGCCCTTTCCGGCCAATCGAGAAAGACAAAGTCGAACCCGAAAGCGGTCGCTGCAACTGCCAGTCCCCTCGACGCGGTCGCATGATAGGTCATCTTCCCCGCTTATCGTTCCCGTCCTCAAAATCTACCCCTGTACTAAAACGCTACTGCACCCCATTGTCGATGGTCGTCTCCTGTACTCTATCTAGACTCTCTTCTCTCACGCGAATCCCGATGTGAACGTAATGGCCATTCCACGGTCCTCTGCAAGACCAATATTTGATCTTCCCATCGCGAAATGGGGTCCTTCGAAGCCACAATATCGCTAGAGGCATCACATCACATGATTTATCAACGATTCCCGGTGCCAGGAACGGAGCGGGAAGGTGACGAGCCAACGAGCCAATCCGAAGTTGCACTCCGAGGCATGTGCAAATGCTGCTCGAGCTTCACTACACTAGCTTCTATAGCGCCTTTTGATTCTATGAAATACCACCCGTCTGGAATTGATACGCTATAAATACTGTCGCTACTAAAGTTGTATTCATCCGGAATGGAGACCCTCCATTATGAAATAAATAAATAAAAACACCCGCGCGCGCGTGAGGGAAAGCAACTCCTTGCAGACCGACCCTTGACCGTGCAAGATACAACTACTAGCTAACAGGAGCCTTTTGGTATGAAGAGACTCCCCGGCGTACCACACTATTATTACATTCTCATTACTAGTGCTAGCTACTACTACTTTCGTCTCCCCCGCGTTCCCTACGGGTGGGAGAAATGGCCCTCGAGACCCTTACACCAACGCAGCGGTCCGCTGCCTGCTTCCGCGATAGCTGCATATTTGCCCGAGGTCGTGGGGAGTCTGAGTTGCGGGATCAAGTTGCGATGGCACCTACAGTAAACACATGGAAGGAGAAGGTGTTTGCTTGACGTGAACCACATATAAGCCTTAGACGTACGGTGCCGTGGCACTCCTTCGAGTCGCAGTCAGCTTGAGCAAGGTCGTGGCCGCCCCCCGGATCAGTCCACAAGCGCATGACTGGATCAGGTATTTCCATTGGCATGAATCGCATCGGGGCGAGACCTTGTCGCAAGCATGCAATCATTGTTCACCGTGGGTCGACGGACGGATCCTGTGGAACCAGTTCTCAAGGCTGGCATCAAGGACGAGAGCGTGACGCGTCTTCTGACATTCTGCCAGCTGAACCAGAGAATGAAAAGGAACCCCCGTTCACTTGTTCCGTATTTTTTCAGTGGAGGAATTTGGACAGCCGCCAGTGGTTGCAATTAATGCTATGCAAAAGCACCCCCTTGGATCATCGTCACATGCAGCTAGCACCTCGCTACATTATTTCGCTGTCGAGTACGATAGTACTAGTTGCTACAACTAGCTTCTCTACTCTACCTTTCTCCACCGTGCTGCTAAGTGGCGACGAACCGCTTGCGTCAAAACTGATACAAGCCTGACTAGCTGGTCGGCCTCGGGGTACATGCGTGAAATTATTCCCGCTGCTCGCTTAGATGCAGGCCTATCTAACGACCCTGCTTCTTCTCATGTGTGTGTTTTTTTGCGGCTCCTGCCTTACTATCATTTCAGCCCTAAGCGCTCGCGTCTATTATCAAGACGCTGGTATAAATCATATCTACAGCAGAAATCCAAAGATAAATGAAAGCAGGGGGGGTGGCAATATTCATTATTCCTGCTGCCTGGGAAAACATGTCCAAAAAACATGTTCTCACCCTATGTAATTAAGGCAGTTTGAGCATTCCTTCGCGACGTTCGAATACAACAATCATTTTGACATGTTCAAAGCTTGTAACGCTCGCCAACGACCTTTTTGTATTTCGGTCGAAGCTGTTGCCCCTTCTTGCAGCTCGCTGCAAAACGTCGTCTCAGTAGTAGTAGTAGTCGGTCGTCCTTTTAGATGTCCTGGGCCTGGCAACGCAGATCCCTTTCCTTCCAACCACACCTACCACCTCTCAAAAACGACTTGACCTCCAGCATCACCTCACCTTCGCGAGCATTTACACCGCTCATCAACCTTTTCTCGCCCCGTTACCTATTAAGATCTGGTCGCGGCAACCCATCGCTTCTCGACACATCCCTACCGCACCTGAGCTTCCAGGGCCCTTTGAGCGTTCTCTTTATCCTTTGATGCGACAGTCTCTGTGACGCCTACCACTTCTTCTCGGCACCTGCACTCGTCCTCCATCTAGCTTTAAAAGTTCCATTCCCCTACACCTTTTCTCGCCGTTCACCATCTTCTCTTCACACAACCATGGTCGTCGTCCCGAGCCGCCCACGACTACCCGGCAGAGCCGTCTCGGATGTGCACCCACTTGTCAACGCCGAAGCTGTCGAGGACTCTTCGGATCGAGACCTTGGAAGAGGTACCAAGCTTGCCATTGGCGGAGGCAAGGTGACCTCTGGTGCCAAGCTGGCTCTCGGCGGCAGGTTGCCCATGTCGCCCTTTTTGCCACTGCCTCCCGCACCCCCAGCAGAGGACCTCAAGCGACAGGCCAACGACGAGCAGTTGACGCCAAAAGGTCGCAAGGACGGCGGAGACGTTCACTTGAACATTCACCTCGGCTTGCCCGCGGACTCGCACGCCTATCGACGCGCCTCGAGCAACGGCACCGAGCAGCAGCAAACGCACGCCAGCCGCAAGGCAAGGCAAGAGCACATTGCCAACTCCGCCCACATGATCCGGAGCTACTCGATGCCCGTCGCCACCCAACGGGAATTTGACGTACAGCGCCAGCGACAGTGGCAAGGTCGCGGCAACTTTGTTGCCCAGCACCAGTGGGCCGCCGGGTGGCCTGCTGCGGCTTCGCTGGCCGAGTCCAACAGCATGGAACGTAGCTGCACCTCAGCCCCTTCGATGCAACAGTCGAGCATCCGGCAGCAGCGACAAGCTCACGGTGGCAGCCCTCGCGTGCAGCCTCGGTCTCCTCGGGCTCCTCTCAGCAGCCTCGATCTCAACCCCCCGTCATCGCCCTCGCGCTCTTCCTCGTCTTCTTCGATGCGATTCTCTGACGATGACGAGCTCGACTACTTTTCGCAGAGGGACCGCGAGTCGAGTATCTCAGACGAAGCCGAGGCGCTCACGCCCAGGGCTCTCACGCCGGAGCAGCCTTCGGTCACCGACGGCAAGACTTCCAACCGCATTTCGATCACCGAAGTGGAAGAGATCAGCTTCGACATTCACCCCAGTCACCTCCAGCCTCCCGCACCTTTTGCCCTTTGAGAAAGATGACAAATCACGAACAAGACTTTCTTCATCACCACTGCCACGTCCCATCTTCAGCACACCCACTCTCAACACTCTTTCTTTCGTCAACAAGGGGATATCCATGCGCACCAGCATCCCAACCAATATCCACGGACCATGCAATCAGCCGTCAATCAGTCCTGGTCATCATCTAACATCACCCAGCTCAAACACTGATCGATCCATCATCATCCGGCTCAACCTAAACAACGCATCTTTTACGAACGAAAAAAAAAAAGATCATTGGGTTTCCCATTGCAATAATCTCACACCAACACATCGCAAGAACTACCGGTCTCTCATCAAGATCATTTCTCATGACGACTTACGCACAATTTTTGTCGCCGCCATCAACTTCTCCATCATTACCAGAACTCATCTAATACCGCCCTCGACCATCAACACATTCAACAAGTCGCATCTATTCATGCACCGCCAGCTGCCCCATCTCTCGCCCACCCACTCCCCTTCATTCCCCCCTGCATTCCTGCATAATCTTTTCATACACGTCGCCTTTCAATCCCCTCTCCCTCCCCCATCTCGCGCACGCACACACTATCCCTCACGCAAACCCTCTCTCTGCTTTCACTTTTTTTCAAGTCTGTATCCCTAGTCCTACCAAATCTGAAGATTCTCTTCAACTCGAAGCCCATTCTTCTTTCATCGTGTCAGGCCCGAGTCAGTTAGGTCAGCAGGAAACATTGACTGGCCAGTCAATCAGTGTTCCGAGAGGCTCCAAGAGGAAATACAGATAAGGATGAATAAGAAGCGAGAAAGGGGGAATGCTCATGAATGTCGTGGAATGGTAACGTCATGTACGAATTGAAAAGAATCCTCTAACCACCACCGGCAAGCTCAACGCTTCCAAAGGGGGTCAAGATCAGCATCCATGCTCTACGGTCTGGAGAAGGAGGGGAAACTCACATTAATCTCGTTGCGCACTCCAAAAACAAGAACGGACTCGAAATCTCTCGTCGAGACGAAGTCGTCGTCGTCGCGGATGCGCCGTTGCTCTCCTTTGTCGACGTATTTGTTGGGTTCGCAGCGTGTTCGGCCACTCTTTTCTGCAACACAGACGGTGTGGTCGAAGCAGGCTCTTCAGACGAGGGCGCAGCGGCAGTTGAGGTCTGGCGGTACGCATCGTCGAGCGCTTGTTCCAGCGAGACTTGATTCACGTGGTCTGCGCCAGCTTCCTTGGCCGAATTCGAAACGGCACCGTTGACACGGAAGGGAAGCTGATGTGAAGAGGAAGATGGCGGGGAGATTGGCGAGGTCATATCCTGAGACGAAGAGCTGAACGAAATCCTTCTACCGCCTCCTGACCGATCTGCCGTTTCTCCTTCATTTAAAGCCTGTCCATTCCCAGCCTGCTCCTCTTCTTCTGGTGGCAGGCGCACGTAGCCGAGATTTCTAAAGTCGACGAGATAGTTGGCCTGATCGACGCGGTACAGCTGCAAGTTCATTCGGACGATGATGCTCTGCACCTTCCACCTCGTCTCGATGAAGAACAGCTCGTCAGTATTTCCACCTTCCACCCCACCAGCGCCCCCTCCCTCATGGGTAGCCGACTCGTCAAGGGCGCCGTTGGTCTCTGCTGTCTTCGTCGCAGAAGGTGGGGGAGATTTCGCTCGCCATTCCATGCCCAGGACCTGCAGGGTGCGGTAGAGCTCAAGCATGATCTCCATGGGCGGGCTCCTGCTTCGAATGCCAAAGTGCCACCTCGACCTCGGCCTTTTGGGTGCAGTCGCAGGTGCGGGTGTGGGTGCTGCAGCAGGCGTTGCAGCAGGCATAGATGCGGCGTGAGCCTCTGCTTCTTTGGCACGAACTGATGGAATACTCGGCTCGAGAATGGCAATGCCGCTCTGGCCCGGTGTGGCAGGCTCAAGGTCGTCTTCGTCATCATCGTCGTCGGTGATGGCAGTCGTGTGATCGTCGTCAGTGAGGCTGACATCGTCCTCAGAAGCAAAAGTCTCCAAGCCCTCGTCTGTTCCACTCATAGCACCTTCCGTGAACGCGCTCTGATCCATGCTGGTGTTGCCATCAGCGTGCTGGTGGAAGGCAGGGGCCGCAGGCGTCTCGTGAGCATCGGCAGGATGCTGCTGTGCGTGAGGTTTACGGCGGATGCTTGTGGATCGATTCATGTGAGCGTCGAGACCCTCGTTCCAAGGAGGAGGACTCTGCGCCAGGAAACCCTCCATCTCCTTTTCCTCGTCGAGGTGCGCCATTTGTACCATACGCTTATGATCCCGCACAAGCTGGTAAGCCACCTTGACCTGGTTCTCTCCTGGCTCGTACAACTGCTGATGTAGCTCTTCGATGGTGAAGCCCAGCATCTTCCCGGCCAGCTCGGTGACAATCTCTTCTTCGACATAGCCGATGTCTGGTGCCGCTTGTTGATTGCTTCCCGATGACTTGCGAGCGGGGCCATTGCCATTAGCACCGCCAGCGCCGCTGCCAGCAGCCTCTACCTCGCCTTCGCCGCCCTCGACTTTGGTGCTATCGCTGAAGTCGAAGCCAGTCCGCTCGGCGGCCGGCGTAGGCGGAAGCGGCTGGAGGTATCTGGGCAAATTGGCTTGGAACCACGGCAGCTGTCGGATCTCGACAATGGTGATCCGCTTTACGGGATCGACGACGAGCATGCTCGAGAGGAGGTGCTTGACCTCGGGCGAAAGATAGGAGGGCAACGAGTAGATGCCCCCGTTGATCTTCTTGAAGAGCGTCGGGATGTATTCGTCGTCGAAGGGCAGTCGGCCGCAGAGCATGACGTAGAGGATCACGCCGCAACTCCAAATGTCAATTTCTGGCCCCGCGTAGAGCTTGCCGGAGATGACCTCGGGAGCGGCATAATTTGGGGAGCCGCAGCTGGTCTTGAGGAAATCACCATCGGTCATGATATTGGACAGACCAAAGTCGCCGATCTTGACGTTGAGGTATTCGTCGAGGAGGAGGTTCTCTGGCTTGAGATCACGGTGGACAATCTTGTGACGATGGCAGTACTCGATTGCGCAGATGATTTGCTGGAAAAAGCGCCTGGCCTCGTCTTCAGACATTCTCCCTCTGTCGACAATGTACTGGAACAGCTCTCCTCCCGCGTACTGATTTGGCGTTCCCAAGGACAAGTCAGCATACAGAAGATCAATACGAGAGAGACGAGCAGAGCGTGAGCGCACCTCAATGACCATGATGATGTCCGAGGGCGTCGTGATAACCTCGTACAGCTTGATGATGTGGGGGTGTCTGAGCAGCTTGAGATACTGGATCTCCCGCTTGACTCTGCCACCCATGTCCAGCGAAGAAATCTTGCGTCGATTGATGATCTTCATGGCCACTCGATGGCCCGTCAGCGAATGGGTGGCCACTGTGCCAAATGGAATCAAGTCAGCATATTGAAGGCAAACCACAGACCCACGCAGCAGTACTCACGCTTGACCTTGCCGAAGCTGCCTGTGCCCAACGTCTGAAGCAGGGTATACTGACCGATTCGGACGGGCTGCTTGGTGTGCCTCCTTGACGAAGTCTGGCCGGCCGCTCCGCCCGAGGAGCCGGGCCTGCTCGCATTCCGGCTCGACGGACCCGACGAGTGGGTGGAGCGAGGCTGGGAAAGGGCAGGATCGGGAGCATAGATGCTGCTGCTCGCCTCCCGCTCCCGATGCAGGGCATCGCCTTCTACGCCGCCCATCGTCGGCCTATACCTTCATGCCCCGCGCAATCTCCAGCGAGGACAACGTCGGCCACGGAGAGGCTGGATTAGGACGCAAGTGAGACGGATGCGCCAACGACAGGGAGTCTATCGCAGATTTCCAGTGACCCAGAGCGAGAGAGAGATCGGCGTCAGAATAGTGACAATGAGAGCAAGTCGGTGAGTCGACGACAGATGGACAAAAAGATCCCGTGCTATAGTACTCATCGCGCACTATGGAGGCCCGTCTCGTCAGTCGCGTGCGCGCGGATTTAATCCACAGGGCCTGCCCTTGGTCAAAGGATATGACGACTACTACTGCTAATGAATTTTGGGTTGTATTTATTCCAGCTTTTCTTGCAGTCTTCCTCTAGAGGTACAACAGGTCCGAGCGAAGGCAGGATGATGGCTGCACGAGTAGGTGGTGGTGGTGGTGGTAAAGGGGAGGATACTACTGCTGCTATAGTGAATCGCGATAATAAAGAGTCATACCGATACTTCTTGACCGAGGCCCCACTCCGACGAGGAAGTCGAGGTGAGGTAGGTGCTGGGGGAGTGCTCGTCGTACAGTGGCACACCCTCTTCGCCCGCGGAGGCTTTGAGTGTCGACGACGGTGGCTCCGATAGCCGCAGACCGTCGTCGCCCTCGACGGGCTCGTCTAGACTTTGGGTCGACGAGGTGGTCATCGACCCCTGCTTGTCCTCTGACGCTGATGCGATCGGGCCCTCAAAGAGCCCAGCGCCTCGCTCATCGTTGGCCGACTCTTTCTTCATCTCGCTCGCGCCGTCGAGCGCTGTGGACCAGTCGTCGGGGGGCCACGAGTCCGCACCGTCGTCTACACTGGGTGAATAGGCGGCCGAGAAGGGGCCAAGAATGGCATCCTCGGCCACATTTGCCGCAACGATGCCGGATGGCAAGTCACTGTTGCTCATGCTGCTATTCCCAACAGCGGTGGCGTCGCTGTTGCTGCTGTGAGCGAGAACGTTGCCGACGGCAGGTGCGAGCGTCGCACTGACGCCGACTCCCCCTCTCGTCTCTGCAGACGAGGGCGACGACGACGAGGTGCCCATCGACGTTGGCGGCGGTGCTGGCAGAAGAGACGAGGTAGAAGAGTAGAGGGAGTGCGCAAACATGGGCATCTCCGCCACCGCCACCGCCGCCGCCGCCGCCGCCTGCTGAGCCTCTGGGAGCCCTCGCTCTTCATTGACCTTGCCAGTACTCGCCTCTGCTTGCCCAGCAGCGGTCCTCTTCTGCCCCGGCCCCAGACCTTCTGTCTCGCCTGCGTCCGACTTGGATGCCATCGACTGGCCCTCCCCGTCCGTCCGCGTCTTTCGTCTCCGCTTTTGCGGCGCCTCCTCGTAGTGGCAGTCGCGCTTGCCGATCCGACATTGCTTGCAAGGCTGCCCGTCCTGATCGCACTTGACCTTGCGTTTTCGACAGACCATGCACCCCGTCCTGCTTCTTCGGAACTTGGTCCTCCGCGTGGTTCCCGCCCCTGCTGAGGAGGACGACGATGACTTTGTCCCATCGCTTGTCTGGCCCCTCTTATTGTTGTTACTACCGTTGCTGTTGCCATGGTTGATGTTGTTGTTGCTGCTTTTTGCCGAGATGGCGTTTGCAGCTGTCGAAGCGGTCGTCGATGCTGGTGGTGCAAGCGAGGGCGGGGGTGGGTGCATCGCAAGGGGAGGGCCCATGGCCTGCGACCCCTGCTGAGCAGCGGCGAGGCTGGCCATAGCTGCAGCCTGCTCGCTCGTCATGGGTGCCATGCTGTTGATTCTCGCCGCTCCTCCGAAGGGTGTCAGGGCCGTATCAGATGCGCTTCCGGGACGAAATGCGCTAGGCGCTCCCCCGACATTGTAGTAGCCTCCTGCCCCCACCGCTGGCCCGCCGCTTCCGACGCCGACACCTAGGGTTCCTGCTGCTGCAGCGGCAGCGGCGGCGGCAAAGCCTTGGTCAGGGACGACATTCTGTTTTCGCGTTGGAGCGGCGACGTCAGCTTCGGCTTCAAGCAGGTCTCCTCTGGGTCAGTAAATGCTCACCGATGCAAGCGCGGGCGATGCTCCGTTCCATGCCGCAGCCGCGGCGGCCGCTGCTGCCGCATTGTAGTCTGGATAGTGCGATGATGAAGAGCTCATGGAGCTCGTCCGTTTGTGTTGATCAAAGGACGAATGCACCGAAGTGCCGTCGATGCTGTGTGTTCTCGTTGAGGAGGAAAACCCATCGGCGGTGTTGTAGCTTGGTGATGAGCGAAAGGAGGCAACGTCGTCCGAGGGAGACGTCAATGTCGGCCCACCGGCAATGGACTCGTCCGGCGACGTGGTGAACGTCGTCGAGTCGGTGGAGTTGTGGTTGCGAAAAGCGGCTGCCGATGCAGCCATGGCGGCCGAAGGTGCGTCATGGAGCCCTGTGTCCTTGTCCCATATGCCGACATCGTCGACGAAGCTCGAGACGGCCTTTGGGGACGAGAATGTTAGACCGGGCCCACTCCCGGCGAGAAAGTTGGCAGTGGAAGCATCGCTGTTCGACGAAGGCCCATAATCGACGATGCTGTTGCAAGCAAGTGTGAGCCTACTTGCACCGCAATCCAAAGGAAGGAAAATCTTGTGTTAGAGAGAGAGAAGAGAGACCCACCCATCGGCATCAGCATCAAAGGACGTCATCGGCGGAGCGAAGTGGCCCTCCTTAGAGTCCTGACCCTGCTGCAGCTGTGGAACATCCCGATCGTTCGACATGGCATCGGCCCAGGAGCCAATGTCCATGAATCTCAAGCGTGGAGTGGCTGCTGCCGCCAATACCGACTTGTTGTTGATGTCGTCGTCGTCGTCTTCCACTATTACTCCTTCCCTTTTTATTTTCTTCCCCCTCGTCGAGCTTGTTGGGACGCCGCTTCACCCGGCTCGATCTCCGCGTCGGAGCAAGGCGAGCGACAGGGAAGAGGGGAAGTCGAGAGAAGAGAAGAGTAGACCAGAGAGAACGCGCGCGCTTCGTCGAGATTGAGGAGTGAAAGGAGCGGTCGACGGTGAGTCGGAGCTTCCTTCTCTTTTCACTATCCAAAACCAGAAAGGTGTGTGTGTCTGTGTGCGGTGCGTGTGTGCCCACCCGGCCATCTGCCTACCTGCGATCTTCCCAGCTCCTCCCAGTCTTTCGACGCGTGACTTATTTTCCCTTTCTTTTTCCTTTTTTTCTTCCAAAAAGGCGCACGCACCCATCGACGTCAGAGATGATTTTAAATTGATCGCTCGATGGCGCCGCCGCCGCCGCCGTCGTTGCCCTTTCGCGGCATTCTTCGTCTTTTCAAAGGGAGATCTTTCAGAAACGTGTATAAAGGATGCTTAAGGCAGTGGCTCGAGTACCGCTGGCACATAGGAGGAAGTCCGTCGGTCTGATCTGTCGTCTCATCGTCGGGAAGTTGTTCCCTTCGGGTGTCTCATCGTTTTCAATCGTTAACACTGGACGGACGGACGGACGGACGTAGAAGCAGTAGTCAGGGAAGTAGATATTTCCAGGGCGAAGCGTTCTTGCAATACAGGATCCGAAACGAGTGAGAAAATGAAACGAATGTGTGCCTTTAAAGAGGAGTGAAGAACGAGTAAGTGGTAGTGGGAGTGGGAGTTGGGAGTAGATTGGGGTGGGAAAGAAGAGGAAAATGGAGAGGAGAGGAGAGGGGGGGGGGGGGGTCCGAGCCGATGTATAGAAAAGGTATTTGGGCTCTGTAAGAGGAGAGGAGAATCGCCAGAGCAAGGATGCCTTGGCGCCTCGAGAGCGCATTGCTGATTGACACTGATGTTGCTAGCCGAGTCATATTGTGTGCGTGAGAGTATGCCCGTGTCTGCGATCTCGACCGGCGAGGCTCACGGCGGGTGGAAGCTAGCCAGCCTATGCGTATGGATTTTGCATAGGCTGGCCTTGGTGGACATTCACGCGGTACGGGTCCATCGAGGGGCTCGTGTGCTGGACAGGAGCTGCGCCCATGTACGGGTCTTGCATCTGACCATACACATCGGCGTGGCCGTAGCTTGAGTTGTAGCCGGCCTGCTGCTGTGATTGCGGATCTGGTACGTAGGGGGTGGCCCCGTATGGGTCGTAGTAGCCGCCGGCCTGCGACGAATTCGGGTAGGCGTTGAGGGCGACCGAACTGCCCGTGAACGAATCCCTGCCCTTGCTGCCGTACTCTTGCATGCTGTGGCTATCGCCGCCCGCCTCGTGACCATTGTCCGATTCGCCACCCATGTCGAAGCCAGCGCCTCCTGTCCGCCGTGCCGGCAGGGGCTGTAGCGCTGCATCGTGGTCCGCCTTGAGCTCCGGCCACTTGATGTCGGCTGTGTGATGATCATCAGAAGAAGAAGGAGATGAGCGAAGAATTCAGAGTAACTTGATTTCGGGCAACACCCACCGTCATCATCCTTGTAGTCGCTGAACCGTTTGCCACCAAACTTCATCCAGAGGAAGATCACGGCGCCCAGGATGGCCACACCGCCGACGACGCTGACACCGATGATGAGGGGCGTATGGTTCGTGTTGCTGTCCTGCGACGTGTCGCTCGTGGCCGTGCTTGAGGCGGCCTCAGAGCTGTAGGGCACCGTTTGCGTCACCACCGTTGTGGCGCCCGAGTTGTCTGTCGATGTCAGCACTGTGGGCGTGCTGGCTGCAGACGACGAGAGCGAAGCCCTGCTCGCGCTGGCGGCGGCTGCAGCCTGGGACGATGACTTTGCCGCTGCCGACGATGAAGAGGCTGCCGCCGCTTCGGAGGAGGCTTCTCGGGCAGACGACTCTGAGGCTGCGGCGGCCGATGCGGAGGACGCGGCACCGTCGTCCGACGAGGAACTGGAGGCAGAGAGACCGTTGTCGCTCGACGAGGAGCTATCTGACCCTTGAGAGCTGGTGTCACTGCCTGTATCCGAACCTGAACCTGAGCCGAGACCGAAGAGTCGCCGAACGGCGCGCGGATGGCTGATCGATGAGCGCGCAAGTGCAGTCGGCTGGGGACTCTCAAGGTGAGCAGAAGTCGTCGACGCGACAACCAGCACTGCGACAGCCACGACGACGGCAAGAGATCTCAATCGAGCCATCATCGCGACAAGTCGATGTGCGAGGAAAAAGGAGAGGAGAGAAAGAGACGTAAGTACTGCCAGGAAGGTGATTGGCGCTCCAGTGAGAAAAGGGGGTTCGCGTAGTGTTGTTGTCCTTTTCCGTCGGAATGAATTTAGAAAGGCGGATCCGTCCCGCAACAGAGAAAGTACTCCTGAGTCTGTCTCTGTCGTGTCGACCGTCTTTCGTGCCTGGTTCTGATCCTTAGAACAACCGTCCTCGAGAGAGAGGTTGTGTCGTTTTTAAAAGAGAGTCGTTTTTGCGATGCGATCGCTCTTGAGTGAAAGATTGGTGGTCAAGTGGTCACAAACCCGCTACGTCTGCCATTCGGCGGGCTAAATTTCAGACAAAGGGGGGTAGCTAATTCGGGGACCACGATGGCATGACACGTGATCATAACGCATGGTCTCAAGATTTCGCGAACTTGCACAAACGATCGTGTGGCTCGAATCCGGGGGCTTGCAGACACAGCCTGCCAGGTACAATAGAGTGTGTAGGGTAACATCAAGACTTTTCAAATACTGTACTGATGTGCTGCTGTTCTCTGAGAGCGGTTGCAAGGAAATTCATCGGGAACGGGAAAGTGCCTCTTGCCGTCCATCACTTCCATGGTTGTAGAGCATTGTATTATCTACAGCGATCTTCGCTCTATACTCTAGACAGATGGAGCAGTAGGACCACACATATACCCTGTCATGATGCACTCTCCTCGTGAACCTGCTTTACGTTTGTCATTCCACGTTACCGTATCAATGTGAGAGAGGGGCGCGAAGACGCGCACGTGACCGCGCTCGCACGGCCCCCACCATGTGATGCGCCATTGGCGGTGCGGCTTATGACCGGCTTGCATGCATTGCTTCAGCCAGAACCAACTGACGACTAGATGGCGACCTCAGTGGCCGCAGCGGGGCCAGCTGGGAGCAGCAGTGAGACGGCCACTCCTCCCCCTCCTCCGGCACAGGCTCGAAAGAGGATCAGCTACATCCTTCCCGCTGTCGAAGGAGACCCCCCACAATGGTACAGGCTGCCCAGTTTCGACGAAGCCATGCGTCTCAAGAAGGCGCGCTCGACTCCTCTTCTCTATCCGGCGCCGCCAGAGAGCTACGATAGCAGCGTGCCCATATCAAGCAAGAATCCCTTCCGAGCGTTGATAGCAGCAGAGAACAAGAAGGGGATGGCGACCCAAAGTCATCCTCGACATGTCCTTCCCGTTTCGAGCTTGGCACTGGATGCAACGACGGTACTCGGAGGGCCAGACAGCGATGGGGTAACCCCCAAAGGCATCTTGTATACCGGCGGCAGGGACGGACTGGTGGGTGCTTGGGAATTGGGACTCGAGATGCGGCGTAGAGATAGAGGAAGAGCTCCGGCAACTGCAGCAGCAGCAGCAGCAGTAGCAGAAGAGCAAGAAGAGCAAATGATAGAGCAGCACCAAGAGCGAGAACAGAGCGGCTGGCAAGCGATGCAGCCTAGAGCGAGCTCGCGCACAGGACGAAAAGCATCGTCATCTCCTGCACCGGCCAAGTTCCGACAGTGCATCGGCAGCCACACGGACTGGATCAACGACATTGTCCTCTGCAACAACAACCAATCAGGTGGGTCACGGTGTTCATTTTTTCTTGTTCAGCATGCCATTGACTATTCTTGTAGTCATCTCCGCGTCCTCGGACGGTGTCTTGAAGGCGTGGAGCCCACACGATAGCCTAGGAGCGACCACACCGCAGATGCTTGGCTCCCACAGGGACTACATCAAAGCTCTCGCCCACGCTCCACATGCTGGTTGGGTGGCGAGTGGCGGATTCGACAAGACCGTGAAGCTCTGGGACATTGGGCAGAGTCGAGCCGAGCCTATCATTGAGCTGCCAGAGACCCTCGTCAAGTCGTCCGTATATGCGCTGTCGACGAACCCAGCTGGGACCGTCATCGCAGGGGGATCGCCCGAGAAGATTGTCCGCGTTTGGGACCCAAGGAGCAGGCAGCAGGTGTCGCAGCTCGTCGGCCACACAGACAACGTGCGGAGTGTCGTCGTCAGTCACGACGGCCGACACCTCCTCAGCGCTTCGTCGGATTGCACCATTCGGCTGTGGTCTCTCGCGGAGCAGAGATGCCTGCATACATTTACCCATCACGATGACAGCGTCTGGAGCCTCTTTTCCGACCATCCAGACCTCGATGTCTTCTACTCGGGCGACCGCGCGGGATACGTTTGCAAGGTTGACTGGGAGCGTTGTGCGGAAGTCTCCGAGGGCGAATGCGTGGTCTTGGCCAGGGAGTCGGGCCTCGAAGCCGAGCAGCAGCCATTCTCCCAATCTCCCGCGGCTGGCGCTGCAGGTATCCACAAGATCGTCGCCCTTGACGATGCCTACTTCTGGACTGCCAGCGCGACTTCGCGCGTTAGCCGATGGCGAGATGTGCCAAGGCGGTCCGAGAGAGAGGCTCTCTACCCAATTCATCGACCCTCTGTGTCCTCGATGTCGGGAGCTGGTCCCTCTGCACCTCCTGCAACGGACATGGTAGCCAAGCCAAGCGCGTTCAGACAACAGTCTAGCCAGCCGATGGCGTCCAACGTTTCCTTTGTCGAGCCAACGGCAGGTGGCAGCTTGTCGGGCGATACGGCCCCTTTAAACCTCAATGCGCCCGAACCTGTGCCGTCACTGTACGGTATTCCCTTCGATTCTCTCGTCTGCCTGGCTCCACCCGACGACCCCCTGCAGGCGGCCATTGGACTGGGCAGTGTCAGCCTGCGTCAAGCCACTTCGAACACTGATCAACAAAGTAGACAGGACAATCTCTTTTCTTCGGCTTCGCTCATCTCAATCCCCTCTGCTCTGCGATCGGTCAGCGGTGGCCATAAGAATAGCTTCGACGAGGTTGTGACGACAAGGACACCTTTGTCTCTGACGGCGCAACACCGACCTGCCAGTATCCGCTTCGCAGCATCTTCGCCTCCTGCCGATGCTTTTGCCGAGGCCGAGGAAGAAGAGGAAGAAGAGGAAGAAGATCAGAGTGCGGAAGAAGTGTATGACACTAAAGCCCTAGAAGCCCGGCAGGCGTACGAGGAAAGAGAGCTAGTGGCGGAAGCCAAGCCTTTGAACGAATGGCCAGACGACAGCATCGAGGGGTCGCACGGTCTCATTCGGTCCTCGATGCTCAACGATCGACGGCATGTCCTCACGGTAGATACGGCAGGTACCGTCTTCGTGTGGGACATTGTCAGTGGACGGTGCTTGGGAGGTATCAAATGGCAAGATATTCGAGCGGCAGCGGCAGTGTCACAACATACGGAAAGGCAGCTTCTCCCCAACGAAGCTTTGGAAGTGGTCAAGGAACGCATCGAGGGAGAAGCCGCCGTGCCGCTCTGGTGCACCGTTGACACAAAAATCGGCCGATTGACTGTTCATCTCGAACATCCCCGCTGCTTCGACGCCGAACTGTACCTGGACGAGTGCACCAACTTCGTGCCTGACGTGAGCAGCAACTGCAAGGAGGACCAGCGGGCGAATGCAGGCAAATGGGTCTTGAGGAACCTCTTTGGCGGCTTCGTGGATGTTGAGACGAAGCTGCGGAATGGGGATCGTCCTCAATTGAATCAAGGAACGCTGGCTGTGGAAAAGCCAGAGATTGCACGGAGCGCAGGTCTCAGGCTCAATCTTCCTGGCTCGACGAAGTTGACAGGCTTTGCGTCGCCCTCTGAGAAGATGCATACGCCGGGTATGACGATAGCGCTGGCCGTGGCCCCGAAGACGCCTGCATTGGTGCCCAAAGGCGCGACCGCTCTGACACCCACAGTGGCTTCGGTGGCCACGCTTCCTGCTCTCGCCGAGTTGGTCAGCAGTGTCAGCACGCGCAATGGCAATGGGGCTACAGGAGCCGACTACTTTTCTTTGCAGACAGGTCAGAGTCAGCAGGCTAATGCGCCCACAACGCCCTTGAGCCGGTCTGCCTCGACAGTCAAGACGCTGACGTCTACCGATGCAATGCCCCAGTCTCCTTCTGCTGGCTCTTCTGGCCTCATGGGTCGACTCCGCATGGGTCTCGGCTCTAGCAAGAACAAGAGTTCAGCTGCTGCCATCGCTGCCGCCAATCATGCCAGTGCTGGTGGCAATGCCAAGGCAGGAGGCGCATCATCAACGGATGAGTCTGACAGCGCAACGACGGAAAACGCACACCTAACGTGGCTTCGACACATCCTCTCTCGGCCTGTGAATGCTCCATCGCTTATGCAAGAGACCCCGGCGATCAACTACGATGGCCAGACCGCGCTCCTCATCTCAGAGAGTCCACTCTCGCAGCTCGACTCCACGGGGGCCTGGCAGGTTGTCTACCGAGGCCTCGTCTCCACGACATCGGCAGACGTAGAAGCGCTTGAACTCCTCTCACCAACATGGCTAGTCGATTTCTTGCTAGCCAATCGACTTTCGCTGGCTAACAATGCTACGGCAACAACGCAGGCGTCTGCAAAGATCAGCTTTACGCTGCAGCCTTGGAAGCCAAAGGCAGGCACTTCGATCTCGTCATCGTCATCGACCTCTTCTCCGCAGAAGCATGATGAGGATGGGGCGAAAGAAGAGGGTGGCGTCGTCGCCATGCCAGCAATGCCCAGCGGGTGAGTACGCTTTCCAGCTTGGCTCAGTAAAAGATTACTTTCTTGGCGCTAACTTGAGGACTTTTCCCCAGCAATGCACGGCTGACGGCGACGAGGATGCTCCGAATGAAAAAGGTGTGCGCATACGTGTGCGAAAAGCTCCAGATCACCCCTGCTACAATAGCCGAGGACGCCCGATCAAGGGCTTCCAGCATCGTACCAGCCAGCATCCAAGGTTCGAGGAGACCGTCGGCGGAGAATGGACCGGCGGGTGTGCCTGCTGTCTTTCCGCCACTTACGCAGATTCATACGCCTCCTCCTGCAACCGCCATCGGCGCTTCTGGAGAAGCTGCACTGGAGAAGCGAGAGCACGATTTGACCCCGGTAGAGATGGTAGAGATTCTCTGCAATGACGTCGTCTTGCCGCCCCATGCTACGCTGGCTCAAGTTCAGCGCTTCGCTTGGAAAGGGCCGACGACGTCAGACGTCAAGCTCGAATACCGGTGGGCATTGTGAAGCAAGACACCCGCTTTTGTACCATACCGCTGTTCCCTCCGGTCGTCTTTCTATGCATTGGCATCAGATTGTGGCGACGGAGCTATCATGGTTTCTGAGAGGAGGAGTTGATGAGAAGTTGCCTGTCTTGTGCATTGTATCATATTCTCTGACTTGCGATTTGGTGATGAGGATGAGAGGGGCAGATGAGCTAAATTCCACCTGGTGGTGGTTGTTCTTCTTGGCCTGTTGATGCCGAAGAAGGCTTCCCATCTTCTGATTTCGTTGAAGTTTCCGATTCTGCCACAGGTTCACTGTGCCCTGGTTGTGTATCTGTGCCTGGAGCTGGAGCTGGTGCTGCAGTCTCCAGCCTTGCATCTGCACCGGACTGTGTCGCCAACGCCGCTCCACCGGCCTCACGCTCGTTCCCATTGCCGTAAGACGTCGTAGTAGTCGTCCAAGTCGGCGCGTCTTTCACGCTCGGCAGCAGGCAGTGTTTCCAATGGTGATGCCCGTCAAGGATTCTGAAGTCCTCAATATTAGGATGTGCCAGTTGAAGGAGGTAGCGCTGTAGGGCCACCAATTCTGTATCGTGCGATGGACTGTTCTTGTAAGGAGCGACTGAAGGGGCAGTGTTAGCTTCAAGCCAAGGAAAGGTGGGAGGCAGGGAGGTGGACGCACTCTTGAGCCCGCAGCTAGGGTTCATGACAAAGTTTCGGCTCAGGTCGTCCACATGTATTGTGTTGTCTAATGCAGATTGGGACCCCGATCAGCTCATGGGACGGAGAGTCGGACCGAAGACGGAGACTTACGAGGACCATAGAACTGTGGGAAGCGACGCCAAATGATCTCGAGGGCCTTGACCTCGTGTTTATCCCTCGCCTTACTGCCCTGCGATCGACTTCGTTTGATGGAGCTCCGTACGCTGAACATAACTGTCCGATCGAGGACAAATGAGATCCGGTCTGCATTGCAGGAAAACGGAGAGTAAGACGGATCGTCGATGCTGGAAGGGACAAGGCCAGGACTCACAACGCGCGTCAGTCAGGAGGCCCATCTCGGTCAGCTTTGCCTCGAGCCACCAGTGTGACGTTTGGCTCCATACACAAATGTCGTAGTAGGGGTAAACGGCTGCGAGAAAGTCGTGTAAGCCTGGTCGTTCGGCCTCGTGGGCCGAAGTGGTGTAATTGAAGAGCTTCTTGGTGTCTGCGATGGTGTAGTCGAGATCGAGGACCAAGAGGCCGCCAGACAGGTTCGGCCTTGGCTCGGCCATTAGGGGAAAGGTATGCGAGAAACGAGAAATTGTTTTTTCGAGCTTGTTGAGCGAATACGGGTCCTTTGAAGGGTCGATGGGAGGTTCTGCCTTGGAGGAAGAGGATGCTGAGGCCGCAAGCGCGTTCAATTCAGCGTCATCGTCCTCATCGTCCTCTAGGCCCTTGCCGTCGACTGCGTCAGGGTCCTTGAATGTCTGGTCCAGGGGCGTACCGACGAGGTTGATTGAGATACGCTTCTCGCCAGTCTGCGGATGCGGGCTCTGTCGAAGACTCGTCGGTGGAAAGATGAGGTCGGCGATGGGTGCCTCATCAGCGGGCAGCTTGCCTCGAGTGAGCCCCAGCAGCTTCTGCCGGTCTGCCGGGACATCGGTGAGTGAGAAGAGGATCTGAGCATTGCATCGGAGATCAGTCTTGGGAAAGGCATGGGCAAAGAGGACGGAAGTTTCCTGAGACCCACAGCCTTCAAGTCTGCAACCGTGTCGTCTACGGCCAGCCGCACCTCGACGAGCGACTTTCCATACTTTGCCGAAAAGCAGTAGTGCTCCACGGCCGTGGCGCGAATGGCTTCCACCGGCTCGCCCTCCTGCGTGAGCTCGGCCTCAGCCTTTCGCTTCGAAGGGCTGCCGTCCATGTCCCGTTTCGGGGTTGCTTGCGGGCGAGAAAAGTGAACAGAAAGCGAGGACAAAAGCAGCGCACCAGGAGGTGGCCCATGCGCGCGGGTCCTGGCCTCGTGGAACAAATATTCCCACCTCTTTGCTTTTCGCGACGTGAATATGGGAAACGGACGCGTCCACGGCAACCAACACTTTCGCGCAACCTCACCTACCCTTCATAGGCTTCTAGGCTTCGTTCTGCTCGACCTCGGCACGTCCACAGCGCGTAGAGGTGCCGCGATTCGATCATGGAGATCCGGCGCAAGCCATCCTATGAGAGCGATGTCGAAGACGACATTGGGCTCTTGCATGATGAAGAGTCGCTCGGCAGCTCAGAGAGCGAGGGCTTGTCGGACGAGAATGACTCCGGTACGGAGGACAACAACGATCTCCGGAGGGCCGGTGCAGAATACGAAGCCGCACTGAGATCTACAGTGGTCGACATTGTCTCTGCGCTAGGAGGAATCGAGGAAGTCGTGACCGAGGACGGCGGTCTGGAGGAGAAGTATGTGCTGGGAGATGACTGCCTTCGTGAGTGTCCCAGCTACCGAGCATGAAGATATGGGCGCTGCTCCCCACTCACACCCAAGTTGCATCATGCATCATCAGGCTGTCTGAGAGATCTTCGAACCCTGTGGCGAGAGGACGAAGAGAATGCAGAGAGGCTGGTACCGCGCGTGTATGCCGAGATCAATGTCCTCCAGGGAGGCCTGCTGCCGCTGCTTCTCAAGACGGGCAACATGGGTCAGAGGGGAACCAAAATTGCCCTTGCCTGCGTCGACCTCATCACCTCGCTCACTTGGCCAATTGATGCCCAGGCAGAGATCCGAAATGCATTCGAAAGAGGCAACGAGTCTCTCGATCTCGGCATCTTGCGTTACCTCGAACAAGCCATGGTCTTGTACAAGTCGGCCATCATTCACAGTCGGTCGCAAGAGTCGAATGGCACCGACCGAGACGTACTGAGCACCATCATGCTTCACGTTCTCCTACCCTCGTTGAGCAAGCCGCGACACCTTCGCAGCGAGAGAGACACGGGGACCATCAGCATGTGTCTTCATCTCTTTCGTAACCTCTTGGCCGTGCACGACCCGGCGTCTACCTCGCTGAGCAGTGCACAGGCAATTGCAGACTCGAGGCTACAAAGCGATCTCATCGTCGCCATGGACAAGGCCCACATCCTCGAAACGCTCCTTACAATTGCCAGTTCCGCCGACTCGAGGGACATGGAGCCGTGGAACGCCATCGTCGCCGAGTCTGTCTACCACATCTTCATTGGCAGCAGCCCTCGCGACCTCATCACAGGAACGTACCGACAGACTCGGCCTGTCAACCCTGGCCAGAGAGAGCAGGTGCAGCAGGGAAAGAGCTGCGACGATCTCGCTCTTGCTCTGACCAAGGAGGCGCGCCAACGCACAGCCCAAATCCTCGAAAGTGGCACTTCTCGTCACTCCAGGTTCGGAACTTCGCTTTCCTTTGTTGATCAAAAGGGGGAAAGGAAGTTCGCACGAAACCAAGCTTCTCTGCGCAAGACTGCCGCCGAGCTTGCTGAAGGAGTCAAGGAGCGACAAAAGAGGAAGTTTCGGAGGCGGCGGCTTGTACAGGAGCAAGGAGCACCGCGGGCGAAGATTGGGTGGACACGCGAGGCGCAAACCATCCTTCAGACGTGGGCGGAGAGATTTGTCAAGCTGGGCTTCGAGAGCCTCACTCGAACGCTGCTGATGGACATCCGATCGGAGCGAGCCAAGTTGGGCGACATCGATACAGCCCGCGTCAGGTTCATGCAGCTGGCCGGCTTCTTCCTCGACTACTTTTTGATCCATCGCGAGGCGGCACCGGGAAGGAAAAAGGCGCCTTGCAAAGACGCGACGAAAGAAGTGATGACCGACGTCACAGAAGCAGTCGACGGAGCCGAGGAGAAGCACGGCGAAGAAGACGAAGATGAATGGCCATTTGCGCTCGTCGCAGGATGGCTCGATGACTGGGCCCTCAAAATGGCCTGGCTCCGGTCAATGGGCGCCTATGAGAACAAAGACTGGCTCGAGTTCGTCGCCGCCATTCAGCTCTGGACCGTTCTGTTTCGCCTTGTCGATGGCCTCTCACGCAGTGATCTGGAATCGGATCGAGATCTAGCTGAATCGCTCCAGACGAATCACTACTATGACGCTGCCTCGCTCGATTCGGCCAAAACCATCTTTCAAAGCTATCGAAGCCAGAGCTTTGCTCTCTTGGACGCCGTCATCGACTTTGCAAACGTCATGCCCAAGATGCTCGAGCGCTTCACCAGCAACAAAGAACACATTTATGTCAAGGCGAAAAGAAACGCTCGCAAGTCCAAGGCCAAAGCCATTGAAGATGGCGACGCCTACGACATGGGCGATGTCGAGGAGCAGGCCAAAAAGGCGGCCGAGGCCAGCTTCAAAGAGAGGAGATTCGAGTTTGAAAAGTTCCAGAGCCAGCAGTTCTGCAGCAACAGCCTTGCAAATGCCTGCATTCTCTACCTGGGCTATTGGGAGGATTTTTCAAGGCCAGCAGAGCAGCTGGCGAGCGTCGTCAACATCATGCATCGCATGACCGTCAAGGCTTCGGAATTGCGGCTCTTTTTTCCCTACGAGCGACGAAATGCACTCACCAAGCTCGTCAAGGGCTCTCTCGTGCCAAGCTTGCAGACCGTGGCACCAGCAGCGGTTCAGGATCTGTGCAAGCTCGTCGACTACATCAAGCGCAAATTCGCAAAGCTCTCGCCCGATGAGCAGCAGCGTTGGGCTGAGGGCCAAAAGGCGCCACGACCGACGAAGCCATTCAAGATGCCGGCCGAGATCAAGGTGGACCCAAGCAGAGGACATTTGGACGACATTGGCATTGCTGTGGCTCTGCTCATCGAGAAGCAGAGGCTTCGCTGCGTGATGTGGGTCAAGGAAGGCCTCGAAAATGCGGCAAGAGAGCGCCAGAGCATCGTAGACGAGGTTCGAGAAGAGGACGGGCTGGACGGTGAAGATGATGGCGACGAAATTCCCACTCGCGCTCAAGAAAAGTTCAGCGATTACGTGCTCCCGTATAATGACGACGAGCAAATGCGCGAGGACGCCTCGCACTTGCCTCAGCTCAAGCTTCTGTGTCGGCTCGTTGGGATGAAGAGCAACGAGGAGGACGACCACGACTGGACGTGGGTCTTGCCATCAAGCACGGACCCAGACGAGCTGGCGAGGGAAGCTCGATACGTGGAGGACTTTATCCGCACGCCCTTTGAGACGGGCGGACAGCCGCTTGAGTCATTCGTCAAGCGCGCCAGACAGGAGGTCCGACGGACCATGGTAATCTACAACGAGGATGGCGAAGAAGAAGAAATCGTCGAGAAGTCGAGTCGTAAGAGGAACAAGGGTGGAGGAGGCGCGGGCAGGAAGAACGTCGCACCCAGGAGCACATGGGTTGAAGACGACTTTATTGAGGACAGTGACGAGGAAATGGAGCAGGTCGCAAGGCTCATTGAGCAGCAGCAGAAGGGCCGAGAGCAAGATCTTGATGGTGACTCAAATGATGAGGAAGGAGAAGAGATGGCCGCAAAGTCGTCATCGCAACCTCGACCGAAATCTCGACCAAGACCGCAGAAGAGAGTCAGACGCGACTCACATTCTGCATCTTCATCGTCTTCTTCGGCCTCTCGATCGGAGTCGCCACCTGCACACCGTTCCCGTCGGAGGACAGACAGCGTCACGCCAGTCTCTTCGCCCCCACCTGCACGGCCCGTTAGTCATCTGGCGCGGTACAAGGCCATGCGCCGCCAGCGTGAGGCGCTGAAGCCACAAGTAAACGCCACCGAGACCCAGAAAGACCCTTCAGCACAGCCGCGAAAGGACGGCCTGTTCTTGGGCGATGCCGACGACGAGCCAGACAGCGGTAGTGAAAAGGAAAACGAGCAAGAGCCCCGCGATGCTCAGGCGAAGCGGTCAAAGAGCCTGTTCATGGAAGACAACAGCGAGGAGGAAGGGGAGGAAGGTGCAGGCGATGCAGAAACAACATTGCTTGCCCTGGTCCACGGATCATCGCAAGGAAGTGTATAAATGAGGGTTGTTCTCTGTATGTCACAATGTCAAACTTCATTATTAATATATCGAAACATCATCAACCTGCTCTCGCCGTTGTCTTCAGCCGGTCGAAGTCGAGGAGAGAGAAGATGGTCAAGCATGAGAATTGACGGGGGAACGCGGAAGAAGGGGATCAAGATACAGAAGAAGTAAAAAAAGGATTGAGAATTTCCGAAGAGAAACGAGAGGCAATTATCGTGAATCAAGGGAGACGACAAGGGCAAGCGACGAAAGAAGGCGATCGAACAAGGCAACGAAGATCGACTTGGGTATTGGAGGTTTGGATCCATTACTCTAAGCACAATTCGACTTAAGCTGTGTGAGGAAGAAAGGGTAGCAATGCAAGGTCAGAAGACAATCCTTATAGATCAGTGGGAAATGGAACAGAGGACGACTCACCTGCAGGCTCAGTGGCCGCTGCGCCCTCGGCAGCCTTGCCCTTGGAGGCGTCCTGCGAGGGCTCGCCGGCGGTGGGGACTGCAGACTCGCCCTTCTTCTCGACGGCGTAGCCTGCAAGTAGAAATGGATACCATTATTCTGTCTGCGAATCCTGGCTTGACAAGAGCACATGCGCTATCTCTACTCACCATTGGCGCCAATCTCAACGCCAGAAGCCTTGCCAGCGCCAGAGTAGGCTGGGATCTCCTCCTCGCCAGCGGCGGGGGCCAGGCCGGTGGAGAGGGCTGGGGCGGCGGTTGCCTGGTGGTGAGCGGCGGCGGCCTCTTGCTCGGTCTCGGCTTCTTCGTACTCGTCACCGTCCTCCTCGACCGACGATCCGTCCTCCTCCTCTTCCTCTTCTTCGTCTTCGCTGCGGTAGCCCGCGGCGCGGACGGCGGCAGGGACCGGCCCGGTCCTGTCCATCTGCTCGGAGCTGGTGAGGTAGACGCGCGAGAGCTGCTTGATGTCGTTCCACCACTCCATCAGCTCGTCGTGGCTGCGGGCACGGAAGGTGTAGGCGTGGTCGCTCTTGCCCAGGCCCGGCAGGCCCTTGACGTTGGACGACTTTGCGGAAATGTGGAACTTGTGCGACTTGGAGGCAGACGTCGAGGGAGCGCCAAGGGTGCACTCAGGCAGGAAGAGCGAGAGCTCCGGCGATGGGTGCTTGGTGGGGTCCGAGGAGCCGTGCTCGTGGAGGTAGCCCGAGGGGGTGAGGACTGGTGTGTCAAGGAAATGGGCGACGCCACGTCAGCAAGGGCAACAGAGAAGAGTCATCAATGAGCCAAGTAAGGATAAAACGCACCGTAGAAAGACTCCTTGTAGGTCTTGGTGAAGCGCTTCTTGCGCTCGAGGATACCCTGGTGGACGGGAATGACCGAAGGGTCCTCCTTGCCGGGGTAGTCGATCGTCTCTGGGTTGCGCAGCGGCGTGTCAGGGTCCAGGAGGTGGTCGGAGCGAGCAGCAAAGGCGATCCACTCAGAGTTGGGCTGGAGGCTGCGCATCTGCACACCCAGGCTCAGCCAGGTGTCCTGGACCTGGGCCGACATGCGGCCAGACCACTCGTCAAACGTCTGCCAGGCGCTCTGGATGGAGCGGACGATGCCCTCCTCAAAGTGGGCGCTGTTCTGCTGCATGATGATGATGCTCTTCTGCAGCGCATTCTCCTCATTGACCTGGCGCTGGAGCTGGCGGAAGACGTTCATGTTGGCCGAGTATGGGTCCTCCTTTGCCGTGACGCTCATGGGCGTGTTCTTGAGCAGGGTGATAGAGCGAGCGAGGTCCGAGATCATCTTGGTCGACATCTCGCGCTCCTTGGCCACGCTGTTGGCCAGCTTGCCCGTGTCCTGCTGCACATTCTTGACGTGAGCCTTGATCTCCGAGCGCAGCTTCTGGAGGTGCTGGACGATGGATCCCTCGACCGTCTTTGCCAGGTTGGCGTGGTGATCGGCAATGATGCGCGTCTTGTCGCGGATGCCGTAGTACACGTCCTGGATGCCGTCTTCGCCGAGGAACTGGTTTCCCTCGCGGAAGGGCACCTGGATCACACCGCCGAGCTTGGTGAGCTCCTTTGCGGTGTTGTACTCGATGTCTGCGATGCCCTCAAAGTAGCTGATGAGCTGCTTGGTGATGTGCTTCCATCCTGTTTGCCATCAATTCGTCGACGGGGTCAGTCTACAAGGAGAACAATGCCAGCAGGCCAATCGACGCACCAGTGAAGCGCTCAATGAGAATGTCCGAGGGTCTCAGCTCGTGGGGGCCCGTGTTCTTCTTGATCAGCGAGGCGTTCCTGCTGGCCACAGTCGACTTGCGGCTCAGGCTCGAGGCCCTGGAAACGGAGTGTGCGTCGTACTGGGACATCGTGACTCCTTTTTAGATGATGCTGGTAGTGGTGGTGGTAAAGGGGGGGGAGGGGCTTAATCGATGAGGGCGCGAGTAGAAGAGACAAACCGGAATGGAGGGACGGATGCGCGGCTCTAGGCCCCGACCAGTGACGCACTTCTGCTGCTTGGCTGGCCGTTCACTAATACTTTCCACTTTCCAAAGGGCATACCAACCTCGGCATTTTGAATTTCAATACTGCTAACACAGCTGCAGCGCAACAAATTCAGACGCCGTAATGGCCCTCCATTTAGTCATGTTGGCTCGACTCTAAGGGCGGTTATTTGCTCATGAACAGCTACCGCTGACATTACAGCGACCACTAGCTGCAAAAATAACCCTTGTAGAGCTAGTCGCCAGCCAGAACAAAAGACGGTGTATTCATTCCGAGGGAATATTTTGACGTCATAGCGCGCTTCTCCTCCACACCAGCGTGCACTCTGCAAGCTTCGCCTCGTCGGCACCTGCCGCGTTCCCTCTTTGATCCGACCAAACAGGCATCTAAGATTTGCCTGGGCGGGGGTCTGTGCACGCAAGGTGCGAACAATCAACCCCCAAGAAGCGCACGGGTTCATCGCCTTTATATGTGAGGTGACATCTGGACGATTCTACTTCCAATCATAGGCGCGTCTCAGGTTGCCAAAGGGCGATTGGTCACATGCGCGACTCGAGACGCTGAGCCCCGGGAAAGCTTGATGGACTTACCCGCCCGGAGATCTCTGCCTCTAGAGCAGCGTCACAGTTACATGATAACTTGCACTTATGAGTGGTCCTCCATCGAATGTCTGTCAAAAGATAATATCAGCAGCCTCGTCTCAGCGAGCATACATTGCCGAGGGCAAGCGAATGCGGCAGCGGCAGCTCACAAGGTCACAACACGCAGAGACGATGGAGAAAATGAACACGTTTGTGTTTGTGGTGTGTGGTCCACGGAAGAGGCATAAAGAGGTGTCCTGAGAGGTCTATGCAGAGCTCAACGACTGCGGCTTCACAAAGAAAGTCGCTGCGGATCGCGGTGTCACGGATAGGCTCCCAGCGCCTTTTGTTCGGTGAAGCAAGGCGAAGTAGCAATGTCTTGGTCATGAGGGAGGAGGGGCTACTGCTGCGTCACGGTGTGATGGCGTGCCGCCAACGTCTATTTTTGATCTGCGCCCACGTCGCTCCACGTGGTTTTTAGGCGAAGGAAAAAAAAGGGCCTACCTCAAGGTTCATTAAACGTTCTGGCGCTCCTGCCTCTTTCTCCCCTCCTCAGCCCGTCGTTGTGCAGAAGGGCGCCCTCAGAGAGCCGCTGCCGTCGTCGTTCCCGCCATTCCCACACTCGTTTGACCGTTGATACTCGACCTCTGCTTGTGCGCCGGGGCAAGTCTATCGCCCGCCAGCCCCTCTTTCCACCTCTCGTCCGTTGCATTCACACACCCCTATCTCAGGTATAGGTATACCCCTTTCGATCTTTCCTTTGACGAAATGACGTCAGGCTCTCCCTTGATTGCCGGCCCTGACTGGCGGTCCTTCGCGGCGGCCGACCCCAACGCCAGCAATCCATCGGGCCGGGCCTGGGGAGCCTCAAGTCAGGGGCAAGACCTTGGCAGGGAAGAAGCCACAGCGATGCTTCGTTCGGACTCTGGTAGTCGCAGGAGCTCTCGCCTCTTTGGCCAACAAACGGATCCTGTCGGATCAAGACCTGGATCAAGGAGCGAAGTCTCGAGTCTCGGGGGTACAAGGTCGCCCGCACCTGGATCTACGTCTAACTCGGCGGCAGCAATGGGCGCCATTGGCAGCCAGAGGCCTGGTGCCCGTGAGCTGGCGGCTGCGGCGTCCTCGGCAGCCGCTCGTTCCCGGGCCGCGTCGCCTTCACTGTCGTCTTACAACGGATATGGGCCTGGAGACGGAATTGTGCCTTCGCTAATGGGACTAGGAACGTCATACCACGCCTTTCGGCTCAGCAACTCCAGCTCGCCGAGCTTTGCGACGGCCATGAGCCAGCCCCAATATCCCTCTTCGGAGAGCAACAGAGAGGGCAGCTCTGTCGTGTCGCCTACTGCACGTCCTTCTGTCGAGACGCCAAAGCTCGTCATTGATGGCTTCAACCTGCCGCAGAATGACGACAACGGTAGAGACCAGGAGGATCGAGGTCAAGCCACGCCAGCAATGTCGCGGGGGACCGAGAGCACCGACACGCAAGACCTGGCACAGAGCCCCTTGAGCGCTTCTGGCGCAGTGGCAGGCTTCAATCTTCCACCAGGCCAGAGTGGGCTCCCCGCCAAGCCAGTCACGGCCTACCCAGGAGGCACAACCCAGGGCCTCGCTCGCCGTCTGCAGCCCAAGCGCACCGACACAGGCAATTCGAGTCTATCGAGCAGCGGCGGCTACGGTCAGACATCGCCTTACCATCATCCGCCTCAGGTTGCGTCGCCCAATATTCCATCGGGTGCCCTTGGTCAAGGCAGCACAGGCATGCTCTCTCCCAGTATGGCGGCCAGTGGCGCTCCTTCGTACAACAACGCCAGCTTCTCGCCCTTTGGAAGCCCTCCGAAGTCATTCGAGAACACATCTGGCGTACCACATCTGCCTTTTAGTCAGCATCGAGTGATGCAACAGCAGCAGCAACAACAACAGCAACATCAACAAAACCTTCCCAACTCGACGACGGTACCCAGTCGGACCACATCGATGGACGACGTTGCGTCGTCGTCGGACTTCGGGGGCAGTGGACCAGCAGCACCGACTTCGCAATTTGACGCGCAGCTTCAGGCATCTCCCTTCCTCCAGGAAGTCTTTGATCGTCTGGTCCGTGTCGAGCTAGGCCTCAAGGATGTCAATCGACACATTTCTGGACTCAGCCGCAACGTCAGCTTGCTGCTTGATCGCACCAAGGCTCAAGGCGGGCCCCCATCGATGGGCAGCCGGACTCCCAGCGCTGAACACCTCCCGTCGCGAGGATCGGCCGGTCCGGACGATGTCCGTGCGCTGAGTGCTCAGATTGCGGCTCTGAGCGCCAGTGTCTCGCATCTGCTCGGTGGTGCGAGTCAGAATGGCATTATTCCTGCACAGCCACCAACACAGCAGCTGGCAGGCCTGGGACTGGGAGCCGGAACGCCTCAGATGACATCTATGGGCGGTCCTATGAGTGAAGCGGGTGGCAGTACGATTGCAACTCCCCATTTGTCTACGCTCGGAGCCGGTGGAGCCACCGCCAGCGGCTCGAGAGGCTTCAACCACCAGGATGCCAGGAGCAGCCGACTCAGCCCGAGACCCGGTGCCAGCCCCGGCCCGGTGAATCGACGCTGGAGTTCCATGGTGGGGAGTGAAGCTGGAGGGCAAGTCACGAGCAGCGGCGCCATGGTGCCACCTGATCCGAGCGTGATTGTAACCAAGTGGGACCATCTCAATTTGCATGCCGATCTTCTCCGATCCATTCTCAAGTACGGCCTCGGACCGCCAAACAAGATCCAGCAGCGGGCGCTCCCCTTTTTGCTCAGGGGAACCGATATCATTGCTCAGGCGCCTCCGACGCAGGAGCGCATCGCAAGCTACGTCATTCCCGTCCTTCAGCTCGTCCTCAATGTCCAGCGTGGCGAGCCCCTTCCCCCAGGCGGCGGCGTCCGTGGCCCGATTGCCATGATCATCAGCGCCACGGTCGATCAAGCCACGCAGGCCCAGCGAATGGCCCTTGGTCTTGGCTCCAGTCTGGGCATCAGGGTCCATATTGCCGCTGCCGGCTCTATCGACGTGTCTCAGGAGGCCACGGCAGTGATCCAATCACAAGCCCACGTCATAGTCGGTACGCCGCAAAAGATGAACGACCTCTTCACCTTCTTGGCTAACCGTGCCACGGGCGCGCTCAGCCTGGCCGACGTTCGCATGGTTGTCCTGGACGAAGTGGACCAGCTCATTGCGAGGAATCTGTCTGACTACGTCAGCACCTTGCTTCGTATTCTTCCTCAGCCCAGAATGATGGTCTCGTCTGGCCTGGAGAGGACGAGGAGCCCCAGTCTCTCTCCTGGCCTTCCTCCGCCCTCTTCTGGCACCGCGCTAAGCCCCTTCGACGGTGCCAACTCATCTGCCGTCTCTACGACGACAGAGAGACAGACGGCCATCTTCAGCAACACCGTGCCTCAAGATGTCCTCAACTTTGCCCAGTCGATCCACCTCCGCGAAACCGTTCGTGTCCTTGTTCGACGCGAAGGCGCCGGCGGCGGTGGCGCGTCTAGTGTCGGCTTTGGAACGACGGGCGGTGCCAATGGGGGCAACTCGCCTGCCGTCGGAACTGCTGGGGGTTCCTTTGCTTCTGCGCCAATGGTGAACGCAGTAGGAGGTGGAGGACCCGCCCAGAGCGGCGGCGCCTACGGTGGAGGGTCCGCTTTTCTTGGCGGCGGCAGCATGACGGAGGGTCAACCTGCCAACGCACTTGGTGCCAGCCCCGCCAATAGCAACACCAACCCTCTGGCCGATCCTTTGCTCTCGGCCCTGCGAGGTATGCGCCAGTACTATCTGTACGTCGCTGTCAGCACTGGCGGTGGAGCCAATAGCCCCAACCCGGCCGTCACAATGGGCTCGGCCATGTCCCACGCTGTCGAAATGAAGCTCGAGGTCATCACGGACCTGCTCGAAGACATTGATTTTGGACAGGCTGTGATCTACACGTCTTCGTCTGCGACGCACGAGGCCGTTGTGTACAAGCTAGCCTCCAAGGGCATCGAGGCTCTCTCGCTGCACAGAGACATGGCCAACATCACCCGCCAGCAGGTCCTAGCAAAGTATCGAAGCGCTTCCTCGGCCGGCTCTGCATACCAGAATGCCGGGAACCAGGTTGTCGGTGGGCCCGGGGGAACGCCTTCGATGAAGACGAACCGTAAGGCGCTCGTCGTGTACGACGTGTCGGTCAATCCCCGCGAAGTGCATCAGGTGCCTCTCATCGTCTTCTACGACTTACCCCGAAGCGTCGAGGAGTACAAGGAGAAGCTCGCTTGCGCGGCTGCTGGTGGATTGGGTCGGCCAAGCGTGTGCGTCAATGTCGTCACTGGCTCCGGGGGACCGAGGGGCGACATTGAGATGCTGCGTACGCTGGAATGCCACCTTGGCTGCAAGATGGCCGAATTGCCCATGAATCCTGGTCAGATTCTCAACTTTTAATCTTTACAACATGTTTCTTCTCTCACCTCCCTCCCCTTTCTCTTCCTCCCCTTCTCTTCTTCGATGCTGCTCTCTTCTCCTTTTCCTATCGCCTCTTTCTTCCTCTAGCTGTAGACTTTCCCGAACACTACCTTTGTGTTTTCCCTCGAGCATCACTTCATTTAGCCGCCAAACGCATGTAGCAATCTGTTCCAAGTCTCTCTTTCCACGCAGAATCTCATGTCCACTAACCATTTCAACCTCAATTCTGCTACCGTGTGGTGGCGTGCTCTCTCTTCCTTGGCGTCCACTCTCGGAGAAAAAACCGGTGTTCGCTGACTGGAGCCGTATAGATAAGATTTCCCATATACTACAAGTGAGAGAAGAGGGTGTACAGGCTCAATCAACAGGTCTGGAGCCACGAGTCGAGGTTCATATTCTTGATGATGGTCGAAAAGTCCTTTGCGGCTGGGTCCGAACAGTACTTGGATATGTCGACCGTCTGATTGTTGTTTGTCTTGTCGCCCTTTGGGTACTCGACATGGAAGACGGGCTTGCCCTGTTCGATGAACGGGGCGTAGGTGCCGCATTCGCTGTACTGCGTGCACTGCTCGTTGACGCTGAAGTCGACAATGTCGATGACGTTGTGGACGATTGCGCCGGCATTCTTGAGGCCGACGGATAGGTTGCGTGCGTGCGCCTGCTCGGCGAGGAAGGTCACGTAGTCGATTGCATCGGCTTGCGTCATGCCGAGGCCATTGGCATTGGCATAGGCGTCGATGTTGTCTGGGTCGACACCGTCGCAGTGTTTCGACACGGCCATGTCGAGGCGAGCCTGCATGATTTTGCGGACGTTTTGCGAGGACGTGTTGAGCCAGCGCTCGCCAGCCCACCCTTGCAGTGGCTTCCCCAGGTCGGTCGTCTCGTCGAAGGCGCCCTTGTCCGGCCGCCAGTCCTCGTAGCTACCGGCCGAAAAATAGCAGACGACGTGCGCTCCGTTGGACTGCAAGCCGGTGATGATGTCGGCGTCGTTGTTGAACAGGTCGATGTCCCACACTTGGATGCCTTGAGTGGACGTGCTAGTGAGCGGATCCAGCAGCTGATAATTCCAAGTGACGCCCACCGCTGGTCTCCAGTAGGCGGAGGCATTGGTGCTGCTGTTGTTTACGACGGGAAGGTCATTCGACTCGTCGCTATCTCCACCGTCATCGGAATTCTTGTTGCGAAGAGTCAGCCCAACGCCCAGACCAACGGCAAGGCCAACGACGACCAAGACGGCCAACGCGGTCAACCCAGCGAGCAAGAATCGGCGCCGGCGAGGCGGGCCTTGCTTTGCAGCATTGTGGTCCGTAGAGGCCAAGGATTCTGCTTTGCCGTGCTCGGCGTCAGACATGTCTGTGCTAGCTCATGGAGAGAGGGTAATGGGGACGTTGAGACTTTATAATGTGGCAGGATAGGCACAGCCTGGCAGGAACGAAAGGGCGCATAGAATGATTTGCACTGCCTTCGAGCGTGTCCAATTCTAGATCTCGTTCGTTCCACTTTAGCTCACACATACGACGACAGGGCTTCTTGCACCTTTTAATCCGTCTGGTTTCTCCTTCTCCGGTCGCGTTCCTGAAATCGGAGATTCAAGTTGGCATGACGGGTCCGGTTGAAGCAGCGCCCTCCCCTTCTCTCAAGATAGTGTGAACAATGCTTGCCCGTAGAGCTTGTTACACAGCCCTTTGCATCCGAACCGTTTGCTGCTAATTCTCTGCTAATTCTCTCCGAATTACTGCTTCCAAACTACCCTCACAGAGACTTCGATTGGACACATCCGAAAATCTCGTGAGGTGGAAGGCCAGAGTAGTATATTAAAGCCAGACTTGTTCTTCGGCAGAAATCCAGCTATGGGGAGACGACCATGACACTGCAAGGAAAGCTGAGTAATGTAGCAAAGGCCAGAGGGTAGGTGTACCGTGCGCTTTCTTGCGATTATTCAATTGCCCTCGCGGCCACCACCAAAGGCACAGAGACCTTTTGAGCAGGGCTAATCGATACCACTTTGATATCGAGGGATACTGTGATGAAGCCAAAATTGCTTCTAGTGCCGATGTTGTGCTGATTGCACGATGAGGAGAAGTAGGGGCCTTGCTTCGACAGGAACTTCCAGTGTGAACGCTCATTTGTGGAGTGTCGCTTGACGAGTGGCTGGTGACGGCAGACGCACTCGTAAGCGTGCTTGGTTCTCGAGAGTTCCGCACAGCGAGATCGTCTAGCATGAACAAGGAGGGATGGTGTGTCTCCAAAGTCATACGTCAAAGATCGCCGCCTGAAGCTCGTTATCACGAAGGACAATAACAAGAATGGCACGAAAGCTTTTCTTGTCTGGGTCGTCCGCGCTGAACGATACCAACACCCAGAGTGCTCTCCAGTGGCGCTGAGCATGTGATTCTGTCCGTTCCGGTCTGGCCGCTTGGGTCTCTCAAATCCACATTGCCACTTTCAATAACTGGCCAGATAGCACCAAACAAAGGGCAGCCTAAAAAGCCTTAATACGCTTATGCATGCACCTCTTTCATTTGTCCGCTTTCTTCTGAAGCTCCCAATAAAAGTGGGATAAACCCATACTTCGTGTCTCTTTGCGACTCTAACAGAGGCACCTGGTAGCGGGTGATGGTGGTGTCGGTGGTATCGCCTCCAAAAGAGATCGTCAGCAGGGGGTCAAGGCGCGGAACTCAATAATAAAGGGATGAGCGTACTGGATTAGAGCCCACGAGCCTGACGCGTGAGTGCGACGCGCAGAGTTCTGTTGTTCTTTTCGGATGCATGAGTTTTTGAAATACGAGGAGCTAACGCTGTATTCAACTGTCCAGCAAGCGAGGCCGTTTGTTGTACCCAAACAATAGTTTATTCCGTTTCTTCGCTGGCTCCCCGGCCCTCTCATTCTCAGCTATTTTTTGAGGCCTTGCCATTGCCTCTTCACGCTCTCTATTGGTTCCTCCTCTGATCCAAGCACGCCCGCTCACCTTTTCTCGCTCCTTCCCTCCAACCGATCGACAAATGTGAGTGATGGTGACGGTAGGCCGTGGCGGCCGAAGACCACTTACTAATGCCAAATCGATCTCACAGACCCGTCCCCTTTTCCCTTCCCCCTTTCTGTTATCAGTCTCTGACTTGCCAAGATGAGGGAAATCGTTCATCTGCAGACGGGCCAGTGCGGCAACCAAGTCGGTGAGCATCAGCGGCCCAAAGAGAGGGGATGGTGATGGTGATGGTGATGGTATTGGTGAGGTGGAATGGCATTAATTGACGGCGAGTAATCTTCGATCAAAAGGTGCCAAGTTCTGGGAGGTGCTGTCCGACGAGCACGGAATCGACTCCTCGGGCGCCTACCACGGCACGTCCGATCTCCAGCTGGAGCGCATCAACGTCTACTAGTGAGTTGCCAGCCTACATGCTGTGCTTGAGAGCTTCACCGTGCTCATGCTTCTCGGCCCACTCTCCCCTCCAGCAACGAAGCCTCGGGTCAGAAGTATGTGCCCCGTGCTGTCCTCGTCGACCTGGAGCCTGGTACAATGGACTCTGTCCGTTCGGGTCCCATGGGCAACATCTTCAGGCCCGACAACTTTGTCTTTGGCCAGAGCGGCGCCGGTAACAACTGGGCCAAGGGCCACTACACGGAGGGTGAGTAAGCGAAAAGGGGACGCGAGGTTGTCTGCCTTCGCCCGCTCATCTGAGAGAGTGTCTTCGATAGGTGCCGAGCTTGTCGACTCTGTCCTTGACGTCGTTCGCAAGGAGGCCGAGAACTGTGACATGCTGCAGGGCTTCCAGATCACCCACTCGCTCGGCGGTGGCACGGGTGCTGGCATGGGCACACTGCTCATCTCCAAGATCCGCGAAGAGTACCCCGACCGAATGATGGCCACCTTCTCGGTCATGCCCTCGCCCAAGGTCTCGGACACTGTCGTGGAGCCCTACAACGCCACCCTCTCCGTCCACCAGCTCGTCGAGAACAGTGACGAGACGTTCTGCATCGACAACGAGGCCCTGTACGACATCTGCTTCCGGACCCTCAAGCTGACCACGCCCAAGTACGGCGACCTTAACCACCTCGTCTCCATCGTCATGTCGGGCATCACCACCTGCCTCCGTTTCCCTGGCCAGCTCAACTCTGACCTGAGGAAGCTGGCCGTCAACATGGGTGCGTATCTCTCTATGACCTCACTTCGACGCTTGTTCTGACATTCCCCTCTCGTCTTGCCTCTTCTCCTTTTCCTCTTTCCTAACAGTGCCCTTCCCCCGTCTGCACTTCTTCATGGTCGGCTTTGCCCCCCTTACTGCTCGCGGCAGCCAGCAGTACCGCGCAGTGTCCGTCCCCGAGCTGACGTCGCAGATGTTCGACGCCAAGAACATGATGGCCGCCTGCGACCCTCGCCACGGCCGCTACCTGACGGTGGCCGCCTACTTCCGCGGCAAGGTCTCGATGAAGGAGGTCGAGGACCAGATGCAGAACATCCAGACCAAGAACTCGTCGTACTTTGTCGAGTGGATTCCCAACAACGTCCAGACGGCTCACTGCGACATTCCTCCCCGAGGCCTCAAGATGTCGGTCACCTTCATTGGAAACTCGACGGCCATCCAGGAGCTCTTCAAGAGGGTCGCCGACCAGTTCAGCATGATGTTCAGGAGGAAGGCCTTCCTCCACTGGTACACTGGCGAGGGCATGGTGAGTCAGGCACTGAATCCATTAATTCACTCGATGTCTCGATGACTGACGCAAAACTCTTCCCTATCCTAGGACGAGATGGAGTTCACCGAGGCCGAGTCGAACCTGCAGGACCTCATCTCCGAGTACCAGCAGTACGAGGCCGCCGCTGCCGACGACGGCGACGAGGAGGGTGTCTACGAGGAGGAGGGCGAGCCCCTCGAGGAGTAGACGGTCCGGACAAAGAAAGAAAGGAGATGTGTCGCGACAAAGCTGGAAGGATGATCTCACCTCTTAGTCGTGCACCTACAGTTGCCCCATCCACCCTTCCTCTTCCTTTTTCACCTCTTCTTTATTCTTCGAAATGACCAAGACTCCGTTCCGCTTTCTTTTGTCTCGTACCTCTCCCCTTGTCACCGCTATCTTTCTCTTCCTAATGTTGGCTGGTAATCACATCAGGCACCGTATACCAAATTGAGATTACGGATCAACAACCGGTGCTCCCTCTTGGCTTAAGCATGGGGTCCGATGTCGTCCCTGGCGGTTCGGCCCATTCGCCGTGCGGGGGAGCGCACGGGGTTCCCTGCGCCGTTTTGCATGACATGACCTCGAGCGCATGGAACGGACCTGACGCCGCGAGGACCGCTTTATCCAGTCGTGTCATGAGTGCTGAGCCGGTCCTCGTACGACTGCAGGTCTGCCCCCCGTCGTCATGCCACTGTGTCGACAGAGTGCTATTGCGGGGTCATTGGAGCAGGGCCAGTCTTGGAAAAATAACCCGCGGCCGGCTCGCCTTAGCCTAGCTCCAAACAACCGAATTCATTGAGTTGTGTACTAGTTAGTAGCAGTAGCAGTAGTTTTGCACCGCACATGAAGAATACTAATGCACTAGGCTTGTTAAAAAGTCCTTTTCCTCGCTAAATTCCGCCGCCGGGTCTAATCTCGAGCGGAAAGGCAAATCGGCGTTCATGTTTGATTTGATCTCTGGAGAGATTCAAAAGAAATAGACCGAGGGTTCATTCCGCTGGATGACGACGGTACCGTACCCATAGCGTCGATCTCTCTTATCGAGTCAAGCCGAGAAGAGCGCGTCATCCGTTGACCATGGATAGATAGACTTGGGTATCGGGCGTCGTTTGCTCACTGTATCCTTATCAGCAGATTTGCAAGCGAGGGAGGCAGAGAGAGGGGGGAGGGGGGCAGGAACGGTCGATAGGACTGCCTCGCGGAGCTTCCACCCGTACGTCCTCACTTCGACCAGTCAATGCAGATTTTAGTGAAAATTCTTTCCAACGGGCAGCACGGCAGTGTCTTACCCCTTTCTTCTCGTTTCTGCGGTCCTCATGATGCCCTGATTGATTGATTGACTAAACTTAGCCTTCTTGACCCACTTTGAGCAACTGTCTGTTCCTTTTTACGTTCCTCGCTCGTTTGGCAAGAGGCACTTGCACCCCTTGTCATCAACCCATCATCACCGGTCCGACCTCCTCTCTAACTTCTGCCACTCTTGAACTCGCGACTCCGTCTCTTGTGCTCGCCGTTCACTCCCTGGGCCGCCAGTATATTGCTATTCTAGACAGACAGACACACAGACACCTTCGCGCCAAACGCTTGCAGGGCAAATGACAACGCACGCGACGCCTGCAACCGACATGGGGGACCTGACGGAGGCCAACTCGCTCGAGGCCGCCAGGCTCGAGGCGGGATCCCCCACGACGAGCTCCAACAAGGAAAAGAATGGCGTCTCTGAACCAAAGGATGGAGGCGAGGAGCAGCTGACTGAGGACTACCGCTTCGCCGATGAGAGGGAGCGCAAGGGCGCGCAGAATATGCACAAGCTCAGCTGGCAAAGGCTCACCATCTGCCTCATTGTCGAAGCCATCGCTCTGGGTTCGTTGAGCATGCCGAGGTGAGTTCTGCCACGCTCCTCTCTTGAGTTCTGTTGCCCGGTGGCTCAAAAAGAGACCGAGCAGCGTTTTCGCCACCCTCGGCATGGTCCCCGCCGTCATTGTGACCGTCGGCATCGGCTTGATTGCCATCTACACGTCGTACATCGTCGGCCTCACCTGTCTCAAATACCCCGAGGTGGTGCACTACGACCAGGTCGGCTACCTCTTCTTTGGCAAGATTGGCAAGGACATCTTCGGTGTCATCTTTGTCATCTACCTATCCTTTGTTACCGCTTCTCACGTCCTCACGGGCACGGAGCTGTGGAACGCCCTCAGTACGACGCACATCTGCAGCTTGGCGTTCGGTGTCATTTCCGCCATCATTCTCTATCTCGTCGCGCTCCCTCCTACGTTCCACGACATGGCGGTGCTGGGCTACATCGACTTTGCGTCCATCTGCCTCGCCATCCTCATCACCATGATCGGCACCGGCATCCAGGGCCAGAAGCTGCCTGGTGGCCTGGCCAACGCCGACTGGCACGCGTTCCCCCAGGAGCCGGTCTCGTTCAAGAAGGCCTTTGTCGCGGTCACCAACATCGTCTTTGCCTACTCCTTTGCGGCCTGCCAGCCCTCGTTTATGTCGGAGATGCACAGGCCAAAGGACTTTGTCAAGTCAATTTGGGCTCTGGGCCTCATTGAGATCTTCATCTACACCGTCACGGGCGCCGTCATCTACAGCTTTGTCGGATCCAGTGTCGAGTCGCCCGCGCTGCTGAGCGCTGGCGGCAAGTTCGAGAAGGCTGCCTGGGGCGTTGCCATTCCCGTCGTCTTCATCTCGGGCTCCATCAACTCGCAGGTGGCCGGCCGATATGCCCACATGCGCATGTTCCAGGGAACCAAGCACGTCTACATCAACACCGTCAAGGGCTGGGCCTGGTGGCTGGGCATCATTGCCGCCATCACCCTCTTTGCCTGGATCGTCGCCGAAGCGATTCCCTTCTTCTCCGACATGCTGTCCATCATCTCGAGTCTGTTCATCTCTGGCTACTCGTTCTTCTGGCCTGGGTTCATGTGGTGGATCCTCCTCCGCAAGAAGGGCACGAGCATCTTCGGGAGCAAGACTAGCATGTTCCACGCCTTTGCGAGCACCCTGTCGATCATCATTGGCTTCACCGTCGTCGTTGCTGGTCTCTATGCCAGCATCGAAGATATTGTAAGTGTATTCTCGTTGCGGCCCAGCAGCGACAATGAAGAGCACACTGCTGACTATTCCTCTCATCTCTAGCGCGACGAGTACGCAACTGGTTCGGTCAAGTCGCCATTCACCTGTGGCAGCACCTCTGGCTAGAGGCAGACATTCTCGTCCTCCCTCCTTCTCTTCTTCTCGAGGCTCTCTTCTCCATCACCTGTACCAGTAGTATCTCAAGGTTGCTGCATCTAGCCTCTGCCCACACGGCACCTCTGAGGTTTCAAACCAATGAAATGAAGCCGATATTCTTTCTATCAGACCAGCCATGATTTGTGGACGTCTGCCCCAGATACAGAGGGGTTTTGGGGCCATTGTAAGACAAAGCGGTCGACAAATGGTCGGAGGAGTTTGGCGGTGAGGCTCAGCGTCCTTACGCGAGCAAACGACTCGACGTAGATGAGGCGGGGCGAGTGCATGCCGCAGAACTGTCATGGTGGGGCAAGCGGGTCAGAGAGCACGGCGAGGCGGGAAAGAGAGACTCTTCCACACTCACTCTCTGGACATAGACTGTGAGCATGATGGGGACACAGGTGCCAGGGCCGTTCATGAGAATAACGTCGAGCTCGGTTCTCTTCCATACAAACTGCCGCATGCAGGCGGCCAGCGCCAGTACAACCGATGCAGGTGCAGAGAGAAAAGACTGGTGTACCTTGCGAGCTCGCGGCAGCTCTACGAAACTGTAATGAGCCGGCTGTTGCTTCTGTTGTGAGCCGCCGCCGTCGCTGTCGTTGGGCAGTGACCAGGAAGCCTCGTGTTCGATGGCCTTGGCTCGACTGAAGCGGTCTCCCTCGGAGATGATGTAGAGACGAGGTGTGTACCTCTTTGGGGGAAGTGCAGAGAGCAGCTGAAGGAGCTCTGTCGTGTGGCCGCCTTTTGTGCAGCTGTCAGCTGCGAACTTCTCTCTGGAGGTGTTCTCAGAAGACACTCACCAGACCCCAGGAAGATTGCAACCCTGCATGGCTCGTCGGCTTCTCTTCGCTTCTCAACTCGCTTAGTGCTGAGAACAGAGATGAGACGGTAGACGAAGATGGCCAGAAGAGCGGTGAAGGCAACGAAGAGGGCGCCCCGCATCATCGCCCCTCCAGCAGTCGCCCACCACAGCGTCGAGGGAGCTTGGTGAAGAAGAAGTGAAGCGCGTGCACGCTCCACTTTTTCTGTAATTACCGCCGTGTGTTTCTCGTCGAGCATCAATCACCAGCCCCTGCTCCTCTTCCTCCTTGATCCCGTTCGACAGCTACAAGGAGCGTGAACATCACAATGGTGGATGCTGCGGCTAGGTGAGATTGTGGGCGTGCCGAAAGAAGAGCGCAGACAATATATACTCATGACATTGTCCGTTCAGCTCGTCGTCGATGGCCAACCACGAGCGACCGGGCGCGCATACCCAGCGCTACGACCGGCAGCTGCGTCTGTGGGCTTCCTCGGGCCAGAAGTCGCTCGAGTCAGCTCACGTCCTCTGTATTGGGGGCTCCTACCTCTCTGCATGTGTATTGAAGAACCTGGTCCTGCCTGGCATCGGCGCATTCACGATCCTCGATGGCCAGAATGTGACGGACTTCGACGTGGGGAACAACTTCTTCATCGAGCCTGACTCCAAGGGAAAAAGCAGGGCAGAGGAGGAGATCAAGACTTTGTGCGAGCTCAATCCCAGCGTAAAGGGCTACGCTATCCACGAGGTGGGTTTTTCGCAAACTCCTCGCTCTCGTGTGACATTCATCTGATCATCTTGGAGGACACTGTGCAGGATCCAAAGGAGTTCGTGAAGAGAGCAAAGGAGGCACTGGCCTCTGGTACCTACTCGCTCGTCGTAGCGACCAACCAGGCGCCCGATGTCCTTTTGCCGCTCTCTGACACGGCTTGGGAGGCGAATGTACCGCTCATGGCGGTTCGAGGTGCTGGTCTGGTGGGCGAAGTGAGGGTGCAGGTCAAAGAGCTTGGAAGTGAGTCGCATCTAGAGCACCGCTACAGCGTATGCTAGAGCTCACATCCTGCAGTCATCGAGACGCACCCGGAAAATACAATCGATCTGCGCTTGACGTCTCCTTGGCCAACACTGAAGACATTCGCCCGCTCGTTCAATATCGAGCCGCAAGACTCGATGGAATTCAGTCACATCCCCTTTGTCGTCATCCTTCTTCGGAAGCTCGAAGAATGGAAGTCTTCGGTAGGTCAACAGCGCGAAAGTGCTCCTATCATTTTCCCTTTCTCTTTCGGCTTAGACTCTCAATTCGTAGCATGGTGGGGCACTCCCAGTGCCTTCCAAGGACCGCAAAGCTTTCAGCGACCTAATCAACGCCTTTAGAAAGAGAGACAATCCAGACGCCGAAAACATCGATGAGGCAGTCAACGCCCTCGGCCAGCACATCTGGCGTCCGATCGCAAATACAGCAGATGACCATGTACCCCATGACGTAAAGACACTCTTTGCCGATGACGCCTGCGAACACATTTCCTCAAAGGTATGTTCGCACTCACTCTTTCCAATTTGCAAGGGATGTCGAAGCTGACACAGCCGTAAATGTCCAGTCAACAAACTTTTGGATCTTGATTCGAGCATTAAAGAGCTTCGTCCAGGCATCTTCGACGGATAGTCCACCGGGCGGCGATGGTCACTTGCCTCTTCCGGGGTCGCTGCCCGATATGAAGGCTCTATCTGCGACATACATCGAGCTCCAAAAGCTCTACAAGGCCAAGTCATCACAGGACATCGCTGCACTGAAGCTGCACCTAGCCAAGGTCCTCGCAGAGGCCAAGCTGCCCGACGGCGTCATCTCTGATCAGGAGATTGAGAGCTTTGCAAAGCATGCGGCCTACCTTCATCTTGTCCGTGGAAAGAGCATCAGAGAGAGCCTCAATTCGCCTGCTCAGGAAGCCATCGGTGAGTCCACTACCCCTCTTTGCTTTATCGCAAACGACGAAAGAGAGTGACTGAATCACCCTGTCTGCATCGATAGCCATGGGCTTCATGGACCCCATCAACCCCGTCACTATCCCTCAGCACATTTCCCTCCTTACGGCCGACGAGTTCTACACGAAGCGCGGCGGCCGATTCCCTGGTTCGAGCGTCGCATTCACCCGCTCTATCACGGGCGCATCTTTGGGCGACCTAAAGGAGGTAGAGGAAGACGTAGTGAAGATGAAGCGGGAATCTGCGGACGAGGCCGACATGATCAGCGACTCGGCAGAAGTTTGTGATCGACTGGGTGTCAAGGACGATGAGGAACGAGAGATGGTCTTTGATGCTTGCAAAGAGTTGTGAGTCTGCAATCGCTCCTTTGTCGCGGATCGGAAGAAGAGCACTTTGTTTTGTGAGGGCTGACGAGAAGTTTGATTACAGTGCCAGGTCCGGACATGGCGATCTGCCAAGCACAGCGGCGTTCCTCGGTGGCGTGGCGGCGCAGGAGATCATCAAAATTACGACGAGGCAGTACATTCCCCTCAACAACACCGCCGTCTATGACGGCATCAAGCAGACGATTGGCATCTTCAAATTCTGACAGCATGTAGCCTGCTTTCCACCCTTCATCCTCCTAGAGAACGATCTGTACTCGTGCACCGGCGGCGGATTGTTGAAAGATGCTGCTGTTGCTGGTGCGCACTCGCTTTATGAATTCGTCATCTCCTAATGTTGACGTTTTGCTATTGTTTGACTTGCAAAGACCTGAAAGATTCGCGTAGTCGCAGACACGGAGAGAGAGTAAGTGAACGAGGGAGAAAAGTAGGAGAAGGTAGTACAGAGTAGAGTGCGCGTAGGATGCTAAGGTAGCAGAAGTGGTAGGGTAGTAGTGGTAGTGGTCGGATGAGGAAGGCGTGAGCCGTCTAGAGGTTCTTTTGTCTCTCGTTGAGGAAGAAGCGGAATCCTTCATAGCTAAGCCAGCAGAGGGCGTTGGAGGGCATGAAAGTGAGCACTCGGGGGCTGAGCCCTCTGGCAAAGCCGCGAAGACCTTCGCGCTGCTTGATGATTCGGAAGGCGTCGATCATGCCCGAGGCATTTCGGATTGCCGGGTCGCTGCTGTTTCCCTTTGTTTGCAGCAACGTCTTTGCTACGTCCAAGGGTGTCGTCACGGCTGCTGCCACGGCGCCCGAGAAGCCACCGGCAGTGACGTGGGTGATGGGCGAGTAACTTCCCGAAGGATTCATCACCTTTTTCGCCCATTCATAGACGGAGAACTGGACAGCGGTAAAAGGCACTGACATGGCCAGCGTTGTTGGGTATGAGACGTAGAATGCCCGAAGGCCCTCAGCCGCGTAGACCTTGCGTGCGCAGTCGACAACGGAGCGGTGCGCAGAGCCGTGCATCTGCATCCGCTGCTTGATGACTGATGGATATGGAGTGGAACATTGAGAACAGAGGAAGATCTGGGGATGGCTGGTGCACAACTCACCATCGAATGGGTTCATGAAGATCTCCGATGCAATTGTTGCTGATGCGCCGGCAAACGCTGAAGGGAAGGCGTTCGCATCGAGGTGTCAGCACCCCTTCTCGCCTCGCTCTCCTCCATTCGTCTCCACAGAGAAAGCGGCCACTCACCTGTGCTCGCAAATTGATGCCCTGCTCGATTCCCGCCCGTAAAGTCCTTGACGGCTTCGTATGTGCCAAAATAGACTGCATGCGCGGGCCCAGCGCCCATGATGACCGAAGCGACACCCCTCCAGAGCGCGCGTGCTCCCTCCAGGCTGCTGATCCGAGACAACGCCTGCGCGACACCTGTGTATGTAGCTGTTGGTGTGGCAGAGAGGACCTGCATCCGTGTCTGTTTCGAGGCAGAGTCAATGTGCTGCTCTTCCTTCGTGCTTTCCTCCTCGAGTGGGTGGAGAGAAAGAATGGCAACTCACCCGGATCAAGTCGACCGGGAACATAAACGCATGCTCGCTGATACCTGCAAAAGCTCCCGCCACCATGTTGATGTGAAACGGAACGTCATCGCCGAGCCCCTCGTAGTCGATCTCCTCCTCCACGGCGATGAGGGCCGTTTCTGATGACATGATGGCTGATCTCCTCTCCTCTTCTCGGGCTTCTTCTTCCCGTCGCTCTCGCTCTTGCTCTTGCTCTTGCGCTTCTTCCTCTTCTCTGCCCGCGGTAAGTCCCCTCTATCGCGATAAGGCACTTGAGATCAAGAGTCTGGTAGAACAGGATGAAAGGAGCAACCAGTGAGCAAAAACATATTTCGGCTTCAAGGCTATGGCATGCTTCCAACTGCGAAACGATCCGAAGAGACGAAATCTGGTCGCGTGACGATCGAGAGCGATCAACGACAGCGAGACACTCACCCCTTTGTGATGCGCGAAGGCCAACTCAGGTGACCTAATCGTCCAAGAGATGGGGTAGCGTATCGTCCCAATGACCGGTTGCCGGCGATGGAGAAACAGTAGAGAAGGTTTGCCAACGTAAGGCACAGACCGGAACTTGCACGCTTAGCCACTGGCAGAACCAGCATCAGGCAACCCAGAACCTTTTTTTTTTTCTTCCTTTTTTTTTCTGCTCTTCTCCTTCCAATCTAGCAGAGCAGAGGCCGATCAGATTAGTAATCAAGAATCAAAATCCATCATCTCTGACTCCGCGATAAGTCGGCATTTAGCAACGCGACTCGCAATCTTTCTAGTCTACATGAGCAGTTAAAAGCCGTCTACAGCCTGGCTTTGGTCGCATTCCCTGCATTTTCATAGGTGAGATAATCAACGTAGCCTTCAGTGGCGGGAGTTGTCAGCAGCCAGCTCCAGGGAAAGCCTGGACCATGCAAGTCTCTCCTTTCTAGCACGCACCTCTTGCATCACCGACGTAGAATGTCGGCCTGTCGTAGTGTTGCAATGGCCAGCCATTCTTGAGTCTTTCGGGAAGATCAGGATTGGAGATGAAGTAACGTCCATAGGCAATGAGATCGCCCGTCCGATTGGCGTGGTCGGCGGAGTTGTCGGCGTTGTAGCCACCGGCGGCGATGAGAACCACGTGCTTTCCCTTGTCGGCATTGTGCTTCTTGATCGCTTGTCGCACCGGCCCGATGTCGTCGTCCGGAGTAAGCGCAGCTTTTCGGTCATCTATGCCCGCTACGCGCGGCTCGACGTAGTGGATATAGGCGAGATCTGGAACTGTTCGCAGGAGTTCCTTGACAAAGGGTAAGAAGGTATCCAGGGGCACCTTTTCTCTCATGTCTGTAGCGATCAACAGTGACTGAGAGAGAATCGAAGAGGAACACGCTGAGTGGCTGAATGACTCACTCTGAATATCACTGAACGGAGAGATGCGATAGCCCAGACGATCGGCCCCAACGACGGAGGCAACGTGCTTGGCCACTCGAAGCGGCAGTCTCATCCTGTTCTCCAGCGTTCCGCCGTAGTCGTCTGTTCGATGGTTACTGACGCTCTGAAGAAATTGATCGAGCAGATAGCTGAACAATGAGTCAGCCGATTGCTACTGCTAAAACGCATGTCGCTCAGTGGCCTCATTTGCCATACAATCCACTTACCCGTTGGCACCGTGAATCTCAACCATGTCGAAGCCGGCCACTTCAATGGCAAGCCGGCCAGCGTTGCCATACTCCTCCACGGTCTGGTCAATCTCAGAGAGTGTCATCGGCCGTGGGAGAACGGCCTTCTCTGATGGCTTGAGCGCACTCGGAGCAATGGGCTCATAGTCCTTTCCCTCATAGTTCCACTTAATGCCAGCGGCCCTGCCTAGGTGCCAGAGCTGTGCTACGGCGATGCCGCCCTTTGACTTGATCGCCTTTACGATCGGTGCCCACTGTCGAGCAAGCTCTTCGTCCCAGATGCCTGGCATCTTCCGGTTGCCGCTAGCTCGCGGTGAGATGAGCGTGGCCTCATTGATGACCAGGCCGCCATTGGAACTCCTCTGCTCGTAATAGAGTCTCTGCTCCGGTTTCGCATTGGCCGAAAAGCCGACGTTCCTCAGCCTCGTCAGGGGCGCCAGGACGATGCGGTGCTCGAGGCGGAAGCGACCGACCTGGACGGGCGTAAAGAGAAGCGAATCGGCGTTTTTCATTGTGTTGTGGAAGGTAAACAGCGTCGGAGGAGAATGCTACCTAATCGCGTTCTGGATGTCCGGATGCCACCGGCCATAAGCTTGCCGAGTGGCCCCATTTGCCTGAGATGAATAACGGAAGCTAACCCGGCGAGTGACTGTCAACACCGCACTCCTCATCTCGAAAGCATTCGGATCTCAGACCACCCCTGTAGCGAGCACCATCCTCATAGCCATCACCAAGAGCTTGTGCTATGGTGCTGCAGCACACTACTTCTACAACATGCCTCGATGACGACCCCTTGGATCTCCATCAAATCGGTACCAAAATAGGAATAAATAGGTGCTGGAGCTTGAGTCTGCCGTGGCGCGTGTTTCTTTCTAACAGCCTTCAGGGTTTTTTTAAATTGGGAGAAAATCTTCCTTGTCTTCCTTCTCTGATATGCCTGCCCAAGCTGCAGATCATTTCAGTGTGCCGTGCTGCCGCGCACGTTCGGTTTTTGTATTTTGGCTATCGCTGTTGTCGTTTCATGGAAAAATCAGCCGAGCGTGCAATAGCCACACAGCCTTTACCTTACTCTCACTAAATCTCGTCTCCTCCCTCTCCGCCTTCACCATTCTTGTCGCTCTTGTTCTCCCGTCCTCCCGTCCTCCCGCTTCCCTTTTCCTATCCTCCTTCGCTTCTCAAATAGCCACAAAAGCTTGGCTGTGAACAGAGAAGCATGTCGTACGCTCGGGTAGAGCGTTCGCCAAGAGGGCAGACGTCACCCCTCTATTCCTCTTCGTACGCTGGCAGCGGAAGCGGAAGCTCGCACGGCGTTGAGCCGGGCAACCCGTTTACCTCGCAGTCGGACCACAGTCTCGCTCGCCACGCCGCCACACCAGGCATGGTCGGCGCCGCCAACGTCGGGGGACGAGAATACGGGCCCTATTCGCCCCTCAACAGGCGTCCCAATGCCGGAAATACGCTGGAGGATGAGGGCAAGAGTTCCGAGTCTACCTCGGAACGATTTGCGGGGCCGACGGGCTCTGCTGCTGCAGCCATGGGCCGCGGCGGCGGCAACTCGAGCACGGCCGTCGACATGCGCGGTCCCGAGCCCGACGACTACCTCGTGAGTGCATGGGTATCAACATGCTCCCTCCTCTCCTTTCGTGGCTAATCGTGATTCCCATCGCGCTGCAGCATGACCCCAAGGGCGTTGATGGTCACTCCAACAAGATCTCGGCTCGCGGCTTCTTCAATGCCCTCACCCTCCTCGTCCTCGTCCTGGCCCTCCTGATGCTCTTCGCCGGCTACCCGATCCTCTACCAGCTCCTTCGCGACAAGGTGGGCACCAAGGGAGCCTTTAACCTCGGTGGCACAAACGGCACCGGCCAGGTGGCCTCTCTCGTCGGTCTCCGGGCCCTTGTTGACCCCGACACACCCACCGACGCAAAGACATGGACATCGCCGGTCAGCAAAAACACCTACAACCTTCAATTTTCGGACGAGTTCGAACAAGGTGCGTCTGCTGCCTTCACTTTCTCGATCCTGTCCTGGTTTCTGCTGCTGACCGTCGTCTCCTTTTTCTTCTTCTCTAGAGGGACGGACGTTCTGGCCGGGAGACGACCAGTTCTTTGAGGCTGCTGACATCTGGTATGGCGTCACGGGCGACTACGAATGGTACTCACCCGAAATGGTCAACACGACTGGCGGCGCCCTCGTGCTGACCATGACCGACATTCCGGCTCACAATCTCAACTTCCAGTCGGGCATGGTACAGAGCTGGAACAAGCTCTGCTTCCAGGGCGGCTACATCGAGTTTTCCATCATCCAGCCGGGCACCGAAGAGACCCAGGGCTACTGGCCTGGCGCTTGGACGATGGGCAACCTCGGCAGGCCTGGTCATCCGGGCTCCACCGACGGCATGTGGCCCTACTCGTACTCGGGCTGCGACACGGGCATTCTTCCCAACCAGACCAACAAGGCAGGTGGCCCCACGTACGCCGTTGACTCGACTGCTCAGTACGCGGCCAACGGTCAGCTGTCGAAGCTGCCAGGCATGCGCTACCCTTCGTGCACCTGCGCTGGCGAAGACCACCCTGGGCCAAATAACAACGTCGCCCGCAGCGCTCCCGAGATGGATGTCCTGGAGGCCCAAATTCAGACCAAGAACGGTGCAAAGCACTCGTACGCCAGCCAGTCGCTCCAGACTGCTCCGTTCGACAACGACTACTTCCCCGTCAACAGCACCTACCAAATCCACGGCACACAGACCGAGATCAACACCTACACCGGCGGTCCCTACCAGGAGGCCGTCTCGGCCGTCAGCCAGGTGCCCTCTCGAGGATTCATGGGCGCCCCTGGCACTGACGCTGAAAAGTACGTCACTTATGGTCTCGAGTACAAGCCCGACTTCAAGATGAACGGAGACAGCTTCATTACGTGGTATGTCGACGGCAAGGCCACCTGGACCGTCACTGGCGACGCTCTGCCTGCGCGCCCCGAGATGGAGATCGGTCGTCGCCTGATCCCCCTCGAGCCCATGGCCATCGTCATGAACCTGGGCATTTCCAAGCAATTCCAGACGATTGTATGGGACGAAATCGAGTTCCCCGCTCAGATGAAATTCGATTACGTCCGCGTCTACCAGCAAAAGGGCTCGGAGAGGATGTCGTGCGACCCTTCGGACTTCCCGACCAAGGACTACATCAACCGACACATGAACGCATACACAAACCCCAACTTTACCGTCTGGGGCGACACGGGCAACTCCTGGCCCAAGAATTCGCTGCTGACGGGCTGCTAGACTTTCATATATTACTAGGTACACAACAACAACAACAAGCACGGACTCTGCCTCTTGCCCCGTTTTCTCAGCTCTGTAGACTCATTTGTTTCGCTCTGCCTTGCCTGGACCTTTGTCTCTCAAATCTCTAACGACTGCATACAATCACGCTTTGTGTTATGTGTGCATCTCTGCGCGTGCGTGACTTGCGCGCGACTTGAGAAAAGTAATTTCGAAGGACGCGTCTCGATGGAGAAAGAAGAACACTTCACTTGCATCTTCGGAGGCTGAGCGAGCGAGCATACATTGTCGGGCAGCAGCACCAGCAGCAAACACAGCAGCCTGAGCGTGCAAGGAGCGAGGGGGCCGGCGATATGGATCCGTACAGCTACAAGAAGCTGACTTCGGAGTTCAAGCCACCGACGCCCAAGCCTCGCAAGCGTCCGAGCAGCTTCGAAGTCGCCTCGACCAAGAAGAAGAGACTTGGCGGCTTCATTCCCACCGGCGACGCCTGCTATGTCTCACCGGCCGAGGACGACGTCGAGGACGACTGCCAGCCGCTGGACCAGTCCACTTTTCTGCGGGTCTCGCGGAGTGTGGGCAGAGTCGAGCATGAGGAGGAGCCAGTCGAGGATGATGATCGCGGCGAAGGACCCTCCTCGACGCAGCGTTTGCCTACCCTGTCACCCGCTCAGCAGCCTAAGCTGTCGCACCAGGGACAGGGGAACGACACATCGTACTGGAAGTGCCTGTACCGCAAGCCCAACACGCGCAAGAACAAGTCGTGGGAGAATGATGCGGTGCTGATCGTCAAGAACCAGGGCAGGCTGCATGTGCTGCGCGACGTAGATACGATGAAGAAGTGAGTGGCGCAGACGACGGAGACGTCTGAATGCGTGAGGCTGATCTGGTGCGTTTGGGCAGCTTGGCGCAGAGCGGCAACTTGGCGAGCCTGGCATTGGAGAGGACAGAGGATGAGAATCAGTTCTTCAAGATCGGAGCCTACGAAGTGAGTCGAGAGTCTTCAGAAGAGCCACCACTCTCCGAAGCTGACCACGTATCGATCTTTTCAGGCCATTGTCGGTAGTTGCGGTCTCTCGCCTGCGCTCCGCCATCATGCTGATTCTGCTTTGCCACAGATCGAGTATGAAATCAGCGAGCAAGACTTCCTGCGAGGCAACTGCTCGACGCCCGCCCCTGCGTCAGACCATCAGCGTCATAGCACTAGTGCCGCACCGCCAAAGAATTATGTCCTCAACCATAAACCGATCAGGGTCGGAATGACTGGCTCAAGGCTGGGCCACGCGCAGAGTCCCGTCTCGGCACACCGAGCTCCTTCGACTCCAGCGAGCGGACGGAATACAGGCGACGCAAGCTCGACGATGCGAGAGCCTCTCTCGGCACGGCGAGAGTCTGCATCATCGGCGCCTCGCTTGCCGGGTGCGATTGGTCCCGTGAAAGACCCAGAGACACCGACGTCTGTTGACGCACGATCATTCTACGGTTAGTAAAGAAAGACACGGTAGATTCACATGATCTACTGACCTGACTGCACCCCTACAGCAAAGCCAATGAGCAAGAGTGCGGGCGGATCGAGGGAGCAATTCCTCCCTAAAGTTGCGGGCCTGCTGAATCCGGGCAACGGGACAACGCCAAAGCCCAAATTTGACCCCGACGAAGTGGGCGCCATCGTTATGAAGCGCCCGGACAAGGAGCATCAGAAGGTCTTCAACAAGAGGAATCTCCCCGTAGTCGATGTAGTCGTCGATCCTGTTCTCACCAAAGCCCTGCGTCCGCATCAAGTTGAAGGTGTCAGATTTCTCTACGAACGAGTCATGGGCATGCGCATCGATGACAGCGATGAGTCGATGGGTGCCATTCTGGGAGACGAGATGGGCCTGGGCAAAACGCTTCAAACAATCACGCTTATCTCGACGCTCCTCACGCAAAGCTGCTACTATTCGCCCACCGCAAGGACCATCGATCGAGCCCTCATTGTGTGCCCGCTCTCGTTGGTCAAGAACTGGACGAGGGAATTCACAAAGTGGATTGGCAACACGAAAATCAATGTCAAAGGCATTGAAGCGAGCGAGACCAGCGTAGAGAGCCTCGTCAATGGTCGATCGATCCAAGTCATCGTCATTGGCTACGAGAGGATGCGAACATGTGTGAAAGCGTTGGCCGACGCGCAACCTCCTTTTGGCTTGGTGGTCTGCGACGAAGGTCATCGGCTAAAGTCACTTCAAGCCAAGACTACGCAAATGTTCTCGAGCTTCAACTGCCCTCGGCGCATCATCCTGACTGGCACACCCATTCAGAACGATCTCTCAGAATTCTACGCCATGTTCGACTTCGTTGCGCCTGGGCTGCTTGATTCGCCAAAGGTCTTCAAACGGGCGATAGAGGACCCCATCATGCGGAGCAGGCAGCGTGGAGCTCGGCAAGAGGTCATCGATCGCGGACGGCAGCTGACAGATAGCCTTCAGCAGATTGCAGGCAAGATCATGCTCCGTCGAACAGCTGAGCTCCTCTCCGGCTATCTTCCACCCAAGCATGAGCTCGTCGTCTTTTGCAGCCCCTCGAAACTCCAGCTGGATGTCTACAACCGAATTCTGGAGTCCAACTTCATCCGCGATGTCCTCGGCGAAGGTGGTGAAAGCGGTGCGGCAACAAATCACCTGACGTTGACTGGTGTCCTTCGCAAGCTCTGCAACACACCCGAGCTCCTCCTCAAGGATCTCGGCGACAAAGGTGGCATCGAACAAACAGTGACTCAATCACTTGTTGAAAATACCGTGGATCTCTTCCCGAGGCGGACCGTGACGAACGATGCCAGCTTGAGTGGCAAGCTCCTCTGCCTCTTCAAGATGCTCAAATTGATCCGGGAGACGACCAGCGATAAGGTGGTCATTGTGTCCAATTTCACGAAGACGCTCGACATCCTCGAAGCCATCTGTCGAAAGTCGCGCCACAGCTTCGTACGAATGGACGGCACGACAAAGCAATCCGACCGCATGAGAATCATCAACGACTTCAATCGTGGATTACAGAAGGAAAGCTTTGTCTTTCTGCTCAGCTCCAAGACTGGAGGCACAGGAATCAACCTGATTGGCGCCAACCGACTTATCCTCGTCGACTCAGATTGGAATCCGGCCGTTGATAGACAGGCGATGGCGCGTATTCATCGAGATGGACAGAAGAAACATTGCTACATCTACCGCCTGCTTGTCGCGGGCACCATGGACGAGAAGATCTATGAGCGGCAGATCAGCAAGCTCGGACTGAGCGACTCAATGATTGACAGCGGCAATGCGGAGGCGGTAACTCAGGGAGCGACGGGCAAGAAATCCGCTTCCGACTCTTTCTCAATCGAAGAGCTTCGTGATATCTTCCGACTCCATCTCGATACTCCATGCATTTCTCATGATCAGCTTGGTTGTAGCTGCGGCGGCACTGGTGTCGGAGGTGCTGGTCGAAAGAAGGAAGATAGTGAGGAAGACGGGGACGCAAAAGAAGAGCAAAGTCCAGTCGAGAAGTCCTTTATCCCTGCGTCGCAAGTGGCAAAGGCACAAAAGAGTGAGAGCGAGATTGACAAGCGTGCGAAGCTGGCCGCCCTGTTGGATTGGGGCCATCATGACTTTTCCGACGTGGGCAAGCTTGTCGGCCAGGAAGAAAGAGGAGAGCATGGCCGACTTGCAGAAGGCGACGACGCAGCAGAAGCTGGTCGACTGGACGAGGACGAGGGATTGCTCGTCAAGGCAACGAAAGACGAGGTCCTTAACATGATCGTCGAGGAGCAAAAAGTCGAAATGCTTGCAGAACTCCGCGAGACTGTGGCTGCCAACAACTTGGACATCGGCACGTCTCCCCTGCAGACTGACGAGCGCAAGAGAAACAAGGCCGGCCTCTTCTTTTCAAGCCAGTCTGAAATGGCGGCTGACGAAGACGGTGGAGATTCTTCAGACGAAGACAAGACGGGCGAAGAGACAAATAACAGAATGCAAAAGGGCAGGGGATCAATCTTGACAGAGCTCGATGCGATTGCAGAGGGGTGCGAGAAGGAGGTGAGAGAAAAAGGCCTTCGTGCTGCACTCTGAAGACGAAAACTGACACTCTGTGCTTACGCCCCTGAAAGGATGGCGACAATACTTCAGACAAAGAGGTCGAGCCTGAAGAAAAACCATCGAGATTCGACTTGAGGCTTACAAGGCCCGGCTCGGTCCTCTACGTCTTTTCAAAGAGCTCGAAGAGCGCGATCGTCGAAGGAGAGGGCGAGAGCAGCAGCGAGGTATAAATAATAGAAGGGAGCATCGGCAGGGTTCTTTTGAAGTAAGGACAACCCCAACTCTTGGTCTGAGACACACACAGGAATACACAGGACAAGGATTGCGCAGACAACAAACCTAAGACACATTGTACTGTATAGTAGCATCACATCTAGACGAACGAGGCTCATTTTAAGTCACGTCAAATGCTCAGCCGAGGGGTCTGATGGTGTGACAGAGATCGTGAGAGACGTTCAATTGAAAAGCAGATTCGTAACAAAACATGGCGCATCAGGAAAGAGGCCCGTGAGAATAGCCCAGGATGACGATCTCAAAGAAGATGACAAACGCAGATTCGAAAAGCAAAGGAAAGAGGAGGTTGGGGAAAGGATTCTACAGGAGGAGTCCGTCGTCGCCATCGCCATCGCCATCATCGCCACCCCGCTTGCCGACGGTGAAGACACCCTTGACGGGCAAATTAGAAAGCAGAAGCTTTCCGAGGCCGGAGTTCCAGATCTTGGCCTTGGCCTTACCCTCGATACCCGCCCTTGCACCTTCGCCTGTGACAATCTTCCAGCTGAAAGAGCGGAACTCGGCGCCTCGGCCGGGGAGGACGGTGAAAGGCACATTCTTGAGCTCGGAACGGAGGAGCTTGCGTTGCTTCTTCGGATCCGTTGGGTCCAGATAGGTCGTGGCGGGCGCCCAAACATGGGGCACCACACGGCCAAAGGCACCCTTGGGAAGCGGGTCTGGCAGAGGCTCGGGCTCCGGAACATCTGGGTCTTTGCTGGGCTCATCTCCATCCTCGTCTTGGGCTCCTGCCTCGTCTTTGTCTCCGTCGTCATCACCTTTACCACCTCCGTGCCGCATGCTGGGAGGCTTGCCATTATAGACAAGAATGTCTGGCCACAGGTCCGTAATGTCGACATCGACGGTGGCGAGCTGGCCCGGCATGTTCATGACGCCCATGACTGTGCCGCTGCACAGGAGCTTCTCCCTCTCGAAGGGGTGAGGGGTGATTTTGAGGTCATTGATCGTCACGTTCTGAATCAGATCCGTCACCTTGGACCCAGGGAAGCTGATCGGAAGTGAAAGGGTCCGCAGGGCGCGGTCCAGCCACGCTGGCAGGACAGAGCCGCCGCCGGGGAGTGGCTCTTCGTCGTCGGCATTGCCCAGCGTCTTCTTTGCCTGGGGTGTCGTGAAGGGGGAACCGCCGTGAACGTAGACAGAGTTGGGCTCGCCACGAAGGAAGCGACTCAAAAAGCCACTGAGGGCAGCTTGGCCTGGCGAATCATCTTCGACATGTGCGTTGCCAGCGTCCAGCACCTTTTGGCCGTTGCGGCTAGATGCATAGACTGGCTCAGCCTCCTCCGAGGATAGCACGGACTGAGGAGGGGGAACGACTCTGCCTGTCAGCTTCAAGGGGATCTTGTCCTGGCCATTGATCTCGATGGGCTCTGTTGCCACCGCTGCGAGAAGGACGGTATCCTTTGGCTGCGTGCTGGGAGGCTTGCTGAAGAGGCTGCTCCCATTGTTGTTCTTGTCCTTGTTGTCTTCGATGGGCAGAAAGACGCCAAAGGGTAGGCTGTAGCCAACGTAACCCTTGAGGAGCTTACCCAGCGGATTCTTTGCCTCAGCATAAGCCTTGATGCCCAAAGCCCTTGATGCCGTTGCGACCAAGTCACCATCGTCTTGCAGCTCCAGCTTGTCCTTTGGTTTTCCGATCTCGAAAAAGTCGTACCTGGTCAGGTTGAGGAAGTCATCGGTGCCGGTGCCATTGTTGTCGAGCTTGGGAATGTCCTGACCCAAGCGCTTCCAGATGTCGCCCATGGCCAGGTCGACCCAGCCAGGCACGTTCCAGCGCTTTTTTCCAACCTCGCCTGCCGTCCACTCCTTTTGGCTGAGTCCACGGACGCGAACCGAGTGCACGTTGAAGTCGAGAATGGCGCGCTTGTTCTTGATGGCATTTTGAGCGAAGACAAGCAGGTCGGGAGCGGATGGCTTGAGGAGAATCGTCAAGCTCAGGGGCGTCTCAGCTTCCGGAGCTTCGTCCTTGTTGCCGAGCGACGTCACGCCGTGTCCCTTGAGAGGAGGAAGCGGCACCAGCAGGGGCTCAATGTCAAATGTGATGAGGTCGGTGGGCTCCTGGCGGGCGAGTGACTTAATCTTCTTGCCGTCATCGCCGTCTTCGCCCTCGGGAAGCAGATGGACCTCATCCACTTTTCTCTTGACGCTCCAGTCAGGTGATCGGAGTGCGACTTGACCCACGTCGACCTCTGCGCCCTTGACCTTGGAAAAGACCCATTCGATAAGGTCTCTCTCTTTGCGCTTCCAGAGCCCCTTTTCCTTGCGCGGTCCGAGCCATTCGTCCAGAGCAGCGTCGCCATCGAGGCCAATGCGGCCGTCGATGCGGACGTAGACACCTTCGCTTGTGAGATTGAGAAGCTCGACCTTATCGGGCCCGTCGACGTTGAGGGAACGGGCAATGATTCGTTGCTGGACGGCCTCGTTGGGAGACCGGAGGGTGATAAGAAAGAGGTGAGCGACGGCGATGAGCAGGAGCAGGAGCACAACGCCAATGGCAATGAGGAGGCCGACAATGGTCCAGAAGATGCCTGGATGTCCCGCCTTGAACTTGCGAACCCTCTCCTTCATGCTTGGCCGGGGTGAAGGACCAGCGGCTGGGCCAGCTTCGACGGTTTGCTCGTCGGTGCTGCGCTGCTTGCCCTTGTTGGTGGTGGCGCTGTATGCCGATGATGCGATCCCGTGGACATACTGCGACGTGCGCGACAAGAGCTGTCTAGGATAGTGGGACCATCCTGCTGCTCTCTCGCCATCGGCGCCGTTGCTTAGCAGAGGCGCATCCTCGCCCGCCTCTACATCGTCGTTTCTGCCGTCGACGGGTGCAAGCCCGTTGGTCTCGGGCTCTCGAGCCGCCATGTGAGGATAAAGTGAGGCGCCAGCGGAGGCGTCTTCTATCGGTGGATGAGACTTGGGACGGAACTTTGTCACGCAGAGCGATGAGCGCGCGAGAAAGTCAGTCGCCTTGGATGAGGCAAATGGCGAGAGGCAGCGGGGGTTCAACCGGACTCTTACTTTGACGGCAGGCGACGGCAGGCACGCGCGCCACAGTAAAAAGTGGAAATGTGGAGCCTGCGAGCCGCCCAGCCTAAGCGCGCGCAGCCTGCAGCTTGCTGCGTCCAAAATCCTCTCTGCTTGCTTCAATGGCACCGGGCCTCCTTCTGGGCCGATGTCCTTTATTGTTCAAGTAAACAAACAACCCCAATCTAGCTGATTCGCAGGTGCTTTGGTAGAAAGCGTTCTCTCCACAAGCAAGCCACACTCTCAAAGCAAAAGAACCGTCGGTGCTGAATGCCGTGCGCTGTTGCAACAGGACCTTTTCTCATCCATTGCCGACTTGCTGGCTTTGATACGGAGTAAAACCTTTGAACAGGGCATTTGGACATGCGCCATGTGAATCGTAGTGCAGGAGGACTGAGTGCCCCAGTCTCCGACTGAGCGGAAGGCGGTTCCATCGTCTGGGCTCATTCGGCCTCCGCACCGTGGCGCAATCTTGCCTGTATGCCCACTGGAGATTCTCTTCCTTTATAATGGTGCGTTCGCCTCTAATTTACGAGGATCTGACCAACGTCAAAGGGACTAAACAGTTCATCTTACAGCTGCAAACCCACCTCTTCTTGCCCCTTCCAAGGCTCGCACAACTTCTCAAATAACGGGCCTCTAGCATCAGCGATCAAACATGTGGCTCGCAGCCATCACCCTTTACGTGAGCTGGCGTAGTCGCACGAGAGAGCGATCCCGATTGACCTGCGAAACTCGCGCACTAGATTCTCGTCCTGGCTAGGTCCATTCCAACCGCGAAGAGCACGTCGGTATCTTCGTGAAGGGAGAGAAAAGCTTGACATAGTTGCCACTGATAAGTACCCACACAGAATCACGTACCTCTACGATAAGAATCACGGAAGCGACAAAGACGTTCGTGGGTCTTGCTTGCCCTGCGCTTTGATGCTATGCTCTCGTTCACTCGGATCTCTCACGCAGTTGGCGCTTGCGAATTGCCGTCAGGGTACAGCGACTTGGCGGGCGCCGATCTCTTCAATTGTCCAAGCAATGGTGCGCATTATTCTAGCGTGTCTTGGTTGCTTAGTAGGCTTACGCAAGAGGCTCGCTCATCCCTCTCAGATGAATGTCATTGTGACAAAGGTGCAGATGTGGAAACAGTCCGAACCGAGTTTTGGCGCGTATGCGGCCTATTGAAAGGCGTACCAATGGGTTAAGTCGACGAGAGACGTTCGCGCAGTCCACACTCGACCATAGACTTGTACGAAGGCACTCGGCGACATCGACGAAAGTACAGGCACCATTCTTGTTGCATACGTTTCTCTAGCCTCCAAATTCATCTTGCTGGTGACGAAAGGAATCAGATCTTAGTCCGTGAAGAAGGGAAGAGAGTGACGAGAGATGGAAAGCGAATTTATTAAGGCGAACTTGACACACCAAAGTCGTGAACAGCTGTGAAGTTTGGCAATTGAATCAATGCTAAAGTCGTATCAGTCATTGTCTTGGTCCACCTGGCTGCAGCCTCACGCTGTTCAGGGGACAAAGCGGAACATTGGTCCCACCGAAGGGTCTGTTCTGAGAGGCGCTCAGAAACCCAGAGTTCCCAAGGGTGAAATTGATCAAGAGTGAAGTTCCCGCCACAATTTGGTTATTTTTGCAACAGCTTTACAAGATTGAATGTGGACAAGTTGCTGTACATGCGATACGATATTGTTACAGCGAAGTCCTTCTAGCACGATAATGTCTCCTCATTCTCCTTCCATCATGAAGCCTCCCCCTCCTCCTTCCTCAATCTCGGCGTGGAGGCTCCTGTACGCACTCGCATCGCCATCCTCTCCCTCTTGCTCCTGCATCTCCTCGGGCTCTCCAGCCCCTCCAGTGTCTTCTTGTCCATACTCTCTTCTGACCCGCTCGGTGATCCTCAAGCTGTTCAAGAGCCTCTTCCAGTTCTTGATGGCTCGTTCGACCCGCTTGTTGTGCTCGCGCTCCGCCGCGACGTGTTCCGACGTCCAATAGGCGTCCAGGAGCGCATCGTGATGCTTGGCGGCTACCACGATACCAGACATCTTGGGCATGGACCGATGCTTGCGAAATTCGAAGCCGGTGATGGCTTCAGCATACTGGATCCCCAGGCTTTTTGCCACTTTTCCAACGCCGCTGTATGGTATATGGGCAGCTCCCTCGGGAAGCATGCTTGGCACAAACAGGTCGATGTTGCCAAATGCGTTTGTCGGCACCTTTCCATCTTCGGACACTGGCGGCGGCACATACAGCTCGGTCTGGAACTCGGCGTACAGTCCTTCCTGCGGTAGCTCGCCACCTTCCATCCTGGCCTGCTCTTCTGCCCGTTTGTTCGCCAGCGTGTAGCCTCGGCTGCGGACCCACTTAAGGGCCTCCTCTCCCGGGCGCACAACCTTGCCCTCGTTGTACCACTGTCGCGCCGAGCGGCAGACGACGACGTTGCGACGAAGAAACACGGGAGTGCCTTGAAAGGTGCCCGCCTGCTTTGCTGGAAAGATGACTTCATCTCTCTTAAGGTGCTTTTCCAGCGCGTAGACCGGATGGTCCTTGAAGGCCGCCACGCTGCTTGGCATGGGCTCGCGTGACGCCGCATTCTCCAATTCAACATCCTCGACGGCGTCACGCTCCAGTTTCTGCGGCCGGTGGATGGCACTGACAACCTTTGGCCACCATTCTTCGAGCGTCGTCGGCCCCTTCTTGGTTGCCGGCGGCCTCATTCGGCTGATGCGGCTGTGCAACGTTCGTGTATAGCGCGCTGTCACATCCCTAGCGTGGCCGTCCTCTTCAAAGGCAACAACGTAGACAAGGCGGTTGCTCCGATCGCTTGGGAGCGGCTCCATTCTCCGGCTCCCAGTGGGCTCAACGAGGTTGCGTACGACGTCGACGGTGATCCACCGTTTCCAGGGCTTGCTAAACACCTCGACCCACATCGTAGGAGGCGCAGTCATATCGACTGGCTTGACGTCGGTCACATTGTCCGATCCAAGCTCCGTGTCCTTGAGCTTCTTGGGCCGCATCGGGCGCAGCTTTGGCTGATACTCTACATCTAGCGGTGCTTCGAGATTCTTCCACCTCTCATCGCGGTAGTCGCCGTCCGTGGTCTTCTCGCGCTTCTTGTCAGGCTCGGACTCGGACTCTTTGGCTTTGCCCTTTCCTTTGATCGGCTTCGAAGTTGGCGACGGCTCGTCACTTGTCTGCGGTGCTTTGCCCTTCCCGTTTCTTGACCGAGTCGCACGCAGGGGAGGTCCATTTGTTGTGTTTTGATCATCACGCTCTGCATTGGAAACCTTGCCCTTGGCTCTGCTGGATGCAGATGCTGCACTCGCGGTGCTTGCCACGCTTGCAGGCTTGGAGGCAGTCCCACTCTTGAGCCTCTGCCTTGCTGCCGCTCGTGATCGGGCACCCGTCCTGCTGACAACTCCGTCATCTTCGGCGCTCACTGTGTCCTCTCCGCCGCCGAAGCTTTCGTCGTCGCTCGTCATCACATCCTCTGGCTTGCGATTGGCGGCCACGTAGCTCGCATCAAGGGCCCGAGTCTCATTCAGGCGCATCGCCTTTCGCTTTTTTCCCAACGAGCCCATCTTTGGTTTCTCGCCCGTCGCACCAACCGTTGAGGCCACCTTGGCCGCCGCGACGCTCCAGCTGGGTGCCTGAATGCTGACGACCAATCGCGACGGGATACCCAAGGCTCGGCACATGCTTGCGAACAGCTGTGCGCTCGTCTCGCGGGAGCCCATGAGCTCTCGAGCGTGGGTCATGAGATCTTCGGCCGATGTAATGGGTTCTGCCGACTCGCCGAGGCGGAGAAAGTGAGGCTGCGTCGAGTTGCCGGGGCCAAAGAGGGTGATTTCGCTGAAGGGCGCCTTTGGCTTCCTTTCCTTTTCCTCGCCCTCTTCCTGGGCTGCTTCAGACGACGAAGCTTTGGCTTTCCCCTTTCCCTTAGCTTTCTTAATCTCGCTCCTCTCCCTTCGCTCCGCTCGATGTCTCTCTTCTCGCTGCCTGGCAGTCTCCACGACCCACCCGTCGACGCGCCGGCCAGGCGCAGGGAAGAGGCCATTGAAGCTGTCTGGATCGGGCTGCCGCAGCGCAGCACCGGCCGTCATGTTGGGCTCGAGTCGGAAGCGGCTAATCCACCACCTGGTGATTTCCCGCAGCAGCGACTCAAACATCCTCACCCGCTCGTTTTGGACGGGCACCTTCTTGGGATGGATCAGTCGCAGCTTCTCGAGGAAGGTATTCGGTACGAGGGTGTACAGATGGTCCTGGAGGGTTCGAATGAGCCTCAAAATTGGTCAGCGGTCTACTATGCCCATGATCGGTACACACTCACTCGGAGAGCCTCGTCATTGATGAGACTGTTTCGCGCCTTTGTATGTGCAATGACAGCGAGCACCATCCACTTGTGTGCTGCCAGTCTTGAAACACGATCTCGATGGGTGATGATGGGACCCTTGCGCTTGGCACCCAACTTGAGCTCCAAGGCCCTCTTCTGAGGCCCATGGATGGAGATTGAAATGCCGCCGGGCTGTCCCTTGCCATCCTTGAAGATGGGGACGTCTGACCCGCCTTCGTTTCCATCCTCCCCTGCAGCAGCAGCATCAGCTGCTTCGTATGCGGCCGCGTAGGCCTCTTCGTGTACCGCTTCCCCCCCTCCCTCGGCCAAATCGACTTCCTCCATGTCGTCGTCTTCGTCCTCATCATCATCTTGTCCTTCCTCCTCATCCTCGTCATCTCCTCCCTCATTTTCCTCACTCCTTGGTCTCGACGGCAGCTCGACCTCCTCCATGTCGTCATCCATCCCGTCAGAGTCATCTTCTCGTTTCGAGGGAGCAATCGATCCATTCTGCTTCCCGGCTGCACCAACGTCGTCGTCATCGCTCAGCACTACAACGAGGTCCTCAGCCTGGCGCCTGCTCCTTTCCGACGTCCGCCCGCGTAGAGTTCTCGATGTGGACGCGCCATTGGAGGCTCCGTTCCTTTTCGGCCGCTTTGCAGGCGGCTCGCGAACCTCTTCGACCGAGTCCGAAGGCCGCTCCAGGCTGCTGTCGCTCACCGACTTGACCGAAAAGACTTCCTCATCGGGCGAGGGCCGCCGGTACGTCTTGGGGTCGGGCGGCGGTGCTGCAGCGGACGCGGCCTGTGCACCACGTTTGCGGCGAGGCGGCATGCCGGCTTGTGCTTCGTCGTCTTAGCGAGCGAAAGACGAGCAAGTTGCGCCTGGATGTCGTCGATTGGCTCGTTCTTTCCGACTTGACTTGAGTCAGCTTCGCGCAGCTGTGGAGGCATCAGAAAAAATGACCGACTGCTTTTTGACACGACTGACGGATATGTGACCAAAAAAAGAAGACCAACACCGCGACTCACTCACTTCCCCTCTCTGTGCAAAGCGTAAAATAAAAACAAAGGGTGTAATTTCAAGTGCAGCTGAGCCGCTTGGACCCCTCCGACAACCTTCTTCGACGACGACCGGCGGCGATGTCGTGATCACGACCGCGAACACTCAGGAGCACAAGAGCAGACTCGAGGAGAAGAAGGAAACTCTTGCCAGGATGAGCCTCCGCAGCTCGCCCGTCAGGGTGCACGGAAAGAAGGACACGGAGCCAGAATATGGGAGGCCGCTCAGCATCATCGAGAGCGTGGCCAGCGGAGAAGAGGGGGCGAGTGACGAGGAGCGCGGAGCAGACGAGGGAGAGCACGGACACTATGTGAGTGCATAAATCGTATCCTCATCTCATCACCATCAAATTGACAAGTCCTGTGCGCATTTATCTTGAAAATCGCCAAGGCCATCACCTCTGGCACGATGACACCACCACATCCATCGCCCTCGCCAGAACCGATGGACCAGGCGGCTGCCTCATCGTCGACCGACTCGCAAGTGTCGAGCCTGTCTGACAAGTCGACGCTCGAGGGCCACATCCAGTCGCTCTTCACCAAGTTTGTCCCTGCCTCGTCGTCTGATTCGCAGGGCGAGCGCTGTGTCCTGTGCAGAGATCTGCCGAGCCTGTTGGACGAGTACGAGAGACAGCGCGGGTCACGCCTGGTCAGCGACCGGCTTCGCGAGGAGCTGACCCAGCAGGTCTCGCAGAGCCCAGACGTCGAGATCAGCGCCAGCACGCTGCTCCAGCTCATTGGCGCCCTTCAGGCTGCGCAGCCAGAGAGCGACGGAGAGGAGGGGGACTCTGTCGCCTTGCGCAGGGCCGCTGCCGCCACTGCTGCTGCTGCTGCTGCGGCTGCCGCTTACACGGCCACTACCACATCCGGTTCAGGGGGCGAAGACAGCTCGTTTTCGTCGCAGGACGACTCGAGCGTCTCGTCATCCAACGAGGAAGAGTACGAAGACGACAGCTTCGAGCGCATTGGAGAGGACGACTACCAACGATCAAGCTCACGGGATAGAAAACAGAGCACGCCTACCGTTGGGGGCCGACGACCGCTGCACTTGGACGACGATGGCAGGCCCCGCGCCTTTCCTCGGTCACAGAGCGAGAGGGCCGGACTCGGCCAGGGGGCAGGCGTCAGCACAGGCACAGAAGATGGAAATGGACAAGGTCAGGGCGAGAGACAGGAGCGCGACGAAGAAGACCAGCTCACCCCAGGGCCATCGGCGTGGTCCTCGATGCGAGCGACGCCCCGAAAGAAGACAACATCGGACCCCTCCGACTCGCCTTACACCTCCCGCCGTGTCTCGGCACCGGCCTCGGCCCCAGCTGGGCCCTCGAAGCGGGCGAAGGGCGACAAGCGTCACGAGAGGCGCAAGAGCATCGATCCAGAGAACAGAGAGGTGCTTCGAGGCAAGGGCAAACTGCAGGCGCCCCCAAGCGCATGGAGCCGACCCAAGCCACAGGCACTGGCGAACCGAGAGAAGGAGAGGGAGCGAGAGAGACAGAGAAAGCTGAGCGACGCGTCGAGCCTGGGAAGCCCCGACCACCCGCAGAACAGCCCGCTGGTCGACCGCGATTACGACGGCCACGCTGCGCTCGGCCTGGGCCGTCCTCCTCCCCCGGGTGGCGCACGGCAGCGCCTCTCCTCGCAGCCGACCATGTCCGTTGCGCGCGAGGAACTCGCTGCAACGCCGCCGAGCCTGCCCCGAAGCTCGAGCTCGAGCTCCACTGGCTTTGCCTTTCCCCGCGCCACGAGTCCGCCGTGGGGCGACTCGCACGAGGCAAGGGCCAACGAGCGGTGGGATGCGTTGCTCGACGACATCGAGACGCCGGGCGCGTCCAAGCTGCCCGCGAGTGCCAGCGCAGGCAGTTCCTACTTTGAGAGCGCCAGGAGCTCCTCGAGCCGTGCTGCCAGCCCGGGTATCGATGAGAGCAGCATCGGCAACTTTAGCAGCTTTGGCATCCTCGCCGGTGCAGGAGCAGCAGGCCCGCAGTCGCCCCGTCGATCGAGCAGCCGCGCGAGTGGGCGCCGCTATCGCTTCGATTCCGACGAAGCCGACGAGACAATGAGGCAGGCAGACGACGACGATCTCCAGTCGCAGCTCGAGGCGCTGCAGCGGACGCTCAACGAGCGCGAACGGGCGCACAACGAGGTGCAGGAAGAGCACGAGGCCATCATCTCTTCGCTGCAAAACGAAATCGAGGTGCTCAAGGACCAGAATGCGGTCATGAAGCGAGAGGAAAAGGAGGCAAGTGCGCGCGAGACGGGCCAGACAGACCTGATCAACAATCTCGAGAACGACCTGTCGAGGGAGCAGAAGCTGCACGAGATCCTAAAGGGGCAGCACAACAGGCTCAAGGTCCAATTGGATGACCAGAAGAGTGAGTTTGATTAAATCAGCGCCGAAAGTGTATGCTCTAGGATTGCTTATTGACCTTTTGTTCCCATGACAGACGAATCAAAGAAGCTGCGCGAGGCCGCAAGCGCAGACAAGCAGACGATGGAGAAGCTCGAGGGTGCCCAGGTCGGGTTCGTCGCAACGAATCAGAGACTGGCCGACGAGATCAGCAAGAAGCAAGCAAGGATCGAGGAGCTTCAGGCAAAGGTCACTCTTCTCGAGACTCAAAAGGCGGAAATGGAGGAGATGGAGACGACCAACGCTGCGCTGCGCGAAAAGATTGAGAGGCTGACGGCAGAGCTGGAGATGAGGGGGACAAGCGAGATTATCAACCGGGGCGACTTTGATCAGTCGAGCAAGGCGACACCATCTAGGACACTGGGAGCAGAGATGCAGCGTCTGCTGGACAATGCCCAGGCGGGCGAAGATGACGGCGGCGACGAAGACGGAGAAGCGAGCATGGACAGCATGATCGAGACAACCGTCACCCGCAGGCGCGTGCGGAGTTCAAAGTCGAAGCGCGCAGACGGCCAGGCGGGCGATGGAGAAGCCGAAAGCTCTGGGCGCATCGCAGAGGAACACGCACTGCCGACGTACGACGAGGCGGCGCTGGAGAAGAACATCGTTACCCGGCTGCACCCTAGCTGCAGCGCGGAGGAGCGCGCGTCTTCGCATCTTGTCGAAGGCGATGGCCACCGCTTGGTAGATGGCTTCGTCGAACTCTTCGTCGGCGGCCAAGCCATGTCGCCGAGCTATCATTACGAGATGCTCAAGCGCTCGCTCGGGATCAGGTGCCAATCGCTCGAGACTCGCATCGAGGAGCACAAGAAGGCTCTCAATGCACGCGTGTCTACGGAGACGGCTCACACTCGCCGAAGATCGCTTTCGACAATTGCCCGTTCAAGTCTCATTCAAGGAGTGCGACCGCTGGCAAGTCAGGCGAGGGACTTGGTCCCTGGTGCCGTCCGGTCCCGCGTCTACAATTACGTCTCTGCGGCAAAGAATAGCATCCTTTCCAAGGACAAAGCCGAAGAGTCGGCTCGCCGGCTGTTGCTCCTCTGCAGCATGCTCATCTTCTTCGTTGGCCTCTTTCTGGGTGTCTGGTGGAAGCCCAGGACCCGACTGCTCCTCAATGACGAGGACCCGTTCGAGTGGCGGCTGTCAAACTCGCTCGGACTTGGGTTGGGCGGCGGTTACCTCGACTACCGCGACGCCTATGTCGACGAAGGCTTCTTTGCTTGGATCGCCAGTCGAATCTTGCGGCTCAAATCATTCTCGCTCGACGTACGTCCGCGGCTGGTGCCTACTTGACTTGTACACGAAAGACAATATATGGTTGCTTGTACTCTAGAGATGCCCACAAATGCAGGGCTGCATGTAATGTACAGTGTATGAAAGACTTCTTTCTTGACTTTCCCTCCTTAGCGCCTCTTGACCGAGTGCTTAACTATAGCCCTCAGACTGGCCGCCTTTCGGGCCTCGAGCCGGTCCGCTCCATCTCTTGCCTCTTGACAAACTCTGTGCATTCCCATAGCTTGCGAAGGACGGGCGTGCACTGATTGCTGAGCTCTTCGTCGCCTTTGTGCGTATTGGCAGCGAGGCAGGCATCGTAAGCGCGGAGCTGCGGCTCGCACGTCTTTTTGATCGTCGAGAGCAGCGGCACAGCATCGGCGGCGCACTTGGACAGGGCGACGCGGTGCTCGTCACAGGAAGAAGGGTTGGCCTGGTTGGCGAGGATGCAGCGCTGAAACGTGTCTAACGAACCGAGCCCGGCGTCAGTCGAGGAACGTCATTAAGCACACTCACAATGCAAGAGACCCACCCAGCTGCTGGCCACATTTCCTCGCGACGAGCTCGATGCTTTCTTCCATTGTTGTTCTTTCCGTCGGTCGCTCAAAGTCGACGTTCGTGTGACCAAAACCAAAAAAACAAAATCTTCTCGTCGGAGGAGGCGTCGGAAAAATCAAAAGTGGAGAGAGAGCGAGCGGAGTTGGCCGACGCAATCGATTTTGACCTGACGCACGTGTCGCTTTTTCTTGGGTTTTTTTTTAAGTCTTTCTTCTGAAAATGGTAGCATTGAGAAGAAAGTTGGTAAACGTTTCGTTCTGACTCCTTCACCAAAGACAACGACGATGACGCTTTCTCACCCAAACATTAGCGACGGCTGGTTCCACGAGGGTGAGCGGCCCGATGCAGTGGCAGCTGCGCAAGAGGGAAGTAGCTGACCACTTCTCCGCCACAGCCAACTCACAATGGCCGGGCCAGGCCATGTCGCTCAAGGTTCAGCGCATCCTTCACATGGAGAAGTCCAAGTTCCAGGACGTGCTCGTGTTCCAGTCGACCGACTACGGAAACGTCCTCGTGCTCGATGGAGTCATCCAGTGCACCGAGCGCGATGAGTTCTCGTACCAGGAGATGATCGCCCACCTTCCCCTGGCCTCGCACCCCAACCCGGAGAGGGTGCTGGTCATTGGCGGCGGCGACGGCGGTGTCCTGCGAGAGGTCGTCAAGCATGAGACAGTCAAGGAGGTCATCCTGTGCGACATTGACGAGGCCGTTCCCCGAGTCTCCAAGACGTACCTGCCCAACATGGCGGCCGGCCTGTCGCACCCCAAGTCCAAGGTCATCATCGGCGATGGCTTTGCCTTCCTCCAGCAGCCCGAGAACCAGGCCGCCTTCGATGTCATCATCACCGACAGCTCGGACCCGGTCGGACCTGCCGAGTCGCTCTTCCAGCCTCCCTTCTTCAAGCTGCTCAAGGGTGCGCTCAAGCCTGGCGGACACATCTCCACGCAGGGCGAGTGCCAGTGGCTGCACCTGCCGCTGATCCGCGAGCTGCGCAAGAGCACCCGCGAGCTCTTCCCCGTGTCCGAGTACGCATTCACGACGATTCCCACGTACCCGTGCGGCCAGATCGGCTTCGTCGTCTGCTCTCTTGATGCTGGCCACGACGTGCGCAAGCCGCTTCGCAAGGTCCCTGACTGCCGCTACTACAACGAAGAGGTGCACAAGGCTGCCTTCACCCTGCCTGAGTTTGCTCGCCAGGTCGTCGAGGAGGGCAAGCCCGCTCCTGGACCCGTCATTGCCACGGGCGAGGGCCTGATCGAGAAGAAGAAGCGGGAGGCAAAGAAGATTCTCCTGCTCGGCAGTGGATACGTCGCTGGGCCGTTTGCAGAGTACATGCTCCGGTACCCCGAGTACCAGCTGACGGTGGCCTCTTCTCGGCTGGAGAATGCGCAAAAGCTGGCGAACAGCCTCTCTGCGGGTGCTTCGGCCACGGCCGTTGATGTCAATGACCCCGCTGCGCTGGGCGCGGCAATCGCCAAGCACGACGTCGTCATCTCGCTCATTCCCTACACCTACCATGCTGCTGTGATCAAGGCTGCGTGCGAGCACAAGGTCGATGTTGTCACCACGAGCTACGTCTCCGACGCGATCCGCGAGCTGGCGCCCCAGATTGAGAAGGCCGGCATCACTGTCATGAACGAGATTGGCCTTGACCCAGGCCTCGACCACCTGTACGCCGTCAAGGCCATCGACGAGGTGCACGAGCAGGGCGGCAAGATCAAGTCCTTCCTCTCCTACTGCGGTGGTCTCCCCGCCCCCGAGGCGGCCGACAACCCGCTCGGCTACAAGTTCTCGTGGTCCTCGCGCGGTGTGCTCCTGGCGGTGCGAAACACGGCCAAGTTCTACCAGGCTCCCCATAAAGAGCCCCAGGTCGTCTCGGGCGTGGAGCTGATGGCGTCTGCCAAGCCCTACTACATCAACCCGGCCTTTGCCTTTGTGTCCTACCCGAACCGCGACTCGTCGCCGTTCCGCGAGTGGTACAACATTCCCGAGGCCGAGACGTGCATCCGCGGCACTCTGCGCTACCAGGGCTTCCCCGAGTTTGTCCTCGCCATTGTTCGCATGGGCCTGCTGGACGACTCGGACAACCACAAGGACTGGCTCAAGGTCGACGACGCCAGTCTCACCTGGCCAAAGGTCGCCGCCAAGCTCCTTGGCACCGGCTCGGCCACGGACGCCGCCTCGCTCTCCAAGGCCATCGAGTCCAAGTGCGGATTCCGGACCCAGGACGAGCGGTCGCAGGTCCTCTCGGGTCTCCGGTGGCTCGGCCTCTTTGACGACAAGGCCAAGCTCACTGTGCGCGGACTGCCCGCGCAGCAAAAGGCCGGCTACGGAAACCCGCTCGACACGCTGTGCGCCACGCTCGAGGAGAAGTGCAGGTACGAGGCCGGCGAGCGCGACATGGTCATGCTCCAGCACCGCTTCGAGATCGAGACCAAGGAGGGCGAGCAAAAGACACTCACGTCGACCCTCCTCGACTATGGCCACCCGCAGGGATACTCGAGTATGGCGAGGCTCGTGGGTATCCCCTGCGCAATTGCCACAAGGCTCCTCCTCGAGGGCGAGAAGGGCATCAAGCAGCAGGGCAAGATTGTGGCGCCGTACTCAAAGGAGGTCTGCGACCCGATTCGCCTCGAGCTCGAGAAGGAGGGAATCGCGCTTACTGAGAGGTACATCTGATCGGGCTTGTATTGTTCTGCGAGAAAGGGAGAGTGTGTGTATAGAAGAAAAGCTACCGAGCAAAGAGTATAAAAAGCACATCTGCGCTGCTACTATTTCTATGGCCAAGCACCCTTCTCGACCAGGTATCGATTGGCTTTGCCCAGCGCCCAGACGCTGAAGCAGAAGGGGTAGAGGCAGTAGTCGATTGCGCAGTTCCTGTTGAAGACGCCCAGGATCTCTTCGTTTTTCCACGATCCATCGGGCTGCTGTCGAGACATGATGAGCCTCGCTGCCCTTTTCAGCGGCTCGACGTGCGGGTACTGGGCGTGGAGGAGCGCAATGAGTGCCCAGGATGTCTGGACGACGTTGGACCTCTTTCCCTGGATCCATCTTCCCTCGACGCACGACGTAAAGTCCTCGGACCAGCCGCCGTCGGCGGCCGACTGCTTGGAGATGAGCAGATCGCAGGCCCGCTTGACCGGCTCCGAGTTCTCGTAGCTCTGCCCGTCGAGGTGGAGCGACTCGAGCGCAAAGAGCGTCGCGTACGTGTGGCACACGGCCCAGCTCCCAAACCACGAGCCATCGTCCTGCTGGGCCGAGAGAATATAGCCAATGGCGCGCTTGATCGTCGTGTCAATCTCCTTGCGCCGGTACTCGTCGCCCGTCTGCTTAAACTTCTGGAGCGCAGTGACGACAGACGTGGTGCACTCTGGGTAGTCGTACTCGCGCATGATGTCGCCAAACACCTCGGCCGGATTGAGGAGCTCGATCATGTGGGGCGCATTGATGGGCTCGTAGCTCGCAAAGCCACCGCTCTTGTTCTGCATGCCCAAGATGACATCGACCGACTGCCTGAGCCTCTCTTGAGAAATCTTGCGGGGCAACTTGGCCGTCTCTTGGAGCATAATTGTCGCCTTCATGCCTTCGCCCGTGCAGTCGCTGACGGTGTACCCCTGCTCCTTTGTGCTGAAGGGCCAGGCTCCCTTTGTCGCGTACCGATAGCACTCCTTGTAGTATTTTGGGTTGTCGCGGATCTGACAGTCGTCGAGCCAGTCGAGGACCTTTGCACACGCCGCCTTGTTGGCAGGCTCCTCGACGAGGCCGCTGTCGACCATGGCCTGCGCGATAAACGACGTGTCCCAGAGCTGGCTGCCGTTGGTGCCGCACATCATCATGCCCTGTGGCCCGAGCCAGAGGAAATCCTTGAGCTTCTCGCGGTGCAGCGCCATCGCTTTGCTCTCGGCTCCCTCCTCGACCCAGCGGCAGACGTAGTTGAGCATCTTGTTGACGGGGCCCAGGCACTGGTACCCCGTGTTCTCGTCTTCCATGCACAGGAGGTCATAGGCCCGCTTGATGCCCGCACGGCGCAGGGGAGGGATACCACCGCACGACTCGTACACGCCCAGGAGCGCCATGAGGCCGTCGAGCGTCTTGGTATGGGGCGCAAAGACGTCAATCTCGGCGACGTTGTTGCGGTGCGAGGGCCAGTCAATGTCGTCGTATGGCTCCGTGTAGAGCTCGTTCCGCAGCGACTCAATCAGCGGGTCGACGGGTGCCGAGAAGCGCTTTGCCCAGAGGTAGCCCATGGGGATGTAGACCATCCTTGTATGGATCCACCAGCGCCAGGGATGGATGGGGAGCCAGTCGGGCAGACACCAGAGCTCCGGTGGGACCGGGTTGACGCCCTCCCAGTCGTACACGCCCAGGATGGAGAGCCAGAACTTGCCCCACGACGGCGCACCCGTCGCTCCACCGAGCTTGTGCAGTGTCGCCCTGGCCTTGACCATGGCCGGGTGCTCGGCATCGAGGCCCAGGATTCTCGCAGCGACATAGTTGCACGCCGTGCCAAAGACGGTCGAAGGCCCCGCGACATGGAGGCCCCAGCCGCCATCCTCATTTGCCTTGTTGAGGAGGTACCTCGTCATCTCGATCCGCCACGGCTCGGGGATGGGCGTCTGCGTGACGTACATGCCGATCAGGAGGCCCGGCATGAGAAAGAGGGGCCCGCCATACTCGGACGACCAGTGGCCGTCCTTTGCCTGGATGCGGCGGTAGAAGGCAAAGCCATTGCGGGCAGAGTCGAGCGGCGTCTTGGCCGTCGGAAGCGTTGGCGCATCGATGCCGAGGCCGAGCCAGTACCGATCCTCGTCCGTCTGGGGCCACGCGACGCAGGCCTGCTCCGAGTCGAGGTAGTGCCAGACATGGCGGCCGTGGTCGACCTCGAGGCGCCACCGCTTCAGGTCCGTCTTTTCCACCTGGTAGTGGCCGTGGCCGACAGCTTCCGTCGTGGGCTGCACATTTTTCGCAGGAGCCATGGCTTGGGATGGAAGTAAAGAGGGGAACGGGGATGAAAAGGGGAAAAGAAAAGGGCGAGCGAGCGAGCGAAGGAAGAAGCCAGGCCGACTGGTGGAAACGGCTACAGTAAGGCTCAATGTTCGTTCCCCCGGGTCTCGGGTCTCGGAAGAGTTCAAGTGCAGCAAGCACCGCGCTAAAAATTAAACAGGAGAAAACCACCTGAGGATTGCTTCTTGCTCGCTGGGGCAGTTCGCCGTCCTCTCCCTTCCTTCACTTGCCAAGTGGGGACGACAGGGAAAGGGCAAAAGCAATTATTCGATTCGATTTCCGACTCCAAGCACAGAGAACTTGGTGGGTAACAGGGGGAAGCAAAGCAAAAAGATAAAGAAAAAGGAAAGGAGCGTGAGGGAGTGCCAAGCACCAATGGCTAATGGCAACCATAAGAAAGAATGTTGATTAATGTGGGTTTGTGTGTGTATGTGTGTGTGCGGGTGCATGTGTGCTGTGTCCATCTTCACCGCCTGATGCTTCCGCTGCGACCGACGACCTCCATGCCGGCTGGCAGGGGGATCGCAGGGTTGTAGCCTGAAACGTTGTTGTTGGACGCACTCTTTTTCTTCGAGATCGACTTCTTCTTCTTAATCGAGCCCGTGGTCGAAGCGACAGACTCGGTGCCTGCCCCTTTCTTTGTCGTCGAGGCTTGCTTGCTGCTTCCCGTGGCCTTGCCCCAGGAGCGGCTGGCCATGTTGAATGCCTGTCGGGCACTGGCGTAGCTGTCGGCGCCCTGCTCGCCCGCACCGCCGCGGCCCTCGTCGTCGCTGCTGTCGCTGTCGTCGGCCGTCGAGCGGCCAATTCTCGTCGCCCACCCTTGCCTCTCCCGCGGTGTCGCTCCCAGATCGACGGGCGAGTAGTCCTTGGACTGGTGGATGCGCGGCGGCGCAGGAGGTGGGGGTGCAATCCTCGCAGAGAGGGTGGCGCCGGGTTGGTCAGTCGAGGAGTGGCGCTGATGTGAGGAGGAAGACTTTTTGCTGTTGTTGTTGAATGCCGAGTCAAACGAGTGGTCTTCGGTCGGTGTCTCGGGCGGCAGCTTGACGTCGGGCGCCATTCGCACGCTCTTTCTCCTGCTCACGCCGCTGCCAGCGTCGACAGAGGTGTCGCTCGTGGCGACATTGGCTGGCGCCGCAGACAGGTTGCTCGTGGCTGGGTTGGCGGTAGCTGCGCCAGTCGATGCCTGGGCTGCAGGAGCAGCAGAAGCAGCAGCAGTGGGAGCAGCGGTGGTGGCAGCCGCTCCACCGTCGTCGCTGTCGCTGCTGTCGTCGCCAAGGCCAGCACCGTAAGTCCTGCTCGTCTTTGTCGGCGTCGAAAGAGTCTGAGCAGCAGCAGCAGGAGCAGGTCTTGGCGGGGAGCCCACGCCACTGCCGAGCTTTGTGCTCCGGTCGACAAAGCGTCGCACGCCGTCGGTGTTAGTCGTCATCGCCGACGGCGCCTCGGCAGGGCCAGGGTTGTTGGTGAGGAACTGCTGGTAGGCCGACGCCTCTCCCGGCGTCATGAGCGCCGGCGAGACCCTGCCTGCTTCGGCGAGTGGCGTCCTGCGGCTCGGCGTAGTGGGCTTGCCCCTCTCGTCGAGGTCCAGCTTGAACGGCTCCGAGGCGGGCATATCGATGCGTGGGACGGGCACCGAGCTTCGCTTCAGCTGGCTGGGCGTCGCCGGTTTGTTGGAGTCGCTCTTGCCCAGCTCGACGTCTAGGTGGCCCGTGCCGTCAATGGTGGAATCGACACCGAGGCTGGCATGTGCAGGTGCACGTGCAGGTGCCGGTGCCGAAGCCAGTTGATTGATCGACAGGCTCGTGACAGGCGGAGGAGCCGAGATGGGCGGAGGCAAGACGGGCATCGGGCTGCTGCGTCCACCGCCAATGCTGCTCGAGATGCTCCCTGTACGCATGAGATCCGCGGCTCCCCCGGGCACCTTCAAGGCCGGCTTGAGTGGCGGGCTCGTCGCTGCCGACGGTTGCGGCACATGGCGAGGGTGACTGTCCTTTCCCTCGCGTTGCTGCTGGGGCTGCGGTGGCTGTGCCTGGGCTGGATGCGACGTCGGCGCTGCATTCGGCGCTTTTGCCGCAGGAGGAGCCGCCACCGCCGCTGCTGCTGCTGCTGCTCGGACGGGTGCCTCTTCAGGCATATAATCGGTGCTCTTGGTCACCCAGGAGCTCGTGTTGAATTTTGCCTCGAGGTCGCCGGGCGCGACTGCACTCATGCGCTTCGACGTCCTCCTTGCCACCTTGTCGCCAGCGGCTGCGCCAGATGCTCGCCCCTTGGATCCGTAGTTGAGACTCTCGCTGCGCCGCACACCCGCTGAGGCGTCGCCCGGCACAATGACCGAGGAGCGCTTGGGCTTGACCGAGGCGGCCGTCGAGCGGGTCCGCGTGGCCTGGGTGCCGATCTCGCTGCCTCCATCTTGCGATGGCGTCGGCTGCTTCTTCTTCTTCTTGGTCACGGTGCCCTTTTTCTTGAGAGACCCGGCCTCGGGCGCTCCTGGCGCAGGCGCGGCCGCCGTCGCCGAGCCGGCAAAGCCAGTGCCAATGACGGCACGCCTGGCCTGCTCCTCCTCTTCCTGCTTGGCCTTCCAGCTCTTGGGACCGGCGGTGACGCTTGCACTGCTCGGTATCCTGCGCAGGCTCGCACGCTTGCCGATGCCAGTCAGCCGGGAGCCAATGCCGACGTCAGAGTTGGTCTGGTCCGTCTGCCACAGAGGCCGTGGCTGGTTGACGTGGCGGACGAGGTCGCGCTGGTCCTCTTCGTCGCTGCTGTCCTGCTCGACGCTTCCAATCGGTCCGCGCAGGAGATTCTGCCTTCGCCGAGCCCGCTCGACGCCGTCGTCAGCCTGGTTGCTCTGTCGGACACCACGCAGATTGGCATCGGTCCGCGTCTCCCAGGCCGAGGACGACGTCTTGCGCGATCGACCGTCGCCCTCGGCTGCTGCTGCTGCTGCCGTGGCAGGCTCTCCCTTGATGTCCGTCTTGAAGAGCTTGCCCATGCGTCCAAAGAAGCCGCCGCTTCCGCTTCCCTTGCGCGCCCTTGCTCCATCGCGGTCCTGCCGGGCCGTGCCAGAGGCCGAGCTGTCAAATGAGTGGCCACCGGCAGCAGCATGGGCCACCGAAGGCCGCATTCGAAAGCTTCCTCCACCGCCGCCGCCGCCGCCACGGTGAGCGACGGTTCCTCGGCCGTTTGCCTCGTCGGCCGAAGAGTCAGACTCGTCCTGGTTGCCCGACGAGGCGCCAGGCATGTACAGCTTGGGTGCCAAAGGCACAGGGCCCAGATTGACGCCGTCGAGATTCAGCCGCGGCGCCATGGGGACCTCGGGCATCGGCACCACATTGACGTCGCGCGCAGGTGCCCTGGCTGCCTTGGCCTGCTTCGACGTGGGTGTTGTTCGAGAAAGCGGCCGCTCCTCCTTTGCCGGTGGCGTGGGTCCAGGCGTGACATTGTGCGTGGGGTCGTTCGGTGGCAGCTGCGTGTGCATGTCGGGCCGGTTGTTGCGTTCGCGCGACTGCTGCGGCTGTGCCTGCGGCTGCTCTGGCACAAACGTCGCCATGTCACGGCCGATCTGATGGGGAGGGGGTATGGGTGTCCCTGTTCCTCGTTGATGACCCTCATCCCAGTCGCTGTCCGAATCGTCGTCGTCCTCGTCGTCGTTGCCACGGCCGCGGTGCCGCTGGGAGGCCTCCTCGCCGATACGGGAGGGGTAAGGAGCATGCATACCTCCCAGTGGTCGCGAGTACTGCTGCTGGTTGACCTGCGACGCAGACTGCGAGGGCGTCACCGACGAGTTTTCAAACGCAGGATGGTTGACCGGAAGCCGGTCTGTCCGTGGTCCCGGTCAGCATTTTTCTCATACAATAGCATGTCCATGAACACACGCCACTCACCATCGCTGTCTGCCTCGTGTCCGTGAGCGTGCACGTGCTGCTGCTGTTGCTGCTGGTGCTGGTGCTGCTGCATGCTCTGCATCTGCCGCCACGTCGCATGGCTGTCCTCTGACGGCTGCTCCAGGTCGTATTGGTGATGCTGGCCCTCCTGGTCCTGGTCCTGGTCCTGGTACTGCTGGTATCCGTCTTCGGCGTCGTACGGGTGCGGGTAGTGCTGCCGGGCAGTCGAGTCAAACGAGTCGAGGAGGAGGATGGCCTCCTTGGCGGCATCCACCATGGCTGCACCAGCGTCGCCCATCGTCTTCATGCGCATCGTCAGGGCCTCCTTGAAGGTGCGCCGCTTGACACCCACGAGGGCTGCCTCCTCGCTGGCGAGGACCTCTTCGCAGGCGTGCAGCTCCCGCCGGGCCACGGCCACCTTTTCGGCGCGCTCCTCGGGCGACTTGGAGTGCGACGACGAGGCGGCCTTGTTGCTCGCCTTGATGAGCCGGCCCACGAGAATGTCGCGGTCGCGGACCACGCTCCGGATCGATGCCTCGCGGTCGGCGACGTCCTTGAGCGCAGCGCGGTAGCCCTCGATGGCCGCTACATGCGTGCTCTGCACGTCGGCACAGGCGGCCAGCAGCGAGCCGAGGCGCGCGCTGGCGTCGGAAATGTCGGGCGCCTCGCTCGTGCCCCAGGCCGAGAGCGCAGCGCTGGCGGCATGGCCAGACGAGACCGAGGCGTGGAGGTGCTGGATGTAGGTGCGCTCCGTCTTGATCAGGTTCGTCAGCAGACGGCTGTCCGACGCCGCGTGGGGCCGCGACACGAATCCTGCTGCGCCGCTCAACGCCATCCCTGTGAAGCTTCAACGCCAACGAAAGAGGGAGGTAAAGCAGGTGATGAAGAAGAGTAGTGGGATGAGGGATGACGAGAGGTAAAAATGCGCTAAATGACGGGGGCTGGCTGGCTAGTAGTGGTATGCCTTCTTTCTCTTCCTAAACCAACCCTGCCTACGGAGGGAAGGATGCGCGTGCCGTCAGAGTGGAGCTCGAACTCCAGGTTTGCGCGCGTACGGAGGCCCAGGCCGAGATTGCTTCCAACCAAGCACGGTTGTGTCATTGTTTATTCGAGTGGAATGTTCACCCTATTCTGTTTTAATTGATGCGATTCAATCTCTGCTGAGGGAAATGTATACATCCTGCCTCAATTTGGAGCAATAGAGGGTTAAAGAATCCACACCAATTCCACAACGCAACAACTTACTAAAACAACGTGGTGCAGTCTCGCGTGCGGCGTCTTTCTCGTTACGCGCTCTCCCACGGCGTTCTCGTTGCCACGGTCACCGTCACCCATGCCTAGATAGCCAGAGCACAATCAAGAGGCTGTGGGATTCTCACGCTGAGGATGAGGTGAGAGTGCTCCGCTATGAGCTCCGCGTGTCGCTCATTCCTCGCGCTTGGCGTATAAGTGCTTCTCACCGCTGCGATTGCGGGTCGACTCTCTCAGGTCAAACTCGCCCCGTACAAGAAAGCCAGTTTTGGGTGCAAGCTGCCTCCACGCATTCTTGTCGTCACATCTTCTTGCCCATATTAGAGTAACAAAGGATGGAAAGCAAAGAGAGAAAGAGCGTAGCTGATTGAGACATGAAAGAGGACTACTGATGGAATGGAGGCGGAAAGGGAGGCGGAAGGAAAGATTGGAGAAAAGGATGGTTCTCTAAGATGAAGTCAACAGGTTTCTTTTCCCAGGGATTTAAGTAAAGCTGAAACAACGCTTTCCGGTCCCGTGTCCAGCTGTCCTCGACGATTTTTTCGATGTCCTTGGTATTAGGCTGAGCCACGGTCCCTTTCAAGGGACCTCTCGCGAGTCTCTCCATATTTCTCACGTCTTCGATGCTCCAAGCTGTCCCTGATTTGTTTTGGTTTTTTTTTTCCAGTTTTGATCTCTGAGATCTTCGTCCTCACCCTATGCAAGAGTACCTCGTCTCCTACGCTTGAGTGTGTCCTTTTTTTCTTTTTAGTTGTGCAAATTCGACCCCCTTGGCGAGAGCGGATCCACTCGTAGAAGTTTTTACCGTCATTTCCCATCGCCTTTTCGTCTTCTTCAGAGAGATCAAACAGACCCTGATTTCTGGTCGCCACAACTTCTTCTGCTCGTAAGTAGTAGATCAGGGCTATTTTTACTTGCTTTCTTGTAGCGAATAGCTCTGGTGCCTTCTCCAGAGGCGTTGGGGCCCTACGCTTTTTTGGGCTCGCCCACCGCTTGCTCTTTACAGCAGGGCCGCAATCAGATGCCTCACCGCTCATGTTTTCTTCAGGCGAGCTCTTTTTGTGAGGTATGAGCGCAGGCTGTTCGCCTGCAGACGGCTGGTGATGGTGGGAGCCAGGCAAACCAAGGCCGGCATGCGTCTGAGATTGTTGCTCACCAATTTGAGGGTGCGACAATTTGGACAAGTCATAGTGCTCAAGATGTTGCTTGACCAGATCATCTAACTCAGGGCTGCTCTCGACATCCGGGTGGGCTTGCAAGCTCGATGATCCATGGGGTTCATGGACGTGAGACTGTTGCTGCAAATGGGAATTCTCAGAGGAGCCCTGACCATAAGGATGCAAATACGAGCCATGAGACCGAGAGGGGTCCTGAGTACTGGGCTGATGCTGACTATGTGAGTCTTGATACCCAGCTGAATCCTGGACGTAAGTTTGATGGTGCGAACCGGAAAATTCAGAAGTTCCCTGGCCATAAGGCTGATTGTGCATGTCATGAGACAAAGGGGCGACCTGGGCGTAATGCTGATGCTGCGAAGGGTGAAACTCAACCGGATCCCGGGCAAAGACATGGTGGTGCGACATACCCTGCTCCCCTTGAAGAGCGTCGCTTTGGTCGTGGAAAAGCCCATGCCCGTTATGCTGCGAAGCTGTCGCGGAGCTAGGCTGCGGAATGGGCGTGTGTCCACCGAGAAGGAGGTCTGTGTAAGAGAACTGTTCTCCGTCCGCTCGCTTGGACAGCCCTGGCTCCTCAACGATGTTGCGTGGCTGATGCCACGGACTTCCGACGAGAATTCCTTCCTCACGTGGGATAGGAATGAACCTGGCGGCTCCTATCGAAGCAAGGAGGCTCAAATATAGATGGAGAAGAATCATCGCGGTCGTCCGGAAAGGAGAACGGGCCGTTGACAATCGTAGAGAGGACTTGAGAGGAGTTGAGTGCCTGAGTTGAAAATTGGGAGAGCACAGAGAATGCAGGTAGAGACCTGGTAGGAAGCGACTCGTTCACAGAGGAGGCCCCTCTTTATATAGCTTCAACTATCGCCCAGACAACTGAAGATAAGGACGGTAGCGGCATGGGCTGAACAACCAGGGTAGCACCAGACATTAGCCACGATTTCAGACTATTGTCAGGGCCCTGGGGCGTCCGGCACGCCCCAGCGCCTGCTTTTGCCTGTTTACTCTCTCTCTGTTGGCTCGCCTAATTTACTAGGCCCTGTTTCTCGGGTCGTTTTCGCTGTGCCGGACAACCGAGGCAAGCAAATCGAGCGCAGCACAGCGCAGCAGGCTCCGGCGCGCCCTCAAACAGGTCCTGAGGCACGCTCAGGGACGGAACCCAGAGAGCGACGCCTGCTCTATGTAACAAGCCTCCTTTCCTGTACTCTCTCTTCTCTTCTCGACGCAGAGTACATTCTGATAGCCCCTGTTCGCTCAGGTCACAGCTTCCTCCTCACACTATTGAGCCTCGACCGAGAAAGCCGAAGAAGAACCGAGATCGAAGCAACGGCTGCCTCGGGCGACCTAGACGTGTTGTTGTCTCTGCATTTGTCATCTTCAATATTAGTGCTGTAATTATTGCTTGTCCTGTTGCTGTTTCCACTATTGCTGCTGCTGCTGCTGCTGTTGCTGTCGGTGACTGTTGCGGGCGCTTTCGTTGCTAGCGCTGTAGCCCTGCAACAGAACCTGGCATCGGGCACATGCCGCCTCCAAGCACTCTCTCCGCCTCCAAGCACTACAATCGTTTTCTTGCCCATATTAAAAAAGATAGAAAGCAATGAGAGAAAGAGCATAGCTGGTTGAGACATGAAAGAAGACTACTAATGGAATGGAGGGGGAAGGGAAGGCGGAAGCAAAGATTGGAGAAAAGGATAGTTTCGGAGGAGGAAATCAACAGGGTTTTCTCCCCAGGGATTTTGGTAAAGCTTAGGCAACGCTTTCTGTTCCCCTTCCCAGCAGTCCTTGACAGTTTGTTCGATTTCCTCGAAACTACGCGTGAGCGAGGTTTTTTTCAAAGGACCTCTCGCGAGTCTCTCCAGATTTCTCACGTCTTCGATGCTCCAATTCACCCCTGATCTATTTGTCCTCTCTCCATGTTTGATGCCGGAAATCTTCGACCTCATACTGTGGAAGAGTGACGAGTGTTCTACGCTCAAGTGTGCCTCTTCTGTCTGTTGAATGTTGCTGACCCGACCCCCGCGGCAATCGCAGATCTTCTGGTAGAAGAGTTCACCGTCATGTCCCATCGCCTTTTTGTCTTCTTCAGAGAGATTAAGCAGACCCTCATATCCGGTCGCCACAACGTCTTGTGCACGCAGGTAGTAGATCAGGGCTATTTTCACTTGCTTTCTCGTAGCGGAAGGCCCCGGTTTCTTTGGCTTTGCGACCTTCCAGTTCGTCTTCCGATCGCTCTTTACGTCAGGGTCAGATGTCTCACCGCTCACATGTCCTTCAGATGGGCTCTTTTCGTCAGATCTGAATGCAACGTGTTCGCCTGCAGACGGCGGGTGACGGTGGGAGCCAGGCAAATCGAGGCCGGCATGCGTCTGAGATTGTTGCTCATCAATTTGAGGGTGCGACATTCTGGTCATCCAGTAGTGCGCTAGATGTTGCTTGACCAGGTCATCTAACTCAGGGCTGCCCTCGAAATACAGGTAGGCTTGCTCGCTGTAAGTTCCATGGGGTCCATGACCGTGAGACGGATGCTGAAAATGGGAATTTTTAGAGGAGCCCGGGCCATAAGGATCCAAAAACGAGCCGTGAGACGAAGAGGGGCCTTGCGTGTCGAGCTGATGCTGAACGCTATTGTCGTAAAACCTGGGTGGCTCCTGGACGTGGGACGGATGTTGCAGATGGAGATCCTCAGAGGAACGCTGACCGTAAGAGAAAAAGTGCGTGCCGTGAGACCAAGAGGTGCCTTGCGTGTTGGGCCGATGGTGAAAGCTATTGTCGTAAACCTGAGGTGGATTCTGGACGTGAGACGGATGTTGCAAATGGGAATATTCAGAGGTCCTCTGATCATAAGGATACCAAGGCGAGCCGCGAGACCAAGAGGGGTCCAGAGTACTGGACGGATGTTGATAGTGTGAGTCGTGAGACCCAGCTAGATCCTGGATGTAAGATTGATTGTGCAAACGGTAGATCTCATCAGTTCCCTCGCCATAAGGTTCATTAAACGCATTGTGAGACCGAGGGACGACCTGAGAGTAACGCTGATGGTGCGAAGTGTGGAATCGAACCGGACCTTGGGCATTGAAGTGGTGGTGCGATATGCCCTGGTTCCCTTGGAATGCGTCGCTTTCGTCGTGGAAGAGCCCATGCCCGTGATATTGCGAAGCTGGTGCGAAGCTGGGCTGAGGAATGGACGCGGCTTGATCGAGAAGATATTTCATGTAGGATAGTTCTTCGCCGTCCGCTCGTTTGAAAAGCGCTGGCTCTTCGACGATGTTGCGCGGTTGATGCCACTGGGTGTCGACGAGAGTTCCATCATCATGTGTAACAGGAATGGCCCTGGCGGCTCCTATCGAAGCAAGGAGAGCCAAATACAGCAGGAGAAGAATCATCGTAGTCGTGCGTAAAGGAGAATGGGCTGTCTATAATCGTGGAGAGGAGACTAGTGCCTGGGTTGAACACTGGGAGAGCACGGAGAATGCAGGTAGAGGCGTGACAGGAAGCGACTCGTTAACAGAGAATGCCCCTCTTTATAAAGCTTCAACTACCTCCCAGCCAATTGCAGTTAAGGATGATAGCGGCATGGGCTAAATAGCCAGAGTAGCACTAGGTTTTAGCCACGATATTACGCTATTGTCTGAGGCCCTGTTTACTCCCTCTTCTCGCTCACCATGTTTGCCAGGCGCTGTTTTTTGGGCCTTCTTCGCCGTGCCGGACGTCCGAATCACGCAATCGAGCACTGCACAGGGCAGCAGGCTCCGACGCGCCCTCAAGCGGGTACTGAGGCACGCCCAGGGGCGAGAAACAGAGAGTGACGCCTGCCTTATGTACCAATCTCCTTTTCTTGTGCTCTCTCTCCTCTGCTTGTCTTTGAACACATTCTGATAGCCCCTATTCGCTCAGGTCACAGCTTCCTCACACTGTTCAGCCTCGACCGAAAAAACCCGAAGAAGAACCGAGGTGGCAGCGATGATTGCCCCGGGCGACCAATCGTGTTGCTGTCTCTGCACTTAACATCTTCATCACTACTAGTGCTGTGACTATTGCTTGTCCTGTTGCTGTTTCCACTATTGCTGCTGCTTATGTTGCTGCTGTTGCTGTTGTTGACTGTTGCTGGTGCTTTCATTGCTAGCGCTGTAGCCCTGCAACATAAAATGGCATCGGGCACATGCCGTCTCTAAGCACTCTTTGATCAAATTTCTGAAACAGGATAGAGAGAAAGAGTACAGCTGATCATCAATTGAAAGGACGCTACTGCTGGTGTGGTTGTGAGGAGTAAAGCGGACGTGCAGGAATGGGAGAAGGATGGTCGAGCGAAAAGAGGAGCCTGTCTATGTAGTCGATGGGGTCCAAAGCCCAAGGATTTTGGTCGAGCTTGTGCAACATATGCCTGTCAATGCTCCAGCAATATTCGATGATTTCTTTGATCTCGTCGTAACCAGTTTCAAGACACTGAACGTCCATGCGGCTACGGAGCTCATCGAGCGTTTTCACGTCTTTGATGGTCCAAGATGATCCAAAACAACCTCCCCTTTTTATCCTGGAAATCTTTTGCTGCATATCAAAAAAGAGCGCGCTCTTACCTTTTGAACTTATTCGAGTCAAATCGTCCGCTGTATTCTTGTTCTCGTTCTTCCGGAGTCTGTGTTCACGTATCCTCCTGTATTCCCTAATTTGCCGGTACAAGGCTTTCTGCGGCTTTGTCATCATCTCCGACTCCTCTTGAGAGGGTCTAACAAGTTCAACACTGTTGGTCTGCGTCGCACGTCGCTCATGTTCATAGTATATCCGCGCTGCTCTCAGGTCTTCTCTCGTGGTGATGACATCTGGAAAAATTGGTTTGAGGGGGAGACGCTTCTCTGGTCTTGTCGGACCCCTCCCTTTCCTCTTCTTTACTACTTTGTCACTAGTAGCTCTGTCCTGGTTGCTGTCAAGTGTCTCATCGCGCTCGCCTGCATACATTTAGTGGTCAGGCAACCCAATGGTTTCGAGTGAATAGTATCTTTACTCACCAGTCTGAGGTTCCGACGTGTCGGACGTCCCATGGCGTGTATATGGTTGGATGAACAGGCCATCAGGTACAGAGGTGCCTTGAGCAAATGGGTACCTTTGCGAGCTGTAAAATTCAGAGAGAGCCTGGATGTGAGACTGATGGTGCGGATGGCCGATTCGCAGGGTGCCCTGGCCGTAAGGATGCAAATACGAGTCGTAATCCCATGGCATTCGCTGAGCGACGGGCTGGTTGCTCGTGCGGTGAGATGCAGAAGAAGACTGGCCGTAAGAGTGATGGTGCGGATGGCCGATTGCAAAGGCGCCCTGGCCGTAACGATTCAAGTTCGAGCCGTGATCCCCTGAGACTCCTTGAGCGACAGGTTGATTGCTCGTGCGGTGAGATGCAGATGAAGACTGGCCGTGAGACTCATGATGCGGATGGCCAGTTTCAGAGGTGCCCTGGCCATGAAGTTGATTGTACAGGTCATGATACCGAGAGACAACATTGGCCAAAGGGTGATGATGCGATGCATGGACCTCAAAGGGGTCCTGCACGTAAGCATGATTGTGCGAAATGCTCTGTGTCGCTTGCTGGTGTGTCCGCTGGTGTGTCCCTTGACGAGCATGACGTTCGTCAGGAAGAACCGTCTGCGTGTAAGGTTGCGAAGCTAACACAGAGCTGAGTTGCGGGACGGGCGAGTCTTCCAGGAGTCGGAGGTAGTTGAAATCTTCACTGTCCCCTCGTTTGACTAGCGTTGGCTCCTTCGCGAGGCTGCGCAAATGCTGCCAGTGGGGTTCGCCGATAACATCGACTTCGTGTGAGACAGGAATGACCCTGGCGGCGCCTATCGAAGCGAGGAGATTCAAACATAGAAGGAGAAGAATCATCATGGCTGTCCGTAAAGAAAAAGTGGGCCGTCGATGGTCGTGGAGAGAAGTTAACTGCCGGAGTTGACAACTTGGGAGCAGAGAATAGGTAAGCATGGACAATACAGGTAGAGTCCTGCTAGGAAGCGACTTGTGAGAATGAGGCCCTTCCCTATATGTCTTCAGTTGTTGCCCTGCAATTGATCAGAAGGACGGCGACGAATGGGCTGAATAGCCAGAGTAGCAGGTCATAGCCCCCTGACTTCATGCTTTTCAGCCTCATCCCAAGAAACCGAAGAAAGCCGAGATCGCAGCCAGCATTGACCCGGGCAACCTGTTCTTGCACTTATTGTCTTTGCAATCGTCACTGTAAACATACCTCCTTTCGCAAATGCTTGTCCTGTCGCTGTTGCTGGCAATGTCGTTGTTGGCGCTGTCGCCCCGCCCAAAAAAGGAATAGGCTTTGGGCACATGCCGTCTCTACGCACACTCACTCTTTGATCAAATCTTTCTAATTCAAGGAAGAAAGGAATGAGAGAAAAAGTATAGCTGACCAACAATTGAAAGGACGCTAATGCTGGGGTGGGTGTAAGGAGGAAGGCGGAGGCACGGGGTTGGGAGAAGGATGGTCAAGCGATGAAAGGAGTTCGTCTATGTAGCTGATGGGGTCCTTTCCCCAGGGATTAAGGTCGAGCATGCTCAATGCTTCTCTGTCTATGCTCCAGCAGCGCTCGATGATTGGTTTGATCTCCTCATAACCTTTTTGAAGAGTATCAAAGTTTTCACAAATACGGCGGAACTCGTCCATTTTTTTCATCTCTTTGATGGTCCAAGTTGACCCAAGATTTTTCCCAGTTCTTATCCTGGAAACCTTATTCAGCAAATTTGTCATGGGCTTGTACCTACCCTTGGAATCGAAGTTTCCAAAAGTCGATCTGTCCGCTACATCTTCGTCCTTGTCTTCCCCAAGCTTACGTTCAAGGTTCTTCCTGGAGGCGACAATTTCAAAGTACAGTGGGGGGACAAAAGTCGTACGCGAGCTGATTTTTCGCGTTTCCAACTTCCCGCCAAAACATAGGGAAAATGCGGAATTGCTGGTCCTCACAGCCCTCAGTCATGACTACCCTTTAAAATAATGCTAAAAGTGATTTGAAACCTGGAAGAGCTGCTCTGTGCGTACGGCTACCACATAGCTAGAGCACAAAGAGTGGTCACGCCAATTGATTGCGTAGAGGGTGAAAAAGCAAGCCCATTTTCAAAAAAGTCGAAATTTACTAGTAAAATCGACCTTTTTTGGGAGGGCACCTCTAAGAGGTCTGTCAGCTCCATCACCACCCGTGAGAAACGCTTGGCTCTTGGCTATGTGATGGCCCTACACATGAAGCAGGTTTCTTGCTTCTCAAAACCACTCTAGATTGCTTTTAGAAGGTAGTCATGACTGGGGTCCGTGAGGGGCAGCATTCTTGATTTTTCCTATGTTTTGGCGGGGCGATGAGATGAGAAAAACGCGCTCACGCACGACCTTTGTCCCCCCACTGTACAAGACTTTTTCCGGTCTTGTCATATTCTCGAATTCTTCTCGAGAGGCTTTCGTCGCACTTTGCTTGTGTTCATAGTACATCCGAGCTACTCTCAGATCCTCTCTTGTAGTGATGACCTCTGGATATCTTGGTGTTGGGGGTGAACGATTCTCTGCTTTTGTCGGACCCTTCCTTCCCCTCTTTCTCTTCTTGACTACGATGTCATCAGTACATCTGTCCTGGTTGCTGTTAATTGCCTCATCGCGCTCGCCTGCATACATTCAGTGATCGGTCAAACCAATGGCTTCGTATGGACAGAATCTTTGCTCACCAAGCTGAGGCTGCGACGTTCCGGACGTCTCGTAGCGCGCATACGTATCATTCAGCAGGTCATTAGATCCAGAGGCACCCTGGGCAAGGGGGTGTCCTTGCAAGCTGTGGAATTCAGAGGGAGCCTGGACGTCAGACTGATGGTACGGATGGCCGATTCGAAGGGTGCCCTGGCCGTGAGGATGCAAGTACGAGCCGTGGCCCCATGAGAATCCCTGAGCGCCGGGCTGATTGCTCGTGTGGTGAGATCCGGAGAAAGACTGGCCGTGAGGCTGATGGTGTAAACTGAAAAGGCCAGAAAAAGCCTGGCCATAAAATGGATTGTACAGGCCGTGAGACCGAGAGCCGACATTGGCCGAAGGCTGGTGATGCGAGGCATGGACCTCGGAGGGATTCTGGGTGTAAATATGATTGTGTGATATACCCTGCGTTGCTTGCTGGTGTGCCTGCTGGTGTATACCTTGATGAGCTTGACGTTCGTCGAGGTAAAGCGACTGCGTGTTAGGGCGCGAAGCTAATGCGGAGCCGAGCTGCGGGACAGGTGTGTCTTCCAGGAGTCGGAGGTAGTCGAGATCTTCACTGTCCCCTCGTTTGGCCAGCGCTGGCTCCTCCTCGAGGCTGCGCGAATGCTGCCATTGGATGTCGCTGGCTAGTCTACTCTCATGCGGTAGAGGAATAACGCTGGCTCCTATCGAAGCCAGAAGATTCAGATACAGAAGGGGAAGAATCATCGTCGCCGTCCGTGAAAGAGGACGGGCCCTCAATAATCGTGGAGAGAAGGTGACCGGCTGAGTTGACAGACTGGGAAGTAGAGAACAGGGCGAACACGGAAATTGACAAGAGGGTCCTGTTAGGAAGTGGCTTGTGAGAATGAGGCACCGCCCTGTATAGCTTCAATTGTTGCCTACATTTAGATATAAGGACGATGAAACAATGGGCTGAATAGCCAGAGTAGCAGTTGAAAAGTCATAGCCCCGACTTCATGCTACTCAGACTCGTCCCGAGGAACCGAAGCAAGCCGAGATCGCAGCGAGCATTGCCCCGGGCAACCTGTTCTTGCAATTGTTGTCTTTGCAATCGTCATCTTAAATTTCTCTCCTACCGTAGTTGCTTGCCCTGCTGCTGTTGCTCTTCTTGTTGTTGTCGATGCTGTCATTGTTGCTGGCGCTGTCGTTGCTGGCGCTGGCGCCCCGCCCAAAAGAAGGAACAGGCTTTGGGCACATGCCGTCTCTACGCACTCTTTGATCACATTTCTTTGACTCGAGAAAGACAAGATAAAAGGATAGAGAAAAAAAGTATTGCTGATTGAGATTTGAAAAGAACCTACTGGTGAACTGGGTGCGGGGAGGAAGGGGGAGCAACAAAGCGAGGGGGTGGGTTGCGCGATAGGAGCTCGTGTATGTAGCTGATGGGGTCCACTTTCCAGGGATGTTGGTCGAGCTTGCTCAGCATCTTTCTGTCAATGTCCCAGCAGTGCTCGATGAATGGTCTGATCTCGTTGTAATTTTTCTCGATACCTTGAAAAAGAGGATGGCCATCGAGCTCTTCAAGTTTTTTCATGTCTTGGGATGTCCAAGTTGACCCAAACGCACGCCCTGATCTTATACTGGAAATCTTCGTCCGCAGATTATACACGATCCTCATGTCCTCGGCCTCCGAATTCTCTGGAGTCAAGCTGTCCGCTGCCTCTTCGTTTTCGGCATCCCGAGTCTGTGAAGCAGCCTCGCGTTTGGCATGAATGTGCTCGTACAGGAGGACATCCGCAAGTGGCATCTCACTCTGCTCTTCTTTAGAAAGTGGAATGCGCTTAGCATCGTTGATCGTCGTCGCAAGTCGCTCGCGTTCGTAGTACATCAGGGCTACTGACAGATCCTCTCTCGTGTTGACTTTCTCTGGATATATTGGATTTGGAGGTTTTCGTTTCTCTGGTCTTGTCGGACCCCTTCCTCTCCTCTTCTTTACTACTTTGTCACTAGTAGCTCTGTCCTGGTTGCTGTCAAGTGTCTCATCGCGCTCGCCTGCATGCATTTAGTGATCAGGTAAACCAATGGCGTCGTATGGACAGTATCTTTGCTCACTTAGCTGAGATTGCGACGTTCCATACGTCCCACGGCGTGCTCGAGATTGATTGAGCCGGTCGATGAAGGAGGCGCCCTGGGTAAATGGGTGGCCTTGCAAGCCATAAACTTCAGATGGAGCCTGGACGTGAGACTGATGGTGCGGATGGCCGATTCGCAGGGTGCCATGGCCGTAAGGATGCAAATACGAGCCGTAATCCCATGGGATTCCCTGGGAGCTGGGCTGGTTGTTCACGTGGTGAGACCCAGAAGAAGACTGGCCGTGAGACTGATGGTACGAATCGTAATCATTAGGAAAAGCCTGGCCATAACGTTGATTGTACAGGTCGTGAGACCGAGAGGCCATGTTGGCCAAGGGCTGATCGTGCGAGGCGTGGTACTGGAAGGGGCCGTGTGAGTAAGCATGGTTGTGCGACATACCCTGCGCCGCTTGCTTATGTGTCTGCTGGTGTGTCCCTTGAGAAGGATGAGTATCGTCAGGGGGAAGCAAATGTCTGTAAGATCGTGAAGCCAATCCATGGCTGGGCTGGGGATCGGGAGTGGGTCCCAGGAGAAGTTCGAGGTAGGAGAAGGGCTTCTCGTCCGTTCGTTTGGCCAGCGCTGGCTCGTCCGTGAGGCTGCGTGACTGCGACTGGATTTCGCTAGTATGTCCAGTCTCATACGGGAGAAGAGCAGCCCTGGTAGCTCCTATCGAAGCCAGGAGGGTCAAATATAGAACGGGAAGGATCATCACCGTCGTCGTCCGCAAAAGAGAATGGGCGGTCGTCAAACGTGGAGAGAAGATGATTGTCTGACTTGACAGACTGTGGAGGCGAGGACTGGACGCTGGGCGAGCACGGACAACGCAGGTAGAGTCCTGCCAGAAAGCGACATGTGTGCAGAAAAAGTCCCTCTTTATATAGCTTCAACTGTCACCCTGTCAACCGAAGATAAGGGCGGCAACGGCCGAATAAACGAACAGCAGTCTGTAAATCATGGCCCCGACTTTATGCGATTCAGCCTTGAGCGATAGCCTCGACCGATGAAGCCGAAGAAGGGCCGAACTCGAAGCGATGTTTGCCCTGGACGACCCGTTGTTGTTGTTGTTGTTGTTGTTGTTGTTGTTGTTGTTGACTCTGTAATCTGTCTTGTAAACATTGCTCCTACTGTTATTGCTTGTCCTGTTCCTATTGCCACCATTGCTTCTGTTGTCGATGCTATTATTGTTGCTTGCGCGGTCGCTGATGTTCCTGTCGCCTTGCAAGAAAAGCTGGCTGTGTCTACATGCCGCATGCACTCTTGATTTTGTCACACATTTCCTAGACTCGAGGAAGAATGGATGGGAAGAAAAGATAGAGTACAGCTGATTGAGACATGAAAGGACTCTAATGGTAGAGTGGATCGCGGAAGAAAGGGGATGTATAGACTCAAGGGGAGAGACGGTCGAGAGAAAGAATTAGGTCTTGGATGAAGTCGATAGGGTCCCGCTTCCAGGGGTTCTCGTAAAGCTTAAGCAACGCTTGTCGTGCCAAATGCCATGAACACCAGACGATTTCGTTAATTTCAGAGATGTTTCTATCAAGCGTAATAATTTTCTTTGTACCACGGCGAAGTTCCTCAACCCTCCTCAGGTCTTTTATGCCCCAAGTTGTCCCCGAAGCATGTCCATTCTTGATTTTGGACACCTTTGCCCTCAAGGACTGGAGTTCTCCGGTGTCCTTTTCTTCGGAGTGTTCTGCATCTCCTGTCTTTGATGGCAACACTGCAGCAATTCCGCCCCTGCTTTCCACTAATTGCGAGTATAACTTCCGTCCGTCATCCCCAAACGCATCGTTCTCCTTTTTGGATAGAGCGAATACCTCCTGATTGTGGGTCGCTACAAATTCTTGAACGCGTTGGTAGTAAATCAGAGCTACTGACAGATCTTTTCTCGTAAATTTTTTGTCTGGGTATCCTGGCCCTGGTGCTTCAGAATGCATCCATCCAGTTGATGTCTGTTTGTCCGCCCTGCTTTGGTTGTGATTTAATGCCTTTCCGCTTATCTCGCCTACGATTTGGTCTTTTCTGTGAGGTCCGAACGCAGCGTCATCGCCCGTAGACGGCTGGTAATGTTGGGAGCCGGATAGACTAAAGGTTCCATGTCCTTGAAGATACTGCTCACTGATTTGAGTCTGCGACATCGCGTGTGTCTCAGGGATGTGCACCAGATCATGGTTGGGCCATGCATAGCCCGAAGATGCGCCCTGGACATATGGAGAGCCTTGAAAGCCAGTGATTCCAGAAGGCCCCTGGTGAGACTGACGACGCAATATGTCATATCCAGAGGTGTCCTGACCGTAAGGATGAAAAACCGAGCTGTGAGATTGATGGTGCAAGCCGTAGCATTCGTAGGTACCCTCGCCACAGGGTTGTTTGTGCGGGTTGCGAGAAGAAGAACTACCCTGGGCGAAAGACTGATCGTGCGAGGCGTGGGACTGAAAGGGACCATGCGTGTAAGCACGGTTGTGCGACATGCCTTGAGCCGCTTGCTGATGTGTTCGCTGGTGTGTCCCTCGACGAGCATAACTTACTTCGGCAGGGAGCGAATGCGTGTGAGGTTGCGAAGCTAATGCAGAGCTGAGCTGTGGGAATGGCGTGTCTTCTAGAAGTTGAAGGTAATCGAAATCTTCACTGTCCGCTCGCTTGGCCAGCGCTGGCTCCCCCGCGAGGCTGCGCGACTGCTGCCACTGGATGTCGCTGGCAAGTCTAGTCTCGTGCGGGAAATGGAGTACCCTGGCGGCTCCTGTCGAAGTCAGAAGGGTCAGACATAGAATGGGAAGAACTATCGTCATCGACCTTAAAGGAGAAAAGGCTGTCGACAAGCGTGGAGAGGAGGTGACTAGGTGGGCTGACAGAATGGGGAATCGAGAAATGGGCGAGTACGAACAATGCAAACAGAGCACGGCTGGAAAGAGACTTGTGTGAAGAGGTCCCTCCGTATGTAGCTTCAATTGTTGCCATGCAAACTGAAAATGAAGACGGTGACGCGATGGGGCTGAATGGCCAGAGTAGCAGCTGGTAGATTATGGCCACGACTTTACGCATTTCAGTCGACCGAAGGAATCGAAGAAGGACCGAGATCGCAGCGATGTTAGCCCCGGGCGACATGGGCTTGTTTGTCTAAGCAACTTTCATCGTGAAAAGTGCTGCTATTGTTAACATCCGTCCTGTTGTTGTTGCCACTATTATTAGTGCTGTTGTTGCTGTTGTTGTTATCATGAGCATCGTTGCTGTTATTGCTGTGATTGCTGTTGGCGTCGTTGACACCATTGGCGCTGTTGCTTTTGATCGCCCGGCCGCCTCACCGCGCCCCTTATCTTTTTTACGATTTTTTCGCGCAGTACGAGCGCAGTTTGATCGAGCAGGTTACAAAAGTCGAAAGTGCCCTGGGTATGAGACACGAGCCTCCAGGTCAAGGCAGAATTGGAGCGTTGCATAATGTGCTCCTCGTGTCGCTAATTGAGTACAAGATTCTTCTCACCGGCACAGATTCATCGCGACGTCAGTGCGCTTCGTGACGTCTTTGCTCCGACAACTTTCAACTTTGGGCTCATGCTGTCCCTTTCCCTGATGCTGTGAACACATACTTGCTTTAAACAGAGAAAGACATGGAAAAGGGGACTTATGGACTGAATGATCAAAGAGATCACTGTGCAGAGGGAGCGTGAGAGGATTGGTCGGGGAGTGAAAGGAGTTGGCTGATGTACTTGATAGCACTCCAATCCCAGGGATTTTGGTCGAGCCTATCCAACACCTTTGGATCCTGTGCCCAGCAGCGCTTGATGTATGGCTTGATGTTCCTGAGCTTGTGCACCAGCAAGGAGACGTTCATCCCACGGCGGCGGATATATTCTAACTTTTGCTCTTCTTCGATGCTCCAAGTTGACCCAAGCAACATTCCCATCTTAATCTTGTTTATTTTTTTCCTCAAACTCTCAAAAATGTCCCAGTCAGTTTTGAACGAAGCACCTTTCGGGGCACCTGTAGAGTCGTCAGCTGCCTTTCATGTCCTTCTAGTCTAGTCTAAAGCATATCTACCTTGTGGTTTGTCTTTATACCGGTTACGGTATATCCTTTGGTACAATTTCTTCATCTTTTTAGACAATACCGCCGCCTCTTCGGGTAAGAGGAGAAGGTCGTTTTTATTGTTCGTCTCCTTGAACGTTTGCTCGTGTCGGTAGAAGGTCATAGCTACTTCCAGCTGTTCTCTCGTGGTGACCTTTTCCGGGAATTTCGGCTGTGCAACTTTACGATCAGACGGACCTTGAGATGCTTTCCACTTAGACCGACTGCTTTGGTCGCGCTCGGACGCCTCACTGCGCTGCTTTCCACTGCGCTGCTTTCCACTGCGCTGCTTTCTTTTTCTTTTAGATTTGATCTTCTCGTCGCCAGACCCAGTCGAATCATGGTCGTGAGACAGATGTTGCGGACTGTGAGTCTCAGGGAAATCCTGACCATGAGGTTGAATATGCGAATCGTGAGACCAATAGTCGCTCTGGGTGTAAAAATCAGAGGGATCCTGTGCGTAGAAATCTGAGGGATATTGGGCGTAAGACTGGTAGTGCGACATGTCCCACGCCGCTGGCAGGTATGTCTCGTGAGAATTGTGACTCTCGTCGGGGAGAATCCCATGCGAGCGAGATTGCGAAGCTGTCCCGGAGCTGGGCTGCGCATTGGGTATGTCATTTTGATGGTCAAAGAAGCCGCCAAAACTTTCAAAGGGGTCAAAATTATCATGGCCACGATTCATCCTTTTGAACAGTACCGACTGCTGGGCAGTTCCGCTAAGGTCCTGCCACTGCCTCGTGTTGGTGGAAACGTCCTCATTGTGAGGAGGAACAACTGTAGCTGCTCCAAAGGAAGTCAGAACGGCCAGGCACAGGACGAGTGAAATCATAGTCGTCGAGCGTAAATCGGGCTGTTGTGAACCGGGAAACTATTTGACTGGGTGACGGACTGCCGGGCCAACGGAAGATGGGAAAGCACAGGCGATACAGGTGGGATCCTACCACGATGCGAGTTCGGTGAAGAGAACCCCTCCGTATGGCTTCACAAGTTGCTCTCGAGCGAAGATACGGACGAAGCCAGGTGGGCTAAATAGCCAGAGAAGCCCTGATTGAATTATGGATGTGAAATTTGGCTTTCTAACGAAGGCACGACATGCAGCAAGCGTCGCCCCTAACGACCCGGCCCGACCATGTGATTGTCATAGATGTCTCGTCCCATCCGTGTTGATGTTGATGTTGATGTTGATGTTGATGTTATTGACGATGTCAATTCGCTGTCCTGTCTTTCGCAAAGCCGAGGCGCTCATGTTGTCATCTAATTGACCCGAACTAATGTCATGGCCCCGGGACGTGGAGGGCGCCCCGAGGCCCTGTGTACTGTACAGTACTCCCTCTTACTCGCCGCCCTTTGTTTATTTCTCACGCACATGTCTAATTTGCTCCTCCTTGTTTACGACGGACTCTTTTTCAGGACTATTTGCCGTGTCGGATATCCGCGAGCACGCCATTGCCTGCTGCTCAGCCTAGTTGGCACAGAGTGCCGCGGCAAGCCCTCCAGCAGGCGCTCAAGTGCGCCCTCAAGCACGACGTCCAGAGACAAGCTAGGCGTCGCAGCGCGACGCCTGCCTCGATATACGAGCCTTTCTCCCCCGTACTTTCCGTCTTCTCTCCTTCGCAGATTACATTCTGATAAACCTTGTTAACTCAGGTGTCCACCTTCTTACAATCTATTGGTCTGAGCGCGCCTACTCCTTTCCCTTGTAATGCTCCTTTTTGTCTCTTAGCCGATTACATCTTTTGCTCTTTGACATGTGAACGAAAGGGAGCCTCGACTGCTTCTTCGTCGCCGCAGCACGCGGGAACCGGAGCCACCTAAGTATTTGGGGGCAGTCTGGGCAAGCTATATCGTCCACTGGTCGAGGTCTTCGCTGACGCTCGACCTCCCTGAGGATAGTTGTCAGCCCGGTCAATGTACTTCCTCAACTCCGTCAAGGATTGCAGGCACCCTGAGCATCCTGAGCCTATAGTTGATTTTTTTAGAGAAAAAGATTAGGAGAGAAGGAAGTTATCAACTGAACAATCAGAAAGATCACCGCTGAGAGGGAGTGTGAGAGGATTGGCCGTGGGGTGGAAGAAGCTCGCGAATGTAATTGAGAGGATGTTTGCCCCAGGGGTTTTGGTCGAGTTTCGCCAACGCCTTTGGATCCTCTGCCCAACAGCGCTCGACAAACGGCATGATCGCCTTGAGGCGGAGGTCCACCCGGGAACCATCAAGCCCACGGCCCCAAATGCGTTCAAAATTATTCGCATCTTCGATGTTCCAATTTGATCCCATTAATCTTCCCGTTTTGATCTCGGAAATCTTCCTCCTCAGTTTGGCCCAGATCTCCTTGTCATTTAGTTCCGGAGCAGCTTTTTGGGCTTCGCTCGAGTCGTCAGCTGCCTTTCTATCCTTTTCCATCGAAAGAACACTTACGTCGGGGGTACCTAGGATACCTGGCCTGGAGAATGTCGTCGTAAATCTCGACTTCTTTTTTTGTCATCTTCTCCTTTGCTTCGGGTGAGAGTTTCAAATATCCGGGATTCCTCGTCACCAAGGCTATTTGCTCATTTTCATAGAAGGTCAAAGCTACTTCAAGCTCCTTCGTCGTGGTCTTGATCTTTGGGAATATTGGCCGTGCGTCTGTACAATAAGGCGCACTTTGGAATGCCTCCTCGTTAGATGGACTGCTTTGGGCGGCCTGAGACGCCTCACTGCGCCGCTTTCCTTTAGAATGCCTCTTTTCGTCTTGAGAGCCAGATGAATTTTGGTCTTGAAACTGATGATGCGAATTGTGAAATTCAGAGAAGCCCTGGCCATGAGGTTGAGTGTACGGATCGTGAGAAAAATAGGCGCCCTGGGCGTAGATATTCGAGAGATCGTGGGAGTAGGGATGGTAGTGCGACATGTCCCACGTTGCTTGCTGGTGTGTACTGTGAGAAGCATGACTCTCATCGACAAGAAGCCCATACGTGTGAGCTTGCGAAGCTGTTTCGGAGCTGGGTTGCGCATTTGGCTTGTCGGTATGTTCGTTGAAAAAGTCGCTGAATTCTTCAAAGGGGTCAAAGTTGCCATGGCCATAATTCATCCTTTTGGACAGTCCCGACCATTGGGCGGTTCCGCTTAGGTGCTGCCATTGGCTCGCGTCGGTGGAAACGTCCTGATTGTGAGGAGGAGCACTTCTGGCTGCTCCAAAGGAAGCCAGAGCGGCCAGGCATAGGATGAGAGAAATCATAGGCGTCGAATGTAATGACATCTGGCTGTCGCAGAACGAAAAGTCGTTTGACCGATTGAGAGACTCACTGATCAACGGAAGATGGGCAAGCATAGATGGTGAGGGTGGAATCGTACTTTAAAGCGATTTGGATAAAGAGAGCCCCTCTGTATATAACTCCACAAATTGCTCTCGAGCGAAGATACGTACGGCACGAGTGTGGGCTGACTAGCCAGAGTAGCCCTCCGTGTGTTATGGGTAGGATTTCTTGCCGTTAAGCCTGGAGCGAAGGGACGAGATTGCAGCGATCGTCGCCCCTGAAGACCCGGCCTGGCCATCTGACTGCTATCAATGTCCTCGCCCTCGTCCTTACTATGTCGATGATATTGACGACGTTTAAATGTGAATTTGTTTTTCGCAACCCCAGGGGAGGGGGGGAGGGGGGCTCATTTTGGCATCTTACCGTTGATCAGGATCAGGCTGTTCAGGGTTGCTGCGCAGCAATAAACATTGACGGCGATGCAGTTGTGCTGCAACCGCTCCCCCCTTTTTCTCTTTTATGTTGGGTAAAAGCGAGATGGCTATGTATACAGAGATCAGAAGAATCTGATCCAGATGATAAAGAGAAAGAGAAATGCAATGGCGCCCACTCTGTGCCCCGTGCGCAGCGCCATCATCAGCGCGCAAGACCCGGAAGCAGAAGGGGTGGGTGAATAGATAAGACTCACGGGGCCCACTTGCGAATCATGGCGTCAATGTTGATTTGCCGAGCAGCCTTGCGATATTTGAGGCTCTCGTCTCGCAGCGAGGAGGACATCGTCGACATCTCTGCACGGGAGAGGAGAGGTAGGGCAGGCAATGTCAGCCTGGAAGAGTCAGGCCATCCTACAGCATTACAACACTCACGGTCGAGCGAGTCGCCACGCCAGAGGAGGTCTTCCATGTTCTTTGTCATGATTCGTGTCCTGCGTCGGTAGAGTGGGCGACACGCTGTCAGAGCCTGGAAAGGGGCACGTCACGTACCGCCTGCGACTACTCACACGTCCTGGAGATCGTCATTGAGCCTGCCCAGGTTGCCCTTTGTTCCGCCAGTACCGTCACTCGACGCTTGTGCGCTGGCCGCCTGCTGGGCTTCCGCCGTCCTCGAGTCGGCGTACAATCGTTTTGTTCGTTGCATGAATGTGTCTGATGGCCGGCAAGTAGAAGAGGCAGCAGGAAGCGTAGAGAGAGAAGATTGGGGTCAAACGAAGTGATCAAGACATAGCTATGCATGCCCTGCTACTCACCGAAGCCGACAAAGGCGTATGGTCTCAGGTTCCTCTGAGGGATTTGGGCGCCATAGTTTGTAACAAACTCGCGTCCGAGCTCATCGAGGTAGGCAAAGGCAAGTTTCCGCGGATAGCTGCGCTGTGCAATGGTGAGAAAGACGACACTGGTGGTGTTGAGCTGTCCTGCGGCGTTTGGTGGTGGGTAGATGAGGTAGTGGAGCGAATACGACGGCCCGCTGTCGATGGTGCAGGTAGCTGCCGAGGTTGGAGTCAAGCGGCGAAGGATGAGCTTGGCCTGCTGCTTGTACTCTGACAGCGCCGCCTCGGTGCTGCTGTCGTCGACCGACTGCGCCAGGGGAAGACCGTCAGAGAGGCGAGCGATCTGCGTCGAGAGAACCATAGTGCCAAGCTCGCGCCAAAGGAGAAAGAAGGGCGGCGTCCAAAGCGAGTCTAGTTCAATGGCTGGCTTGATTTAGGTAGGCGCGGCGGTAGCCCTCAGACTCGTGACAAAGTGCTCGTGCCACGCGTCAGGCTTCAGCCGATCGCCTCTCTCTGCCCATTTTCTTCCCATCCATCACCACCGCGACCACTGCGATCGTCAAAGACTAACCACAGCCCTACCTTCGCCCCACCCCTTCGAGCGCATCAAAATGGACAACGAAGAGTGAGCATCCGCCATGGCGGTACAATTGGTGCGGCCTTTTTGCAAGGGCAATGTTCGCTGACACGCCTTTGCTTCGCGTCTTCTCGTCTTTTTCCCAGTCTCATCGACTACGAGGAGGAGGTCAATGTCCCCACTGCCACCAACGGCGCTGCCGCAACGGCCGACAACGGTGCTTCGGCCGCTGCAGGCGACGAGAAAGATAGCAAAAAGGCGAGCATCAGTTTTCAGTATCCCCCCTTTCTCCCTTGGCATCCATCCACTCGGCGTTGAGGGTCACGCGACTACTGGCCCCTTCTCTCTTCTATGATGATCCCTCTCACGCGAGGCCATCGCCATCTACCCCAAAACTCCGTGAACGAGATGTCTGGACGTACGGACGGACGGATAGATGGATGGATGGATGGATAGACTGGGTCCGGTGTCTCTTTTTCTTCTGCCTCTTGCTCCGGCGGCAGGTTCGCATTGAGCGACGCTCGTCTTCCAACGCAAGGTGTTGGACGGAACTCAGCATCCACTCGATGTGCAACCTGTCAGTGCACCTTTTCTCACGGTAGCAGAGCCTGTCCTACCGGAAAGCAACAGAATGGGGTTCCAGCGCTCAGGCACAGGTCGCAGCATGCACGCTCACCGTCGTCATCCATGGGCGCGCCTCATCTATGCGAGAATCGCCTTCTCTTGTCCGTGCTTTGGTCGCCCTCCAGTCTTTTATTTCGAGAAGAAGAGTCAGCAGATCCTTACACATTCTCTCCTTCTTTCGCTCGACCTTGATCTCTACAGGGCTCCTACGTCGGCATTCACTCGACTGGTTTCCGGGACTTTTTGCTCAAGCCTGAGCTACTCAGGGCCATTTCCGACCTCGGTTTCGAGCATCCCTCTGAAGGTGAGCAGTCACCAGTCGCTCGCGTCAATAAGACAAACAAGATCCTCATCCCGCTTCGTTGCAGTCCAACAGGAGTGCATCCCCCAGTCGATTCTTGGCATGGACGTCGTGTGCCAGGCAAAGTCGGGTATGGGAAAGACAGCCGTCTTCGTCCTCGCCACTCTGCAGCAGATTGAGCCCCAGGACGGAGAAGTGAGCGTCATCGTCCTCTGCCACACGCGCGAGCTCGCGTACCAGATCCGAAATGAGTACTCGCGCTTCTCCAAGTACATGCCAGACGTCCGCACCTCGGTCTTCTACGGCGGCACGCCCGTGGCCACCGACCAGGCCATCCTCAAGGACAAAACAAAGTGTCCTCACATCATTGTTGGCACGCCTGGCCGAATGAACGCTCTTGTCCGCGACAAGAGCCTCAAAGCGGGCGGCGTCAAGCACTTTGTTCTCGACGAATGCGACAAGATGCTTGAGCAGATTGGTAAGTTTCCGGATGTCATTTGAATCAAGCTGGATGAGTGCTGACGATTCATATACCGATGACTGGATAGACATGCGCCGAGACGTTCAAGACATCTTCCGTGCCACGCCCCACCACAAGCAGGTCATGATGTTCTCGGCCACGTTGTCAAAGGAAGTCCGGCCGACGTGCAAGAAGTTCATGCAGAATCCGCTGGAGATCTATGTCGACGACGAGACGAAGCTGACGCTGCACGGCCTGCAGCAGCACTTTGTCCGCCTCGAGGAGACGGCAAAGAACCGCAAGCTCAACGACCTGCTTGATTCGCTCGAATTCAACCAGGTCGTCATCTTCGTCAAGTCGATTGCGCGCGCAAACGAGCTCAACAAGCTCCTTGTCGAGTGCAACTTCCCCAGCATCTGCATTCACGCCGGCATCAACCAGCAGGAGCGCATTGCAAGGTACCAGCAGTTTAAGAGTTTCGAGAAGCGAATCTTGGTGGCAACCGACATCTTCGGGCGCGGTATCGACATCGAGCGAGTCAACGTCAGCATCAGCTACGACGCCCCAGCGGATGCTGACTCGTACCTTCACCGATCCGCCCGTGCCGGTCGTTTTGGTACTAAGGGTCTGGCCATCGTCTTTGTCTCGAGCGAAGCGGACGAGGAAGTGCTCAAGTCGATTCAGTCGCGCTTCGAGGTCGCCATTCCCGAACTGCCTGCCTCCATTGACTCATCGACCTACATGTCCTAATAGCTATTTACCGGAAAAATTCTTTGCCTTCCGCTCCCCTACCCTTGTACCACAGCCACAGACCCAGACGGCCAAATGATTGGGATTCAGACATCGAATACGTTGCTCTCTCTCCTTCTCTTTTCGAGAGCACACGCAGGAACGAAGATCCAGGTCCGAGTGTCCCACGCTCCCGTACGCACATGATCAGTATCAAGGAAGAGAGAGTTTTTCATCTCCGACGCCAGTCCACCATGCTGTTTAATCTCCTCGGTCCGACTTCGTCGATCCAAACCGAACCCTCTAGGCTTGCCTCACGTCCACGAGCAGTATCGACGGGACGAGGTGCATCGCTCTTTGCTAAGGCCTGGCGGGGTTGCCGATTAATGATTACTTTTGCTTGCCTACGGCCAATGGAAGGCGAAAAGCATGCAGGCAACAGAGTGCGAGTTCTTGTCCCAGACCGGTTGCAATTCTGTTTCCTTTCTGTCTGTTGCTCTTTGCCTTTTTTTTTTTTTTTCAAACTCCTTCGGGGACCCGGGAGCCGCGTCCCGTGCTGCAGCAGCGAACCCCTTCAGCAATACATTCTCGCCAGGTGGGGTCTGTGGTTAAGACTCTCTCCTCTGCTCTGCTTCGTTGGTGTAAAGGGCGACGGCTGACCCGGAGTCTGAGCTTCTTTTTCTCTCCATTGACAGGCAGCCCTGGACACCATGAAGAGACTGTGCTGCATGCATTGTTTTGGGAAAGCACTCAATGTATAATTATTACGTGCCTTGATGGCTGGCTGCCCTGAATGTTGTGATCCACGCCCGACATCGGTCGAGCTCGGTGCAAGCGCGAAAGCAGCAAGGAGATCTTGTCAAGCCTTGAGCCAGATGAAGCGTGGTGCCTGCATCTCGCACCTGCGCTCTGTCGAAGACTTTTGAGAGCCTGACCAGTAGTCGAGATCGTATCTAGCTAGAGGTTGTCACGTTCAGCATCGTAATGTGCCGGTGGGAAAGTTGGGCGAGAACCTGGTGGGGGGAAAAACTCTGTTTGATTAATTTTACTTTGCGGACGGGCAAGGTATCTGATAGCTCGAGGAGATGTAAGAGACTACTACGTAGAATAGTAGGCCCCCCCTCATTATTCCCCTTTCGGTGGGGTTCTAGGTCGAGGGGCGAACGAGCAAGAGAACGGCCAGAGGCGAATCTCTAATTCGAAATCCGCTTCCCCTTTCTGTTTCAATTATCCCTCCCTCCCTCCCTACCCGTTCCGCCCAACGGGATTTGAAATAACAAACGACTGTTATCTCGGACGATACGGGGGATGTTATTGCACAAAATACTAATCCTCCTGCTACGCTTGCTGCTACTCCAGTAGTAAAGGATTGCCATTTCATTTTTTCGTAGTGTGATCTTGGAAAACCCCTAGCAGCAGCTCCCGAATGTGTTTTTCGCACGACACGGTGCGCAATGAGATTTTGCTGCTGATGAGCCTAGCGGCGGTCCGAAGGCCTTGATCCAGTCGCTCGGCCATCTCAACATTCCTCTCAACAACTCATCTCCATCCTCACTTATTCATCCTTCATCTCTTCATTTCTCCATCTCATCCTCATCCTCGTCCTAAAGCAAAGCGCTCAAAGCAAGGATCAACCAAGGAAGGGAAAGTACGATGACGCAGCGACAAGGCTAGATCAAGAGACCGCACAGAGAAAAAAAATAAGGGAGAGGGACTTGATGGGAGAGTGACTCGCTTTCCCTCTTTCTCTCATTCCTTCTTTCAAATTTTCTGCCTTCCCTGCGTTCTTCTCGAGGCCTTCGTGCCTGCCTCAAGATGACGACGGCGGGAGGGCGAGTCGGCATCGGCCGTGAACAGAGCCTCGTCTCCCCCGAGACGATGTCTATGGTCCTCACCGGCGCCAAGGCGGTGCTGCTTCAGCGTAGGGGCATCGACCACCGATCCACAGACATCACCGACCTCGTCATCTGTCTTCTCTCCATCGTGGGCGCAATGGTCATTATCGTGCCTTACGTGCTTAACCGAAAGAGCAGAAAGCTCCGTCATTCTCTTATCTTGGGTCTAGCGACTTCAGATCTCGTCTCGAGGTGAGTTTGTTCTGTTTCTTTCAGGCGACATGCACGATCGAGAGACTCAAGGTCAGACTTCTTTCCAAATCAGCATCATCATCGTGTGCACGTCTGCTTTCTCGATCGCCGGTGGAAGGCTTGGCGATGCTTATAGATTCTGCACCTTTGCTGGCTACATCTTTGCGACGTCAATCTGGACCCAGCACCTGTGGAACCTGAGCATCGCCGTCATCACCTACATGATCCTCGTCCGGCCCCTGTCTTCCATTATTCACCGCGTCGAAAAGCACCTTGCTTTGCTCTGGCCAACTTTTTGGGCCATTTCCCTCGTCGTCAACGGCGTTGCCTGGGGCGTCGTTGGCTTCGGCGACGTCGGAGGTTACTGCTCCTTTGACCCACAGCGCGGCGGGCCCCTCTTCAGCGCAATTTTCCAATTTGTGCCCCGGGCCACCGTCGTCGTCATCATCATCGTCCTCTACACCCACCTCTTTTTCTTCCTTCGACGCACCAACCTCTTCTCCAAGGCTGCCAGCCGCACTTCGAGGCCCCGGGGCACTGGATCGGGCACTGGATCGAGCCCCTTGGTAAGGTCGGGTGCCGGTGCCGGCGCTACAGACTCGCAGGGTGCGCGCAGCGGCGCTGGCACAGGACCGGAAGGCGACGTAGCTGCTCATCAGAGGAGCACGAAGCGAAATGAAGCCAGGGATTCGCAGCACGGCAGCTTCATACTCAATCAGGCTGCTGACACCAACTCGACACTGGGAGGATCGGTGACATTCTTCAAGCACCTCTTGACGCCCTCGTCTAAGCGAAGAAGCTCCGAGGCCACCTCGTCTGGCCACGCGCGCTCTGCCTCGACGCAGGACAAGGCTTCAGACGCCCCTCGAGGACCTGTCTACGATGACATCGAGATGGTTGCCACGCAGGGGTATGTGAATGGGGCGGGAAGCTCAAACGATGCCGTCGCCAACGTCATCGGCAACCATGGTGAGGAAGACGAGGAAATCGAAATGAACGAGAAGGGATCACCATCAACCCTCGCCCCGTCACCGTCTGACATCGAAGCTTCGCCCAGGGAGCTCGAGCCCCTGGGAACGGCGCCGATGCTGGCGCCATCGGCGGCGCCCAAGCTGCAAAACAAAGCTCATGCATCTGTTAAAAGGCCGAGCACCGCAGGCTCGGCCAAGACCCATGACCGTCCCCATATCGTTATTCCACCGCGCCCCTCGACAGGGGCGGGGCCCATACCCAGCAGAAGCAAGACGCAAGAAGAGGCCGAAGACACCGAATCTGTCGACAGCAACTACGATACCTGGCTCCGGAAGCAGAACTCGAGCTCCTCGCCCTTCCAGACCATGACACCGAGACGCGACGTCCGCGACTTTGGCATGACGAGCGCACCGAGGGAACACCTTAAGCACTACTCGCTCACACCTAGCGGTGTCGAGTCCTACAAGCGTGCTCTCGAGACGGGCACGCCTTCCCCTGTTCTGCCCTGCTCGCCAGCAAACAAGCGGGTTATGGACCCTTCGACTCCTCGAGATCAGTCGCCTGCTGCTCGGCGGCAGACAGAGGCAAACACCGCGCCTTTTCCCGTCAACGACCCAGTTTGCACGACGAAGGAGACAACAGAGAACAAGCCTGCGCCCTCTAATCCGACATACGAAGAGGCCCTGGGTGATGACTGGACCTGGGGAATGGCCGTCAGCACGCCGGGAGGAGGAGAGCGTAGGCAAGGAGTCGCCCACCGCTCTCTAGCAACACCGACTGCTTCTTCTGTCGACGCTACAGGGGCAGCAAGGCAGAAGGGCTGGTGGCACGGCCTTCGCGGGACAGGTGGCGCAAAGCGACGAGATGGCAGCAATGGCGTTGGAAGCAATGAGACGTCATCGTCGGAGAGCACAGGCGTCCATGGAGTCGAGTCGCTGGGCAGCACCCTCAATCGACAGGCATCTGTCCTCCTGCTCCTCTATCCGGCTGTCTACTGCTTGCTGTTCAGCATCTCGATCATCCGAATCATCGTCGACCTCGCGGGGTCGCCTAAGGACGCGGCCGCTGTGCGAGGCAAACAGGATGATGCCCTCCATGCCATCTCTCGATGGACCATCTTTGCTCAAGGCATGATCGATGCCGTCGTCTTCCAAGTCGTGGAGCGGCAGTTCAGGCGGAGGATGAAGAGGAAGAGGAGGATCGCCGCTGGCGAGCAGGTCGAGGATGCAATGTGGTACAAGGCCCTCCAGTCTGCCTGGACCTCTATCCGCGGCGGCAGCCCTCGACGAGACGTTGGCGAGAAGTAGGCGGTCACATTCAACAAGTAGTCCTGAAAGGCCAGATCGAATCACAGCGGCTGCTCTTCCCTGCTCTTTGCACCGTTGACTTGTAACATACACATCTTTCTATCATTTGACATTGCACCCCATTCTCTATCCTGCAAATGGGACATTCATCTGCGCTTTCACTTTTTGATGTCTGTATCCACGAGAATCGTGACGGGCCCGTCGTTGGTGAGGCTGCACTGCATCATTTCCCCAAAGGCACCGTCCTTGACTCTCTCGGCCACGTACTGCGTTCGCAGCTTCGCCAGCAGCTCGTCGTAGAGCTCCTTGGCCTGCGCGCCGCCCATGCTCTTGTGGAAGTCGGGCTTGGTGCCCTTTGTGAGCCGTGCATGTAGTGTGAATTGCGAGACTGTTACAAGATGAGTCAGCTGTCCAGAATGGCGAGCGGGTGACAGAGAGATAAGAAGAAGAAGAAGAAGACGCACTGCACAGGATCTCGCCCTGGATCTCCATGACGTTCCGCTTCCACGGCTTGCCGCCCCACACCTCTTCCGATCGGGACTTTTCCCCAGCTGCTGCTGCATCGCCGTCGAACTTCACACCTTCGCCCGGCGCTGCTGCCAGCGCTGCTGGTGTCGGCGCGTCTCCATTCGCGGGGGTTTGCTGCTCGGCGGCGTACTGCGGGGGCACGGCAATGTGCGACGCGAGCTGGTTCTCGTTCCAGAGCTTCGTCGCGAGGATTTTTGTGCAGAGCGGCGCAATCTCTGCCTGCGTGTCCTCTGTTCATGACAGGATACACAAAGCGTGTGAGAAAGAGGTACCCTGTAGAAGAAGGAGGGTGCAAGCTAGGCTCACCGGTACCAATTCCGATCAGGGCGACGATGCCCGGCCCGATGCGCGAGATGAGCTTGCCATTGACGTGGACGGTGGCGCCCGTCACGCGCTGAAGGACTGCCCTCATTGCGAGCCTGCTCTGTATGATCTGGCCCTCTCAAATTCTATCGTGCCTCGAAGGGGGTAGTAAATGGATCAAATTGGGAAGATGCTATCTTCACGTCGGGAGTGGGGGACCAAGCGCATTATCCCGAAGCTGATTGCGGCACGTGACTTGGAGTGAGAGCCTTCCACCTCCTCAGCAAGGCCTTCCTCCTAGAGAAGAGGGGCACAGCAGACTGGATGTAGAGCCAATTCCTTCAGCTTATTTAGGTAGACAGATGGGGCAAATTTGTGAGGGCCGAGGAAGAGGACTCCTTCCCTTGCTCTCCCGCGGGGAAGAGCGAGATGAGCAAGGCAAGGCGACAGAAAGACACAAGAGATGGCTCGGCGTGCTCGTCTAAGACTGCAACGAAGCCCGCTCGTGTTCTTCATTATATTGCATACGTCAGACGTTAGGCTGAGGTTCAATTCAGAAACTTGCTGAGAGACGATGTGGCACAGGAAGAGAGATTTTGAAAGAGAGAGAGAGAGACTGGGGGTGCGTATCTCGAAAGTGGAGTACAGTTTTCTGAATAGCGCGCCCACTTCGAGTTTGACGCCAACTCTTTTCCGCTGTGCGCCCGCGCCGACTTATTTATCCTCTAAAGCCAGGAATAATTAAAGTCGATCGTTGCGAGCCAGGTACGAGCCATGAGGTCAGAGCAGCAATGAGGTCAAAGGTGCAATTTACATGCTAATCTGCTGTGCACCTGGCCTTGCACTCAAATTCAAGTTGACCATGCGTTACCTACCCAGGCACGAAACAAATTTCAAAAAAAAAAAAAAAAAAAAGGGACGCAGGACCTTTCCTCTGCATTTCACGTTTGTGACGCCCACGAGGTAGACGTAGACACAAGAGGGCCAAGCCCAAGGAAAGCCGCGAGCGACTAAAAACCCTGATTTGACTCTGGACGGAAGTGCCCCGGCGGTTACACGGCAAGGCAGAAAGAAAGGCGTGCTCAAAGCACAAACTCCCTTCGCGTCGGGACAGGGTGGTAATGTAGGAACAGTCTCCCTCTCATTTTTTTTGGTCAGCAGTGCAGAATGACCTTGTGTCCAAGAGCAGGACTCGTCGCAGATAACCTGCTATCTCCTTCAACCACGCGGAATCATGTCTCTGGACGGCAATTTAGAACAGAAGTCCAATGGGCGCACACCTTGCCTGCTCTGCCGCCGATCCGCCTCCGAATACAATTTTATCCTTGGGCGTTCGTTCTATGTTTTGCCTTCTTGTATACGTTGACGTCGTCCTGCCCATTGATCATGTGGCGGCGCCCGCATGGGGCTTTCTCCTCGACGCACGCAACGACGTACGCACACAGAGAAGCTGCCCATTTCAATTGTATAAAATCACTGCTTCACGCTCAGCGACTCATCCTGCCTCCCTCACATCGAAGCAAAATCCTCCCTCAACCACTTCTCTCCTCTCTTCTTCAACTGGCAGCAGGACTACCCACCGGCAGCTCACCAAATATCTACCTAAAAGTGCTTCGACCAGGTGTCAACAAGCGTACGATTGCTCTCTCAACCACCAGTCACCCTTGTCGACCCCTAGTCGACTCCTGCCGCAAATCCCCACAGTTTGAAGCTCAGCAGGTTCTGATTAAGCTTCGTTCTCAGCGATGGCCGCCGTTCTCCCACCCACGAGTGCCACCCTGCCCGCGTCGGCTGCCCACGTCGGCTCCGCAACGATTGTTGCTAAGCCTGCAAAGCAAGCCACAACAACTACGACTACAACTACGTCTACGGCTAGCAGCAGCACCCAGCAGCCAGTCAGGAAAGTTCGGTGAGTAGCAGCAGTAATGAGCCAAGCTAGCTGCATTTGGGCGGCGCCACAATATTTTCGCGCGTCTAAAATAAGGACAAAGGGGGGGAGGCTCTGGACAAAGGGAGACGACGGATCCTTCTTCCCTTTGTCACGACCACTCTTCCCATTGTTCCCTACCGGCGCTTTGTACGATCATGTTCAAAAGAACTACTTTTGCTGACTCTCGTTGTCTTGCATTGATCTACTCCCCGATACAACCACCGACGCAACCTCGACGCTGCGCTGATCTGACACCTTCCTGACCACCGTCATCTCTTGCTTTCGCCTTGGACCGCCATGACGACTGCCGAACTACTTCCCTCTTCTCTCGCAACTTCGCCGACGTCTGTCGCCACGCGCAATGTCATCGATGATGATTGCTCCACGTCATCGTCTTCGACTGGCCTCTCCTCGCCGTCGGCGCTGTCACTCGCATGCGAACCGTGCGACGATGCTCTGCTCAACGACCCTTGTGTCGTCACCGCGCTTCGCATGTTCGATGACATATTAAACATCGCCCCGCCCGACGATACCGTGCAACACATCGACCACCACAGCTTCAACGTCGGTTCTCGTTACCGCGTGTGTGACGTCATCGGCGAGGGCGCCTACGGCGTCGTCTGCTCGGCCATCCACCGTCCCACCGGCCAGAAGGTGGCCATCAAGAAGATTCAACCTTTCGACCACCAGATGTTTGCGCTTCGTACGCTCCGCGAGCTCAAGCTTCTCCGTTACTTTCAGGAGAGTGATGTTTCGGAGAACATCATCAACATCCTCGACGTCGTCAAGCCACCGACGTTTGAAGCCTTCAACGAGGTCTACCTCATTCAGGAGCTCATGGAGACGGACCTTCACCGTGTCGTCCGCACGCAAAAGCTGTCCGATGACCACGCTCAATACTTCACCTACCAGATTCTCCGTGCTCTCAAGGTGATGCACTCGGCCGACGTCATTCACCGTGACCTCAAGCCAAGCAACCTGCTGCTCAACGCCAACTGCGACCTCAAGGTGTGCGACTTTGGCCTCGCTCGCAGCGTTCTCACCGCTGAGCCCGGTGGCGAAAATGGATTCATGACCGAATAGTAAGTCTCATGCTCGATTCGGAGCTCTCAGAACGGAGCTGACTTTCATCGTCCCGACTGTAGTGTCGCTACTCGTTGGTACCGCGCACCGGAGATCATGCTTACGTTCAAGCAGTACACCAAGGCCATCGACGTCTGGTCTGTGGGTTGCATCCTGGCCGAGATGATCAGCTCGCGTCCCTTGTTCCCTGGCCGCGACTACCACCACCAGATCTCGCTCATCCTCGACGTGCTGGGAACACCATCGATTGACGACTTCTACGCCATTGGCTCTCGTCGGTCGCGCGACTACATCCGCAACATGCCCCTTCGCAAGCGCAAGGACTTTGCCAAGCTCTTCCCCACCGCCTCGCCAGAAGCGCTCGACTTTCTGCAAAAGACGCTCGCCTTCAACCCAAAGAAGAGGCCCACGGTGGAAGAGTGCCTTGCCCATCCTTACCTGGCTGCCTACCACGACCCCGAGGACGAGCCGAGCGTGGCGAGCCTCGGCCCAGAGTACTTTTCCTACGATCTCGCACCCAGGCCAAGCGCAGCCGAGCTCAAGGAGGAGATGTGGAACGAGATTGAGTCGCTCCCTCGCTTCATCTGAAATTATTCAAATGCAGTCCCCCCAGATCAAGGGAGATGAATCCTCCGACGAGGAATACCGTCACGACTTCTTTTCTGCTGTTCCACATCACTCTGTACTCATACATAACGACATACGCCCAGGTAGTTGACTCACATATCATTACGCTCCTATAAATTCTTCTGCTTTACGATCCATCGTTAACGCAAGAAGCACTTTGTGTGTGATGTGTGTGTTTAAGTCACCGGCGCAGATGCAATTGCCGAAGCCGAAGAAAAAGAAGCCACCTGAGCAGGGGGTGGGGACCCTCCTCCACCACCCCGCGCGTGTCGGATTGGTCGCTCGACAGTCCGAGGTGGGGAAAGTGGGTTTTAGCCCTTTTCTTCTTCCTTCTCACCTCCCTCGACCAGGCCCGGACAAGATAGCAGCGACGAAGAGTATCTGCCCACCATGTCGTCTCGAATCGTCCCTGCCTCTCGCCAGTCCATCAGTGAGTGACACTGGGCTCCGCCCTCCTCTTCTTGTCCACGAGCTCACCAAGTCGACAAACAGTGAACTTGATGCGCCTGTCGCACTCGGCCGGCTGCCCCTGCCATGGTTGCTCCTCGCTCCGCAACACGTCGCTGGGAGCCGTCCGAGCAGGTGCAAAGATGATTGCAGGCCACAACCAGTCGGCGGGCGCCAGTGCAAGGGGCTATGCGACGCCCGTCGACGACCAGCTGCAGAAGGAGTATGCATTCGAGGTGCGTTTGGGTTCTCGCTCTTTCTTCTGCATACCATGTGCGCAAGTGAAGCTGATTCAAGAGCATTGTAGCTCGCTGCCAGCAACATTCGCTTTGGCGAGGGCGTCACAAAGGAGATCGGCATGGACTTCCAGGTGAGCATATTCCTCTGGCTCTCCATAGGAAGACGCTCTCATATCTCTTTCTTAAACAGAACATGAAAGCGCGCAAGGTCGGCGTCTTCACCGACCGCACCGTCCGTGACCTGACTCCAATGCAGCAGTCGATCGAGGGTCTCGAAGCAGCTGGGATCCCCTATGAGATCTTTGACCGGACCAGAGTGGAGCCCAACGACGAATCGTGGGCCGACGCCATGGGTTTCGCGCGCAAGCACGACTTCTCCCATTTCCTTGCCGTCGGCGGTGGCTCCGTCATGGACACGGCCAAGGTCGCAAACCTCTTTACGTGCTACCCGGACGCTGATCTCCTCGACTTTGTCAATGCGCCCATCGGAAAGGGCATCCCGGTCGACAAGACGCTGAGACCGTTGCTCGCGGTGCCCACGACGGCAGGCACAGGTTCCGAGACGACGGGGACGGCCATCTTTGATCACAAGGCCTCGTCAGCAAAGACTGGTATTGCCAGCAGGGCTCTTCGCCCGTTGCTTGGCATCGTCGACCCGCTCAACACACAGACGTGCCCCGTCGCCGTTCATGTGTCCGCCGGTCTCGATGTCCTCTTCCACGCTCTGGAGGTAAGTGCAAAGCAGAGGCTCTCTCGCGTCGTCTACGAGCTTCTCACGACATTCCTCCCTTTTTGCAGAGCTACACAGCCATCCCCTACTACGAAAGAGTGCCCCGACCACAGAACCCGCTCCAGCGTCCTGCTTACCAGGGACGGAACCCTATCAGCGACGTGTTCTCGCTTTGGGCCCTGAGTAAGCATCTCCGGTCTCTCTGTTAGGATTCCCAATCATGCTGATGAGCCTTGATCACAGAGCAAACGGTCAAGTACCTTCCTCGCGTCGCCAGAGATCCCATGGGCGACACCGAGGCCCGTGGCCAGATGCTCTTGGCAGCCACCTTTGCTGGTATCGGCTTTGGCAATGGTGTGTACTTTCCCCTCTTTTCTCTGACGATGAGACTCAATTGCTCACGTTGCTCCGCTCCCGTAGCTGGCGTGCATCTCTGCCACGGAATCTCCTACCCCATCTCGGGCCTAAACAAGACCTTGACCAACTACTACCACCCTGGCTACAACTCGGACCACCCGTTGATCCCGCACGGCCTCTCCGTCTGTCTCACCGGCCCCGGTGGTGAGTCTTTAGTTTTCCTCTTCCTCTCTTCTTCTTTCTGCCATGATGCTGAAGCCCTATCCATCCCGTTGCCAGTCTTTGAATTCACCGCCCCTTCCTCGCCCGAAAGACACCGCGAGATTGCCTCCATCTTCGCCGCGGCCGACGCTGAGGACGGCGGAGATGGGACGCTCTCCGTCGCTTCGCTCGAGCGGCTCCCAGATGCCGAGGTTGGCAAGGTGGTGCACGACGTCATTGCCAAGTTCCTCGTCAAGACGCTCGGCATGCCGCGCGGCCTCGAAGCCATCGGCTACCGATCGGAGCACAGTGAGTTGTTAAAGCGAGGCCGGGTATGGAGGAAAGGACTATATGACTGACTTAGCTGTCTACAGTCCCTGCGCTGGTCAAGGGCAGTATCCCGCAGAGACGGGTGCTGGATCTCGCACCGGGCATTGGAGATGTCGCCGGCGGTTCTGATGGCCAGGCTCACCTGACGCAGGTCATTGAACGAAGCATGAGCTACTGATTGCTTCTTCGCCCCTCGTAATGCTTTGCTTGTTTATTCTCGTCTCAAAATTAGGCTTCAATTGATGTCTTGTGACGACGACAGCACAAACATTGGAGTGATGATGAGGAAATTTGATGGTAATTGCGGTGCTTTTAGCGCTGATGCCGGAATAGCAGCTCAGTGTAGTAGACGATTCGATGTATGAATGGGATGATGTGGACATGAAGTGCGGCGTTAGAGCGAGAATGAGGGGAAGACTCAAGCAGGAAGGAGGATGGGAACATGAGCTTTGGTGCAAGGGAAGCAAAAGTCCTTGATCAGCGCATCCTGCGGAGGTGGCTTGGGACGTGCATGCTGTGAGCCCAGCCGTGGGCGTGGCCCCGGGGCGCCCCAAGCCTGGGCTGCCTGGGCTGGTAGGGAGCGAAGCGGGACTGCGTCGAAGCGAGTCGAGTGGTAAACGAGCAGTTGGTCTCGCCTTCCTGTCGGTTTTCGTCCTCTTCCTCACTCGACGCCGCCCCTCTGGCATGGTCGATAAAGGGGTTATCGTCGTCGTCCTCGTGCACTGGGGCTTGCTGCCGACAACTGAGTCCTTGCCCGTGGTCACTATCCTGGCCGCCCGCGAATCCGGGAGCAACGAGTGTCTTTGCCCGTTTGACATCCTGACCTTGCACCTCCTCGACCTCGACGTGCTTCCGTTTTCGGTCTCCCACGCTTGGCACCGGCGCATTCTGCCCAGCAGGCTGGTCACCGTCCATTGCATCGTAGTCTTCGTCCTCGTGCATCGCCGCCAGCGTCCTGGCGTTGGCTGCCACGATGCCCTGATGAGAGCGAGACCGGCCCATCCGCTGTACTCTCTCACTGTGCCATTGATCATCGCGCTCGTCATCGTTGATGTCCTCCTCATCGTCATCGTCGTCGCTCCAGCCTGCTCGATCGAGTCGGTCGAGCAGCTCAAGATTTGCTTTTGACTTCATCGTGGAAGATGATGATGATGACGACGACGCCGACGACGACGAAGAAAGGCACTCCTGCTGAAGACGGCCAAGACTGTGCTGTGACGATGACCTTGCCGTCTCTTTGAGGATGCCCCGGAACGGAGGCCGCTGTGGAGCCTGGGCGGCGACGGAAGCCTTGGTTCCCGGGAAAAGGAGCCTAGGCTGAAGCTTGTCGAGGCTGTACACAGGCCCATCCTCGCTTTCGTTATCGTCCTCTCCGCCCGAGTCGTCCGAGTCGCTCGCAAAGGCGTCCGCGTACGTGACACGCTGGCCCCGGAAGACGTAGGTCATGGTCCCACGCTCCCTGGGCATCGCTGGATGGCTGCGGGCAGAGCCCACTCGGCGGCCGGTGTAGCCCAGATCGGCGGGCCCACCCTCGAGGAAGGGATTGCCAGGCGTATCTCTGACTGGCACTACCTTGTGGAGCGAGTGGCCAGCATGCAGACGAATGCCGTGGTCGTATCGACGTGCTGGCGCGGCTTTGACCTTGACGGGCGTCGTTGGACGCTGGGCAATTGAGGGCTCGGTGGCGGTGATGCCGCCTGGGCGGACCAAGCTCGCCCGGGAAGCATCGACCGAAGGCTGCCGATAGCGTTCCAGGACATCTTGCTGCTGGTGCTGGTGCTGGTGCTCCTCGCGTTCCTTTTCGTTGGTCGTTGCCGGCGGCGTCAAGGAGTCGTTTCCTACTTGCTGCTCTGGGCTCGTCACTTTGGAGAGCGAGGCCGAGAGAGGGCCGCGTCCTCGAGCATCATGGTGGGAGACTGGCAAAGAAGCGAAGGCATGAGCGGCCTCGACGGTGTACAGGTCTGCAGACACATCTGGGCAAGCCCGCGGCATCGCCTTCTCCTCTTCGTTGGCACGTCCGCTGCCCGGCGGCGAGGGGTAGCCGTACCTCTCCATCTGTGCGTTGTTGTGTTGATGATAGAGCTCCGGCGACCTTTGCAAGGAAGGTAAATCAGAGAACAGAGCAAAGGTTGAAGAAGGATCCCCGTTGTATGCGTGACGAGCAAGTAGAGGCCGCGCGCGCACATACACGCACAAGATGCACTCCCTTTGTCTCGATTGTCACACAACCCAAAATCAAAAAAAAATGCAACTCCCGTCCGTCCCTTCCCAAAAGTCGCGTCTCGCCGCGTCGCGCTCATTTCAGTGGGCATTCCGTCATTGCAGGCCCGGGCCTACAAATCCGTCACAGAAGCACAAAGGGGCACGAGGGAAATAAAAAAAAGGTAAAATAAAAATAAAAATTGGAAGGGCGTAGGGTGTTCTCCTCAAGCTCAACTTCCACGAAGCAGCCATGAATCGCCAGGGAGGTAAAGGTGAGTAGAGGCAGGTGTTGGCTCATCATAGCTGCAATTATTGAGTCAGACGCACCGGTACAGCCAAGCCGCTCAAGCAGCCCAAGAAGGACAAGAGGGAGGACGACGAGGACGACGTTGCGTTCAAGCAGAAGCAAAAGGCGGACGAGGCGGCCAGGAAGGCGGCTGCTGCCAAGCTCCAGGGGGGCAAGAAAAAGTAGGAGGGCTATGTCCTCCTCTTTCTCTTTGTGCTCTCTTTCGATATGTGAGTTTATGGCCCTCTGTCCAACACGACGACTACACGACTTCTGGTGACTGACTGGGACGCTCTGTCTACACCAGTGAATTGTCCAAAGAATCTATAGATTGGTAACGCTCATTCGTAGCGGCAATCCACATCGCGGCGCTTGCTACGCGCATTTGTCCATCTGAAACAGCTGGGGAGACCGCTGGCGTGCTCCCACTGCTCGTCGGTCATTGCCGCCTCGTTGGCACCGGCCAATTGGCCGAGAATCAGGCGCGCTACGCCGCGTCCACACGTCGCGGCCCGGGCCATGCCGTGGCCTTGCATGCCGACGCAGAGCCAGAGCCCGGCTGAGTCGCTCCACGCTTGCTGCCCACATAGCGGAAGCGAGTCTCGTGTGTCTTTTGAAAGAGAAAAAGTGTGAAGCGAGGTCAGCTTTAGAAGAGGTGTTCCAAGAAACAGACTCACAGCCCTGAATGCCGGTCCACACGTGAGTCAGGCGGCTCTCGTCGTCGTTCCACCCTTCGAATGTGCGGCCAGGATATGTGCGCAGATGCTCGGTGACGGCATCGGACACAGTGCTGTCGTCGACGGTGCCGACGACCTGGTCTCTCGGCGTCAGAGGGTGGCCGCCCCCCAAGATAAAAGGCCCGCCCTTGCTCGACCTCTTTGCATCGTTGCAGGGCCGCTGAACGAGGTACTCGAAGTCTTCGCCTCCCTTTGCGATGGAGTAGGTCTGTTTGAGGCTGCCCTCGTCCCGGTACGCGGGCGGTGGATCGATGGAACTGCACTGGGCCTTGTGAGACAGCAGAAAGTCACCAAGGCCGGGCACCAGGGCCTCGGTGTAGCCATTGGTGGCAAGGAGCACATGCTTGGCTCGCAGGGTGCCCCTCGGCGTCGACAGGGTCCAGATGCCCTGCTCTTGTTTCTGCTGCTGATGCTCAATACTGGTGACAGGCGCGTGCGTAAAGAGCTGCAGGCCGGCGTCGATGGAGCGAGACAGAAGCCCGTGCACGAATCGAAGGGGATACACGGAGGCAGCCGTGAACGTGGCGGCGCCGACGCAGCCTGGGATGCGGGTGACCTTGTGCATCTGATGTCAGCTTCAGATCGAACTCTGGCTATGCACTGCGACTCTCTTTCGAGAGCTCACCCTTTGGGCTTCCTCTGCATCTTCGATCCAGGTGACTTCCTCCTTGTTGAGCTGCCCGTACTCGTCGTATGCCTCGTAGCTCTTGCGCGACAGTGCCTTGACCTCGTGCTTCATAAAGGCCGCAAACGTCTTTCCCTGCCACCAGTCGCAGTCAATCTTTTCCCTCTGGGCCGTGTCTCGGATGTAGTCCATCGTCTGGCGCTCGTTGACAAGGACCTTGTGCGCCTGGTCCTTGCCCACGATGGCAGCGTACCTCAAAAAGCCCGCATAGGCATCCGGTCGGCAGTGCCCGCCGTTTCTGGCCGTGGCGCCTGAGCATGCCCGTCGCGCTTCGACGAGGGCCACTTTTGGCCGCGGCCTCTTTGTGGTTCTTGCTTCGTCGTCGTCGTCGTCGTCGCCCTCCTCCCCACGGAGCAGCGTATATGCGGCCGTGGCGCCCGAGATGCCGCTGCCCACGACGACGACGTCAAACAGCTGCTCGGTCGGCAGAGGGCCATCCCGGCCGTGATCGTGGATCGGCGAGTCGGCGCTCGTCGCTTGCCAGTATGATGTCGTGGGATTCTCGACCGGCAGCATCGCGGGAGTCCGTGTGCGTGGATTTTCGAGGCCAAGATTCCAGCCAAGCTGTTCTACCTTCCCTTCTGCAGCAAATCAAAGATGACAGCGTGAAGCTGACCGGCAGCGACAGGACCAGGATGATAGGGATGATGCTATCAGGCAAGCCTTTCACAGGACGACTTGACTGGGCCCGAGCGCAGCGCGAGAACAACGAAGGGTAGATAGAGTGTGGAGGGGTGGTTGGGCGGGCTGCTTGAATTTCTGCGGGCGCAGCGTGCTTCCCATCCCCCCGCGCTGCTTTGGCCCCCTCGCTCGCCGCCCAGGCCGACGGCCAGGCAGGCAGGCAGGCAGGCAGGCAGGCCAGCCAATAACCCAGAGAGTATCTCTGAGTCTCCGATAGCACCCCTGATCCCCCACACGCCCCCCACACGCATGTCCAGCAACGGCTCCGCGCGCAGTCGACTGACTTGACTGACTTGAGGACTATCTGACTGACTGACTCAACGAAAACACAGCGTCGCAGCATGATGCTGGACTGGCTTCGGCGTGGCGCTCACAACGGACGTCCGGCGGCTTGCCCATGGTCCGCGCCGCTGGGCACTTGTGGGGGTGCCTGTCTCCTCCTCTTGCATGCTTACATTCTCACACCCTGTCTTGTCTCGAGGCACGGAAGCGGACAAGCTGAGCTGGGGTCTACCGGCGGAGCAGACGAGAAAGTCAGGTCTTCCCAGGCACCACGGGATCCCAGTCTCTGAAATCTCCTCTCTCTTCCCACATACAGTCTTCAGACGTCTGTAAGCCAACCAAGAGCACCGAGAAGGTACTTCGGGCGATGCTATGCAAGCCAATTGTTTTATCGCCCGCCGCCAGTCTATTGCCCTCCGTCCTGAGTCCGCTCCTGTACGGCATCGGCTGTACACAGTGAGAGGAGAGACCTACACACACAGAAATGGACCGCCATTCACTCCTGTAGAGATATAAGAGAGAGAGAGAGAGAGAGGAGATGGGGGTGCGCCTTTTCTTTTCCTTCGTTCTGCGTCCTGCGCGCGGTCGGTCCCTAGAACAGCCTGGCCGTTACTCACTGCGAGTCAACGAGTCGCTGACCCACTCGGGGACTCTGCTCGACTCTTAAGATAGGGACAAGGTTCAGATAAGGGAGACTCGCTGGACACCAGCCTCATCGAGGCAGACGTCATCACCGTGCAATCATCAGACCTGTCCAGGACGCAGACGCCATACTAATCGAAAGCAGCTGTAACGGCCCCTTCCCTTTCGAGAGGGGTTTCTTCCTCGCAACACCGCCCGGAAGCCTCAGCCTTTGCGTCACCGCTCGGGCCCCCGGCGCAGGATTGCCCAGTTGTGCCTGTCCCCGCACGCTTTCAGCTTCTGGCCGACGACGGAAAGCCCGATCAGTCAGCCCGATCAGTCAGCCCGAGCGGGGCTGATCACTCAGCAGCAGCAGCGGTCGTCTCCGTTCCGACGCCTCCTTGAGAGATACAGAATTCAAAAGTAGAAGAGAAGCCAGATATGAAGGCGACCAGGTTTGCATTCCTCGTGGTGCTTGTCTCTCTCATAGCGTCTCGCGACGGTCAGACGTTGGGGCCTGGACCTGGCGCGAGTGGATACCAGCAACACCAGCAGCTCCTCCTTTTCAGCCAGCCCGGAAATGCATCGACCAACACCCTGGGCCTGAGCGGGGTGGGCGCCTGGCAGAGCTATGGTGTGTCTACTTTCTCTCCTCGTTCTCCAGCTACGAGATCAGTGGCAGATGATATGCTTCGTCTTTGCACAGGTGATGGTCATTGAAACAACCTTTGTACGGGCTTCAAGACGGATCAGTGCACCGTGAAGATCTTGAAACACACCTGACGACTACGTCTGCTGCTTCATTGCCTGCCAGCTTCTGCTGCACCCAAGCCGACAAACTGACAAGAGCCGGTCTCTTGTGCTCCTCACTTATTCTTCTGTACCTTCATATCGATCCCACCTGTACTCGACTCATGATTCACTCTCACCATCTCTCTGTCCCCTCGGTGTATCTATGTCACGCAAAAGTAGTCAGTCACCCTCGATCGCTTGCGCTTTCGTTTGTGTGATGCCATATGTTGGTGCTTTCTTTTGTGTGATGTGAAGAAGAAAAAGGAGGTAAGAAAAATGTTACATGTTGACGTGGTGTAAGGGCGCTGCGCCTCGTTTGCGCCGCCGTCGTCGTCGTCATCAAGAGCACACACACGATCTCCCGTCAAGGAGGGACAGATGCATCTCTTGCTTCTCCTTTAGACGCGGGCGGTAGGTGCGGGCGCGCCACCGGCCTGGGGACCGACGCCAGCGTTCTGGACAGAGGCAACGGCAGGGTTGATCTTCTTGCCGTCCTTGTTGTAGCGGACGCGGACGGGGGGAGCACGGTTGCGGCGGCCCTCGCGCGAGCGGACACGGACAACGTGGGCGTGGATCGCGCACGAGACGCAGTAAACCAGCTTGATGTACAGCTTGGGCAGCGCGTACTCTGTGAACAGGTGTGTCTCTTCGTCAGTTCTGCGGTCCGTATAATGTGTGGATCTTTCCTCCTCGTCTTCCTCGCACACCGTCGCCGCCATCGATGTGGTATAACGCCCCTCCTCTTTTCCCCTCTCTGTGGTCGTCGCCCTTCTGCCATCATGCCCACATGCCGTTACTCACCCTGGTACACCGAAGCGTCGGAAATGTCACGGACGGCAGCCGACTCTACGATGTTGCGGACAGTGAACCTCTTGATGGCCTTGTCCTTGGGCACAGCGCGAGCGCAGTTGCTGCAGCGAACAAAGGGGACGTGGCCTCGTCCGTGCTTGTTGCGGCCGCCATTCTGGAGAGAGCAGTCAAAGGAGTCCGAGGTCAGCGTTCCGCGACCTAGTATTCCATCTCGGAAGCTAGCGACAAACGTACCCTTCTCTTCTTGGTCATCTTGAGCTGTTGTGATCAATTAGTCGATGAGGAGGAGAAGCGAGCCTTCTTGCGAGAGTCCTCTGCCAAATCTGCGCGCGCGGCCGAGCCGCAGCAGGTCTGCTTTATAAATTATATAAGCGGCAATACAAGACAAAATCATTACAATTTCTCAAGCCCAACTCGCGGCTTGGCTTGGCTGCGACACGTGAGCTCGCGCGTCGGCGCGTTTGAGTCGTGCTTTGACTCGGGCAAAGGCCGTGGGAGATCGGTCGCGGAATCAAATTGGCACAATTTGGGGTGCATCGATGACGATCGCCGTCCCTCATCGACGAAACTGACGTAGTAGTAGTGTGGCCTGTCAGCGATAGACGCACAGATAAAGACAGCAGCGTTGATCTCGCCTGAGATCCGCCATCCGCCATCCGCCAACGGAGAAAAAAAATGACCAGGCAACCCCTCGGAGAGCTTCCCCTGTCGCAATTTGCGCGTCCTCCCTCGCCCATCAAGACGCACTCTTCGCCCGCCAAGATGAGCCTCGCGTCGTCGCCGACCAAACGCGACTCGCTTTCGTCGACGTCGTCGCCCGGACCTTTCAGCAAACAGGCGACGCCCGCTCGACGCCGGCTGTTCGAGGATGCCGCCGAGGACGCTCTGCCTCTCGAGACGAGCCCCGTCATTCAGCGCAAGAAGGCGCCGCAAGCTCCGGAAAGCAGCACGAGCAGAAGCAGAAGCAACAGTGCTGGCAATTTCAAGCCGACGAGAGGAGGACTTCAAGCGGCGTCTAGCGAATCAAGACGGGGTAGTGCATCACCTGAGAAGCGCGAAACGCCAGAGTCGAGGTCCAGAAGCGAAAGGACATCGCGTTCACCTTCCCCCTCGCTCGTGAGATCTGAGCGGCGTCGCACAGCCGGCGGTCTCCAAAGCTCGCATCCATCGACGCCCTCGACGTCTGCTCTTCCCAAGTCAGCCGTTGCATCCGTGCCTGCGAGCCTGCCCCGTAAAAAGGAACGGGTCCGCCCCGACGAGGCATCGAGGCGGCTCTTGGACCAGGATGAAGACCTCCCAGGTGACTCGTCACCCGAAGAGGAGGAAAAGTACGTGCGTGCCGGATCGCCGAGCCCTCGAAAGCTGCAGGAAGGGGACGGCACGAGGCACAGGTCGACGAGCTCATTTTCGAGCATCAGCAATAGCAGCAGCAGTGGCGTCAATGGCACTATCACGCTTGGTCTGGGCCTGGGCTTGGGCCTGGGCGACGGAAACCTGGGTGCCAACAACAACCTGGGCAAGTCGAACGAAAGCTGGACCGTGTGGGAGGACAACGCAGAGGGAGGGGATGGCGTCATCTCTCACATTGACTTTTCAACACCGGTCGAAGGGGCCGACGACAAGGAGAATCTCAAACCTTCACCTTTGATCGCCGCAGCGAGAAAGAAGGGTACAGGAGGACGGCTGAGCCTGCTCGCCTCGGGAGAAGAAGAGTCAAGCCACGACAGCGCAGCGTTGGGCGCCGTCCACAACAATGCCGCTTCTCCATGAAGCGGGAGGACACTAGATACCTCTTTTCTGCAACTGTGCTCATACGTCGATTGTTCTTTCCCTGTATCATAACCCGCTGCTCCCTCTCGAACGATTGTGTCGTGTGTCTTATCTATCAAATGCTCCTGCTTCACGCTCCGACGGCCGCGAGGAGAAGCCACCGCGGCGCCGGCGGGAGTTCGCCAGCCATTTTTCTTTCGAGCACGTGTGCAGAGCCGATTCGACAAATGAGCGCCGGCAAAAATCAAATTCTCCCAATTGGCGTCGTCCAAAGTCAAAAAAAAGTCGAGACGGGGAGAGGAAAAAAAAACCACCAATTTGGGATCGAGGGAATTTTTTGAGCCACAGCAGCAGTTCGCAATAGTAAAAGTGCAATCAATCGCCCTCAGCCCGAACGAGGACCGACGACTCTCGCTCTACCCTCTCTCTCTTTCTTTCTCTAAACAGCGCTCCTTTGCAGCATCTCTACCTTTTCAAGCACTTACGACGGCATCTATCCAGGACTTCACTGGACTCTACCTTGTAGCCAACATATGGTCGACCCTAGTTGTAGTCGCTCCACGCACGCCTTTACAAAGTAGGTCCAGCGCTCCAAATACGCCCAAATACATGCTACCAGAGAGACTGACTTGCGCATCCTCGCTCCTCAGCCTGACTGTCTCCACAGCAGCAAGCCGGCGCTTTGTCGGCCAACTGATCCTCTTCATTGACTCGAGCGACAGGCCGCCATAACGACGCTGGCCTGCTGGATCACACCACTACGCGTAACCTCGCCTAGGCAAAGCGATACCCAACACAACAAACGACGGCTGAGGCGTCGTCTCCTCCCTCTCTTTCTCTCTCTCTCGCGTTCCCTATCTCAAAAGCCTCTCTTTCTGCCCAGGGCTTGGGCATCTAGGGAAAGCGCAAGGCAGAGCGCTCTTTGGCCAGCCGATGAAGACACACTTTGCCGGCCTCCCAGCGTGCTTCCTCTCCCCCTGAGCTCCTCCTACGAGCACCCACCATTCCACAATCAGCACTCGTCCGGACTCTGTCGCCGAGCGGAGCTCTCCCTTTCAAGGCACGACCAACCTCCGCGACCGAACGACCGGGATGCCGCTGAGCTTCAACCGCAGGACATCGCCCGACGCCAAGGCTCCGGCAGCAGCGCACCTCGAAACGATGCCCTCAGCCACCGGGGTCGCGGCCAAACCAGCCACCAACTGGCGCGGACGCCCTCTGCACAAGACTGACGCTGCACAGCCACCGTTTGATGCGGCCCACGATCCCGAGCTGGCAGGCAAACATCCCAAGCGCTCGTCGAGCTTTGGCATGGGACTCGGCGGCATGCTTGCCAACGGCATGACCAAGGCGGGCGAGTCGTTGGGCAGCAAGAAGGCCGAGGGCGCAAAGACGCCTCCCGGCACTGCGTCTGGCGCATTCACACCTGCCAATGGCATCCTCGGTGGCGGCAGTGTAGGCACCGCTGCCGCTGCCCCTTCAGCCGGAGCCAAGGCCAACCATGCGCTGCCCGATCCGTCGCACCTGGCGCAGTACTCGCTCAAGCTCAGCGAACTCGTCAACAAAGCCTTTGTCCCCTGCACCGGTGGCTCCCACTCCAACGGCACAACCTCGACGACGGGAAGCGCTCTCGCCGGGGCAGCAAAGAGCGCCACGGCGCTCAGCGGTGGCGGTGCATCGATGGGCGCGCCCGCGCTCTCTGCGATCAGCTACGAAGGCAGGAAGCTGCCCAGCAAGGCCGTCATCCTCGAGGTCGCTCACACCGTCGTGGCCGAGCTCGACTATGCTGCCTCTGTGGATGCCTACCTGCTCCGCGCTGCCTCTCGCGCCTCGCTCAAGGCATTGACGCTGTTTGCCACGCGCATCGACTCGCTCCTCGTGTCGCCCACAAAGGATCCCTCGCTCAACTTCATCCCCACGACGGCAAAGGAGGGCCAGAACCCACCGGGGGCACTCGAGTACAACCTCGGCCTCGTCGCCTTGGAGTGGATCGTCGAGGATGCGCTGGAGCGGTGCATCGAAGGCCCGCCCGGCAGTCTCGACGGAGGCATGCCCCACTTTGTCTCCGAGATTCTCACGCCGGTCCGCAAGAAGATGGAAGGCACCATCCTTCACGTCATCCAGCCCCTCTTCGCGTCGATCAAGTCGTCGATGACTGCCTGCCTCTCCAAGGCGGTCCCTACGCCCTTTATGGGCCTCGGCCCGTCGCTCTCGCCCGTGTCTACGCTCAGCTCTCCAGGTGTGGCCGACGTTGCGCCCTTTCCAGGTGGACAAATCACCGGATCTGCCGCTGCTGGTGCGGCGACGACGTCGTTCTCGGCCGCAGCGGCCAACGCCTCTGCCCTACCCTCGGGCCTCTCTTCGCCAGGACCTGCACCTGGCAGCGGTGCGGCCACACCGTCCGCGCCCGTCCCCTCATCGACTGCCTGGCTCAAGGAGCTCGAAGGACGGCTGGAGGGAGCAAGACGGCTCCTCGTGCCCCGGATTGAAGAGCGCTGTGGACAGGACGGCGAGGGATGGTACATCTCGGTGGCAATCCACGTCATCTGGAAGGGCCTCATGATCCTCACCAGCAGGGTCCTTCCCATGCCTGCATCCGTCTATGGACATGCGCCTCTTTCTGCCGTCAGTCCAGGCGCTTCGCTGCAGCAACAACAGCTGCTGCTGGCTGAGTCGAGCAAGCGCAGTCCGAGCCCAGCCCAGCTGACGTCGGCCCTCAAGTCCGTCAGCGTCGGCGTCGTGGGTGCAAAGAAGGACAAGCGTGCAGACTCATTCGACCACCCCAAATCAGCAATGTCCTTTTCTCCTTCGGGTCAGTCAACACCCAACCTGGCGGCTGCCGCGGCGTCTTTCTCGGCCCTTGGCGGCAGTTGCTCTTGGTCCGCCAAAGCGACGGCACATCTCGTGGCCGAGCTCCAAGCCTTTGAGAAGCTCATCATTCGCTTCTCGGCAGGCTTCCAGCCCTCGAAGCTGAAGCCACTGACCAAGAGCAGCAGCGTGACAAGGTCTGCTGGAAGGAAGTCGGGCAGTGGAGACGAAAAGGGGCACGCCGACGATCAGAATGGGGACGACGATGACGACAGCAGCAGCAGTAGCAGTGACGACGACGACGATGATGACGAGGACGAGCTGGCTCGCGCAGCGCTTGCTGAGGCACTGCATGCCATCAAGAGCACCATCATCGTCGCGCAGAACCTGGAGACGCACCCAGAAGCCATCCTGGACGCCGTCTCGACGAGGGCGAAGCATTGCTCGCTGCCTCCCGAAGTCAGCCGAGCCGCCAAGGCGACGCCTCACCTCATCCTCCTCCACCTCGTCTACTCTCGCATGCCCATCCACCTGCCTCACTTTGCCCCCTTTGCACAGGATGCCGAGGACCAAGTTGTCAGCATGCCCTCTCCTCCTGGTGCATTCGGCTACAAATGGGCTGACTACGAGCGCGCCATCGGCGGCTTCGTTGGCGGTGAGAGCTGGGCTGTAGCCCTCGTCAACGAATGGAAGGAGGACATCCAGGAGACGGAGCAGGACCTCGACCGACGCGAAAGGGCGCTGGACCAGGCTGCTCAGGAAGCGACAAAGGCTGCCAAGTCGGCTGCTGACTTTGAGGACGTTGACCACACGCCGACGGCCACGCGGCCGCTGACGACGAGGATGCGAGAGCAGCCACAGGAGCAGGACAAGGAGGGCGCCGACGAGGACTCGCTGGATGCACTCAAACTGCACCGTAGCACGAGTGCGACTGGTCAGAGCGATAGCTCTGACTCGCTCCCCGACATCATGACCAACTCGGCGCCCACGCTGGACTCGGCCAATGCAGACGCCGTTCGCCAGGCCCTGGCGGCGCCCGCCTCGGCCTCGTCTTCTCAGCATTCGCTGCACAAGCTTGACGGCAGCAAGCTGAGCAAGAAGACGCCGTGGGCCTCTCTTGCGCTCAAGCGCAACAAGTCGAGCCAGTCTGCTGCGAGCTCCAACGAGATCAGCCCGGCTGCTTCGCCCGAGACTTCTCCTCCACAGTCGCCTCCCTCTATCCCTCATGGCGCCCCTGGCTCCAGCGTGACCAGCTTGCCGGGCAGTGTCGGGTCTCCGCCGTCGACTGCCTCGGCAACGACGTCCGTGCCGGCTGGAGCGGCGACAGCGCCAGGAGCGGGAGGTGCCAACCAGACACGTCCCAAGCGCTTCTGGCGGCCCAATTCGTCCCAGAATGTCTCGCTCGGAGGCTTCCACCTGCCATCAGGTATTGGCAGAGGTTCCATTCGCAGTTCGAGTCCACGCGGCAATGGAAGCAAGGCGTCGCCCACCTTTGGACCAAGCGGTGGTGTCGATGGTGCGGAGCATCTTGGCAGCGCCGGCACCGGCCACGGCGGCCCAATGACAGAAGAGGAGAGGCTGCGCGAAGAGATGAGAATCGAGAGGGCTGCCCTCAGGTTCCTCAAAAAGGCAGTCGATGGCGTCGCCGCTGCCCGCACCCACGGCCACAGCCAGCACTGAGACGCCAGGGCCGCTCTCCTCTGCCTCTAAGCCATCTTTTTCCTCTTTTTCTGGCATTCAGACCTTACCTGACCAAATAGACATAGGCCCACCATCTACAATACGTCACCATCTGTTCTTCCTTCATTGCTAGTATAGAGTTGATGCTTCACTTTAATCTACCTTTGAGACTGAGAACAGTGTGATTGCGAGCCCGATTTTTTGGCGGTGAGATCGAGTGTGGTCACGGACTTATGACAGTCAGACAAGAGCATCCCGGCCCGTCAACGAGGGCCCTCAATTCCCAGGACCGCTACAGTGCAACAGGAAGCAGAATGGAATAAAATTCAATTTATAATCCACGTGGCCCAAAGATGTCTCTTCTGAATTTTAGTTTTTCTTCCACGTGAGAAAAACTGCGGCCCCAAGAGAAGGCGCGCCTTGTCTGGTTGTAGTCGTCGAAGGCCGGCGCTCCCTCGAAGATCCACCAAATCCTCCCGACCAAGTGACAAGGAGATCAAGCAAAGATGGCTCCCAAGATCGACCCAAACGAGGTCAAGATTATCTACCTCCGCGCCATGGGTGGCGAGGTTGGTTCGTCGAGTGCCCTTGCGCCCAAGATTGGTCCCCTCGGTCTGGTGAGTATTTGCTCTCGAGTGGACGACGAAGCCTGGGGTGGTGGGAAGTGGGAGCACAGGTCGTTGGCGCCGAGGGAAGAAGGTGGAATGGCAGGAGGAATGAATGGGTCAATGTTCAAGGGGAGCGTGAGGGGAGGAGGCTAGGAGGCAGGGGGGCCGAGAGCGATGGAGAGCTACGAGGGTTAGGCGTACAGGGGAGACGACACGAAGAGGCCCTTGGAGAAACGGCATGACTAGCCTCGGACATGATCAAGGAACTGACGCCTCTTCACCTGCAGTCGCCCAAGAAGGTCGGAGAAGACATTGCAAAGGCCAGCAGTGACTGGAAGGGACTCCGAGTCACGGTCCAGCTCACGGTCCAGAACCGTCAGGCCCAGGTCTCGATTGTGCCCGCCGCTTCGTCGCTCGTCATCAAGGCGCTCAAGGAGCCCCCGCGTGACCGCAAGAAGGAGAAGAACCGCCCGCACAACGGCAACATCCCTCTCGACGAGATCATCAACATTGCTCGCCAGATGCGGTTCAAGTCGCTCGCCAAGGAGCTCAGCGGCACCGTCAAGGAGATCCTCGGTACGGCTCAGAGCGTCGGGTGCACCGTCGACGGCAAGCCTCCTCACGATGTCATCGAGGGCATCGACGAGGGCGAGGTCGAGATCCCTGAGGAGTAAATGGTCTCACCACGAGCTCCTTCATGGCGGGATTCGGCGCTGGGTGCTGGGCGCGGATAGAGGCGGGCGCCAGTGATGTGATGCGATGATCGGAAAGACGGTACTTCATGGCGAGATCCGAGGCTGGAGCGGTTCCTCTCGCCACCAAAAGGAGAGGGAGCGAGAGATTCGGTGCTTCACTGTGTCCTCTCTCTCTCTTTCTCTTCTTAATTTTTCTAACTTGGCTCTTCCTCTCAGGGCCGCATGTACTCCTTTATTTTTCTGGCCGAGAGGGCGAGCCCGTTCTCCCTCTCGCTCCATGTCTCTCATACTCTCTTCACACACACCACACAACACACAAAATGCATTGATCCAGAAAAGCACATCAACAAGGCATTAGACCTTCACGAAGGAGAGAGCTGCAATTGGCCAGCCGGCTGATTCGCCGCTTCTTCGGCCCGGTCTAGGGCGCACACTTGTGCGATGTCTAGCCCACCGAGCAAGCAAGGGCTGAGAGAGTGAATGATGGCGCCATTGCTCTGCTATCAGCCGTTTCACTCAGTTGCGTCAACAGCATCAGTGACGTGCATTCCTGGCATGCGACACAACAGACCGGGGCCAAGGCTCAGAGTTGAGGCTTGCTGCGACAACGAGGAGCGCACTCGGTGTCACGCTCAACTCGCCTCGTACGAGTCAATGAGTAAAGCGCGATGTTTTGTTGCGTCTTTTGCTGACCTCAGGCACTTGCACGAGGTGCGAGAGTGGTTTTTTCTGCGAAGAGGGCCAAGCCGACTCCGGGGCGTCGGCAATGGGCCCTTTGCAAACGGGGCTACGCCCCTACCGACTAAATATTTTGGGCGCAGGAAGGAAAACAAACTACACTAGAACTGAAGACAACACACACACAAGGACAGACGGCTCTAGGAAGAGTAGTTATTTTTCAAAGTGACGTGCGAGGTAGTGCTGTGAGGGAGAGGCAGCGAGCGACACTGGGGCTGATGGTCATACTATCACACTGCGCCACTTTTGAGAAGGAATTGAGGTGAAAAAATAAATAAACAAATGGCTTTCGGGGCAGCTCGCGCCCCTGACTGGCCCTCCCTTAGAGGGAAGAAAGGAGGTAGCCAGTGCATTCGGTGAAGGCATGTTGCGCCCCATTGGCTCTCAACCGAGGCAGCGCCGATACCCTCTTATCTCATTGGTCCTCCTTCGCTGTGTGCAAGGCTTGGAAAAGTGGGGGCGAAAAGGATAAAAGGAGGCCCCCCAATCCGGTTCCCTCCTACCTTTTTTCTCCTCACCAACTTTTCTCTCTTCCTCTCTCCCTCACTTCTTCTTCCTTCTCGATAGTAGCAGCTACCACAAAAGAGCAACAGTGAGCAGCAGGACTGCCACCAAGTCTCAACAGCAACGGCAACAGTGAGCGGGTGCCCTCCCTCGCCACCGCATCACGCTGCCAAGCCATGATCAAATTCAGGTTCAAGATGAGGGCAGCTCTTGTCGGCCTGGCCGTCGTCGGACTCGCCCTTATTTTTGCTGAAGGAGTGCAGGCCACTCCCTTCAACAAACATGACAACGACGTGCAAGTCTTTAGCCACGCCGAGGAGCACCAGGGATATGTCGAGCAGGACTCGTCCAGTCCCTTTGCCAAAGGCTTTCATCATTCGAAGCTCACAACGGAGCCCTGGCACCGCCTCGGCACCCCGACCGACATTCTATCCCACGAGACGTTCTCGCCCTTTGAAGTCCACGTTGGACACAACAGCTTGCAGTCCGACCGTCTGGACCAAGAATCTTTCGTCGATGCTTCCGACGCCGGTGACCATCATTCGCTTTTCATTCGTCGTCCTGCTGAAGCGGAGAAGTTTTGGGGTAAGCGCAGTCCGGACGATGGTAGTGCCCGAACGAGTCCCTTACAAGAAGAACCGGGAACAGCCACGAAGCGGGAAACGAAGGATGACTTCCTGAATGTGATTGAAAGGCGTATGGAGAAGGGTAAAAATGATGCATCGGACCTAGATCGTATTCGCGAGCAGCTGAGGAGCTACAACGAAGATCTGGCGAAGGAATTTGGGTCTTTCACAGCGGAGGAGGACAGCGACTCTCATCGAGAGCTGCTTCACCAAGTTGGAAGAGAGGAAAAGGCTCGAGCACTGCGCGAAAAAATGAAAGCAGCATTCCGTGAAGAAAATAGGAGAAATGGCTTCGTTGCGCAGGAGTTCACGGAAAAACAGAAAGAGGCCTTGAAGGTGAGCAGAGCACCGTCTGCACTTTTTGCATGTATTGGGATGACGGAATGTGCTGAACAAATTCCTTTATAGAGAATTCAGGTGAGGAATATAAGGAAGTCGTCGAGGACAATACAGCAGCACTAATGAACGATGTCGTGAACTGACCACTTCGCCTCTCGCAGTGCGCTCGGGTAAGTGTTACGCAAACTTTGGTGGAAGCAAAATCAACTTAAGTGACTTGAACATCATATTATAACAGGATTTTGGGGTGAGTGCGGCAGCCTTTTCTGGTCCGCGCAAAGTAACATAGAGTGAGCTGAATCGTGCTCTCCATCACCGCCACAGGTGTTTGAACGCGTATGGGGGAAGGGAAAAGATGATGGTTCGGGTGGCTCCGATCCTACGAAGCGGGACGTGGGACAACTTTCCTCCGGCGAGGGAGGCATATGGGACTCTGACGAGGTGCGCTGCGCAGAGGTGCCCCGTAGTGGTGACTGGTGACAGCTGATGCGATGTACTTCCAACATGAAGGCACAACTCCAGGAAGACAATTTCCAGAAAAGGAGGTCCGAGCCGCATGAGGTAAAGAAGCGTTGGCCAATCAGAAGAGACCACCCCGCTGACCACCCCTTCCCGTCGTCCTCTCAATCCCCTCAGTCATACGCACCTAAATACCGCCAGAAAGCCTCCACTTGCGCAGTGGTAAGAGAGACTCTTTGACTCCATTGTTCCACCGGCGCTAAACAAGATGTTTTTGTACAGAACGAGAAGGCCAAGTTGTATGCAAGCGAAGACAGTCTGGAACATCAGCACGAAACAGGCTTCGGCATCTCTTTCGAGCGCGAGGAAGCAAGCGATGCAAACGCAATCGACCGACGTGAGCAGTACCTCGCGGAGGGAGACGGTTTTGCAACAACGCTCCAGAAGAGGAGCCCCTTCAAGACAAGCGTCTGGACCCAATTCTCCCACTCGCTTAGCAAGCACCCTTACAGGTTCACAGCACTGTACGCTTCGACCCTCACTTTGAGCAACTTTGCCATTGCCTCAGCCATGTGGGATCAGAGGAGGGAAAAGACCCAGCTCGTTGAATTCGGACAGCACGTCGAGGAAAACAAGAAGATCGGGAGCGGCCTTGTTCGCCGTTCGCTCGAATCCGACGAAGGTGACGAAAAGCATGACAATTCCAAAGTGGGAAGTGCACTTGATTCTGTCGACCTTTCTTCTGGACTGGAGAAGAGGGATGGTAACTTGCCACCCCCCGGCGGCAGTGTAAGTCCGAAGGTGCCCATGTTGACAAAGCTTTTTGCGAAGACGAAGAACGGGGTCTCGAAGCTCAGGATGAAGACTACCACAACCCTTGTGAAGCATCCAAAGTCGGGAATCGGGGCTGCTGTCGTCGGAGGTGCAGCGTTGGGCATTGGAGCGTACAAGGGGGCACAGTACATGAACAAAGACAAGAGCTGGAGACTGCTACATCCTAGCACTTGGTCGTTACCCTGGAAGAGCAGCAAGGTTGCCCCCTCGACGAGTGCAAAGAAAGGCGGCGAGGAGAATTTGAACAGCGTTGACGGGACGGTCGACCCAGTCAAGGGAGTCAGCGGCAACTCAGAAGCCTATCAGTCTTTTAAACACTCCGAAAAGGCGGAGCTTCAAGGCTCTCCGAAATCCTTGAAACCTGAAAACCCAATCGATCCGACGACGCGAGAGCATGAAGATGATGTGAAAGCAAAAACTACCATCGATGATGAGAGCGGCGATCGTCTTCAGCGCCGCTCCCCTTTGCCCGATGGCTTTGAGAAAACATCGGTCGAAAGCATCGACGAGGGAGATTCACTGGCCGAGAAGAGGGAGAGCACGGGAGAGTCTGTGGGATCCGCCGACGAGATGAATCACTTTGCCAAGCGTGGTGCAGAGGAGATTACCATTCCTCTCCTCGACAAGCTGGAAATCCTGGATAACCGAGCTCGTGGAAGCAGCCAAAAGGCAGGAAGTGTCAATCCTGGTAGCAAAGATGCGGAGCAAGTCAAGATGAAGGGAGATACAGCCGATCCACTGCAAGCCCCTGCCGAGGAGATTGGCAAAGCCTTTTATCTCCACAAGTCCGGAACAACACTCATGCCTCATTACAAGAGGCGCTCTGACGAAGAAGAGGCGCTTCTGGCCGTGGCCGAACTGTCGAAGAGGACTCCCTTCGGTGGCGAGGAGTTGCTTGCTTCGACTTACTTGCCCGATCCTTCCACAGCAGCCGTTGCTCTGCTCCCTGCCCTTGATGACATCATCGAAGAAAAACAAAAGTACGCTGTCGTCCTTGAGTACGCCATGATGACCAGCAAAGGTGACTCTGGCGAGTCAAACGTCTTCGAAGCTGCCAAAGAGCTCGACGTCTGCCCTTACACCGTCCCATCCGACCACGCCCCCCAGTCGATGTCGACGTCGACGTCGACAAGCAGTGCGACGAAGGAGGAAAAGGTCCTCTGGGAGAATGTCGAGGAGGTCCAAACACGCACAAAGTTCCTTTGTTTGGTTCTCGCTATGGTACTGTTGCTTGCGTCCATCATTGCCACCATTCGGTTCGTCCGCAGCCATGCTCACATTGCCGGGAGCAGAGTCGTCTGCATCTGCCGTCGCTGTGTCGCTCGCCAGCAGCAGCAGAACAAGCTGCAACCCACCAAGGATCTCCCCGTGTACTCTGACTCGCGCGATCCGGAGACGAGCGCCAAATGGGAGCGCGAGACCATCTACATCGATACTGCCACGTCACAACACAACCAACGCCGCTGCCGCACCGGTCTGAAATGGATGGCCCTCGTATTTGCGACCCTCGTTGCCACAGTCCTCACCACTGCCGCTCTGTCGATGCATAGCGGCAGTAAAGGAATCAATCCCGTCGTCGACCATGTCCGTGGCCTGTCAAACTCGCACATCCACCCGAGTCTGAACAAGAATCGGCGCGGAGACGTATTACTGGCCAAGCGCGGACGTAACACCGAAGAGAATGGTTCATCTTGGCTTCCGGATTCTCGTAAGGCTGATGGTCACCTCACTGAATGGGACGAGCCGGACTTTCATGAAGAACGGCCTCACTCCAAAGACACCGCTGGACACAGCTCTCCGACCCGCGCAGGCAAAGGTGAGCCTAAAACCCGTGGCAGGAGGAGGCGAGTGCGCATTTCTAACAACGTCCACACGTTAGGGGACGGGACCTTCCTAGAAGACGACTTCCACCGCACCGCTGAAGCCACTCCGAAACGGAAGCTCGATCGGGCCAGTTCCGCCCCTCCATTCAATGTCGAAAAGGTTTCTCCCCCCATCTCACCCATGCGCAAGCAGATGACCAAATCCGATTCCTTTTTCAACCGAGAAAGCGAAGGCTATGAGAGTGAGCGAGCCTCTCAGCCGCACGTCGCCGCCGAACACGGACATGGATACCACTCTAGAGCCTCTGTCAGTGCCGAGCACCCATTGTTTTATGGCACCGAAGCCGACCTGAAACACTACAATGCCGCCAGACCTGGGCGTCAGACAATGGAGTATCAGCACGGTATGCCATCGCCTACAGAACCCAGCCAGGTCCAGTCGCACATCGAATCCCATGCCCACAATGCTATGGTGCCCATTCATCCGGGTATGACTGAAAATCCTTATCATCGTGCTATGGTCACCAGACCAGGTGGAGAACTCGCTTTCGGCGATCCTAATGGTCCAGTAATAGAGGAGATACGGCCCCGGACCGATCAGAATGTCGGGTCGCAGCGCCAGCGCAAAGTGCAGGACGAGTCCATAGTGATGGTTGAGAACGAGCCTCACAGGGTGCGTCACGGCGACGCTCATGGCGACGCTCAGGGCGACCTTCATGGCGACCCTCATGGCGGCCCTAATGGCAATCCCCACGGCGACACTCATGGCGACACTCATGGCGACACCCATGGCGAAACCCATGGCGGCCCTAATAAAAAGCCTCCTGGAGGGCACGGCGAACCCCACCCTCAGCCCCACGTCAAGACAGGCGCAAAGGCCGAACCAGCCGCTCACAAGCCGGGCATGACTGCGTGGACGCGTGAAAAGATGACAAAGAGTCCAGGTAAAACGATGGCGGCAGCAGCCGCTCTTGGTGGCCTCGCCGTCGGCGGTTATAGCCTCCTTAACAACTTTGGACTGCCCTGGCTCAACAAGATGGGCCTGACTGGATCAAAGAAGGAGCAGAGCAATGGTGCACCGGGCGTCGATGGTCGTTGGAACACCCGTCGCCCGCCAAGCAAGCTTTTCAGCAGCAAGGCCCAAGCTGTCCCGGCTGCTGCTTGATCACCTGGGAGTGCGACTGTCCCCTGCGCAGCGGTCCCTTTTCTTTTCTGTTCTCTTCCTTTCCTTTTCCCGATTTCATCACTGTCACTTTTTCACCCGTTCCCTTCTCGCCGCCCGTTCCGAAGAAGAAAACCAAGAAAGACACAAAAAGAGTTCGCCCACCATCACTCCCCGTTTCGTCATGTGTGAAATACACCTTTCTAGCCATCAATGTGATTCCGTTCTCTCCCCCTTTTCTGCCTTCCATTTCACTCCCTCAATACGGCCGAAAGCTTGGCTTCTGTCTTTCTTCTGACCTGACCTTGCCACCGGCTGAGCCTGCGTGCCTCGGCCTCCCGAACACCTCGTCGTCGTTGTCGTCGCCATCTTCTAGCCCGCCCGCGCCCTGCTGGAAGCCTTCAAAGTCGAAGCTGTCCGGTGCGATCCGATGCTGCTCCTCTGACGTCTTCCACGCACACACAAGGCCGTCTTCGCCGCCCGTGTAAAACGTCTCGTTGTCGGAGCTGCAGATGGCACGGACAATGTCGGTGTGGCCGTTGTGGAGCTGCGATCCAAACGTGCTGTTCCTCGTGTGACCCGATGCGCCTGATGGGGCCGCCGCCAGCAACCCGTGCATCTGCCACTGGAGCGGCGACCCACCACCTGCGCCGCCGTGGGGCACGCCAATCACGGCCACGTTTCCCCGCTGGTCGCCGCAGTGGAGCATGAGGCCGGTGCCGGCGGTGCTCCATGCATCGATGATGTAGTCGCTCTTCCACCTGTTGCGCACCGATGTCGGCTTGACTGCCCTGACGTCCACGGGCGGCACGAGCTCGTCAAAGTCGTCGGCCTCCCACACGCCGAAGGTCTGCATGTCGCTCGCACTCCAGAAGCAGCCGAGCTTCGTCGTCGCGTCGGCATCGGCATCGGCATCGGTATCGGCACTCTGGTGCGCCCCTGCCCGAGCATCCGCGTAGGGGCTGCCGTCCTTGTTGCGCAGGTGAGGTGGGTCCGGCTTTGCATAGGCATAGGGACTATGTCCAAAGCCCCAGCCGGCTCGGGCGACGCTGGCACCCGTGTTGGTCACGCCAAGCACGGCATCGTCCTCGTCGGTCTGCTGCGTGTCGAGGATGGAGACGAGGCCGTCGCTCGAAGCGCTCAGCAGCGCATGGGACACAGTGCCGTGGTATGAGAGCCAGGTGACGTCGTCCGAGTGCGACTCGGTGTAGGTCAACTTGGGCTTGCTGGGGTTCCGAGTGTCCCTGGTCAATCGAATGAACACATCTTCTGGTCAGCATGCATGCATGGAACGACGCCTCTGCTGCTGCTGGCGTGAGGCGATATATGCGTGTGCGGGAGCACTCACCAGATGTCGACGGTGGCATCGACGCCGTGGAGCTCCGTGCCCGCAGCGACCGAGTGCCCGTCGGAGCTGGCTGCGACCGAGAGGTAGGGTGCGCCCGAGGGACCTCGCAGGCATATCCGCTCCTGGGGCCCTCCACCACCACCTGCAGCCTCAAAGTAGCTGATGACGCCGTTTCTTCCCGCTGCGAACCAGGCGGGCCCACCAGCGACGGTGCAGAGCGAGGTGCACATGCCTCCCGCCTCCCACGCGCGCGGCGTCGAGGTCAGTGCGAGCCGGTGCCGGTCGAGCGTGCGAAGGACGCCGTCGTCGGTGAAGCAGACGAGCGGGCCACCACCACCACCAGAGCTGCCGCCAGAGGCCGCCAGGTGTGTCACATAGGGCGCCTTGGATGAAGATGCAGCCGCGGTGCTAAACGACGCCGCGGGCCGGTACACCTGGCATCCATCGGTGGCGAGCGTGATGGGCAGTGCTGCCATATTCGCGCCTTGCTGCTTCTGGGCGAGCTAGTCCTGCGAGAAGAAGAAGGAGCAATTCAGAACGAGCGGAGAAAAAAAAAAAACCAAAAAAAATTAGTCTAAAGACGTTGGCTGGTGCGCGCGCTCCAAAAAATTCTGGCATGTCGGCCGAAAAGCCCCCTGTCTCAGGAGTAACACAAATCAACACTCCGCACGGCCCGTCGCGTTAATAGCAGTAGCAGCAGCGACGACGACGACAACGAAGACGGCGTTGGCGGCTCAGCAGTGGCCACTGAGGTAGCAGCAGAGGCAAGAGCGCACATAGCGGCTGCAACAGGAAGGCGACTGTGAAAACAAATTGAGAAGGACGCCCTCATTAATTAACGCACAGCGCCAATGGAGTGAACGACTGCAACGCCCACCGACGACGACCTTGACGAAAACCAAGCACAACCATGGCGCACCCCGTCGATATCCTCCAGGTCCTCCTCCCGGACTCGCTGTCGATTCTGTCTGCCTCGATTCCCGCACACCGGACTGGCACCACAGCGTCAGACTTGGTCAGGAGCCTGCTCGGCGATGCGGCCAATGCCGAGACGCTCGCCAGAGTCTTTGGCTACAACTACGAATGGGACGCCGTCGCGCACGATCAGCGGGGGACGGACCATGGGACCTGGTGGATTGACACACGAGGTATGCCCTGGGCCCTTCAGACGGTCGAGTCGTCACCGGCCAATCGCGAATGGACGCAGGACGATCTCGACTCGCTCGGCGATGGTGAGTGCGCAGCTGTGCTGTGTGGCACACTACATGCTGTCTTTACCTCTGCTGATGCTGACTTTTGTCTTTGTAAACTCCCCTTCCCAGGCCTGCTCCCGCTAGACACGCCCGTCCTGAGCTTCCTCCAGGGCCTCGTCGCGCACACGGGCTCTGCCTTTTCTGACTTTGCCCTCTCGTCGCACCTGCACACGCCTCGCCTGCGCCTCGTCTGCGGCGCGCCCGGCCTGGCCGTCCGCTTGCGATTCGCCCACGTCCCAGAGATCTACGACGGCTGGGAGTCGCGCGTCTGGTTCCTGCCTGCGCCGACCGAGGAGGCAAGCACAGCCACGGGCACAGGGACAAGCGCAAAGGCCGTCGTCGAGGCCGTCGTCGACGAGCTCGGGATACGCAAGGTGGTGCTCCAGGGCAGCAAGAGTGCCCGCGTCGAGTACGCGTTGGCCGACGTGCCTCACGCTTCGTCGTCGTCGTCGTCGTCGTCGTCTACCTCTGGGCCCTTGCCTCCTCCGCCACTGCCTGCTGGTCTCTCGCTGCCCACCCATCTGCTCACGCTTCCTGGTCCCCCCGAGGCGTACCCCTGCCTCCTCTTTACCATCTCGGCCTCATGGCTGAGCAGGCTGGGCACCGTCGCCCTGGGCTTCTCCAAGCATGCCAGGCGGGCGCCCTCGTCGGACACCGGCCCAGCAGTTGCCGTGGGCAAGGCAAAGGGGCAGGCCGCACCAGCCTCCTCGCCGAGGAGGACCAGAGACGCAAGAGGCAACGATGACGACGACAACGCCACCTCGAAGCCCGCACCGAAGCAGGCGGCCAAGCCGGGCCTGCTGGGCCTCTGGAGTGCCAGTGTCAGCCGGGCCTCGGCACCCGTCTTGGCCGACGCCACCTATGAGCCCAGCAGCTCCAGCTCGGCCTCGGCGACGGGCGACGATGAGCTGGATGCGCTTGCAACGGATACAGCAATTCTTGGCAGGAGTCATGACGCTGCTGCTGACGACGACGGGGAAGGCGATGACGACGAGGACGGAACTCGCGAATCTGGAGAAACTCAGGCCGGCGCTGGGGGCACCGTCAAGGCGCACCACGAATCCTCAAAGCCGGGCAATGGGGCGATACCGCCGCGGAGTCGAGGCGCAAAGAAGGACGACGGTGTTTCGGCAACGGCCAGACTCAGCCGCATGTTTGAAGGCTGGATCGGCGCCCAGGAGGGCTTGGAGAAGGAGCAGAAGCAGCAGGCTGTAGAAGCGTCGCTCATCCACGCGGCACCGTCGACGCCCTCGCCTGCTGCTCGCGGGAGGATCAGCGCAGGCGCAGGCATTCGCACGATGAGCGTCAGTGCGCCGCTGGAGCTGAGCGACGAAGCAGTAAGCCCGGGCGGCAGATCGGCGGGTCTCAAGTCGCCAAAGATGGCCACAACACCCATGGGAAAAGCGATTGCCAAGGGCGGCGACGTCGTCCTCCTCGAAGGTGACGCCCTCGACCGGCGCTTCGAGGAGCTCATGAACGACCTGGGCATCAAGGGTGCCAGCCGCAACGCCATGGTGGCCCTCGCAGACGACCGAAAGCGCTTCCTGATTGCTCAAAACGATGCAGCAAAGGGCCCTTCGTCGGCGGCACCCATCACTCCGTCCAAGACTGGCAACTCTGGCGTCGAGCCTCTGTCTTCCTCGGCCGCCGCTTCTGGAGGTGGGATCGCGGACACGCTCAGCCGGGCGAGCACGGCCTTGGCGTGGGGACCGCGCTTCAGCATCGCAAGCATCGCTGGCTGGGCCGGCAGCGGCAGCGGCGGCTCGGACGATGCGGCCAACAGCCCCAGGACCAGCCTGACAATGACGACAAACACGACGAACAACAGCGGCGAAGGGAGCGCCGCCAGCAGCAGCAGCAGGCCCACGACGGTCCACCTGGCCGACGAGATGGGAGCCACCGAGAGCAGGAGCCCGGGCGCAGCAGCCTCGCTCCAGCAGCAAAAGACGGGTGCGAGCGAGGGAGGCGTGGGCGCGAGCAGCCTATGGAGCAACTGGTGGGGCAGCAGCGGCGGTGGCTCCAGCGCCGGCATCTCGGAGAGGGACACGCCGTCGTTCTATCCGCAGACGATTGCGGCAGGCAAGCTGAGCCGCAAGGACCTCGTCAAGCACCTCATCAGCCTCCGCGTCACGCTCAGCTCGGCCAAGGTCACCTGGATCGCCGCCTTTCTCGACGAAGGCGGCCTCAACACCCTCGAGTCGCTCCTCGCCGCCGAGACGGAGCCGCTGCTCCGGGGCCAGATGGGCGACCGCAAGGAGATGAGCGACACCGTCCTCACCGAGTCGGTCAAGTGCCTGCGCACGCTCATGAACACCGAGGTTGGCTTTGACCGCGTGCTTGGGCGGCCCCACCTGGTCACCTGCATCGCATACACGCTCAAGTCGCCCTCGTACAAGCTCCGGTCCCAGGCTGCCGATGTCCTCGCTGCCCTCTGTGTCCTGAGCCTCGATGACGGCCACCGGCTCGTGTGTGCCTCGCTGTCGGAGCTGCGCGTCGCCGCCGGCGATCGGTACCGCTTTGCCTTTCTCGTCGACAGCCTCCGCCTCGACCGCGTCGGTGGTGGCGCGGGCGCGGGCGCGGGCCCCGAGGGCGACGACGATGGCCAGGACGAAGGCGACGGCGCGGCCGTGTGGGACTACCGCACCTCTGCGTTGGTCCTCATCAACGCCATCACCAACAGCCCAGAGGATGTCGAGGAGCGCGTCGCCCTGCGCGAGGAGTTTGCCAGGCGAGGCCTCAACGAGGTCATGGTCGGCCTGCGTTATGTCGAGCCGCCAGACGGCGTGGTGACGCAGCTGCACGTCTATGCCGAGGAGAAGCAGGAGGACCAGGAGGAGCTGCAGGACCGCACGATGATGTCGGTCCGCTCCTCGTCCGTCACCCCGTCCTCCTCCTCGGACACTCGCAGCGAGACGTCGGTGTCGCTGTCGCAGCATCACACGGGCGAGGCGGCCGCGCTCCTCGGCGATGTCGGTCGGCGCCTGGCTGCCACCAAGCTCGACCACCCCGAGGCATACCCCCGCTTAGCTGCCATGATCCAGCACGTGGCCGATGTCCTCGATCGCAATGAAGCAATCGTCGACGACAAGATCCCCACCGACGTCGTCGACGTGCTCGCAGCCTTTGTCGAGCACGTCTCCCAGGTGCGAGACTTTGAAGACGGCTGGCGCAAAGCGATGCGCCTCTTCCTGTCGGACATCCAGCACGTCGTGGGCAAGCAGGCGATGATCAAGGCCAACCGGCTGAGCGACACGAGCACGGTGCCCAGCAGCTTCGTCGAGGAGCTCGAGGGCCTAAGGAGCCAGGTCGAGCAGCTGAGCGAGGACAAGAGCCGGCTCAAGCGCGACCTCGACGAGCAGGTGGCGCAGGCCAACACGCTCCGCTCCCTGCCTGGCTTCAAGCGCAAGTCGGTGCAGTCGTCTGCCGTGGCCGCCGAGGGAGGCGAGCAGCAGCAGCAGCAGCAGCAGCAGCCACAGGAGAAGCAGAGTGGCGCGTCAGCGTCCGCAAACGAGGGGAGAGAGTCGTTTGCAGGCGTGATCCAGCGCTTGGTCCAGAAGGAGAAGCAGGTCCTCCAGCTCCAGTCGGAGCTCGACCGGATCCAGGGCGCATCGGCCTCGTCGGACGCAGCCGCCGGCGCAGGGTCCAGTGCAGCGCCTGGTGCCAGCGGCAGCGGCAGTGGCAGCGGCGGCGATGAGGAGCGAGCAAAGAGGGAGCGCCAGGAGCGCAACAGGCAGTGGTCCAATCTCATGGAGGAGATTGCGCGGCTGCGGGAGCAGATTGCCGACAACGAGGCGCAGCTCGACTCGCGCGAAAGGGAGATCAAGTATCTCAAGAGGGTCATCGAGAGCGTCTACACGCGCGGAAGCGGTGTCAATGACGCCGCCAGCGCTCTCGCCAGCGGTGCAAATGCAAGTGCCGCCGACAGCAGCAGCAGCAAGATGACGCCCTCGTCCTCTTCGACGTCGCTGTCAGAGGACGCGAGCGCAAAAAGGCAGCCGGGCATGGACGCCGATGCCATGGCTCAGCGCACCATCGAGCAGCTCAACGAGCGCGACGCAGAGATTGCCGCCCTGAGGTCGGATGTGGCCAAGCTTCAGGAGCAGATGCTGCGGTCCGACGAGCAGCAGAGCGAAGAAGCAAGCAGGACCAAGGCGCAGCATGACGCGAGCACAGCAGAGAGGGAGGAGCGCATCGCGAGGATGCAAGGCGAAATGGCGCAGTTGCAGGTGCTTCTCGTCCAGCTCCAGCAGCAGTCTGTGCTTGCTGCCTCTGCCTCTGCCTCTGCTTCTGCTCCTGCCCCTCCGCCACCACCACCACCACCACCACCACCGCCACCAGCGCCACTAGCGCTATCGAGCGAGCCAAAGGCAGCAGCAGCATCAGCAGCGGCAGCAGCATCTAATGGAGCTGGTGGCCCTCCACCGCCACCGCCGCCGCCACCACCACCGCCGCCGCCGTCAGCACCACTGGCTTTGTCAGCATCATCGGGAGGCGGTCCTCCACCACCGCCGCCACCACCACCTCCGCCGGGTCCAGGGGCACATACTCTCGCTGGCGGGCCGCCTCCGCCACCGCCGCCTCCGGCCCCCGGAGCTCCGCCGGCACCGGCGCCTCCCAAGCCACTTTCGGCGCCCAAGCTGGCCATCCCGTCCAAGAAGCGCAAGCCGCTCTTTTGGAACAAGCTCCCGTCACACGCGCTAGCCCAGACGGTGTGGGGCGACTTGTCGGACAAGGTATCCACAGCAGCAGGACCCAAGGTGCCCATCGACGACATCGACCGTCTGTTTGCGCTTGCACCGGCAACTGCCGCGTCGGCCGCCTCGAGACAGGCCGGCGGCGCCAGCAGCGCCGATTCCAAGAGCTCCAAGAAGCAGGCCCAGACGACGCTGATTGACCTGCAGCGGGCCCAGAACATCAGCATCATCCTCACACGCATCAAGCCCTCCTTTGCACAAGTCAGGGCCGCGCTCCTCGAAGTCGACTCCGACGTGCTCACCCTCGACCATCTCCGTGCCCTCAAGGGCTGCCTGCCCACCGTCGACGAAATGGAGCTGGTGCGCGACTATGACGGCGATGTCTCGAGCCTGTCGAAAGCCGACCAGTTCTTCAAGGCCGTGTTGGGGATTCCCAAGCTCCACGAGCGTCTCCAGGCCATGGTCTACATGCGCAAGTTTGACGTCGACGTCGAGGAGATCAAACCCGATCTGCAGGTCTTTAGGAGGGCCATCGACGAGATGCGGGGCAGTGACAAGTTCAGGGCGATCCTCGCGACGGTGCTCCAGGTCGGCAACGTCCTCAACGCGAGCACTTTCAGGGGCAGCGCCGTAGGATTCCAGCTGGGCGACCTGCTCAAGCTGCGCGAGACGAGATGCGCTGTGGCGAATGACGGCAGCATCAACACGACCCCTACTCTGCTTCACTTTGTCGTCAAGGTACTCAACGACGCCGACAATGGCCTTGTTGGTTTTCTCGACGAATGTCCAAACGTCGAAGCGGCTGCCCGGCTCTCGACGCACTCCGTCATGGCCAGCGTCAAGACCGTCGTCAGCGGCCTGGACCAAGTGCGGGACGAGGTCAAGTTCCTGTCCAAGATGCGCATCGCCTCCGCAAACGATCGCTTCGTCGAGGTCGGAAGTGACTTTGTCAAGAGAAACGAGATGCTCGTCAAGTCTGTCAAGCTCGCGGGCGAGGAGGTCAAGCGGGACCTGGCCAAGATGCTGGGCTACTACGGCTTTGCTTCTGACGACCAGCCAGCGGGGCCTCAGCAGCAGGCGATGCCCCAGACCAAGCCGGAGGACTTCTTTGGGCTCATTTCGTCGTTTGGACAGGCAATGATGCGTGCAGAAGTCGAGGTCCTCGAGGCTGAGCGTCGCGAGGCGGATCGAAAGAAGAAGTTCGAGGAGAGCGAGAAGAAGCGGCGGAGGCTCGAGGCTGGAAGGCCCTTTGTCTTACCAGAGCCCGTCGGACCAGAGGTTCGCGGTCCTCTTGCCTCGGTTCGCGAAGAGGAGAACCGCTCGTCCGAGGATGGGACAGGCGACGGTGGGACTGTCAAACGGGCTCCATTGGCGCCAGCTCAGTCACCCAACGGTAGCTCAAGCTTCGAAGACGAGACGCCGACGCCGACGGCGTCCAAGCCTGGGTCTCGGTTCCGGTCGTGGGGCGCCTCGGCCGTCGCAACGCTCGATCGGGTGCAGGACCAGGAAGAAGCCGAGGAGGAAGAGGCGGGTGCTGGAAGGGAGAGCACACTCAAGAAGGCGCAACGCAGAGAGGGCTCGCGGAGAAGCTACGGCCGCAGGGGACATCTCGACGAGGTTCTCAAGGATCTGCGCTCTGGCGGAGGAGGTGCCAATGCCCGCATGAGCCTGTATGCTGCTGGCAATGGTGGAACTGCCACCATGTTGCCGTCCCCGAGCAGCAGTAGTAGCAACATCAACCACAACGCGCTCAGCAACGGTGGTGGCTCAAACACCATCAGTGGGCGAAAGAGTCTGAGAGTCAAGGCCGAACCAAATCACCGGCCCTTGTCGAGGGTCTTTCTGACGGGCGATTAGATGTATTGCTCTCTGCCTTCTGCCCTTGTTCAATCCTATTGTAATGCTAGACAATGGTCTTGTTCGTGTGCTCGAGCAATGATACCTTGTGCCACTGTAGCAAGCCAGACTGCAAGGATGAAACGACACGTGAATTTTTCAGAGGGGGAAAGGGATGGCTCGAGCGTCGTCAGACTGTGTGTGTCGCGAGGAATTGGGTCAATATCGTTCACCATCGACCAGATCGTCGTCCTGCGCCAAGCTCCTTCTCCTTGAGTGTAGTACATCGATGCAGGACGAACGTGTCGATGCCAGTGGCAGCGGCGGCGGCAGTGCCGCAGCTGCTGTTGCAGCGAGCATCCCAACGCTTTCCTCGATGGAGGATGTCGTCGCGCTGATCAACCAAACGTCTCCGTCGCCTTCCTCTGCCTCAGCAGCAGCAGCCGGACAACCTGTCTCGCCGCATATCCGCGAAACGCTGCTACCCGCGCTTCAGAAGCTCCTGCACTCGCCAAAGGGGCGCGGAGAGAGGGTGCTCCTGGGCGCACTGCAGGGTGGCGTCGACCCACTCTCGGCGCTCGATTCGAAGAACCACACGTTGGGCATCGCATACATCTTGTGAGCAGACCCGAGGGAAGTTATTGGCGTGGAGCGAGATGCTTACCGATGAGATGCAGGGCAACGAGGTGCTTGAATGCGCCAGATGGGCCCGTGGCAAACGGCCTCGCCCCCCACGTCGAGAAGTTTGGGCTCCAGTTCATGCCCGAGCAGCTCGTCGGCGCCGGAGAGATTGGTGAGTTCGCGATTCGAGCTTGGTTCACATGTATCAAGCTGACTGGCTGCATCGCACAGTAACTATGCTCGCAAAGGGCTTTGCTACAGTCGGCCAGCTCATCGGCGACGTGAGTGCTCGCTCTGTCTCACTGTTTGATTAACTGCGCTGAGAGCTCCTTCGTCCTCACTGCCAGCCAATGTGGGCTCTCATCTCCATCAGCCGCCTCTTTGACGGCTTCCGTGCGGCCCACGGTAACCTCAACAACTTCACCACGCTTCACCCCATCTTTGTCTACGTGAGTATTTCCCATCATTTCTCGCCAAACCTTGGTAGCAAGCTTAGAGTTTCCACCACCGAACAGCAATGTCTGCGGACGAGACACTACAACATGGCTGTCGATTGGGTGCTCCAGCACGAGCTTACAGATGCGAGTCGCGACGTGACACCTCTGAGCTACACGGACGTGCTCGAATACTTCTACTATGGCGGCCTGACCTTTGCCAAGCTGGGCAATTTTGAGAAAGCCGTAGAGTTCTTCGAAGTCGTGAGTGATTCGGCCTTGCTGGGCCTTGCTGCGCAAGGCGATTTGCCGCCGACTGCTTGCTGACGGACGCGCGGACGATCAGTGCGTCTCTTCACCTGCACAGCAAGCATCGGCCATCCAGATTGACGCATACAAGAAGCTGCTTCTCGTTCAGCTCATCGCGCATGGCAAGACAAGCAAGCTTCCTCGCTACACTTCTTCGTCGGTGACGAGGGCCATCAAGGGCCAAATTGCCCATCTCGGCTTCTATACCAGCCTCGTTGACGCATACGAAGCCCGCTTTCTTCCTCAAATGGACCGTGATGGCGGTGTAGGCTCAGCAGGCCTGCAGCAACGGGATCGGGTCATTGGGGCGGCTAATGCCGGCGCAGAAGCGTTCTCGAGGGACATGAACGTCGGTCTCGTCCAGCATGTCGTCTCCCTCCATCGGCTGCGCCTGGTCAGACAGCTGGCCAACAGCTTCGAGACGTTGGCACTGGGTGATATTGCCAGGCTCGTCGGAGGGCTAGAGGCAGATGTCGAGGAGGGCGATGAATTGCAGTCCGCATCAAAGACCGCTCTCGAAGACATCAGAGAGATTGTAAGTCGGCGCCCCTTCCTCTTGATTCGGTAGGCTGACTTCCGGCATGTTCAATCATGCAAGGCTGCGAGAGGCTGGATACAAGTGTCACTACAAGAGGCCAGTCCACTGTCGCGCTCGATCGTCCGCTTTTCTCCAATCGAATTGTCAAAGTTCGACGGCTTAGACTCCATCGAGCTGCTGACCAAAACGATGAGCGAGGCCAAGCGTTGGGACCAGATTGTCGAGGCCAGGGAGAGGGCTGTTGCGCGGAGCGAGGCATTCTTGACGAAAGCGGTGAGTTTCCTGCCACACATGGAGAATGTCACGGAGGATCGACGTGAGAGTTTGAATCTGACCTCGAATTGCGGCGAGCAGCAGGCGAATGGGTCCAGTCGGGATCGTTTCGGGGCAGGCGGCGGCGGTGGCGGCATGTCCATCGACGACTACGACGAGGATGGTGAGGATTTCTTTAAGCCTTGCGAGAAGGCAGAACCGACGCTGACTTTTGGCTTTCTTTCACTAGAGTCTTTCAGCTAGACCAACCGTAGAGAGAGGCATTACTTCCTTGGCAGACTTTACACACACGTATACACAACAACGCCGATGTACCCTGCGCTGCTCTCACGTTCAGCCGTGGGGTCTATGGAATCGTGGTCCCTGCAATGGTCAAATGAAAAGCGATCAATCTCTTCAGATGACTCGCCTAAAATCTAGAGTGAAGCTTTGATGATGATGATGATATTTGACTGATGGTGAGGTAATCATTGGTGATGATAATGAAATACAGGCGTGACTATGAAAGGAGAGCCAAGCGAAAGCGCTGAGTGAGAGAAAAGGGCGTTTCAGAAATCGTCATTGATGATGGTGATGCCTCCTGCCTTGGTTGCTGTTGCCGCTATCTCCCTGCATCACCATCGCTTGCCCACTGTTTGTCGTCGCTGCTGGTGAGGCAGAGGAAGGACTCGGAACCTCGACGGCCGTGACGAGGCCCTTTCTTCGCTTGGCCTGCCTTGTCGCGGACGAGGAGTCGATAGAAGCGCCGCTCTCCGACGACGTCTGCGTCTTTGTCCGAGTCTTTCGAGGCGTCGGCGGAAGATGCGGCGTGGGCACCGCGAAGGTGAATGCCGATTCTATCGATTCAGACGACAGCAGCGCAGACGATGACGAAGCTTCATTCTTCCGCTTCTCGGATGTCCTGGGCGGTGCCGCGCTCCGGCTTTGCGCAGCAGCTGCTGTCGTCGAAGATGCTGCTGCGCCTGCTGATGCTGCTGCTGCCGCTGCTGCTCTGGCTGTTGCTGCAGGCATCGTCTCAAACGTCCCTGTCATTTCCTCTTCCTCCTCGCCGCCCGCTGTAGTGGTCCTCCCTCTCGCACCCTCCTCCTCTTCATCCTCGCTCTCGGCCCGGATGGCGTCGATGCGCGCGCGAAGGTAGCGGACAAGCCACCTGAGCTCCTCGCGGTCGACGTCTGCTGCGTTGCCTTCCACGGGCATCGACGAAGAAGACGATGATGTCGAAGGCGACGAGCGCCTCGCAGCGCCTGGGAACGAGCCAGGAGGCTGCTGCAGCCTCAGAGAGACGACATCGAGGATATCGGCCAGGCTCTGCGCGTAGCCCGCCGCATACGATCGTTTCGAGACGGATAGCGAGGTGCGGTAGAGCGTAGTCAATTGCAGCGCCGCCGCTGATGGTGCTCACAGGGTCAATACATTGCCTCGTCGCTTGTCACGGTCTGAACTTACCCTTGAAGTCGCGCGTCAGGGCGACCTCGCCCCTCTTTGCCGACGCGGACGCAGGATGGCGCTCGCGAGACGACGAGTCGAGGCTATCGCGTAGGTTTGTCAGATCCATCCTCTAGCTTTGCCTCTTCTGACTTCGAAGCTGTGCACCCTCTTCTCAAAGTCGATAGCGCTGGTGATGGAGAGTGCTGAGGAAAATACTTCTTGGTGAGACTTCGACGCAAGGGCTCTGCCAGCCCTCGAACGCCTCTCGATTCAAGATGGTGATCGATGACGGGAGTCCGGACAAGTCCACTAGAGAGGTTTTTTTTCTTTGTCCTGTTTCTGAAATTTAAAATTCAAGACCAACTATTTTTTTCTCGATGAGTACTGGTAGTGGCTGAGGGACCGACCCAGTCAGTCAGTCAGTCATCAAGGGTGAATCTCCACGTGTAGGGTTAGTGAGACACTGAGTGTTGCGCGTCTGGCGTGGACCCTGTCGGTCGGCTTTCTTCCCCCACTCCTCCATCAAGCCTACGCTGACCCTTCTGCGATTGAGAGCAATGGCCAAGGGCTTGATAGAAGCTGTCAATTGCTGCTCAGCTGCTGGCTAGCTTGGGACAATGATGAAGCTGATGATGCTTTTCTGCCGCTTTGCTTTGTGTGCATGCGACTAAAACAAAAGTCCTGGGCGACGTGTCGACGTGGGGGAGCCCGAGTCCAGGTGTCGAGTCCTAAGCCAGCCTCGACAAGTGACGAAGTAAAGGTAGGTGGTCTCATAACCTACCAATGCCAGTCAGACTCCCAGAGTCGGAAGCCACTATTCGCCAGGCCGTGTGCTCACTCAGCCCGACAAATGTAAGCTTAGGAGCACCCTGAAGCGCCTCCAAAAATAAGGTTCCCTCTCTCCACTTCCGAGCGCTATGCCGCACGGAGAGGCGCCCCTCGACAAAGTGGCCGTTGTCGTGTTGGGCAGCGGAAATGCAGCCTGCAGCGCTGCGCTCTCGGCCGCCGAGACGCTTTCCTCTGCCTCTTCCTCCCACTCTGGCGGCGGCGGCGGCGGCGGCGTACTGATGCTGGAAAAGGCTCCGGAAGAACAGAAGGGCGGCAACACCTTCTACACGGCGGGTGCCTATCGGTGCGCGATCCCTTCACCTGCACTCGACAGCCTCCTCTCCATCCCGGTGCACAACGTCGCCGAGTCTGTCCAGCCCGAGTCGGATCGCGAGCCGCTCGTCGTGGGCAGAGACTCGATCGACGTGCCCGAGTACGGGGCAGGCGACTTTAGAGCAGACATGGAGCGGGTGACGAAAGGAGAGTGCGACGAGGGCTTGACGACGGCCCTTGTCGAGGGCAGCTGGGATGCCGTCAGGTGGTTGAGCCAGAGGCACGGCGTTCGGTTCCGACTGAGCTACGAGAGGCAGGCGTACAGCGTCGAGGGAAAGTTTCGCTTCTGGGGCGGTCTCTGTAAGTGCCTGCGGTGGAAACAAGATCCCATTCGAGCTCAATCTAGACCATGCCAGTCCTTTCGACGCAGGGCGGCGGTAAAGGCCTGGTGGAGCAGCAGCATGCCTCTGTGCGAAGAAACGGCATCCGGGTGCTATACAATGTCCATGTCACGGGGCTGGTCACACGCTTTGATGGAACAGCCGTCGAGGGCGTCGATGTCTGCCTGGCAGACGGCCGTCGAGGCTGGATAGAGGCCACGGGCGGTGTCGTCCTCGCCTGTGGCGGCTTCGAGAGCGACCGTGACAAGCGCGCGCGTCACCTCGGGCCCTCCTGGTTGGCGGCTCACGTTCGGGGCACACCGCACAACACGGGCGACTTTCTCTCCCTCGTGGAGCCAGTACGGGCCAAGCTGTCGGGAGAAGCAAGCTTCGGCGGGTGCCATGCCACATGCTGGGACGCCCTGACGGATGCAGACATCGGTGATGCCAATCTGACGAACCAATTCACAAAGTCGGGCTATCCATTGGGCATCATTGTCAACCGCCAAGGCCGCCGCTTCGTCGACGAGGGCGAAGAGTGAGTCCGGTCTGCTGCTGCTGCTGCTGTTGTGTTGGCTGAAGCTTACAAAAACATCAACAACAGCATGCGAAACTACACGTACGCAAAGATCGGCAAAGCCATCCTCGATCAGCCCAGGAGCATTGGAATCCAGATCTACGACTCAAAGACGATTCCGCTCCTCCGCCGCGAAGAGTATGCGTCCGGCATCGTCAAGCGGCCCATAGAGGCGGATACGCTCGAGGAGCTGGCTAAGCGGCTCAAATTGCAAGATGCAGAGGCTGAAGCAGCATTTCTGGAAGAAATTCACAACTTCAATGCTGCAGTGCGCAGCTTCGAGAGGGACAATGGCGACAGGAAGTTTGATCCAAGCGTCAGGGACGGCAGAGGGACAGCGGAGCTGCCCATACCCAAGAGCAATTGGGCTCGTGAGTCGGCTTCCCTTCCTCTTTGCTTCTTTTCATCTCATGTCGCTCACTTGCTTTTTTTTTTTTTTTTTTTTTTTACACCGTCCAGAACAAATCAACAAGGGCCCCTTCCTGGCCGTTGAAACGACGTGCGGCATCACGTTTACCTTTGGTGGACTCAGTATCGACCCCATGACGGCTTCTGTTCTCTCCGCCAAAGATGAGGGAGCGAGCATAGAGGGCCTGTATGCCGCGGGCGAGTGCACCGGAGGGCTCTTCTACCACAATTACCCTGGTGGATCTGGCCTGACGAGCGGAACCGTCTTTGGGCGGAAAGCCGGGAGAAGCGCAGCGCTTGCGGCGCTAGAAAAGCAATGAAGCAACGAGAGGGGGGCGGCAACGGGCTTGTACGCAATGTCATGCTGAGGGGAACTAATCGACTAGAGGCTAATGCTACACAGGATGAACAATTTGTGCCATCTACAAGGCGTGAAACCAATGAAGAAAAGCTCGATAGGATGATAGGGGATCAAAAATGCTGAGTCCAAGAAGAAAAAAGAAGAAGAGGTTCAGCGACGGCTCTGCTTAGAAGAGGGTGGCGGCGATGAGGACGCTCCCAGGTCGGCTCCCATCCACCGAGCCAGTTTGTTGACAACACCTGCGCCGCTCTCGTCGGTGACGGGCCCTTTTGAGCTTCCACTAAAACTCCTGTCGTTGTATCTGGGCTGCTGCTGACTGCTGCCACTTGCTCTCCTGGTGTTGGAATTTGGCGAAGGCGAAAAGGCAGAGTTGAAGATGGAATCGGCGTCAGCGTTGACATTGGCGTAGCCGCTCTTCCTCTGTGCAGCAGGCCCGCCTGAGGCCGCACGGCTGTTTCCGAACCAGCCGCCTGCTGAGTTTTCGTCACTTCCTCGTCTTGAAGGCCGAACGTCCCGGTACTCGCGCAACGGTCCATGTCGCCCACCGGCAGAAGCCGCGGAGCCAGAGGCGCCGGCAGCATTTGAAGGGTTCTGGAGAGCCTGCCAAAGGGTGTTGAATGTCTGTCCCACGATCGGAGCCGCGGCGGCGGGATTCTGCAGGAGAGTTGGTGCAAGTCGCTGCGCAATCGGGTCTGTTTTTGTTTTAAGTCGGTTTTGTTGTCGTTGTCGAAGAAGAAGCAGGCAAGAAGAGGGGGAGCTGAAGCGTTAGAATAAAGGAAAAGCTAAAGCGAAAAAGATGGCCAAAGAAGAGAGGTGAAGACCCATTCAGTACCAAGCCTCGGGAGCCAGACGTTGCCGCGGCAGTTCTGCGGCATGAGGGAGTGGAAAGGGGATGGATGTGGTGCTTCCGACCATCAACTCACAATTTTTGAGGACATCAGTCCAGCTGTTGGGCGCACCACCGCTCAAGTCGACGCCTGTCCGACCAGCAGCTACTCTTGCACCCTTCTGGACATCTCCCTCACCGAGATGATAGGCCACGAGGAGGATCAACACGCCGAGGACGACGGCCCACTTGAGCGAAAAGATGAAGATGCTGAACATCGACTTGATGGATCGGTAGAGGATCATGAATGACAGGTAGGTAACCAGGAGCAGAATCGCGGGAGGCACCAAAGTAGACGTGTAGCTTGGCGGATCGTTGGACTTGCCCAGCGTCAAGCGGTAGATGAGATCAGAGATCGAGGCCAGAATCGTAACGACGGGCGCAGGCAGGACGAGGGCCAAGAGCTGCTGCACCTGTGCGGAAAGATAGTTGATGTCGTTGGACGCAGCACTTGGGCTGGCCGGCTGGGGCATCGGCGGAGTGTTTCGCCTCGCCATGGTTGCCCTGACGTTGGTTGGTTGCCAAGAGCGCACTGACCGCGATAGCAAAATGCTCACACCCACGCGTCGGCACGTGACCAAGGAAACCCGAGTCCATCTTCTCGTCTCCTCGACGACAACACCTTTACCCCCATCCCTTCAAGCATCCTAGCCATGCCTCCGCGGTCGGAAGCCTCGGGGTCTTCTTCGAGGTCAAACGGGTACAGCATCTACCCGACCGACTCTGTGCAGGATGTTGCCGACTCGCTGGGGCTGCCACCGCTCAAGGACAGCGTAGCCCAGGCTTTGGCCGCCGACGTCGAATACCGTGTTCGACAAGTGGTGCAAGATGCGGGCAAGCTCATGCGTCATGCCAAGCGGTCCCAGATCAGAACGGCGGACATCGATCGAGCGCTCCGTGCTAGAAACATAGAGGTGCGCTTGTCTTTGCTGATCCGTTTGTGAGATGTGCCTCGCTCACCTACGAGACACAAACGGACAGCCCATCTTTGGCTTCCATCCAACCACCCAGGGCCACTCGACACCTCAAGCGGGCTATCCATCGCCTGTAGGATCCAGCTTTCGACGTATCCAGACGCCTTCGGCGGGCCCGCTTCACATCCTTGCGGATGAGGAAATCGATCTCGACAAGGTCCTTCAGTCAGGTCCAAAGATCAGCGTGAGGCCCGCTGTAGGATGGGCAGCCCACTGGCTAGCCATCGAGGGAGTTCAGCCAGCCATACCACAGAATCCAAATTTCAAGGCCTTGGGAATCGACAGAAATGCAGCGTTGGGAACTGCAGCGACGACCAATAATGGGCCAACGGCGGCCAACGGCAGAGCATCTACGCTCCCGCCAGGAGGAGCCTCTGCTGTCCTGGCGACAGGTCCGAACCAGGCGATGGCCAAGCCCCTCATCAAACATGTCCTCTCAAGGGAGCTGCAGCTGTACTTTGAGAGACTCACCGAGGCCATCCTTGCGCCGCCCAAGGAGGCTGACGTCGACCCGCATACATCGACGTCGACGAGTAGGGGCGAGGGAGGAGAGGAAGGTGACGTCACTATGGCCAACGGAGAGGACGAGGAAGAGAAGCGAAACGAAAGAGGAGAGCAGGACGAGCAGACGTCTGGCAACACGGTACGAGACGCTGCTCTGGCTTCTCTCCGAGGTGACCCGGGCCTTCACCAGCTCGTTCCCTACCTAATGCAGTGGGTCGGAGAGAGGGTGGCAAGCGGGCTGCGCGACGAAGAGATGCTCAGCTTGATGCTTGTCACCATCAACGCAATTGTCTCAAACCCCTACCTGGGCATCGAGCCATACCTCAACCAGCTTCTGCCTTCTGTTCTCTCCATTCTCCTCACCTCGACCCTTGGCGGCTCATCGGCGGCTACGACGGTGCACCGGCTGCGGACCCAGGCCGGCCATCTCTTGGCTTTCATCATCGAAACTTTTACACTATCATACCCAACACTGCGACCACGGGTGGCTCGCACGCTCCTCGAGGCTCTCGACGCAGGCACACACGCCCACAATGGAAGAAAATCGAGGTCACCAGGAAAGAAGCCGGACACGGCGGAAAGTGGGCACGGCGACGAGGGAGCAGATGAGGGGGATGGCGAAGACGATGAAGATGAGGAGGGTGGTGCAAGGGAGAAGAGAGGGCCGCAAGCAAGCATGGGGACAAAGTTGGGCGCTGTCATCGGCCTCGCAAAGATGGGCAAGGGCACCGTACGGGCACTGCTTGTCAACGACGAGCTAGGAGGCGACGGAGAAGAAGACTCGAACATGCTCAAGCGCCTTGGAGATTGGCTCTCTCATCGGGTCAAGGACGCGGGAGACGCAAAGGAGGAAGACGACGAGATAATTGAAGTCATCGTGGAAGAGGTACGAAGAGCGCTGTACACTCTCGGCCCCGCCCTTGCTCCTCCTTCACAAGATCCAGAAGCCGAGCGGGAACAAGTGGAGACGAAGGCGGGCGCTTTTTGGAACCAGAGACTTGGCGAGGATGTCCGGGTTCGCAAGGCTATCTTGGCCGGTCTGCAAAGCAGTGCCGTCGTGAAGGCGGAGGAGACATAAGGGCTCTTTCATCCGATGTATTTGTAGTAAAGAGTATGCGGACGCTCGATTCTTTTCATTGAAAAACGGCCAGAATCCTTCCTTTTCAAAATAATGTTACAACAAGAGTTAGGAGGCGGATATGGAGAGAGAAGAGATCAGAGTAAGGACAGTAGTAGACTCTGGTGGTATGAAGGCAGGCTTAGAAGACGGTGTGGGGCCCATTGATATCGCTCTCCTCATCGACCGCCGGGTTTGCGCCCCTTCCTGGCCATGCCCATTCGACGCGCCTCCGGCCATCTTGCGCAGATGCTGCCGCTGGCGGCGACGGAGGGTACTGCGAGCTGGCCTGCTGAGGCACTCCGGGCGAGGGTGGCAGCGAATTAGGCCCGGAAGAGGAAGTCGCCGACGCTGCGTCGAGGTAGGACGTGACGCCCTCGCGTTCGTCGAGCGAGTCACTGCGTCCAAACGTGCGAGGGCTCTGCATGACCTTTTCAATGCGCGGCGTGTCCGCGTTGAGCGTCGTTGAGGGAGAGTGGGGCGGGTAGTTGACCATGTCAAACGCAGGCGTCGAGGGCTGCGAGCCAGACGTCTTCCAGGTCCGGTACCTTGGGAAGTTGCCATGGTTGCGAGACTTTTCATCCTCGTCGTCTTCAGCGACGCCGCCGGAGTTGCCGCGCCACATTGCCACGGCCTGGTTGGCGTCCATTTGCGTCGTGGGCAGGATGCCGATGCCAGCGTTGGTAGGTGCGGTCGCATTGACCGAAAACGGCGATTCGTTGCTCACGTACCGGGGGTTGGCTCCTCCCATCGATCGACGGTTGGAAAAGGTCGTCGTGGTCGTCGTCACGAGTGGGTTCGACGGTCCGCCGCCTCCTCGCTCGCCCGAAGACTGGCTACGGGCAACGCGCTGGGCTACCTCGCTCGTCTTGCGGAACAATCGTCCGGCGAGAAGCGGGGCGATGGCGGCCAAGACGGCAAGAACAAGGACCTGGTAGGATGTAGTGCCAGCGACGGAGTAGTAGACGATGAGAAAGACGATCCTAGCAAGCTCGAGGAGGAGGTAGTAGTGGATTCCCTGGGTAATGAGAAGGCTCGAGATATTTTCGTCGAAAAGGGAATCCTTGCCGTGTCGAATTGACTGCACCTTGTCCCACACGGCTCGCGGCACGCCGGACAGCCCACCTGCGGTGAGACGGTGGAGCGTCATGCAAAGGATGATTGTGTCGGTGAAAATGACGACGGCGTAATAGGCGATAAAGATTGACGAGTGAGGCTGCTTGTTCGTCTCGGTGAGGTAGGCGCAGAAATTTGACTCTGGCAGCTGGTACCCGACCCCAAACCAGACGACGTTCCCGATGCCGAGGCCAACCTCGGCAATGTAGAGGATGAAAAGAAGGACAGTGGGGGTCGTTGCCCATGAGTACAAGGCCAAGGTGCGCTGGAGGAAGATGTAGTCAACCATGATGAGGGGGCAGAGCCACATGCAGTTGAGCGAGATGGCGAAGCTCGAGCAATGCAGATTGGGCAGCGTCATGTAGAGGAGGGTGAGAAAGAGGAAAGTCCAGGAGCCGAAACGAGCCAAAAAGTAGGCCAACCGGTTGCTCAACTTGATGGGATTGGTCCAGCCCGCCCTGCGGGCGAGAAACCAATCGTAACTGATGTTGCCAACGATCTCGAGCGTGACCATGCCCAAGCAAAAGGCGTAGACAAGCATTGCGGCCATGAAACTTGGCGCAATGGAATCGGGAATATGGTGAAGTACCACTGACCCGAAGCCGGGGCCCGGCGTGGGCAACTGTGGAAGCTGGGACGCCATTCCTGAAGACGAACGAGGGCTAGAGACCGAGAAGTGAACGAGTGGTGGTGGGGAAAGGGGCTGATATTCAGCTTCCGCTGGGATATATGTCTGCCTCAGAGTCCGAGGATCCGGCAAATCGGGTAAGGAAGGATACCAAGGACGCTCTTCCATTTGCGAAGATGCCTTTCAACTGGCACGGCGAGCGAAAAACAATTTATTATTGTCTCTCTCACAAATTTTCCGTGGAGTGAGACCTTGGGCTCATTTGGCAAAATCGTGGGAGAGACCAGAAGTAATCGAGATAGCAGGTAGGAGGTTGTGCTCGCGTATGCCACGACGTCCGTTGTGCTGATGCAGAGTATGCAAATGTGCATTTAGCGTTGCATGACGATAGTCGTTAAAAGATGCTTCTTCCGTGCGATCACACAAGAAGAAAACCGGAGGCAGGGACCCTCGGAGGGAGCGAAACAGAGCAGTGGTGGGAATCGGCTCAACGCTAAGCCAGACTGCCAGAATAATTAATTTATGCTAGAGAGTAGCCAAAAAAGTCTTGATTTCAACGGCTCCGTCGTTCCCAGGTTCCTCTAGCTCGCTATTTTCGCCCCTTTTTCTCTTTCTTCTTTTCATTCAGCCTCTAGCCCAAATTTGCATAGGCAACCGACCTTTCCGTTGCCCTGCATTTGCATCCGGTAAAGTGGATGAGGATGAGGTCTACTGTAAGACGGCCCGCACGATCTAGTGACTCGCTTGTCAGCCTGCATATTCTTTCTTTATCGAGATTGATCAAGGGTTATCAAATCATCTCTCAATCGGCGCTCGTGCTTTCGCTTCCCATGATAGTTTGTGGTGCATTCAGTAAAGTATCAGTGCACTGCAATTCGCTTCGACACTTTAGCTGACGCAACATGTCTCGGAAAATGAAGCGCGCACATTCTCACAGTCGCCCGTTTTGCTTTGTGACGGTTGGACATCCACTGTCGACCTCAAAAAGTTTTTCCCGTGACTCCATGCTAAAAGTAGAGCCCAAAAAAATGGGGTGGCTTGTTAGAAGAGGCTAAGGGAAGGAGAAGAGAAGGAAAGAAAAGAAAAGAAAATAGGAAGAAAATAGGGCAAACCATCCCCGCTTCTTCCATCACGCATGGACGGAGTTTGATTTTGAAGGCTGGAAGAAGGACCGCGGCCTAAGTGCCATTACTGCGCTGACCTTAGCACCTTAGCTTGCACCTCTTGCTGCAATGAAGTAGAGGGGGGTGATGGTCACGTCGGCTTCAAGCCCGTGTCCACCTGTCGTACCACAGGAACAAGTTTGAGGTCCATATCATTGAAAATTTGCACGCGGTCTAGCAGCGGACGTTTGCCAGGGTCGCGTGAGGTGTTCGAGCAGGAGCCTCACGCATATGCAAAGCGATGGGCTGGAGTGGGAACACTGCATAGTGCACTATGGTCCATCGGGGGCTCATCATGCTCCCATAGGTAAGAACCGAATGGAGACTGCAATCCGGAGACCACAACGGAGCAACGGCCGAGTTACCTTTCTCTGCGATCAAGAATGGAAGTTTTATCACAATATAGTATAGAAGCACTGTACAGTACAGTGCAAAACAGTACTTGACAATACATTGCATCGCGCTACTCCGCACGAGATGGGATACCTATCGAGGTCGTGCGCGGAGCTCATCATCTCGCTATCGCTGTGCATGGGCACCGAAGCTAGTTGATTCTTCAAGCAAGATATACTAGCTGCCGTAGCGTATATCTCGGTCATGAGCACCGCAAGCGCTGCTATGGTTCAAATAGATGCCTCGGAAGAATTGAATGGCAATTACACGCTATGCCCAACAAGGCAAGCGTCGGAACGTACGTGCATGCGTCATCGGCAAGCGTGCTCGCAATCAGGACAAAGTGGTGATCACGAGGCAGCTTGTTCGCGGGGAGAGAAGCTCTTGTTATGTGCATAAGAGGGAAGCCCTGAAGAAGAGAAGGAGAAAAGGTAGCCGCGGTGGGAAGGCAAGCAGAAGATGCCCATCGGTGGCCAGGAGAAGAAGGCTAGGCAAGCCTCTCCTCACTCAATTCCGGGCGCCGACGCTCTCGGGTCTTCTTGACCGGGAAAGACTGTCGAGACGAGCCTCCAGCCGCCCGTAATCTTGACGTCTTCGCCATTGATAAATTCGTTCTCGATCAGCTGCTGGACAGCCATGGAAATGTGTTTCTGGCAAGGAAAATGGTATCGGTGACGTCAGCAAATGGGAGAGGTAGAGAAGGGCTAAGCGCTTTGCGTTCCTCTTACCGGCTGAGCGGGCGCTTTTGGAAAGCCACCGTTGGCTTCAAGGTCCTTCTGGTACCAACCGGCGTGTGTACCAAGGATGGGAGTGGCAATCAGACCGGGGCTGACGCTGTTGACCCGGATGCCACTGGGCGCCAGAAAGTCGGCAAAGCTCCTCGTCAGGCCAAGCACGGCCGTCTTGCTGGGTCCGTAGCCGACGACTCTAGCCGTGGGCTCGTGTCCAGCAACGCTGGAGAAGTTGATGATGACGCCTCGCTCTTCCTTTGTGCTCCACAAGCTGCCCGCATTTGCCCGTTCTTCAGGTGCTCGCGCGTTGATGGCGTCGGCCACCGCAGCGCCCATGATATAGGTGCCGGTGACATTGATGTCGAGCGTCTTTCGAAAGGCGGCCACGCCGTCGCTTAACTTCGTCGTCCATTGACGCTTCGGCCGGCAATGCTCAATCGTGTCAGCCACCCTGCTCGTGAAAGGTCCCAGAGCGAACCGAAAAGGTCCTTTGGTTGAACTTCACTTACCCTCAACGCGACGCCAGCGCAGTGCACGAGACCGTGGATGGAGCCGAAACGCTTGATGATGGCCTCGACGACGGCCTGTGCTTGGGCTTCATCGGTCACATCGAGAGTGTAGTAGTCTACATTCGCGTCCTTCGTATCCTTGAATTGCTCCTGAAGCTTGGCACGACCTTGGTCACCAGGCGCCACGTCCGCCACAGCCACATTTGCCCCCAGCTCGCAGAGCATTCGCGAGCAGTCGCTTCCCAGGCCGCCGAGGCCACCCGTGACGAGGAAAGTGTGGCCCTTGATCTGCATAGTAGCGTACGTTCCTTGCCTGTGCTAGCAATCCTGAAAGCAGGTCTGAGGGACGAGGAAGCTGGGTGGTTGTGGTCAAGCGGACGGAATCACACGGTTGGCAATACCAGGTGTTCAAGGGGAGGAGGACCGTTGCGCCGCGACGTGGGGGAGGCGGCGTGCGGCGTGGTCGCGGCATTTTAAAGTTCTCCCCCTCAAACCCGTGGCCAGCCCATCCACATTGCAATGCGGACCCGATGCTTCATGAGTGGAGGAACCGCCCTGTTTCGAGCAACTTTCACTCAACGCCAGCGCCCAACAAGGTGGTTGGCAGGCCGACCTTTTCGCCAGGGGAGGTCCACTATCAGCAGATATCTCCTTCTGCGTAGCAGTCTTGTCATCCGTCGAGGGAGTGTGTGCACTTGCTCGGATCTCAGTCCCGGGAAAGTCAAGAGGAAAAAGTGGAGCTCGGAAGTAGTGTTCTCAATTGCTGCTGCAAAGCTTAAATTTAGGCCATGCTGACAATCGAGGGCTGCTTACGCAAGAAGAGCCTTTGCTTACGGATAGATGCAAGGCCAGCATCGCCAAAACATCGTAACAGCACAGCTTCGTAACAGCACAATTCTTGCCCGTGTCATTCCCATTCCTTTCTCACCTTGCTCCGAGACCATCATGGCGCCAAAAAGGGGCGAGAAACGGCAGGCGCAGTCTGTAGACAAAGCCACAGTCAAGACTCGAAAGACAGAGGGGAGGCCAGGTAAAGCCAGCAGCAGCGACGAGGACGATGCCAGGAAGAAGGTAGAGAGGCTGCTTAGCGACGAGATTGCCCGTTGGGCTTATCCCGAGGTGCCAAAAGGCCACGGCGAGGTTGATTGGCCGGACGAGAAGCGCGTGAAGAAGGCTCCGCAGCCAAGCTCGGGCAAGCGTGAGACCACAGGGGAGGGAAAAAAGGAGGCTGAGAATGATGAGGGCGGGAAGCGAAAGGTAGATGAGGGGCTGCGAACCTACCGCTCTCCAGACTTGACACCGTTCGAGCAGCTGCTCTGCGCTGTGCTCCTTAGCAAGCCCATTAGCCATACCCTCGGCTTGCGTTCGATACGAACGGTCCTCAGCCCACCCTACAGCTTCGGCACTCCCAAGGCGCTCGACGAAGCAGGAAACGAGGGTCGACGTGAGGCGTTATGGGAGGCGCGAACGCAGCACAAAGAGAAGACGGCCGAACAGCTCGGCAGTCTCGTCGAGGGGGTACGCAAGCTGACAGGGACCGATGACGAGGATCGCGCCATCCAACTTGCGGCACTCCTAGAGCATGCCAAGGCCGCAAATGGACATCGCGAGGCTGTCGACACCGTGCGGGACAACATCACACAAAACATCAAGGGCGTCGGACCCACGGGCGCAGATATTTTCTTACGACAGGTGCAGAGGCACAAAGGCTGGGAATGTGTCTTTCCATTTGCCGATCATCGCGCTTTGGACGTAGCCGCTCGCCTTGGCCTGCTTACTGACTCGAAAGATGAAGAGGCAGGGGCCAAGAGACTCGCGAGTCTTGTCGGTCAAGACAGGACAAAGTTCGTCGCTCTCTTGGACATCCTCATTGGCTTGGACCTGGAAAAAAAGACAGACCAAGTTGTGAAGCTTTTGGCCTGAGTACTGTTACAGTGTACTCTTTGCGCTAAAGCGGCTCTAGAAGAGGCATGTATCCTTAGCGAACCGTTGCCGACCCCTCTTGATCGCGCACTCAAGATTGCTTGTCGCAGATGAGACACTTGTCGCACCGTCATCACTCGAGCTCTCATAAAGTCGAAATGAGAAGGGTCACATTGACAGGCGGCAAACAGTAACATTACAAGCGAGTAACTTAATCCTGGGGCTCGCGGGGATACTTGTTGTAGCGAGCTTTGTAGTCCTCCATGCTTTCGAGTGGCCATGGAACAGGGCGCGTGATTGGCTCGGAAGCAAAGTCGAGGCCGGCTTCTTCGTACTCCTTCAGACGTTGCGCAGTGAGAGGCTTGGTCCGGTTGACGCTGTACACTTTGATCTTGTGGCAGGATTGGGTCTGGGAAAGGTCTATAAGTCAGAGGTCCAAAACGTTTTGTCGATGGCGAGGAGCCAACTTACCACATGGAGATCCCAGTTCCAGACAGATCGCACCGAGATCGGCTGAGTGTTGCACGATGAATCCCATGCGCGCACGAGGACCTCGCACCAGCCTTCCATGTCCAGGGGAATCGACGCCTTCCACAGGCGCCAGGTGTAGTAATGTTTTTTGGACAGGTTCTCCTCTGGCACCGGGTACCACGTAAAGCCACCATCGACGCTACACTCGACACGCTCGACCCAATTTTCGCCCCCCGAGTAGGCCCAGCCCTCGAGCTTGATCTGGCCGTCGTGGATGATGATGTTGCCGTCGTTGGGCTTCATGATTGCACTGGAAACAGGCATGCGCTCGATGCTGAATCCGTTGCTGAAGAGGGTATTGTGCTTGCCGTACTGCGTATTGCAGTAGTACAAGTACTCCATGCGCTGAACAGGGCCCCAGCTTGGCTCATCCAGGATGTTGATTCGGGTGACCCACTTGGCTGATCGGGCTCCGATAACGCCAGGCACGACGATGCGCAGCGGGTAGCCGTGGATCTCGGGCAGAGGCTGTACGTACGATCCACATCAGCCAGCCATCAAGCTGAGACTTCGACAAAGCTAAACTCACCTTGCCATTCATCTCCCATGCTAACATGACACTGTCTTTGTCTACGAAGCGGTATGGCACGCTGACGGCATAATTGTAAACCTGGTTGAACTTGAAGTAGGTGTCCGCGCTGATGAATTCGGCGTGGGCCTTGACTTTGTCCACATTGATTCCATCGCAGGCTCGTTCGAGCACGTCTTTGAGCAGAACTCCAGTATAGACGGCGTTTCCGATTGCGCCTTCTGGCCAGGGCGCATTGGGAACGAGGAGACCGTGTCCCGGGTACAGGGCGATCTGCTCGATACGACGCGTACCGCAACACTGGAGGGTGACGGCTAGCTTCTGCTGGGGAAATTTCTGTGGATCGCGTAGGTCGGCCAGCGAGATGGAGATTTCTTTGTTGACTTTGCCTCCGATCTGCAGCTTGTACTTATCGGGACGAACACACTTTGGGATGCCGCCGTGATTGCGCACAAAATGGTCTTCGTTGGGTGTGATGGGATCCTTCATCAGAAACTCATGATTGGGCTCGCCGTTGTATGGAAATGCGAGGACGTGCGTCATGGTCGATGCCTTTTCCTTCAGGACACGGCCCCAGCTGTATTCGGGCACCGTATCGAGTCCGATGGCATGGTGGAAGTCCTTGTACAAGTCACCGTACAGCACAGGATTGCGCTTGGGCAAAGGTGCTAGCTGGAATTCTGGCGGTGGCACTAGTAGTCAGTTGACTCCCCTCTTTCCGAGTTTTTGTCCGCTTGTTACGCACCAGGGGGCGGCGGGAATTTGGTGGCCTTCATCAGCTCATGGCCGACCTTCTTCTTCTCTGGGTATTTCTCCCATTCCACATAGCCTTCCCAGACGCCCGGCTCCTCCTCCTTGAATTGACCGGTTTGCACTTGGGTCTCACTCGTGATCAGCTCGCCTTTTTCCAGTGCGGTGGCAGCCACCGCCTCGGCTTTGACCGCAGCAGCGGCCTCCTGCTGAGCTGGTATCTTACGCGGTGCCCTTGCTTTCGCCATCTTTGGGTGTCTCTCGTTGCTTGTTGATGGTGGTTTGGTAGCTAGAGCGACCTTATGTGATCGTTTGACTGTCATGATTACCGATTGCGGCTAGGTATCTGGAGTGATGACAACCCGCTGACTACACTTTGCGTCCAAGAAGCAGGATCCTGCTCGATGCAGGGCCCGATACGAGATCTGACTGTAGCTGACTGCATATTGCATACAATGCTGACTGCACGTTGCATGTTTAATTTAAAAAAGGGCGAGCAGACTACAAAAACGCTGCAATTTATCCTACGCTTTAAGCTGTAAGCTTCAAGCGATTGCGAGGCACAAACCAAGACTGCTTGAGCACAATGTCGTTCAGACTGCATTGTTCCGCCACGGTGAGAAGCTCGGCAAGGGAGGGAGCAAGGACTTATCCATGAAGAAAGAACAAAAGGAGCCCCGAAAGGGATGCTTCATTTATGGCGATCGTTGTTGCTCCGCGCACACTCTTGCGCTGTCTGACATTGTCCGGCTCATATCTGAACGTTCTTACGGTAGAAGCAAGGGAGAGATACAGCGTACTGGTCAGGCCAGGGGTCTTCTTCTACTTATGAAGGATAGCTCTGTGACATGATGGCTTCCTGGGCCCTTTCTTTTAAGCAAGGTCGCTCCTCTGGAGGCCATCGGCTGAATGTGTATAGTGTTGTCATGCTGAGCGAATCATCATGGCAGGATCTGATGCCATAAGAAGCCATTCACGCAGAAAATCTGGCGGAAGCGTTTCTTGGCCCGATGCCGTCGGGAGCGGATGTGGCATCGATGCCGTGCTTGTCCTCGCTGTTGGTATCCCCTCTGTCGATAATCTGTCTTGCAGAGGAGGTACGACCGAGCCTTCAGCGCTGGAGAATGGAGACTTTGGCGACTTGGATGGAAAACTGGTTGAGTGTGTAGGCTGTTGCACTGGGCTCACGGCAAATGACGTCGCGGGCACGTCAAAGCCTTCTGGACGTTTCGCTTCATCAACAGGTCTGGCGTAGACCATCTGGTTACACTCATGAGGTCTGTGCCTCATAAATGTCGACTGGCTAGTCGACGGGTCCTCGTGGAGTCCGGTCGTCATCGGGACGAGGTTTACTCCGACGAGCTGGCCTTCGCGGAAGAACGCTACGCCCTGCATTTTCGCAATTTGAGTCTCGAAGGACTTGTGGGAGTTCGAACGCAATGCCCTGTGAAGGCGTCTGATCTCCTGCTCCTGTGCCCTAAGTATAGTCCGCATCTCTTCCACTTCTGCCTCGAGCTCCTGAACGCGGACCTCCTTGCGATGGCGTTGCCGTGCTTGTGCCAGGCGATTCTGCTCGCGGCGCTTGAGTGCCTCAGACGACGCGTCGTTCGAGCTGTAGCCACGCATCTCTACATTGCCCTCCCTCTCTGGACTTGCTTCCATAGCAGACTGTTTTTGGCGGATGTTGTGAGCAGCGAAGCGAAAGTGTTCAAGGCGAAGCGGAATTGATAGGATTGCTTGCAAAGACAAAAGCGGACGAGGATCTGCCATGCCGTGTAACTCGCACGAGCCTCGTCCTGCATCCTCCTCCTCCTTCGGGCCCTTTGCAGCCGTTCTCGGGCCTTGCGCTTTTTATTTAAAATAAAAATCTTTGCGTCCGCGCTCCCTCGGCATACGTAAGCGTACAAAATATTGCGATCTAGATTGGCATGGGCTACGCCATCCTCTCCTAATTAGAGGTAACGGTCAATGTAACGCTTGAGTCTACTTGCGTCTTGTCCACCGGTTTCTCCTTTTGGAAACTAATTGTGAACGCCTGGAGGCTGACAAGCGACGAATGTAGCTCCATGATGGTGAACACGGCCCCAATGGCCAAGTCTGCCGGAAGTGAGGCCTTTTACTGTGCTTTAGGGAGAGGCCACCGAAGGCATAGCCTCTGCTCCTAGAGCCAGCATATCGTACATATGTGCCACAGTCGCTGACTGTCACTGTGCCGTATTCGTCGCATCTTATGTCAGCCCTACGTTATCCCGTAAAGACTATATAGTGCACAACCCAGTCTCTCACGAAAGACAACAGACATAGTCGCTACCATTGCGGACAGATATCTTGGCGACCTAGCTGGTGCGACATCTTGTTGATGACCGCATGACAGTAAGTAACCTACAAGATATGAAATGAGGCCAGCTTGCCTTATGTAGAAGACCCCCCACTAGACTCATTTCTCTGCAAGACGCTCGGGCAAAGATCAAATGTCGAGAGCTTTAGGCAACCTCGAGACAAGATCAACGCCAGAAAAGAGCAAAGGCGCAATCGACTGGTCGCCACTCATGCTGTTTGGATTGCTACCTGGAACTCTATCAGTAAAGGCGTGTAAGACCTGTCGTTCGTCGAATAAGTCACAGTCCAAGCATAGGCAAGTATGCCCGTCTTTGCAAGACCCTGACAGACGCCTGACCTTGCGAGAAACCAACAAGGTCCTTTCTCAAGGCACAAGAAGAAGAGTGCTTCATTTGTGAGTCATCATGTCGTTTCGAGCTTGCCTCGTGAGCCAAAGGAGCGGCGAAGTTATTGTCTTAAATTGCAGCTACGCGCTGCAGAAAGTCGCGCGCTTGGTTTCCGAGGGGATTCGGTCTTAAGGTTTCATGCATGGTGAATCAGCAATGGTCATATCCAATCTCGAGCTCCAACCCGCTCGAGCAAGCCAATTCACGTGTCCGCACCGTCCTTATGCGGAGGATGGCCACTCTGTCCTTGGTTCCGTATCACAATGACTGCAACCCAGCTTGGAAGGATTCGTGCACTGGGCACGGCAAGCCGCCAAATGATAGGCGCTCATACTCATCAAGAGGCGCCCACTTCCATTATCACACCTGCGATGGCGCTGAGGGCCAAGGCGAAAGAAAGAATAGACAAAGCTCCACCCCATAGCTTCCTGATCGATGCATTCAACCGTCGACACACGTACTTGCGCCTGTCGTTGACAGAGAAGTGCAACCTCCGCTGCCGGTACTGCATGCCCGCAGAGGGTGTCCCCGTCTCACCTAGCGACGCCCTCCTCACATCCGAAGAGCTCCTTCGGGTCGCGAGATTATTCGTTCGCGAAGGAGTGACCAAAATCCGACTGACAGGGGGGGAGCCCACCCTGAGGAAGGATCTCGTGGAGATAGTCCGTGGTCTAGGCCAGCTCAGGGCAGAGGGTCTGCTTCAGCTTGGCATCACGACAAACGGTCTCGCCCTTCAGCGCAGCATTGACGAGCTCGTGGACCTCGGCCTCACGCATTACAACTTCTCGTTGGATACTCTCAACCCATATTCATTTGAGCTGATGACTCGGCGACCAGCTGCAGGCCTAGACAAGGTCCTAAATAGCATCGCCCGGGTCGCATCTTTCTCACAAACGGTGGTCAAGATCAACGTCGTGGTCATGCGGGGCTTCAATGACCAAGAAGACCTCAAGGACATACTGAACTGGGCTAAAGATCTGCCGATAATCGTTCGATTCATCGAATACATGCCGTTCGACGGTAACAAGTGGAGCCGGAACGCCCTGGTACCCTACCGGACGTTGTTGGAAAGGATCGAGCAGTGGTTTGGGCCCGCTCAAAGGCTTTGCGATGGCCCCAACGACACGACGAAGCACTACAAGATTGCGGGTGCAAGAGGAAGCTTTGGATTCATAACAAGCATGAGCGAACACTTTTGCGGTTCGTGCAATCGCCTCCGCATCACGGCCGACGGTAATGTAAAGGTGAGCTTCTGGTGGCCGTAGAGACAACGGCTGGCTTAAGCTTCATGTATGCCACAGAACTGCCTTTTCGATGGGGAAGGGGAGCTTTCGCTCAAGGCTGCTCTCAGAAGCCCTGCCTCCCACGACGATCACCTCAAAGAAATCATCGGTCGGGCAGTTGGTCGCAAACATGCTCGCCATGGTGGAGTGGGAAGCCTAGAGGACCTGGCGAAGAACATCAATCGACCGATGGTCCGTATTGGAGGCTGATACATCGAGGTGGGAAGAGAAGATCTCTTTTCTGTTCTTGCAACTGTGACGTAGCGACATCTCAATAGAATAGTGCCATGCACTTTCAAAATGTTCCCACACATGTCTTGATATTGCGCTTGGCTGATGGCTAAGGCTTTTACAGCAACTTCAATGGCTCGCCAAAATGGCATTCAACTATACATCAATTGCAACATTGGTTCACAGTCTGTCTCAAGCGTTAAGCAAGCTGTTTCAGAATCTTCTGGGCGAGCTCGTCATCGACCTGCTTCCATACAGCCATGGCCTTGGTCCAGACCTTCTCTTGCTCCCTCTTCCTGACCTTTTTCATGCTCGAAGCAACATTGTTGACGAGTCGTTCGCGGGCGTCGGGCTGCATGATGTTCCTGTAGAGATTGCGTGCCTCCTTGAAGTCATCAGATGTCACTGTCGAAATGGCATTTACAGCGCTTCCGGTGTAGTCGCTGTAGATTTTGCTGAAATCGGCCGGAGGGGCGGCGTAAGTCAGCGGAGCAACGTCACCAGGGTAGTTGGGTCGGGCTCCCTGATCGTCCATGACTCCAGCGCCATCACGGTGGAAATTGTCGAAGCCGTAGGGCACCATAGGCCTATTGACGGGAATTTGTTGCCAGTTTACGCTACCCAAAGCAGAAAAATCAACTCAGCAAAAGATCAAACTTGAACGCTCCGCCACAATTGATCTCACCCGAGGCGGTACCGAGCTGCATCAGGGTAGCCGAAGAGCCTGGCTTGAAGCACAGGATCAGCCGAAGGTGCCCATCCGCTGATCAAATTTGAAGGCGCGAATGCCGCCTGCTCGACCTGTAAAAGAGTAATTAGTGCTCGTCAAAGTCAGGAGATGCAATAGCACAAATAACTTACTTCGGCGAAGTAATTGGTGGCATTCTTGTTCAGCTCCATCTCTCCGAACCAGGTGATAGGATATTTAGCGTGCGGCTACAGAAAGGTTCAGCTAAACTTGGTCGAGTCAAATACGTGAAGAGCAATTCTCAACTCACCCATGTCTTAGTCATATCAAAGACGTTGATACCAGATGAAAGGGCCTCCTCTTGGGTCATCGACTGGTAGCCAATTTCCCACTTTGGAAAGTCGCCACGACTGATGGCTTGGAACAAATCATTCTGCGCCCAGTCGGGAGAGAGAGAGGCAGCTTCTTGGCTCGTGAACGTCTTGACACCCTGCTTGGACTTCATGTGGATCTGAACGTATCGCCATCGGCCATCTGCGGTGTAGAATTTGTACGTATGGCTGGGTGAATGCTGTCAGCCGCAGCTTCTCCCTTCAGAGCTAGACAATGTCTCACCAGCTGTACCCGTTCATGTGACGCCATCCTTGCGGGATTCCTCTGTCTCCAAAGAGGTGAACGACTTGATGATTGGTCTCAGGCTGTGATGTAGAAAAGTCAGCGGTGAAAGTAAAGACTCCTTTAAACTTCTAAGTGGAACCCACATTCTGACCAAAGAAATCCCCTGCGTTTCGTAAACCCGATCAGCTCAGCCCGAGCGACAGCATTAGCAACAGACTCACAAAGCATAGTCGAGTCGTCATCGATGGTGAGGTTGGTCATTGGATCACGTTTGGTGACGTGGTTGATATAGACAAACTTGGGTGGATCTCTATGGCAAAGCTTTTAGTAATGTATCAAATCCCTCTTTACTGTATGAGACGCACCGAATGAAGAACACCGGGGAATTGAGGAACACCCAGTCGAGATTACCCTCTTCTGTTTTGAGCTTAATGGAAAATCCGCGAGGGCTGCGAGCAAGGTCGGAACTTCCGGCCTCTCCACCGACGGTGGAGAATCTTACGGTCAAAGGACACTCTTTGCCCACAGTGCCAAAGATCTTGGCCATACTAATGTCGCTGATGCTCTTGGAGCACCTGAATACACCGTGGGCACCTGAGCCCTTGGAGTGGACAGTCCTGTATGAGGAAAAGTCAACATCTCTCTTAGCTCACGCTCCTCCAAGTTCGACTTACCTCTCTGGGATCCTCTCCCGATTGAAATGGGACAAGAGTTCAATCAAGTCTGGTAGATTGAAACTGGTCAGCAGCTGTCTGATTCTTCTCCACGACTGGCACTCACGAGTATCCTGCAATAAAACAGGACCCGACGGCCCAATACGTTGATAGGCCGATGGATTTGGCACGGGGGCGCCATTGACATTGGCATAGATGCCACCAAGGTCGTCCGGGTTAGGCGGCTCGAACCTGCTTAGGTGGGGTGGGGACATCGTCGATGCAGAGTTAGATGGTGGCGAGGGTGAAAGAGCATGCCGAAGAGCATTTCAAGGGTGCGGCTCGAATCATGGAGGCCCGATTAGTGGGCAGTGGTCCGTGCACTTATGCAACCTGCAGTCATCAAGTACCTGCAGAAGGCCCGATATAAAGCCCGCCGCCTTCTTCACGCACTAAGAGTACGTAGTTTATTGTTCAGGTCATAGACTGAGAAAAAACAGAAAAATTAAGTAAAAAGGAGTTTCTGTGCCGGGGCCCAAACATAATACCAGATTCTCACCGCCCGACGGGATGATGGCACCTGCACTTGGCCCGCATTGCCGTCCGATGCAACCTGCTGTCAGGCTTGCACATCAGCATACAGCACTTCGTTGTCTCACAGTCGATCGCAGCACGTGTTGCATTTTGAGTGCTGATTAATACGGACCTCTTGACCTGTCAATGGGAACCGGTGCGAATGCAAAGGAGTCAGATGGCAATGGAGAGCATACTTCCCTTGCCCGAGAAGATTGTCACACGTCACGGGGATGTACTCGAGGTAACATACCAACCTTTGGATCTGAAAGCGGTCGAGAAGCTCCTCAGTTCAAGATGGGCGGGAGCCGCAGTGTTCTTTGCGGGAAAGACAAGAGACGACAGAACGGTCATTGCTGAGCACGGTGAGTGCTGCTTGACTCTGTAGTTTTCAAAGGACTCAGACTGAATATGCAAGGACAGGAAAAGAGATAGGTGTCACCCGTCTCGAATATGAAGCCTACACTACCATGGCTATGAAGATGCTGCAGACTATTGTGGCAAGAGCTCGAGGAACCTCATCCTCTGCATGGCCACCGTCCGGACATGTCGTGGAGAGCAAATTACATCAAGATTTCAATCCACCGCCCAATTCCGACGCAATCATTCGGGTCGTAATACTCAACCGTCTCGGGCCTGTCCTTGTTGGAGAGTCGTCTGTCTTGATCGGCGTGGCATGCCCCCATCGTCATCGGGCATTCCAGGTAGCCGAGTGGCTCTTGGAGGAGACCAAGAGGACCGTACCAATTTGGAAAAAAGAGATCAGGAGAGCCGTCACGAATCACGCGGCAAATGACGACGACGCTCCGAGCCGATGGATGCCAGCAGAACATGCATAAGCGTCCCCAATTCTTGATGACTCGGTATTACTCTCTTCGTGTAAGAAGCACCCACTCAGTCCTCCACGCACACTGTGAACAAAGATTGCCCTCAACCTGCCACCAGGAACATAAAAGTGTTTCCCACACTCTGCATGGGGCCCGATGTGCAGTCAGACCCTGCACTGCTCTTGTCAAGATGACTCATTGATTACGTTCTGCGAGGTTCGCGCAAGCTCTTCGTCAATGCATGCAAATCGCTTCGGATTTCAATCGCCAAGGGACTCGAGCATATCTGCCGACGGCACAAAGAACGTTGACCCAGTAACCGGCCGCGAGTAGTCGAGAATGCGATCGTGCTTTCCTGTAGGATCACCCACGAACATTCGCTCGAGCATACGCTCCGTGACCCAGAGTTTACGTGAGTAGCCGATAAAGTAGGTGCCAAATGTGTCGGTTCCCGGCGATCCAAAGGGCATGTTGTCGCGCAAAATGTCGTGCCCTTCGACGGATGCCAGCGTCTTGTGCGACTTTTGCTCGGGCTCAGCCGCATCATCGAGCTCGACATTGTCGAGTTTTTGCCGGCCTACGATACTCTCCTGCCGTTCGGTAGGCAGCGTGCGCCAGGCCCGCATGTCGTGCAAGTACTTTTGCACCACAACATAACTCCCGCCGGTTGCTGCTGGATCGCCATCGTCTGCTTCTACAAAAACAGAGTTCGAAGCATCGCTGCCCACAGGATTGGCTGTGCCGTCAACAAAACCCAAGAGATCACGGCCGTCAAAATAGCGAAAGCCAGTGGTGTCATCAATGACATCGACCGCGCCGTCGAGTGCATCCATCATTTGCCTCTCAAACTCAAAGCAGAGGTCTCTGCGCTCGGCACGGATGTGCAGGAGAACGTCGCCAGGCGTCGAAGGAGCCGTGTGCTTGGCGCCTCGCATCTCGACAAAGGGGTGCAGCTCCTTGGGCCGAGGTGCGGCGCGCGTGAGGCGGTCCCACGCGTCACTGCCGATGCCCACCGTGCAGGCAAACGCCGCGGTCTGGTCGCGTACCGCCACATTCTTTGACAGATCTGAGGTTCTCGCTAGCGCAGCGCGCACCTTGTCCACAGCGTCGGGCTTGTCCAACACGCGTAAGACGAGAAATGTGGCCGCCTGCGTCAAAGGTGTTGTGATCGGCTGCATAGACAAGTAACGAGTGGCGTTGGCGCACGAGATGACAGAAGGAAGATGACGACACGGAAGCCAAGAGGTTCGGGAAGTGGCAAGACGGGACAGAAGCAGCGAGCCCGTCAAGAGGTACATCGATGACAGTAGCCCAGGAGAATGTGGTTATCACTCTACATTTCTCACCTAGACACAATACATTGGTCGAAAAAGCGCGGGCCACTTGCAGGATGCGCACGAACGGCGCAAAGTCAGGTCCGTGCACGAAATGACTGACTAGGCAGCATACAGTCGGATTTCGTAAATAGAAGCTCATGATTCGCTATCGTTCTGATTCTAAGAATTGCGCTGTAGTAAAGGCTGGTCAAGAACGCCTTTACACTCCATCCTCTTAAGCAGACTGGTAGCCGGGAACAGACAGAACGTTGAAAGCAATCACACAGTGGACTGAGAAGCTCGCGTAATATTCTGAGGGTTTATATACAGTACAGTACATGTCATCTTTAAAATCCTTGGATCGCGATTAGAGCTTGTTGAAGCTCCTCCTCGCTGCCGTCGGCCATGCTGCGCCAAGCAATGTATCCGTCGGGTCGGACGAGGCAGGCGGCGCCCTTCTGAAGTCCGAATTTCGAGGCAAGATCCTCTGCGCTGCAACCCTTGTCGGGCAAGACATCCTGACCAATCACGAGGCAGTCGACGTCTGTTGGTGTTCGTCCTCGCCACGAGTCGTGCGTCGCCAGCAGGCAGAAGCTTCCTTTGTTGAAGAGGTCCAGCGTCGAAGTGCGGGTCTGGTCGTGAGAGGAAAGCACCCATTGATGAGGCGCGCGAGTTCCTGGTTGCCCATTCCACTGGTCTGGCCGCCTCGCTGGTGGGGCATCCACATAGTCACTTATGACTGCCTCGGACCGGTAGAGCTGGCCAAACTCCATGGCGTTATCGTCGATGAGCTCGACGCCGTCGGCAATTCCTTGAGCGTCCTTTGCATAGTCCTCGCGCGCGAAAATCTGCTTGAGTCGGAGCCAGGCGATGGGCCTTCGTTCGGCATCGTAGGAATCGAGGAGCTTGGGAGAGGCCTTTGCCTTAAGGACTTGTGCGAGTTTCCAGGCGAGGTTGTGGGCATCGTCGATGCCTGTGTTGGCGCCATAGCCGCCTCGATTAGGCGGAAGCTGGTGGGCTGCATCACCCGCAAGGAACACTCGTCCCTCAGAGAAGCGGTCGGCGACGAGGGCGCAAAGCTCCCACCGTCCCGTTGTGATAATTTCAGGCTGCAGCTCGGGTCTGCCGGTGGCTCGTGCGATAGACTGGCGCAGCATCTCGTCGTTCCGTTCTTGATCATCGCTGAACATTAGAACCCAACGCGAATCGCTGTACGTCGTCAGAAATGCCTCAAAGCCAGGCTGCGAGATGCTGAATTGGTGTACGCCCTTGGACAGGTACTCGTCAAGCTGAGGCGCATAGAAGAGGACGCTGCGCACCGTTCGGATGTGGCCCCGGCCCCTTCGATCAATTCCCAGTGCTTGGCGAACATCGCTCTTGCCACCATCTGCTGCCACAAGGTAGCGGCTCCTGAGCTTCATTGGCGACGGCGAAGGCGACGACATGCTTGGGGCAGTAGCGGACGAAAGGATGCATGTGACACCCTCGCTGTCCTGCTCAAAATCGTCCAATGATGTCGAGTGGTGCACCACGACGCCCAACTGCCGTGCACGCTCCAAGAGAATCGCTTCGAGCTTATCCTGTGGGATCGCTGCGCCTCGCACGGGCGAGTACTCGACGGGCGTCTCCTTGGCCTGTCCGCCCCCCGGCGCCTTGCCTGGTGGTCCGCCCCAGCTCGATTCCTCGTACCACGTCCCAGCCAGGCTCTCGATGCGTTGTCTCCGGAGCTTGAATCCAACTGGGGCAGGCTCAATGTCGATTCCGCCAATGGATCGGAAGATTTCCAGCGTACGGGCGGTGAAGCCAATGGCCCTAGGGTGTGGGGAGATGCCAGGTCGCTTCTCCACAATGATGGTCTTGACGCCCTTGATGGCCAAGAGCAAAGCAGTTGTCAGACCTGCCGGTCCAGCACCTACGACGGTGACGTCGTAGTCGTAGCTGATTGTAGAAGGCATTTCGGGGGTTGCGTGAGAGTGAGAGAGAGGCTGGGTTTGCTGATGGGTTGTTGGTCGGTCAGAGCCCAGTCGTCCTTCCCTTTATATAATGCTGGACTGGCAAGATAGTCGCTCGATGCTCTGTGAGTTTGCACGATATCGGCATTGGGTGAAATCGAAGTAACGGAGATGGCTGCAAGCACTTCGAACCAGGCCCACGGAGAAGAGCGGACCTACGCCAGAACGACGCCGCATTACGCGCGGGATTTGACAATTCTTGGTCGACTAAATTCTGTCACTCCGCCGCCTATGTTTAAAGCTCCGGGATCTTCTCGAAAGGCGATCGACGGAGTGTAGAGGACATAACAATTCGCAAACGGGTCCGAGAAGAGCTCCGGACAGATGAAGCACTGGTCTGGACTTGCGACCTGTCCCCTTTGTGTAGGCACAAGCCCAACTTGGTCTGAGGCGAGGTGTCATAATTCCCAAGGCGCTCTTGCTCACCTAGTGATGCTAATTCATCTGAAAGCTTTCCAGGCTGTCTCTCCGGCTTTGGCGCCGTTCTCTGAACAAGCTCACGACTGAGTCTTGCCAAACTTGAGACGTACGTCGCTGTGCAAAGAGTCGTTCTCCATTGCTCCTCCTTGATATGCTTCATTAGTACGACCGCGATTTTCTTCTTGTCATCTCAATAGACTCAGAGTAGTACTCCACCAAGGAAGGGATAGTCTATAGTAAAGCGGTGCGTAACCATACAGCGATTCTGTGCGGCACTAATGTGATCTCTAGACGAGCGGGGACCCTCGCGGGTCCCGATATAACATAAGTTAAGCAGTTCCATTGCTGAGCTGGGCTGCGCGGTTGGGTGCCAATATTTCCCACGTGTTCACCTGTCATGCACCGTCGCGACTTTATCGTCCACCTTTGTCGATCCCCCACGACAAGGACATTGGGAAACAAGGCGATGGCAGGTGACGACTCACGTTCTCCGTCAGGCTCGGGAGACGCTTCGACGGAGCAGCAACAAAAGGTCCGCAGGCGGCGTAACGCCATCTCGTGCCTAGAATGCCGGAGCCGGAAAATCAAATGCGATAGAAACGTGCCCGGCTGTTCATCGTGCGTTGCGAGGGGTATTCGGCATAAGTGCAGATGGGGCGACGAGCGCGACGATCTCGAATTAAATCATCAGCAGGGCACAGACGATGACAGAGGAAACGCGGCCGGAAAGAAGAGGGCTCGGGATGGAGGAGATGGACAAGAGGGCGACGTGGATCGAATCGTGTCTGAAGTACTCAAGCGGCTTCGAGGATCTTCTGCGTCGTCGCAGGACGCTGAATCGTCCATCGCGCTGGCGGCCGAGCTCGTAAGGGGAGAGAAACGGAAAGAAGAGATCCTGCGAGACGAAAAGGAGGAGAAAAGCTGGGTCTCTGAATCCTGGACTTATGGCCAACCCCACCCACAGCCAGGCACCAATGCCCGATCTGAGCCCGTAGCCCAAGCCGCAGCACGGCCCAACCTCGTCTCGGCCTTCGATGGTTTCGCTGTCGCCGATATGAGAGGTGGTCCAAACGCTCTCATCAAAGATCCAGTCGGCAAGCCAACGGTATCGGGGATGGTTCCTGCCGGCATCCAGCTAGCTACCAGTGAAGAGGACTTCACTGAGCTTGTCGACTCCCTACCCATGATGCGGGCTCCTCTGGACGACATCGTTGATTTCTTCCTCGAGCACATTGAACCCAGCTTGGGTGCATTCAATCGCGTCGTGCTAAGGAACCATGTTGACCTCTTCTGGTCTTGCGTCACCGCGTTGCGATCTTCCATGATGACAACAAACTCGGCGACCAAAAAGCGTTCTTCCTCTTCTTCTTCGCGCAATCAGTCGACGACTTCCTACGGAGGCAACACCACAGCAAGCGCTTCCAAGCCAGGTATCCTCGGCTCGATGGGTTTCTCCGTCACTCCCTCGAGCGACGGCAGTGCTTCATCGCCAGATACTCACGGGCATCCCGCTGGAATTGCTTCCACGGGACTTGAATCACCGACGCGGTTGGGCCTTGTTGCCTTGATGCTTGTGATCGTTGCGGCCAGCTGCGACAAAATTACGAAAGCGGAAGTCATCGCCAGGCGCATCTTCCCTCACACTTATGACGAGAGCCAAGTCCCGCAACGGAAAGAGGCAATACTGAACCTCGCGATGCGCTTCCTCGCCCAGTCCAATTACCTTCAGCAGCCGACCTTGTGGACGCTCCAGACAATCACATGTGCCAAGTTCAATTGGTTCGACAAAAAGATGATGTCGACATGCACAATCTGGAATACGATGGCGATCCGTATTGCTCAGTCGATGGGCTTGCACAGGCTGGGCAGCGCAATCGACGACGTGCGAACTATGCGTCGGACCGGCCATGCATCGTGCACAGAGGAGGAGGACGAAAAGAATGATGGCAATGCGATCAACATGGAATTCGATCCTCTTTCGGGCCATTCTTGGGCAAGAAAGTGGCACAAGGCTTCGGTTTCACTATTTGAGCGAGACAGTCTGTCGATGAGAGAGCTCGGCCGTAAGGTCTGGAACAATTTGACCTGCCACGACTGGATTTTCGCCTCGCACATGGACCACGCTTACAGCGTCACGACCAACAAGACAAGTCTGCCGTTGTGCATGGATGACGAGGACGTAGTGTATCGCCTGCACACTATGGAAGAAGGGGAGATCAAAAAGAGGGTGTCGTTCGACCTCCCTTCGGAAAACAGCTACATACTGTGCTTTCATCAAATCGCCAGGATCATCCGAGAACTCGTCGACTTGGAGGAGGAGCTAGAAGCGGATTTTAGCTTCAAAGAGACATGCATCATCAGCGACAAGCTCCGGGCTGTCCTAAGCGGACTGCCTCCCTACTTTCGCTTCGACGGTGTTTGCGAATTGACCGATGAGGTGCGCAGGCAGCATGCCGACCGGCCCTATCTTTCACTCCAGCGCGTCCTTCTCCACGAGCAGGTTCATACACGATTGTTGCGACTGCACCGGAACCATATCGGCCGTGGCCTTCGTGATGAAGCCTACGTGGACTCTGTCTCCTCCTGTGCCGAGGCGGCTAGCGTCGTCGTCACGGTACGCGATGAGCTGGAGCGTGTGCAGAGCCCCATGCGCAACATGGGCTTTTTCAAAGCCCACCTTTTCCAGGCCGTCTTAGTCATCCAGATCATCCTCATGTGGGCCACTTCGATCCGTCCCTACGACTCGGCCACGGACGACCATCAAAAGCGCCTGTGGTTAAGCCTGAATTTGGCCCGTCTGGCCTCCGACATGGACAAGTGCATTGAATATCTGAGGGGCGAGTCGATCGTGGAGTCTCCCATGCGCATCATTGAGGCCCTTGCCAAGAAGCTGCGTTTCCAACTCGAATCGTCCGTTGATAAGGGTGCGACGGTCCTTCAGGCACCGTCTCATAACGGACCCTCCGCTCAGCCGAAGAAAGACGCAATGCCTTCTCCTGGCGATGCCGCCGGCATGTACCAGGCTCACTGGCTCTCTGCTCAGCCGAACCACAACTCCTCCATGGGCGTGGCTACGCCCGTCGACGAGGGTGAAGCTGCTCTTGACCGATTCCTGGCAGGCTTTGTTGTTCCCGTCTCTCAACAGCAACCTGCTGCTCCTCGATTCGAGCAATCATATCGTTCGATGCAGAATCATCAGCAGCATTATCAGCATCATCCTACTCCCCACGACACCTTTGGCGCCTCTTCGAACCTAGCCGACACTTCTTTCCTCGACACGATGTTTCCGCAATACGCCGAGAATGGGACAGACTTGTTGGGCGCACTTGAATCTGCGCTGTACGCCTTTGGGGACGGCAGCGCCCCGCAGCTGCAGCCCAATACGCAACCTCTTCAACCTAAAGAGGTACCTCTTCTCCCGTAGACACACACACGAACTGTTTTCTTACTTTGGGCATGGCATGTAACTGTAATCACCCTGTCTTTGTGTCTTGAGACCCTCATGTATAATGCTCTCGCGTTGACGCTCCTTGGAGGAATCAATCACCACTCTTTTGCCCTTTGCCGCGTACTTGTGGTGTTATTGCTGCTACCGGGTCATCAAGAGGCCGAAAGATTGCTAGATTTACAGACATGCAGTCATTGCGAACCGTTGTGATCGCTCGTCTCGATGACAGTCTGTCCGTCTCGCTTGTGATGCTGTAGCGGCGTCTCTTTTTCCGTCGACGAGATCGAGACGCCCCCTCCTCTGCTTCCCTCCTCCTGTTGTCGGATAACCGATTGTGGGCCTTCGGTGTCTTCTCCCGTTCCCTCTTCGTCGCCAAAGATGCGAGCCATGCGTTCGAGCGACACGCCTTTTGTCTCGGGTAGGACAAAGTAGAGAATAACAGTGCCAAATGCTGAGATACATATAAAGAGCTTTTTGGGCACATCCGTCAGCAAATTGTCGAGGAGTAAGAAACAGCTCTGGCCTCTCCACTCTGCCTTCAGAAGACAAAGACGGGGGAGGATGCTCACCAGGAACCACTTCCATCCGACTTGGGCTTGAGCCGTCGGCGTCAGCTCGAGGTAGACGAGGTCCGAGAGGGCCAAGACGGCGTTAGCCAACGCCACACCCTTTGCTCTGACGTGATTCTGAAAGACTTCAGCATAAAAGACGTTGCCGCCGACATCGACGCCGATCGAGTAGATTGCAATGAAGATGTAGATGGCTGCGACACCGAGGGCCGCAATGCTCCCGTTGTCTCCGACGCGCGCAGTGGCTGCTGCCAGGACGGCAACGCAGACACAGCACCCGGCAATGGATCCCATCATCAACGGTCGTCGACCGGCACGGTCCATCAAGACAGCCCCGAGAAAGCAGAAGGGGTAGCCGACCGTAACCCATCCCGCTTGAAAGACGAGCTGGCGCTGCAATCCGTAGCCTAGCGCAGAATAGAATGAAGGGCCGTAATTGTTGAGCACGAGGACGCCAGTCGATTGGCCGAGGAAAGAATAGAAAAGCGCAATGTAGGTACGCTTTCGGTACGCCTTCTTTGTGAACATGTCGAACTGGGAGAGAGAGAGAAGTTGGTCAGTCGTATTCCTTACTTGCTTGTTGTCGCTCACGCACCCATGATACTTTGAGATGGCGCTGCGTTTCGATCTGCGACACCATTTCTGCAAACTCTTCTTCGACAAATTCGGTGTTCCCGTCCTTGTCCGTATGAAGCTTGTATAGGATTTCCTTCGCCTCCTCCGTTCGACCTTGCATAAGGAGCCATCTGGGCGATTCTGGCGAAAAGATGGTCACGATAATCATGAGGATTGGCACGAAGAGGTAGATGCCGAGAGGGCCCCTCCATGTTGCATTTGACGTGCTGAATTCGGCTCGCGGTCCTTTGCCAGCGTAGGAAAAGGCAAGGCCCATGTAGGCTGCGATTGCGTAGGCAAAAGCGATGTTGAAGCCGTTGAGGCCGACGAAGAAACCACGCCAGGCCGCTGGGCTTAGCTCGGAGGTATAGATTGGCGTCAGGGTTAGGAAACCCCAAGCTGAGGCACCAAGAATGAAGCGTCCGACCATGGCCATGGCAATGTGCACCGAGGCCGTGAGGATTGTGCCGCCAATAATCCCCAAGAAGGCATTCCAATGCATCGCCCATTTGCGACCGAATCGGTCTGAAAAGTTGCAGGTGATGAAGACATTGATGAAAGCTCCTGCTTGGTAGACACCGTTGAGTGCTCCAATGATCGATTGGCCGTAATTTGTCGTCTTGCTGGTGGTGACGTCGACCAGATTGAAGTAGGTCAGAAATGCTGGCTCAGCAAGCACAGGTGCAATGACTGAGGAAGGGTAGCCAAACCCCCAACAACCGAGCGAAAGAAGGAAGCAGACGATAAAGTTGCGAAGGCGGAATTGATCCTTCTTCCTTGGGACGAGATCTTCTTTGACCATGATGCTTTATATGGCGAAGGGGAAGAGAAGGTGATGAGAGGAGAGAGAAGAGAGGACAGAGGGGTCGAGGAAGAGGCAGACTAAGATTGCTTTGCGTCTTTCTTAAAAGAGCGAATCAATATACAGGTTCATTAATTCAGGTGCGCTTGCAGGGCCGGAGTCTGGTCTCAGGAACGTAGGCACGATGGGGCGCAGCTCAATCAAGCCGCGCCAACCAGTAGTTGCGGCTTTTGAGCAGGGAATCTCGCCACCTCGTCACTGTAGAGGTGCTGAGGTGGGGTTGCGCAGATACGACTTAGATCGGGTTTCTTTGCGGGGTTGAAGCCCTTTTCCGATCTTAGCGTCTCCTCGTTTGCCTCTCCCCCGATCTCTAGCCCAAATGGCAGGTCTCGAACTAAACTTGGCCTCCTGCAGACATGCCGTGAAGAGGACCCGGCAAGATAGCAGCCACAGAGCGACCCCAGAGATGAATTCAATCGTGAAGCTCGGAAGTGCGAGCGGGGTAAAAGCCCGAAGGTCAAAGAGGCTATTGTTCCGGGAGGGGCGATGCCGGGTCGAGGAGAGCCTCCACATAGCGGAAGAGAGAAGTCATAATTTTGGTCAGGTACGACTTGGCCGTGCTTTAGGTGCTCTCGGCACCGTAGGGCAATCTGGAGTGCAGCTTTGGGGCAAGACTCTGATGCATGATAGTGGTATCGATTGGTCTCTACCTCTTCCGTCGTCGACTCCCAGATTGCCCTCAATGCCTGGTGTCATACCGTATGTTTCGATGCGCACGTTCGTTCATGTCCGTGCTCGCAGAAGAGTTTGGCAGTCCCAGAGAATAAGAGATGGGAGCAAGTTCTATTTATGGTTGGTAAAGCAGGAGGGGTGATCATCTTCAATGGGCATACGAAGCTTTGGGTAACAAAGGACGAGCAAGAGATAGAAGAGAGGTTTTGCTTATCCTAGAGCTAGAGGATGGGCGAAAGAGAGCGCGCTACACTTTACTGAATGGCTGCCTTGCGGTTGAGTTCCATGCCAAAGGTGGCGAAGAAGCCCACGGCAGCGACCACGGCTGACATGATGAACGTCTTGGTCACGGCACGGTTTGCGGCTTCAGACACTGCGGGGAGCAGCTCGGCTGGAGTGAATTCACGGAAGGCTGAAACGCCGTGGGCAACAATCTGCTGAGTGTTGGCGCCGGGAATGTGGTCGAGGTAGAGGACGAACTTGTTCTGGAAGATGGCCTGGCCAACGCTGACGAAGATGGTACCGCCGAGAACTTGGAAGAACGTAACGATGGAGCTTCCGACGGGAATATCCTGGACCGCGAGCGCGTTCGAGCCGGCGATGAAGGGGAGCATCCAGGCCCAGCCGGCTCCAAAGCCAGTAAGGAATTGTGTACCACACCAGAAGGCCTGCGACGAGTCCGGCTTGAGGTAGGCCAGCGATGCGCAGCCGAGGGCCAAGGCAGCAGTACCGAAGAAGATCGATGGAATGTAGTGACCCGTCTTGTTCACAATTGTACCCGACGCAGTGACTGCGAAGATGACGGCAAAGACCAATGGCAAGGTCTGCACACCCGAGCGAATGGCGCTGCTGCCCTGGACGGACTGGAAGTAAATGGGGGTGTAGTAGAGAACCGAAAAGTAAGCCGAGGCGACGGCAAAATTGACGGCCGAGCCAAAGCCGACGGTCCTGTGTGTGAAAAGACGGAGCGGGATTGTAGCATTTTCGCCCTGGAAGTACTGGTCGATCCAGAATGCGATCCAGATGACGACGAAGCCAACAATGAGACCGATGATCTTCGAATCGCTCCAACTGTATTTGATGCCGCCCCACTGGCAGACCAGAAGGATGCACACAACGGCGGTAAGAATCAAGGCGGTACCGAGGTAGTCGATGTTGGCAATTCGCTTGTACCAGACTTTGTCCTGCTTGTACGATGGCAGCTTAAAGAAGAGGACGATGAAAGAAACGACGGGGGCGTAGAGGACAAGGTTAAGCCAGAAGCACCACCGCCAACCTGCCGACCCGCTGGTGAAGGCGCCACCGATGATGGGACCGAGACAGGCACCGATGCCATAAATCGCGCCCATGCTGCTCGTCAAAAGAGGTCGAAGCTAGAATTTCACGGTGAGCAACGGAGAAATAAAGAGTGTGAAGACTCATCACCAAGACTCACTCGGAGAGGAGCGATCATCGTGACAATGACGAAAGCACCGACGTAGAGGCCGGCAAGACCTGTGCCGGCCACGGCCCTGCCGCCGATGAAGGTGCTGGAGTCCTTGGCGACAGCACAGATCAAGGAGCCGAGCTCGAAGATGAAGCAGCAGACAAAGAAGACCCATTTGACGGAGAAGAGGCTGTAAAGGCGGCCAGCCATAGGTTGGAAGGCCGTCGAGGTCATGAGATAGGCAGAAGCGTACCAGCCGACATCGCTGAAGGAGTTGAAGTTGTTGGTAATGACGGGAACAGCGGTTGAGACAATCGTCTGGTCGAGCGCAACGAGGAAAATAACAAGCCAGAGGGCAGTGATGACGAGCCAGAAGCGAAGACCAGTGGGATAATCGGTGTCGTCGAGCCCGGTCTCTGGACCCTCTGCCTTGGTGGGGTCGGCCTCCTCCTTGTACGCAGCAATAATGTCAGCCTCCTTTTCCTCCTTGGAGTGCGCAGTGCTGACGGCCTTCTCATGCTCATGCTCCGAGGGTGCGGCGGTGCTGGCCGCACCTTCCTCGAGCTCCCGAGGCGTTGTGACTTTCTGTTCGGTTGACATTGCGAATAGGTAATGTTCAGGGTAAGAGTCGGAAGAGAGATGAAGGGGGAACGAAGAGAGAGGAGAGGGTGAGGGGGGTTGGAGATCGGGGTGGGCAGGGAGGAGGAGAAAGACCAGCGTCGGGAGAGATTGAGCAGTCTCTAGAGTCTTTTATGTAGATGGGGGCAGGAGGATGAGCTCGCAGGATAACTCCGTGCTGATTCTATCTCCATTGCATGACTGCTTCGTTCCTCTGCTTCTCTAGCTAAACGAACCCGCGGAAGGCCCTGCATGTCTCGACGCATTAATGCAAAGCAGTCAAGTCATTCACGAATCTCACCTCATCCGCCCAATCTTTATTCGACGGAATTTGTCCCTGTCGTCCTGCTCACCTGCTCAGCTGACGGGATGGAGTTCGAAATAAATGAGGCTGGGATGTCTGAAAAAGGAGCGGTAACCGAGCACCCTGGCAGTCTTATCTGCCTGACATGTTGATACCACACTAGAATTTGTTCGACTGCATTCGTATTATCAATAATACACCTCCTCGGCGAAATGCGCATGAATCCGTTGTGCGCCGCGCTTATCCGAATGTTTCTCTTCTTTCTCTTTTTTTATGATTACACATTGAAAAATAAAGGTACCGCGGTGCCTCCGGGATGATGATCATGCATATACTGGTGCAAAAACGCGAGCGGTTTCGGCCGTAGATGTCGGCCGTCAGAATATTTGCCTAAACGCCGCGCTCCGTTTTCGGATACGCGCAGCCTGGGGCAACCAACGCGTCAGCCTGTCTATCTTGACGCGTAACTTGGACGTTTTCATCAGGATCCTTACCATCGATGGAAGGCTGGCTCAAGTCTCTAACCAGGTCGAAGTTGCGATGTGCTGAGATAAGTCGTTGCTTTGATCCTCCCAGCACATCGCAACAAGTGCTGTCCATCTAATAACAAGAAAAAAGAAACCTGTATCTCCGCGGACAGACTGAAGTCCCCTCAAGCCACGATAGCTGACTCGAAGTAGGTTCCGCTGCGTCCTCTTCCCTTACTGTATCCTTCTGGCGAGTGCGGTCGTTCCGAAATGACGTGACTTTGGTGCATTGAGGTCCTGAGGTCCTCTGGTAGTCCTGCTCCTCCCCTAATCTTCACTATTCGAGCTTCAATTGTCACACATCACGCTGGTGTCCGCAAGCAGAAAGTCCATGTCGCTCCTCGTTAGCGGGAGATGGCAGCGGCATGCTGGAAGAGCTTGTAAGAACAATCCGACCTCTTGTTGGATAGGCAAAGAGCAGGGCGTCCTCATCAATTTACACGGATAGAGTTGGTTCAGACATGCAGGTGTCAACGCGCCGAGGAATGCGAAAGCTGGGACATGTCAAGAACAACTGAGCAACGAGCAGCCAAGACGGCTTTCTCATCTCACCCTCCATGCTACCACCATCATTTGCTTTGTCTCACAGTCCTGCTTGATCAACATGGAGAATGACCCGTTCGATCCGACAACAGCAGGCGTCCCGGCTGCGCCGCTGTACGAAAGCCGCAACCCTCTTCGACCAACGATAGAACGTACCGAACTGGTCACTCCTTTAGACGCTGGCGTCGATGGAAAGGACCAGGATCGAACGCCAAGAGCTAGTAATGCGAAGCGTTTCCCCGTGTCGGAACCTCTCATCGAAAGGCCGAGGTCGGTGTCTGATACCGGCCTACCTCCCCGTCCTCGTCCAGCTCATTGGCATCAATATACCCGCCGACAGCCTGCATCGGGCCGGTCTCTTGGACAAATGTCCCAAGAGCCAGTACAAGGTGAAGAGCAAACGTCCGACAGAGCAATGTTACGCCTGCGCGGACTCATCAACGAAAGCATGACCACACTTCAACAGAGAATGATGGAGGAACTAAACGCTATCCAACAACTTGACAAGCAGAGCCCAGCGACGAGCCAGCCGCAGACGCCGGGTGAGCATCCATCTGCTTCATCGTCTCGCCAGTTTCCGCATTCTGCTCTGTTGTCAGCTCGTCGGAGGAAACTTCGCTCCTACTTTTTTAATGACGACCCTCCTACACGACAGACGGATCAGCATCTACGGCTTGGCTCTTCCGGTGCGGCGTCGGAAACCAGTTTAGAGCGGCATAATTTACCGTCGCCCTCCAGAGAAATCCATGATACACTCTCACCTGTTCGTCGCTCTTCTTATACCACGCCAGCAATCTCAACGAGGGCTTTCATCGATGGGTCTGACCCGTCCTTGTCAATTGAGGACCTACAATCCTACTTTGAAGACGCAGCGCCGAGGCTATGGATGACGGCCCTGCAGATGGCGGTTAGGTACGTTCATGCCTACAAGCTGAAGCTTGGCCACGCACTGGTCGAAGTCACCTTCTATTAGCGAAAGTCACGACTCAAATAAGCTCGACGGAAGGTTCACAATCAGTCAAGCCGCCTTAACAACGGTCATTCCTCTCATTCAAGACATCTGCCAATGATGCCGCTTAACCCATGTTCAAGCACTCGCAAGTTGTCTAGCATCATCCATCCATCTTACACATAGATTACACAAAGACTAGTGCATAGAACCCTGATCTCTCAAGACCATCAGAGCAATTACTCGTTTTCTTTCATTAAAGTAATGGCCAGATGAGTGATGGTGTTGTCATTCTCACGTCTCTCTACTCGAGGAATCCATTGGCACGCCAAGCATTCACGAACTTCCGACACAGGCTCTCATCCACCGTCGTCGCCTTGGCTAGCGTCGTTGAGGCAGCTTCGGCCTCGACTGAGGAGACGGAGATATCTTCTCTCGACGCATCTTGAAGCTGCCAAAGCACTCACTTTAGCTTAATGCGAGGAAGAGCAAGTGCCCAGATGCACTTACCGTTGCCCAGATATCGTCAATTAGAGCTCGGCCTCGAACCTTTGTCCCGGCAGCCTTCAATTGATCTAGCCATTCCTCGTTGGTCTTAACGTCAAAGCGGACTCCACTCGAGCGTAGCCAATGCAAAAAATCTGACCACGATGGCCGGTGAGCTTGCATGGGCGTGGTGACGTGTGCGATTGGGCTCGTAGTTGTTGAGAGGGCAATGTCGATGATCGCTTTTGCGGCGACGTCGACAGGCAGCCAATCGATAGCCTATAAAGACAATGAAGAGTTAAAGGGTGCAAACTTTCTACAAGCTGGCTAGAAAACTCACAGGACCGGTCGCTGGCAGACTCCCAACCTCGTTGGCAGTCCGCACAAGAAGGGGCCATGCTTCGGTTTCGTTCCAGATCCCGTGCTTAGTATCGCCGCACAGCTGGCCGACTCTGGCGATTGTGACGGGACGATCAGACGAATGACTGGCTTGGCAGATCTGCTCGGCCACCCATTTCGACTGCCCGTAGCCAGTCTGACCTGCCGAGGAGACGTCGGAGCTAGGAATTTCATCCTTCACCTGGGAAGGAGACTGCATTATGCTGGCAAGAGAGGAGCAAAAGACGAATCGAGTCGCACCTCTGCTTGATCGGAAGAGATCCAGAAGGTCCTTGAGCGCTGAGTACAAGGGCCATGCAAGTCAACAACTAAGCTCGGGCATCGTGCAGCGTTGGACTTACACGCAATGCAATCCTTTTCGAACGATGCCAGACTCAAGGCAAAGTTGACCGTCCATGCGCACTGCAAGAGACGATAGCCAGCCCCTCGGGCATATATCAGTCATCCTGCTCAGAAAACAGAAAGACAAGGAGACGATTGCCTCACATGGATAATGACGAGTCGTCTCGTTTTGTCACGCAACAGGACTCTGGTCTCGTCATCCAGTGTTGCTTTGGCAACTAGTCTTCCCTGCACCTGTCCATCCTCGAGACTACTGCTGCAATTACGCGCTCTGAGAGCTCGAAGGAGTCTTGCCTGCGCCAAATCATCGTTGTCGGCTCGAGCGAGACAATAGACAGATGCAACTTGAGACTTCGGAAGCTGTAGGAGTTGGTCGAGGATGCGGGAACCAAGGGCGCCCGTACCGCCTGTTACTAGGAAGGTCAACGCTCCATCGAAGTTGTTATTAGTCTCTAGGGGCACGGAAAAGCGAGAATGACGTTCAACCAAATCGCGTGCGATGTTCGCTGCATTCCGTTCCGCGTTGACGGCGATGGGATCGTCGAGGAAAGAACAGAGGCTGATGAAAAGGAGTCAGTCAAAAGATCTGATACTCTTCTTCTGGACCCACTTGTTGATGTTGGAGTGCTCATAGACGACGTTGGAAGCTAGAGGCGACCCTTGCAAATCCAAGCGCTTGCGACGAGAAATGTTCGATGGATGAGCAGGAGCGTAGAGTACGCAAGTGAGTCTATCACTCACCTGAAGAAGCGCAGCTCGGATCCTCGCAGCCATAATTGAATCGACGCCAGCATCGAAGAAATCATCTCCGTCGTCAATGTCATGGCCAAGAATCTCCTCTATAAGACTGTGGACCCAGTTGTTCAGCTCTTTGCCCTTTAGCGCCAGCCGAGGCTGCACCTGGGGCGCTTCGCCACGTTCGAAGCGGCGATACACGCCGTCGATAATGCCGGCGAGCTGGTCCATCGCCATTCCTCGTTGGAGCGTGCCCTTGGAAGAGCGGGGGAGCTGAGAAAAGCGGTCCGACTGCATGAAGTACACCATTTCTGGAGGAATTCGGGCGTGGCTGGGCTGCGTCTTGTTGACTGATTCGAGAGTGGGGAGGAGCGCAGCAAGCATCTGGACACTTTTCTCCTCCTCCGTGCCCTGCTGCGATGCTGATATCCGAGAGCACAATAAAGCGCTGGGCAAGATTAAAACACCCAAACTCGGACGGCTTGCTCCGAATACAATGGCATCGCTGACCAGATCCCTAGAGTTCTTGAGTGCTACCTCAATCGGGGAGGAGGCGACTTTCTTGCCATTCACCTGAAGATTAAAGGGATATAAGTATCCCTTTCTCCTTCTTTTCCCATCCTTTAATAACTCACAAGAACGATACTGTCGTCGGAGCGACGAGCATATCGCCATTTGCCGGAGTCAACGGGATGCCTTTGGAAGAGGTCGCCTGAAGCAAAAGACCCATCACTTTGATTTGAAATGATCTATAGGCCAAGGCATCAGCGTGGTTTCAATAATTCCCGATCTCACGGAAGGAATCGAACCTTTGTAGGCCAATAACTTGAGACTATGAGCTCATGGAGCCCTTCTCCATGCTCGCTTCTGGCCTGGAACTTGAGCCATTGCTCGCTGGTTTGATCGGTGACTCGAAGCCATGACCATTCTTTGTCATTGTCGAAGTCTCGCCACGAAGACATGAGGACTGCACATGCGATGCGATGTCAGTACATCCATGGACGCCCGAGTAAGTAAAGAACGAGAGGAATCTCAAGCTCACATCCGCATTCAGAGCTGCCGAGGCGCGACACCAAACGAATGTTGTGATGCTGAACCATGTCATCACCAACGTGCTGGGGCAAAGGCGCACCACCAGTGCTGACGAGATCCATATCTTTCAGTAAATTGATGCCTAGCTTTTCTCGCATGAGCGACTCGAGAATCATGGGGACCGATAAAAAGTAGCGGCTGTGTCCAAAGTCAGACGTAAGCACGGCCTCAGCAACAAGACGAGTTCACAAGTGCCAACATACATTTCCTGTGTACAAGCTTGCACTGATGCGACAATCGTGGCCGTTGTTGGTGCTCTGCGGAGGTGCCATGGGTAGAAGTAGATGGGAGCAGCTGCTTGGAAAGCCCGAAAAAGGTCAGAGAGACCTCCGTGGAACAAGGGTGTTGTGGTAAATGCCGCTCGGTCTCTCCCTCTCGCGCTAAAAAGCGTTTTTGTCCAGAATCGATGCAGCTGTGGGATCGGCTGTTGAAGATTCGAGGACAACATGAGTACAATGATGGTATTAAAGTGTGAAAGAACAGGTTACCTACCTTCGGGTTACCACTGGATCCAGATGAGTGGAAGATGACAATGACGTCGTCCGGGCCAGCGGGGTATAAAGGTGTCACATCCGTGTTTTCTTCTGCTGCATCGCCACAGCTGAGCCAATCGAAGAGCTGTACATCTTGACGTAGATCTGAATGTTGTGCGGCAGCCTCTGCGAGGTCGCGCTGGTCAACATGGGCCAATATGCATTTGCAGCCCGTCAGCCTTAGAAGGTTGGCGACCCCCGATGCAGTTGTTCCCAGTCTGCATACTGGAGATGAGCGAAAGCCATGTGCTACGGTACGGTGAAAGTCTCAAACACCCACGCGATCGGAAGGATAGCAGCACCAGCATGCCAGCAGCCAAGTGCCTGTGCGAGATATCCAGGCCCACTGGGACCTAAGAGGGCAATGACGGGCTGTTGCGACTTAGCTGGTAAGCCTTGGCGGAGCAGCGCTTGACAGAGCTGCCTAGCAGCACTCGTCCCCATCCGTGTCAGGTTGCGATACGCTACGATGGAGAAGAGAGAGAGGGGTGAGCAACTGCATGGTGCTGAAAAAGAGATCTTTGGATACACGCACTCCACGTCGGACAGGGACGACCCCCTTCATCGGGGAATCCGACAGCCACCACATCGGGAGAATAGCGGGCTCGATGCGCCAACAATCGCATCACCGTTCCATGGTCCTGTGGCTCAGGCTCAGCGGGCGGCGAAGCAGCGAGCTGCCCCATGGCCTCGCCTACTGAGAGGGAGAGGTAGGGCGGTGCTACCTGTCGTCGTCCTTCTTTTGCTCCATCACTGGCGCCCGCCCTTCCAGCGGACCCATTCACGTCTCCGTTCATCGGCGAGTGAACGCCCATTGTGCTGCTGTCCCGCAGAGCCTAATGACCTGACGGAAGGTCTCACAATGGGACTTGTCTTTATGATAGCCTCCATCCTTCCCGCGACCATGACTAATAAGAATCTACAGTTGTCAAGGACCCTGAAGGTTTAGCTCGCTGCAAGGCTGACTAAATGTTGCTCTGCGCTCGGGCCACATCAAGAAGAGCTTCTTCCCTCCACGGTCTTCGCTCTATCCCCCCCGTGCGCAGACCCTGATGAGGCTCGGTATGTCTTCTTCTAACATACCATCATTGCAGCACGAAGAGCTTTTGTGCAAAACCAGCAGTACAAGACAATGTCTCCACCTTCACCGACAATGTACGAGGTGAGGTTGCCTTTTTCGGCAGGGCATACACTCTTCTCTGCTCGCGTTTCTCGTGAAATGGCTGACATGATGCTTCCTTTCAAAGCCTAAGAATATGCGCTTTCGACAGCTTGGCCCCAGTGGTCTGCGTGTCTCTCTCTTCAGCCTTGGTGGGTGGCTCACCTTTGGAGGGAGCGTCGATGACGAAGCGACCAAGGACATCATGAGGGTGGCCTATGAGCACGGCATCAACACCTTCGATACGGCCGAGGTGTACGCCAACGGAGCTTGTGAGGTATCGATGGGACGTGCGATTCGAGATCTGCAGTGGAATCGCTCAAGTCTCGTCCTCATCACAAAGATCTTCTACGGCACGGGCGGAAAAGATCCTAATGCGACAGGGCTCAGCAGGAAGCACATCATTGAAGGCGCACAACAGAGCCTGCAAAGGGCCGGGCTCGATTATTGGGACATCATCATGGCACACAGCCCCGATGTGACAGTGCCCATGGTCGAGGTAGTCAAGGCTTTCAACCACCTTATTGCAACAGGCGTGCGTCCTTCCTCCTTTCTTGCTTGCTTTTTCCCGCTGCTTACCTCTAGCTGACATCCGACAATTTTGTCTGCCCCTCACAGAAATGTTTCTACTGGGGCTGCTCTGCGTGGTCGGCCGAACAGATCTCAGAGGCCTACGGCATCGCGCGAGAGCTTCACTTGGAGCCGCCATTGGCGGATCAGTCGCAGTACTCGATGCTTCACCGCGAGCCCGTGGAAAAGGAGTACATGCCCCTCTATCGCAAGCACGGCCTCGGTCTGACGATCTGGTCTCCACTTGCCTGGGGCCTGCTTACAGGCAAATACAACGACGGCATCCCCAAGGGCTCTCGCTTCGACCTCAACGCCGACTCAACCTTTGACGGCGCCATCCAGTCCCTGCGATCCTCAGAGGGTATGGCAAAGGTAGAGAAGGTTAAGAGGTTGACCAAGGTCGCGGAAGGGTTGGGCTGCTCGATGGCCGTCCTGGCTCTGGCCTGGGCAGCCAAGAACGAACATGTCTCGACGGTCATTCTGGGCGCAAGTCGAAAGGAGCAGGTCGTGGAGAATCTCAAAGCTCTTGACTACATCGAGAAGCTCACTCCGGACATCATGACCGAGATAGATGCGGTGCTTGCCAACAAGCCAGCGCCACTTCCTACCTTTGGGCGAGCATGAAGCAAAGCATGTTCACGAAAATGGTGCCATGAACCTGTAAGAAAACCATCATTCCCGACTCAGGCTGGACTCTTGTGACAAATATTTTAGACTATGACAAAATCGAATCCTATGGCTCTAGAGTCCATTCCACTGGCGTCGGTCGGTCTCACTTCATTTAGACAAACGACCAGCAGCGATGAAGGTGTCGTTGAGCGTTGGAGCGCTCCTCGCAGTGACGGCTGCTGCCGCCGCCGAGACGAGCTACTTGTTGCTTCATCGGACGCCGTCGACCTCGCCTGCTTGGTCGGAACGTGCAAAGATCTACCTCGAGCCAGGTTCGGCGCCCCGATACGAAGAAGTGACGTCCAAAGTGCCCAAGATCGACGCCGGCGATGCAAGGGGCATCTACCAACTTGCTCTTGTCCCCGCCGACGGCAACAAGAAGGTAGTCGACGATAGCACGCCAATGACGTTTGCCAAGGCCGTGCGTCCCTTCTCAAAGCTCGCTTGTTGCGCAGACTGGAACTGACTGGCCTTCTCTCACAGTGTCACCTGTCTGCTCTCCTGAACGAGAGCATCACGCTGCACCTCGACGAATCCCGACAAGCGGTGCATGGAATCAGCTACGATCTAATTGGGCTTGAGGTCGGTCCACACGGCTGCCCGCTGAAGTCGCCCTCTTCCTCCAGAGACAGCAGCCCTACTGTTCGCGTCAAACTCGCGACCCCTCAGGATGCCATCTCGTGAGTCCCCCCTTCTGAGATCTCGGACCATTGAAATCTGCAAAATGATCTGACAAACGATTCTCTTAAGGCCACCTCCCCGCGGTCCTCCTCCAACAAAGGCAGACGGGACGCCGCTCAAAGAGGGCGAGGCTCCGCCAAAGGAAAAGAGCTTCGTGGCAAAGTACTGGTACTGTGAGTCGGATCCTGCCCAGAGGTGAGAACTGTTTGCAAGGATCGTTAATGACTTTCTATCGGAACAGACTTTGTCCCCATTCTCATTCTCATGGCGCTGCCCACCGAGATGGCCGACAGCGCAAATGAGGAAGAGGAGAACGGAGGAGGCAGCGACATGCCGCTCGTGCCATCTGGCGGCGGTGGAGCGGCCGCGCGAGGAGGAAGGGCCAAGGGAGGCGCAGGCGCAGGTGCTCGACGAGCCAGATAGAACACAGAACGACATTGCAAAATGAAATAGAATTGTTCATTGCTGGGCAAAGAGGGGCGCAAGTGACGCTGACGATGGCTTGGCAAGCGACCTGACCACCGACTCGCACTCTGCTGCCACCTCATCGACGCTCTTGCCCGCGTCGACGACGACCCACTTGCCTTGAGGCATGTCTTTTCGAATCTGAGCAAATGCTTCTCGGACCTTTGACTGCATCGACACACTCTCGTAGCGCTCCTCGCCGTAGCCCCCACGTCGAGACGCTTCCTCCACTGAAAGGTCGAGGAAGATGGTCACGTCGGGCTCCGGCAGGCCCACGTCTGGCGCTTTGCACCACTGGTAGCTCAGTCCCTGTGTCCATCCAGCGTCAGTGGGAGAGTCTTTATGAAACGACAGCATCGCCAAAAGAGGGTGACCCCTCACCTTTGCACACGAGTAGGCGATGCCTGAAAAGGCATATCGATCGCACACGATGTTCTTGCCGCTCTCGAGGCAGGTCACGATGCCCTGTCTGGCCTCCCAACGATTGGCTGAAAAGAGGAGATGAATCGCCCGATCGTCGAGCTCGCTCTGTTGCACCAGGTAGCTGTCGATCATCTTTCCAATCGCCGTCGTGCGATCTTCCCTTGGGATGCTCATCAGACGGACGTTGCTGCAACACCGCTTGGGTGACAAAGTATCCGTAGACTTACCGGGAAACTTGATCGCTTTTGCATCGAGGGCAGACGCTAGCCTCGAGACTTGCGTGCTCTTGCCTGCCCGGTCCAGCCCCTCGACGACGACAAAGAGGCCCCTCATCGTGCGCCTGTCCTCGGTGCTCTTCGAAACCAGGACGCGTCTTGCTGCCTGCAGTGAGCCCGAACGTCCGTCCAGGAAAAGCCACGCGGAAAATTCGGCCACTTGTGTCAACTTTTCTCATCTGCCACCCATCTTGGCCTCCAGGACACATCGGGCGAGCAGGGAGAAAAAAATTAGGGCAAGAAGATCAACGTCGTCGTCGTCGCTGCTGCACCTCCTTCTTCCTCCCGCCGCCATGTCTGTGCCGAACGGCCCAGGCAGTGAGGACGGACATGGCGTCGACGAGAGGCAGGATTCGCTCGAAGCGCTCAGGGATGATGGTTCGCATGTGGATGCGGTGGCGGACGACGAAGAAGAAGACTACGACGAGTCGCAGCAGCAGCAGCAGCAACAACATCATCAACAACAACAGCAATCACACCAGGCGCAGCCTTCTTCGGCGTCATCGTCATCGTCCTCACATCGTGCTAGACCCGTCAAAAAGCTGAGGCCCAAATCGCTTCGTGAGGCTCTTGATCGGGTCCTGCAGCAGCTCAAGAAGTGAGTCTGTCTCCTAATTATTGCTTGCCTTGCCAAACGCGAGAAACCTGTCGCTCAACGGAGTAAATGAAATCTCGGCAGGCGTGATCATTACGAGTTCTTTGCGCTTCCCGTCAACGAGACCGAGGTGCCAGGCTACCATGCCTTCATCAAGGAACCGATGGACTTCTCGACGATGGAGAAGAAGCTCAGCGAGGGTGCTTACACCGAAATTGAAGGCTTCAGGGTGAGCATCTTTCTACAGATCGACTCCCATGGCGCAGGCTCACGTTTGTCTCTTTCTAGAACGACTTTCTTCTCATCACACGGAATGCACAGGCGTTCAATCCTCCGGAAGGGCCGAGCTCCATCATTCACAATGAGGCAAAGCGAATCGAGGCCTGGGGGGAGAAGGCCATTGTCCGAGAAGGCGCTGCAGTCGTCGTGGAGGAAGCAGAACCAGCCAAGGACCGATCCGTGAGCGCCAACACAGCAATGCCTAGCACACTCTCAATGGGAAGAGGTGGGAGCCGGCTGAATATCAAGCTGAAGAGGGGAGGTGCTGGAGACGAGGTCTCGACAGCGAGACACACGCCCATCAGATCATCGGCACTGAGCCAGGAGATTAAGGTGGAAGACGACGAGGACACCGAGATGATGGACGATGACGAAGAGGGGTTGTCGGACAGGGCGAGATCGAGCTCTGTCCGAGAGAGCAGCGCAACCCTCGAGGCGGACGACGGCAGTCGACACCAGGCAAGCCCCTCTACGCCTGGCACGAACTCCAGAGCTAGCCCAGAGTCGTTGCGTCGGGCCGTTGGTCGACCCAAGGGAAGTGGGCTAGGACCCAACAAGGGAACACCGAAGAGCAGCCAGAAAAACAAGAACAGAACCAGTGTCGTCTCGTCGATTCTTGGGTTGAGTCAGAATAACGACGCAGAGTCAGACGTGAGGCAGGCGCCTGCACCCATCAGCAGCACCTCGGGCGTCGTTGCGAGCGCACTCAAGCTCTCACAGCAGCCGGACGGATCTATCGACATGGACAAGCTGGAGCCTGATGAGCGAAGGGCTCTTCTTCGGCCCGCTGGTCTCGATGTGTGGCCTGATGTCCTGACACCGTTCGTCGAATCGATCCAACCGCTTCACCCGGACCTTCAAGCACAGGTCGGCTCCCTGGCGCGACCACCTGCTCAGGTGGTTGATGGCTTTGCCGCCTCGATGCTTTCTGAGCCGGCTTCTTCATCTGTGACGCAGACCTACGACGTGTCTAATCAGCCTTCTGAAAAGGCCATGACACCGTTTGCCGTTTCAAGCGGGTGGACGTTTGGGGATCCGCCATCTGTTCCTCTTTCTTGGCCACAGCCAACAGCAAGTGGCCCCTCGGCCCAGTCGAACTCGCAGTCAGATCCCTCTACACCCATCCGAGCACTCAAGGGTCGCGATCGAGAAAAGGAGAGAGAAGCGGCGGGAGCAAGCAACCTCGAGGACTGGACGTTCCCTCGGGCACACATGGCCCGCCTTCTGCTTCACTCCGACGTTGGCACACATCCAGGTGTGCTTCCTGCTGCATGGGTCTCACACATTGTCTCTTCCAAAGGCGGGCCTGCCGTCTCGAGACTCCCGCCCTTTCACCTCGCTGCTGGCCAGACACTGCAGAACGCGCTTCACGAGGAGTTGGCCTACCTTCCCTCGCGCGCCCTCTTGGGCCTCAAGCCAGGAGGCAACCCTGCTGTTGCCAGTTCCACCGAATCACAAGATCTGGTCACCACTATCGAAGCTTCGATGGCCAACGACTGGCGCGACAGCGAAGCAGAGATCAAGCAAAAGGGCGTCAAGGGAAGCGATGCGGTCCGAGAGGCCGTCTATGGAGGAGTGATTGGGGAGTCGTATGCGAGGAGCGTCGACGACTTTGTCACAGGGGCGATGCAGATGGCGACCGACCGTGACGGAGAGAGATCTCTTGAAATGGAAGAAGAAGAGCGAGAAGCAAAGAGGAGAAAGGAAGGAGATGGCGAGACAGGAAGAAAAGGTGCCAACAGCAGTCATGCCAAGAGGATGAAGAAGAGGGAGGCACTGCGCATGTCGTCTTACTTTGATACGGACGGTGAAATCAAGGACGGAGGCGACTACATCGGTGTCGGCCTAATCCCTTTCGATGTGCGAAAGGAAGCCGGGTCTGGCATTAAGCAAGAAGGAGGGGAAGGCCAAGAGGAAGAGGACGAGGTCAAGCCACTCAAGAGGAAGCGAGACAGTTCGACGCCTGGGTCTTCTCGCCGATCTGCGAGCATTTTTGCGGACAGAAACCACCTCCACGGTCAAGGTCTGCAAAACGGTGGCAGGAAGAGTGCGGCAACAGGACAAAGACCATGGACGTTGGAGGAATGCATCCTCAAGGGAAGAGTGCTGGACCGGTCACTGCGAGACTATGTCCGTGATACGGTCGTTTCGCCGCTCACAGGTGGCCTTTTGGACGTGCTCATCAGGGCGGGAGGCGAGAGGCGAGAAACGCTGGACGAGGAGGCCCTCCGTAAAGCGCTAGACGGCAGTGCGATCGATGAAGAGCTGCTCGATGTCTTGAGAGACCTCAAAGATCAAGTCGGCGACGAGTCTGCTCTCCCTACGCCTGCTGCCAATCTTTCCTCTGAGACGATCGACTCTCTGACGAGCCCCCGTTCCAGAAAGCTGGAGAAGCAGCTTGCGGAGCTGGTTCGCGGAGGTCGGGAACCCATTGATCTCGACTCGCTGCTGCAAGGGCCCCAAGACATGCTCCCTAGTCAGCACATCCGTCGAGCAGGCGTTGCGGAGACGCTGCGCATGTGTGCGCCTTTGCTCGCGTCAGACGACATCAATCGCAAAGAAGAGATCCGCCAAATACTCATTGATCTTGCAAAACAGGCACCGTCACAAGAGATCAAGAAGGGGCAGTGGCTCGCTTGGATCCAGATGCAGCAGGCCCTCGCCGTAGGCCGTTCTTAGCTCTTCACACAATAGACAACCTAGAAACCCATCATAGCTTTGTTTAATGTTTTATCACATTGATCTAATTGTATCATACAGTCACTCATCATCGAAAGGACCCACGAAGGAAGGCGGGCGTTGAAGAGGATGAAGGGAAGGCCTGCTTTCGTTGTTCACTGGCCATTTGCCTCCGAGCGACGATGAAAGCTCGAACGTGTCCCAGGGCTATCCCTCCGACGGCAAAGACGGCCCCTTGAATGACGGGTGACAAGATCTGGTCTCGAACTGTCAAGTAGAGGAGCGACCACCTGTCTCGAGTAACATCTTTTAGCAGTGGGAAGGAGGTTTGACCGTTTCTGGTAGACCTACCATTCGATTCGTAATCGCCCCAGCCAAATTTCCGGCTCGCCAGCCGGTGATCTGGTCGCGAGGACCTTGGGCGGCTTTTCTTGAACTTCATCGTCCGGCGAGGAGAGACCGGCGTTGAGCACGTCTGCCACATTTCCGTCAACCTTTTCGTTGTCGAACCCAGACTTGCGCTTGAGGTCATCGGCCGCTTCCGTGGTGGACACCTCGTGGATCAGAGACCGGATCGAGGCGAGGTACGACTGCTCGAAGCGCATGTCGGGAATGCTGACGCCAGACGGCTTGAAGGCCGATCGTGCGCGGCGCGTGTTGCGGTGCGACGACGACGAGGATGACGCGATGCTCGACATGTTTGCGTCCCGTCGTGACAAAATGGTGGGCCAATGCGTGTCAGATGGAGATCCGCCGAACAACGATCTTTCAAATGCACAAGAAAGTGGTCCCCGACTTCCGGTTAGCGTGGCTCCACAAAAATGCTCGTTCGCTCCTCTCTCCCGCTCTCGCTTCCCCGCCCGCCCCAGCTCTTGACACCACCACCTCCTCCTATTGAATAAGAATTCCTACTCGCCATGTCTCAACAGGACGTCGTCGCTCCGCGTGCTGCGGAGATCATCAAACACATGAACGCGGACCACAAGGACTCGCTGCAGGCCATCGTGACGCACGTTCAGAAGCTGCCCTTTCCTCCGTTTTCCGCGCGCATGTCGGCCATCACGTCCAAGGGCTTCACCGTCGACTACCGCATTGTGGTCAAGTCGCTCCTCACACAGCCCGGCGGCTCGAAGCGCAGCGTCGTTGTGCCCTTTGACCCTCCACTGAAGTCGGCGGGCGAGGCTCGGGCGAGGCTCGTTGCCCTGAGCCAGGAGGCCGAAGAGAAGCGCCTCAAAAAGGTGAGCTGTTAGAAACTACTCTCCTTTCTCTCCACCTTTTCTCTCACTGACTTCTCCCTGTCCATAATCACACGTAACAGTACCCGATTCGCTACTCTACGCCGCTCGACTTGCCAATCTGGTCACTTACCTTCGTGGGCCTCTTTCTTCTTTCGCGCCCAGACATCTCCCGGCAGCTCCCCAGCCACCTTGCTTCAATCTTTGACCAGATTCGCAATCGCCTTCCCAACGGCGCTCAATGGCCAGATCTCCTCTTCAAGGGGCTTGTTGCCGTGCATGTCGCTGAGGCAGCCGCGATGGGTGTGTACGTCTGGAGGCGCGGTGCCTCGCTTCTTACCTGGGTGAGTCAGCAATCTGTTGCAATTGCCAAGATGTTGTGGGCTGACTCTGGATCAGCTCCTGTGGACCTTCCCACATGTCATCATGGGCTTCCCAAACTATCTTGCCTTCAGGAAGGTCAACCCGTCCATCTCAGGCAAGAAGGCCAAGAGCCATTAGTTTTTGAGCAGAGACCAGACTCGAGCTAAGAATGGTATAGAATTTGTGCAACGAGAATTGCTACAATCGTGGCCTTGCCCTTGCATTGACGGGCCCAAGAAGCCATTGGGTATATGCTCTGATCTTGGCTTCGCTGACACCGCCAAAGAGACCGGTGCCTGTCGAAGAGAAGTGCGTGGTGGCTGAACCTGCTGCACCATTGACGTACGCGACCAATGCCGGATCGACGCCCGTTGGGGGGCCTTCTTCCGAATCACCGTCGAGATGACCAACATCCATGAAATCGCTCTGGTTCAAGCCTAAAGCCGTCATCACGCCCGATTCATAGAGCTCGGCATCGGCCAGTGCAATCTGTTGCCTCTGCTTGTAAGTGGCAGGAGCTCTTTTCGAAGCAGTCACGGCGGCTGCTGGACTTTGTCCCGCCATGACGCCAGAGGCCGTCGCTGATGCGACTCCCGGACCTGTCACAGCACCATGTTGAACCATTTGAGAGTTCGAAAGCGCCAAGCCAGGCTCTGAAAGCAAGCCTTGAGACACCTCTTCTGTCGAGTACGTGTTCGAGTGTCCGCCGCCTTCAAAGACAACGTCCTTGAATTGGTCTAGCCACCACGCATACTCCCTCGCCTCGTCCGTCGACACGCTCGGTCTCGTGTGGTTCCTGAGCAGTGTCCTCGTGCTTGGCTTCAGGGAAATATTCGAAGGTGCTGTCGTCACCTCTTCCCAGGATGGCCAGGCTTCGCGTTCTGCAATTGACGCAGCCATAGTCTCGCCATACGTCCCAATCTTCCCGTCCTGTTCGTCAGCCTCTTTGCCCTCTAGGGCACCGCCTAGAGAAGCATCCGCTGCTCGATCCAAGGCGCCAAAATCGTCGGGATTGCCTAGCGAAGCCATCCTTCTTGAGCGCTTTCTTGGAGTAGATCCCTGTGCGGTCAACGAGGTTGCATCGGCTCGGTTGAGGCTCATCCATCGTCTCACTCCACCGATGATCGCCTTCGGTGGGGCAGACGATGCCGAGGCCGACGCAGGAGAATAAGGCGTACGCGAAGATGTGAGAGACGAGATTCTCTGATGTTCTCGTTTTGCACGAGGAGAGGCGCCCGTCACTGTCGACGTCGAGGACACGCTCGAGGAAGGGAGGCGAGAGGTGAATGGGCTCGTCAGAACAGTGGATTCCGACAGTTGCGTGGTTGCATAGGACGGCAAAGACCCGTTCAAGGATGGAGCAAACATGGAAATGTCAGAGCCCGCCGAGCTCAGCGTCATTGTCCTTCCAAACGCAGAAGCAGACGACGAGGTTCCCAGAGATTGCGCATTGCGCTTGTGACGAGGAGACGATGAAGGCGAAGCAGCAGGGTGCTGCAAAGGTACCAAGCCAGGAGCGTGTTGGTGGACGGCAGTCATCTTATACGCGTGGTGGCGAAGAAAGCTGTTTTTTCGTCTCGTTCGTCAGCAAAAGAACCTGCATGTCAGAAAAGGCAGGACACTCACTCGGTGAACAGGCTTGGTCGATAGTACTCTGCCCAGAAGTTGCCGTCGTGCAACACGAGATCGGCGAGTCTGCGTTGACGCTCCGCGAGCGAGACGCTGGTCTCGAGGTACTCTGGCGTGTACCACTGCTGATAGCTCCTCCTTTGCTTGATCATGGACTTGCAGTCGATAGACTCCTGAACGTTGCGTGAGGGAAACGCCGTGTCGCTGTCTGCACCCAGAAAGAGATTGATGGCCGCCTGTTTGTCTGCATCGACAAAGCTGTTTGCATAATACCGCTTCAGTCCCTCAAGCATGTCGCGCGAGTGTGATGTCCACTGGTTGATCTTGCGGTAAGTCTCCATTGTATTGACGAGATGCGACCCGCCGTACTGGAGCGCAATCGTGTCGCCGAGATCGTGGTACATCTCCGTGAGCATGTCGACGGCATCGCTATCGAAGGGTAGGCTCGGATGTGTGAGGAGGCCAAGGGCATGGAGCTGATGTCCAAAGGCGGCCTTGCCGATCACAAATTGAGCTGCATTTGTCCGATCGAGGCAGTCGACGCAGTTGACCCGGGCCACACCACTCTGGAGAAGGATTGTACTTCTTCTCTGCTCCTCCTGGCCGTCGAAGCCCGCGAGTCCGTTTGGTTCGGGTCCAGAATGGAAAAAGTTAGTGGCGGCCACCGTCTCCTCTGCAATGTCCTCGAGAACGCCAATCACGTCCTGGTCTCGGCTCTTGCTGGCTCTGCTCATGTCCCAGGCAATGTATCGCAGACGCTTGTCGGAAGGCAGGAACTGATTGAGGTATGCAACACACTCGCTGAAGGCGTGCAGCAGCTTGACCTCACGCGGCTGCTTCTCCTTTGACTTGATGAGGTTCAGAACAATGATGGGAGAGCCATAACGCCGAAACATGTCGTCGAAATGTAGTGCTGCCGAGGAATAGTACGGATCGACGACACTAATCTCGATGGGGGGTCGCGGAGACATGTTGGTGGAATCTTGGGTCCAATAGATGGGGATGCTTCCTCTGTGCATTACATACGATGTAAAGCGAGGATTGGGTCCGAGGTACGCCGGCGTTGAACGCTCTTCATCGATTTCAGTGTCTTCGGAGAGCCGTGGGCTCTTGCTCATTCGGGCCGCTTTCTTGTCCTTGTCGGGCGCATAAAAAGGCGTCGTCAAGGCCTGGCTCACGATCTGTTCCGTCTCGACATCATTGGCTACGTGGCCCTGGTCGTCGGTCCCGCGCTTGAGGAAGCGAGCGCCAGCAAAATGACGCGAACGACGTGCGATGAGGGTGACGTGGATGGTACAGTGAAGTACACTGAGCTTGGCCTGGTCGACGAAGCCGTAGACGAGGGGTAGCACCCATTCGCTTGCGGTGTCCTGATCGGAGCGTGGGTCTGCCTCCGAGGAGCGAAAGGCCGGCAAGAGCAGATTGTGGTTCCAGACAAATTTCTCATTGTAGCCCCAAGCCGTGTGCGACGAGCACTTTTCAGCGCCCGTCGTCGGTCCTGTCAGATTCTCCTGCAGGGTGTTGGTGAGGTCGTAGGTGTAGCTAAAGTAAAAGTTCTTGCTCAGATCGACCTGTCTGAATGTATGCAAGAGGCGAGCCTCCTCCTGGTCCATGGCCTTTGTCCGTGCACCAAGGCTGGCAATGACGCTGGGATGACAGACGGGGAGAATCTTTGTCTCGTCGCAGTGGTAGATGTAGTGCCCTCCGATCAGCGCAACGACGCTGCGCTTGGAGATGAGGACCATGTAGTAAGTGCTGGTAAAGCGGATGAAGCCGACGATGCCAAAGAAGCGGCCGACCTCTCGAAGGCCGCCGGTGGCCTTGTTGCCCTCTGCAATCATATCGAGAAGTTCTTGCATCTGCGTGCGCGTATACACGACCCGGTCCGAGGTGACATTGAGTCCGAGCTGGGCACTCCTGTCCCACGAGGCCTCCTTTGTCGTATCGCCATCGTTGGAGCCCTGTTGGGACGCAAAGGTAGGTGTGCGGTCGACTTTGAGGATGCGGAACTTTGTCTGAGAGGTGTTGAAGGCGACGAGGTAGAAGCGCTGACAGAGCATGGGGAAATCAGTCCAGCGATACTGGGAGTCTAACGCTACAGAGCAAGGCGGCACTCACCGTCTTGGTCTCCCACAGCGTGAAGCGTTTCAGTTCGCTCAGCCTCGTGGGCTCATCCATCTCCAACGTCGAGACCAAGGGTCTTGCAGAGGTGGCATTCTGCGCTGGCCGAGCATCCTCCGTCCTGGCGCGAGAAGAGGCTGGAGACGTCGCATTTTCCCTTGAAAGGCGAGGCGAGTTGTTCTCTCGAGGTACCCTCTGTGCATCTCTGTTCGGTGAGCGAGAAGCCGAGGGCGAGGAGGAGGAGCGAAGAGGTGTCTCCTGCCCCTCCACGCTCAGTGCTGAATTAGAGACAGCCTCTATGCCACCGCTGGCTGCGCTCATGGCCTGATGCGACTTGAGCCACCACCAGCCAACGTTGGAAATCAGAGTGGTAGCGTAGACGTGGGAGCCTGTCGCAAAATCAAGGTTTTGGACTGCTCAACTCCACTTCGAGTTGGCGCGCTCCAGCCGGCCCCGCCAGCCACGCTCATTCCCTTATAGCATACCCTCTCAGAAGGTGGCGCAGCCTGACAAGGTGAAGCGAACAGAGACATTTGCAAAGGTAAGGATTCAGTGTGGTGGAACACAGGTGACATTTGGTGAATTGTTATACCGTACAGAGAATTGTGGGGTCACAAAGAAAGGTGAGTGAATAAAGAGAATCTGGCCATTGTCAAATATTGCGGTCGTTACCAAGCTTGGTCGAATCTGACTTCAGAACCATCATCGAGGTCGTCTGTCAAGTCTTCGTTGCTGCTGTGCGAGACTGATTCCTCGCCCTCGTAGTCCTGCTGTGCATCCTCGAATGCCTGGCCCTCATCTTCGCGGTCAAAAGTGTCAGAGTGGTTCTCGTCCACTGAATCTCCCTGTTCTTCTAAGTTTTCCAGGTCGTCAACTACATGGCTGAGTGGAGAGACGATTGATCAGCACTTTGGTCAATCCAATTAATGCTCACTACTCACATACGACGGCTTCTCCTTCGAATCGGCCTTCCCTGCGGGTCGACCTCTTGGACCTCCGCGTCGTCGTCGTCTTCTTCTTCCTCTGTTGTCGTACCATCCACCTCGATTGGCCCATCGTCAATGAACGAGCCAGCATCCTCGTCCTCTTCAAAGTCGCTGTCGAACTCGCTGTCATAGTCTTCCCCTTCGTAATCGTAGGCAGACCCGCCGAAGGGAAACGGCCACGAACGGTATTCTCCCCTGATCTCTGCCGAACGGTGTTCAAAGTCTATGGCTTCGCTTTCGTCGTAGTCGCTGTAGTCTTCGTAGAAGGCGCCGAAATCGCTGCGAAGGAAATTTAGTAAATCTTCTTTCAATATGCCAGAAACATGAGCTTACCAGCCGGGATTGGTGCAGCGACCTTCGACGACCTCATTTGCACAGTGCGGACACCGATACACGCCGTCTTGTTCGTCGAAGAAGGGTTCAAAGTCTGTCCGACCCTTGTAGAAAACGTCTGCGCAATCCGATTGTGAGTTGCCAAGCAAGACTAGTGGTCACGTCTGCTAAAAATGACTCACCTTTCCAAAGGTCTTCACCCAGAGGCAGGTCCATCCCCTTGCGTTCAGGCAAGCTCGTAGTTGCTTCATTGGGCGCCGTTGAACCGTCTTCGTGGCCCTCACCTCGATTCATGCTATCTTCCACCCGGTCCAAAAGGCCTTTGATCAACCATACTTCGGCAGGAGCGACCTTGACCTGCTCGCGGCAGTGCGGACAAAGCTTTTTACGCCTCAACGTTGCCTTTCGCCTCTGCTCTGCCGTGGGCTCCGATCGGCCGTCGTGCTCTTCTTCGGGGAGCGGGCTGATAGCGAGCGAGGGCTGGTGAGCTACGAACACAAAGGCAGGCAAACGTGACATCACTCACCGCTTAAAGTAGGCAAGGAGGCAACGTGCGCAAAAGACGTGGCCGCATGGTGTAAGACTGAGCCAGGGCGAATGGGTCAGCGTCGCCACAGTCAAGGGGCCAGAATGGGACTGGCACGAGACTCACACATGTGGCCTCCAGACGAGATCCATGCAGACTGCGCACGTAAATTGGCTGTGAATGTGTCCAATGGTGTCCTTTTGGGCATCGATGATGCTGTCTTTGAAGGTGATCTCCTTTTGCAGACGTCCCAGCTCGGCCTGCATCGTCTTGACGAGTGCGGCGTGCTGTTCGTCCTTCTCTGCCTCGCGACGATTCGCTACGCTCTCTTCAGTGTCCCTCTCTCCGTCCTTGCTTGCCGAACTCTTTGACATCTTGCGTAATCGATTTGACGGTCCTGCTGATGTCTCTGCTACATCTGCTTTTCCCGATGATTGCTCATCGACAGCGCTCAACTCCCTCTGAGCCGATGGGCCTCGGATGGGGTGCTCAGTCATCGATGGGGGTCGTACGGAGGGCCTGCTGCTTTTGGCCTTGCGCTTGTGATCTCCATGGCGCCGTTCCCTCGCTGCGGCCTTCTCCTCTTCTCGTCTCGGATGACGTGGCTCGCCGCTCGCCTGGCTTGGACCAACGCCGGCAGTCGGAGACGTCGCGCCAGCGCTACCGGACTTGGCCTTTCTCTGCCTGCGTGATGATCCTGCTTCGTTTTCTGCATCTGATGAGGCCTGGTAGGCCCTCGCCCGCTTGCGCGTGCCTCCTCGAGCGGGGCCCGCAGAAGTGCCTCTGTCCATGGTGTCCGAGGCGAAAGAAAGGCGGCCGAGGAGCGAGAAAGTGATGATATATTTAGCGGACAGATCTGGGACCGCCCGCGTGAGCAATTCGACACGTGCATAGGTGGAGCAAGTGAGCAATGGGCAAGAGCTTTTGGGAGTGATCAAGTCATTGTGAATTTTCGAGGAGGGGGGGTATAACGTCGACAAGGCAGAGGAGAGAGGAGGTTAGACGAGGTGGAAGAAAGGAGAGGAGGAAGAGGAGGAACGGGAGGCTATAGAGGCTAGGAAGATTGGAGAGAAATCAGGAAAAGTGGCAGAAGGTGGAGGAGAGAGGGGTGGGATCGGGTACTACTACTGCTGCAAAGAAAAGGAGTCGTAAGAATGGGAGGCAATTTTTCGACAGGGCTTGGTGGAGAAGCAAAGGACACCTTGTTGGTGCGACAACGAGCCCGACAGGAAAAGAGAGAGAGCTGAGAGAAAATTGGTTGTTGAATAAGACTCTGAACCGAAGGCATGTCAAAATCATGGGCCAAATGTCCGTTGAGGTGAAGTTGTTGTGTGTAAATGCTTGCTGTTGGTTACGGGGCTACCACCGCTGTTGCTACGATGTCCTGTCCGTCTGCCTGCTCCTTCTGCGAGGTTATGCTGTCTGTAGCCCCAATCGGCCATCCGGAAAGGAATGTGGGAGAGCCTTGACTACGCAAAGTCGACGTTCAGAGGATATTGCAGCGGCTTTTCTTCTTCTTGCTTGTCGGCCCTGCCACTCCTTCTCTTTGTTCTCGGATCATGCGGACCTTTGGTTGGGCAGCATTGTCAGCCTCAGCTCATGCGACTTCAGAATGTCGTCAAGCCCAACTCACAACGGTGTAGTACGCCTTCTCGACATTGACACAAGTTTTTGCGCTGCTCTCGACGAACTTGCATCCCAGCCGTTGCGCTAGCGCTTGCCCCTCCTCCTTGCCCACCTCTCGTTGTTGGACCTTGTCGCATTTGTTGCCCACCAGCATGATTGGGACGCTCTGCGGCTCTTGGTCCTTGACGCGGCTGTGTCGTCCAATCTCAATGAGATTGCAAGAACAGAGAAGAGCACGACGTTACTCACGAAATTTGATTTCTAAACCGTTCGACCCGCTCGAACGTTTGTCTGGAAATGATGGAGTAGACGAGAAGAAATCCTTCGCCCTCACGAATCCATTGATCACGCAGCGCAGTGTACTCCTCTATTTGTGAGAGAAGCGCAAGAAGCATTGGGACAGCGTGAGTGAGGAGGATGCATAAAAACAGCCACACTTTGGAGACCGACTGACCCTGTCCGGCCGTGTCAAGCACTTCGAGCATGCAAGGTTGGTCATCGATGACCGTTTGCTTCCGATACGAGTCTTCGATTGTGGGATCGTATGTCTTGAGCACAGGAAGCAAGTCAATCAGCCAGCCGATCTCGAGCCATTCTCCTTTCATGAGCCATAGCTTACCTCTGTTGAAGCGTTCGGACAAGGGTCAGGGGCAGGAGATACAATCAGCTCTTACATTCAGTCAGTCAGCGGGAACTATACGACTGTCACGTACCGACGAAGTGGTTGAGACAGAGCTGTGGGCGGAAGGAAGAATGTCAATAGAGAGCCATCTCGGAACGACATGAACGGGGAGCGAAGCTCACCTGGATCGTCAAAGCCGTCTTGCCCACACCACCATCGCCCAAGACGACTAGCCTATAGATCATTTGGGGCATCTTCTAGCGGCGGTAATGCGCTTTGTGATGTCCTGGGATCGAGGGGCTTTCGAGAATGGGGTAGAGGACAAGGATGGCGTAGCGCGGCGCGCGCGGGAAGACCTTTTTGCGTGACTGCCGCTCGTTTGCCTGAATGTGCTTGCTACCTGACCACAAGGGAGACCTTCTTGTGGTCTCTAAACTTGCGTATCCAGCTTTCGTCTGAGCTATTGACGTCCTCGATCGACCTTGCTGGAGGGATGGAAGAAGATGGAAGATTGATGGCTGGTCCAAAGAGGAGCTAACCTCTTTGCTGGATTGGGCCTGCAGATCCTTCTCGAGACGAAAAGGTAGGTGCACCAGGTGGGAACGAGGATTGCGCACAAGTCTTGAGGTAGAATTTGTGCTTCGCACCCCTTGAACTCTCTGTTCCTCCCCTGTCGTTGACCGCGTTGACCGGAGGGTCGAAAGCGAAAGGAGGGTTAAAAAGAGGTGAATTCCTGACCGCGGTCGTGTGCTGGTTCGAAACGCCGGCAGCGCCCTATAACAAATGTAGTGGGACGATGAGTGGCGGGCAGCAACGGGGAAAAGCGGTGACGACAGGGTCTGCAATTGAGGGAAGGTCCAGGTCCTGCTTTGGCTTTGACTGATTGCTTTCGCCGCGCTCAAGCCGGGCCTCACAATATAATACAGGGGAGAGGGCTTAAAATGGGAATGAGATAACCACGTGGTTGGTTATGCAGCAATTGGCAAGGGAGCAGCTCCTTTAAATTTCTGATTCCTTATTCGCTCTCGCAACTTCTGTCTCGGCTCAGCTTGAATTAGCTGGCCCTTGCCTCTCCTGCTCTTTACAAGATAGACGTACGGTTGTGGAGAGCGGAAGACCTGTCTTATCTATAATTCTTCACGCTATTATTTGCACATCGGTCCTGTCACCCCAGAAAACGTACGCTGCTCCGGTGCATTACTACTGCATTCCAACGTCGGACCCACGCCTTTGCTGACGCGCAGCCATATCCCGGGGGGTCCGACTTCGGGCTGTGCCTCGCTGCGCTTCTGCCCGGACCCTAGCCTGCCACGTCCTAGACCCTCGGCCCCGCCAAAGCTCTCCTTGATGCCCGAAGCCTTCCAATGACGGAGACGAGGGGATGGACTATTGTTGTAATCACCCACTTGTATACACCCGACTGCTCCTTTTAATTTACGATTCTCCCGAGGAGATGGCACTTAAAAAGGCATCGGATGCACGCCCTCATGGTCAATGTTGTGCTCGCTTGACGAGCGGAGTCTCGCTTGTAGTACTAGGTGCATGCACGTTGAGCGTCCGTCACACACTTAGACGATGCCAGGTCCATCTAGCCTTACCACACCTTACTGATCACTCCACTAGTCGGGTGCCCGTGCGAAAAAAAGCTGGCGACCATATGCGCGTAGGTTTGAATCCGAAACGAGCCCGGATCTTTCGTCATGGGAAGCAAGTACGGCACATACCGCTGCTTCAGAACCGTGCAAGGTGTGTGTGTGTGAGAGAGAGAAAAATTTGTACTGTACTGGACCTTTCCTTTCTCGCCTCAATCGGGGCAGAGCCCGCTATCAGATTTGGCCGTGAACAAAGGTGCGCGGGACAATTAACATTGCTCATATAGAGTCGGACGGGGGATTTCGTGTCCAGGCTTCTTCTGCTTAGTGCTTATCGCTTAGCTCGACTCGACGATTTATGACCGGTCTACAAAGGTTTGCCTTTTCGGAACCGAAGCCAAGCTCTCTTCTTTCATACGCCTCGCTACACACATGCAGGAGGACGGCGGCTCCCTTTGTCTCACTTTTTTTTTTCTTTCTCTCTTAGCGAAAAGCTTTTCTTCCGCTCCAAATCGCGATTGAGCTGCAGAGGCAGCGCAAGACCGACTTGGCACCCAAAGCATCGTCCAGAGCACCTCGACATAGCTCCAGCCTCGAAATTTCCGACGGGAAGACTAGCGGCTAATAGCTAGCTAGTAGTAGTGTGTTAATTCTAACAATGGCAGCAGGCATTGTCTTCTGCTACATAGCAGTGCATCGGCACCTTCGCCGTCGTGAGGTGCATCAAGAGCGAATCTTTCAGCGCCACAAATGCGACCTTTTGGTCAAGGGAATGACACATGCTAAATCCTATTTTTCTCCTTTGGTGGCGGCCATAAGAGCGGCGGGTAGTCTTTTTCTTCTGGCGGGCAGGCACCGAGAGTCCAGGTTTCACAAAGAAAGTGGAAGAAATAAAGAGCAACATCGCGCATTCCCATGGAGTTAGTGACCAGAAGACAAAGGGAAGAGAAAAGCTAAGGGAAAGGCAGGAAAAGTGGCAATGGGGGCGGACACCTGTGCTTTCTTCAGAACAGTCAAGGCGCCGGGACCGTCGCGAGACTATCGGCCCTCCAGACGCGAACAATGGCGCTTTCGTCGACACTGACGATGATCCTGTTCCACTTTGGGTTCCTCTTTGGCTTTTCCTTGATGTCCTCTGCGCTTTGTCCTTGCTGCTGCTGCTGTGGCGTGTCGACAGACTTGCCATTGGGGCTTGAGGTGACATTTCGGAGTACGTCCGGGAGGGCATTTCCTAGGTTGCCCAGCTTGCCTCGATTGAGCAGGGAAGAAGACGAGGCGGCGGCAGAAATTTCTGCCGCTCTCCCCTCAATGTAGTCGTCAGATTGGGCCAAGACATCAAGCGTGTCGAGAGGCGCCAAGACGGCGCATGTCACGGTGCCTGCATGCGCAGTGAAATATTCCACGGCTTCATCCGAGGGTAGCCCTTCGCTGCCCGAGAGCGTGGCGGAATCCTTCTTTTTCCGCTTGCCAACGCCTGTCGACGAGGCTGCAGCGCCGGCGTCCCAGATGTGGACCTGGCCTCCCTCGGTGCTCGACGTGACCTCGCTGCCAGCAACGACAAAGGAACCAGGCAGGAGGAGCCCATCCTCGGCGATGTCTGCTGAGACACTGGCGCGGATCTGAGAGGTCCGGTTGACGTACGTCTTTGCCTTCCACCTCGCCAGCAGCTTCTTTTGCGACACGTCGTATGCTCTCACCCGGCTGTCGTTGGAGGTGATGACGACTCTCGAGTCCTCGCCCTGGTCTCCCGCGCCTGGCTGAGCTGCAATCGACAGCGAGGGATTGGCCAGCCCTCCGCAAAGGGGCTCGATGGCCGTAATCTTTCGGCCGCCCTTTGCATTCTTTCCAGACGGAGACCTCACGGCAATCGACGAAGTGTACTGCAGCTCGTCGGTGCTGTAAAAGAGTGCAGCGCCTGCAAAGGTGCCGACGCAGGCCGTCTTGCCAGACTTTGTAAAGGCCGTAGCCGTGATGAGGCCCGGCACTTCTTGGCTCTTCTGCACCTTTTTCGCCGAAATGTTCCAGAGTCGGAGCTTTCCGTCGAGAGACCCCGAAAGGAAAAAGCGATCGTCCTTTGGATGGAAGCAGGCAGATGTAACAAAGTCGCCGTGGACAAAGGATACAAGCGAGTTGGGCCAGGAGAGGTGCCAGAGACGTGCCGTCTTGTCCATGGAGGCCGAGAGGAGAAAGCCGCCCTTGGACCAGGAGAGGTCCAAAATGTCGTTTGTGTGGCCTCGAAATTCGCGCACAGGGTCGGGAGAAAAGACGGCGAGGTTGGGCAGCTTGATGCTGCTCTTCCTGCTCGACTTTGGCCGCTTGGATCCATTGGAAGCCGTGACGTCCTCACGAGGAGGGGCAGAGAGGCCATTGGAGCTTGCGTTGCTGCCGAGGCTGGTGGAGGATCCACTCTTGCCTAGCGAGTGCAGAGGAGGGGCTAGCGCCGCAGCCTTGACCTCTTCGTCGAGCAATTTGGCCCTGGCCTCGGGGCTATCGAGCACCGCATACACTCTAATAATGGCGTCTTGGCCCTTTTAAATAGAAGGTGAAGCAGTGTCAGCAGTCTAGTAAAGGGTTCTGCTTCTGCATGTTGTCGTCGTCCCCCCGCGAGCTGGACTCACCGCCACTGCAAGATGCTTTCCGTCGAGGCTGAATTTCATGGCCCATGTCGCCTTCTTCCTCTTGTGGGCGGATGTCGAGTTGGGTGCACTCAAGTTACTGCTTGTTGCACTGCTCACGCTTCCCATACTCTCGACGTTTGGCAGCTTGGCGTCATCCGTGTTCGAAGATGGGTTTGGGGAAGAAGACGCCGCCACGGATGGCAGACCTGAAGAGGAGACTGGTCGAGGTTTCGGCGTTGACGAACCGTCTGCTCCACCGAGCGCCAGCTCCTGAGCCAGGAAGAGGCGACCAAAGTCGCGATCCTTTGAAGATTTGTTCTTGGCTCGCACCTTGACCATCATCGGCTGCATGTCGGCACCGAGCGCGCCTAGACGTCTTGCCTTTCCCTTGCAGAGCTTGGCGGCGGAGCTTGAGTCCTTGTTGTCTGGCTTGCCCACCTGTGTTGAATTTCTTCGCGACAGTGCTGGCGACGGCTCCTTGTTCTCCACTTCGCCCGAACTGAGCGCAGTGGCGGACGCTGGCAGAGCCGCCGGTGGGGCCGAACCAGCAGACGATGGCCTGGCCTGCTTTCCAGCCGAGGAGGACGGCCGGTCGTCTTTGGCCGTCTTCTTTCCTCCAAGGCGCCAGAAGCCGCCGCCAGCGGGCGAAGCAACATTGCTGTCCTTCTTGGCCTTGCCAGACTGCGTTGGTGTGTCGGCCAATCGTTCGAGCACGTCCTCGCCAGTCGATCCGACAGACGACTGCGAGGCTTCCCTTCTTCTGCCGAAGAAGTGAAGCGCGGCCCGTCTTGGCTGAGGAGAAGTCAGCAGCGTTGAAGGCGCATGTGCTGCTGGGGCCGACGCTGGCGCAGGTGCGACTGCCGATGATGCACTAGCCTGGCCAGAGGCTGGCTCGATTCCCAGCTCCTGCTGTTGTCCTTCCTGATCCTGATCCTGATCCTGTTCTTGTGATGATGATACAACAGTCGCAGGTGCCGAGGCGGGCAAGGTTTCGTCGCCGATCGCAGGCGGCGGTGCAGCGTCCAATGCCGCCGCAGCCGTAGGCGTCTTTGTCCTACTGCTATCGTCCCACTCTTGTCTCGCATCAGCAGCGGCGGCGGCGGCCGCTGCCGCCGCTGCTTTGGATCGCTCCGATTGCCTCCTGTGCCTCAGCGTGGCCTGCCTGCTGCCAATGGCCACCGTTTCCCTCGAGGGTCTAGCGCGCTTGACGTCCTCTGGCGATTGCGGCCTGCCGATAAAGTCGTCGATCTGCTCACCATCGCCGCACGAGGATACTGGCCGCGGGCCGGCAGATCGGCGCGAGGGCTGAGCTTCGTAGCTGAAGAAATGGGAGTTGGAGTCGCCAGTGCTGCTCGAAGAGGAAGACCGCTGAAAGTCACGAGGGACAGGCGTCTTGGACGAGGCGTGCAGGTTGGGCACATCCTGGTTGTTGCCCTCGGTCGGCGGCGCTTCGACCCAGCCTGCGATGGGCGACATGGGTGTGGAGGAGAGGTCGGGCGGGGTGAGGACGACGCTTGGGGGCACCTTGGAAGCCGGCGTGGTGTCTTGCACAACTTGGTGGTGAGGATCGCGCGCTGTTGCAGGTAGATGGGCAAGAGGGCGGACATCACGGAGGAGGAGGAGGAGCGATTGCAAGTCAGTCAGGATTGAGCAGGAGTTGGAAAGCAAGCGGGGCATGGAATGCCCGTGGCAGGCGCGCGCAAATGCGCTTGGCCCTCATTCCGCGGGCCGGTGCAGATCATGACTACTCACCCTCTTGAATGCTCAGGCTCACCTCGGCCCGGCCGCCATGCAGGGAACGGGAAAAGGCCTCCTGCTCCTTTTCGACGTCGAGCAGGCCATCGTCCTCGAAGCCGAGAGAGATGCCCTCGCGGCGCGCCGTGGGTCTGACGAGCATGGGCCCTGTCGCCGTTGCTGCTGTTGCCGTCGCCGCCATCGAGGAGACTGCATCGCTGCGGGCCGAAAAGGGCGCATACACGTCCTCGTCCTCTGACTCGTCTTCGTCGTCGTCGTTGTCTTCGTTCTCGTCATCGTCGTAGCTGTTTGCGGTGCTGGCGCTCGAGTAGGACGAGCTCCTCCTGTATGCCTCGAGCGAGTGGTGGCTGCTGCTGGCCTCGTACGAGACCGAGGAGCGCGTCGAGTGCAGGCCGGCGTGGCCAACAATCGCCTGTTCGTCTGCATCCTCGTCGCCGTCTTCCTCTTCACGGATGCCGCCGTTGTGAGGGTCCGAGGCTCCTCGATGGTGAAACGAGGGAAGGATGCCGGGCAGGAGCGGCGTCGTGTTGCGCTGGATCGGGTCCGACGACAAAGGGAAGCCCGGCGATGCTGACGTGCCCGCTGCCCTTGAAGGGCTGCCGCTACTGCTGGCCCCAGAAGAGGGCCCGAGCTGGAGCGCGTTTCGAACCCAGCCAAAGAGACTTGGCGGCGACATTGCACGCTGGCCTGGCGATCCAGTGCCATCCTGCTGAGATCGGCGCCCGCTGCCACTGCCACCACCACCACCATCGACGCCGCCGTCTTCGTCATTGTCCGTGTCAGCACCCGAAGCCTTGGCGCCTGACCCGACCCCGGTGATGGCACCAAAGATCTGGCTGAGCTCCTCACTGCCACTCCGGCTGCGCGACGCCTTTCTTCGTCGAGCCTGCGGCAGCTGCGACACCCGCGGCGTCGTTGATCTGTCCATGCCCCCTCTTTTCAAGCTTCTCTTTAGCGGTCCACCTTCTCGCGGTCGTTGTTCGCGCTTGGGGCGTGGTCCAGCGGGGTGTGTGTGTGTGTCCTTTCGTCGGCCACGCTAGCCAAGATCGGCTTCTCCTGAGCTGGCTATACTGCTTGTCCGTCCGACTTTTGCAGTCCAACCTCAGCGCTGCATGCCCGTGCAATGGGTAGGAGAGGGAAGCCGTCAAGAGGATGCTCGCAGTCAGCGCTCAAAGGCGGGAAGAAGCTAGAGAGTTAGATGAGAAGGAAAACAAGCGAACAGGAACCGAAGCAAGGTGCACGCACACACACAAGCAGGCTAAGTGGATCTGCAAGCATTTGTTACGCGAATGAAAGCTCTAAATTCCTGGGACAGGGGGAGGGGAAGAAAACGAAGCTAAGGGAGAAAAGCTAGAATACAAACCGCTATTCTTCCGAGCATTTGCCAAATGGTCGGTCATCATCAGATTGTTCGTAGGAGGAGCTTGCTGAGGGTGGGGCGTGGGATGCTGGTGCTTGTGCTGGGACTGGGACCGGGACTGGTGCTGATGCTGATGCTTTGTCGCGCTGTGAAGAAGATATCACTCGCCGTATATGCCACGTCGAATCTCGTCGACCTCGTCGTCGTCGAGGGCTTCCTCGCCCAGGACGACGTGGACGGCCTCGCGCATGTGTGCCTCGTCTGTGCTCCCGCAGAGGACCGCCGTGGCGATGCCCTTGACACCAAAGCCCTGGGCCACGAAACGGTAGACGACCTGCTGCGGCGTCCAGTCGTGCTTGATGGCCGACCGAATGACGCCCTCGCTGTGTATGCACCGTGTCAGATTTTACGCCACATGAACCTTCGATCTTGGGTCGGGAGAAGGTGCGCTCTTACCTTGACAGCAGTCTTGGGTTGCCAGTCAGCGTCCAAAAGGGCTGGTAGATGATGCCTTGGCCCGACGAGGCACCCGGCAGTGGAAAGTCGTTTGGCGAGAGCGAGGGGGAGAGGAGCGGGAGCAGAGAGACATCGTGGCCGCTCGTGTGGTGCCACCGGTTCTGCAGTATCCGCGGGCCCACTCTCTTGCCAGCGCTCCTCAAGACGGCAAATATCCTGGGGTCATAGACATCTGATGTCCAAAGAGATCAGCGGCTGCCGCTCGACAGGATCACCTAGCGACGACAACTCACTAGAAAATCCAATCTGGCGCACTTTTCCTTCGACGACGAGGTCCTCCATTGCTTCCCACGCCTCCACCGTCGCCTCAAGTGTGTCCAATGGCGAGTGCAGCAGGTAGCTGTCGATCCACGGACGCGCCCTTGCACCGTCTCCCTTGGCCTCGCCCTCGTCCCAGATCCAACGCGGGCCCTGGTGGAGGTTGCGCAGGCTCGTGTGGAAGCTCTGGCGGACGGCTGTGCGGACCGGCGCATTCCCGTCGTACGGCAGCGGCTTGTTGCGATCTTGGCCACCGAGCGAAGTGAACCTGTTGAAACGCAAAGTCCAAGAAAAGAAAAGAACTGTGAGACCCAGCCTGCTGATGAAGGGACGCCTCGGCGTCATCTCACGCACTTTGTCTGTATCCATAGCGCTTCCCTCGGAATGCCCAAGTCCCTTGCCGCATGCAAGACGGCCTCACCGACAAGATCCTCGCGATAGTGTTTTGGCTGTCCCGCCACGTCCAGGCCTCGAAACCCAGAGGCGAGGGCTTGCAGCACAAGCGCCGTCGTTGCCTCGGCCTTCCACGCCGTGCCGTAGAGGAGCGGGGGCATACGCGTCAGTGTCGACATGTCGCTGGGCCCAGCGGACGGGGCTGCTTCTTTGGCCTCAGAACGACGATCCATGGATCAGCAGCAGCGATGAAGACCAGTCCGTTGGAACTAATCGTAGTCTATCATTGCTGGTCGATGCAAACAAGGGCTACAGGCTCCATTTTGAGAAGACTGGCTCGAGGTAGGTTACTTTCCTCGATTGCGCCATCGAGAGCGACCCTTGCATCACGTGTAAAAGCGCACGGATCACACAATGATTTCATTTCGACTTCGAGAAAGACACGCTGACTGACAAGAGGAAAGAGAGAGAGGGAAAGCGGACGACAGTGACAAGGGTGGACATGACAGTGCCTGTATGCGTTGCGAACTGTGGGCTTTGACTATTCGCCGTCATTTGTAGCAACCTCGCTGCTCAGACTCGACGAGATTGACTCGCTGCCCTTCATCGAGTCATTATCGTCATCATCGTCGCGCTTCTGACTTTGCGTGCTGTTGTTGTGCATCGAAAACCACTGGCTACGGCTACGGCGCATGCTGTTCGACCTCTGCAGAGACGACGGAGGCTGCATCGAACCTAGCGGGAGCGACGAGGTAGCAGTGTGGTTAGAGGCAGCAGAGGCCTGTGACTCCTCATCGAGGTGGCCAAGGGTTGAGTTTCCCATGCGCGGAAAGCGGGTCTTGCGGCCACTTGGAGCCGCACGACTTTGGTGACCGTACTGGCGTATCACCTTTTGCACCGACAGTGGTGCCTCAGGCGCTTTCTGTACTACCTCCTCTTCCTCGGTTTCCTTCTCTTGGGCTTCAGGCTCGACGAGTTGATCAGCGACTTGGGCGGCTTTCTGCGGAACCTCGGCGGCTTCAGCAGCTTCAGCGGTCTTCCCAGCAGTGAGAGCGTCCTTGGCAGCTTCGTGTTCCTTCTCAGCAGCCTCTTTGGCCTCCTCGGCAGCTTTGAGAGCTTCCTCGGCGACTTTCTGAGCTGCCTGTGCCTCCTGGACAGCAATCTGTGCAATCTTCGCTTCATTCTGCGCATCTTCTATCGATGCCTCGTGCCGCCGAATAGTCGCGTCCGCTTTGTCGAGCTTTCCGGCCTGATCCTTTACCTCCGCTTTCAGTCCGTCAATCAGCTGATTCGTGTTTTCGAGACCGTACGAGACAATCCTCTCGCGCCGTTCGACCTCTCGCTTCTCGGCGTCAAGCATGACCATCTCCTCTTTCATCTCTGTCTGATTCGCCTCCATCTCCGATAGCTGAAGTTGCAGGCTGCTCTTCTCCTCATTGGCAATTTCGAGACATTCTCTGATACCGTCTACCTCACCCTCGAGCTTGTTGACCCTGTAGAACAGAGCGAGGAGTTTGCATATACCTTTTTTCTCCAGACTGAGCATCGACTCACTCTTGAGCCAGCTCTTCTTTCTCCTTGTAAATGCTTTCAATGGTGATTGCCTTCTCATTGAGCATCTCTTGCACACGATCGCGCTGTCCTAACGCGTTGGCACTCGTCTCGACGAGATCAGTAATCCTGATTGACGAGAGATCAGCATAGTCTACAGGAGTAAGACGCGGAGTCTGCTCGCCTTGTCTCCCTTTCATTCAGAGTAGCACCCAAAGACTCTATCTTGCACTGCTGGACTTCATTGATGCTTTCCACTTTAGCGATATCGGCTTTTAGGTCTTTGATCGAGCACAGAGATTCTCGAAGCTCGTGTGTCTCCTTGTTGGCCTTTTCAAGCTCAGCTATGTGCTGCTGACGGGCATGCTTGAGCTCTTCCTGGACGCCAGCACGATCAAAAAGGGCTTGCTCTTTAACCGCCTTGAGCTCTTCGATGGCTTGTTTGGCTATGCGGCACAGAATTCAGAACATGGACAGCACGACACTCGAAACACGACACCAACCTCCGTCGAGTTCCATCCTCACTAGGGTGGCTTCTTGGATCTTTCCACGAAGCGTCGGAAGATCTTCCTCAAAGAACCTGTCAACATTGTCTCCTTTTGTGTGGCAGCTTGAGCAACTGACAAGCGGCGAAGAGGCTATGATCCTATCTCCCTATTTTTAAAACAGGCAATCGTCTCTTCGCGCTCCTTTCTGGCTTGTTCGAGCTGCTCCTGTGATCATCATCAGCGTACATGATCCAGATGCATTCAGCTCAACTTCGAGAGAAGCTTCTTACTTTGAGAAACCCGCGGGTTGCTTCGTATCGTTCCCTCAATGCATTCCATGCCAACTCGTACTGTTTTGCTCTATTCAAAGCAATGCAGAAAGGCGCGTCATGGCTATAAGCTGCTACGAGAAGGTCTTCGAAGAGTTGTCACTCACTCATTCATGACCATTTGCGCATTTGCGACGATCTTCCTTGCGTTGGACTTGATGGTCTCTTTCTCTTTCGAAGCTTCCTCGAGCTTTAATTCGAGCTTTTTGATAACGATTTCCTAGGGCATGGCATCATGTTCATCATGCCGATCAGTGGGCCCAAACTCATCCGTAGACACGAGGCTCTGCTCACTCTCTGCTGAAGCTTGAGTTCACTCTCTTTCCTCGTTGCGACTGTCGACTTGACTAAAGCTATGCATTGAGCGGCATCCTGGTCGAACTGGGGCGAGATGAAGCTCTGGGTTGGCTGAATATCGTCTGCGGTGGTCGTAAGCGGTGCTGTTGAATTCTTGCTGGAGGTTCGCTTCTTTGAATGTGTGGGCTTGTCATTGGCACCCTCCTTGCGAGGCCGTTTGAAGAGCTTGACAGCGCTTGAGTCTTCGTTGCCTTCTTCTACGAGTTGTGCATCAGAATGGGTGACGAGTGCATCGAGAGGTCCAGAGACGAAAGAGGCGGCGGTAGGAGAAGTTCCCGGGACCAGGTCGATAAAGTTCATCTTGGCGGCTCGAGACTCATTGTCAATAAAGCGACTGGCTTTGGTCATTTCACTCAGCTGATGCTGCCGACGAGAAAACAGGGGTACATGCGGTGTTGCTTGCTGATGCTGTTCCGGGGCTACGATGCTGCTGTGCGTGCGTTTCTGTGGAAGCTCGGGATGTTGCAGTATGGCGTTGCTTGGGCGGTCAGAGAGATCGCTTGGAGCGCCGAGACTAGGAGCGCGTGCATAGGTGAACCTTTTGGCGGCCAGCTCCTCGGGTGTATCCAAGGGTACATCGGCTACGAGGACCATTGCTAAGTGTCTGCAGGCCTGAATGTACACTATAGGACAAAAACCGATATAGACCAATTGTACACAGATGAAGGTACCGAGAATGGGTAGGAAACAGAGGGATGGAGGGAAAATTTGGGAAGAGGAGAGTAGTAAGTGATGGAAGCGGTTGTCGAAAGTCGCCGAAACGCGCCCGTCGTATTTGTTCTTTCCCACCGCTCCTTGACCAGCCGACGTCGAAGCGAATGCGTAAAGTAAGGTCCCAAGTAGATGCACATACAGAGCCAGTCTGCAATTCGCTCCAATTCACCTTCCCATTGCTTCCTGCTGAGAACAAAACACAAAGACATTCATCACATTCTTGTTGTCATTGATTAGAAATCACTCCATACATCTCAACCATTCTGTCGAGCATCAACATCACTTTCCATGACTGGCAAAATAGTGGAAAGTCGATGCTGCAACAACCAAGAACATGGGACACGAGCTCGATCTCTGCGCAAAAGACGTTCGACAATGGAATAGACTCGGGGTGATGGTGAATGAAGCATCTTTTGACAATTCGAAAGGCGTAGTAGAATTACAGTTTTGAAAGTGGATTTGCCCTTGTTGCCCCTTTGCGACACCCATTCTGAGCCTCGACAAAGTGCGAAGGGCCTACTTGCATGAACCCATGTGCATGTAGTAAGGGGATGGGGTGAGGTAGAGACAGAGAGTAAAGTATGTTCTCAGACAAGACGCGACGGATCGATTCTGCTGCCGTACTTGGTGAGGATGGCCGAAGTAAGGATCTTCTCCTTGGACTTGATCAGCTCGCGGTAGGACGATTTGATCGTCACGTCCGACACGCCTGCGGCCGTGCTGATCTTCTTGGCGCTCAATGTCATGCCAGCAAGGATCGAAGCCATGTAGATGCATGCAGCCGCAATTGTCGTGGGGCTCCTTCCGGCCAGGACGCCCTCGTTTCGCACAGCTTTGGCCACTTCCTCGGTGATGCGGGTCACCTGGTTCTCAAGGCCAAGATGATTACAGAAACGGCCGACGAGGTCCACGGCGTTGGTGGGAGAGACTGCGTCAACGCCGCTGCCATCGCCGTGGTTGATGTTGAGACCATAGGCCTGCTGCATCTCCTTGAAGCACTTCCCAATGAGCTTCTTGCTGACATTGGTCAGCTGGCAAATCTCGGGGAACGTTCGAGGGACTTTGTTGGTCTTGCAAGCACAGTAAATGGCTGCTGCAATAATGGCATCCGTCTTTTTTCCACGGAGAATCTTGTCCTGTTCGACCTGCTTGAACATGTGCTTTGCCGTCTCCGAGACGGTGCGAGGGAGATGGATGACATCGCATTTGCGCTGGATGTCTTCAAAGGCGTCAAGGATGACACGGTTTTGCGATCCCCCCGAGCGGCCCATGGCTCGCTGCAAATCCCTAGCAGCGCCTGTGCCACCGTCGCGGAAACCGATGCGCGTGTCGAGCTGGTCGGTGAGGCCATCCATGAGGGGGCTATTGGACTGGCCGACACGCGAGGGGTCGTCGCCTTCTTCATTGGCAAATGTACGCCACTCCGATCGAGTGTCGATGATCTTGTCGCCTACGACCATGCCACAATCGCCACAGACGAGGTCTCCGCTCGCAAATTCCTCGACGAGGTTTGGAGGATCGTTTCGGCACTCTGGACAGACGAGACGCACACCAAGATCGGGAACGAAGCCATCCTTGGACTGCTGCTCAGCTTCGGCCGCGGCAGGGTCGCGCGTGGCCTTGTAGTGAGCCGTCAAGGCGAACGGCTGTGCATAGGGATTAATCGCCTGAGCACGGTCTTTGGTTGCCGTCGAGCCGTTGCCATTGACTCCGACATGAGGCGTGCTGCGAAGCGCGCTGCCATTCTGCTAAATAGCAACAATGTGGAAGGAGAGTGTGAGTTTGAGGTGTCTTTTCCACTTGACACTCCCCCTTTACCTCTTTCCTGTGCCGACTTACAAGGCCTCCCTTGCCAGCAACATAGTCACAATCTTCACAAAGGGACAAAAAGCCAAGGAAAGATAGCAAAGGAAAGAGACACGAAAGAAAGGTGCTAACCTGTGTAACAGCCGTCATGATGATTTCAAAGTTGCCTCGCTCTTCTCTTTGACGTTGCGCTCGTCCCGCTTCTGGATGCCGTGGTCCTCTCTCTAAAACGGATGAGGCTGTCTTTTCCCGAAAAGGAGTAACGGCGCCACAGATAAGGAAGCGCAACGCTGGTCAACAAAGCCCCGACCCTTGGGTCGACTGGAGACCGATCCAGCAGAGTATGGAGGATCGACGGCAGCTCTTCAACGACTGAACGAGAAGAGGGCGAGAAGAGCGAGTGAAGGGAAGGTGGTGGTGGGTAGTGGCGACGCCTGCTCACAGCTCTGTGGCATTTCCATCGCTAGAAGACTCAGCGAATCGGAAACCGTGTCACGTGTCTCGCGCTCCTCCAGCAGCTGGCGCATGGACCTCTTCGAACCATTCTTCCTAGCCCTCTAACCTCTTGCGAACCTCGTTCTTCTCTCGCACAGGATGCGGTGTAATAACGGTGCCTTGTTTGGGCTCTTGCTGGCGGCCATTGCCGCCCCCATGCTGGTGCTCGGATCGGACTGGTCGCTTCAAGATGCCAAGCTGGCCGTGTCGTCTATCGACGGCTCGTCTCGCCTCTCTGAATCGTGAGTGCCTGCCCTCTCTTTCTCTCAGAGAAGGAGCGCTGGTCTGACCCTTTTGTCTGCAGCTTCACGCTCGAGAGGGCGCCAAAGGTCCCGGCATCGCTATCCGTGGAATCAGACGAGGTTGTTAGGCTCTCCTTCGTGCTCAAGTCGGCGTCCGGCGAAAAGCTCTCTTCCAGCGAACTCCCCCACCAGGTCCTTGCTACGCTGACGGATTCAGTGGACCCGAGACTGGTCGAGGCGACTGTCATTCCCGTCAAGCCCAGTACCGGCAAAGCATCATACAGCCTTCGAGTTGATCGCCTTCCTGCCACATTTACATCACGGACCTCTGGTCAAGCCGATCTGAATCTCGTGGTGGCCTCCTTTGGCTCATCGAAGCCCATCAACCTCAAGCTCGCCACTCTCCAGCTCCCCAGCAAGCTTCGGGTCGGCGGTGGCAGCACACTAGCCGCAGTAACGCAGCGGCAAAAGAACATCATCAAGCATGGCTTCGTCCCTCACTTGGAGCGCTTTCACACCTTTGCCGTCCCGCCGACTGAGAAGATGCCTCCGAAAATCATCTCTCTCGCTGCGGCCGTCGGTACCGTGGCTATCCCATGGCTCATCCTCGTTGCTCTGGTACGTACTATATCCTGTTCTTCTCTCTTCCCTGTCAGCCCTCGCTCACCAGTCCTTCCCTCCGGCAGCTCCCATCCATCACCCCGTCTCTCTCGCTCCGATCGCTCACATCCTCCACGGCACCGTTGGTGGCCAGTCTCGTCCTGCTTGAGCTCCTCGCTCTTCGCTTCTGGATCGGCGCAGGCTTCACACTCTTCAAGATGATGCCCTACCTCCTCGGCTTGGGAACGCTGACCATCCTCGTCGGGCGCTCGGCCTTGGGAGAGATGAAGCGGGTCCGCCTGGGCAAGAGTGCGTAAGCACGAGCGTCAGCGCAAGGGGACAGAAATAGGGCTACCTCCAGAACCCCTCTGAGAGCAATGCGACAGACGGCAGTCATCAAAGCTCGAGGCAATATCAAAATGAAGAATCCGCATTGAAAATGAGAAAAAAAAAAGAGAAAATTGTGATACAAAGGCGCTGGGGTATTGACGAGGAGAGAAAAGAGGACCAAGGATGTTGATTAGAGCTTAGACGAGGAAGGAGTAGAGGTGCCGCTCGCGCTGGTGTGCTCTCTTGTCGTGGTCCCCCGCCGCTGCTGGACGAGACGCATCGGCTCGAGACGGAATTGCACGTCCTTGAGCGTCTTTGTCGACGGCTGCCACTCAGTGTAGTCGTGAAGGAGCTTTTCGATGTCTTGTCCGAAGATATCTCTGACCTGGGGATCCTCCAAGAGGCCTCGGAGGGACCAGGGCAGGGCATAAGGGTTCCAGCGCTGTGCCTCAAACGACTCGGCCCGGATCGCAGGTGGGCCGCCCTCGCTGGACTTGGTGCAGGGCTCGGCTCGCGGAGAAGTGACCTCGAAGAGATATCGGACAGCGAGCGAGTAGGTGTTAGCTTCTTCATAAACGAGCGAATGCCCCAGGCCTCCGTAGAGACTGCCGGCGACCGAGGCAGAGAGGAGGGTGAGAAGGCCGTGATCTGTCAAGCCGGCATTTCGGACAGCGACGCAAAACGACAAGAGGTTGGTCAGGAAGTCGACGCGAGGGAATGCTTGACCGTCGCAGTAAAGAGCGCGCAGAATGGAGGGATGCGAGACCGACGAATGCAGTGCCGAGTAGAGCGGGACAACTTGGTCGTCTAGTGAGGCAACATAGATGAGCTGGAAGAAGGCATTTGAATCAGTGGTCCGAAATCAACCGAATCGGAAGAAAGACACGGCTCACCTTGACGCCAGCGCCGATGATGATCTTGAGCGCAGCCTGGTACTGTTGCGACACGGACGTCGAGCTGGTCTGGAACTCAAACAGCTCCTTGGCAGCCGGCGTCTCAAACGTGTTGAGGTAGTACGATGAGATGGTGTTCGTGCTCAGGTGGGGAAAAGGCCCGTGGTGGATGCCGCACATGGCCAAGAGGGCCGTCCTGGTCTTGCGGGCGTTGACGTGTCCTTGCTCGATGAGCCTAGCCAGGAGGTGGGTGGCCACGATGGACCCTTGCGAGTGGGCCGCGACGAAGAGAGCATCGGCCTCGGCAATAGCCTGGACGTGTTTCTGGTTTCCGAGGAGGGCCGCAAAAAGCTTGTCAACTCGCTCCGACACTCTTCCGTCACCTTCGAGGGCAATGACGGAGATGTCCTCGTCTTTGAGAACGGCCCCTGCGTCCCGGAAGTGTTTGTGCACTGCCGCGGCCATCATGCTCGAGAACTTTGTCGACGTCCCCGTTGGCTCCCCAAAGACATTGCGTAGCGGCCCCTTGCTGAACCACCCGTGCACACCAATTACGGCGACCTTGTGGACACCTCGACAGCCTCGGGTGGATGCCCTCTCCTTGTCACCCATTACGCTCCACAGCCTCGGCAGCCTCTGCTCAGCTTCCTCTGCCATGGCGTACTCGTGGGCCTCTTCCCCTACCCGACCATTGGCGTTGCCTCCATCGATCGCACTGCGACCACCGAGACTAAGCAGCGACACTTTCCTGTGTCGCGAGTGTGCCGGCTTGGTGCGAATCCGGTTCGGATCAGGTGGAGTGCTGAAGAGGTACGAATTGACAGCCGACAGCGTCCTTTCCAACACGCCAACGGAGGGTGGCAGGCTCCTTGGCGGACGGGTGAAGACGTCCTCAAACGTAGGCAGAATGAGATTAGGCGGTGGTGGCTGCTTGGGCTTTGGCGGCTGTTGTGACGACGAGGACGGGTCGCGCTGCTTGTTAGCGGCAGCGGTAGCGGCGGCCGCCTTCGTCACCTTTCGAGCCAGGTCTTTGTTCCCCGTCAGAGGCGTGCTTGGGCGTGATGTGGGAGCCGCTGGATCTGGCTTGTTGACCGGAAGACGCTCTGCGTCCGAGTCAGAGGTGCCATTCTGCTTTTGATCTTTGCCTGCAGGCGCCGGCTCCTTGGTCGTCTTCAGAGCGGCCAAAGCTTTGAGATTCGACGAGGAAGCCTTCGGGCTGACCTCACGAGAGATGTCAGCTTTGGTCTGCCGCTGGAAAATGAGCTCCTCTTTCTTCGACTCTCGCGGAGGTTCGACGCTGGGTAGATCGATCTTCATCACCTCGGGGCCTTCGTGGCCTGATTCGAGCCTGGGCGGGGGCCTTGCAGCTCGACTTCCAAAGTAGTTCACCCACATCGACCTCGTTGCTGGATTCAAGACTGCCTCGCGCGCGCTTAACGTGCCCCCACTGCCAGTGGCCGACATTCTCGACAGGGCCTCTTCCTTGACTTGCTCGGCAGGCGTCTTTGCTGTCGGACGCGGCTCCTCTTCTGGGCCATCTCCCACTACTTGCTTCGCTTCGGTCTCCCCTGCCTTCTGGCCCTCTTCGGCTGAAGTAGGCGGTCTCGAGCCCCATGAAGGGAGCCAGCGGTAGACGAATGAGTCTTTGGGTGGCGGCTCGGCCATTTCGACATCTTTGCTAGCTGCTTCCCCGCTGACTGCCTCTCCTTGATTGGCTAATTGCGGCTGTTGATCGGGTCCACTTGTGGGCACTCCATCTGCCGATGTGTCCATCGCATCGCCGTTCGCTTGTGCGTCAGCACCTCTACCCCATGCAGGCCAGCCGAGACCTGACGAGGACGCCACTCCCTCTGCGCCACTCCAAAGACGCCGAATGGTGCCAGTGTAGGAAGCAAGCGCAGGCTCTGCAGCGTTTGGCGGAGGTACTGGCGCAGCAGATGGCTCTGAAGGACTCCCACTCTTTCCATCTAGTGGCAGCCCGTTCTGTGACCCTTGTAGTTGGTTGGCAGGAGTTGGAGGGGGGGTTGTCTGCATGCTGTCCTCCCTGGGAGCTTGCGGTGCTGACGTCGGGCCGCGCCAAGGTATCCACCCTCGTGCTGGCGGCCTGCTTGCTTCAGCAGTCGCTTTGAGTGTGCCTTGCTGATGCTCGTCAAGAGCATCCTCTGTCGGCTGACGTGATGACGATGCTTGTGCCTCTTCTTCTGCAGGCGGCATGGCCTCCTCTGCCGCTGACGGCGCCTTGGCCTCCGATTCCGTCCCTTGACTCTGCTGCCCCGGTTCTGTCGAAGAGTCGGCATTGTCAGACTCCATCGGTGCGAACCCAAACCAGGTCCTCCTCCTCGCTGCCTTGTTCACGCTCGCTTGTGCCTCCCCAGGTCTTCGCCTCTTTACGGTCAACCCTTGTCCGCCGTTATGTTCTTCATCCTGGCCAGTCCCTGGCTCTAAATGCTTTGGGGCCTCTACTTCTTCTTGCTCTTGCTGGGGCTTTGGAGAAGGCGACTCGATCACCGACACAGCTCTGCTGCTGCTGCCATCGCCGCCGCCACCGCCGCCGAGAGGTGTTTGCTTGCGCTGAGCAATGAGGCTCGCCACCGACGCGTTGCTCGCCACCCTCTTAAGCCTCGACATGGCCGCTCCCGGTCCCGTCGTCGTCGCATTGGAGTTGGACGGCGAAAGGGAGGGACGATCATCGATCTGGGTGCGGTGGGAGCCAACAAAGGAAACAGTAGCGTGCGACGAGGACGGGGTCGCTGCACGGGCCGGCGACAGCATCGACACGGGCCGGCTGCTTGGCGAGGCGCTGTAGACGGACGAGGCCGAAGACGAGGGAGCAACAGAGGGGGACAGCAGCCTGCTGTTTGGATCGCCCTTTGGTGGTGCACGCCGGCCAGGCGGCGCATCGCCGCGTTGATCACCTGGCATCGCCCCTTACTATCCGTGCCCTTGTGATGATGATGCAGTGGTTTGCCTTTAAACTTGATGTTGTTGAAACCCGTTGGACTTATCTGAAACGACGCTACACCCAAAAGTGGAGCCTCCGTGCCCGTGAATCCACGTGTCTCGCGCCTGCCTTGTGCCACCCTTCCTTCTATTCTCCCTTCTCCCACCTTGATCTGCTGAATGTGGATGGCTCTGTAGACCAGATGCGAATGACTTCTTGGAAGCTAGCTCATGTGGTGTGCGACATGACTGTAAGAGTCTTGTGAAAGAACACATAGTCGGGACATGAAAGCAATGAATGCTGTATGAAGCCCACGCTGCGAGCTACACCCATCCCCTCAAGTCATTTAAAGATGCATCAATCCATGTTGATAGTATATAGTACACAAGGCCAGAGAGGCAACAGCTACGAAATCATCGCCGCCAGCCACCTCCACCAGTCGCTCTGACTGGCTGGCTCGGCTGTTGATGATGCTGCTGCTGCAGTACTTGTCTCTGTGTCTTTGGTCTACTCAAGAAGCGCATCGTGCCGCTCTTGTGGAGCACAATGAGGCCGTCTGGTCGGTACCGGATGCCAACGAGGAGGTCCGAGGCGGTTCCAATGTCGCCAAAGGCAGCAAGGACGTTGTGTGCACCGTTTCCGAGCGCAGCATTTGGTTGGCTCGCATTGGCTGGTGAGCCCCCAGTAGAGGAGACTCCTCCTGCAGAGGTGGGCGATACGGCTGTGCCTGCTTGCCCTGGCGAGGAAGCATTACCGACGGCAGCGGTGCCAGTGGCGGAGTCGTGCTGTTGTGCCATTGATGGAGCCCCGTTTAGGTGGACAGGCACCGCTGCACCTAGCATGCCTGCCGTCGAGGCGCTGCTGGAAACGGCACTCGTAGGGACGCCGTCGATGTTGTGTGGCATCAGCGGGTAGTGGCTGACCTCGAACACGGCCACGGGCTGCAGCTCGGCGACTTCCTTGCGCATCAGCGCCGGATGGAGCATGGCCTTGCCATCGGACTCGTCGCTCGTTTCCACGGCAAAGGACGACCGATCGGCGCTCATGCTGTTCCTGGGCCTCGTCGACGACATGCTCATTCTGCCCTGCGGTTGGTGCGGGTCCGCAAACGAAGAACCGCCGCTTCGGGCTTGCTTGGAGTAGGACGAGCTGCCGTGGGCCATCTTGGGCCGCTGCAGCGCGGCGCTGGAGAAGTCCCACATGATGACCTTGCCATCCTCGGCCACGCTCGCGAAGCGGTACGTGCGATCGTCGGCACGCCAGCGCCACGGGTCAAACGCTACCGCCTTGATGAAGCTCGAATGGCCGATGCAGCGGGCGAGGACGCGGCCCTCGGGCGACCAGACAGAGACAAGGTCGTCGCTGCCGCCGGTGACGAGGAGCTTTGCGTCGGGCGACCAGGCGACGCAGGTGAATGCGCCAAAGTACGACGTCATCGTCTGGTCCAGGCGCTCGTTGAGCAGGTCAATGACACGCACCTTGCCGTCGGTCGAGACGACCGCCAAGCGAGTCGAGTCGGGCGCAAAGGCAATGTCGCTGATTTCTGCATTCTTGACCACCTGCCAGTGCGCCACCGGGTTCTTGGACATCCAAGCCTTTCGAGAGTATGTCTCGTTGCCCATCGTGTCGTTTGCGGGTCTCGTGACCACCATCTTGACCGTGGGATCCCAGCCCACGATCCTTGGCCGCGATGACGGGGCTCCATCATCGACTGTGGATGTTCTTGAGCCTCCGTCGATAGAGACGTTACCCACTGTCGTCAGTGAATCGGACGTGGGTTGCCGGCGAGCGGCAGTGGGCCTGGGTCTTGTCGACGAAGCGTCGTTGCGGAGAAACTCTTGCTCCTCTTCCTCTTCCTTCTCTGCCGATCCCAGAGACGAGTGCGAATGGGAGGTAAAGCCCTGTATCGACATGCCCGTGGCCGGTGACCAGGAACCGGGCGCAGCATCGTCTCGGCTGACATCGAAGATGGTGCAGGTACCGTCGGAATGAGCGCATATAAACAGCGTCTCGCTGCCCGGCAACCACCGGATGCTCGTGATGGGCGAGTCATACACACAGCCTCCCTTGTTGATGCGAGAGTACCTCGCCGAAAAGGGTTCGAACCAGACGATGTCTGCCGAGCTGAAGCCGATGATGACATCCAGCCTCGAGGGTGACCGCGTGTGCTGGTTGATGTCGTGGGCCGTGATTGGCGATGCAAAAGTCAGGCGTGCCAGCGGGTCCTTGATCCAGCCATTGGCATTCTCGCCCAGCCAAAAGAGCACCCGCTGTCGATTGGCAAACGCAAAGCGCTCAATGGTGTTGCCATCGCCGCGCTGGCCCATGACCTTTGTGTAATCAGTGTGGTTCTGGAGCCGCTGGACAAAGGAGCTGCTCGTCTGCTTGATGTTGTTCTTTGGCTTGAGCAGATTCTTGCCGCTGCTGCCCGACGATGACGACATGGTCTGAGCGAGCATGCTCGAGGCCAGCGAGGGAGAGGTGGTGATGCTTGGGCCGGCACCACCGGTGCCGCTGAGATGCGCCAGGAGCTGAAGGGCAGCAACGCCCGGGACGCCGCCTTGGCCGCCCGTGACGAGCATGGGGGAGCCGTCGATGCCTTGGCTGGACAGCGAGGCTTCGAGCAGGGGCCCGTGGAAGGAAGCGGTGCCGCCCAGATCGTTGATGGCCGGTGCACCACCCTCTCCCCCGTTTCTCTGCGACGTCGAGACATTGGGGGGATACCTCACGGTGGCGACGGACAGCTTCGTCGTTGGCTGGATTGGCGCATGCGACCAGGCCGAGGGTGCCGCGAGGGATATGTGGCTGAGGGCCGTCTTTGGCGTCGAGCTCGCTCTGTCTGTGGCCATTTCTCCAGCCAAAGGATCCGAAACCGATCTGCCATTCCTCGTCTCTCCAGTGCCAGCGGCTCCAGCAGGGCTCAGCTGACCGGCGCCGGTCGAGGTAGAGGCCGAGGAGGACGACGAGGCTGAGGCACCCGCGGTGCCTGCAGAGGGATTGCTCGAGGAGGCATCCTTGGCCGTGGCGCTCTGCATCTGCGTCTGCGACACGGGGATCATCGTCGGCGGCGCCAGGGGAAGCAAGTAGTTCCAAGCGGGCGTGTATGCGCCCTCTGGCGCAACCAGTCCCTCCTCCATTATCGCCCGTGTCATCCTTTCTCGTTGTCTCTCAGTCGGCCCTTTTTTTCCTTTGCTCTGGCTGCTGGTGGGCCGCTTGCTGCCGTTGTTGAGCTCGAACGCCTTAAAGTCGAGTCGGCCCATGCCCGAGATCCGGATATCGCGCAAACGCAACAACACATGGTTGCTAGACTAAGCTCTTCCACTAAATTTTTTGTTTTGTTTTTTAGATTGTGCCTGGCTCGATCGGCAGCTTTCTTCTTCGCTGCGACGGAAATATGGCCAGCACTTCAGCAGCAGCACCACCACCGATGGAAGCGGCAGCTCGGGGCAGCGCAATCCAAGACCAGTTTCGCGTCTACCGCACCGAGATTGATGCGTACAACGATCGGCGCGAACGGCTGATCAAGGCGTCGCGCGACGTCACGACCCAGTCGAAGCGCCTCATCTTTGTCCTCCACCGCTTCCCACACGACGCCCTGCCGCTGTCCTCGGGCGAGTCGAGTCGGAGCACCAAGGCGGGCGCGAGGATCATCAAGGAAGCGACGGAGAAGCGCGACGAGATCATGAAGATCCTCGTCGAGACGGCGTTGCGCGAGGGCTTGAGCGAATCGACCATCTTTGTGGCGGAGGCGGCAACAGACGCTGACGGCGCCAAGACAGTGGTACGCGACGGAGACGCCGAGATTGGGCGGGCATACAGACATGAGAGATCGCTCGGCGGCGGGTTGGAAGAGTTTGTGAGTATTGCTTGCCCCATGCCCGGACTTGAGCCCCTCTCTCTCTTTTTGCGCGATTGTGCTGACGAGATCGTCACATTTAGATCGAGGGAGTATCCTTCTTGCACTTTCTTCAAGAGGGCAAGCTCATCAGCCTTGCCGAGGTCCAAGCGATGTTCACTACTGCCGACGGTGTCGTTGCCTACCCCGTCCCGCCATTCCGCTATCTCCTGGGACTCTCGGACTTGACAGGCGAGCTCATGCGCTTTGCGACCAATGCAGTCGGTGCAGGAGACACGGGCGCCGTCGTCAATGTCGTCCTGGAGCTCATGCGCGACATTCGCACTGGTGAGCAAAGTGCATGTCTCTCACCGTCCAGTTCAACCACTGAGCATCACTACTGCCCTCCCTTCCCTCTTCCCTTTCGCACAGCCCTGGACCCTTTCATTCCCCTGATCCGCGACATGAGAAAAAAGCAGCAGGTCACTTCGCAGTCGATGCGCAAGATCGAAGATGTTTCCTATGCGATAAAGGTCCGCAGCTCCGAGTACGGGTCGGATCCCGCCGCACTCCAGGAGATGGTGCGGAGATCTCTCAGAGGAGGCAGTGGCGGAGGAGGGGAAGGGGCGCCGGATGAGATTGATGAGGACTAGAAATGTAATCTGTGTATTGTATCGGCGCAAAGGCTGTGTGAAGAGATGTGAAAGGATCGCAGTTGGAGGAGCCTAGACAGCGGGGTGTAATCTTCTCCAGGACGTTGTTGGATATTTAGGTGTAAGGTGTGTGGTATGGGTGACCAAAGAAGCTGAGATACATGAGGATGCAGAAAAGGAGCTGAGCTATGCTGACGGGCTGGTATAGCAGTAGAAGGCCCAGTGCCATTCTGCCATGGTAAAGAGTAGATGTTAAGGTGCAAGCCAGTCCTTCACGCTCGCTCAAGAGCCATTGACGCTCGAGTGAGGGTTGGGCAGCGACAGCGAGCCCATGTCCGTGATGTCGATTCTCGGACCAGCGCTGGAGAAGCTCGCACTTCGCGGGAGCAGCATTTGCGGCACTGGCAGCGGTGAGGACGTCCGCGACTCGGGCGATGACGGTGAATGAACCGGAGGCGGCAGCGCTGGCAAGCTCTTTTCTGCTCGAGCGTATGGGATGAAGTGCTCGCTGGATGGTTTCTCCTCGACGATGTCATCGTCGTCACTGTCGGCGTACCTCACAGAATGATATGACTCTGTTTCTGATCTGTGGCTTCTGGTCGAGTGGTGTCTTGCGGGGGTTTGGCCAATGTTGGGCGACAAATACAAAGGAGCGGTGAGGCATGGAGTCGACGAAGCAAAAGATGGCGATTTCCAGTGCTGACGTGCTCGCTGCGGTATTGGGAAGCTCTTTGGAGAATGGGACGACAAAGGCGACTGCTGGTAGTAAACACCTGGTCTTGATCGGCGGCGCCATGCGACGCCTAGTTCGCGGTCATCACCAGTCAAGCTAGTGACGGGCTGCGGGACCTGGATCATTGCTGTCGCCGGCAGTGACGAGTGCCACCATCTGCGGTCCGCCTCGAGGTCCTCGACTCCCCTTCCACTGGCACGACTCATTTTCATGGCGCCATCCTTCTGGGCTGAATTCCTTCCTGATCGGTGGACCAAGACGACAATGACGAGGAGCATGACGACCAAGATGACAACGAGTGGCACAGCCACAAACCACCAAGAGAAAGGCCGGTGCGCGTCAACCTCGGAATGAGCCAAAGTCTCGTCTTGCTGTGGCGAGGCCGGCACATTTGGACCAGGATCGGAGGAGCGCAGATCGGTTCCCTTTGGCGCGAGAACAAAGGGTGGCGAGACGAGCATATCGTTGAGTCCCCGCTTCCTGCCAAACGACTGAACGAGTCCGCTGTCGAGAATGACGAAGAAGGCTCGGGCCTCGCCGACACTGGGTGCGGTACTGTTGCCAGGTCTTTCTCAGTACACCTTTTTGCAGGAGGACAGCACATTGAGGCTGCTCACAATGTCACCAACCCCCGGCTCTGTTGCGCATGCACAGCATTAGCATCGATCTGAGGTCCACATGATGGCGTCGTCAGCCCAGTGGACCATTTTTGCATGTCATCGGGGCCCTGGAGTGCACAAAGACGAAAATGAAGTGGCCATGGTGTCGCTGGAGATTCAGTCCTGATTTCGCCGAGAAATGTAAGCGCAGGAAGGATCGGGTGCTACAAGACTGAGACTCACCAGACCACTTGTACCTCTTGGTCGGGGAGAAAGGCATCGGCGTTTACCGGCATGGTCCAGGAAAGTCCCGTTGCTTGCATTTGCCTTTGAAACGGCGCCGAATCTCGAGCCTGTTGCCGCGCCATTGCCAGCTGGCTCGCGAGAACTGCAGCCCTCTTTGGGGACATGGGCGGATCTGCGACTGGGACAGGTGATTGCATGTCGACTGGTGGTGGTGAGAGGAGCGACGGTGCTGATGAGGCGGAAGCCTGCTGTGAAGGCAACATCGGAGCTCCCAGCGAAGGGTCACGCCATGCTGTCATGGTGGGTGGCACTACGGAAACCGTTTTTGTCGCTGTCACACCGGCAGGCGAAAACGTCGTACTCGCTCGCCATTGCTTCCCACCCCGCTCTTCATCATTCGAATCGCCATCCCATCTGTCTTCTTCCCTCTCTTCCCGCTCATCTTCATCGTCATCATCGTCATCGTCGATCCAGTAGTCCCGGTGTTCTCGCCTCCTGAGGCTTCTTAGAACTCTTGCCGCAACGGATTCGGCCAGGGTATAAGCTGAGGTTCGATCAGAGAGCGCCTTGAAACTGAAAGGATGCAATGGCGCCGCCGAAGTCAGAAATGTGACTCCTCGTCCTTGAAGGTTTCTCTCTTGCTCCCAGTTCCTCTTCTTTGTTTTTGTCGTCGTCGCCAGCCCTGCGCGCGATCGCGTCGTCTGTACTAATAGAAGGAAAGTGAAAGATAGCACGGCGATCAACGCCAAATTCCAGAACCTAAGGCGGCTCGCCATTGTCACAGACGGTCTCGAGCGGCCCGCGCTCATGTTGCGGAAGGAAAGAAAGCCTAGGTCTTCTTCTTGTTCACGGTACATCAGTACATTCTGGGTGGTGAGGGACCAAGGGGGCAGGAATGCCAAACGAATTAATCGGTTTAGAGCACGCACTATTTTCGCTGTCGTGTAATCCATTGTCAGACATGCTCTGGGATCATCGTCTAGCGGCCCTTCTTACTAGCAACACCGTTAGCTATGGTTAAACAAGGAAACACCCTTCCACCGTACAAGCCTGGGCCGCACCTTTGTGTCGAAGCGCAATCGGCCCCGCCAAGTGTCTCCCACTTCAAAAAACCGAAGCTCGACCTCTCCGAATCTTTGCGGGCCAATGTAAGCACTTGTCCTATCAACGATGAACTGAAGATTGAAGAGTGATGATATTACGTAGACACAGCATGACAGCGCAGCTTTCAACACATTCACAGGCAGTACACGGCCCTGAAAGCGACCTTGGCCCTCTCCCAATTGGAGGACCGGCTCCGTCCTTCGCACCCTGCCGGGCCCTCACGGCGGATGACGTCTGCAATGGCCGCATACACACTGCAGGCGGCCCTCAGCCCGCTTCGGGCCGGTGCACTGGGTATCTTTGCAATGGTCGGGTACGTCGCGGCAAAAAGCGCCTGGGCCACATCGAGGAGCTCGAGCTTGCGGGCATAGATTTCGTCCATCGTGACGAGCGTCTCACCAGCTGTGAGGAGCGTCTCCACCTGCTCCTCCTCCTTCGTCTGGTGCTGAAGCGCTAGATGCCCTTGGGTCAGGCCCTGACGGATCCAGTCGTCGGCCTTGGTGACGACGAGGTAGCAGCGGCGCAGTTCAAGTGAGTCCTTGACGACGTCGCGGGCGATGTTGACGAGCTGGAGGCTGACACCCATCGCCCGTGCGTCCTTGAGGATCTCTGCTACGACCTCTGGCGCCATTGGCTTGGCTCCTTTGCTGATGGTCAACGAGGGCAACTTCAAGCTCTCCCTTTGCCGCGACTTGATTTTTAGCATCGCCTCCTTCTCGAGCACACGGGACACCTTGTAGTCACGAGAGACGAGAACGCCGCTCCGTGCTAGCACAACGCGCGTGCACATCTCGCCAATGCTGCCAGCCACACACTGAGCGTAGTGAGCCTGGTGCTCAAAAGTGGTAAATTGGGACGATCCCGAAGTGTCTTCGCCCAGATCGATTGCGTAGCCGTCGATGAGTTCCTGCCAGAGAGAGACCGGCACAATGAAGCGGAGATCGCAGACTGCCAAGGCCGACGTGATGAGGTCGATGCGGTGCCGAGCAGAGCTGGTGCCCAGCGCATCGTCGGAGAAGTGCTGGAGCCGTTTTTCGATGTCGGTACGTGATGCATTGGGGTCGAAGGTGGCTTCGACCAGGGTCCTGAGCATCGCGATGCGACTGCGCCCATCCGGGGTGGGCTGGCGATCGCCTGATGTGCAGGGATCATCAACATAGTCGTCCATTGCCCTTGCCAGGGCGTAGAGACAGCTGAGGTCTTCTCGCAGATCCCACGGTAGCAGTTTGGCTGCGGCGTGAAAGCTCTTGGAGGCGCGCAGGAGAATCTTGACGGCATGTTCCTTGGCCTTTGCTGCTCGCAGAGACGCTTCGGCCTCCTTGCCTTTGCTCGAACGGTCTTGGTCAAGCTCGACAAAGGAATGCCAGAGCTGGAGGATTGATTCGAGGTTGAGGGGCATGAAGGATGGCGAGAGGGGAGTCGCATTGGCGCGCGAGTCGGAGAGGGTGCGCCTGCGGCATTCATAGATGACGCGATCAAAGGCAAAGGAGGCGCTGATGAGGATGAGGTTGGTGACAAAGAAGAAGAATGCTTCCTCGATCGGCAAGTCGGGTACGGCAAAGATGCCCAGACTCTTGCTCTCAGCAATGTGCCAAGTGCCCCGTCGGAGGGCGTAGACGTCGGCCGAGCAGAGGTAGACGGTGGGCAGGAGCAGGCAGGCGAGCCAGACGAGGCCCTTTGGCCTGCCGAGCATGCCGCTCCATGAGCGCGCCGTACCCCACCAGAGCAGAAGTAAGGGCACAGCGGCCCACCAGACAATCATCGAGAGGTAGTAGCGATTGTCGAAGCCGCCGGGCGAAAAGAGGGAGAAAATGGCAGCGAGGAAGGCCAACGCCGGCACCGTGGCCACGGCCAGTCGAGACACGCGTCGAGGATGACAGGCGGGAGACGACCATCGCGTCACGAGCGATGTCAGGAGCGTCGTCATGAGCGATTGGATGATGAACTACAGGGAAGAAGAGCAAGACGAAGATGTGTACGTGTGGTCAGCCTACATGCGGCCTGCTTGCGTCTTCCTCTGGTCATTTGCCAACGCACAAATGCATACTCTTCGACGGGCACGTAGCCTATACGGGCCAGAACGCAAGTCTTTGGATACCACCAAGCACCGTTGCGTACCAGCTCGTTGTCCCAGGGTGTTGTCCAGACAAAGGCAATGATGGGGAGCAGGACGAGTTTGGCATGGTCGAGAGAGGTGGAAAAAGGCCGCGAGGCGAGGTAGAGAAGGCAAAGCGGTGGCACAGTGATCAGGAGATGGAAGCGAGTATAGTGTAGCTTGCAGGGGGCGTCGACGGACACTGGCCTGGGCGTGTCCTGTGCCGAGGAGAGAGAGGAGAGGCAGGCAGAGAGAGTGATGGCGAGGCCACCAAGCGCAAGCGTAGTTGTGCTGCGGCTCATCGTCGACGGCGCATGACCCACGGAGAGGGGGCGGCCCATCGCTGGCCCTTTTGCACCTGGCGTCTTGCCTCGTAGCTGCCGCCGCCGCCTCAGCTTAGAAGTCCTGATCGTCTCCGCCAGTGAGTGAAGGCTGCTAGCGAGCGCACATGAAAGAAGAAGTGAGAGTTGCATTGAACATTCATTCATTCAGGGTCCGATGCCCGAACAGAGGAAAAGTGGCGCGTGCGCGACGCGGTGCACGGACTGCATTAGGTGATGTGCCTAGGGAAGCAACACGCATGCACCGACTGCTTTCTTCTTCGTTTTCTTCCTCAAGACATCATTCCAAGATAGAGGTTGATGGCAAATACTTCGAGCAGCAGAAAGCACGTCATCGTCATTGGCGCTGGTGTCGGCGGGGCTGCTCTGGCAGCAAGGCTGGCTCATCGCGGCTACAAGGTCACGGTGGTGGAGAAGGTACAGTCACCCATGCCCCTTCCCCTTCATTGGCAAGCTTCTCCTCGCCGTGGCTGATCCTCGTTGTCTCTGTTCGACAGCACTCGCAACTGGGAGGGCGCTGCTCGCTGCTGCAGTCGGATAGGCATAGATGGGATGTGGGACCATCGCTGTACCTCATGCCCGAGCTCTTTGAGTCCTTCTTCTCCTCGCTTGGCCTCAACATCGACGATTACGTCAGCCTCGAACGGTGCGAGCCCTCGTACAAGGTCCACTTCGCCCCGCCAAAAAGTGCCAGAGGCCCCGTTGAGCCGCTTGAGCTGTCGACCTCGCTTCCCAAGCTTGGACCGGCGCTCGCGCGTTACGAAGGGCCGGCGGGCAACGACGATGCCCTGGGCTCCTTTCTCGCCTTCCTCAAAGAGGCCGGCGACCACTACGAGGAGAGCGTGCGATATGTCTTGCTAAAGGACTGGAACCACCTCCTGCCAGCACTGATGCGGTGGGACATGTACCCAATGCTGCTCAGGACAAGAGTACTGCGCATCTGGTCCACAGCTTGGCGTCGAGCCTGGTGAGTTGCATCCGTGTCGTCGCTTTGCCCCACCCACTGGTGCCTGACTTCTGCATGCCGACATCCTACCAGCCACTACTTTCGTTCGGACGAGGTGCGACGAGCAATGACGTTCTCGTCGATGTACATGGGCATGTCTCCCTTTGAAGCGCCTGCCACCTATACCCTGCTTCAATACGCCGAGTACGCCAAAGGTGACCATCGCCTTCTCCTCTTCCATTTGTGCCACTGGCTTTGCCTTTGTCTGACGTGGAGTCTCTCCTTCTTCTCTCCTCCACAGGCGTCTTTTACCCCATCGGCGGCTTTCAGACGGTCGTTGCCGCATTTGCAAAGGTCGCGGTGCAGTTTGGCGCTCGCTTCATCTATGACGCCACCGTCACACGCATCACATTGGCAGGCGATGAAGGCCCAGAGGAAGACGAGGTCGAGAAGATGCTCGTCTCCGACACCAAGCGGCCCAAAACCTCCCGCGTCAAGGGCGTGGAGCTGGCCGACGGAACAAAGATCGAGGCAGACGCCGTCGTCAGCAACGCAGACCTCATTTGGACTGTGAGTCGAGCCAGCCTCGTTGGTATGGAAGGGCTTATTGCTGACCTGCAAATCATGTCCTTGACACTTCCTTCCCTGTAGTACAACAAGTGAGACCAAGACGCTTGCTCGCTCGCCCTGGGGAACGATGGTATCTGACCTAAACCCTCTCTCTCTGCAGCCTGCTCCCACCGTCATCTTATGCGAAACGCCTCCGAGGCAAGAAGCAGACATGCAGTTCCATCTCCTTCTACTGGGGTCTGAGCGAGGTCGTCGAAGAGCTTGGGATGCACAATGTAAGCATTCCACATCCTACTTTTCCCAACTATGTACACTAACCATCGGCCGATATCGTAGATCTTCCTCGCCCAGGACTACCGCGAATCCTTCGATGAGATCTTCAAGGATGGCAAGGTGCCCACCGAACCATCTTTCTATGTCAATGTGCCCTCGCGTGTAGACCCTTCTGCAGCTCCCCGAGGCGGAGACACGATGGTGATCCTCGTCCCTTGTGGTCCAATCGCCAGCAGCAATGCACCAGAGGGCTACAAGGACAAGGCCTCGTTCGAAGCCATAAAGACCAAAGTGCGCGCACAGGTACTCGCTGTCCTCCAGTCGCGCATCGGCAGGGACATTTCGGCACTGATTCGAGAGGAGCACGTCATGGACCCGTGGGACTGGCGCGAGAAATACGGCTTGTGGAACGGCAGCATCTTGGGTCTCAGCCACTGCGTCTCACAGGTCCTGTGGTTCCGGCCGAGCAACCAGCACGAGACGCTGCGCAACATGTTCTTCGTGGGTGCCAGCGCAATGCCGGGGACTGGCGTGCCTGTCGTGTGCGCCGGCAGCGGTATCGTGGCAGACAAGGTGGACCAGTACTTTCAAAATAACAGCGCTCCGCAGTCGTATATCGCGGCCGTCTTCTCGCTGCTATCCCTCTTCATCTCCATGTCACTCATGTACCTCGTTCTTCTCTAATCATATTCCTGCTTGCCTAGAAGAGGTCCTTTGTCTGTGCAAGAAGAGAGCGAGCGAATCGAGGTCGTTACGGTGCCTCATCGTCGTGAATCCGGCCACACGTGGGCAGTGGCGTGGCCAACGCGATTCAAACCTAAATCTTCGTGGAGGCGACGCCATCTTCCACGGAGACCAGCAACTTAGCCCGATGCTCAAGCAGAGACGAGAATGTTGAACGTCCGCCAGCCTCTGGATCGGAGACGATCGTCTGTCTCGGCCGCCGGCACTGGTTCCCGGCCGGCGATGCGATCCAAGTTCTCCGTCTCGTACGAAGCCCTGCTGGCAGGGGAGCACCCCTGGCAGCAGCAGCAGCAGCAGCAGCAGCAGCAGCAGCAACAGCAGCAGCAGCGCTCTCTGCAGTCGTCCCCACAGCAGCACCACGAGCGACATGGAGGGTTTTCCTCTCCGCCAACATCAAAGGCCTCTTCGTCCGGGAAGAAGCCATCGGCGCCCCGAGCGCGCTTCTACGCGGACCTCTTGTGCCTCGCGGTCGAGCCATCTACGCTCTCGCAACTCGTCGCAGACGTGCCGGCGGCGAGCCTTGTCGACGAGGATGAAGCGAGCAAGGGAGCCAGAATAAGGGACAACGTGGGCAGTCTCTGGAGAGAGTGCCTCAAGCTTTGGAGAGACGTGCCTGCGGGTTTTTCTCTGGGTCCGGGAGGAGCTGGTGCCGCTGGAGAAGAAGCAGGAGGGTCCGACGAGGTACGGCGCAACAATGCTATTGAAACGCTCGTCCATCTCTCGAAACCCATCTTGGCAAAGCAATTTCCACACGCCAGCACCAGTCTCGACCTCATCTCGATCTTTGCAGGCAGCATTGACGAGGCTGACGAGGTCTTTGAGACCCTCGTGGCATGCATCGACGAGGGCCTTCGAGGCGAGCTCGACGATCCCAGTCTCTCGGCTCGCCAGAACAGGCCGGCCTCTCGCATTCCGTCCTCGCCTTCCAATGACCTCACCTCGTCGCTCCAGAGGCAACAGGCCCATGCGCAAATGATGCCACCCAGCCTGGCAGAGATTTTCAACCATCGACTCAAGGCCACGAGACTCGCCGTCGTTTGGATCAGTCATGTCTCCTCGACAAACCTGGCCGCCTACTTTGTCCGAAGGGACCTCTTTGTTGCCGCCGGCACATCACTCAGCCTCGTCCAGTCGATTGTGCAGAACGTGCAAGCGGCCAAGAAGCGCGGCGAGGACCCCTTGTCTGACGAAGACGAGGACCTGCTTCGCGAGGTGGTGCGAGAGACGACACTGCTCTTTGGCCTTCTCGCTGGACTCGGCCAGGGTGCCTCGTCCTCTTCCGGCATTGGCGCTCGAGGCGGTGGTGGGGGCTTCGGGGGATACGATGCAACAGGTTCAGCCTCCAACAGTCCGTACTTTCGCAGGCTCTGTGATTGGGTCGACAGCGGTTCTATGGCTCTCGTCCGTGATGTCGCCGCAGCTGATCTCGAGGCCAGTTGGAAAGCGTACGAGCAGGCCTCTTCTGCTCCGCAGACCGGTCCAACGGCGGCTGGTTATGCCATTGGAGGACTGGCAGAGGGAGTTAAGCGCTTGGGACTCAGCTCGGCGAGCCCGGCGAACAGCGAAGCATCGACCCTTCTCTCCACCGTCCACCTGCCTCCGCCAGTCGCCTCGACGCTTCTTCCGATCTTCCTCCTGACAAGGGCGAACGAAGCATTTGTCGATATCGCTCTTCGCAAAGGCTCTTCTGCCGATGCTTCCGAGGCCGATACACCTTCGATCTTGGCACCGCAAGATCAGACATTCGCGACTGCCCTCCTCTCGCTGGGCAGCTATCTGGCCACCCATGCTTCCGCCTCCAATCGGTCAAGGTCGTATGCCAGACTGTCACTTCTCGCTCAGCTCGGCCTATTGAGCACTAGTCCAGGCATCGATGCGTTGATTCTGTCCGAGAGGCAGGAGGAAGTAGCCAAAGTCAAGCTCTGCAGCCAGAGGGCAGGGCCGCGACCGATCAAGAGCCCCAGTACAAGCAGCGACAACATCACCACTCTCAAGTCGCTTCTCGAGCGTCGTGCCACCACCACAAAGGATCAGTCTTCGGACGGAGAAAAGGGAGGAGCCAGGACGAGACTGGTGACCAACATTCTCGATTCCATCTGCCAGTTCCTGCGCTTCAATCTGCGAAAGCGACTCGACGTGCCTGCCTACCTCATTGCTCTCCAGATTCTCAATCTCGTCCTCGAGGCATGTTCGTCCTCTCAGCAGCAACGTAGACGCATTCGGCTCGAGTACGTTGGCTGGACCGACCTCTGGCGGACTCTGACGAGCGTCGCCTCGTTTCTCGCGGGGAGGCATGCCGAGCTCAAGGGTGTCGAGACGGGCCAGCTGGGCCAGGCTCTCATTTCGACCTTGAGCCTGGCTGTGTTGGAGTCAGACCGCTTTCTGCCGTCGAGCCACGACGTCAACCTGTTGCTGTACGAAGTCGTCAGGAGCGGTGATGCACTCAGAAGGCTTGCTCTTGTCCTCTCGACGGCAGGGACATCATCAAACGGGCTATCAAACTCCTCGGGCGCGGCGAGCCGGGGCGGTCAAGAAGTGATGCCAGGCTGGAGGCTGCTGGAAGCCGTCTTGATCTCCTTTGACGAGAAGCTGGCCGAATGGAGCGAAGCAAAGAGGAGCAAGTCAAAGGGCCTCCTTGGGGGCTACCTTGACTTTGCGACGTCCTGGTCCTCTTCGTCGCCAGCAGTCCCATCGAGCAATGGAGCAGAGTCCCCTGCCGGCGAAGCATCTGCGAGCGGGAGAAGCAGCCCGTCTTCGTCGACTTCTGCGCCTTCACGACCCCAGCAGAAGCAAGCCATGCCCGACGTCAACACTGTGATGCACCTCATTGCGACACTCGACATGGAGAGGCTCACGACAATGCACTCTGCTCCTCCTTCCTCTGGCCCTTCTCCCTCTGGCGGCGCGGCAACGCCTTGGGCGTCCTCGGCGTCGTATGGCGGTCAGCATCGGACAAATCACGCAAGGCAGGTTCACAACGAATGGCTCGAAAGAGCAGAGGCGCAATGCCTTTCCGAGGCGCTCAGGTTCGCGGCGGAAGATATGCGCGCCGTCGTCGTGTCTCCCATAGCTTCTGCAAACGCAGCAACATCCCCTTGACATGGCCTCTCTATCGTCGCAACACCATGTATACCCTACGCTGCTCTTTTTAGCAAATCTTGGCTGGGCATCCTAGTCGCATCTCCGCAAAGTGAATGAGACAAGTACAATTGCTGCAAGCTTCTACGCTGTCACTATCGCTACTGCACATGTTGATCCTCTGAACACAGTAACAGGATCATGATGGGTTTCCATGTAGCGCCATCCCGACTTTATGTCTCTCCCTCTTTCCCTCCATCGTCCAGAGGCAGGACAGGTAGCCGAGCGAGCTTCACCTGCTTTTCCAGGCCGAAATTGTGCACGTCCTCGCGCACGAGCCGACACAGGTCCTGCGTCTCTTTTGCATCGGCTCTCGAGAGCAGATTGATGACAGCGCGCATAAAGATAGCGTCCGGCCTCTCTGCCTGCTCCTCTCCGAAACCAGCGCGCTTCAAGAGCGTAGCCTCGTCTTCTACCTCTTCCTCCCACGATGGTTCGGCAACCGCAGCCGATTCGTACCACCGCGCACGAAGCGCCAGATAGGCTTCGCGTGCCCGAACGACGGCGGCATGGGCTCGTAGCATGGGACTGGCTCGCTGTGAAGCGCGGCTGCGGCCGGTCGAGGTCTCGTCGAACCAACCTCGAACGTAAAGGGCAGAGATGGGGATCGTACGCCCTCTGGGGGCGCGAAGCCAGTGACCACGCAGCGAGACCACCGCCCGCCGCTGCGCCTTTGCAGCAACTGTGGCCTTTCGAGATTCGGTAAGCACAGCGTTGCTGGTTTGCAGTGTCGAGTTAGTCTTGGTGGTCGTAATCGCGACCCCGTTCTCGTCTGGCTTTTCAGTGGATGTGTTTAGAGAGGAGCGCTGCATTCGAGAGTAGCTGGCCTCTACTGCCCAAAGCTTCATCATGCTAGTGTAGGCCTCAATCGGGATGCGCCAGCCTTCGTACATGTCCTTTGGACCCTTGCTCCGCTTGCTTGCGCGCTTCATCAGCTTCCAGACGCGCTCTGCCAGCCCCGTCTTTCTCGACAAGGCAAGAAGGTGAAGCGCCATCGTCAATGTACGCGGCTCGAATGCTGCCGGCGGCTCATTTCGGTTGGCGATCGACCGCAGCCTTCTTCGAAGAAAGGCAGCTCTCCTTCGAAGATCCAGAGACGGATAAAGAGCAAAGATGATCCGAGCTGGGCTGACACCAGTCTTGAGGACCAACGTTGCGCTGCGTCCGAGGTAAAGCTTTTGATAAAGACCATGAGTGGTGATGATCTTGAGGAGCGCAGTGAGGCGATACGGGTCGTTGGACAAGAGTCCGCCCTCAAGCAACCAGATCCACGAGTTTAGGCTGGGTGCACTGTCCTTGATCTCATGGATCGCTGCTAATTCCGGATGCTCTCGTTTCTGCGCCTGAATTTCCTGCTGTTGCTTCCTCTGCAATGCATTCGTCTCTTCGATCGCCAATCGAATGACAGCGGTCAGCAGGGGCTTGTCGCGTAGCTCGTTGGCATGATGCAGCAGCACATTTATCGTCGTCGCGTCGGGCTTGGGTCCTTCTCGGCTCATGCGCTTGAGGATGCTCATCGCGAGTTTTGGAGAAGGTTTTGGGTGGGCATCACGATGGAGAAGCATTGCCACCAAGGTGTTGTACGTCTTGACGGATAAGTGGGGAGCCAGCGAAGGATCACCGAGCCAAGTAGTGATCCAGCGCCTCAACGATTCGCTGGCACCCTTTGCCTCTATCCCTGCATTGACGACTTCTGTTCGCTGTGCTCCTTGGACATTGCCCCTGCTCTCCTTCTCAAGTCCCAAACGCCCGCGCGAAAGCTCGAGCAGTGCGATCGATCTGACGATGGTGTTGCGCGGCTTGAGTAGCGGCTTCATGCTTCTCCCACCGCCGACCTCTTCGCTGACTTGCATACCTCCAGCTTCAAGCAGTAGAGCCAACCTTCGGAGTCCTCTGGCGTAGTCGTAAAAGCAGCTGAGCCAGCTCGTGCCGTCACTCATTGTTGATCGACCATTGACGTGCAGCGAGTGCGTCATCTTCCGATATGCTCTCAAGTGATTCCCCAGCAGATTCGACAAGGCGTAGCATCGCCTGGACGAGGGCCCAAATAAACGGGCCGAATCCTCCCAGACCAGAACCGCTTCTGCAAATCGCTTGCCCTCGAGCAGGGCTTTCACGTGCTGCTTCATGGTGTGGAACACCGCATCGCCTCCGTCCTCGTAATCACCTTCGACCAGGACAGGGAGATCCCACGCCCACAGAGGTATGCGCTTGACAGAACTCCAGAGGTGGACCATGGCTTGTCGCGCCTCGACGCTGGGAAAGCCTCTGCGACTCCTCAGCCTGTCCTCCGAAGGGAAGGTGAGATCGTCTGTGATCTCGCACAGCACCGAGCTTGTTCGTACAATGTCCGTGGCGGGCGTATAGGCGATGTCCTTGTGTGTCCTGATGGTGAAGCTGGCGATGCTCTCGTCGACGAGCTCGGAGATGCCCGCCTTGATGAGGCCGACCTCCCACGCATAGTGGTCGCCCAGGATCTGAGCCTGCATAAGCGCCGTTTCCTTTCCATTGAGCGCCCTCAGAGTTCTGACGACCTGCAAGTAGGCTGCTCGGACGATGCTGATCTCGTATGAGAGGTCCTTGCCCTTTCCTCCGTACTTTTGGTGCGTATCGAGGAGCTGGCGCAGGACCACGATGGCGTCGGCGAGCCTCTGGCGAATGATGACTAGATTGTCAGAGAAGGAGACGTCGCGGGAGAAATGAATGGCCTGGTCGCAGAGCGAGGTGAGGTAGTCGGTCCCCGGCTGACGTTGTACCGAAGTGGACGAAGAGGGAGCCGCGGCCGCCGCAAAGCTGTATGTGCTCGTCGACGGACTGGACTGCTCTCGCGATGCATCGCTGTTGCCTTTGTTGCTTTCAGCAGCGACTGAGGCAGCCGAAGACGACGATGAGGCCGATCGAACATGTAAGAAGTCATGGCGAGATCCGACGCTCCAGAAAGAGGCGTTAGGGGGCGGCAACCTTGGAAGGCAGGCCGAATGATGGGGCAGAAACGACACGCTGGGCTTCGGAACAGCAGCCGAGGAGAGCGCGCGCAGCCTAGCCGAGCTGCATCGTCCCATCACACTAGCCCGCTGCTAACCTGACCGCTCAGCACCTCCCCACGATCATCGGCGACGACTTGGCGAGAGGAAGTGATCTTCTCGACCAGACCTGCCATTTTTTTAGTGCTCGCCTTCACGTGTTTTATTTTAGGCAGCAGGGAAACGACACTGGAGCTCCACTCCACGGAAATTGGCCAACAGCCATTTAGTACGATGCTGCAATGGAAAGCTCGCTGCAGGAGCGGCTCAAGAGACTACGAGAGCGCGAGCTAGCACGAGCAAAGAAGCCTTCTGCGGCGGCGTCGTCTTCAGGCGCGGGCACGACTCTGGGGGCAGATCATAGCGCAGCAGTGGCCGAGGACGACATCGAAGCACTCATCGCTCAGGCACGCGATGAGGTGTCCATCGACGGCCAGCACGGTGTGACGTACGACAACGACGAAGAGTACGAGGAGGACCTAGAAGGGAGCGTCGACTGGCGCACAGGCAACGTTGCGTCCGATGACGAGAGCAGGGCGACGGTGGCACAGCCAATCAGCCGACGGGAGCTGGACGAGGTGACAGCGGAGGCACACAAGCTCGCCCTCGAAGCACAGCACGGACTGCAGGACCTTTCTCGAGAAGGGCAAGGACCGCCCAAGCAGAAACAAAAGGCTGGTCAGCTCGAGCTAGAGCCAAGGGAGAAGCCCATACTGACGAGAGCATCCACGGGCCAAGATGGATCAGAAGATCTGCAAGACGAGCTCGCAGACGCTCTCGCGAGCGAGATTGGGGAGGGCGAGAGCACGAAACCGTCGCTCAAGAATCACGAGCTGGTAGCAGAGCCTACCACTGCGGGTGACAGAGAGCGCGATCCCTCCTCCCCAGGCCAAGCGAAGGGAGAGCCCCAAGAAGCTGACGATCTCCTCTCTCGACTGGCTCTTTTGCGCGCTGGCAAGAGCCCGACGGCAAGCCAAAGCTCGAGCTCTCTCTTGCCTCAGCGCTCAGCACCAATCGAAAGCGAGTCGTGGGCCGACCCTTTCGATCTGCCAAGTGCTCCGAAGGACGAGCCGATCAGAAGCACCAGAGATGGTAGGGAGGAGGAGAAGGAGGATGACTGGAGGGCCCGGCATGATGTACAGGGGCGAGATCTCTCCGCGTTTGAGAAGCTCGTCCGACTGGACGCAAACAAGCTTGGCGAGCCGAGCGCGAGGTCAATCGGAGCCAAAGGGGGGCCGCTGGTCAAGAAGCAAGCAACGAATGACAACGACGAGGGCGACCCAGACGAGTGGTGCTGTGGGTATCTTGTCTGTGTTTTTTTTTCGAGGCAGTTCCCTAATCTTGTTTTGACACCTTTCAGGCATCTGCACCAATGACGCCGTCTTCGAGTGCACGGGCTGCGACGATGATCGGTACTGCGAAGCATGTTGGAGAGAGGGCCATGAGACAATGGACGCCGAAGAGAAGAGGGAGCACCGGGCAAAGCACATCGTCCGTGCTCGGCCGAAGCGTCGCTTGATGGCGGCGGCAGCTTGAACCCTCTGCTCACGTACTCTTTACTATCTTTTCTCGCTCAGTCGCTTCATCGCTTTTCTAGCAATTGACTGGCTCTTGTAAATATGTGAAGCATGGATATACACGAGGCAGCGAGCGACGGCTACTTTGGGTCAATTTGGACATAGTCTCGCTCGTCTGCCTCGACGTCTGGCTTGACGGAGCTGTACACCTCTGCAACAAGGCCGAGGGCAGTGGCGCGTAACCGCTGCGTCTCCTTGTTCACGCCTGCGTCGTACAGGACCCTCTCTGTCACCTCTCGAATGACCGATTCCACCTCGAGCTTGGCGCCCTTGAACAGAGCCCGCATCCTGCAAGGCGATAACGTCAGTCTCTATAAATGCGCTTCTCGGGTCACTGGTCAAGGGAACGCACCCCTTTTGCGCGGCATCTTCTTCGAGCTGTTTCTTGCGCTCCTCGGTGATCCCCTGCTCTTCCGCCTTTGCCAGCTCCTCGAACACGCTCTTGAGCTCCAGCGCAGCGCGCACCGTGCTCACCGTCTCGCGCACCACGTGGAACGACGAGGCGGCGGAGTGGAACACGCCACCAATGCCCCAGAGCATGCCCGTCGAGGCCAGGTAGTGCTTTGCCTTTGCTCCATAGACGAATGCCACGGCATGCAGCAGCTCCACGCCGTAACTCTCCTTCTTGAGCTCCTCTGCCTCGATGCGTGTGATCTCGCGGAAGCTCTCAGCCACCTGCCTCTCGAGATCGGTATCATTTGCGTTGCGGACGCTCTCGGTAAAGACGCTGAGCTTCCGGACAAGGTTGTCTGCCAGCCTTGCCACGCGCTCCTCTCTCAGCTTCGCTCGTTCGGCATCACGCTTGCGCTCCTTTTCCTCCTTGGCCGCCTTTTGCTCGGGTGTGAGCTGGTCCTTTTTGCTCGATGCGCTCACATCGGTGCCTGATCCCTGGCCTCCTCCAGCACTGCCATCAGCGCCCGCCTCGCCTGCGGCGGCCTGCTTTTCCAGGTCCTCCGAGTCCTGCTGCAGGGCCTCCTTCATGTCCTTGCCGATGCTGATTGTCCCAATGATGTCCTTGAATCTGGCGCCACCAAAGAGGCTCCCAAAGACTTCTTCTGGGTCCACAAAGCCGTCCTCGGGCACAAGTCCAGGCGTCGAGGCCCCGAATTCATTGCTGTTGTGGCACGGATCTCGTCAGCGGTGTATGCTCGCAATAGAGAGAGATGGGACAGAAAATACAGGCCCATTGCTTCGACACTCACTACTTATGTCTCAGGTCAGGGTCCGAAAGAACCTGATAGGCCGTCGCCAGCGTCTTGAAGCGCTCCTCGCCCTCGGGGTCATTTGGATTCTTGTCCGGGTGCAGCTTGATGGCCAACTTTCTGTACGCTTTTTTGATCTCGTCCATCGTTGCATTGGCCGGCAGCCCCAAGGTATCATAGCTTGGTGTCGCGTGAGCGACTCAGCTTGAGCAATCTCGATCGGGATAAGGAGCTCGACTCACTAGGTCATGTCGAGTGGCTTCTCGTCTGTGCCGATGCGGCGCTTGTTCGACTTTGGCCGGTCCTTTCCATTGCTCTGCCGGGCCTCTCGCACCATCCGTGGCGCTCCAGGTGGCTCGAAGCGCTGCTTGCAGCTGCAGCACGTCACCCTGAACGACGTGTCGCTCGACGGAAGCGCCGACAGCGTCGACGCGGGCGGCGTCAGGTACTCGATCGCGGCCTTGCATGACGGGTACGGGCAGGTGACGGACTGGTATGGCTCCTTTGGCCGCGATTCGAGAATCAGGCTCGAGCTCGACGACGCCGCCATGGTGTGCTCTCACGGCTGATTTCAGGGTTGTGCGCCCTTCACGGGTTGGCTCTCAGTAATGGAATCGGGTTGAAAAATTAAATGGCTTATGTAAGCTTCCCCTGCAGTGTCCTCCTCGAAGGGCTCCGAAGTGTTGTTTGCTGTCGCTGGCCTTGGCAGATAAGGTACGGGTGTCCTCTCTCTCAGCTGGAAAACATAATCATGACACACATACAGCTAGTAGTAGTACGATACATACTAGGCTGGCAATTGAGACAGGCAATTGAGACAACGATGAGAATGCTAGCCGAAGAGAGCGTGCAGTGCGTCGTCTCTATTTACCATTGAGGACGAATGAAAAAGAAGCTGCTATCGGCGAGCAGGAAGAACGTGGAGGAACCGCTATCTATGTCGCATTTTCGGCCGTTGGGTTAGGGCTGCTGGCCGGCCTGGGCTTGCTTCCAGCTCACGCGGGGGCGATTTTGATTTTGGTCCGTCACGCACGCAAGAACGAAATCGCTTTTTTTGGACTTTCGCCTTTTTTTTTTTTTGGAGGAAAGTGCGAGCGAGGTCCCACCGCCTCCTTTCTTTTTTTTTTTTTTTTTTTTTTTGACCTTTAATTTTTCTTTCCTCCTTCCCTCCCTTCAGCACACCTTCCACCACTGCCTTGGTCTTCGTCCACCGAGCGTCTGCGGGTTCCTCTTTCTCTTCCGTCTCTTTCTCCTTCCGCTCCTTTGCGTGTACAGGTCGTGCGAGGGTGAGTGTCTGCTCCGTCTGTGCGGTCTTCTCCCCGCAGCGTCGTCGAGGCGGGAGAGGGTGCCTTGCAATTGCCGAGCCCAGGCGCCTGGCAGTGCAGTGCTCCTGGGGCTTCTCCCTCTCCCGCTCGCTTGCTGGCTTACAAGGCGTGGGGAGCATTTCTTCTTGGTCTTTTCTTTTTCTCTCGGACACTCTTGCTGAACATTACGCCTGCTCCCCCTTCCCCCTCACTTTCTTTTTTTCTGCCCCTTTGTTCTGTTGAGCAGCACACTCAGGGCTCATTCACTTGGGCTGCCTGGTCAACTATTGCGCCGACGACCACGACTTGAACATCGAACACCCGCCCCAGCGATCTGCACCAACTGTTCCTATCTCTCCTCTAATCTCTCTCTCTCTCTCTCTCTTTCTCGCTCAGTCGCTCAGTCGCTCTGTCGCTCAGTCTCCCTCTCGCGTTCTCGCTCGCCTCGACAACCCCGCTTCTCGTTGATCAACCATGTCATTCGCTGCCAGCAGCGGAGTCCGCAGCACAGATGGTGGTCCCGTCGTGGGGGTGAGTTGTTGAAGTAAGCCCTTTGCAGTGCTGTGGGACATCCTTGGCTCACCGGGTGAACCGCCGTTGGCAGTCATTCTCGGCCACACCCACTGGTCTGCACGACTCCAACATGCGCGCAAGCACCCACGATGACCTTCCACCGGCCTCTGCGCCGTCGGCAGTGCCCACCCAGGGCAGGCGACGCGAGTCAATAGGCGGGCAGCTCCGCAGACTCGACTCGTCGACGGTCGCTGCCGCGGGAGGCGGTCATTTCCACTCGAGAATCGTCAACGGCCAGTCGATGCCCTCGAGCCGCATCTCGGTCTCGCCCCGCGCCATTCCCTCTTCGATTGGAGCGGGCGCTGGTGGCCTCGAGGCGAGCAGCCTTTCCACGTCCTTTGGCACCGCTGGCGAGGCTCTCACGTCAAAGAGCCTCGCTAGCCTCGGAGGCAGTCTCGCCGGGAGGAGTGTTAGCAACGGCATGGCCTCTTCCACCACCACGACTTCGTCAGCGACGATGGGGACAGGGACATCGACGACAACGGCGGCAGCAGCGACGGGTGCACCAAAGTCGATTGGCCACACCCACTTTGGCCAGGAGTGCTACGGCCCGCAGCCGGGCGACCCCACGGCGCTGAACCCGCCGCCGAGTGCGATGCTGTCGGCAAAGGACATGAACTCGGGTAATGGCAAGCACAGCGGCAATAGCAGCAGCAACACAGATGACGGCAAGGACCCATCCAGCGGCGGCATCTCGGCCCGACGTGCGTCCATCAGCTCAACCGTCACCGACGACGGCGAAGTGACGGGCAAGGCGCTGAGCCAGAGTTACGGCGGTGGCGCCCACTCGATGCTGCACAAATGCGAGAGCTGCTCAAAGGTGTACAGACACCCCAGCTGCCTGATCAAGCACCGATGGGTGAGTATTTTGTGGCTGCGGTGACTTACCACTGAAAAACAAGAGCTGACGCCGAGAGGGTGACTTTACTTAGGAACACACGGTGTACTGGAAAGAGGCCTCCAAGTTCCTCATGAGCAAGCATCAGCAGGTCCAGCTCCTCGAGGCCGCCGCCATTCTCGTGGGCATGGACTGCAACGCCCGATCGCTCCCCGAGGAAAAGGCGCTCTGGCCTGCTGCCGTCAGCCCGCCGTCGTCGGGCTTGCTGGGCTCGGACAAGATCAACTTTGAGAAGCTCCTCGCGCAGAAGAACAAGAAATCAGACGGCCGCACCGCCTCTGCCTCGCCAGTGGCACAGCGGACCAGCAGCGCCTCGCTCTCGCCCCTCCACGGTTTCACCAACCTGCAGATCGGCAGGGGTGCCGCCGGCCGAATTGGCGGCGGGCCTTCTTCGACAAACAACAACGGCGATGTGCAGCATCTCACGCTCGACGAGAGCGCCGAACGGAGCCGAAGAAGCGAGAGCGCAGAGACCGACGGTGATGACGACGAGAGAGATGAAGACGATGAAGACGACGACGGTGAGGGTGACGAGAGCATGACGGGCAGCACGACCATCTCGACTGGCAGCCCCAGCCGAGAGGCCGAGGAACGCGAACGCGAACGCTATGGGCTCAGTGCTGGCGGCGATGTTCTCGCAGAGATGGAAATGGAGGGCGTCGAATGACAAGTCGGACGGTGAAGCTTGCTCCGTGTAACAGGTTTCCTCTTTCTCAGTCACACACATGCGCACAACACTTTCTCTCCCTTTCTCTCTCTCTCTCTTTCCTTTTCTCTCTCTTCTTTTCTTTTCTTGCCATTCACGTCGTCACTGGTCACCAACATATTGTATTAGGTTATGCACCCTCACATCCTCTTCTCTTCCTCTCTTTCTCTCCTCCTTTTCCCTTCACCCTTTCTTCGATTATTCGCCCTTGCGCTACGTTTTTACGCGCCGCGGCAAGAAGGAACAGACGGGCAAGTCACCAACAAAGGTCCGGGCAAGTGATGCTTCACAAAGCTGTAAATCTGTAGTGGGAAGGGGTAGGAGGAAGGAGGAAGGAAGGAATGGAATGGAAATCTACAAAGAATTGCCGACGATGCAACCGTACTCTTTCCCTTGGAAGTGGTCGCTCCCAGAATGGCGAGGTGGTCTGTGCATGCATGCCGCAGCAACTGCTGGACACGTCCCTGCGCACCTTTAAGCTTCGACAAGCTCCAGACTTCGTTGCTATTGGAACAGAATCCTGGGTTCAGGTCTCCCGGCGTGATCGAGGGACGGATCTGGGATCTGGTCTCTCCGGCCCTCGGCAGGAACGGCGTTGAAAGGCCGTGCTGCTGCATGCAAGTGCTCCAGACGTGCAGCTTTCGCTCAACATCTGTCCAGCGAAGGCGGGGGTGCTCACGTGCCGCGGCTCTTCCTTCCCGACATGTGGCGGATTTACCACGTGGTCTCTCGAGCGTCGCTGAATTGCATTGCATCCAGCAAATAGTTTGCTGCAGGACGCTGCGACGCTTGGACGTTGCTGGCCTCGTCCAGGACTATCTAGTACTACTCTACTGCTGCTGCCAATCGTGATCTCCTTTCACCGAGGCCAATCCCCCCACAATGGTACAGGACCTCGTGATTATTTTGGGTGGGATTGCCCCCAGCGTCCTCTCGCTACTCCTCTCTTTCTTTCCCTTGCAGATCGGCACCGCGGAGAATAGCGTCGATCGTGACCCTCGTTCAGGCACATCACGCCACAAGCGCCTCCCCCGCGTACTGCCACTACTGTCCTTTTCTCGGACCATGTGTCTGGAGGCTTCGTGTGCCTGCCCACGGCCCACTGCTAGCTATTATTACCTACGTCCTCGTTCCGTATTTTCACCTCTCTCACTCCCTTTTTATTTTCTTCATTTCTCATTTTGATGTGGGGTAAAGAAAAAGAAACGCCCGAGCGGGGAGAGAAAGAGGTCTGTCTAAGTAAGTAGTCCCAGAGAGCTTTCACGAGGAGCGCAAAGGCCAAGCGTAGACAAGAAAGTCAGAAGTCGCAAAACATAATTCGATCGTTGCAGGTCACTTCTCAAAGTCCGCCTCTATTGGTTCCCGCTGTGTGTCTTGACGAGGGTTGGCTGGCTAAGTTACCTAGGAAGTCGCCCTTTTTTTGGGCTTGGCTGTGCTGTTGGAGTGCCTCCCCACCAGGTAGAGTTGGGCGAGACATGATTACTTCAAAAGTTCGAATATAGCCCTCTATCTTCTTTTTTCCCTTTGCTCGTTTCACCTGCTGACGGAGCTAGAGAGTCCAGACTGAGTCTGATTTGGGTCCATATTATTGTCCTCGGCGGCGGGAGATCTTCCCCACCCCGCCCTCGGGCACAGAGATTTTGATTGCAAGCACGCTTGCGTTTCTCGCTGGATCATGAAAATGGTAAGCGGTAGTGACGCTATAGCTAGTGTGGTAGCCAATTGTAGTACTACTAGTAGTTCGTGGGGTTGCTATCTAGTTGGCATAGAGATTGCACTAGTCACCCGTCTCTCCATTTACAATTGTCCAACGTGGAGAGCTCCAATGAGCATCTGCCCTCCCCGCAAAGAAAAAGAAAAAAGGACTACAAGTGGAAAAAGTCATTACTACAAGGACTAAGATTTCTATTCGCGATGCAGAAGAAACGGACGGACCCAGCCGCCCCAGACCAGCAGGTTCGTTCGCCTTGCCGCCTATCTACTACTGGACCACTCCCTCTCTCCACTCCTTCCATCCACCACTCCCTCCTTCCGCTTCCCCTACCGCTGTGCCTGTGACTTTCCATAGTCATTGGCATTTTCAGAGCGCTGAGGAATTGTGCGACAGAGCAGGGACGACCGCTTCATCTTCATCTTTCTTGCCCCATTTTACACGATTGCACATCCACCTTCAATTTTCTTTCTATTCCCACACTCTAACGCTTGCCCAAGATGTCGACGAAGAAGAACATTGATGGCGAGGAGGTGCGTTTGGATTTATGAAAAGTAGCAGTGTTCCTGGAGAGCTGACATTCATGTCTATTTGAATCTCAAAGGTCCTCGAGGGATACCGAGGCAACCTCACGCCCGAGCACCAGAAGCAGCTGCGAGAGATGTACCGCCGCCTGTTTGAACTCTACGAGCAGAACAAGGTGAGGCGAGCGCTTCCCGCTTTTGCTTTTGTTTTTCTTTTTTTTGCCTCGTATATTGACGTACAGCTGGCCGCCCATCCTTCCAGAGCCGATCCGAGGAGCTCGAGCGCGAGGGCGGGCCCCAGGTGGCCGCAAGCCTCAAGAAGCAAAAGAAGTCCGGCGGAGACTCGGGAAAGAAGAAGGACGAGCCTGGCAAGGACATTCCCAAGGACGACAAGGCCAAGGAGGAGGCCAAGAAGCAGGAGGAGCTGCGCGACCTGCGCGACATGATGGACACCTACGGCGGGCCCTATCTCCGTCGCGCACTCTGGGAATTCGTAAAGCACGACAATCCCGACGCCGGCCTGCTTCGCTTCCTTCGAGCCCGCAAGTGGGACCTGGACCGAGCGCTGGCCATGCTTGCCGCCGCGCTCAAGTTCCGCTACGAGATGGACGTCGAAGGCATCATCTTCAAGGGTGAGGCCGGCATGTCCGACGTGCCCGGCTTCCTCAACCAGTTCCGCCGCGGTATCTCGTACATCAAGGGAAACAGTGAGGCACCTGGAGAATACCCCATCTACTTTATCCACGTCGCTCGCCACTTTACAAACGCCCAGAAGCACGAGGTGCTCCAGCAGTTCGTCCTCCTTGCCATGGAGAACGCCCGGCAGCTTACCACGCCGCCCTATGAAAAGGCCATTGTCATCTTTGACATGGGCGGCTTTGGTCTCAAGAACATGGACTGGCAGTGTGTCCTGTTCCTGGTCAAGTGCCTCGAGGCCTACTACCCCGAGTCGCTCCAGCGCATTTACGTCCACAGCGCCCCCTGGATCTTCAAGGGCATCTGGCAGGTCCTCCAGCCCATGCTCGACCCCGTTGTGAGGGACAAGATCAAGTTCAGCAGCAAGGCAGCCGACCTCAAGGACTATGCCGACACAACCAAGCTCAGAAAGGGCATGGGCGGAACCATGGACTGGGATTGGGACTACATTGAGCCCGAGCCGTCGGAGAACGACCTGACAAAAGACGAAAAGACGCGTGAGGCCATGAAGAAGGAGTACGACGACCTGGCAAAGAAGTTCGAAGAGACGACGGCCGAGTGGTTGAAGTATGACACCGACGACGAGGCGCCGGAGCTGACACACAAGCGAGAAGTGCTTGCCAAGCAGCTCCGCCTCACGGCACTGCGCATGCAGCGCTACACGCGTGCAAAGAATGTCTACCAGCGCGCCGGTCAGCTCAAGGACGACGGCAGCTTCACCTGGGAGTACCCGCAGACCGACGGCGAGACCAAGACGCAGACGGTCAACGACCGCCACAACATCCCCGCCCTTCGCAAGTGGCTCGAGGAGCACAACGAGGACACGCTCGACGACAGCGTCTGCGGCCGCCTCGGTTTCTGCGGCTCAGAGGTCGAGGGCTCCTCGGAGGGCAAGGCAAGCGGCGCTCAGTCGCAGTCGCAGGGCAAGAAGTCATCGTCGCAGAGCAACGGTGCCGCTGCGGGCGCTGCTGCTGCTGGTGGTGCCGCTGCCGGTGGTGGTGTGGCTGCCGCGCTCAAGAACAAGAAGGACAAGGTCAAGGACAAGGTGCAGGGCAACGGCAGCGCTGGAAAGGGCGACTCGGTCGGCCAGCAGGAGTCGCAGAGCCGCGCCGTCGAGGAGGAGAAGCCGCAAGAGAGCGCCGAGGAGGAGGAGCCCGAAGAGCAGCAGGAGGACAACGCCGATGCCAAAAAGGGCCAGGAGGGCCAGCAGCAGCAGACTTACACTGGCGCTGCCATGGGCGCGGTTGGTGGTGCCGCTGCTGCTGTCACGGGTGCCGCCGGCGGTACCCTGGCTTACCTCCGCGGCGAAAACAATGGCAACGACCAGCAACAGCAGCAGAAGCAGGCCCAGTCGCCCCAGCAGGAGGAGCAACCCGAAGAAGGGAACTTCGACGAGGACGACGATGCAGACTCCAACTTCAGCGAAGAGTCCATCACGCCCGAGACAGCCGTCACGCCCTCATACATCGGCGACAAGCCGCCCTCGGCATCGCAGGTCAAGCTCAGCGACGAAGAGTGCCGCAAGGATCTGGGCATTGTTCGCGAAGCCATGAGCCTCTTCCTCAACTCGCGCATGCAAGAGGCCGAAGACCTGTGCAAGGAGGGCGCCGACCACCGCCTGTACAAGGCCGAAGGCATGGCCCTCATCAACACGGTCAAGACGGTCATGACCTTTGAGCCGCAGGACTTTGAGACGTCCATCATGTGCTGCAAGCACTCGATGCACATTGCCGGCCTTCTCCGCAAGAAGCAGGGCACCATTGGCAAGATGATTGGCGGCAGCAAGCAGGCCAACTACAAGTCGATGACGCTCGTCCAGCAGCACGCCGAGCTCGTTTACGCCGAGAGCCAGCTCCTCAAGGCTGTTCTTGGTATCTTCTACGCCGGAGACAGCCTGGCCTTTGTCAAGCATGCCTTCAGCCTTCGAAACGGCTATTTTATGGTCCGCGAGCTCTTCAAGTTTGTCGAGTTCTGCGACGGCGAGGCCGAGGAGGCTCAGATCTCGGGCCGTCGTCCAACGGTGTCCGTCGACCAGGACTTCCGATCGGGCGTCTACCTGACCAACGGAATCTGCTCGCTCATCCTCTCGCTCCTGCCTACCAAGGCCCTCAAGATGATGGAGGGCTTTGGTTTCACGGGAGACCGCCGCTTCTCCCTCGATGTCTTTGCCAGGGCCGGCGGCTGGTCCAAGTCGCGCCCCCTGCCCACCATCTCGGCCGACGAGGAGGGTGTTCGCCGCCCCTTGTGCGACATTGCCATGCTTACCTACCACCTCTTCATCTCGTCATACGTGCCCGTCACGGATGTCGACTTTGAGTTTGCCGACAAGGTCCTCAGCTGGAACCTCGTCCGGTTCCCCAACGGCATCTTCTTCCTCTACTACTCGGCCCGCCTCTACGCGGCCCAGGCGCTGCCCGAAAAGGCCATCGAGTACTACCGCAACGCCATCGAGTCGCAGTCGATCTACAAGCAGCTCCACCACCTCTGCTTCTGGGATCTCAGCTTGACCTACCTGGCCACGTGCGACTTTGTGCGAGCCTACGAGTGCTACGACGTCCTGTCGCGCGAGAGCAACTGGAGCAAGGCCATCTACCAGTACGCCAAGGCCGTCATGCTCTACGAGACTGGCATGGACGACCGGGCAAAGAGTGCCACGATCATGCGCACCGTGTCCAAGTTGACCAAGAAGATTGCCGGCCGTCAGATTCCCTTTGAGCGATTCGTCATGCTCAAGGCCAAGAAGTACGTGGCACAGAACAACCGGCTGCCCCTGCCCGGCCTCGAGTTCTCCTACATCTGGCACTGCATGGCCCAGACGCCCGTGTTCCTCCTGGTCGAGAACACGCTGACGCGCATCGACGAGTTCATCGACGAGCTCGAGTCGTACCACGAGCCAAAGGCCTACGGCACGGGCGAGAGCGAGTACTGGAGCGCCTACTGCCTTGCGTTCTTCCTGCGTGGTGTCGCCCTCCGCTTTGTCGCGTACCCCGAACCCCACACCCTGGTTCGTCTGCCGGCCGAGGACTCGATTGGTCCCCTCGAGGAGATTACAGCCGATGCCAAGGCGTCGTTCGCCAAGGTGCTCGAGCACGGCGGCAAGCTCGACGAGGTGGACCGCTACCTCGTCTACTTTGCCCACTACGAGAATGGCCGCCTCCTTGCCTCGATGGGACGCGATGACCTGGCCAAGGCAGAGTTCCGCGCAGTCATGAGCGGCAAGCCTCTGGAGGCCAAGGGCAAGAAGGGCGTCGGATCGGGCAAGGCCTCGTACCTGCTCAGCAACATGTGTCAGGTCCGAACGCACGCTGCCCTCGAGACGATGCGCATCAACAAGAATCGATCGAGGGGTAGCTTCTTCAGCCAGGGAACCGGTTCGTCCTCCTTTGCTGCTGGCTCGTCGATTGGCACCATTTCGAGCCGCCAATCCTACGGCTCGAGCGCTCAGAACTCCAGCAGGAGCTCGGCGACGAGGGCCACGAGCATGAGCAGCCGGTCCACCCGGAGCCCTGCTGGCGAGGCACCCATCAGCGAGAAGCGATCCCGCGCAACCAGCAACGCTGCCACCGACTACTCTGGTTAGATGGCCTGCAAGATTGATTATTCTCTTTGCTTACTACTTCACTGTCATATGTTTTGTTATCCGTTTCCTCTTTTTTCTGTTGCTCTTTTCCCACTCTCGAATGTCTTTCGCAAAGTTATCGCTCTGGCTTCCCAATGTGATGATGTGATCTTTTACGCTCCGCTCCTGTTCACACGTCGGAGAAAGCGGCTTTTCTTTTTCTGAGCCACGCCGCGCCGTCTTTATTGCCTCATGCATGCAAGTCCAGTCAGTCGATGGAGTCTGGGCCCCCGGCCCTTGGCCCTTTCCAAACTCCACGGCCCTTTCTGCAGTCGAGGCATTAAAGAGGTCAAATTGAAGACAGTGCAACAGCGCATATTAGCTTCTACAGAGTGTTGAGAGAGTAGAGAGGTACGAAGAGTGTGTATGCAATGGTAGGAGCAGACTGGAATGGAGCTTTAAGACGCGAAAGGAGTAATCGAAATAGTGATGGTAGCTGGTGGCGGGCCGTGTGCGAAATCGCGGCCACCATGAAAAGCGATTGTTGCTCAGCTCTCTAAATACGGGCTGGCGCGCTTTTGGCGAAGGGAGCGGAAGAAAGGGGGACGTGTCCGGATTGCGGACGTTTTCGGTTCAGTGCCCTGACAGATTATTGAGGGGAGTGTGAAGAGCGAGGATGGGGGGCTGGAAGATGGCGAGAGGACGAGGTATGATGCGTGGGGTATCTCGGGGCATTGAACCTGGGATCCGATGTCGACGAGGGAAGGGGAGGGAGAAGCGGTGGGAGCACTGGCCGGCTCATGTCGTCATAGGATGGCCTCTGTCGTCGAAATGCGACAGGGTCACCACTACTGTAGCCATCTTGCATCAGTGCTTGGCGAGAGATTGTCGAAGGTGAAATGGAAGCAGACCGGTGGGCCATACGTAGAGGAGGAGACCGGGAGGAAGAGGTTGACGAAGAGAAAGGCGGGGAGCGAGACGCCCGAAAATGAGGAAGCTGGTGATGCGGCTGTCGACGAATCGATCGAAAGGGGACCGGATCCTTCGCGGTGCCAGAGTCAGATGGTTTTAGCAGCGGTGGCAATCGTACTGAGCCCTCATCCACATCGGCAGCCGGAAAATAGCGCGGTTCTCCAGCTGCTTTAAGACCGGCGAGCGAATGAAGGTGCCGGGCGGGTGGCGAAGAGTATGACGATGGAACGCCAGATGCAGTGACTTCGGCGTTTCTATGTGGTGGGCTCGGTCTTTCGAAGTGCGAATTCGGTGGGCGATGTGTTGTGAAGGGCGGATAGCTATGAGATTGGGCAGATTCGCTGTGAGAGTCGGTGATGGGACGAGAGTACCGAGCCTCCCCTCCTCCGTACTGAGTCTGGTAAGGCGATGCAAAAGCGCTGCTACCTGTACTTGCACTCTCTTCGCTAGCAAATGCTTCGGATCTTGGAACGGGGTAAGGTCGTATACGATAATCGTGAAGCATGGAAGAAGACTGCTCATGGCTGCCTGACGTTGAGGCTGCTTGCGCCTGGTTTTGCGTCCTTCGTGCTCGCGGCTTGATGACGTCTGTCTTCAGGCTGACGGGCCGGGGTCGACCTTTTACCTTGACGAAGAGCCCACAAGCGTTACCTTTGGCAGGGAAAAGAAGGATGAGACGAAAGCACAAACGAAGGATGTCCCTAGCTGAAACACTTACACAAAAGACCGCCTTTACCGTCTCGCCGCCAAAGCGGCGTCGCTGTCGTCTGACAGTTGCTACAGATTGGTGTGCTCGATTGGCTGGAACGTCCAGTCGTGGAAGACGATGATGCTGCTGCTGAGAAAGACTGAGTGCCGGAATTTGCTGTTGTAGAGGGAGGTCGCGAGCCATGCAAGTGACGGGGATGCTCATAAGTTGTTTGTCGATCGTCAATGTTGTAGTTCGGACGGCTTTCGTACGGATACGCCATTGCTCGAGGGTGGCTTGAATTCCAATGATGTTCCGCTCTGTCCTCGATATTGGGGTAAGCGACGCTCGCACTCCGCTCGCCATCATCTCGTCGAGAAGGTAAAGAATAACGTGAGTTTGTCGGCCTCGGTGTGGAAACGAGGGGCGGCATGTATGCCAAGTGCCTGTTCGGCCCACTGTCGAGGTTGGGTCCAGAGTACGGGTGAACCGCCGTCCTCATTGTGGACTCCTGGGGTCGCGGTGGTTGCGAACGCTGCGGTAATTGCGCAAGAGGAGAAGACGAGCGAAACCCCCGCTGTTCGCCGTAGTGATACCGTCTGTGGTCCTCGTATTCAGGTCGAGCAGAAGGGCGCTGATGTGGTGACTCGTCAGATGGGTCTGTATTGGGTGAGCCCATAGCCAGCCCTCAAATCGACCCGTTGAGCGCCTCTCAGACCGGCAGCGAAAACCTCAAGAGTGCAGTGCCCGAAAGTGTCATACAGGCCTCTGTTGGTTGCAGCTGATTTGACGGTGGGAGAATTAGTCGTCGCCGTCGTCTTGACTCTGCGTCGAGGTCCTAGGTCCTAGAAAGCGAGAATCCAGTCAGCCTCGGATCTCACTCGTAGTGATGTAGAAGAAAAGGAGCGGACCTCAGAGAAGGGGCCTTAAGAATAATTCCAAGTGCGACCTAGCGGGGAGGCTGAAGCATTGTTGAAGTTGCAATCAGCCCAGCCGGCTTGACCGGTGCTGCGCAGCAGCAAAATTGAAGCCGGGGAAGGCGTCGCCTCACTCGGCACGCATGTCCCCACGCCCGAGACGAGTAGACGTGGAGCCGCGCAACAGAAAATCTAGGAACTCCGGCTGCACCACGACGGAGCTTGCACCCACCTTGAGCAGCTATGCGTGTTCTTGGACACGAGTAGTGTTGGAGTGGAGAAAGGGGGATGAGATGGAGCGAGATGGGTGGGCAAAGAATGTAGGAAGAAGTTGGGGACCGATTTGATACCTGAGACCTGACATTCTAGTCTAGTAATGCAGCCGCGCGACCGTGAGAGAGAAGATGGGCGCGGAAAGCAGTTTCCGACCGATAAGACGAGATCCGCGCCCTCTGGAACATATGCGCTCCCATTCACGCCGAACTTACTTCGCATCGGGCAACAGCGCGGGCACGGAAGCGCCAGCAAGGACGGGGCCTGAACCCAACCTGCCTTGAGAATGAAAACAATCTATGTTGTTCCGTTGCCTCACAATACCTCGGCCAGGAACTGAACGAGCCAAGCGCAAAGTGCAGTGGGTGATAGATGCGAGGGAGACTATTGTGATTAAGACTAGATTCCCATACATTGAAAGATCAATCTCAGCAGGATGGGAGGTGCTCCCGAACAGCTCGCAAGCTAATCTCTATTAACAATTTCATCCCTTGGTTCGGTCATTCTGCCTTAGCGGAGAATGCCGTTGCATGTTCACCCTTCGAAAGACTCCAAATTGCCTTTTCGGACTCCGTGAAATGAAATTTTTTCTGCTTTAGTAGCGCGCGTCCGCACGACCAAGGAAAAGCTCAATTCAAATTGGCGCACTCTTGCTGGGCAATCAGAATCCTCGGCACAGGGAATCTTGGGGGTTCAACATGTCGCACTAAGCTCCAATCAGCCAATGAGATCCTATCGTTCAGGCTGTGGGAGCGAAGTCAGAGGCACTAGGGTGGTCTAGATGGCACCCAGCGTACATCGATCTATTTTCAACAATGTAAACAGTAACAGTATTGCTAACTCTTGTGCACTACTGCCTCCATCACCACAGAATTACAGTTCCCATGTCATGCAGGGAAGTCAGTTACCCGGGTATCCCGCTGTACGAGGGCCAGTGCTGACGAATCTGACAAAGTTTATCTAATCATGATCCATCCTCGGGTGTGATTGTCTCCGAAGCTAAAAACCAGGCTAGTGCATCGAAATTGCCTCCTGAAAAGTCCCAGATAGAGGGGCACGTGGTATAGACGTTGTCGTCTTCGTTGCAAGATAGACGAGATGCAGGCTTCGTCCTTAGGTGACGTTGCCGGTGCGCAGCGCACAAAGGGGAGAGAGCGGTGGTAGACGAGGTGGTAGCAACTATAGGCGGCATTGGAGGCGCCCAGGGAGTCGCGGTGCGTGATCGCGTGGTAGAACTCGCACTGCTTTGTCCGGTAGGCGGGCCAATCTGAGGAGGTCCAGGTAGACAGTTGAGAATTCATCGTTCGGCGGTAGCCACGTGATCGCGTCCGGCGATCACGATGGAGCGTACGATCAATGAGGAGGTACTGGATCATCTGCAAATCCTCAACGGAGTGCCGGAGCGTTAGCGAAGGCCTCCGGCTGGGACTGTGTAGTACGCCCGAACTGCCTGATCCGTCTCAAAGGGAGATAATCCCTCCGGCGACGTCGATCGCGGAGCGATCGGCGTCATCGCCGACAGCCGGCGCGCGAACAGCGCCCGACAATCTATGCTCTCTCAGACGAAGCTAACTCGAGGGCGATGTCAATAGGATTGAAGTGATAGCTAGATGCAGAAGAAGGATGTACATCAAAGACGAGCCTTCGGCTCGTCGGGGAAAGAACACACGCGGTCCAAGGCTGCTCCGACGACGACAATTTCCTACTATTTTGCCGCGCGACTTTGCCAACTGTTTTAGTTCACAACCATGCTATCTCGCTTCGGTGCACAACAGCTTGACAACCGGGATCTCTCATAACCACCTGAACTGGAGCCTGTGCTAGATAGAGGTAGGGTGGGGCTCGAGTAGCCCAGGACTGAAGCAGAGCAAAAAAGAAAGCAGTTAGAGAGAAAAAGGGGAGAGAAGAGGGCATTTTATAATTCCAGCTGCTGTCTATTTAGCTGCTGTCAAAGCGGAAGGCTGACCCGACGTTGGCGCCTTGAGCAGGCTCCGACCGAGCCGAGAGCTATGATTTTTTCTCCAAATCGGGCGCACACATTATCACTCGCATTGCGAGACGGACGAGAGCCAGGCGTCATTCTTAGGTGAGGATGCTGGCATCACGGAAGCCGGACGCATTCAAGGGGAGGAGTTGACCTGAGATCAACACTTTGGAAGAATTGCCAAAACAGTTTTTAGACTAATCTGCTTTCAGGGGTCACGCCCTCAAAGGGTGGAGACTGCTAGTCATGGAGTAGTGAAAGGAAAGCAAAGGACAGGAAAGGGAGAGCATTCTTAGTCTCCACCATGAGAGGGGTGTTGGTGTACGGGTAAGGAAAACGTGAGGCTGCACTTGTCGTCTTCAGCATACTTGCCGTCGTTGCCAGCGACAATTTCCACTGTTGGGAAGAGATCGTCGATAGACAAGGTCTCTAGATACACCTTCGTAGATTCGACCTGGTCCAGAGACACGTTGAAAAAGATCAATTCTGTCTTCCCACGGGGTCTGGTCTTCCATTGTCGCTTTATCAGCCAATCCTTCTTTTCGTGGACAGTGACATCGTCGCCCCGAAAGCCGTCCGCTAACCTTTTGACGAGCTCCCAGTTGATCTTGACTGCGTATTCTTTCATGTCAACGTTCTTGCTTCCCACTTCGACCTTTGTCGGCAGTAGCAAATTCCCGGATGCAGTCTTGTGTCTCTGTTCTGAGAAAGTGCGGAAAAGTGAAGGCCTTAAGTGCTTACGCGGCGAGACAGGAAGACTCGAGGAAGCCGAGGAGGAGGGAATTTCTTCTGGCCAGCATCCTTCAGGCACGTAACGAACGATTTCGATCTGTCCCGAAGTGTTCTTCTCTCTGGAGAGAACCTTTGCTTCAAGCCAGCCGCAGATTTGACGTTCTTCGAAGATGAGATCGAGTTTCTGAACCTGTCTATCAACATCGTCTACGCTGGTAAGAATCAAACTCGAAATGTCGTCTCCAGACTTTGCCAATGGGGAACCAAGCCTTTGATCGATGCGCTCCATGGTTTTTATATAGCCTGCACGATCACGACCGTCAAGTATCATGAGAGGATGGAAGACAGACCATTCGACTGTCTTTCGGACGATGCCACCACCATCATTGTCAGCCCTTTTGAAAAAAGTTTCAGCCGTACGAGCATACCGATCGTGGCTGCCTCTTCCTTGCAAGCCATTGAAGCTGACAGCCGAGACTTGGAACCCTCTCGAATTTAAGTCGCTCGAAGGAATTTCCTTAGTCCGGTCGAACAAAACTTGCTCGTTGGAACCCTTGGATTCCTCATCGTTTTTGCTGATGCCCCTCTTTTCAAAGCCGGTGTGCACTATTGGGTTAGCCATTCCCTCGTCCCGGATCGCAAAACGCTCTGATTGCTCCAACCTGCCACTCTTTTCGTCTGTGCGATCCTGGCGATCATTGCTTAGCTGGCTTCTTTTGCTGACTTCTTGTAGGTTGAAGGGTTTGGACTGGGAGTTGCTGGCCAGCAGCACAACCAGCCATGCGCCAAGGGCAGCAGTGAGGAAGGCTCTCATCCCGGAGGTCGCGTCTTTCCAATGAGCTCGCTTCTTCAGAGGAGGAGAAGGCACGTTGGAAAGAATTAAGAAGTGGGAGAAGGGAGAGAAAAGAGGAACAGGAGGTGACTTTTTGAGGAGCTTGGATAGAGCAGCCCTACGCTGGCGCCTTGAGCTGACTCAGACCGAGCCGAAACCGACGCTTTCTCTCCCAATGGGGCGTGCACATTGTCATTGGCGTTGCAAGACGGACGAAAGTCAGGCGTCAATTTCATGTGAGGATAATGGCGTCATGGAGGACAAGGGAGTAAGAGAGTAAAGGAGGAAAGGGGCACCACGCCGAAGCACCGCACGACAGAGCTCAGCTGTGCAGTCGGGCCTTGCCTTGAGGTGGAAAGACGAGAGTATATCTGATGTTGTTGCTACCCATGAATTATTAGAACATTAATAACATTGTGGTGCCTTGAAGAAGAGGGTGAGCGCTAGATTCGACCTCTAGGGGCAGTAGAAGATGTGGTAATACTGAAAACAAAGAGAAAGGGCTAGCTTGCTTTGCTCTGCGCTTTCAGAGCGTGCCAATTCTCGTCCATGATCGATGCCTTAAATCATGACCGACTTATGAGTTAAGGGTCGCTGTGTCGAAGCCTGCAGATGCTTTAGAAGGAGCGCTTGAAGCTGCTCGTTGCAATCATCCTTCATCAATATATTTGTGCGCATTTCTTGTTGTCGTTCGAGAGCGACCGTGATTTGACGAACGATATGGTCCCATTCTCCCTCCGGTGCTTTCACTTCGATCTTTCTCAAAGTGGGCCGATCTTACTTGGAGAGGGACAGAGATGAAGAAGGCTAAATCTACTGTATGTCGAAAAAGTATTGGAGGGGTTGCTACCCAACAAATGGTTTTCGTTTTCGTTTTCAAAGCTCACACCCTGACCGCTTGAGACCAACGCTACTCTTCGGTAGAACCATGAAAAGGAGATGATTACATAAGGGAATGAACATTAGCAATATGCAACAAGGGAAAGCAGGAGCCGTTCTCTCCTATTTCCACAAGCGGACTCCATCATCTTCCCGGTGGAGGCTGAGACGACACTTGTCGCTCTCATCGTTCTCGTCAGGCAACACTTGCACCTCTGGTTTTGCATTGAACGGACCCCACCTCGTGTCAATGAAGCGACGCACACGCGCTTCCTTGTTTAAAGGCACATTGAAGAATACTAGCTCTGTATTCCCTTCCGGACGGCTGTACCACTGCTCACGTATTATCCACGGATGTTTGGCGAATTCCTCATCATCTCTTGGCCAGCTGAGGAGCACCCAGTTGAACTTGACCACTTTTGCAGCATCAACGTCATTGTTCACTTGGTCGGCTGGCGAAGAGGTGGTCCCGGGCAGATTTCTTCGTCTTTTAGCGCGGCGGAAGATCGGCCAGCCTCCCTCAGGCTCGTATCGAAGGACTCTGATCAGTTTCAAAGTGTCCTCATCGCTTAAGACTTGGGCTTTGAGCCAGCCGCAGAGGGGCCGGCCCCGGAAGGCAGAGTTGAGTTGCTTAGCATGTACTTTGATTTCATCTTGTGGTACTCCGATAAAAATCATGCCGGAAAAGTGGTCTCCAGGCCCCGATGACAGAGGACCAAGCATTTCATCGATGAGTTCGTATGTGTCTTTATCACTGTCCCAATGGCGCTCTCTTGTTGCTGCAATCTGTTCTCGGTGGTTCAGAAGCTCTTGAAGGTGAGACCATGTCTGTGTGAGTTCCACGGTGCCAACGCGCTCGCTGTCAGTTTCCTCTCTCTTAAAGAAGGAGTCGCTTGTGTCAGCACGCTGATCGCTGCCGCTTGTCTTGCGCATGGTTCTTGGTGTGCCGGAAAATTCGCGCTTCTTTTCTTCCACCCTTTCGAGCTGGATAAGATCGTCGTATTGGGTCTTACTTCCATAGCTATCGTCGTCGAAGCTCCTCCGGCCTACTTCCTGGACAAAGGACTGAAGAGAAGATGGAGCTGGATGCATGCAGCCATTTTGGCCTAAGTCGAGGGGTTTATTCTGGCAGCTACTGGCCAGCAGTAGGAGCGAGAACCACACACTCAGGACAACCATAAGAAGAGAATGGGAATGCATGTCGAGGAGTCGTGTCTGTGAAGCGTATTTCTGTAGCGAAGGGTTTCTGGAGAGACTTCTAATTGGAGGGGAGGAAAGGAGATGTACTGTACAGAGAACCGGACTTGTTAGATAGGATAGGCGGCGCAGAGTAAAGCCTGGCCGAGTAGTCAGTTGAGGATGTGGGAGAGCTGAACTCCGGACGTCCGAGTGTTGAAAATATGTGTTTGTGTACGACCGAGGGGAAGAGTCAGCAAGAGGATGACTTGCTTTTCGCGGCGTCGTCGCCCGGACGATGCGCCTATGACTCCCCGTCCCTTTTACTCCTGACAGTCTTGCTGGTCACAAAAGGAACAGCCCACGCGGGCAGGACTCTATGCTTTCGCAACGGTCTTCTCAAATATAGAAGAGCAAGCGCTTTGTTGAAGCACCGCGAATCCAGGAACCTCGGTGTCAAGCATTTCGGGCAATTGACCTTATACACGTGGCGCCAGTGTTTGCGTCGCTTTCTCTTCACCGTTTCCCTATGCTTCTGTACTTCCTCCTTCTTCACTGCTGTAACGATTCTTTTCATCTACCGCTCTCACCCATCACAGTACGCCAAGCCACCCAGAAATTATCAAATACCCTGATGAAGGGGAAGACAAGAATGAAAAATGACTTTATTTCTACCACTCAAGCTTTGGTACAATCTTTAGCGTCGTGCCATGATCACCAAAGACTGGCACATCATTTTTGAAGAAGTAGAGAAGACAAGATACTATCGGGAAGCAGACCGCATGATATATCAAAAGGGAAGCGTGCCCTGTTCTCTCAGCTAACATCGTATCCAGTCATCCTGTCGGTGGAGCCTGAGGCGCGACTTCTTGTTCTCGTCGATCGACACGAGCACCTCCGGTGTGGGACTTGGTGTGAGACCGATGGGCCACGTCCTGTCAATGAACGTGAGCGCTCGATTGCCCTCGTCCGGGGGCACGTTGAAGAAAATCAAGTCTACGTTGCCTTTCGGACGGCTGTACCACTGATCTTTTATTATCCACGAAATTTCCGCAGGTTGCCCGTCATTGGGCCAGCCGAGGTGCTCCCAGTTGAACTTGACTGCTTTTTCCGTACTATCATGGCTTGTGCTGTCCATAATGGGGGCTGACGAACAGGACCTCTGTCCGGTCGTTAGTATCCGACCCTTTACGCGATTGCGTGCTCCCCCGGGCTCTGGCCAGGCTCCCTCAGGCACGTATCGAACAATTTTGACGACTCCCATTCCATCCTTAGTGACTTGACGGCAACTGGCCTTCGAGGTGGCTCGGATCGTGGGGATAGGTCTGGCTTTACAGGTGGGTCTGGCTTTGGAGGTGGGTCTGGCTTTGCAGATGGGCCTGGCTTTGGAGGTAGCTCTGCCTTTGGAGGTGGCTCTGCCCTTGGGAAGGACCTCAGCTTTAAGCCAGCCGCACAACCGCCGATCCTCGAGCTCGGTCTTCAAGTTATTAACCCATTCATCGATACCCTTCAATGGTACATGAATGAGGAACATAGTTGATAAATCGTCTCCCTCTCTCGTCCGAGGAGGACCAAGCCTCTGGTCAATAAGCTCCTGAATCCTTATCGGACTATGCCCTCTGTTTTCGTTCAGCAATCTCAAGGTCCGCAGGAAATCCTGCCACTTCTCAATTACTTTGACGGTCATCTTCATGTCGCCGCCTTCGCTGTTACGGAGTTCGGGAAGTGCGTCGATCATTTCAACATCGTCTTCGCCGCTACCTCTCTTGCGCAAGTCACTTGGTCGAACGGAAAAGTTCTGTTCAATTCTGTCCTCCCGACTGAGCTGCAAAGCGTCATCGGCCTGCGTATCGCTGCAATGAGTATCGTCTTGGATGTTCCGCCTGCCGAGATTGCTATAAAAGCTTTGTGGAAAAGATGGAGCAGGAGGTATGTGGTCCCCCTGACTTATTTCGAGGGGTATGGCCATGCATTTGCTGGCCAGCATTAGTAACGAGGTCCACATAACCAGGGCGACCAGGTGGAGAGGACAAGCCCGCATGGTGTGGACTGTGTCGATGAGGAAATGTACCCCTATGTCGAAGAAGGATTGTGGGACGGCAACTGGGGAAAGGTACAGAGAAGTAGGCTGGTTAGATAGGACAGGCGTCGCTGAGTAGAGTGATGATGTAGCACAGCTGCAGCCCCGACGTCCGAGGGCTGAAGTTTGTGTATGTAGGCAACCGATGGAAAGAGCCTGTAATACGATGACAGACTTACAGGGGCGTCGTCCGGATGAGACACCCCTGACTCCCCGTCCCTTTCATTCCTGACAGTCTTGCTGGTCACCAAAGAAATATACCCGTCGCATGCTCTACCCTGATGAAGTGAAATATTTCTTTTTCGAGGAGTTCAAAGGAGAAGAAAGCGCTGCGTTGCAGCATCGTGAGGGGGAACGAACAAGGCAATTGTGAGCTTAGGATCAACCATGCAGAGCTTTTAAAGCTTCACATCTGACGCCAGCATTCGCTCCGCCTACTGTTCCACCCATTTTTAATTTGACCTTCTGTACCTACTCCTTGTTGCCTGCTGTGGCGCATCTCATCCTTTCAAGCACACTTTGCGACAAATTCATCTCGTCACGACGTGTTGCATCACGCAAAGCCCATTGTTTAGTCTAACAAAGGAAAAGACGAGAATGGAACTTGGTGTTATCTCTACCCGTCCATTCTCGATACTTCCTGTTGTGTGTAGCGCCATGAAAACCTGAGACTGGCGCTTTATAAGTGAAGAAAAGGGAATGGAGGAGAGATAGCAATGAATTCAGAGAATAGTATTGAGTAGGGGTGTAAGCATGCCTTATCCACGGCGGTGGTCGGGAATTTCACGGTAGAACCAGAGACGATGCGTGTTCTTCTCGTCTGAATCCTTGTGGGGTAATACCTTCACCTCTACCTCCGAACCGTCGCCGAATGAGTGGTCAAGAAAGTGTGTCGTTCGCTTGACTTTGCCCGAAGGTACATTGAAGAAGATCAATCCTGTCTTTCCTTTTGGACGAACTTCCCATTGATTGCGGATATATTGTCTCTTCTTCTGCAATTCAAGAATTCCCACACCCTTCATTGGCCAATCGAGGCGCTTCCAATTGTACTTGACAGCGTTTGCTTCCCTGTCATTGTCTGTATCTTCTGTCTGGACGATTGGCGAAGATGTGCTTCTAGTAGTGACTTTTTGTCTTTTAAGGCGATCGGAGGTCTCTTTTGCCTCTGGCCAGCCTCCCTCAGGCACATACCGAAGGATCTCTATTCGTCCCAAGCAGTCTTCTTCAGAAATAGCTTTGATTTTGGACCATCCGCAGACAAGGCGGCCCAGAAGGATGGCATGAAGATCCTTAACGTGGTTTGTAACCTCGCTGAGTGGTACCTTCGTAAGAATCAGGCGCGATAAGTCTTCTCCAGCCTCCGTCGATGGATTACCAAGCATCTGGTCGATGAGTCTGTTGGTCTCTTCCCCGGGTGCCCAATAACCATGGAGGTTCTTGTCAATGGCTTTTTTGCGTTGCTCCAGAGCTTTCTGGAAATTAGGCCATTCCTCTGTGACTTCCCTTACGCTTTTGCCATAGCTGCCGCCGGTTTCATTAGCGTCATTGTCGTCATTTATGTCAGTGGAGCCGTCGCTATCGCTGTCGCTGGTTTCATTAGCGCCGCTCTCATGGCCAACTTCTGCAGAGCCGTCGCTGTCAAGGTCCCTATTACCCCTTTTGAGAAATCTGTCGGTGAGCTTAGCAACATGATCGCTGCTGCTGCTCTTGCGCTTGTCACGTGGACGGATGGAGAAGTCATGGTCATCTCTGTCCATCCGTTGGATCGGGAAAGGGAGAGTCGGAGGAGAAGGCGTGTCACGAATCTCTGCTAGGTCGAAGGGTGTTGCCTTCCAATTACTGGGCATCAGTAGAAGCGAGGTCCAAATATTCAGGACGACAATGAGGAGAAGACGGGCACGCATGATGAGTAGTCGTATCCGTGAAGAAACGCACACCTTCGTCGAAGAAGGATTGGAGAAATTTTTCCCTTGAGATGAAGAGAAGAGGGAAATCTTGCAGAAAAGTGAGCTGGTAAAATAAGGCAAGGGTCGCAGAGCGATGCTCGGCTGAGTAAATCGATGGTGTGAGGGTAACTGAAGCACGGACGTCCCAGGGCGATGTTTTCGTGTTTGAAGGCGGTGAAAGGATGACACAGGGTAAAGAGCACCTTATTGAGAACAGGCGTCGCTCTACAAGGCCCTGCTTACTTAAATTTCGAGCCAGATTGCGTGCTTCGGACGTCCGGAGGTTGCAGAGACTGCAGTTGTCGTTGACAAATGGGACTTCAGAAGTAAACATGGGATTTAGGGCGGTGTGGACGCCCGGCGCCCTCGGCCCTTTACAGGGAAAAACGAAGTCACGGGCGACTCCTGCGGGCGATGACGTCACGGAGAATGAGTTTTCTTTTCTCTTTGTCGCAGAATACATCCTGATGGCCCTAGTTCGCCCAGCCGACAGCTTCTTCACACCCTTGCTCTTGACGGTCCTGCTGGACGAAGAGAATGGTTTCAGAGAAGTCGGGCCATGTTCTTCTTACGAAGTGGCTTTTCATAGAGACTAGAAAATACTAAGCGTTGTGCCAAGTCAATGCACAGAAACGCCAAAGCATCTGTGGAGCTTTGTGTCAGCGCATGCTGGGCTCTGAGATCTTCGCACACAACGCCATAATTTGTGTCTCCTGCTATTCATCTCTTTCTTGGGCTTCTGTACTTGCTCCTCAGTCACTGCTGCGGCGACGTTGGCTCTTCCACCTCTTCTTCACTACACGCCTTCACCTGGTCTACAGTTCATGCAGGATACATTCGAACCGCCGTGACACGCAGGTTCTATCACTTTGTCTGGAGAAGAAAAATCGTTGTCATTGCCTCCCATCGATTGAAAGCCCTGAGACCAGCGCTCCTCTTAGTGGGAAATTCAAAGAAATGATGCGAATCAGGCAAAACAGAGACTTGCAGTGTGGGCAACAAGGTAAATTGATTCACTTTAGCGTCAATATGAGCGCAAGCGGAGCCTAAGACGACACTTGCCCTTCTTGTTGGAGGACAAAACGTCTACCTCTGGTTTTGAATGGTCGAAGAATCCCGAGTCAATGAAGTCAATTACACGCTCTTTCTGATCCAGAGGCACGTTGAAAAAGATCAAATCCGTGTTCACTTCCGGACGGCTGTTCCACTGTTCCTTTATGAGCCACGGTCTGGGGGGCTTGTCCTTATCGGATGGCCAGCCAAGGTGCTCAAAGTTGAATTTGACCAGCTTTTGCTTGTGGTCCACATTGACGGCTAGCGAAGAGGAGGAGCTTCCGGTCGTCTGACCCTCAAAGAGATTGTGAGTCTCATTTGGCTCTGGCCATGCTCCCTCAGGGACGTATCGAAGGATGCTAATTGTTCCTATGCTGTCCTCATTGGAGATAGCTTGGGCCTTAGCCCATCCGCAGTCTTGCCAGCGTGTAAAGACGTTATTGAGCTTCTTCACTTCTCTGCCGACCTTCTCGAGTGGTACTTTGATAAGAATCAGGCGCGAAAAGTCGTCTCCAGCCTCCGCCGATGGAGGGCCGAGCATCTCATTGACGAGTTTTCTGATCTCTTTTGGAAGACTCCAAGAGAGGTTTGGATCTTTGTGTCTGATTTCGCGTTGCTTCAGAATCATCTCGAATCGAATCCATTTCTGTGTGACTTCTCTACGGACGTCGCCAGCTTTTTTGACGCTTTCACCATCGCTGTCACTGGCTTCTTCAGCATCATTACTATTGTTATCTTCTTTGGCGCTGTCGCTGGATTTTCTAGCGGGTTTGCCATCGCTGATTCTTTCAGCATCATCGCTGTTGCTGAGGTTTCTAGCGCGTTTGCCAGCGCTGACCATTTCAGCATCGTCGCTGTCGCTAACACCGTCTCCCCTCTTGAAGAAAGCGTAGTTGACGCCACTTTCCTGATCGTTGCTTCCTCTCTTGCGCATGTCAGTTCGTCGGACTGAGAATTCCTGGTCATTTCTGTCCAGCCAACGGAACTGGAAAGCGAGAGATGGAGCAGGAGGCTTTTCGCCACTCTCTGTTAAGTCGATGGCTGTCGCCTTGAAATTACTAGCCAGCAGTAATAAAAAGGTCCACATACTCAGGGCGAACACGATACGAAGACGAGCACGCATGTTGAGGAGATATGTCTGTGAGGAAAAGCGCACCTGTTTCGAACAAGAGAGATTTCTGCTTTGAGAAAAAGGGAAGAGAGGAAAAGTACAGGAAGTGGGTCTGTTAAATAAGGCAAGCTTCGCAGAGCAACGCTCAGCTGAAAGTCACACTTCCCGGAGCTGAGAGTTCGAATTTGAAGGCGGTGAAAGGACGACACACTTTCCGTGGCGTCACCGCCATCACGAGGCGCCCGTGACTTACTGACCTCCTTCATCAGGGTCGAGGGCGCGGAGCGTCTGCGACACCCCGAATCCCCTGTTATTTCCTGAGCCCTATTTGTCTACGGCACCTGTTGTCACTCGACCCCAGGACAACCGTTTTTACAGCAACAAAACCTCAGCCACAGGCGTCTGAAGCACGCAACTCGGCACGAAACTTAGAGATAAGCTAGGTGTTGTAGAGCGCCGCCTGCCCCAAAGAATGAGCTCTTTTCCCTGTACTTTCTCTTTTCATCTCGTCACCCAAGAGTTCACCCATTTAACCCCGTTCGCTCAGGCGACAGCTTCCTCACACCCGTTCTCTAAAACTTCCTGCTGAGAAGAGGAGAACGATTCAAGAAAAGCGAGCCCCTAACCTAATAAGGTAGTCAAAAAACGAAGAGAGGTGCCAAGGCACTGCACGGGTTTGACAAAGCGATTGCAGAGCTTGAAATTAAGCATGATGAGCTTCAGGACTTTCACACATGACGCCAGCATATGTGTCTACCGCTCTTCATCTGTATCTTTGGCTTTTGTACCTACTCTTCCGTCACTGCTGCGGCGTACCTCAACGCTACACCATTCCTTCCTAATACGCTTTTCTCCGGTCTACATTCCGCGTGAGGAGGACGACACGCCCTACCACGCACATCCTATCGCTTCTTTGAAGAGGAAGGAAATGGAGGTCATTGATGCCAATAGACTCTCATTTCAGCTCTCAAAGGTTGCGCCCTGAACTCTTCTGATCCTCATATTAAGTAGATGGATTGGTCGTGGAAGCAGAGTATAGCATTTTGAGCATCGAAGGAAAGGATAAGCCTTTTTCACCTAGTACACGAAGCGGAATTCATCCTTTCCGCTAAGCCTGAGAAGACACATGCCCTCCTTCTCGGAGTAAAGTTCTTCAACCTCTGGGATGTCATTGCTGCCCCACTTCTCGGTGATGAGCGTACGCACACGCGCTGCCTGACCCTTAGGCACGTTGAAAAAGATCAGATCCGTGTCCCCTTCCGGACGGCTTAGCCACTGCCCCTTTATAAGCCACGGTGTGAGCTCCACCTTCTCATCGGATGACCAGCCAAGTCGCTCAAAGTTAAATTTGACTTCTTTTGGCCCTTTGACGACATTAGCGGCTTGCGAAGAGGAGGAGCTTTCGGGCGTAGTCTTCCTCCTTTTTCTTTTTCTGGAGGTGGTCTCGTTTGTGTCTTGCCCGGTGGTCTTGGATGCGTCTCGCCAGCCTCCCTCAGGCACGTACCGAAGGACGCTAATTTGCCATTTCCTTCCAGTGCGAATGGCTCTGGCTTTGGCCCAGCCGCAGATATACCGGTTCGCAAAGGCGTTTTCGAACTTCTTGAGCTCTTCTTTGACCACCTTAGGTGGTACATTGGTAAAATTTAGGCGCGAAAAGTCGTCTCCAATGCTCGTCGATGGAGGACCGAGCAGCTTATCCACGTACTTGTTGATCTCATTTGAAAGTCGCCAGTTCCTTCTCTTGAGCTGATTGCTTCGGCGGTGCTCCAGAACCTTCTTGAAATGAGTCCAATTCTTTGTGACTTCTTTACGGACTTCGACGACTTCTTTAAAGACGTCGTCATGATTAACGCTGGCTGCTGTTGCGTCGTTGCGATCGCTGGCTCCTTCAACGCTGTCGCTGGCTTTTCTAGCGTCCTCGCTGGCACTGATCTCTTCAGCGACGTGGCCGTCGCTATGACCGTCTCCCCTCTTGAAGAAGGTGTAGTCCATATGAGCACGCTGGTCGCTGCTGCTTCTCTTGGATATAGCAATAGGTCGACTGGAAAGGGCCTGGCCGAAATGGTCATCATTCTGTGCCTTGCTGCCATGAAGATCGTGATCGATGTTCCTCCTGCCAAATTCGCTGGAAGGGGGCTCCAGAAAGAAGGGAGCAAGACGTGTGCGCCCATTCTGGCCTAGGTGGAGCGGCGTGGCCTGGCAGCTACTGGCCAGCAGTAGCAGCGAATTGAGCATACTCAGGGCGACCACGAGGAGAAGACGGGCACGCATGATGAACAGTCGTGTCTGTAAAAAAAAGCGCACCTGTGTCAAGGAAGTACGGAGAAATTTCTGCTTTGAGATGAAGAGAAGAGGGGAAGTTTAATAGAAAAGTGAGCTGGTTATATAGGACAGGCATCGCAGAGCAACGCTTGTCCGAATGAATCGATGTTGTGGAATAGCTGAAGCCCGGACGCCAAAGGACTGAAATTTTGTGTCTGAAGGCGGTGAAAAGATGACATACAGTACTTACGTGGCGCCACCACCAGTACGAGGCTCCCATGACTTACCGTTCTCCTTCATCAGGGTCGAGGGCGCGGAGCGTCTGCAACGCCCCAATACCCTGTTTATTTCCTGTTTTCTGTTTATTTACGGCACCTGCTACCACTCGGCCCCCGGACGTCCGGCTTTACAGCAACGAAACTTCAGCCCCGGGCTTCTGAGGCACGCAATCTGGCACGAATTCCAGAGATAAGCTGTGTGATGTAGAGGGTCGCCTCCTCTAAAAAAAACGAGCCCTTTTCCTGTACTTTCTCTTTTCCCCTCGTGTCTCAGAAGTCGTCTTGATAGCCCTCGTTTGCTCAGGCAACAGCTTCCTCACACGCTTGCTTTGACAGTCCTGCTGGACAAAGGAGAATAGCTTTACAAAAGTAGGGCCATGTTCCTCTTACGAAGTGGTCTTTTCGAAGAAACTAAAAGAAAAAAAATGCGCTGTGCCAAGGCACACTGTACGGGGGCGACAAAGCAAATGTGGGAGTGTAATATCAAGCACGAGGAGCTCTACGACCCTCACACATGTCGCCAGCATTTGTGTCTAACGTTCTTCATCTCTTTCTTTCGCTTCTGTACTTACTCCTCCGTCACAACTGCGGTGATCTTCATCATTCCACCCAATTTTTATACGCCTTTTCTCACTCTTCGTTTCGCGTGAGGACAAACAACACGCCTTGTCACGCACAGCTTATCACGGGTGAAACTTTCTTCTTAGGAGCGAATTGGCGTCGTTACTGCCAATCAAGTCTCGTTTCAATAATCCCTTGAGCTCTCTTATACCTCATACAATTAGCTGATTTGGCAGTGGAAGCGGAGTGTAGCAGTTTGAGCAAGGAAAGAAAGCAAAAGCCTTTTTGACCTATCAATAGTACACGTAGCGGGCTTCATCCTTTCCGCGGAGCCTGAGACTACACTTGTCCTTCGTTCCGCCGAACAAAAATTTCATGTGTGGGACTTTACCGCCGTCCCAGGACTGCTTGGTGATGAGGTCTCGCACACGCTTTGCCCGATGCACAGGCACGTTGAAAAAGATCAGATCCGTGAACCCTTCCGGACGGCTGAGCCACTGCTCCGTTACTAGCGACGGCCTGGGAGACACTTGCTCATCAGATGGCCATTCAAGGCGTTCAAAATTGAACTTGACTCCTTTGGTTCTTGGACCACACTGGCGGCTAGCGAAGAGGAGGAGCTTTCGGGCGCAGCCCTCTGCCTTTCGGTGGGGGTCTTGTATGGGTTTCGCCAGCCCCCCTCAGGCACGTACCGAACGACGCTGATTTGCCATTGGCCTTCAATGAAATCGGTGTCGCTTGTGGCCCAGCCGCAGATTATCCGGCATTTGAAGGCGTCTTCGAAGTTCTTCTGCCCTTTATTGACCTCCTCGAATGGCACATTGGTGAAATTCAGGCGAGAGAGGTCGTCTCCATTCATCGTGGATGGAGGCCCAAGCATTTGATCCACGAATTTGTTGATCTCTCTGAACTCATCCCAAAGACCATCTTTGTTACTATCATGTCCGCTTTCGCGGTACGCCAGAACCATCTTGAAACGAGCCCAATCCTCTGTGACTTCCTTATAATTGTCGCCAGCTCCTTTAAATCTGTCGCCATGGCTACTGCTGGCTTTTTGAGCGACTTTGCCGGCACTGACTTTTTCAGCATCGTAGAACCATCTATCACTGTCTCCCTTCTTTAAGAAAGCGAAGTCCGTGTCAGCCTCCGGGTCGCTACTGCCTCTCTGGCGCTTGGAACTTGGTCGGACGGAGACATTTTTGGCCCGCTTGTTTCTGCCCTGAGCATCGTATTCAAAGTTTTCGCTGCCGGAATCGCTGGAAGTTGGCTCTAGAAAGTATGAATCAGGACGCTCGTGGCCACTTAGGTCAAAGCGCGTGCGAACGGCCTGGCAGCTACTGGCCAGCAGCAGCAGCGTGGTCCAAACACAAAGGATAACCAGAAAAAGAGGGCAAAGACGCATGTCGAGGGTCCTGTCTGTAAAGGAGCGACCACCAGTGTCGCAGTGGCAAGCAGATGAAGACCTGTATAACGAAGAAAAGAGGGAGAAGGACTAGAAAGCGAGCAATTTATATAGACAAGAGCGATGCCTGGCTGAGTCAAATGCTGGCATGTATGGGCTGGTGTCCGAGGGCTGTGACAACTCGGCTTTGAAAGATGACTTGCATTCCGGGAAGTGTGATGCTGGCGCTTTCGAGTAGGCTTCGACCGAGCCGAGAGCGTGGCTTTATTTTTTTCTGACAAAGGGGCGTCTTGCAGGTCAAGAGTCCGAGGCAAGCGCGACTCAATGCCTTCACTTTGCGAATGTAAAAGAGATGAGGGGGTGAGTGAGTCGAGTGTGACTTCGCATCGTTGGAATGGCAGTGCAGCTCGCAAAGGCTATGGTGAGTCAACAATGAGGTGGTCCAGGATGGCACCGCCTTCGTCCTGTAAAGCCCGAGGCCACGATACGCATTGTAATCATCTGAAGGGGTGACCTGGCTGAGCGCACAAAGGTAGCTGTTCGTATGTCGCAAACATGTCCAGTTCTCACAAACACCTCTTTCTGATTGGCCTTGGCTGACCACAGCCGGCTTACAGAAAGGAACGCAGGCTAGCCTCGAGTGTGGCCGCCATTAGAAATCAAAAGTAGCAAAGCTGGCCCGTGCGCGCGATAAAAGTTCGCGTCCGCTTGGTTTGTCGACGATGAGCCGGGCGGACAGAGCGAGCAAATAGCCGGTCCACGGCGCGCCCGGGCAGCCTTAAAAATCCCTTTGATGCGGTTGCGGGGAAGCGATCGCTCTCCTCTAAACACCACCTTGCTGCTCGACACTAGACCACGAACAGACATGTCGCTCACAAAGTCAACGACGGCCTTTGCAGAGGCGTGAGTGGCCGCGTGATGCCCTTGCTATGACGGCAGCTGACTGGTCCCTCCTCTTGCGATTGACGTAAACAACAGACCTTGGTGAGTCGTCCCCCCCTCCGCCCTCCCTTTTTTGGGTGAGCCGCAGATGAGATAGGCAGCTGACGAAGGGTGCGCTGCAGGATCCAAGGCCTTCCGAGCCCGTACTTTAAGAAGAAGTCGCACATCGCCCTTCGCGAATATGTCAAGAAGTGGGTCGCCGACAACATGGCCGACGATGCCGAAGAGTGGGACGACTGTGAGTCTTACCTGTCCAGCTCTCCTCTGCCAAGGCTGACGAGGCGATTGACGAGCCAGCTGGGAATGCCGACCCGGAGCTGTTCAAGAAGTTTGCCCGCGACGGGTTCCTGGTGCCTTTTGCGCTGGGCGTCACGATCCCCAAGAAGTTCCACGACTTGGCGGGCAACATCACCCTGCCCGGTGGTGTGCCCGCCGACGAGTGGGACCACTTCCACGACTACATCCTCATCGACGAGCTCTGCGGCTGTGGTACGCAGCAGATGATGATGGCCAACTACGGTGGTGTGCGTGCTTGTCTCGCTCTTGTCCCGGGAGACTCTCTCGCGCTGACATTTTTCCTGTCCTGCCGCACAGCTCGCCTACGGAGCAGGCCCCATCGTCCACTTTGCCTCCGAGGCAATGCAGAAGCGCTTCCTGCCCGACCTGCTGCTGGGAAAGAAGCGCATCTGCCTTGCCATCACCGAGCCCCGCGCCGGCTCCGACGTCGCGGGCCTGGGCACGACGGCCGTCAAGACGTCCGACGGCAAGCACTACATTGTCAATGGCGAGAAGAAGTGGATCACCAACGGCATCTACTCCGACTACTTTACCACGGCCGTGCGCACGAGCGGAAAGCCAGGCGACCACAGCGGCATCACCTTCCTCGTCATTCCGCGCAGCGAGGGCCTCGAGACACGCAAGATGAAGATGATGGGCGGCGGCGCCTCGGGCACCACCTACGTCACCTTTGAGGACGTCAAGGTCCCCGTTGAAAACGTCGTCGGCAAGGAGGGCGAGGGCTTCAAATACATTGTGAGTTGGGCTCCCTTTTATTCGCTCCTCCTCTCCTTCTCCTTTTGTCGACCGCTGTCATGCTCACAACATTGCCCCTCCTCGCCGTAGATGTGGAACTTCCTACACGAACGCATGACCATCTGCTACGTCGCCATTCGCCTCTGCCGTGTGTGCCTCGAAGACTCCGTGGAGCACGTCAAGAGGCGCAAGGCCTTCGGTAAGCCTCTGATTGAGCAGCCCGTCGTGCGCCACAAGATTGCAAACATGGCTCGCCAGACCGAGGCTCTGCAAGCCTTCATCGAGGCCAGCATCTACCAGTACAGCCAGCTGTCGACAGCCGAGTCCAACTTGGTGAGTCGCCGTGTCGATCCTCTTCACATGCTTTTTTTGCCTTGACAAAACTAATGCTCATTGCTTTGCACTGCTCCCTCGACAGAAACTCGGTGGCACGACTGCGCTGCTCAAGGCCCAATCGACCATCACGCTCGAGTATGTGGTGTCGGAGGCGGTCATGCTCTTTGGCGGCATGGGCATCACAAAGGGCGGCGCGGGCGAGCGCGTCGAACGCATCTTCCGCGAGTTCAAGGCCCTCTCCATCCCTGGTGGCAGCCAGGACGTGATGCTGGACCTGGGCGTGAGGCAGCAGCTCAAGCTCATTGAAGCGCAAAGGGCAAAGAGCAACCTGTAGCGTGTTTTCTTCTACTCTCGTTACCCCTCTAGCAAAAATGTGCTCCCTCTCCTGATGACAGAGAAAAATAAAACAATGAAGGAACAAAACAAAAGACCTGAATGCGAGCAGGGCGCTCAGCGTTTGATCGTAGGCTTCACTCTGGAAGTCCTCCTTTATCGCCTTGCTTCGCTTGAAGGCACCGAGCCGCCACCGAAGCGCGCCCTTTTTGTAGCTGCCCTCCAGTCAACGAGACGGGCAAAAGGCACTAGTCAAGGAGAGGGGAGAAAACAAAGAGAGGAAAGGCTTGGCGATGGGCAACGGGCGAAAGAGCCTTGTCGAGGCGCGTCGCAGCCCGTCCCTCCGCCCGCGCGCCCGCCCGCGCCCTTTATGCTCTCCAAAAGCACCCAATTCAGCCAAAACAAAATCAGACAATCTGAGCGCCCGCGCTTTTTTTTTTTTTCTCTTTTCTTTTCTTTTCCAAGTCTTGAAACAAAGGGCGCAAAAACAAACAAGAGGCAGCCAGCCCAATCGGACAGCCGTGGAGAAAGCGCTGTCTTGTTGTTGTGTTTTTCACGAGAGCAGGGAGGTTAAGGAGCCAATTAGCGAGAGGCGAGTAAGAATGGGCCAAAAAAGGACTCATCAGCCCTTGTTGGAGACGGGCGGATGATGGCGTTTCTTCCCTTTCTCGCTCTGCCAGTCGAAGACTGGGAGTGGGCCCAGAGGACTTCATAATCGGGCCCTCTTTTTTTTTTTTTTTCCCAAGTTTCTTCTCACGACGCACTTTTACACACACACACACACACAACCACGCACACACGCACACAGACGTTGAGCTCAGCTTCGGACTCCTCCTGTTTGTTTCTCTTCCTTTTCCTCTCTTTATTTTCCCACGAACACAAACACTCAAATTTTGGTGTTTTGCCATTCGAGGGTGCCTTTTCAGCTTGACGAATAAAGGGCAAAGGGGGGGTCAAGACCAGAGCACTACCACTGTCAGCGAGGCCTCAGGGAGGACCTCCATCTGCTATATAGTCGCTCGACCAAGCCTGCTCCCCGAAAGAGGGAACATATCTCCAACGCTCATTTTACCATCATTGTCCTGCAGCTGGCCTGTTAGGATCGACACAAGCCGCTGACCTTGGCGCTGGCACCTCGGAAACGGCGCACACTACTACACGTACTAACACAGAGGTGAGTATCGCTGTCCTCGTATGATTGACTGCGAGACAAAGAAGGGAAGCGGCAACTAAAGCGGCCATGTTTTTGCTTTTCAAGGCCAGTCCTCGCTCCACCTTCAAGCGTTTCGTCGGGCAACGAAACGAACAAAGAGAGAAAAGAAAAGTGATTAAGGTACTTCGGGAAACAGGACAGCGCAGTGCAGCGCAGCACAGGGAGCGGCGGAGACGGAGACGGAAGAACAGAGAGACTTCGAGCGGAGAAACGGACAAGGACGGCACCTCCCTTTTTTTTTATATATCTTTATCGCACTTTTCGGCAGCAAGGCGAGAAGTCCGCCTGCCGTTTCCCCTCCTGGAAATCAGAGAAAAATATAAAAACAAAAAGCGTCTGGTCGCCTTTTCCAATGCAACCGGGATGGGGCTCGTCGCTGTCACCGCCGCCCCCGCCGCCTGCACCGACGTCCTTGACGGCACACAGGACCAAGCCGGCCTCTCACGAACACCATCACCACCCTCATTACCACCACCACGACCCGCAGCAGCGTCAGGCTAGCTTGCTGCCGGCCCAGCTTCTGTCTCAGGCCCCTCTTGCACCAACACAGACGGCGGGCCACCATCTTCGCCACGCTGGATTTCGTGGTTCTTACGGTGCTGCACAGAGCCACCCACGCCAATTTTTGACATTTCCTGCACGGCCAATCACGAGAATCAGCAGCCGAAAGACGAAGCGAGTGCCCGTGACATCGTGCGACGTGTGCCGGCTCAAGAAGCTCAAGTGCAACGCAAAGGAGCAGGAGGAGGGCGAGACGTGCATGCAGTGCGCCAAGAGTGGCGCAGCGTGCACGTTTGAGGACCGCGACGAGACGCGCAAGATTGCAAAAGTAAGCAGCCGCAACAACAACAGCAACAGCAACAGCAACAACAACAACGACAGCAGCAACAACTGTGCAAACGGCAACGGTACTGGCCAGGGCAAACGGCGAAAGACATCCGTTTCCGCCGTCGCCGTCGAGCAGCGTAGCATGACCGCTGGACGTCCACGGAGGGACACGCTCGTGTCGACGCCCGGCTATGTGCCAAAGGGCCCCCGGACGGGCAGCAGCGAGCTGATCCAGCAGATGGCCGCCCAGCTCTGGCCAGAGCTGCTTGGACCAGGACGCACTGGCGGGGCTACTACTGGCGGAACTCAAACCCAAAATCAACATCAACAACAACAACAGCAGCAGCACACTCAAGCAATTATCATTCCAAACAACACGGTGCAATTCCTTGACAGCAGCAACATGCTCCAGCACGAGCCTGCACCAGCCCAGACTCTTGCCCCACTGGCTGAGGAGACGAGCACAAACGAGGAACCGTGGGCGAGCTGGAACCTGCCGCCGTGCATCACCGACTTTGCCACAGGCCGGCAGCATGAGAGTTCGGGCCACTCGCTCGTCTGCATGCTCCTCGACCGCTTCTACCTCGAGGGCTCGTTGAACACCATCATTGTGCCAGCGGCCATTTGCGACGGCCAAAGCGGCGATCGGACCTCACACCTGCCTGGCTACCTCATCCATACCATGGTCGCCACGGCCGCCTGCTCTGCGCTCACTCTCGAGCCCGAGCTCGTCGCCTGGCAGGCTCAGGGCTGGCACACGGCCACCGAGGCCGTCCATGCGCGCGTGACGGCGAGCAATGGCGGCCCCCTCGACCTGCACCTCATCCAGGCCCTGCTCCTGCTCTCGGTCAACTGGCCCGGCCAGCTCGAGCGCATCGAGCGGCTCAACACCTTTGACACGGCCGTTGGCCTGGCCACCTGCCTCAAGCTCCACGTCGCCAGCCAACTCGACTGCGTGCCCGGCGGCCGGGCCCAGCGCATCGCTCTCTTTTGGGCACTCTACTGCCTCGACAAGGCCGTCGCCGTCGTCTTCAAGCGCGCGCCCACGATTCCCTCGGACAGCCACGACGTGCCGCTGCCGTGCGTACAGGATGTCCATGCGCTCCTCGACCGCAGCAGCCGCACTTCCCACAGTGGCGGTAGCAGCAACAACAACAACAACAGCAGTAGCAACAGCAACATGGCAGCGTGGACCCAGCGCCTGCTCCTCTGCCTCATTGCTCTGGCCAAGATGCTCGAGGACGTGCAGGCAAATCTGTACTCGCCCGAGGCAGCCTCGTGGATCAAGACGCTGGACAACGTCTACCTGCGCATCACGCCCCTCGAGGAGCGCCTCTGCCACTTCACCGCCGAGCACAGCTGGCTGCTGGCGACGATGCCCACGCTCCCGCTCCTGTGCCGCAACCTCGCCCAGGCTGTCCTGCTCCAGCTCCACCTCGTCCAGCTTCACCTCTACCTGCCTGCGCTCCACGTCGACTTTGCTGGTGTTGCAAGTTCCGAGGGCGATGCGGCGAAGCAAATGTCCGACGGCGGCCGAGCGCTCATCGCCACCATCGAGTCGGCCTGGCACCTCGCACACCAGCCCGCAGACGGCTTGGGCCTCCCGCTCTCGCCGGACATGTGCTCGCTGCTGGCGTCGAAAGCTGCGCGCGAGAACAGCAGCGACGGTTTCCAAGCTTGCGACCACGGCGACATTGACGAGGAGAGGGCTGCGACGGCTGGCTTTGGCTTCTCGCGTGCTTGCAAAGCCATCGGCACTGCCTTCTTTGGCTTTTTGGCCACCTCTTGGTCGGGCTGGGAGGGCGGACATGGATGTATGCGCTTCACCGCCTCGTCGACGGCGGCTTCGTCGAGCTCGACCAGAGCAGCACCGCCAGCGACGGAGGAGCAGCAGCAGCAGACGAGGACCTCACACCCGGCATCGACGGCGGCAACAACGACGCTGACCGTCGACATGGGTGGTACACATCCACCACCATCAGGCGTGGACAGCGAATCACGACATCCGTCCTTGTCGGCCAACTCTGCGCAGGCGACGCCAAATCACCTTCAGGCGCCCCAGGCGCAGCCCCAACATCGTCACAAAGGGAGCGAGGTCAACGATTCCGCGTTTCACATGTACAGCAACACCGGCAGCAACAGTGTCGGCGGGGGCAACAGCAGCAGCGGCAGCAAAATTGGCAGTGCCAAGGGCGACGCATTTTCTACGGGCGACGGAGAAGCGCAGCAGCAGCAGCGACACACAGGCAGCTCCGCTCCGCCGCCACACTTTTCGCCCGAGCAGCAGCGCCAAGCGGCAGATGCGATTCTGCAGCTCGGGCCAGGGCCGTCTATTCACGGTATCATGAACATGCATGGTCACCAGCGCCACCACACAGATGGAGGGTCGACAGTGGGCGCTTCGGCGGCGGGATGGGAGACCGAGGAGCAGTACCGGCTCCTGCCACCGATGCGCTTGTCGTACACCTACGCGCCCATGCCTAACCTCGATGCCGGCGAGCAGGAAGACGAGGCACGCTCCAGAATGGCCACGCCGTCCTCGTGCGACTGGTCGGGCGAAGCTGTCGCGCCGCTCAGCGCACGTCGGCCTTGCTCTTTGCCGCCCCACGACCAGACCGGAACCGGAGAGAGCGCGACCGAGGAGGAGACCGAGGCTGCCGAGGCGGTCCTGAGCATGCGCAACGTTCATCTCACCTACGATGGCCAGCAGCACGGCTTTGAGCAGCACCCACACGCGCACCAGCATCATCACCAGCAGCAGCAGCAGCATCAGCAGATCAGCAACGTCGCCGAACTCGTGGGCAGCAACGTCCATGCGCAGCAGCAGCTTCACCAGCACTGCCACCACCCGCACCAGCACGCATTCCCCAACGGCCCACCGTCGGCCACGACGGCCTGCACGACTTTCTCGCCCCGTCAATTCTAGTTCGTTCCTTCTTTGCTGTGTGCGTCCGCCATCATTCTTCGTCAGATTTCTCATTTAGGGTGGCAATTACTTTGCCCAATGCACAATGGCTGCGTCTGCAGCTGATTTCAACCATGATCCATGTCGATTCTGTTCTTTTGCCTCGTCATCTCTTCAAATTTGGGCCTCTTTCGCAAAGTCAGTCTCTCCCCTCTCTCGTACGATCGATCCGCTTGTCAACAAATGAACATGAATGATATTCCTACAACAAGAAAGAGAAGAGAAGAGAAGAAAAGAATGCACCTCGTCATGCGAGGGATCAGAAGCTCTACAAAAGGGTCTGCCTCTCCTGTCCGTCCCGTGTATATGTTGGAAAGGAGAGGCAAGAAAGTGTACAGGGCAAGTCCTTGGATGCTCTTCTAAAGGCAGGACGATGGAACTCTAGTCTTCGTACGCATCTTCGTCCTCCTCTTCGTGGGCCTCGTCGCCGTCGTCTGAGTCGTCGACGTAGGCGCTCTTCTGCGAGCTCGCCGCCGCCGCCGCCGTGGGCTTTCTGGCTCGCCCGCTCGGCGCCCTCTTTGGCGGCGGGTCAGCCATGATGGAATCGTCTCCGTCCTCGTCCCCCGCGCCCACACTCGCATCGTCGTCATCATCATCGTCCAAGTCGACCTTGACGGCCGGCGACTTCTTCTTGGGCGCGGAAGATGCTGCCGAGACGCTTCTGCTCTTGGCGGGCGCCTTTGGCTTGGCCTTGGCCTTGGTCGGCACGAGGTAGTCGTCCTCGTCCTCGTTCTCGTCTTTGGGCATCGAGAAAGGCAGCGGGCTCTTCTGCTTCTTGGCCGGCGACTTCTCGGTGTCGGAGCCGTCTGTCACAGCGCGCTTGGGTGCGCCGCCATTCGCCGTTGCTGGCTTCGCTGGGGCCTCCGCTGGAGCCTTGGCCGAGCCACTGGCGGGCTTCTTGACGGGCGACGCAGGTTTCTTCTTTGGCTTGGGCGCCGCAATCTTGAATTCGTCCTCGCTGTCGTCGTCGAGGTCGAGCGCATCGTCGTCGTCGTCGTCGGAGCCGGCCTTTTTCTTGAGCACCTTCCGTGCTTTGGCGCCGGCCTTTGCGCCCTTGGCCGCGCCACCACCTGGCTTGTTCTTACGATTCTTGGACACGTCCTTGAGCCGCCGCTCATCCTCGTCGAGCATCTTGTCCCACTCCTCGGTGAACCGCAGCAGGTCCTCGTCCCACAGGTTCTGGGGCGTGCGGCGGAGGAGGACGTTGAGCTCGCGCTCCTTTTCGTCGCGCTGGCCCAGCAGCCTGTCGACTTTTTCCTTTGTCAAGCTCCAGATGGCCATGCTCAGCAGGTAGTCGTAGTCGCCGTCCGTGCCGCTCTGGTCGTCTTCTGCCTCGTCGTCATCGTCGACTTCGGCCGCAACTTTAGCTTTGCCCTGCTTGGGGAACGGCCGGAAGTCACGCTTGCGCAGCTCGTCGACGAGCTCGGCGCGCTTGCGGTTGTTGACGATGAGCTCGCGCGAGATGATCATCTGCACGAAGCGGGCCTGGTTCGACAGCCGCTCGTACTGCATCTTGAGCTCGTCGACGAGGAACTCCTTTCGCTTGCCGTACATGTCCAGGCGGAGGAGGTAGAACTCGTCGAGGATCTCCTCGGGCGTCGCATAGCGCTTGATCTTGCCCCACTGGTCAAAGAGGACCATGTTGGTGGTGCTGATGGGCGTCGTCAGCTTGAAGAAGACCTCGGGGCCCTTTTCGGCCACCTCGGCCTGGCCCTTGGGGTTGAGCTCAATGATAAAGTGGACCGTCGTGTCGGTGTGGTACTCCTTGTACTCCTTGATGACGGCCGGCACCTTTTCGGTGCCTGCCAGCCGCTCCTCGAGGAGCTCCTTGTACGTCGAGGTCCAGCTGCGGATCGGCAGCTCGGTGATCTCCCACGTCTTGTCATCAATTTGATTGTAGGTTCCCGTGCACTTATATTTGCCCGGGCCGCCCTCGGCAACGATTGTGCCCGTGAAGCCGCGGTACCAAGGCGACATGGGCACGTACTCTTCGCCGGCCATGCGCCGGCGCAGGTTGGCGACAATGTCCTTGGGGTTGTAGTTGGGCACCTGCGACGACCAGCCGGTGCCGATGCCGTCGGATCCATTGATGAGGACGAGGGGCACCGTGGGCATGTACCACTGCGGCTCGATGCTCTGGCCGTCGTCGTTGAGGTAGGTGAGCAAGTTGTCGTCGGCGGGGTGGAAGATCTTGCGGGTAATGTCGGAGATGTTGGTGAAGATGTAACGGGCGCTGGCAGCGTCCTTGCCACCCATCATGCGCGTGCCGAATTGACCGTTTGGCATGAGCACATTGACGTTATTGGCACCGACAAAGTCCTGCGCCAGGTTGACAATGGTTGCAGTGAGCGAGACGTCACCGTGGTGGTAGGCCGAGTGCTCGCCAATGTAGCCCGACAGCTGGGCGACCTTGATCTCGGCCTTGAGCTTGCGCTTGAAGCAGCCAAACATGACCTTGCGCTGGCCGGGCTTGAGGCCATCGACGATGCTGGGAATCGAGCGCACGTTGTCGGCCATGGAGAAGAGGATGAGCTCCTTGTTGATAAAGTCCGAAATGGGCACCTGGGCAATGTTGTGGTCAAGGAAGGTGCCTGGCTTGAACTGGCTCAGCCACTCCTTTCGCTCGTCTGCCTTCTTCTTGTTGAAAGCCAGGTCGATGAGCTCGCGGTCGCCCTCCTGCGTTGTCTGGAAGGGCAGCATGTGCTTGTTCATCGCCCTAAAGTACTTTTTCGCATCCTGTGCCGTGCTGGTACCCAGACCCTTGTAGTACTTGATGTTCCAGCCGCGGCCGTCGTTGTGCTCCTCCTTCCACACCTCGTACTCTGGCAGGGTGAAGAAGGAGATCTCCTGCTTGCCCTTTGTGCACTTGACAATGGGGGTGATGAACTCGACGAGGAAGTTGGGCTGCTTGAGGAGTGAGGGGAAGAAGTGGTCGAGGAAATTGATGATGAGGCCCTTAATGTGCGATCCGTCGTGGTCCTGGTCCGTCATGATCATCAGGGAGCCGTAGCGGAGGCTGTCGACGCTCATGTACTGCTTGCCGTGCTGGAGACCCATGATGGTCTTGATGGCCGAGATCTCGGTGTTCTTCATAATGGCCTCGTGGCCGGCCTCGCGCACGTTGAGGAGCTTGCCACGCAGCGGGAACACGCCGTAGTTGTCGCGGCCCACTTCGGTGAGACCCGAGACGGCGAGGGCCTTGGCTGAGTCGCCCTCGGTGAGGATTAGGGTGCAGTCCTTGGCGCGGCGCCGGTCGCCCGCGTTGTTGGCGTCTTCGAGCTTGGTGATGCCGGTGATGCGGGTGCGCTTGTGGCCGTCGGTGCGCTTCAGCTGCTTCTCCTGCTGGAACTTGGCAAAGGAGAGGACGTTGTCGACGACACCAGAGCGGAGAATCTTCTTGAGCATCTCCTCGGACAGCGTCCACTTGCTTCCAAAGGCGCTGGCCTTGAGCGTCATGGTTTCTTTTGTCTGGCCATCAAAGGTCGGGTTGACAATCTGGCAGTTGACAAAGACCCACAGCTGCTGCCGGATCGACGGCAGCTTCACCGGCCCGTTCTTCTTGTTCTTCTTGACGTGGTCGGCAATCTTGGTCACAATCTGCTGCTCGACGAGGTCGACGTGTTTGCCGCCCTTGATGGTGGCAATGTTGTTGACAAACGAGACCTGGCGGAACTCGCCGTCGGACACGGCAAAGGCCACCTCCCACGTCTTTCCCCTGTCGACGGTCGAGTCAAAGATGATGGTCTGCTTCGTGGGCGCCGGCGCGGCCCCATCAGTAATGCTCAGGTCGCCGTCCTCGTCGACCTTGGGCTCGGCAGCGGGCCCGCCGTTGCTGAGCTCGTTGATGGCGCTGACGTACATCTCCACGTACTGCTTGAAGCCCTTGATCTTGAGCCGCTCGCCATTGAGAAAGACCTTGACGTCCTTGACGGTGCCCGCCATGTCGTACACGCGCTTCATCATGAGGGCCTCGATGTCGTCGTCGATGCGGTCCATGCCGAAGCGCGCCAGGTCGGGCTTGAAGGTGATCTGGGTGAAGTCCTTTGCGCCCTTGTTCTTTGTGATCTTGGGCTTGCCCTTGTCGCTCATGTTCTTGGTAAAGACCTGCTTGTACTTTTGCTCGGTCCGCGCCTCGGCCGTCTCGACGGTGAATTCGGTCGAGTAGATGTTGGCGAGCTTGGCGCCGTAGCCGTTGCGGCCGCCGGTGACCTTGGCCTCATCGTCGTCGTAGTTGGACGAGGTGAGGAGGTGGCCAAAGATGAGCTCGGGGATATAGACGCCCTCCTTTTCGTGCATCTCAATCGGAATGCCCTTGCCGCTGTTCCACACGCTGATGCTCCCTTCGTTCTTGTCGATGGTCACCTTGATGGCGTCCATCGTGGGGTCACGTACCTGGTTGTATGCGTTCAAAGTGTGAGCAGAGGTGGCAATCAGACAGAGGGAGCTGCTATGGACAACCCACCTTGTTGTCGGCGGCATTGACGAGAATCTCGTCAAAGATCTTGTAGAAGCCCGGCACATACGTCGTCTCGCGGTAGGCCATCTGCTTGCGCGTGGCATCGTACACCCACAGCTTCTCCGTGTGCTGCTCGATGCTGCCAATGTATGTGTCTGGCCGCTTGAGGACGTGCTCCAGCTGCGAGAGCTGTGGTTGGAGGAACGATGTTTTCAGCGCGTGTTGTTCGCTTCATCAAGTGCATACAGAGCAGAGCCGCTGCTTGCTCACCTTTTGGTAGGTCTGCGTGGCCGTCTTGCTGGACGAGGACGCGGCGACGGCGACGGCAGGCACGGGCACGACGTTCTCCTGGCTCGACGACATGGAGTGCGACCCGTTGGTGGCATCGACCATGACCACGTCGTCGTTGTTGAGCTCGCCCTCGCCGTCGGCACCCAGGTTGGCCTTGCTCTTGGCCAGCGGCTTCTTCTTAGGGGCGCCTGCCGCTGCCTTGGCCTTTGGCGCTGCCGCCGCCGTCTTCTTGGCCCCTGCAGGCGCTGCCTTCTTCTTGGCCGCCGCAGGCGACGGCACGAAGGCGTCCGACTCGGCGTCCGAGACGACAAAGCTGTCTTCTGCGACAGACGACATGTCGCGCTGGTGCTTGGAAGAGATCGTTTGGGAAGCCAACACCCCTCCGTGCGTTGCAGGGCGTGTTTTTTAGGGTTGAGGGGCGGCGCGCGTGTCACGTGCTCGCTCTGCGACGAGGAACGCGTCGAGATCAACACTTTTTTTGGTCGCCTCGACTTTGTCTTTCCCTTCAAAGACAGGACTGGCAAAGACAAGACGGGGGGAGATCAAAAGCAATGCCGAAAGTCATCTCGCTCGCGGCAGCCGCCGAAAAGGAGAATGCTGCGTCGTCGAGGCGGCCACAGTCGTCAAAGTACGGCAAGGAGGACGAGGTTGGGCACCGGAAGCGGGCGGGCGCGGACAGGAGGCCGCATGGCCCCACGTCGTCCTCGGCCGACTCGGCCTACTCGAGGGGCGTGCTCAAGAGCAGCAGCAGCAGTGGCAGAGGGAACAACCGGAGAGAATATGGTGGTGGGCTGAACGAGGAAGATGAGGAGGAGGAGGGGGCAAGAGAGCAGGACGTCATGTACGACGACGAATTTGTGAACCCGGTCGTGTCGCGCGCACCGCCAATGATGCCCATGTCGTCGCCTCCGGGGATGGCCATGCCACGGAGGAGGGATGACGCAGAGTACGACCCAGCACCCTTGCGGCGGGAAAAGTTGCTCGAGGAGAAGCTCCGGCTGGTGAGTGTGTGTCTCGCTCACATCCGTCTCTCCAGCAAGGCTGACGCGCATACATCGAAGCTCACGGCCGAGCGCGACGCCGTCCAGGCCCAATTCGACGAGCTGCGTGAGCTACGCCTCACTGAGCCGGAGCGCATCATGGCCGAGCTGAAGCGTGTGGCCGAGCAGCAGGCCAAGGGTGAGCAGCTGGTGTGCCAGGCCTAGTTCCGAGGAAGCAGCTCTAATGTCTCTCTTGGCAACAGCCTCCTTTGACAGCTTCCGGTCGCTTTCGGCCCAGCTCGAGGCGTCCGAGGCCAGGGTGCGCGAGCTGGAGCAGCAGCAGCAGCAGGGAGCAAGTGGTGGGATGCGGGGTGGAAAGTGCGACGAGTGCGAGGCGAGGGCCGACGTCGTGGAGGGGCTGCGTGCGAAGCTGCGCGAGGCGACGGACCGCGTCGAGCGGCGCCAGGGCGACGTGGCGCGCCTTGAGGCCGAGCTTGCCTCGCGCACCCGGCCAGCGCCTGCCAGCGGCACGCCCGCAGACCAGCGCGCCGTGCGGAAGCTGTACGAGGACCTGACGGGCATCGTCATCAACCGCGTTGAGCCAGTCGAGCCTCACGGCGGCGATGGCCTGCAGCGCTTCTCGATGGTCTTTGCCTGCGACGGCTACCACGGTGCGTGTCATATGAATGTTATGCCTGCCACCTCGCTAATAACATGCTCTATTCCAGACCTTGAGTTCTCTCTCCAGGAGTCCAAGTCCAACCTCCCACCGTCATCGTCGTCGTCATCGTCATCAAGCAGGCCGCCGCCGCCAGGCGCCAGGCGCGACGACCTCGTCTACTGCCCACACCTCGACGCAGACCGCGACAGCGAGCTGCTGCGCAGCAAGCTCTTCCCGCAGCACCTCCGCGACGACCTCCGCTTCGACCGCGCGCTCAGCGTCAAGTTCCTCTCGACGATGCAGGGCAAGCTCAAGCGGGCGTGATTGTCACTGTCTCTGTCATTGTAGTAATAGTAGTAGTGGTAGGAGTAATGTATACAATCAGGCGCCTGTCTCGGCATGGTGGTGGTGGTGGTAGCCATGCGGTGTGCGAAGCGTGCCTGCTGGTCGGCCGGCAGCCCCCTTGGCAGCAGCAGCGGCGGCGGACGAGGACACGCGGTCGGGGGCGAGCTTGACGGCGAGGAACTTCTGCGGCGTCTTTGCGTGCGTGGGCAGGCCATACATGCGGTCAAAGAGGCCCTGTTCGTGACAGATGTCCAGGTCAGCAGTCATCCTTGCTTTTTCCCTCCTGAGAAGACCCACCTGGACCCATGTCTTGGCGGTGCTCTGGCACAGCGCGCTCGTCGAGGCGTAGTGGTAGTGGTGGTGGTGGTGGTGGCCTGAAGCACTGTGGCTGAGGCTCATGCCCGCAGCCGATGCCGGTGCGCCGCCCGTGCCTGCACCCGCGGCCAGCCCAGCTGCACCTGCGCCTCCGATCCCCCCGCCCACCAGTCCTCCTACGCCTCCACCCAGTCCCCCGACGCCGCCAAGTCCCCCACCAGCACCACCACCCCCACCGCCGCCACCACCGCCGCCACCGCCTCCCACCGTGGCTGCCATGGATGCACCGGTGGAAATGGCACTGCTGAGCGAGGCGACACTGGCACCCGCCCCTGCACTCGAGCCACCCAGGCCAAACGCAGCAAAGGGCGACAGCGACGACGAGGCCGACGAAGAGGCAGGCAGTGAGGCAGCAGCGGCGGCAGCAGCAGCGGCAGCAGCAGCAGCAGCAACAGCAGCAGGCGGCGAGACGTCCATCTCGCGCAGGTAGCGCCAGATGACCGATGGCTGCGGCGGGCCAAAGCGAAAGGCTTGGGCATACTGGGCCTGCCAGCGGTCCTGCAGGTTGCGCGCACACGCCCCCGGGTCTGGGCACGCGCCGTGGCACTCGTAGTCGCGCGCCGGGTTGGCAAGACCAAGCTTGAGCAGGCGCTCGAGGAACCAGGTGCGCTTGCGCTCGAGCTTCAGCAGCGTCGCCTGCGACAGCACCTCGAGCTCCTCGGGCTCCCATTGGGGCATGTTGTCGAGCACGTGGCGCGACGCCTCGCGGTACACGTCGTCGAGCCCGTGGCGCTCGCCCAGGGCCATGGCGTCGATGGGCCGGCCGGCGAGGGCGGCGCGGAGAAAGGTGCAGCAGGCCTGGCGGAGGTGGGGCACGGCGAACTTGTCCGAGAAGCTGAAGAGGGAGAAGATGTTGTACCAGGTGATGCGCAGCTCGAGGTCTGTGGGGTGTGTGGGCCTGGGTGAGCCGCGGTGAAATGGAGGAGGAGAAGAAAAGAGAAGGAGAGAAGAGAAGAGAAGAAGAGAAGAGGAGAGGAGAGGCAGCACACACTCACGCGGGTAGACGTGGCAGAGGACATCCTGGAACGTGGCGGCGTCCTCCTCGCGCAGATCGACGACGGCGACGATGCCGTCCTTCTTTCGCTGGCGTTTCTCTGCTGCCCTCCTCTTTCGCTTGGTCTTAGTGGCCCGCTGCTTCGCTGCCGTCTCCTTTGTCGACTGCTCTCGCTCATCTGCTGCTGGTGCTGCTGCCGGTGCTGCTGCCGGTGCTGCTGCTGCTGCCAGCGACACAGGCTCGGGCGGCGGCGGCGTGGCCAGGCGCTGCAGTCGGTCTGCCAGGTTGTCGGCCTGCTGCTGCTCAGTCAAAGCAGGCCCTCTGCTGTTGCTGCTGCCCTCGCTCTCGTCGCCCTCTGCGCTGTTGCTGCCGACGTCGAGCTGCAAAAAGGCAGTATGGAACGAGGCACGGGGCGAGGCGAGGCCGGCAAGCTGCTGCTGCTGGTGCCTGTCAAGGGTGCCAGTCGTCGCAGTTGCCTCGCGCTCCTGCGCCTGCTCCTGCTTGGTGTCGCTGCCGTGGCTGCTGTCCGGCCGTGCGCCGCTCTGGCTGCCCTGCTGCGAGTGACTGTCGCCCTCATCGAAGCCACGGTCATCGTCATCGTCCGAGTCTGCCTCGCCGTCCGACGACGAGAGCTGGTGGAGCGAGGGGTGCGACTCGATCCAATCGCCCTCGAGCACAGCGCGGAAAAAGGGGCTGGCATAGAAGAGGATGCTGTGGCAGTCGCCTTCGAGTCAGCAATGTCTCTCTCTTCGTAAAGTGCCTCCGTCCAAACTCACGCCTTGTGGACAAAGAACTCGACGCCGGCACAGCGCACGAGCACGTCGCCTGGCAGGTCCGAGTCGCGCCGGAAGCAGGGGTGCACCTCGATGTCGCTCATCGCCGCACGGTCCTCGTCCCTCCGCGGTGGGCGCACGAATGTATGCGGGCCTGAATGTGCGTGCTGTTGCTGCTGTGTGGACACGGGCACGCTGCTGCGTCCCCGCTGCTGATGTGGCTGCTGCTGGTGGTTCTGCTGCTGGTGATGGTGGTGATGGTGGTCGAGCAGCAGGCTCGAGGAGCGCGGCGGCTGCTCGGCCAGATTGGCAGGTCCACGCCTCGATGGGGAGCGGAGGCGCGAGGGCGACGATGAAGGATTCTCGGGATGATGTCGAACATAGGCGGCAAAGCGGCCCGTGGTGGGCGACGGCTCGACGTTGAGTGCCTGGGTGGCACGCGAAAAGAGCTGGCGCGGGCGGGGGTGGTGTGGGGACGACGAGACCGACGGACTGCTGGCGACGGCAGCAGCGCCGGCCTGCATCGATGGCGATGACGACGACGACGACGACGCCGCCGCCGCGGCCGCGGCCGAAGGGGTTGTCGTGGTCAGCCGCGGTGCGAGCGGCGCTGGTGGCTGCGACGATGCGACGAGTGCGCTTGCTGGGTTCGCAGAGGACGCCGGGCCAGCAGCCATCGCCGAGCCTGCTGCACCTGCCGATGGTGTTGATGATGCTGCTGCGGCAGTAGATGCTGACGCGGACGCGGACGTAGACCCGGTCTGGCTGGGCGAGCCGAAGCGACGGCCAGAGCTCTGCGCCATCTCGTCGCTGCTGCTGCCTAGGCACAAGAGAGACAAAGATAGCGTTTTTTCTTGTCTTAGGCCGCACAGACCTCTTTCTTATTTCCTTTCCTCGAAGCTTGAAGCTTGAGTTTTCCCGCACGTGTTGGTCTCTCAGTAGTATTGGCCCATGGCAGCGAGGGCGCCTAGCTGAGTCTTCGCGGCGGCGTCTCGCCCGGGAGCGCAAGGCTAAGAGAGAAAAAAAGGCTGCGAAAAATCAAAATCAGAAATCAGGAATCAGAAATCAGAAGACCCTTGAAGAAGATTAGACGGACTGACCGACAACGAGCGAACAACGAGCGAGTCTGGTCGCTTGCTCAGCCTCGCTCTCGGTCTCAGCAAGCAGCAAGAAGAGGAGGAGAACAAAGCAGTAGTAGTGGCAGTCTCCAACGAGTCAGAGTCTACCGCTAGCTGTGTCCCTGTCTAGGCGGCGGCGCGACGGCAGAAGGGCGAGAGCGAGGCGAGGGGGGCAGCGGAGGCGTGACTCGACGGGCGGACGGACCTCCGCGCAGATTGCACGAGTGCCCTGCCTGAGTGCTGCTTCTTTGATCGCACGCGCACACGCTCAAAGCTCAAAAGGCGCCGGGGGAGCAGCCGGCCCAGCCGCGCTCTGCATCACACGAACAACGATGGACGCACAAGGCGTCGGCTGTTCAGCCGTCTGGCAAGGCCTCGACTGGTCGCCATGCTTCCGGCAGCGGTGAGTGTGCGAGCGAGTTGAGGGGACGAGCTTGAATGATGATCGCTGACAAATGCTGGCCACCAGATTCCTCAATGGCGCCGTGCCCCTCGCTGCGCTGGCCGTGTCGCTGGCCATCGTCTCGATCCAGCAGGCCCTCTCTAACCGGCGCCACAGGGAGTCGGCCGTGCGCGTGGCCACGCTCGACCCGACGTCGAGCAGCATCGTCCTGCCCCACGAGAATGGCTTGGATGGTTTGGGAGAGGAGGAAGACGACGACGACGAAGACAACAGCGCGCCGCCGCTCGTTCCCCTGCGCAGGAGGCCGGGCATGGTCGAGCGGGCACTGACGCTCATCATGCCATGGAATGCACCGTATATTGTCGCCAAGCTCAGCGCGCCCAGCAGGCAGAAAAAAAAGAGGAGAGGGAGAAGAAGGAGACGACAACACACTTCCTCGTCCTCGGTAATCCCAGCAGACGAGGCAGCCGACAAGGTCGTCTTCCACACGGAGAACGCCGTCATTCTCAACGAGGTGCACACCAACATGGCCAAGACGCTGGCCGACGACTCGCTGCGCGCCTCGGACGCCGAGGTCGTCAAGCGCGTCTGGGAAGCCCTCGGCAGCATCGCCCTCGCCGGCACCTGCGTGGCCCAGCTCGCCTTTGACGGACCCGTCTACTCGTCGTCGTCGTCCAGCTGGGCCTGGCTCGCGCTGTGGACGTACCTCTCGGTGCTGAGCACCGTGTGTTTGTGTCTACGGCGCTCCCTTTTCACCCACAAGGCGCTCCTCTTTGCGCTCGCCACGCTCGTCTCGCTCTCCAATCTGCGCTCGAGCATCGTCGCCACCAACAGCAGCAGGACGAGCATCGTGTTTGCCGCCATCGAGTGTAGCCTGTGCCTGGCCACGCTGCTGCCCAGCCTCGTGTTCCCCCTCGAGCTGCGCCTGCCCTCGCGGCTGCGCGCCATTCACCAGACGATCAAGGCCCAGAAGGCCTATGGCGAGGCCCGCACGGCGATCCCCACGCCCCGCGTGCGCCACTCTCCCTCGCAGACGCCCTCTCTCGATGGCGCTCATGCGCACGAGGACATGCTCGCCGCGCGTCTGGCCGCCATCGACGGTGCGCATACAAAGGCATCCGAAAAGGCTGCCAGTCTGCTTCCCTCGCCCGAGAACCGGGCGCCGCTGCTGTCGCGCGCCCTCTTCAGCTTCGTCACGCCGGCCATGCTCAAGCACTACCGCATCCAGTTCACCCTCGATGCGGTCCCGGACCTGCCCCCAGCCGACCAGGCCGCATGTGTCGTCGCTGCTTTCCGTGCTGATGGCGACGCCGCCGCTGTGGGCCGCGCTGCCCCTGCCAGCCAGGTCAGCGAGGACGACGACGACGACGACGACGACGACGACGACAGAGACGACGAAGAAGAAGGAAGAGGGAGAAGTGAGGACGGGGGGCAGACGGGCGAGCATCTGGCGCCATCGCACCGCTCGCTCGCTGTCCGCCTCCTCATCCACTTTCTCCCCCTCGTCCTCCTCCAGCAAGCCTGGGCCGTCATGGAGGCTGTCTTCAACCTCACGCCTGCCGTCGGCCTTCGCTTCGTGCTCGGCTACATCGGCGACCGCTCCCGGGACGGCACCAGCACGACGCCTGTTCACATGGCCGTGCTGTATGCGACGGGCATGCTCGTGGGCCAGATCATCGCTGCGACGTGCACCTCGCAGGCGCTCCTTGTGGGCCGGCGCATGTGCATCCGCCTGAAGGCCATCCTCATCTTTGAGATCATCAACAAGGCCCTCCGTCGCCGCGACACGGGCGGTGGCACAGAAGCGTCGCCCGAAAATAACGACGACGCGTCGCCGCAGCAGCAGCAGCAAAAGGACGGACACAAGGGAGGCAACGACGGAGGAAAGGGAGAGCAGCAGCAGGGCAGCCTCGGCGGGCAGCAGGGCGGGCGCGCGTCCGACGGCGAGGTCACCAACCTCGTCTCCGTCGACGTCTTCAAGGTCTCCGAGGTGGGCGCTTACCTGCACTTTCTCTTTCCCAGCGCGCCCCTCCAGATTGTCCTCTGCGTCTACCTGCTCATCAACCTCCTCGGCTGGTCGGCCGTCGGCGGCGTCGCCGTCCTTGTGCTCTCGCTGCCGCTCCAGACGCTCATCTCGCGCCTCTTTGTCCGGCTCCAGCGTCGCCTCCTCGAGGCCACCGACCGCCGGCTGAACCTGACGTCCGAGGTGCTCAACTGCATCAAGACGGTCAAGTGTGAGTCTGTTGTGCTTGTCTGCTGTTTGGATTTGTGCGTGCTGACACTCTGTGTGACACAGTCTTTGCTTGGGAAAAGTCGTTTGAGAAGCGCCTCGACGACGCGCGCGAGAGGGAGCTGGCCGTGCTCTATATGCGCCTGGGTGCTTGGCTCCTCGGGGCGGCCACGTACATCGGCATGGCCATGGTCGTCAGCCTCGTCACCTTTGCCGTCCACGTGGGCGTGCTGCACCGGCCCTTGCCTGCCGAGGTCGCCTTCACCGCCATGGCTCTCTTCAACGCCCTGCGCCACCCGCTCGAAGCGCTGCCGGACATGCTCGTCAACGTCCTCACCTCGCTCGTCTCCATCCGCCGCATCGACCACTACCTCCAGGAGGCCGAGACGGAAAAGTACCGTCAGTTGCTCGGTGGCGGCGGCGGCGGCGCTGGCGATGGTGGGCCAGCCTCTGCGACGAGGATGCGGCAGGCGGCCACCAGCGACCCCGTTGTTGGCTTCCGCGATGCCACCTTCACCTATGCCGAGAACGATGAGGCCAAGGTAGAAGACGAGAGCCCAGCGCCCTTTCAGCTCAAGGACCTCAACCTCGCCTTTCCCCTCGGCAAGCTCTCCGTCGTCGCTGGGCCTGTTGGGTGTGGCAAGACGACGCTGCTGATGAGCCTGCTTGGCGAGACGCGCCGCCTGCGTGGCACGACATTCATGCCCTGCGCCGTCGCCCGCTCCCTCGTCGACGTCGATCCACGCACCGGGCTGTCCGAGACGGTGGCCTACTGCTCCCAATCGCCGTGGCTGCTCGGCGCCACCGTGCGCGAGAACATCCTCTTTGGCCAGCCGTACGACGAGGCACGCTACCGTGCCGTGCTCCACGCCTGCGCCCTCGAGGCCGACCTGGCCATCCTCGAGTACCACGACGAGACCGAGGTCGGCGAGAAGGGCACCTCGCTCTCGGGCGGCCAAAAGGCCCGTCTGGCGCTCGCCCGGGCCTTGTACTCGCCTGCGCGCTACCTCCTCCTCGACGATGCACTGAGCGCCGTCGATGTGCACACGGCCAAGCACCTCTTCACCCACTACCTCAAGGGCGACCTCATCCGCGGCCGCACCGTCATCCTCGTCACCCACGCCGTCCAGCTCTGCCTGCCTGGCGCGGCCTTTGCCGTCGCACTCGACGATGGCCGCGTCGTCGCCGCGGGCACGCCCGCCGAGGTCCTGGCCACGGGCGTCTTTGACGACGACGACGCTCCTGTCGTTTCCTCAAGTGGCAATGGCAATGGCAATGGCAACGACAGCACGAAAGACAACAGAGGCAGAAGGGACAGCAACGGCAGCCCCGCCGAGGACGCCATCAAGGCCGACGGCGGCGACCCGTCGGACGAGCCGCCGCTGATCGAGGAGCTCGACGAGGGCGCGCGCGCCGCCGAGCAGGACGCCATCAAGAAGCGCCAGGATAAAAAAGCACTGTATGCAAACGAGGAGACGTACGCCAAGGGCAGCATCGGCATCAAGTCCTACAAGCTCTATCTCAGCAACTTCTCCACGTCGCGCCTCGGCCTGCTGGCCTACTGGGTCATCGGCATCGTTGTCTTTGTTGCTGCCCGGGGCATGGACGTCGTCGCCACCGCGTGGCTGCGCCGCTGGGCCGGCTCCTACGACGATCCCCAGCAGCAGCATCATCTGCAGCAGGAGCGTCAAGAGTCCGGCGCAGCATCGCTGGGCCTGCTCCACGCATCGTCAAGGGTTATGGGCATGGCCACCACGCTGGCCGTCTCGGTCGCCGACGATGCGCAGCGCTGGCTCAGCAATTCGCCTGCGCCCGTTATTCAAAGCAGCAACCAGCTGGTCATGGGCATGGACATGGGCATGGGCACGGGCACGAACATGGGGGAGCAGATGCTGTTCGAAGACCGCACGCGGTACTACCTCACCGGCTATGCGCTCCTCGTCGTCCTCTTCATCCTCATCGGCGTCCTGCGCGACGCCATCGGCCTCTATGGCGCGCTCCAGGCCTCGCGCTCCCTCTACCGCCAGCTCATGACGACGATCATGCGCGCACGGCCCCAGTGGTTCGACCGCACCCCCGTGGGCCGCATCATGAACCGGCTCAGCAAGGACATCGAGACACTCGACCAGGAGCTCGCCCCGCAGCTCATCTTCTTTATAGACGTGTGCATCCAGTCGACGGTCATTCTCATCGTCAGCTGCTACGCCGTGCCGGCCTTTACGGTCTTTTCAGCCGTCGTCATTGTGCTCTACTACGCCATCGGCGCCCTCTACGTCGTCAGCTCGCGCGACTTGAAGCGCATCGAGAGCGTCACGCGCTCGCCCATCTTCACCCTCGTCGGCGAGGCCCTCAGCGGCGCCGTCGTCATCCGTGCCTACGGCGACGCCTCGCGCTTCACGCGCCACTGCCTCCGCCTCATCGACAAGACCAACCGGCCGTTTTTCTTTCTGTGGTACGAGAACCGGTGGCTGAGCCAGCGCGTCGACATGCTCTCGAGCTTTGTTACTTTTGGCATGGCCCTCATCCTCATCTACAGCAAAGACGTCGACGCTGCCAAGGCCGGCTTTGTCCTCAGCTTCACCATTCAGCTCGTCGAGGCCGTGCTGTGGGTGCTGCGCATGTATACCAACATCGAGATCAACGCCAACGGCATTGAGCGCATCGCAGAGTACCTTGCCGTCGAGCCCGAGCGCCATGAGGGGACAGACCCGCCCGCGGCGTGGCCGACCAAGCACGGCGGCCTCCACGTCGAGTCGCTCTCGGTGCGCTATGCGCCCGAGCTGCCCCTTGTGCTGCGCGGCGTCTCGTTCAGCGTCGCGCCGGGCGAAAAGGTGGGCATCTGTGGGCGCACCGGCTCGGGCAAGTCCTCGCTCGCCCTCGCCCTCTTTCGCTTTCTCGAGGCCGAGCAGGGCCGCATCGTCGTCGACGGCATCGACATTGCCACGGTGCCCCTCGAGACGCTGCGCAACCGGCTCACCGTGATTCCCCAGGACGCCCAGCTGTTTTCCGGCACGGTGCGCAGCAACCTCGACCCGTTTGGCACGTGCGAGGATGCCGAGCTGTGGAATGCTCTTCAGCGCTGCCAGCTCGTCAATGTCTCGAGCGCCGGCAGCCGCGCATGTACCCGGCCCTCGTCGCCCAGCGGCGGCGGCGGCGGCGGCGGCGGCGGCGAAGAAGCAGGAGGGACACAGGCGGTGACGATGACAAACGTCATCACGAGCCTCGAAATGGCCGTCGAGCAGGGCGGCAAGAACTTTTCGGCGGGCCAGAAGCAGCTCCTGGCCCTGGCGCGGGGCCTTATCAAGCTGCGCCACTCCAACGTCGTCGTCCTCGACGAGTCGACGGCGAGCCTGGATGCGCACTCGGACGCGGCCATCCAGCGCACCATCCAGGACGAGATGGCCGACGCGACGATTCTCACCGTCGCACACCGCATCCGCGGCATCGTCGGCTACGACAAGGTCCTCGTCCTCGACCACGGCACCGTCGTCGAGTATGGCGCCCCGCTCGAGCTCATGCTGCGGAGCAGCGAGGGCAGTGCGTTCAGGGACCTCTGCCTCCGCAGCGGCGAGTTTGACGCTCTGGAGGAGATTGCCAGAGAGGCCGAGCGCAAGCGGCGAGAAAAGGCTGCGCGGCCGACATAGAGAGCGGTCACGTCATTTCGTCAATCGTCATTCAGATGCTTGTGTTACCATACTTGTGCGGTGTATTGTAATGCAGAGTGGGACCTGTCATACAGTCATACAAGGCAGGATGAGAGCGAGAACGGGAGAAGTGAGCCTGCCTGTGACCGTCTATGAAGTCTGTCCGTTTATCGTGGCCGTTGCCATTGAGTCTGTCGAAAAAGGAGTGCCCACCGACGTGTCCATCTTATCTTCGAGTAAGCCTGCGTCCAAGTCCAAATGGAGCCATGGCAAAAAGCCACTTTTCACGACGCAGACTTGCACTTAAATGGGCCCTTACCTTGTGGAACTCCGCTCTCTCTCTCTCTCCCTCCACTACTGCGTCGGGGTCAGATCTCCTTTCAACGCATCAGGCACGCGCACACTAAGCTAGAAGCTTGCCGCACAGCGCAGTAGAAGCTGCAGTGGGTGCGGCGCTGCTGCTTCCGCAGCGCGCTTGTACCACTACATGCAGCAGGAGCAAGAGTGGGAAGGAAGCCTTGGTCCAACCGCCTCTCTATTTTAATTTGTGCCTCTTTTGGACCGAGTGGGTGGACGCAGGGCAGTAGTACACAGAGCAAACAAAGCAAAGCAACGCAAACAAACAAACGAACAATGGCGGGATCTGCGTGAATGCCTTTTGTCGATTCCGATTGGATTTGGAGGGTTTGCCCGGCTCAATCTAGAGCCACTTCCTCCTTTCCTCGTTTGTACGGGGAAGGGGGAAAGGAGCCTCGGCTCATCTTGCAAGTTGCACGAGTGAATTGGATACAGAAGTTGTGTGTCTTTATGAAGGAGTGACCAGTCAGTGGACAGGCGGGGGCGGTGGCTTTCTCCTAGTGGCTGGCCGGCCTTTCCTCAGCCCGCTGTCAATGCCCTGTCGACAGACTAGACCTGTCCGCCGTCGGAGCTTCAAAAGGGGGTAAAAAAAAAGGAAAAAAAAGAGAGGGCATTCTTGTCTGTCATTTGCTTGCCTCCGCGCCTGCTCGGTCTGCTGGACGGGCAACCCGTTCTTTTTTCGTCGGGTGAATAGTGACGACGGCTCGTGTGACAAGCGGGTCGGAACGGGGGTAAAGGAAAGAATTAGGGTCGGAGGGCCACTAGTCCGTCCTCACTAGCCTAGCCTGGTCTGGCCTGGCCTCCCAGCTAGTAGTAGTGTAGTACGGAGGCTCTTCAGGGGGGAAAGAAACGAACGGCACGTATAGCCGGCCTTTGCTCGGTCGTCCTGCGTCGGCGATACCCGAACCTGAACAGAGACACGGACCGATTTATTGTCGAGAATTTCAAACCCAGGCCCATTATTTCACTTTTCTTTTCTGGGAAATACTACTGGCTCACGTTTATCTGCACGATGATCAGGGTGGGCTATCGCTTAGCGGGCCACTGGTGCCCTATCGCACGCTCCGTGATTCGATCAAAGAGGTCCAAACGACACTGCTGGGCTCGCACATGTACAAAGGCCAGCGACCCACGCTCTCCAGTTGCAGCAACAACATGCTGTTCGTGAGCACCCTGCGCGACAGCCACGCTTCTGCAGGCCACAGGGCTGCCCTATGACGAATGCTGTCGTACCGGAGGCTCGGAAAACAAGGAAGAGAAATTCTCCTTTGCGGTGTTGATCAAAGCAGCACATACAGGTGCGCGCCCGACTACTGCTGCTCGGTCTTGGGTCTCAGTTCAGCAATACAATTCTGAGGGCCGGCTTCTGTATTGCAAAGGCGATTTTGCCTATTGGCCAGACTTTCGGGAAAAAAAAAAGCAGTGAAGGCCAAAGTTTCGTATGCGAGCCCTCTATTATTTGAAAAGGGAAAAAGAACAACAAGAAAAGCGCAGAGGTGCAGACTGACAGAGGGGATATAGGTTGACCGACGACATCGGTCGACGCGCGCATATACACTACTGCTTTTTTGGGCTTTTGACTGACGCACGCTCGAAACTCTACTACTACTATCTCACCTCGGCCACTGCTGCTGCTGCTGCTGCTCCTCTACTCTCCTCCTCGCTTCGCCGTCCGTGGATCGAAGCGTACCGTGCGGACTACTGTCGCTTGCACGACACCTCTCCACCTTCACGCCCACGCCCCGCGGCTGCGCTGAGCAACGCCACTCTCTCCCCCTCCCTCTCGCCGCCCCCTGGCCGCCGTGACCGACGTCTGTGGCTCGGCTTTCTCTGTACGCCTCGCGGCTTTGCATTTGCATCTCTCACACGAGCAACGACGCCCGGCGCCCCCAGCCCGTGTCGTGCCACAGAAGCGCTGCACGGCGACGCAGAAGCAGGAGTACGAGCAGGAGCAGGAGCACGAGCAGCCGTGCGCACGACGGCTTATCTGTAATCCCGGGCACGGCCCCCTCTGCGTAGCTTGACAGGCACTGCGACTCTATTGATTGCCTGCCTGTCTGCCCGCCCCGCCTTTCCCCTTCTCATCCCCTCTCCGCGCGCGCGCGCGCGTCTCGCTCCTCCATCCGTGCCACCGTCTCATCAGTGCGGCGCAATCAGTGGAAGGGGTCCGTCAGCTGATCGGTTCGCATACATACATACACACACACACGAGCGCGCCCTGCACACACGCGCGCCCGTGAGCACGCCCTGGAGAGGTGAGTGATGAGCAAGTAGTGGCTGTGGCGGTGCCGTGCCGTGGCTGACGGAGACTGTGCGCGCAAGTAGGATGGCGTCCACAAAGGGCTACACCAACGTCGTCACATCGACGTCAACACCAGGGCCGTCGCCCGTCAACACGCCTGGGGCCGGGTCTGGGCCTGGGCCCTCGTCGTCGTCGGGGGGCACGCAGCCGATCTCGATGCTGAGTGCCGCGCATGCGTCCAAGGCTGGCACCGACTCGCTGCCCGTGTCGACGCCGGCGTCGGGCGGCAGTGGCGACCAGATGAGCACGAGCTACGAGCCGAGCTCGATGAACGAGAGCGTCATGACCGAGGACGAGGAGGATTTCGAGGACTACACAAAGGGCGGCTACCACCCCGTCCATGTCGGCGACGTCTTTTCCGACGGCCGCTACCTCATCGTCCGCAAGCTGGGCTGGGGCCACTTTTCGACCGTGTGGCTGGCGCGGGACCAAAAGGCGCACCGCCACGTCGCACTCAAGGTCGTCAAGTCAGCCCCTCACTACACCGAGACGGCTCTCGACGAGATCAAGCTGCTGCAGCGCCTCGTGGCGGCCAACCCGCACCACGCGGGCCGCCGCCACTGCGTCTCGCTCCTCGACCACTTCAAGCACAAGGGCCCCAATGGCTCCCACGTCTGCATGGTCTTCGAGGTGCTGGGCGAGAACCTGCTGGGGCTGATCAAGCGCTACCAGCACCGCGGGGTGCCGCCGCACATTGTCAAGCAGATTGCCAAGCAGGTCCTCCTGGGACTCGACTACATGCACCGCGAGTGTGGCATCATCCACACCGACCTCAAGCCCGAGAATGTGCTCATCTGCATCGACGATGTCGAATCCGTCGTCGAGGCCGAGCTGCGCACCAACCCGGCTGCTGTGCCGACGAAGCTTGTCGGTGTGCCGCCCAGCCAAGGGCGTGGAGGTACGCAGACACCCAAGCGCGGTGATGGCATCTTCATCACGGGCTCCCAGCCCCTGCCGAGTCCGAGCAGCAGCCTGGGCTCGAGCCCGATGTTTGACAAGTGGGCCTTTGCCATGTCCAAGATCGACAAGGCGACGAGCAGCAGCGCCTTTGGCTCCGGCAGCGAGGCTGGCGGGCCCAAGAGCGACGACTCGGCCGGGCCCACGTCGGCCGCCTCCAGCAGGGGCCCGCCAGCAGACCGGGCCGGCACTGCCGACGCCATTGGCCAGGGCCTTGCTCAGATGAGCACCACTGGCGGTGCTGCCAGCACCAGCACCAGCACGGCCGTCTCGTCGCCAGGCTCGTCGTCGTCCGAGCAGGCACCCTCCTTTGGCAGCAAGACGGCGCCCCATATCGCACACCCAAAGGGCCCCTCACTCCTCTCCCAGCAGGCACCCGGCCAGCAGAACAAGGCCGCGCCGTCATCATCATCATCAGCAGCAGCAGCAGCGCCCGAGGCTGCATCATCACCGTCTGCTGCGACAGCGTCGACATCAGATCAGCCCATGGCAATGGACGGGGAAGGAGGGTCAGGGGAAGCAGGAGCAGGGACAGGAGCAGGATCAGAAGGAGCAGCAGCAGCAGCAGGGACAGCATCCGAGGGCGGGTCCAACCCCTCGCCACCCGCGGCACGCACGCCCGTCGACACGGCACCAGCAGTGGCAGCCGGGGATCCCACGACGCTGCCGCCACCGCCGCCGTACGACCCCAGCTCGCTGGAGCGCATCACCGTCAAGATTGCCGACCTGGGCAACGCATGCTGGGTCGACCACCACTTTACAAATGACATCCAGACGCGCCAGTACCGCTGCCCCGAGGTCATCCTCGGCGCCAAGTGGGGGCCCAGCGCCGACAATTGGAGCGCCAGCTGCATGTTCTTTGAGCTTTTGACCGGCGATTATCTCTTCGACCCGGCGGCTGGGTCAAAGTACAACAAGGACGACGACCACATTGCGCAGATCATTGAGCTGCTCGGCGACTTCCCCAAGAGCCTCGCCTTTGCGGGCAAGTACAGCGCCGACCTCTTCAACCGGCGCGGCGAACTGCGCCACATCCACAAGCTCCGCTTCTGGCCCCTCATCTCTGTTCTCCAGGAAAAGTACCTGATGCCGTTTGACGAGGCCAGCCGCCTGTCCTCGTTCCTCCTGCCCATGCTCAAGCTCCACCCGGACAAGCGTTCCGCCGCCAAGGACCTCCTCGAGCACGAGTGGCTCCAGGGCATCATTGTCGAGGGCGAGCTGGAGCAGATGCAGCGCCAGGGCCTCTTTGGCGCCCTCGATGGCACCCAGCAGGCCGGCGGACCGGGCCAGCATCAGCTACAGCAGCAGCAGCAGCAGCCGGACCAGGACGCCCTCGATGCGCTCAAGCCCGTCTCCAACTCTGTCTCGAGCAGCCTCGGCTCGCCCGTGCACCTGAACCCACAGGCGCTGCAAGACGCACAACGGCGCGCCGCCGAGCACGCGGCCCTGTCCAAGGCCCAGGCCGAAGCACAGGCGCAGGCGCAGGCGCAGGCGCAGGCGCAGGCCCAACGCGCGCCCGACCAGGCCGTCCTGGGCGACAAGACGGCCGGCGGCGCGCCCTCGTTCCACCAGTCGCAGTCGGTGCCCCCGCCAGCGTCGTCGCCTGCCGCAGCGCCCGGCGCCCACGCATCCTCCTCGTCGACGACCACCTCGCCCGCCAGGCAGGCGGCCATCGTCGATGCCACCACGCCCAGGGCCGCGGGCCAGCCGACGTCGTCGCGCGGCGCAGACTCGCCCTCGCCCCACGCCGGCCTCGCCCCGCCCGCTGTCTCGGTGACGGCAACGACGGGCGCGTGATCTTTCTTCTGTATCTCTCTCTCTCTCTTTGATCTCTCCCCTCCTATCGGGCTCAATGATGGCTGAACAGTAGTGTACACGGGAGGCTGCTATACCCCTCTCACGCATTTCTCCCTCCTATCCCCTCTCTATAATCACGGCTCTCTTTTTTCTTTTTCTTTTCTTTTTTCTCTCTTTGTGTACATAGCCTGTCGTCCAATTCTACATCTCGCACTAGACTCAAGTCAGGCCAGAGTGTGATACATTTCAACTCAGGCCAGGATGGGGTACACTTCAAATCAAGCCAAGCAGCGGTGCACTTCAGCTCAGACCAGGGTGCATTACACTTCAACTCAGGCCAGGTAGCGGTACACGCCGCGCTGGCCCTCGACGCGCTCCATGTACTCCTTGTCGATGAGCGTCTCAAACGTCTTTTTGATCTCGGCCACATCGACGGTGAAGCGCGCGGCAATCTGGGCGACAATGTCCTGGAGCAGCTCGGCGTGCTTGACAGTTTTTTTGGCCTTGAGGATGCGCACGGCCGAGGCCTGGAGGACGAGCTCGCGGTCAAACATGACGCGGTCCACCGTCGACTTTTGCTCCTCCTGCGTCTCGGCGAGCTGGATCATGTTGACGCGGATCCGCTTGCGGTCGTTCTTGATGCCCTCATTGACGGTGAATGCGTCCGTCTCGTCGACATCCTTGCCCTGGGGCTCCTTGCGCAGCACACGCGTGGGAATCTGGCCGCAGGCGAGGCTCTGCAGCGTGCGCTTCAGCTCCTTGTCCTCGAGGCCCGTGCGCGCTCGGATGGCCCCATAGCCCAGCCGCGCGCCCGGCTCGAGACCATTAAACAGAAGCAGGACGACCGTCTGGAAGGTGCTCAGGTGCAGTTCCTTTTCGCCCGCGCGGCCAAACTGGGCCATGAGCGCCGTCGTGCCAAGGCTATGGGCCCAGTGCAGCTTGCGGCCCTGGAAGCGCGCCTCGTAGAAGGCACGGAAGCGCTCGGCCGAGGCAGCCATCTGCGTGTGTGTACTTCAGTCAGTCTCTCGCATACATGCAATTCATCCAAGCTCGGAAAGACACACCTCGGGTGGGATGATGACGTCGACCTGTGGGTACGTGGGCCAGTGGGCCTGGGTGAGCACATTGACGTGCAGGTCAAAGGCCTCGCCGCCGTCTTCAGCAGCGGCAGCAGCGGCAGCCTGCTCCTTTGCGAGCTGGCCGTCGTAGGCCTTCATCATGTCGTCGGACAGGGACACATCCTTGAGCATCGTCTCGAGCTTCTGCGTAAAGGCGGCGCCGCACTCCTCCTTGAGCTTGAGCAGCATCGACTGCTCGGCGTCGGAGCTGGCCGAGCGGTTGAGCAGGAGGCGCTTGGCAAAGTAGCGCTTGTAGAACTCCTCAAACATGTCCTTTGCGTGCGTGTAGCGGAAGAGGATGAGGGCCTCGTCGAGCATGTGCTCGAGCTCGTCGTCGGACATGGTCTTGTTGCCGCTGCGGAGTCGGATGTCGAGGAACTTGGCTGGCGTGTGCAGCACGTCAGAATTGGCATCACTCTTTTGCAAGGGGAGAGGAAGAGCAACCCACCAATGAGCTCGGCTGGCTTGTTCTCGCGCTTGTTGATAAACGTCTCAAAGGCCTCCTTTTGCGTCTGGCGCAGGTCGTCGTCGGCCTTGAAGGCGTCTGCAACGATGCCGTCAATCTTGGCCTTGTAGTCGAGCAGGCGCTCGATCATGCGGTCGTCGTGCTCGCGGTCCTGGACGATGCGCTCGCCATCGAGACAGATGAAGCTGCCAAATGCAGTCCGCAGCGGGGTGAGCGCGCCCACGGCGGCGAGGAGGTCGTACAGCTGGCGCAGCGAGGCCGTCTCGGCGGCCGTCAGGAGATCGGGCAGGCCTGTAGGAGATTTTCAGCCTCTGTATCAGAGCGAGTACGAAAGCATGCAGAGAGAGATATCCACCAGCAACGAGGGCGTCAACGTGGGTGCGGACGAGCTCGCGTCGGACGGCGCGCATGTGCTCGACGCGCTCCGAGTCGGCCTGGTAGAGCCAGGCAGTCGTCTGCGTCTCGTCGTCGATGCGCCGCTCGGCATGGGCGAGATAGTCGCTGGTGCTGAGCTGGGCGACGAGGCGGTTCGACTCCTCCAGGTAGAAGCTCTTGGTTGAGGCGAGGAGGCGCTGCTGCACATCGCGGTACGAGTCGAGCGTGGCCAGCATCGACAGGAGCGAGAGGTGCATGTCGCGGTAGGCCGAGGCCGACTGGCGGTGCCGGTTGACGGCCAGGACGACGCCGGCAAGGGCACGCTCCTTGAGCACATCGTCCTGCACGATGGCGTGCTTGAACAGGTCCAGGGCCAGCTGCCAGACGGAGAGCAGGTGGGGCTGGTCGAGCACATAGACGCGGTCAAGGACGGTGAGGATGCGGCATACGAGCGACTGTGGCAGTATTAGGTGAGCTACGATCAGGGTCAAGCGTACTTGGAATCACCGCTCACCGTCTTGTCGCACCAGCTGACCCACGCCTCGTCGAGACGGCGCAGCCACGAGGGCTCGTCGCCATCGCTGGCGCCCGCGCTGAGCGAGCGCGCCACCTCGCCGACGGCACGCTCCAGCTCCATCTTGACGCGCTCGTACAGATCTTGGCCCTGCGCCGAGAGGACAACCGTGCCTTCAACGGCGAGATAGAGGGACTGAAGCGACGTCGACGGTCCCACATCGGGCTGCTGGCCAGCGGGGCATGCATAGATGGTGCGCAGCGCCCTTGCCACGGCATTGATCTGCGCAGGGCCATAGTCGGCCTTGGGTGCCGGCTTCTGTGCTGCTGGTGCTGCAATAAATAGCACATGAGCAATGAGGAAAGCGTGATCTGCAGGAGTGGACACTCACGCTTTGCATTGGCGAGCGTCAGCACAGGCAGGCCCTCTTTGCTTGTCTGTGCATTGCGCAGCAGGCTCGACAGGCCGTCACCCCTGCTGCCGGCGGCCCTGGCCTTGTCGGAGAAGGAAGCAAAAGCCTGGGACAGAGGCCCGTTTGCGTGCTGGGGCGGGCTGAGCATCCTCGTCTGTGTGGCCGTCTATTGATTGAATGCTGCGATGAGATAACTTCTGGTCGAGGAGGGTCCGAGCGCAGTTTCGCCACGCGTTCTGCACTTTCTGTTTTTGGTCTCATCGCACAATTTTCGGGCTGCAACTCTTCGTGGCCACTTTCACTGGTCTTCGATTGCCATCGATCGATCGATTGCACAGCTCGCAGACGGTAGAATCTCTTTCGCGACACAAACGACGGCAACAACAGCAGTGTCTCTACTACTCCTTGGCTTCTGATTCGGCTCACTGATCGACCGCACTCTGTACTTCTACTCAATCTCAGACCCGGACAAGATCACCTCGCATTCTCAGGGTGCACCGCTCAGCGCCCCTCCACTCCCCCCTCGCCGTCGCAGTCGCCATCGCAATCTCCTTCGCCACTGCTGCCCTTCGTCACGTTGAACGATAGAGAAAGCCAAGCAAGTAGGGTAGCAAAGGGAGCAGAAGCGCGTCGCCCCCAGGGCGCAGACGGACGGCCACCATGAAGATCACCAGGACCCCAAAGCGGCTGGCCGAGGCTGTGAGTGCTCTGCAGCGTCTGCCTCTCACTCAAGCCCAGCTGGTGGCTGACTGACTCACACATGATCACTCTCCGACACAGAGACCCGAGGTGAAGCGGCTGATCGAGCGCGTCCAGAATGCCGACGACGAGCAGCTGCCGGGCGTGCTGGACAGCATCTCGGAGTGGTGCTGGCCGCGCGGCGACCTCTTCTACTGGGTGCCCACGCTGAATCGCTTCGACGTCATTCTCGAGGAGACGTGCCGCGACTACGACCTGCACAAGCTGCAGATCAACGAGTTCACGCCGTCGCGCAAGCGCCTCCTCGTCGCCGTCCTCCGCTTCACGCGGCTCCTCGTCGAGAACTGCATGAACCGCAAGCTGTACGGCTCGTTTGAGCACCTCAACAACCTCCTCTTCACGCGCGACCTCGACGTGCTCGAGGCCACGCTCCGCCTGCTGCTCCGTCCTGCACAGCACCAGAGCCTGATGCAGCCACACTCGCGCTACGACATGCACATCTCCCAGGACCGCCTTGCGACACTCGCCGTGACGTGGACGCCGCGCGGCCACAAGCTCGACCTCGCCGAGCTGGCCACCGACGACGCCGTCGTCCCCGCTGAGCACCTCTCTGTCCGCTTCCAGTTCTACCGGCGGCACCGTTCGTCGGCAGCGTCAAACAAGGCCTCATCTTCATCGACGACGCCAGATACAGCAGCCGGCGGCGGCGCTAGCAGCATCAGCAGTGGCAGCACCAGCAGCGAACGTCCGACGGCGATGACGAGCAGTGTCTCTGCCTCTTTTGCCGGCGGGGTAGGAGCTGGAGCAGGTCCTTCTACGGCGACAACACAGGGCACCTCTGCCTCTGCCTCGGAGCACAAGGCCGAGGGCATGGTCACCATCGACCTTGGCCGGCCCGCCGAGCTGGGCCACAGCCCCGTCGACGTCCTCGCCGACGCCATCGAGGCCCACGACATCCCCGAGTCGGACCACTTTGAGCTGTTCCAGAAGATCCGCCTCGCGATGCTGCTCCCCAACGCGGCTGCCCGGCGCCAGCTCATCGTCTGCCGGCTCCTCGCCCTGGCCACGTACGCGCACACGTGCCCCGAGAGCAAGGCCGCCACCCAGCTCTTTCTCTACGAGCCCGACGTGGTGCCGCGGACGGCTGCCCTCGTCGACCCTGCGCGCAAGCTGCCGCAGGACATTGTCAGCAGCGCCCTGTATGCGCTCGATGCGCTTGGCCGCTACAAGAGTAGGCTCGCCGAGGTTCTCGCTGCGCTCAACACATCGGTCAACCACGGCATTCTGCTGCATCTCCTCCGCCAGCTCATTGACGACCTGGCCACGGGTGCGCCTGCCTCGTCCGAGTTCTTCGTCGACGCTCTTTATGGCATGCTCTCGTTTGTCACGTCGACGAGCAACGGCAACTCGATGGTCGTCGGTGCGGGCCTTGTCCAGCTGCTCGTCGCCCTCGTCAAGACGGGCCGCACAGACACGTACATGGTCCAGCGCAGCGTCACGCGCGCCATCGGCCTCATCGACACGGTCATCTACACGAACCCGCACGCGTTCACCATCTACTGCCAGGCCCAGGGCCCCGACGTGTTTGTGGGCCGCATCGAGCACGAGGTGCAGGCCGATCTCGCGCAGGGTGCCAGTGGCAGTGGCGGCATCGAAGGCAGCAGCAGCAGTGGCAGCAGCGAAGACAAAGACGCCATCTACGGCCGTCTCTCGTTTGGAAAGGCCAACCTGCTGCGCCAGTACCTCAAGTCGATCACCCACATGATGTCCACCGCGGGCACGGCCGATGGCCTGCGCAACCTCATCGACGGCTCGCTGCCTGCGTCGATCAAGACGATGATGGAGCACCGCCGCGTGTTTGGGCCCCAGGTCGTCGCCTACGCCATCAATGTCATGGCCACCTTTGTGCACAATGAGCCGACGTCGCTGGCCGTGGTGCAGGAAAAGAAGCTGCCCGAGGCGTTTGTGCGCTTTGTCGAAGACGACATCGAGGCCTCGTACGACGTCATCTGCGCGATCCCCAATGCCGTCGGCGCCCTCTGCCTCAACCAGGCCGGGCTGGACATGCTGAGCGAAAAGAACATCATCCCACGCCTCTTTGCGCTCCTCACCTCGGAGCGCCACCTCGGCGTGCTGCAGGATCGCGACAATGCGTCGGCGTTTGGCGCCGCCGTCGACGAGCTCGTGCGCCACCAGCCGTCGATGAAGCAGCCGGTCATTGACGGCATCCTCGCTGCCCTCGACCGCATCCACGCCATTGGCGCCGAGTACGAGCCCCCGGCCGTGCCCGAGGACGGCGCCGTTGCCTCTGTCTACCGTCTCGAGCGCGTCGATGGCGGCGGCGACACTGCGAGCGCGGATGAGATGCAAGTTCAGTCTCAGTCTCAGGCGCAGACAGTGACGCATGCAGAGGCGCAGACAGAGGCACAAACACAAGCGCAGACACAGGCACAGGCACAGGTGCAGGCGGCGCAGACGCTCGCCATGGCCGACACGGTCATGGACGACGCCGACGCACTCAGTGCCAAGCCGCCCGACAAGCACCAGGCCAACGTCGTCGTCGGCTTCATCGACGTCACTGCCCGCTTCCTCGAGTCGCTCTTTCAGTCCTCGGCCCACTGCAAGGACTTCCTCAAGGCCGACGGCCTGGACCGCATCCTTGGCCTGTATGCGCTGCCGTGCCTGCCGTACAACTTTGCCGCCACGCTGTGCGCCGACTCGGTCGTGACGCTCCTGCGCACCATTGCCGTCGTCAACATCAACACTGTCATGGCTGCTCTGCTGCGCGAGGTGCGCCGCTCCATCGACGAGACGCGCGCGCTCCTCGCCGACTCGGCCGCCAAGCGCGACTCGACGCTGGCCCCGCTCCTCGCGCCACGCAGCGACGACGAGGCGCGCGAAAAGACGGGCGCCTTCCGGCTCCTCATCCGGCTCAATGCCCGCCTGCAGCTCCTCGCCGATGTCGCGCCCTCGCTCACCTACTCGAGCAGCAAGTCGCCCACGGCGCTCCTCCAGCCACTCAACGGCGCACGGCCCCTCGCCAGCCGGGACATGGCCACCATCGCCGACCTCGGCGAGCTGTACCGCGCCGTCGTCTGGGAGGCGCTCCTGCTCAAGGCTGCGACACCCGCGCTCTCGGTCCCTGCGTCTGCAGCTGCATCTGCTGCTGCGTCTGCATCTGCTTCTGCTGCCCCGTCTGCTTCTGCCGAGGCTTCTGGGTCTGCCTCTGGCCCTGCTCCTGGCTCTGCTGAGGCTGGTTCTAATTCGATATCGACGGCAGGTCCTGAGTCAGCTCCAGCTCCGACAGCTCCTGAAGCTACGATCAAAGACAAGGCACCAACAGCAGCAGCAGCCCGCGACAGAAACGCACAGGCGCTGCGCTACCTGCTGCTCCAGCTCAGCCACTCGCTCAAGACGTTCATCGTCGACGTCGCCCGCAACATTGCCAACCCGCGCCGGGCCCAGGAGGTGCTCCACTCGGCCAACCGGCAGCTGCACCAGGAGACGGCTGCCCAGATGGCCGCCCTCGTCAAGCACCACCTCGCCTGGCGCGACCACGCCAACGTTGCCTTTGGCTGCGCCTATGCCACGACCATGCTCGCCCACGCCAACGCCATCCTCTACAGCGACCGGCCTGGCCACCACCATGGCGAGCGCGAGGCCCACACGCTGATCCTCGCTGCTTTCGTTCAGCGCAGCGGCGGCATGGACGACGTCGTCGCCGTCTTTGGCCACTGCTACGCCGAGTTGCGCCGCCACTACCACCACAACGACAACGAAGACGGCCGGCCCATCGAGGCAGCCAGCCTGCAGGAGCACCTGCTCCAGTGCCACAGCTGCAACGGCCTCCGCGAGGCCCTGGGACTGCTCAAGCTCCTCGTCTCGGCAAAGGGCCTCATCGGCACGGCGGCCACCAACGCCCTCGTCTCGGCCGAGGATGTGCCGCGCTCGTCGCCAGACTACTTTGCGCCCCACGAGCTGCTTATCGAGCTGCGCGAGCGCGCCATGGCCTGCCTCGAGACGGTGTGGAACCAGGCCTGGCTCGTGTACCTGCCCTACGACGTCAACCATGCCGTGCTCGACATCTGCGAGCGCATCGCCACCGCCGAGGGCGAGGAGGCGCCGGCGTCGGCCAAGACGGACGCGCTCGCCAACGCCAATGGTGGGAGTGTTGGTGTCAATGGCAGCGGCGGCCGCGGCGCAGGCATCCAGGCTGCGCTTGCTGGGCTCAGCGGCACCCTCGCCGGCAACGGCCCCTTTCGATCGCGCCTCGGCCAGGCCTCGTCCTCGTCTTCTTCTACCCAGCAGCAGCAGCAGCAGCAGCCCGACGAGGAGCGCGTGCGCCAGCTCACCGAGATGGGCTTCCCGCGCCGCGCTGCCCGGCATGCGCTCCAGCGCTTTCCAACAAGCGTCAATGCCGCCACCGAGTACCTCCTCCTCCACCCGGGCCTCGTCGCCTCCATGGCTGACGACGAGGCGCCGGCGTCGTCTTCCGAAGCGCCGACCGGCGCTGCGGGTGCTACGACAGGAGACAATGCGAGTACAAGCGCGGCAGGTGCGACGGAAGGTGCGACTGCGACGGAAGGGGCAACAGCTGCCGCGACAGAGACAGCGCCACCCGAGACAGCACCGGCGGCAGACGGAGGTGCGTCGACGACGGAAGACGAGGCCGGCCGCGCCATGGACACGGACGACGACGTCATTGTCGATGCGAGCGCGCCGGCTGCTGGAGCTGCGCCGGCGCCCTCGGCCGAGACGCCGGGAGAGGCGGCAGCGCCCAGTCAGGAGGCGGCCAGTCAGCCGATGCAAGAGGGAGAGGAGGACATGAAGGAGGACAAGGAGGACAAGGATGGGGAGAAGAAGGAAGAAGAAGAGAAGAAGAAGGAGAAGGAAGAAAAGAAGGAGGACGAGGCGGCCGAGGAGCGCGAAAAGCAGCGCAAGGCGAGCCTGGACGGCATGCGCGACGAGATGCTGCGCGACTTCTACAAGCGCGCCCTGCTGATCGCGGACCACCACAAGGGCCTCGTGTTTGCCGTGCGCAACATTGTCAAGATCACGACCAAGAAGACGGGCCCGCTCGACGTGCTCCGCTCCCTCTTTGACGAGGTCGCCCAGGCGGCCCCCGATGCCCTTTCACCAGCCAAGCAGGACCTCCTAACTGTGCGCCTGCACCTGCTCGCCATCCTCTTTGACGACCTCGGTGCCGCCGTCGAGGTTGGCGACGATGCGGCCAAATCCTTTATGAATGCGCTCGTCTCGCTCCTCGCTCCTCTCGAGCAGCAGCGTGCCACGGCTGCTGCTGCTGGCGCGCCCCTGGACAAGGACAGTGCCACCGTGGCAGCCACGGCCGCAGCCCCACGGTGGACCGCGTCCTTCTTCCTCGTCCTCGGCTCTGTCCTCTCGCTCGAGGAGGATATCAACGAGGTCGCCATGGCCAAGAAGGGCGAGCCGGTGCCGGAGTCGAGGGAGTCGAGGTCGCCGCCGCCTGAGCTGAAGCCCGAGACGCAGCCTGAGTCGAAGGCTGAGTCGAAGTCGAAGTCGCCATCTTCCTCCCCACGCAGGGAGGCCCTCTTTGCCGACTGCTGGCCGCGCCTCTTTGCCTGCACCCTCGCCTGCCTCGCCCACGCCCAGGGATTCAGCAACGCGGACCTGACGGCCATCTACCGCTTCCTCGTCGTGCTCTCGCGCAAGTCGCTGGCTGCACCGCTGCTGGCGCGCGACGGCCTGCGCGCACTCCTCAAGCCGTTTGCCACCCTCGAGCCCGACGCCGTCGCCGGCTGTCAGGCCCTCGCCGTCATTGTGCTCCGCCACGTCGTCGAGTCGGAGCCGCTGCTGCGCACGACGATGACGCACGAGCTGCGCGCCTGGCTCGGCCGTGCGCGCTCAAAGACAATCGACACGAGCTCCTTTGCCCTCTATCTGGGACACAGCATGCTCCGCGACACGGCCGTCTTCTTTGACGTCCTCCAGGACAACATGGAGATGGTCGGCTTCTCCACCGACAAGGGCCAGGGCTACCTCCAGCTCGCCTCTGGCAAGAAGGACGGCGATGAAAAGAGCAGCGGCGGCAAGACCCAGACGGAAGACGAGGCGATGGACCACATGCCCGCCTCGCCGACCAAGCCGGGCAGCCAGCCAGCCGAGCCGCTGCTCCTGCCCCAACAGCAGCAGCAGCAGCCCGGCGACGACGGCGGTGCGACTGCCAGCGCGGCAAAGGGCAAGGAAAAGGAGGCTGCCGCGACGGGAAGCGAGGCAGAGTCGCTCGACGTCGTCATGCATTTCCTGCTCTCGGAGCTCCTCAAGACCTCGCGCGACCGCAACGTGCAGCTCGAGGCGCGCAAGAAGACGGCTTTCTCAGCAGCGGTGACTTCTACAGCAGCAGCAGGAGAAGCCAAGGACAGCAAGGACGGCAGGGAAGGCAGTGGCAGCAAGGACACAGCCATGGACGTCGACGCCAACGCCAGCGACGAGGAGCGGCACAGGAAGCGCCAGGAGGACGAGCAGCGGCTCGAGGCGGACCGCAACTTCTTCTACTCGTGCTTCCTCCTCCAGGCCATCACCGAGCTCCTCTCGTCGTACATGCCCTGCAAGACGTCGCTGCTCAACTTCAACAAGCGCAAGCTCCTCACGCCGTACGCGGGGCCTCCGTCGTCCGCAGCAGGAGCACTAACACTGGCAGGTGCGGCACCATCGACACCGGCCGCAACAAAGGACACGCCGTCCAAGGCGGCGACGAACCGGTCGGCAGCCATCCTCAGCTTCTTCCTCACCGACCTGGCCCCGATCAGCTTCGTGCACCACTGCGAGCCATCGGAGCTGCGCAAGCTCGTCACCCTCTCGAATCTGGCCATGTCTGTCATTGTCGCCCTGTGCGCCGACATCGTCTACAGCCCCGACGCTAAAGAGGCCCCGTCTGACCTCGTCGCTGTGCGCAAGGCCGTCCTCGATGGCCTGGCGAAAGCGCTGCGCGACGCCGCATCACCCACCTCGGCCGAACACGTCGAGGCGCGCTACGGCCGCATGTATGCGCTCTCGGACCTGTGCTACCGCCTGCTGACGGCACACCCGAACCTGAACCCCAACGCGTCGTCGAAGCAGCAGGGCGACCTGTCGCTGCACATGGCCAAGACGATGCTCGAAAAGGGCTTTGTCCACGTGCTCACCAACGCCCTCGCCGAGGTCGACTTGAACTTGGCGACGGTCAAGCCGCTGCTGGTGCGCATCCTCAAGCCGCTCGAGCACCTGACCAAGATTGCCATCAAGGTCAACAAGGCCGAGCGCAAGGGCGCTGCTGCTGCTGCTGCTGCTGCTGCGTCGGCCGGTCAGCGCGACGGTGCTGGTGCTGTCACCATGATGGACCAGGACATGGGCGTCCTCGATGCCGTCGACTCGGACGACGACGAGGACTCAGACGACGACGATGAGGGCTCGGACGCCGACGACGATGAAGATGAAGACGGCGAAGACGAGGACGGCGACGTGCTCGATGGCGGTGCAGAGGCCGGCACCGGCAGGGACGAGACGCCCGACTTCTACCGTAACTCGAGCCTGGGCATGCACACGGGCGAGCTGGAGAATGGCCAGCCGACGTACGACGGCGACGAGGACGACGAGGATGACGAGATGGACGACGACGACGACGTCGAGATGGAGGCCTTCTCCGACGACGAGGAGCACAGCGAGGACAGGTGGGTGGTGCTGTTGCAGGAGTGAGATGTTGGAAGCACGCTGACATGTTTCCACAGCGACGATGACATTGAGGAGCACATCGTCGAGGTCATGGATGAGGGCGACGACGACGAGGACAGCGACGAGGATGAGGAGATTGACGATGACGACGATGACGATGACGACGACATCGACGATGAAGACGCCGAGATCATCGACGCCGAAGAGGGCTCCTGGGTCGATGTGAGCATGCTCCTTCAGCAACGAGGTGGCATGTATGCTGACCTGACTGACTTTTCTTCTCAGGAGGACGACGACGAAGACGAGGATGAAGATGAGGACGCCGACGAGGACGGCCGCGTGGCCGAAGAAGGCGACGCCCTCGATTTCGTCCTCGACGGCGAGGGCCGGCCCCTGCCGCGCCACTTCTTCGACGAGGCTGCCGAAGCGGCTGGCCGCGACGTTGACTACGTCGGCGGCCTCATGGACGACGGCGGCCACATCGACTTCATCGACGGCGACGACGACGTCGAGGAGCTCGACGAGGACGAGGACTCGCTCGACGACATGTACGACCAGGAGGAGCTCTCGCAGCTCGATTTCGAGGAGACGATGCTCCAGCAGCACCAGCCCCCGCCCCAGGACCGCTTCGGCGCCGACTGGGCCTGGACCAACGTCGGTGCGCCCTCTGGCCTCGGCGGTGCCGCAGGCCATGGCGGCGCAAGTGGCGGTGGCGGCGGCGGGGGCAGCGGTGGTGGCGACGCGGGTCACGTGGGTGACTCGGCCGTCTCCTCGTCGCTCTTCCCGCCCTCGTTCATTGTCAATGCCGGACGGTCCCGCGGCGGCGGTGCTGGCCGACACAGTCGTCCCTCGGCGGCGTCGCTCATGGGCTTCCACTACGATCCCACGGGTCGCGGTGGACCCCACCTGGCGTCGTCGTCATCGTCATCCGGCGCGCGACGCGGCCTGGCCGGGGGACCCGACGACGTGGCCTCGCACCCGCTCCTCACCGGCGCTGGCACCGCCGACGGCAGTGATCGTACGCTGGCCACGGGCGGCCGCAGCGGGCAACACCGGCACTCGGCTGGAGTGGTGGGCGGACATCATCATCGCCACCACTCGGCGCGCGGCGGCGCCGGCGGCGGTGGCCTCGGTGGCAGCCGGACCGACATGATCACCGAGCTCAGCCGCAACATCGAGGACCTGATCGGCGGCGGCCAGGGCGCATTCCAGTTCCTCGAGCAGCTCCTCAGCCGCAGCGGCGGGCCCCAGATGGGCGACAACATCCACATCTCTGTCTCGGCCGACGGCAACGGCTTTGCGCGCTACTCGGTCGGCGGTGTCGGCATGGAGCGCCTGCCGCCGCCCACGGGCACGGCCACGCACCGGCCCCACCCCCATGTGCTCCCGCCAGGGCCGCACCCGGTGCAGTCGACGACACAGCCCACCAATGCTGCTGCTGCTGGCGGCGGGGTCAACAGCAGTGGTGGCAACAACAGCAGCAGCAGCAGTCACAACAACACAAGGCAAGCAGACCCCGTGGCCATCGTGCAGGACTTTGTGCCGCAGCCGACGGCGACGCGCTGGAGCGAGACGGCGCGCGTCATCCACGGCAGCGCCGCCAACGAGCGCACGGCGCGGCTGCGCAACCACATTGTCAATGCCCTCCGTCCGGGGTACGATGCAAGGCAGGAGCAGGCCAAGGCGCGCCAGAAGGAGCACGCCGACGCCGTGGCAGCTGCTGCGGCCGAGTGCGACGCGCTCAAGGCTCAGGTCCAGGCAGCCAAGGCGGCGCTCAGCACGCTCCAGGGCGAAGAAAAGGCCGCGCGCGAGGCCATCGATGCGCACAAGCGGCGTCTTGAAGAAGAGCAGCAGCAGCAGAAGAAGCGCGACGAGAAGAACGAGACGAGCGAGGACAAGAACGCGACGAGCGACGACGTCGAGATGGCCGACCAGCCCGCGGCGCCGTCGTCGCAGCAGCCCAACCTCGAGCTCGGCTCGCTGCAGGAGGGCCTCGACGAGCTCGACGCGACGGGTGCGCGACGCACGCCGCAGCAGGCGCACCAGCAGGAGGGACAGCAGGAGGGACAACAGCAGCAGCAGCAGGAAGGACAGCAAGGGCAGGAACAGCAGGGAGGAGGCGAGGCACCCACGCGCATCACGACGACCGTCAACGGCCGCGAGGTCGACATCACCGACACGGGCATCGACCCGACGTTCCTCGAGGCGCTGCCCGACGACATGCGCGAGGAGGTCCTCAACCAGCACTTCCGCGAGCGCAGGGCGGCCGCCTCGACGCAGGGCGCAGAGACGAGCATTGCGCCCGAGTTTCTCGATGCGCTCCCGCCCGAGATCCGCGCCGAGGTGATCCAGCAGGAGGCCGCCGAGCGGGCCCAGCGCCGCGCCGCTGCTGCCGCCCTTGCCTCGTCGTCGGCCACCGGCACCGGTGCTGGCTCAGCAGGGTCCGCCGAGCCCGCGCAGATGAACAATGCCTCGTTCCTCGCCAGCCTCAACCCAGACCTGCGCAACACCGTCCTCATGGAGTCCGACCCCATGTTCCTCGATGGCCTGCCCTCGGACATGGTTGCCGACCTCAACGAGCTGCGGCAGCAGAGCGGCGCCGGTGGTGGTGGTGGTGGCCGACGTGTCGACTTGCGCCACCTCCACCGCCGCTTTGATGCTGCGGGCAATCCGATCCAGTCGAGGCACGCCTCGGGCAGCGGCGGCGATCGGCAGGGCAGCGGACAGCAAAGCAACCAGCAGGCTTCCTCCTCCTCGAACACTACTGGGGCCCAGCAGCAGCAGCAGCAGCTGCGCGACGCCATCCAGCTCCTCGACAAGGCCGGCGTCGCCACGCTCGTCCGCCTCCTCTTCTTCCCCCAGATCGACAGCCGGCACACGGGCCTCCACAAGGTCCTCGTCAACCTGTCGGAGAACAGCAAGACGCGGACGGAGCTGTTAAACCTGCTCCTGGGCATGCTCGCCGACGGCACAAGCGATGTCGGCAGCGTCGACAAGAGCTATGCGCAGATGAGCGTGCGCGTCAGCAAGGCCACCGCCCAGGTCCAGACGCCCGAGCGGCCCACGGCTGGCTTGCGCCGACACAACTCGACGCCTGCTGGTCCTGCAGCAGCGGCAGCGACACCTGCACCCGCGACGCCCATTACACCCCATGTCACCTTTGCAGGCGCTTCGACACCGGCAGGCGCAGGCGCAGCGACAGGCACATCCTCAGCCACCGCGCCGCTCTCTAAGACGGGCGACGAGGCGCCGTACCTCATTGCCTCGCGCACCATCGAGACGCTCCTCCACCTCACCTCGTACAACGAGCAGGCGGCCCTGCACTTTTTGCGCGACGATGCCGGCCAGGCTGCGCGCGCGACCAAGAAGGGCAAGGCCAAGGGCGCCGCCCCGCTCGCGCCCATCAATGTGCTCCTCGCCCTGCTGAGCAAGCCCTCGATCCTCGGCCACGCCCAGCTCGTCGACTCGCTCATTGCGCTTCTCAATATTGTCACCAAGCCCCTGCCGGCCATTGTGGCCAAGAAGCGCCACCAGGACGAGCAGGCCGAGAAGGCTCAGGCGGACAAGACCCAGACCAAGACAAAGGCCGAGGCAAGCACGAAGGACAAGGACGAGGACGCAGAGCAGGCCGGCGACACTACGGCGACGCAGACGGGCCAGAAGCCGTCCGAGACGGCAGCAGACCCACCGGCGATTCCCTCGATCTCGAGCGAGCGCATGGCCGCCGTGGTGCGCCCGCTCGCCACGTCCATCTCCTCCAAGGGCTTCCAGCACACGCTCGCCGTCGCGTCGAACCTCTCGGCCATGTCTGCCGAGGCCAAGCAGACGATCCAGGAGGCGCTCCAGCGCGAGGCAGACGCCGCGAGCAAGAGCCTCGTCCAGGACCTCGACAACCTCCTCGAGTCGCTGCCTCCCGTCGAGAGCAAGCCGGGCGGCGACGATGACGACGACGACGAGAACCATCAGCAGCAGTCGCAGCAGCAGCAGGGCCAGCTCCTGGGTGGGGAGCAGCAGGCGCCGCAAGAGGAAAAGGCGAGAATCGAGAGCCCGGCACTCAACGGCCTCGCGAGCCCCAGCAGCTCCCAGACGGTCATTCTGCGCAGCCTGCGGGCCCTCGAGTGGGTCCTCACAAGGCCCAGCAAGACGGCCTCGTCTGGCGCCGCCCACAACTCGGCCGGAGGAGCCAATGGAAGCGGGTCCCACGCGCAGAGGGGCGCATCTGGACCCATGGAGGCCCTCAGGGTCTTGGCCTCGGGCCTGTCGTAGTCTTCTGATCATCATCATCTCTCATTCACTTTTTGAGAAGGTCTAGCGAACAGAGAAGAAACATCTTGTATATAAACACGCGAGACGGAGAGATCAAACAAAGAGACGTAGCAGAACGAGAGTGGTGAAACGGTCATGTCTGAGGATTAGGACCATCAGGGTGTTGCGGCCGCCTCCTCTTTCGTGCCTTTTTAGGGTTTCTGCCCTTTCGAGGACCGAGGACTATTTTGCCTTGGTAGTCATTGGCATCTCCGGTCCTCCTCGTGTTCTGTTTGTTATTATGCCACTTGCTCGCCTCGTACATGACCTCCTCCTCCTTTGTGAGTTTTCCTTGCCTTTGTTTACGTCTCACTGCCCTCTTCGATTTCGATATCGGTATTCCCTTCTCCAGCTCCTTCCTAAAGGCAAACTGGACGACTCGATAGTCGGGGCCTGCGATGCCTTTGGCCCTGAGTTCACTCGCCTGTCCTTCAAAATCAAGAGGGTCAGGCCACGCCTCCAAGGACTTGTATGCTTGCTTCCTTTGTTTCAAGTCGTCTCCATGTCTTCCCTTTTTGTACCTTTGCTGAAATTTTAGCTCTTTCGCCCTTTGCAAGACCATTTCCTCGGACGCGGACGGACCGAGTTCTTGCCTGGCGAGAATTCCAAAGGAATCGTGCCACAGCGTCGATGCCTTTCTCATCCCACTGGTGCTCGCATAGTAGTCTTGTTCAGGATTTCGCCCTCTGCTAGACTTCTTGATCTTCTTTGCTTTCTCTGCCTCTGGCTTTTCCTGCATTTCCACCTTGGCTCGATCCTCCGCGCGCGTCATCTCTTCCGGGACAGGCATGATTTCCGCCAGGGGACGTATGCGTCTGCTCTTGTACCTGCCTTGGGTAGAGTGTCGGGCGCCCTTGCGTATCCACTGTGGCAGGGGCAGAGTGGCCGCGACGTTGTCGTCTTGAGGCGGCGACGGCACCCGGTGTTCACTCTCCCAGGCGAGCGGATCGTGAACATCGCGCACTTGCAATCCCCTTTCAGAAGGTTTCGTCCCAGTGGAATCGGAGCTGGGCGAGCCGTCCTTTTTCCTCTTCTTCTCCGAGCGGCCTGCCGCGGTGTCTGAAGCGCTGCGTGAAGAAGATGAGGCCTCGTATGGCCTCTTGGAGCCTGATTGGTCTGCTGGGCCCGAAGAAGGACGATTTGGATCTTTCCAAAGATCGATACCCTGGAGTGCATCGAGAAAGTCTTCTTCGTAGTCGGTCAGCACGATGGGTGAATGCGCAGCGTGTCCATGGTGGTCAGTGCTGGGGAGATAATAGTCTTCGCTGGTCACTGGTTGGTGGTCGTCCCTGTTGAGGTCGATGATCTGCTTCCCAGTCGCTTTGTCGGCCCTGTGCTGCGCTGCAGGATCGGGGAGATGCTCCCCAGACGGGCCCCTGTCTCTGGCCAGCGCCGAAGAGTCCGAGTTCTCGCTCTCCATTGGCTCCTTGCCACGCGTCTCGGCACCGTGGGCCGACGAAGAAGTTGGCTTCAAGAGATGGTCCGGGGAGCGACGATCGCCGTGCTTTTCTTCGCGAAAAGGTGACTTAGCAGCAGGGACAGGCGCAGGGACAGGTGCAGGAACAGGCGCAGGGATAGGCGCAGGTGCAGGGACGGGCACAGGTGCAGGGACGGGCACAGGTGCAGGGACGGGCACAGGTGCAGGGACGGGCACAGGTGCAGGGACGGGCACAGAGCGTTGCGGGCCATCGTGCTGCGCCGGGGCTGGAGGGTGGGAAGACGGCGACGGCAGGTAAAAGCGACGGATGTCTATGTTGTCGGCAGTGCTCGGGTGCTGCGCCAACGCAGGCTCCAGCGCCCGGATGCTCGGTGACAGCGCGCTCCGATCGTGTCTGAACCTGGCGCCTCGCCAAGAAGGACTCGTGGCCAGAGCATTCAAAGTGGGACCGTGAGTGAACGGCGTGGTGGGCAATGCCGCCGGAGCAGCCGAAGCAGGCGGAGCAGCCATGGACGCCGGTGAAACTGGTGCAGCTGGGGAAAGCGGTGCAGCTGGGGAAGCTAGAGAAGCCGGGGCAGCTGGGGAAGCCGGGGCAGCTGGGGAAGCTAGAGAAGCCGGGGCAGCTGGGGAAGCCGGTGCAGCCGGGGAAGACGGGGAATCCAGGGAAACCGGTGCAGCTTGGGAGACCGGCGCAGTTGGAGAAATCGGTGCATCCGGCTGCTCACGGGTCTGCACCTCGGCAGGGGGTGGTTTCGAGGGCCTAAGATAGGGACGAAAACCTGGCCGGGCGACATCCCTCTGTCGACCAAGCCACGTATGGTCATTTGGCAGTGCTGAAGGTGAAGCTTGCTGTGCCGCTGCATCACGGTTGTGGCCGACTGTAGCATGGTGGCCCTTTTCGGCCGCGGCTTGAGGATTGTGGCCGGCTCGCGCAAGATTGTACAGCGCTGGATGCTGGAGGTGCTCGGCCGGGGCGTGCGGATGAGGGCTGACTCCAGCAGATCGACGGTGCTCTGCGGCAGCTTGCGGGCTGTGGCTGCCTCCTGCGATACGCTGCATCTGCTGGAGATACTGCGCGCGTTGAGAGGGAGAGAGATGGCTGCTTCCCGCGAGGTTGTACATCGCTGGACGTTGAAGGTGCCCCGCCGCGGCTTCGGCTTGAGGGCGGGTGTGGCTGAGCCCGGCAAATTGGCTCTTCCCTGGCGGCTGAGAGTGCCCTGCTGCGGCGTGAGTATGGTCATGGTGGCCGGATCCTGCAAGGTGAGCCATCGCTGGCGGCTGGCTAGGTCCTGCCAGTGCATTGATCTCTTGAGGATAACGAGCAGAGGGCTTGATCACTCGCACCTGACCACTGTGTGCCGTGGCGTGAAACTGGTCACTGGATTCAGCATGCTGGCTAGCTTCTGGCGGCTGACCGAGGCTTGCGCTGCCAAAATCGATGTTCTGTCCAGCAATGTGGATACTCGCTGGCGGCTGGCGATGTTCAGCCGGTCCTTTCATCATATGAGCATGATGACCAACGTGGCTCCACGTTGGCGGCTGATCGTTTCGTGATATGGCCTGAGGCTGGTGACTGGATTCAGCATGCTGGCTAGCTCCTGGCGGCTGATCGGATTTTTCCTTGTTAAGAGGCTCGACAAGTTTTTGAGCAACGTGGCCCATCGCCGGCGGCTGGTTCTGCCCTGCCTGTGCATTCATCAT